TGACAGTTCTCCGTTGTGACCCTGGACCCTTGAAGCAAAGCGTCCAGCTTGCTTGCTTGCTTGCATCATCGTAGTCTAACCGAGTCCTACTTGGAAGCAGAATGGTCTGGAAATGATTGTCATTCAAATTGGCAGTGACTATTGATATGCGCGAAAATTGGATCACCGAGGTCGACTGGAGCTCGCCTAGATGTTTCAGTATCTTCTATCCTTCTAGAAAACCCATCGACAGGGTCATTTCACCAATCGGGGATGTTGGACCTGCATTAGTGTGTGAGAATAGACCCTCATTCAAATAGTTTCTGGAACTTGGCCGTGCCATCTTCCATCAATGCTCCAAAATGCACCCCGGTCTACGAACCCTGGCATTTTCCCTGAAATCTTCCTGGCACCTCTCCGCCTTCCTGAAGCCGTTCATTCACTACTTGGTAGGGATTGCCTTGAAAGCCACCACGATATTCGGTATGGTTCGTATACTCGACTCGAAGGCCAAACTTAAAATGCTATCTTATGGTATGGGAAACCCACGGCCCGCTCAAATGGTGCTTTTTTTCATAGAATTGCTGTTTGTGGAAGTTATCGACACCAGCTGTGGTTGTTTTGTTTTGTTTTTGTTCTTTTTGTTGCCACCAACAGATAACTGTGAGAACCACTTAGGACCGAATACCCTTGCAAGTACTAGAACTGTGGTTGGTTCCAGCATTTGCCGGCAATGATCTCCCCAATCTTCCAGAACGATGTGTCTGCTTGGTGTCCACACCGATTTCCGGACTGAGGGACTGTATTTGCACCAGACCGCTTGCTTGCCAATAGATATCTATCGCTTGCGTCTCACCGTAACATGACCCTTGTTGAGGGTTCATTACACTAACCATGCGGATTTACATCCCCGGCTCTGCTAACATGCAAAGTACGTAACGGCTCTTCAATGCGCATCACAGAGAAACAGAAAAAACTTCTATTATTCGCAAATCCGGGGGTGAGAATTGGCTGGCTGGTCCCTTCTGGTTTCTTCCTAGTTACCGCGGGCCGTTCCCATGTTTCCACGACATCATCAAGATGTGGTCTGTTCTCGTAATAGATTGCTTCCGTTCGACTCGTGGTCGATCACATCATGCGATTTTCTTGCAAGGTGATTTCGGCGATGTCCTTGCGATATTAGAGGGCAAATTGTTACCCATGTTGTGGTTCGTAACAAACATGCAACAATGGCTGAGAAACTAATCTCGAGGTGCCGAGACGTCGGGACACATTGAGTTGACTAGGCCTGCAACCGGTAACAAGGGCTAGAAACATTCAAGGTTACATAAAATAGTTCCGAGCTTCCTTGTTGTTGCTGTCACAAGTCAAATGACACCATGGTCATTGTGAAGCACGAACGGAAGGGCCCCAAGGGTCTCGTGAAGATCTTTCCATCAGGGTATCATCAGCTCATGATCACTCAGTGATTGACTGGATACAACTTTGTCCCACATGCTGTCAGTGCGGTGTGTACTTTTTTAGTCAATTGATGGAGCACTCTGCCGAGGCGCTGCTTTTAGAGTGACCTCTTAACGTCTCTCTGTACAGTAATACGTAAGATTATGCACAGAGGGGGTCATAGATGAGCACTGAAAAGAGCACGTCGACATCATGATGATGGTGGTGGTGGTGGTGGTGGTACAGTAGTAGTAGTGGTAGTAGTAGAATAAACCTTCAATATTGCGACCGTGGATAAACCTTCATATAGAATTGGGTTTCGGGATAAACAAGTGGTGAAAACCCTGTGCAAACCGGCGTCTTTCTTCTTCCGAGCAAAAATTGAGTCGAGTTAGACTTATGCAGTTTTGGACTCTAATGCAGTTTCTCCTGCACGAAGACGCAGGAACAAGTCTTACATGAAAAACACTGTTCATTTGGAACAGCAGACATTATTGGACGGCCCCTGCGCAAGTGCCCATCCACGAGCATAACGGGTTGAAGAACCTTGTCAGGACGCTGGAGAACAATTCTCTTGCGCGTTGCGCACAGACGTCGTCAGTGATCACCGCATATCTTGTTCCTATCGGGTTACTGAGCCGAAAGATTATGCAGCTTGCAGATACGTACTTTATGCAGTGCAAGCGTTGGCCTGCGGTAGTGCTACCGGATTCGTAATGAATTGAAAGTGGATGCAGGCACATGAATAACGCGAAGGAGCATTGGACCATAGGTGGAGGATCTAGAGTCGCTAATGGAAATGGTGTGATATGGTGCTTGCATAGCTTGCATAGTATACCCCATACATCCAAGCGGGCATACTTGTCACCTTCGGCGAGTCAATTAGATGAGGACTGTCAGACTCTGTGAGCTCCGTTCAGATGAAGCTCACTGCAGCTTTTACGACGACGGCGCATCCTAGCAACAACGACGACGACGACGACGAAGACAACAACAACACCAGTTCTGCCGCTCATATATCTTGCCAGCATAGTACCTAGCTAGATGAGTATCTTTCAGTTGTCAACTGTGTGAGCTTTCTCTCATTGTCCTGTTGTTTTCTTCACTTGACTTTGTTTCGAAACTACCGTGTTAGCAGGCCCTAGATCCATAACAGCCATTCAATAGTCTGTCTGATACGGCACGGCTGAACATCTTGCTATTAACGGCAAACAACAAAGTAAGGTTAGTTATCTTCAGCGGCGTTGAAGAGTCTTGAATCGTGTCAGCTAGCAGCCACGTTCGACTGATCGCAAACTACGAAATGGGAGCTAGGCATTTCCCGCCATCAAGACATGAACTGTCGTTGTCTCATAATGCCCTATGCCTTTAGTTTGGTTATTGACTAAGCCATCGGCCGTGAAAGTTTACGTGGTGGACGGGTTTCTCTGCCATCCAGCCATAGCCCAACCTATTCTCTGAGGAATTGGGAAGAGCTGATCATGGGAATATATCTAGACAGATCGTTTTCAAAACCTTGAATGGGCAAACTCTAGATTGATTGAGAGGGCGGCACGAGCAATTTGACATGTTGGCCATTGTGCCCCTCCACATCTGAATTCCCCGACGCTTGCGGGGTGCGTCGGCCGATAGAAATCTAGATCGCTTTTCTCGCTTTCCTCGGCTACTCTCTTGGGAGTAGCGAATTCTGAGATATGGGCAATGAAGGTCATCACATTGGTCTTTCTGATCTGGTTGGGACAAATAAGAGACTTCATCGACCAATTGAGCTGATTAGCCATTCCCATGCTGTTGGAACCACCCCCACCTTGGCAGCCAACGCTGTCGTGTTGTGGCATAATTCTAAGTATGGGTTACAGGGCACATGATTGAGTGGAGTTAAGTGAATCAGCGACAAGCTGGATGAATGTGAGACCAGCAATGACGAGAATGGCGTACGCAAGTGACTGACTTCGGCGCAGGGCGGTTTCATATTTTGAATGGCTCATAGTCCTGCAGCCGTATAGAGAGCTTGCATGAAGTCACCCACGAATGGAAGCACCCAGTGGATGCCGCTGGGCGCTGGGATGCCCACACACGTCCGTGATATTCGTTCAATAAGCACCAACCGCCGTCATCCGCGCTGCACACCACTGCGCACCACTGCAGCATTGGAGTTTAGCCAAAGGTAGGTCAGGAACCGGGCGGTTCTCTTTCTGCCGCATTCGTGCCCCATCTGCACCATAAGCACCAAAACAGCATAAGTCGTACTTAAGTTTGTACATAGTAGGTCGAGCTACTGTAGCTGAGCGAAAAATGTGATCGGTGCTTTTTGCCGCACAGAGCGCGCGCTCAGTCGGAAACTGACCCAGAGGCAGCCCGCAATAGCATTGATAATGGGTACCGGGGTGGCGTTCGACAGCAATGCTCTCGCATGTTCAACCAGGCCACACCCACCGTCCACATACTATGGCATCATAATCAACGGACCATCAGCGTGTCGCATCGTTTCTTGGTTTCTGGTCGGCAAAACCAAACTTGTTGACAACCCAATAGCCATTGAATCGAGTACAAGACCGGTCCAATTTCATATCTTTATGACCAATGGACAGTTACATCACACGTTAGTGGCAGGTGAAATAACACAGGACAGGTAGCTGGCGAAACGCCGTGGCCGTATTCCTCATTGTGACTGGAAGTTGGGGTACTACCCGTGCAGAGGCGAAAGGCACACGGCGCCGCTGACTGGCAGGCGTGTCGAATCCATCCGCGTGTGTGTGCCACCTATCACATTATGCAGTCTAAGCACTACTTCATAAGGTGGGATTCACAATTATCGCGCTGCATAGAAAGTGAACGTAGGATGAATGAGGATGTGCAATGCAGCTCTGCTGGAGTGGGATAACATGTTATTGGGGGACAAGAAAACGGCCATTGTCGTTCCTGGACATCGTATGCAGGCCCCGGCAGGGACTAGCTGGAGAGTGCCCGCTCGTGTTTAGTGATGTGGGTTTTATGCAGGCCGGTCTGATGTTGTACGTACCACAGTTGAGGATACTTGGGGTGCGTATACTTCGCCAAGTCCGCGTCCAAAGATAGCACCGCGTACCCAGGCCTGTACGCCGTTAGTGCTGCGCCGCTTGACACCCACCTTGACCACTCATCTGAAGTTTCCAAAAGACAAGCTGGCAGGGATCCTAGTTTTGCCCGCTTTTCTTCCTCGACCGGGCTATGCCCTTGATGGACTGGGAGTGAGACAGCTAGGCATGGATGGCACCCACTTGCTGGGTCCCATTCCAACTAGGTTACCGGCCATCAGTGCCTATCGATGGGTTGAGTGTCGTTGATCGTCTTGGGACTCATACTTTATCCTTCGAGGTCCCTTCGACCACATCGACGCTCGTTCTCCCATCCAGCCCGTGATCGACATATCCGGTTCATTTGGAATGGTCTCTCTTTCTTCTTTATGAACTCTCCGTTCCTGTTTATCTTGTGACTTTAGTCTTTGGGAACACTCGAGCCATCTCGATACCCCATCCTTTCATTTTGTATACAAGTTGCTGTATCCCGCTACTGTCCTTTACCAAAGACTATATCCTTCCAACCACAGACGGACTTCAGTCGAAACAACTACTGTATAACATCATCACTCGTGTCACAGACGACTAGACAACCTTCGAAACAAACTCAAGGTTGCCGTACATTCCTTCAACAACGGAACCGAACCCACCATCTTTAGGCCAACCCGCCCACGATCGAACTGTATACTATACACTACGAACCTAATTAATAAGAGAAGCACCACAGCGATAGAAGATAACGTCAATAAACACTTATTTACGAAGAATATAGCAGGTCAGTCAAACAATGCACCAAACCTCTTCGCGGGAAACAAATCTAACTTCTGCAATAGACATGGATCCCAACATGATGGCCTCGCAGGTTATGGCACCTGCCCCATTCTTTTACTATAACCCAGACCCAACATCCGAGAACCGGCAACACGGCCACTTCAGCCAACAGCCTGCAATGCAGCAAATGGCCATGTATCCAGTGGTGCCTACCCTCCCATCAACACCTATCTACTCGAGACCAAGCTCTGCTTGCTCGCAGCCTCCAATGCACCATCAGATGCTCAGTGCTGTTCCCGCCAACCTCACACCGATGGCTTCACCTCAGCTTGTGTCCCAAAGGCCTACAATCATGCTGCAGCATGCCGGTGCTGCTAAGTTGATGCTCGAGACCGAGATGTATGAGAACGATAGTTGCTACTACCCAGCGACGCCAGCCCTTTCCACTTCCGGCAGCAACATCGGCAGCCCTAGCAGCTGCAACGACATGCTTGCAACTCCTCTTAACCCAATGTTCTCCGGTTTGGATGGGTTTGAGAGCGTGAAGCCTCATGTTGAGTCAATGCCCGAGGGTCTAGAGATCTTGGATTGGTCGAGCTGTGCATCGCCTCCTATGACACCTAGTGAGTACCACAATATGTTCTTCTCAATTCAGAATTGCTGTGCAAGGACCAGCCAAAAGATCAAGCTGACCAGGGCCGAAATTTGAGCTTCAATTGTTCGATTCGGTCCCTGGTCGGCTTTTGGCGGGGCTTCGGAACCTTTTAAGATTGGCATTTGTTAAATTGATCGTCGGGGACCAAACACTAATTTTTTTCCCAGTCTACCTCGCTTCACAGGGACCTAGCTCAGTCACATCCGAGTGCATCAACCCTCGCGATATCCTTAGTGTTACTGGTCCATCAACTATTGAATTCTCCTCTCCGCCGCCAGTGGTCGAGGAGTTCAGAGGTGACCTACTCAAGCCCACCACGCTAACCACCTTTGAGTTCCACCACGGGCTTCCTTCGTTTGATGAGCTTTCTGATCTCGAATCCGAGGAGGACTTTCTCAACGGCATTGTCAACTTGCAAGACAAGCCAGTAGACGACTTGAAGCGATCCCGTTCAGCAACCTGCTCTACCACGCTGTCTACATTCCTGGGCGAGGTTGATTACGAGGACAACACATCTGTAGCTGTCACCGGCTTCGCTACGCCGGAAAGTTCAACTGAGGAAGCACGTCCTGCCAAGAAGGTCAAGTCAAAGAAGGAGTCACCCAAGCTCGTCATGAACGTTGCCGCTGACTCCAACGATGTTGGTGAGGCCGCCCAGCCAGAGTCAATTTCTCAAGAGCAGTCCTCGGAAGTTCATCCCACGGACGGCTCTGAGAGCACATCAGATGCCACTGGTGCACCCTCTTTACCTGCTCCTGCCAACCGCCGTGGCCGCAAGCAGTCTCTTACCGAGGATCCTACTAAGACATTTGTCTGCGAGTTGTGCAAGCGTCGCTTCCGTCGCCAGGAACACCTCAAGAGACATTACCGATCACTTCATACGCATGACAAGCCATTTGAGTGTGGCGACTGCGGCAAGAAGTTCTCTCGCAGCGACAATCTTGCTCAACACGCCCGCACTCACGGCGCTGGAGCCATTGCTTTGAATCTAATCGATGGCTCGGAGCAAGGCTTTGATATGATGGGTGCTGGAGTCTCGCATGTAGAGAACGATTATCAGAGTTTCGGCAAGGTGCTTTTTCAAGTCGCAAGTGAGGTACCAGGCAGCAGTGGTAGCGACTACAGCTCGGACGAGTCCACCGATGGCCTGGGTGGCAAGAAGCGCAAGCGATCTGCATAAAAGGCTCTTCTCAGATCACCTCACTTGAGATAGAATCAGATGCGGAGAATCAGAGATTTCTCTTGCTTACGCCCGACACGACATTCATGAATTCTTTACTTCTGGCCACACCCGCTACTTGATGCGGTGGCCCTTAGGGTTATCTAGAGGATCAGAAAAAGCTCACCTGTTTTGAAGCATGAACTTGCCTTCTTGTACCAATATTCTTGCAGACTTTGCATACGCACGAAACAGTGCCCAAGGGCGGTTTGGCATCAATGGACAAAAGGAATTGGGAGTGAGGCGTCACCGGAGGCATCAGTATACACCCTTTGCGCGACACCCACAACGGAATCATTTGGTTTTGAGCCTGTTTTTGGCGGCCTTGCAATTCTTTACGCTCGTTGTAATTCCTGTAGCTGGCGGGGCTGGTCACCGTCATTGCTACAGGGCAATATATAGGTGGATGGAGTGACCTGGTCATTCCTCCTCTTTTTGTGTTTTCTCGTTCACAGTTTCTGACAATTCCTTGTTGCATAGATATACTTAAGCAATGGTGCCGGTCACAGCTAGAGAATCTATGGCAGCTGTATACATAAGAACATGCAAAACTTTCACCCACCCGAGCCACTTATCATCAGTATTATAGTTTCACGTGACACTTGAAGATTTTGAGATAGATCGCTAATTACACATCACTTTGCGAATACGCCATATATATGCCTACGTAGTCTACTTACTCTTACGATACCTTCTGCACATCAATTAACCATGCATCGCGCTTCGCACGTCGTGTCGCTAGGCAGTTGTGCCAGACCCTGCATGTCATAGGCGTCGCGTGCCAAACCTGCTCACCTCTTAGCTTTGAGGCTAGCGGGATGAATCCGTGAGAAAATCACGACTCGTGGGTTTTGTGGAAAGCCTTCATCTTTCGTCTAAGGTACCCTAATTGAGGAGACAATTCCGTCCCTGGTACAAAAGGCTCATCTCCGGTTCGCCAGTACAACTGCTATCTCACACGATCCTCGCACTCTAACTTGTTTTCATAAATTAGGGTGTCACTATCGCCAAGGCACCGTTCTTGAGCCGTCTCGAAATCCTGTGTCCTATGTGGGAAAATCTAGGTGAGAGCTGAGCTTAGGGGATCTAGGGAACCACCCGGCTGGCAGCCAGCCCAATCGACATAAACGACTCCACAATCTAGCCATCACCACGAAAACATCAGTTGACAGGGTGCACGACCCTCAAAATATCGTCAAAATAGGTCTAAAAGACCGGTTGACAAAGGCTTGACAAGCCGAGTTCCTTGCAAAGAACAAGATCTGGACAGCTATGACTCGTCGCTAATCTCCCCAGATCCGAACATGACGACTGCAAGGCTCAACGTCATTGCACTGGTCTCTGGCGGCAAGGATAGCTTCTTTTCCATCCTGCATTGTATGGCCAATGGGCACCGCATTGTAGCCCTTGCCAACTTGCACCCTTCTGAGCCAGGGACCGGCACCACGCTGGCAGCAGCCGCGGTCCCTGCATCCCGCCAGGGCGGTGCATCCGCGGATCATAGTAATGATCACCATGCTCCTGCTAGCGGGCAATCCAACGAAGATGACGAAGAGGTCGATCTAAATAGCTTCATGTACCAGACTGTCGGGCACCAGGTAATCCCACACTACGCCGCGGCCACCGGCTTGCCTCTGTTCCGCCAGCCTATTGTTGGTACTACGGTTCAATCTGGGATTAGCTACCAAGACCCACGTCACTCTTCTTTCACGTCTCCTACCGCCGCGACCAAGGCAGAGCATGCATCTGACTCGGTAGATGGGTCCCAATTTCGCGGTTCTCAAGCAACCGAGGACGAGACCGAGTCGCTAGTACCATTGCTACGAGCTGTCATCGAAGCTCACCCCGAGGCCAATGCTCTATGTACCGGCGCCATCCTTTCAACCTACCAGAGGACTCGTATCGAATCCGTAGCACTGCGCCTTGGTCTAGTGCCAATTGCGTACCTATGGCAATACCCTGCTCTCCCAATTCCAGATCGCCAGGGTCCAGCTTCAATTCTAGTCGATCCGCCAAGCATTGTGCCTGGTGTCTGCCAGATTGGCGGTGATGATGACGCCCAACTCCTTCGTGATATGTCGGCAATGGGATTGGATGCTCGTATCATCAAGGTGGCGAGTGCTGGCCTCGATGAGGGCTTCCTATGGGAAAACGTGGCTAGCGACAAGAGCATTGCCCGCATCAAGCAGGCGCTGAGACGATTCGGTGGGGGCGGCCGCGGATCTGTGCTCGGTGAGGGTGGTGAGTTTGAGACGCTTGTCATCGACGGCCCGTCTGCACTGTTCAAGGGTAGGATCGTGGTCGGAGACACTGACCGGAGGGTCGTGCATGAGGGCGGTGGCAGCACTTGGCTCAGCGTTCGTGATGCTCGTGTTGAAATGAAGTCGCCACCTCCGGAAGGCAGTGAGTCTCTTGATGTTCGCATACCTACACTGCTCGATGCGAGATTCCGGTGCGTCCATGATGATTTGCAAACAGCCAAGTTGCTAGAGTGTAAATCAACGAGAGATGCGGCTCCGCGCATAACAGCCGTTGGTCTTGTACAGTCGGTTTCTACTTGCCAATACGAGTTCATGGGTGAGGGTGAGGGATTGTCTGTTGAGCAGCAAACCACCAAATTGGTTGAGGATATTCGAAGACTTGGCGAGCCACGATCCATTGTCAATACTGTCATCATTCTGAGAAAAATGTCCGATTTTCCGATAATCAACAAAGTTTACGGCGATTTATTTGCAGCACCAAACCCACCATCTAGGGTAACAATCTCCTGTGGTACCCTCCTTCCTGAAGGTTCCCAGATAGGTATTTATGTTACTATCCAGCATGGGCTCACATTACCATTAAGGCAGGGACTCCATGTACAGTCGCGGTCATATTGGGCGCCAGCCAATATTGGACCGTACAGTCAAGCTATCGTGTTTCCTCAGAGCATCAGGACGAACGATGATGCAAGCACCGATAGTTCTTGTGTACCCAAATTGGTCACTATTGCTGGCCAGATACCTCTGCTACCGGCGTCCATGGAATTGCCTCAATTAGATGATTCGGCCCCCTTACAAATCACTCTAGCCCTGCAACATCTCTGGCGAGTTGGTATTGAGATGCAGACGCAATGGTGGACCAGCGCCGTGGCATATTTTCCGCGAACGCCCGACGAAGCAGATATGAAGCGTAAAGCTCTCCTCGCAGCATGTGCCTGGCAGTCAGCACATCTTTGGTCAGCTGACCCATCGGATGAAGACGACGAGAATGGTCCTGACCTCTGGGATCGAAAGTACAACCCTCAATATATGTCGTTGACCAGCTCTGACGACTCTGTCTCTGCGCCTACACTTCCTCTCTGGGACAGGCTCAATGGCTTTGATGAAGACGACAACCTTGTTGAGCCAGTCGATAGACCCCTGCCATATGTATATGCCGCCGAGGTGGAAGAATTACCCCGAGGAGCAGGTGTTGAATGGCATGCACATCGGGGTCTTGTGAACGTGAGTCCTGGGTCTATACATGTTGTGGACTTCCATTGTGACACGTCGGACGCCACGGCGAATATGGAGCTTCAGAACATTGTCGTCGACTCTACGGAAGAGACATATATCCATACCACCGCTGCTTTGTCACTACAAGAAACAAAAGGCCCACTCAATTTTGAGACCCAACAAGAAATCCTCACCAACGAGGTCAGGAGATTTCTGGGTCTTATCATGGAGAATAAATCTGGGGTGCAACTTGACCTGGTGCCGTACCTGACTTACGTCAATAAAAGCCATGCCTTTGGGTCTCCGAAGGGTTCAAAGGCAATTATTCCCTGCCACTCATTATGGAACTCGAAGGGTCAGCGCCTGGAGGCAGTGATGCACTACCAGGTGCACCTTACCAAAACACAATAGGAAAAGAACTTAGCCCAATATCTTCAGTATTATCCTTCCTGTTCATGGGAGTGTTACTAGTGTGTAAGCGTTTGCAGCTTTTGTGACTTTGCGTGGGCTGAGTTGGATTGTATCATGCAGACCAGCTGGTTTACTCAGACATATACCAGCAACGTGTTTGTAAAATTAGACGAAACGGAACGCCGGTCTAGACACAATTTCTTCTGGTCTATGGGAAATAACTACCTCAATAGTTGAGGGAAACAACCAAGCCACTTGATCACTTGATGTCCAGTTGGAAAGTTACTGAGAAGCCTTTCCATTCATTTGGAGACTTTAAGACTCTACATGCAGATGCCATCCAATGATGCCATGTATAGCTGACATGATGTGTATCGCGCGGTTTCCGCATCCCTCATCACAATCCACCCACGCCCACGCCTTGCCCCTCTTGCTTATTACTGCTCTGTCATTCCAGCCAAATCCTTCCACATGCCACAACGGCTTTTCAAATCATCCGCAAGGTTTTCCATGCTCACATTGCCCGTCTCTAACTTGAGCTGCTGTTGTCCGCTTCCTGACCTCCAAGTCGACCATTCCGGCGCTTTGACATACCTCAGCACGTTCGGATCCAGGGTCCGAACAAAGGATATCCAATAGTTCATCATGATGGGTACCATGCCAGCATCGGCACCGTAATAACTTGCTGGGCCGCTCCAGATGCCGCCGATGCTATCTGGTCCGAAAACAGCGAACGTCTCCCAGGTGTGCGGGACGCCGAGCCCTTCCCCGACGTTCTCGGCGGACAGGACGTTGTATCGGTAGGCCCACGTTTGCAAATTCGCGTTGGGTCGGGCCTGGAAGGAGTCGAGGATGTGGATATTGGGGCATATGAAGGTCACCTCGCCATAGGCCCTGTAGGCCAAAGGAAACCAGGCGCCATGCTTCGGGACGGGGTCTTCCGGCGGATATGCCATGAGTATCTCGCGCGTGGTCTCGTTGTCGAGGTGCGGGTAGTTGTTCTGTATGAAGGCAGCGACCTCTTGGTGTGTCGACGCGTCGAGACCGAAATACGAACCCTCTGTAAGTTTATGAGTTTTCCCATTTTGAGCTCCAAAAGACAGAGTGTCTGAACGCGGACTCACCATCGTTATCAGTGCCAAATATGACCGGAACGTCAAGGAAATCTCCGTTTTCAAACATTGCATATAAGCGATCCCTACTGAGATCTCCATCGATGCATGGAGACCAGTAAAAGAGAGGCGGTGTTCCAAATCTGCCTGGAAATGGCGTTGCAACGTTGGCGGCTTGTAAGACGGCTAAACTCGTCTCGCGAAGACATGACATAGCATCACTAGCATTACTGCATCCGGTTTCGCTCAGGAGATAGTCGAACTGCCACTCAAGCTCCGCCACACGTGGATGGGTTGGGAAGAAGACAGACTCTGATATGGCTGCATGAAACAATTTCTCGTCTTTGCCGCCAAATGCTGTCAGATGGTGAGCAACTGATCCTGCCCCTGCTGAGACACCTTGGAGAACGACGCGATCTGGGTCGCCACCAAACTACGCGAACCAAAATTAGCATGTATTTCCACTAGGAAGAGCATGCTCATCACTTGACGAACATCAGTCGCACCGGCGCGTAGAGTGCACGGAATGTATTGCTCAGCCCTTATCCCGCCTCCTGCTGCACATTCTCCTCAGAAGGCCCGCTTCCGTAGCCACTTGCCCCGAAGAGTACCGTCGTTTACATTCAGAAAACACATGAGGGCCAAAAGTCTGGGGATGCATGAGCTCGTACTTACCTGTACAATATGTTTCTGCACCCAGCGCATCATGAAACGCTGATCCAGTAGTCCAACATTCAAGTCGCCATCAGCTCTCACCTGCTCGCTGGCGAGAAACCCGTAAAGACCGACCCGATAGTTGAAATTGACGAAAATGACATTACGTTTCGAAACCTCCACAACGTAAGAGCCATTCCAAATAGGACCGTTGACAATATACCCTAATATGACACAAGTTGAGTATGATGTCAACAGTTTCAAAGCCTGAGGGGGTTGGGAAACTGCTTACCTCCACCTTGTATCATCAGCCAGACTGGCAACTTGGAATCCACGGTCGCGTTCGCGGGTGCCCAGATGTTAGCGAACAGACAATCTTCGTCTTGAAAAGCGATCGGCAGTCCGACTCCCGTGCCAAGGCAGAATTGGCCCAGCTGCATGGTTCACGCGAATTCAATTAGTCAAAGCACTCAAGATTGGGGTGTTGTTTGGGTCAAAAATCACATTGTCGGCTGCTTGATCACCTGCGACTTGGCCTGGTTCGACGGGAGCTCTCCATCGCAGGTTTCCCGTTGGACTTTTCGCATAACGCAAGCCCAGATATTGCGCGACACCGTTCTCGAGGACGGTGCCCTGATATTGGGCGTAACCAAGATTGACTCGTGCAGCGCTCTGGTTCGAGGGTGTCTGCCGGGGCACTATTGCGTCAGTACTAGGGTCACTTGAACGATAGGAGGCGTTGACCTTGTCTCGATATCTCCGTGAAATGCCCTTGAATGGACCTAACAATCTTGGATGAGCCGGAAACGGCAACCATCGGATAAGCAGGCATGCACTGGGGCCAGAGCGTGATGATCGAATCGAGACCAGACTGGTGGAAGGAACGAGCCAGAAACATACATCAACTTGAACCTGTGTCGGAGCCTTCCCCTTCTGCCCGTTTCGGACATATACCAGTACAACAGCCAGAACTATTCCAACAAGTCCCAAAGCCAGAAGCGCGGTGTATAGATGCCACAGCCGAATCTTCTTGTGGACCCGTGCCAATGCCGCACCTATACTCTGATTTACAGAACCCAGCATGGTCACCGGTGTAGATTTAGAAGCCACGTCGGGCGGTGAGTGAATTGTCCCGCCATCATGGGTCGGAGAAAGAAGGCCGAGTTTCTCTGCGGCACATACAAGGTAAGTGATATTGAAAGCCCGGGTGCCTGGTGTAGGATCTCTTACCCTCTAGATCAATTTCCATGTGTCGTGATAGATGCATTCTTCCATAGTAAAGGTCTGGCTCTCTTGTCAGGTAAGATCTTGATTCGTGGGGGAGTCCTCGCGTGTTTGCGCAGAAAGAAGTCGAGCGGACCACGCAAGGGGAAAGGACCTCCAAGATGTGCTGAACATGAACGTTAAACAGATCACTGCTTAAAGTATATATGAAACGTGCAATCTAGTCATGCCAAATGTCTTACTGTCTTACTTTAGTTCCGAGATCTTGTTTTAGAGGAGGGTGCTACCCGTGGCTCATATTTGTACTTCGGGTGAAACACTTGATCGGCAGGACTGGCTACGTCAGCGCCGCCCGCCGTATCCTACTTGGAATCACAAATCTTTGTGCAATTGAAGCCTTGATGTTGTTTCATTTAGCCGTGAGACCCTGCCACACAATTGGGATGGCCACGAGCACTTTGCGTCTATTCAAATGTTTGCATAGGCACTCGTATTGATTTGTATGAACGAAACAAACGACGTCATGAATCGAGAAAACCATTATCATATAAACGTAGTTCCTGTTGGGCAGCTATACTTCGATAAAGCATCCAAGTCCAACTGACTCTAGATGTTTTCGCCTCTGCTCACTATTATAAGGCGTGGCAGAACGTCAAAAACGCCGGCTTCTTCCTGGGAGATACATATTACAAAGATCCATGCCAAAGCAAACACATAATGCAAAACCATAAGACTCCTAATCCATTCCAAATAACTCCCCCCCAAAAAGACCTGAAACGCCGGGAAAAACTTTCATGTGCTGTCGAACTCTGCATCCAGGTCGGACCGGGACACAGGGTTACGTGACGGACTCCTTTACCACTTGACTGATGAGTGCAAGCAGGCAGATGCACCCCCAACCACATTGAAACCTAGAAACGCCATACCTCATGCATGCATACATGAACGGATCGTGATAGTCGTCATCGTGAAGCCATGTTACCAGAATAAATGCGCGCAATGATGACCGAGACGATATTAGCCAAAGACGACAATAACGAAACGGAACAATCACTTTGTCACAGCTGACGGCAAGGGTTTAGACACCTATATCGCAGACACCTTACGTGCTGTGTTGCTGGGAGTGGCACTGACACTGCCGACACGACCGCTTGTCTTGCGTACTCCGCTCTGAGATGCACCAGGCGACCTATCAGTTGAACGTTTGCCACTTCGCACCTTTGTCAGTACGCCCGAGGCACTAGCTGAGCGCGCTGGAGACGAGGCGACCTTCTCAACGTTCTTTGGACGGCCAGCACCGATGTTCTCTGCGTCATTGGAAGCATCATTGTCGATGACCTCGTAGACGGTGGTCGTGGTTGTGGTATGGCTGATGGACCTAGACTTGTCGCTTCGTCCTGGCGACTGAGAGGCCTTTCGGTGAGTGCGCGTGCGAAGATGGATCTCCTCCTCCGACTCTGAACCATTGGATTGTCTGTGAATGGAAATGACCTCTGTTTCACGGTCTACGCCTTCCTCCTCCTCAACAGTGCTGTTGATGGCGTTGCGCTCATAAGGATGGTGGCGACCTACGCGACTGGTCTTTCGTGGTTGGCCAGGAGTGGGAGCCGGAAGGTAGTCTTCTTGGACGCCGATGTTGTTCCGTTCTTGGTCCACCTCGCCCAAAGGTGTACGGTTCGATGGTGATCTGTGAGGGGTCGTGTTGGTCCGGCCCAAGTTTGTCTTTTGCATGGCTCGGATAGGGGTGCTAGGTGTGGGGTTGGCAGCCATCTCCTTCCTGAGCTTGCGCTCAATCCTCTCCTCAACCCACCACTCTCGGAAGGTGCCCTGGTTAAGGTGCAGCCAGTGCTGTTGGGGCCCGACGACCATGCCGGGTCTCATGAAACGCATGAAGCTGATGATCTCATCGGCAGTGAATCCATGGCGGTAAATCAGGTAAGCTCCAATGAGGCAGCCAGTTCGACCCAGGCCAGCCTTGCAGTGGACTGCGATGGACTGTTTCTTGACCGTGATGGTTTCGTGGGCAAGCCTGATAAACTTGCGAACGGTGCTCAACGGAGGACACGTGCCGTCCTCAAAGATCATATCAAGGTGCTTGATTCCCAGTGCCTCAAAGTACGAGGGCGAGTAAAGGGGAGAGTTCAGACGAACGACCAGACCAATGTTGCGGTCCTTGAAGTGTTTCAGCACGTTCTTGAATGGCTGGGGCAAGGTAGGGTGTGCATCAACAGCGGCCAAGTCTTGGGGAACCATGGCCCAGGCATCGCTGTTGGGGTCGACCTTGGCAACTGGGCTGTGTTGCGGTGAAGCAAAAGCCAAAAAGTGAGGCGTGACCCAGTTGAAATCACCATGCTCGACCCTCTCGTATTTCTCGTATTCGTCCAAGTCAAAGTTGTCGAGAGCGCAGCATCCCTCCTCTTTGGCCTTCCACACACCGTATACGACATCCTGGACGGTGATGCCATAATCTGCTTGACTGTAGCCGGCGTCGCGGAAGGGCATCAACGGAGGGTCGACCTGGGCAACGGGGGCCAATGCCAGATGAGGGGGCCACGACTGGATCAAGACCATGTAACATGCGAGGAGGCAGGCGGCATTGGCGCGAGATCTTGGGTCTGGGCGACTCCAAAAGACAATAGGTCTGTGCTGGTTCTCCTTGGCACCGAGGACATCATGAAACTGGAGGGCGAATCGATACAGGTGTCCAATGTGGAAAGGGCCAAAGTCGTGGTGGAAGGCGTTGTAAAAGAGCTGGTCATCGACTGTGAAGTAGCAGGGTGGCTGGCGAGAGTCCTTGCTCGGCATCGGCGAGGGTGCGTCAACGGCTCTGGTGGATCTCTTGTTGGGCGATCGGAGAGGTGCCTCAGGGTAGGGGAAGTAGGTCTCGGCGGAGGGAGCTTGCGCGTATGATGCGAGGTATAATCGATCTTGGTATCGAGTCAGCGTTACTGGGCAACTGATGAGGTTGATGGACAAGGAAATCGTTAGGCTGCAAGAGCACCAGCACCAGCACCAGCACAAGTACGGGCACAGGCACGGTGGATGTCCGAGCCAAGCATTTAAATGTATGCGATTGATCTTGATGAAACCAAGGAGAAGAGAGGCCGGGCAACACAAGGGACCAAGACAGGCGGTGTAAACATACCGGGAATATACTCGACCATCTGCCCCATGTTGTGATTTTTCGACGAAGGCGCCATGGGTTCTGTTGTGGTGCCACGGGCAGGTAGAACACTGGGGTTTTTGTAGGTGTTGGAACTCCAATGCGAATACAAACCCGAGTGCAGATGTAGATGCGAATGCGGGATGCGAATGTGAATGCACTATAAGTGGTTGCCCGAAAGAAGTATAAACAGACTTCCAAGAAAGAAAGAAAGAAAGAAGGCTGCAGCGGGCTTGTTGACCCTATGTATGTGCAAAGTCAAAAGTCTATGTCTTGTATCGTTTCGTATCGTGTCGGATCGAATACAACCTGCCAAAAGAGACGGTGACGACACTCGATGCGCGGGAGACGGACGACGGGCAGAAATTGTGGGCTCAAGCGCTGCAAAACAAACAGACGGTTGTGTTGTGCCGACTTTGTCAAGGTCAGAGGGACAGCTGGGACCGAGAGAAAGTGTTTGCCTTGCCTTGCTTTGCTGTGCTGTGCTTTGCTTTGCTGTGCGTTCCGAGGCAGAGATACGGGGTTGGAAAGAAGGTATCGTGTGTGCATTTACTAAAGGAGACTGGGCACGTTTTTATTCAAGCCAGTTCCTAGGTTCGAGACTGCTTTGCTCTGCTGTGTTGTTTTTCGCTAGACCCCGGTCCGATACAAAAGCCCCTGTTCAAGCGTTGGTAAATGGTGGTTGTCATGGGCAACCGTCAGTTACCTAGGCCTCACCCTTGTCCCCGCCCCTGGCCTTCTTTCTGCTGGCTTCTGCTGGGCCTTGTCCGCTGTGCCCTTCCACAGTGACACTTGCCAATTGAACCTTACCGCGTAGCAACCCAGCGCACTGGAAGAAAACCCGCCCGGGCGAAAACCCACAACCCCAAACCCAAACAAAGAAAAAGCCACAACACGAGCGCTCCCCGGGAACTCGAGCTGCAAACTCATCAGTCATTTGCAGGAAGGCCAGGTACCTACTGACTAAAGTTTACCCCGCACACCCGACCAGGTGTCATGCAGTCCAAACTGTCTGGGCATGGGCATAGCCATGGGCAGGCTTGTGTCCACCCGCTGTAAAAACAAGCACCCAGCTGCTCTGTTCACTGCTCACTGTTCAATCAGTCCCACGGCCACGTCTCCCGCCAACTAACCTAACCTAGTTATGTACCTTTCTTGCCCTTGGAACGCCCGCTCCGTCCCGCCATTAGACTTGGAAGAAACTTGAAGCTCAAACCCCCTCACCACCCCCAAGCAATAGTTTATATATCTTGAAGAAGGAGGAAAAGAAAAAAAAGCAATCAAAATCCCCATCGCCCTCTCGTCGCAACTGGCAACCGGGTGAGAAGCGGTCCGATAAAAGAGACCTTCCAAAACCACCTTCAACAACAACCATGTCCTCCACCACAACGGACTCGGAAGAGTTCCCATGTAGCCTGTGAGTTGCATCCAAGCCCGCTTGCTGAACAGCAGGGTACCCCACGGTTGCTAACAGTAACATGTTATGATAGAACAATCGACATCCCCTTCCCAACCAACCGTCTAGCTTCTATCGCCTTGAGATCATTGCAAGTCGATAAAGAGCTGTCACCACTAGTACGTCGCCAGTTTGCTCTCACGCATCCTACCATTCATACCAGCGACAACCTCCAGAACAGCCTTCTCAAAGTAAACTACTCCGCCACAACAAACCGCATGCTTCGCGTCGCTGTAAACGGTTTCATGGAGAGCTTAACCCTTGTTATCGAGGTCATGGAAACCTTAGATACCGATGTTCTGTCAATCGAAAATTAGACGTCAATCAAGTACATTCCACAGTACAAGAAGGGGGGGGGGGGGCTACATATTACAGATACCCAGATCTGCGAGCAGGATGCGCTCCACACATGACGTCGCGTTGTTCTGGGCCTGTCGTTACCAGCATTTGGAATGCGCCCAAAATAGTGAGTACCATCTTGAGACTTGTTACGACTTATGGTGAAGGACGTTGCTCACACATGGCATAGTATATGCCTTGTCTCACAGATGTCACAAAATCATGAGATGCCCGGAAAAAAAAATTTGGTTGGTTGATGGCCCGAAGGCGCAATTTATATTGTTTTTGTGATTTATACTATCGGGAAACCATATCATAGCTTGCGTCTTCGATGCTCGCATATTAAAAACTATCCCTTGACAAAGCCCTCACCAATTCAAACCAAAACGCCAAACAACCCAAAGTCAAGTCATGGTATCCACCATGTTCCTACTACTGAATATCAACCTTGTGGATCTCGGTCCACTCCTTTTCCGCCTTGGGAACGGTGACAATGAGAATTCCATTCTCCATCTTGGCAGTAATGCCGAACCCATCAACCTCCTCCTTCTCGTTGCTGTCTGCAGGTGGTAGCTTGATGCTGCGCTCGAACATGCCGACTTTGCGTTCACTGGAGGTGAGCGACTGCAAGAACTGCTCGTCACCAGGGCGGTAGATAACACCAGCAACGTTCAGTTGGCTCTTATCGGCATCCCAGTTGACGCCAACATCCTCCTTAACAGCACCAGGGAGTGAGATGTGAAGGACATAAGCCTTCTCGGTGCTGAAAATGTCGACGGGAGGGACGAAGGTTTCGTCCTGGTCGCCGGAGCGCTCAGCTGATCCGTCCTCTCGAGAGGTAGTACGGTCGAAATACTCCCGTAATGCTTGAGCTGCTGGGTGACCAGAAAGCGCTTGCATCAAAGGACGGAGGTCAAAAGAACCATTAAAACCGGGGAAGGGCGGGGGAGGGCCCGGGGGGCCATGTCTTCCACGAGGGCCTCCGCGACCGCGACAGCCGCCTCGCCCGAACGGACCTGGACCGCCGTGTCCGGGTCCATGCCGAGCATGGCGTCCGTGGTGACGTGGGCCAGAATGAGGTGGAGGGGGCGGGTGAGGATGATCTCCCATGTGGGAGCCTCCGGGTGGTGGGTGAGGAGGCCCGCGAGGGGCGTCGTCTCTCAGAGTATCGGGAGAATCCTCCATGTCAAAGTCGTGGCCTTCCGAATCCCCGCTCTCCTCGTCCGATCCGGGAGTGCCTGGTCGGTGGTGATGCTGGCCGTGTCTTCCACCGTGTCTGCCGTGGCGGCCACCCCTAGGGCTGAAGAAGTTCCCAGGAGGTCCCCATGGTCCTTCCCAGCCACCTCCTCCAGCCCAAGGATTGAAACCTCCGGGGCCGCCAAAGGGAAAGCCAAACCCAGGGCCGGGGGAGGGGCCTGATGCAGCGTGGTCAACACCCGCTCCTGTGCCTTGTTGGCCATTGGCGTCGAATGACTGAACAAAATCCCAGAAGGGATGTTGTCCGTGGGTGTTGTTGTGGTTGTTGTTGTTATTGTTTGCCATTGTGTAATGTATGGATATCGTAGTGATGAAGTGTAAATGGTGGAGAGTGCAGGATAAGAATGGAGGAATATGGAAGGGGAGTCTGAATCTTATACTTGTTCAAACCTACTGCAACTACTAGTGTTCAGGCAACTCGCCATGCGTATACTGACAGGGCCCATGACAATGGCAAATGTTGGACGCAATCAACTAGACTAGCTAGCATTCACAACGGAGACATAATGGTCATCCATGCCTACGCAATGCTCCTCGAACATATCCGAAAGCCTTGGAACATGGCTCCAGCCTATGAAACTTGAACTCGAGCATCACCAGAGAGGGTTACGCGGCCTCCAGGCACCCACCTCGGGACGACAAATTCTTATCATTGGTCGCTAAGCTTCTGGCAGCTCAAATAGTGTTGTGGCTTTGCATGCCTGAACTAACAAAGTGTGGCGAAACCCTCCGAGGTTCGAATCCTCGGAGTTCGAATCACTCGCCTCGGTTCCGAGGGCTAAAATCGAAGGTCGACATCTGTGACTCAGAAGAGGTGAGTCGCAAATATCATCAAACTCACTAATTGAAGCTGTCAGTTCTAATAGGAAAGGATGAAGAATCATTCACGTTGCGAATCATTGTTGCCTTGATTATTGATGGCTTGCGTGGAGACGCCGCGTTGCGAGTTCGCCCCCCGTAAGTGCATACTCCGTACGGTGCATCAGGTAACCTTCTGCAGTGCGGGGGACACTTTCGCAACATTGTGTACAGTATCACTTTTTGTCTCTCGGGTATGTAGTCGCATTCTGAAGACCGAGTCGCGCATTCATCTCAGAGCTTTGTGATGTGCAGCGTCAATGAAAACATGGAGCAAGTAGCTCTCCCAAGCCTTCTTCTCAGAAATTCCGTTTCGTCATGGTAATGATGTCATCAAGTCATACAGCACAAGAAATTCGGTGTACGAGGTCCAAGGTATGGATGTTGCGCTGGATCCGGGCCAAGAGTTGATCGCTAGTTGCGACCGGCACTGATGCTGTTCGGGCCGCCCAACTAATGATGAAGATGCTATTAATATCTCCATTGCCGGGCACCGTCAGATATCGTCAGTTCGCTGATGGAACGGAAGCACCAAGCCGGCATAAAGCATTAGGAGCCAGAACTATTTAGTCACTGAATATGCGTACCTGGGACCTTTGCACTTGCGTGTTTTCTTTATCACGATCAGTCTGCCTGTCACCTCAATTCGGGGTAGTGTCCCTGGGGTGCACGGTCGAGTGACGACGATATACCAACATGCCATGCTTCGGCGGTGACAACGTCAAATTGACATGCTCGACGACTCGACTGTTTCTCTTGCCCAATATCTAACCATAACCAAATCCAGAGATGGATCCGAGATGGCTCCATACAACAACCGCCGTACCCGTCGCTTGAACGGCGTCTTCACAAAACAATACTCGGTAACCTCCAAGGTCTCCGCGACAGCACCGAGGTTAGTTGCTCGTGCTTGTCCACGGTCCATGTTGTTGGCGCCTCAAGATTAAAGCATCACAATGTGCAGACACTTTCCACAAGCCCAACCAAGTCGTAGCATGGGATCAGACAGCAATTTTTTCTTGGGAGACGCTTCCAATGAGCCGGCTTCCGTTTCCAACATTTGTTGCGCTTGCATTGGGCGCTTGCAGCTGGGATTTGTCCCCTTTCTTTCCCATACTCTTAAGCGCCCAGTTGAGTAGGCCAATCATGTTGGAGATGAGCTATGCCGCCAAGCTCTAGGACCAATCGAAACAGCTTCTGGCCAGCGCCAATGGGAGACCCGTTGTGGTTGTCCCGCTCAAGGTAAAGTAAGTAAGTTCCTTGGGTCCCTGTCTTGTCCCGCTGACAGGGCACCACGCGGGAAGGAGTGGGTTGACCATCAGGCCGCATACTCGATAACCACCAAGCTTTGCCCATTCTCAAATCTGTTTTCGAGTTCATATTTCTGTGTTTCCGCGTCGTGCTCCTGCTGTACTGCTCTCCAAGGCCGCTGTTAGTGACGCAGGCCTCTACATCGGAAGTCTGAGAATACGCTTTTCTGTACCGCGACTTTGGCCGCTATCTTCATTATCAACCCCGCCTTGTAGAGCATCCCCAACCTTTGTCGCGACCACGTCCGCAGGTACTGCTTGCGCCCACCTCCTATAAATAACTTCGCCCCGTGCGTCATCCTGCGCAGGCGCATCCAGAGCTTTGGCGGGTGCGCTGACTTCGTGTTTCGCGTACCTGCAGACCTGAAGCAAGATGGCTCGTCATGGCAGGCCCGACGAGGAGATGTTCCTCAACAAGCCCGCCGAGGACTGCGACAGCCCTACCATTGAGCCTCTGAGGATCTTCAAACCACAAAGCCCAAGTCCTGCCACCCAGCAGTATCACCAGAAGCAGCAGCAGCAGCAGCGCTTCAATTACCCCATACCCTCGATCATGAAACCAACTTTCCCGTTGCCCCCCGGCGCCTCCAGCTCCGCTGCCCCTCTACCATACCCAGAGGACGAGGACCTCCGCCCAAGCAAACCGACCATTTCGACTCGGCCCCCTTATGCAGATGCTGGTCGCCGGCCGTCGGGCAACAATACATATAATAGTCCAACCAGCTCTGTGGGGTCTGGTAGTCTGAATGATACCACACCGAGGTTGGATAAAAGTCCCATCGAGAAGAAGGGGCCAGGCTTGGCTGAACGACGCGGCACCGCCCCGAGGCCTCTCCCAGGAGCGCTGAGCCCTACGAGTCTCTCAGGTGATGATGACGACGAGCTGTTCGCTCGGCCGCTTGGGGTTCAGCACAAACCGGCGACGGCTTCATCAGGCGTGACCAACTTCCCCGACTACCACAACAAGCCATACTACCCCCCTCCGAGGGTTAACACGGCCAGTCCAGGCTCCAACGCGAGTCAGTATAGCAGACCGCAACCACCACGTGTCAATACTGCAAGTCCCGGCTCAAGCGCAAACCAATATGCTAGACCGCAACCACCACGTGTCAATACTGCAAGTCCCGGCTCAAGCGCAAACCAATATGCTAGACCACAGCCGGCGGACAATGATCTTTTGAAGATGCCGAGCGGTGTTAATCGGTTCGCTTCAACGGCTTCGACGTCGACTACCAAGGCCAGCCGGGGATCACCTCCTCCTCCGGAAACGCCTATCGTTGAGCCGGGCCAGATCCCAGGTGGGGATATTGAAGCAAGATATGCCGCCGCAGGTATCTCGGGCACTGCTACTCTGAACAGCCTTCAAAGTTCTGCTGCCGCACAAAGATTGGCGCAGTACAGCCAACAACGTCCAGCAGCACAATCTCAACAGTCCTCAGGACCTGCGCGCCCCTGGACACCTACCGAATCTCCTGAACAGCAAATGCATGGTCCGCCTACTGTATACCAAGGTGCCGAAGCCGTTGCCAGTTCTCCACAACCGAGTGCTAACAATAACTCCAACACCAACAACCAAAATCGACCTTCGACTTCCTCCAGCGGCGGGGGTTTACAAGAAAGTGTGCTGGAACAAGACTTTCGGCGGATGCAGATGTCCGACCCGCCGCCCGCGTACTCCAGTATCGGATCCGGCGGTAATTCCGCATATCCTGCCGAAAAACAGCGACCTGGAGCTGCCCAGACTAGTTCCGCGAGTTCAACTCCGGCTCAAGCATCACAATCGGTGTCCTTACCACCCAAGAAGCAAGCAGATCCAGTTGCGGCGGGATTGGCGTCTCCAGCTCTGCAACACCCTGGACATCCAGCCTTTGCTAATGACCCGAGACCTGAAAGTGTTGCTACTGCATCTTCTTCGAAACCCACACAGACACCCTCACCCTTCCAAGGACAAGGTCAAGGACAAGGACCTAGCTCGCCACCCCCCTTACCTGAGGGGTGGATTGCTCATCTTGACCAAAACTCGGGACAATATTACTACATCCACTTAGCCACACAAGCTACTCAGTGGGAGTTTCCGAAAGGGCCTAACCCAATCCATCATGAAGCTGCGCCGTTGTCTCCCACGGCTTCCACGTATGGCAACCCTCTAGCATCACCGATGTTTGGCGGCAAGCAATCCTCGATGGCTTCGCCTATGTTCCCTCCGCAGACGCCTGGATACGCGGAGAGTATCATGAGTGTAGCAGCTTCGGCTGCCCCTACTGCTGGCTTCACAGGGCCTCCGCCAAGTGCTGGCGTTGATATGTACAAAGTCCAACCTACGAACGGCGTTTACTTTGGCCCATACCTAAGATATGTGAACATGGACATTGAGAGAGGCATGTGGTTAGGAAGCATAATGATAGTCACAGATTCGCCTCAACCGCCGACGATACATATTCATAAAAGTGTCGATCTGTCTCCTAATCCCAGGCAGCTGGTTCCTCACTCCATCTACACACATCAAAGATGGCAATTTTACAAGTACGATCTAGATCTTGAGATGGGCGATGCAGGTACAGACAGGTGGACTTATGCTGTAACTTCTCACATGGGATGCACAAGATATGAATTTGTGGTTGCTGGGCGGCATGAGACCAATTGGCGATTCATTGCACATTCTGGCAACGACTTTGCAGCCAGCACGTCGCAGAATGAGAGGAGCAAGTTAGGTGGCGTTGGTTTCATGTGGAAGGATGTGCTGCAGAAGAACGTGGACTGTGGTGGGTACCATACCCAACTTGGTCTCGGCAACCAAGTGTATGGCGACAGATTGTGGAAAGAAGTCCCACTTTTGAAGCAATGGCTAGCTATGCAGGGCAAAGAGGCCCGAAGGACTGCCTCTTGGACCGCGAGACACGAGGAAGACGTTACGCATGCATACTTCCATTTCTACACGAGCCACTTCGACCAACCGTTTCTGAGGGAGGCATGGGCACAAATCCCCCATGTTTGTCAGATTGATGATCACGATATGTGAGCCTCTTCTTCGATATATCATATAAACTCATGCTGACAGTTTTTTTCCCTTTTCTTTTTCTAGCTTCGATGGTTATGGCTCTTATCCTGAATATATGCAGACTTCAAACATGTTCAAAAATATCGGACGGGTAGCCACAGATATATACCTTCTCTTCCAACACCACACCACACTGGAGGTGTTGAGAAACGTCAACCATGACCTAGACCTCTTTACCATTACAGGCCAGGGTTGGCACTTTGTCAAATACCTTGGTCCCGCCGTGGTTGTGGTGGGGGCCGATTTGCGGTCGGAACGGACGCAGACTCGTGTGCTGGCTGGCGCAACATATCAGGGCCTGTTCCCAAAAGTTGCATTACTCCCACCAAGCGTACAACACTGCATTTGGATGATGTCTGTGCCGATCATATATCCTAGGCTTGATACTGTCGAAAGTCTAGCAAATACACTTGCTACCGGCAAGAGGGCGGTAAACACAACTTACAATGTGCTTGGCAAAGTGACTAGCTCCGTGGCTGGCATCGTTGGGGGGAAAGAGGTCGTGGCTCAAGGATTCAACCAAGTTAAGAAGGCTGTCGGAAAATCTGGCCTGATGGGGAACGTAGTCAATCAGTTCGGTGATCTTGACATAAGCGAGATTCTGAAGGATATGTGGACCCATGAATCAAAGGACCTCGAGCGCACATATCTTATTCGTACACTTCAAGGCATCGCCCACCAGAAGGGTGTCCGGATGACTTTCCTATCTGGAGGTAAGACACCCGATCTACATTTTGCCACCGCTGTAAGCTAACAAACCGTGCAGATGTCAACTGCGGCGGCGCTGGTCTCGTCCACGATCCTGCTCACCCCAGCGACCACAAGACTATGTACCAACTCATAACTTCACCTATTGTGGCAGCACCGGCATCTGGCTACATCCTCAAAATGCTACACAGCAATAGATCTTACTACGTGCCCGCCAACGGCCAAAAATCCAATCATGAGGTTTCCGACACCAAGGAGGACATGATGGAGATTTTCCACACAGATGCCTCGGGCTCGCCACGTGAACTAAAGAAGCTCATGGGAAGAAGAAATTACGTGTCGTTCATGGCATATGATCCAGAAGCCATCCCGGGCACGCAATATAGTGCTTCCGTGGCAAATGGCCACAGTCAGGGTCTCAGCAAGCTGAGCTTGGCGGTCGACTATGTCGTTCAGGGCGACGGAGCATTCACCACACCGACCAAGTATGGGCCGGTCATTGTGCCGCACCTGGAATTTGGAAGATAATCCAACCGGAATTTTGGGTGATTTATGAAGTAACGAAGCGAGCGAGCGAGCAATTGTAGTCTGTGGATATGCAGGCGCGCAAGAGCGTGGCCCTTGACCGTCTTTGTTGATATCGAAGAAGGCGATGACGTTTCGAATTTACGAGTGAATGCAAGCAAGTTATTACAATTTCTGACGATACACCGCAGTTCTCATATTAGAGGTTCTTGATGAGGACACTGAAGTCTAGTAAATGGGAATAATATAATTATTGTGTGGATTTATGCATCCCCCCCATTTTCCACGTTTATGCCTTACCACCAGCACACGATTGATAGTGGCAAGTCCCAACAACAATACGGACTATTACAGGTTGAAATATAAGGTAATGTGACATAATTTCTCCAGTACTGTTAATCAAAGTCACTTTATGCGGCATATATGTAAGCAAGTGTAAGAGCACAATTTGCGTCTATTGCTCAATTTGTCATGCTTCTACTGTGGGAACAGAACGGCTGATAGAGAAACGGTTAAGGAATAGCCGCCCACCCTTTTCTCTTCGTATTGTCTTCAAAATCAAAAGAAAATAAAGAAAAATTTAAGAAGTTACGAGATCAAGATTTTTAAAAAAATAAAAAAAAATAAAAAAAAAACACAGGGCAAGCTAATCATATTTTCCGACCTCCTAATGTCTCAGCGGACTCGTTTGGTCCAAGACGTGTCCAGCAGTATTAGCCTGCTTGCCGTCAGCCAACTCGCGTGCCCCTTCGTCGCCCTCTAGCGATTCCGTCGGCAGTCCGGCCTTACCACGAGCCACAGAATCGTTGGCTCCCTCGGCACAGCACCCCAACTTGCAGCCGTTCTTCATCATCATCATCTTCTTCTTCTGCTTCTTCTTCTCCTCCTCCTCCTCCTCCTCCTCCTGGGTGGCGGTCCGCTGTGATCCCGGCTCATCAACCACGTCGCCAGCGACCTCGGCGGGGCTCTTCTCGGGGTGCGCCCGGCGCTCTTCGAGACCCTTGAAAACGGCGGCCCTGAGGCCCATGGCCAGCTGGTCTTGGGATGCGGCGAGGAGGGAGGAGCCACCCGCGGGCGTGTTGGCCGGGGTTTTAGCCTTCTTGTCGTCCCCGGGTGTGTTCGTAGTGCTGGGCTGCTGCTGGCTGGAGGTGGCAGAGGTCGCCTCCTCGTTGGGGGCTTCCTTATCGCTGCTGGGCTTGAAGAGAGGCATTGTTGTGAATTCTCATTTAGACTTTATTTGTCGAGAATTCCTTGGCGCTTTGGGTTTTCTTTTTCTTTCACGGCCTGATGTTCGAATGGATAGCTTCAAGGGCTGTATAGCTGGGAGAAGCCGGCCCCTTTATAGCTTTAAGCTGGAAGCACGGCGTGGTTCTGCTGTGGTAGAAAGCAGGCGGATAAGGAAGATGCCCCGTGGCCAGATCATTTCACGCATTGCCGTGGCCGCAATCACCGTTGGTAGTACAGTGACACGGTAGACCTATGTTCATGGGCACGCGATGCCGTTGTCGTTGCCTCGTGAATTTGGGGACTCTGACATCATTGAATCACAGCTTTATCTCGGCAAGCCAGGTGTGCCCAGCGATAAGCTCCAAGTGTAGCCCTGAATAAATGTTACGCGTCTGTCTCAGTTTCACAGTTCGGGGCCTATGTATTCCGTATGACAAAGGAGATATTGCCCGGCAGTGGTGCGGATCAGGAACAATGTCGCATTATTGTACGACGCCAGGCCCCGATATTTGCTGTGTAATCGTTCTCATATTCTAGGGTATCATGTATATATATACAATTTTCAACGGTATAGAACACCAGCGAACTGCTTGCGACGCAAAATACAGATCGCTCATGACACTTCGTACCATGGTCCTGTAAGCTCTATGACAAGATTCACAATGGTACCAACAGCCCAAAGCGCGATCAAGCCCCATCCAATTCTCCTCGTCATTACCCATTTGCTCATCGGCACGACTGCCAGGAGCACAAACAGAGTAATTAGTAGTACAACGGCTGAAACCAGAAGAGTATCACCAACTTGGATGTGATATGTTTTGTACTGAAATGGCTTGTCCGGATGTTTGGCGTGTCTCTTGTTTGCCGCACGGACTATCTGAAAGGCGCCACCGAGGCCAATACCCAACAGAATGTTCAGCATAGGACCACCGAAACATGCAGCCCTACATATGATTAGTTCAAGTACGCTTCGATCTTCAGGATAGACAACTTACAAAGCCATTACTGGGTATCCCAGTCGGGCAACGGTAATGTCGGCGACGAGATCGCCGATAGAATTACCCACAGCAAAGATGGTTAAACCCAGTATTGCCTCAGATATATTGAAGATAACGCCAAGAGCTTTCAGTACACCAACAACTTCGCCCGCGATGGTGGATATCCAGGCAATCGCTATGATAAATCCAAGAAAGCAAAACAAGAAATGGAATTTGGGACGTCGTTCTGGCGATGTGGTTGCAAGAAGAACGGCAAGTATGACGAGTGAGAAGACGAGAGCAATCAAAAGCATGCGCACAAGCACTTTGACGGGGTGGTCGAGATCTTCGGCCATATTTGCCCAAACAACGGAGACGGCAAACATCGGCCCCGTGAAAACCTGGAGGAGGAGAAGCCAACGATTCCAGCCTTGATCTTCACTGCCCGTCACCGAAATCGAGTCCGAGGCGGGCTTAGCATGTCGTGCATCGAATGCATCATTGCGAGATTGTATACCGTCGACCGAAGCCGAAGACAAACCACGAAGCTCGTCAGGGGCAGCCAATGACAATAGGGCGGGTGACGCGGTGCCCGACGAAGCTCGAGATCTTGTACTCCGTCTGTACTGCTGCCATTCTGTTTCGTGGTCGATCGATCCGTTAGGCTCGTAGGACACGGGAGCGGCGGTATTCAGGGGCCCGCCGGTGGCCGGCTCATCCGCAATACTTTCCTCTGAGTCGTCATCTGTGGTCTCGCTTTCCACAACGGGTAACGTAAGGACTAAAAGTAGGACACTCGGCACAGACCAGGCACTGATCATCTTATCCCATAATGGCTTGTTGTTCCAATCCTGCAGAGTAGGAAATAAGCTATGCACCAAGAGGTAAGGGTCCGGCAGGATTCGATATGGCCACCATCTCACAGGCCTGTGTGTTTCATGGATATGAAGGTCTTCGAAGGGGGAGTGGCGCTCTAACGCAGGTGTTGGCAGAGTTGGTAAAGGATCCGGCGTCATGGGCCTAGGGGATTCTGAATACGTCGGGAAAGGAGAGGCTGCCGGGGTTGAATCTGCGCTGCCAGGCGGGCTGGGGCTCGGGATACGTAGATGCAAACCTTTGCCTAGCCTATGCTGATCTGGAGCATCCTGACTGTCGACTGCAAGCCCACCCGTGGAATCCGTAGGAGGCGGGGCCAGCATTCCGCCCACCGTGTGTGGTGGAACGCTGCTGTTTCTGTCCTCTGCTGCCCTTGGGGACCCCGACGCTAGATCCTCATCCATGATCAGTGGAATAGCGCCTGAAGATCTTGATCTATTCCGATTTACCAAATCAATAGTGCCAGCGCCTTGTATAGTTTGAACACTGACTGGCCCACCAACTAAAGCCGCTCCTCCCTCTGACCTATCGACGGCGATTCTGTCATCTGAGTAGCTTCTAACAAAGATGGGAGCCATACGCATATTCCTTTCATGCTGCAGTGACGACAATACAGCCCTAAACTCAAGTGCACCGACAAGACTAGGCCTGATTGGTGTAATGGTTGTAGTGCTCCTCCTTCCTCGCGGCCGGTTGACCCTCATACTGCTCGCCATTTCCGCAGCAATATGCTGATTGCGTTCATCGTCTGCATCCTCTGTATCAGGTTCTCCGATTTCGATCCTCGGTCCCCTCTCTAGGATACCAATGTCTACGGTAGCAGGGCCTCCTCTGTGAGATCCCGGTGCAATTTCTTCGTCATCAGGCTCATCTCTGTACGGCTCAAGCTCGTCGTTTCCGTGTAGAGACCCGGAGCCCATGAAATGACTACGAGAAGCTGTTTCCCTTGCTCTCCGGGCATTTCCTCTCTTGTTGTACCAATGCCAGACCACGACAAAGATGACGTAGAAGACATAGAAGCCAATCATAGCACCACATTCCCACAGCTGGATCTTTCCATCCCAGATAAAGTAGAATGTAAAGCCAACTGCCACAATGAAGAAGACAATATCTCGTATAAAGGAGTTCTTACTGACTTTAAATTCTCGTACCAGGGCCATTGAACCAGCAACCACGGACGTGATGAATCCAGCAGCTCCGAGAAGCTCGCCGACAGCCATGCTCCCACTGTTAGAGCCCATGGCCGCAAAGGTGCTGAAGACGTCCGGAGAACCATTTCCAAATGCCAGGAATGTGACGCCAGCCAGGCTTTGGCTCAGGCCTAGGATAGTAGCAATGGTGCTGAGGTTGACGCTGAAGAAATCGCTAGCTGCTATGCCGATAGTGCTGAATAGAAGGCAGAGCCAGGCGATCATGATGACAAAGGCGGCGGGTTTTGCGCTGCCCAGAGTGCAGTAGTAGAAGGTCAGATACTCCAGAAGACCGGCCTCATCATCGTGGCAGTTGCGCTTCACAAATGCGCATTTGTCCTCGGCTTGATGCACTAGCCGGCAATCCTCCCCAGCGCGTGCTGAAAGTAGTGTTCCTGCATGGCGCGAGGATGCAGGCGCCTGGATAAAAAGACTGTGAACAATGATCAAAGCGACGACAAAAGCTGTTGAATAGAAGGGCCGCGAGCTCAGGGCCCATCTCCTGACAGCAGCGGCAGGCATTGCGATTTATGGCTGCTTTGTAATACCCTGCTGGCCATTGACCTGACCGAAAGGGTCGCGAGGCTCGAGATTACGTCAATGGGCTGTTTGGGTGCGTGCGGTTATGCAGGTACCCCTTTCTCTTCTTCTTCTTCTTCTTCCTCTTCTACTTCTTCCTTTTTATTTTATTTTTATTTTTATGTTGCAGATGAGATGATGAAGGATATTGTGTCTGTAACCAATACTGAAACGGTAATTCTCATGTCATGGGGGGGCGCATTATGGCTGGCGTGGAAAAAGCTCGAAGATGCGAATGGGTGAATATACAGTACTTTGCAATAAAATAGCTATTTCACGGGGAATGGATGTCTGACGACGACGAATGGAAATTAGTATCGCGTCGCAGTCCGGCAGGCCTCCTTCCAAGATTCTTGAACCTGGTGGATGGGCCAGTTCCAAATTTACCGGGATGCGATAGCTGATACTTCTGACAGACCTGCCGCTGTTAGTGTTGCAGCTTGCTGCGGCGGCAGGCGACACACTTGGCTTAGCAGGTCGTAGGGGGGTTACAATGCGACAAAGTGCCCCCATGTGTGGATGTAATTGTTAAGAATTGAGACAATATTGGTATGTAGTGGAAAGTTGCTGGTCAAGAGCTAACTAATTGACTCACTGGAATCTCGCGGCCAAGAACATTGAGTCAATGGATACCTGGTGAGGGGAATGGTCTGTAGATATGTTAATAACTCACTGTAACGTTGATGTAGCAGACCTCATCAGTGTTACTGTAGCATGACCTCAGCGCTGGCGTTGGCGTTGAACATGTCCAAAGAGCGAAGTTGAAAGTTGGCCCCTCCTCCTCCTCCACCCCCCGCCACTACGACAAGCTAGACCCTTTTGAGAGGGAGCCCAAACAAGACTTGGGAAGTTCGCCGGGTTTTTGTTTACACTCGAGTAGGGGCAGCGCAGACTCGCGCCGACGACTGCAGAGCATCAACCACTTCAATATATCGCATCGCATCGCACCGGACCACACCACAAACACGGCACGGCACGCAATTGCGCCCCATCATGCCTCGTGTCGCCCAGATGCCGCGCAAAAGCGTGGGCAGCAGAGCTCCCTCTAGTCTGATGGGAGATTCCCCTCTCAAGTCAGTTCCCATGTCATGTCGCCGCCATATGCCCCGTACACTCAGCATACCAGCAGCACTGACACGGATCTTCTAGGATCCCCCTCAACGATGATCATTCAGAGAAGAAGGGCCGCTCCAAGGAGAGGCAGGCCCTTCACGAGAAACAGATCAACAACCTCAAAGCCGCCGCAGCCACCCCCGTACGCAAATCCAGTTACCGGCTGAGCGACCTCGACAACCAATCCCCCAGCTCAATTCAGAGGACCCCTGCCCAACGCCGCGCTCAGGTCGACGAAGATGAGGTTCTTTACGTTGGCGGAAGCAGTGTCACCCCTATGAAGCGTGTCCCCATCCTCGCCAACTTCGAGGAATGGATGAAGATGGCTACAGACAACAAGATCAACGCCGCCAACTCGTGGAACTTTGCCCTGATCGACTACTTTCACGACATGTCTCTCCTCAAGGAAGGCGATGGCGTCAACTTCCAGAGGGCGAGCTGCACATTGGATGGCTGTGTCAAGATTTATACGAGCAGAGTCGACAGCGTGGCCACCGAGACCGGCAAGCTCCTGAGTGGCTTGGCCGATAGCAACAGCAAGAAGAAGGGCAGGGATGAGGGCGATGGTGAGGACAGCGAGGAGGAAGTCGACGAGGACGGCAACGTTGTTACCAGGAAGAAGCAGAAGCGAGTAAGTCATTACACCCAACTCTGCACTCATGCGGATCTTACCCACTGCCCCAACCCAACGCTGACCTCAGCACCAACAGCAACGCTCATCCGAAGCAACCCTGGCCCCCTCCTTTGCCTCGCTGCAGCTGAAGAAGCTCGAGCTCGAATTCGCCGTCGATCCCTTGTTCAAGAAGGCCTCGGCAGATTTCGACGAAGGCGGAGCAAAGGGTTTGCTTCTGAATCACTTGATGATAGACGGTCAAGGCCGAATCGTTTTTGACAGCAGTGATGATGCGAACGACGCAGCAGCCGGACGTATCAAGCTTCGACGCCGCGAAGATGTTGCTGAGGGGGATGAGGACATTGTTGAAGATGAGGAAGACGATGCCACCATTACCGGAAAGGAGCCCGAGCCAGAAGAAGATGTCGAGATCGACATTGGTGCTCTCGGTGCCAAGTTCTTCCCCGATCTCGGCATTCTTGAGACCCAGGACGTCTGCCCGTCGTTGAAGACCTTCGACTTGGGTGATCCTTCCGGATCCCTCGACATACCCTTTTTGCGCGCCCCTGAAGACTGGCAAAACCAAGGCAAAGATGGGGACGAGTCACATACTACTGGCGACAAGTCTGGTATGTTCATTGACGACGACAATCCCTTGGGCTTCGACGACATGACAAACATGGGAGGCTTTGATGTAGTGGATGCCGCATTCGGTGAAGGTGGAGAGGCCTGGGCCCGGGAAGCTGCGTTAGAGCCACAAATGCGCCCCTATAATGTCGCCAACGAAGACGGTATTGGCGGAGATGGTTCAGCAATTGACGACGAAAATGGCGACTACATTGTGCGCATGGCTCATGGCAAGGACACGGACAAGATGCATGAAGACATCCTCGGCTATTTCGACCAGGCCTTGCAGAAGAACTGGGCAGGACCAGAGCACTGGAGGATACGAAAGATTAAAGACGCCAACAAGACGGAGCCTACTCGCCAGCGCAAAGAGAAGGAGCCTTTCGAGATTGATTTCGCCTCATCTCTAGACTCCAAGCTAGCTGAGCAGATCTACACTCAAGCAAGCACCAATTCTGCTATTTACATGCCTAAGAAGGACTGGAAATCAAAAACCCGAAACCTACTACCAGACGATAAGCACTTCAGCTCCAAACAGCTGTTAAGCCTCTTCCTGAAACCAAAGGCCCGAATGAGCAGCAGGAGGCGACTACTCAATAAGGGAGGCATGTTCGGTAATGCGGGTCAACAAGAGAACGTACCTGAGGGCGAAATGGACGAAGCCTTCTGGGCTAACAAGGAACCACTGCAAAGCACAGAGCAGGACGAAACTGCTCTCCCACAGGGCGACTACGATGCCAACTTCTTCGATGATGAAATGCCACTACCAGGTGGTGGTCTTTTGGATGATGAAGATGACCTTGAGTTCGCCGACGCTAGAGATCACTTCTCGCCTGGCGCAGAAGTTCCCATTACAGAAAACGGCGGCCTCACGGCATTGCTGAATGGTGGAATGACTACCGGCGGCTTTGGCACACAACTTGTTACTTCGACACGACGCCTGCGGCCTGAATATGTGCAATTTGCTAGAGTAGCGAAGAGAGTTGACGTCAGGCGCCTAAAGGACGAGTTATGGAAGGGCATTGGCTTTGAGTCGCTCGATGTAAGTCGTGTTTGTTGCTGTTCACTCTGGATCTAAGTATACTGACCTGTATATGTAGGAGCGCAACCGGTCGCGATTGCTTACACCGCCGGAGTCTTCTCCGGCCAAACCTCAGAACTCGTCCGCAGCAGACCCTACGCTCAAGTTCACAGATGTCATGAACAACCTGCAGACCGTCTATCCCAAAGCGGTCATGGATGACATTTCCACCAGTTTCTGCTTTATCTCTCTATTACATTTGGCGAACGAAAAGGGCCTTGTTATTGAGAAGACGCCAGACCTTCTAGAGCTAAACATTCGGAAAGACTGGAGTGCAGAAGTTACAGCGGAAGGTTAACTTTTTCTCGCGGTGGAACAGAGAGCAAATGACAGACAGCATTTTGTAACGAGTCAAATGGTGAACGATGAGTAATGAACATTTCGCAAGGCATTCATAGGGTAGAATGCAGAGACGGATCGCAACACAGGATACCTTTGATTGCCGACCAGGCTTGGGGCGTTGAGCTAAAGCTTGTTGGTGGGATATACACACTTGATTGAATAGCACAGCGGCAAAATCATCTGAGATTGGTTTCACTCCATAAGTCTGGCTGAAGCTCCTTCCCTTCGCTTTCCCCTTTGCTTGATACCAGTTCATTTGAATGTTTATTTTCTTTGAGCTTCTTATGATATTTGCCCATTTCACAAATATCGCTTCATCCATGCTTAGGTCTACGTCCCATCCCAAGACCCAAAAAATGGAGCTTGCTCTCCATCATGCTTCTTCATATCACGGAAGGGTGCTACACCTATGATGCTCGAAGTTTCTTCGCATTAGCCACTTGGAATGACAGAAGTCCGCAATACCGCAGAACGATCTACCTGCAACGACGTCAGACCGAGATTTCAGGGCCCGTAGAGCTCCATAGTTTCGTATTGTCCCCGGAAGTTATATCTTGGGGACCCATCGTGGCGGATCTTCAAGACCATTGAAACACATGCAAACCATTTTCACAAGCAAGGTACGATTATATCGGGGCTCGGGCCTCATTGCCACATCTGTTACCATGATTTGTGTTTCTGGTAACTGCATAATAAAAGAGGAAAAAGCAGAACCGCACGACGAGAGAGGACAACGGAGCCCGAAGCAGAAGAGAGACTTTTCCCCCCCGTCGATTACTGTCAAATCAATGTACCGTTCACGACAGGAACCGAGGTCTGGCCCGGACACCTCTTTTCTTCTTATTATTACTAAGGACCGTCCTCCCCAACTCCCCTTTGTCGAGTGGCGCCGGAAGCACGCACACGAACACAAAAGGCACTACTGTACGGCGACCGCCGGGCCTAGAAGATCCGGCTCCCTCCCCCCTCATGACCCCCCGGGATGTCTTCTCCGTGCCAGTAATAGAGATGCTCGTTTCGTTATCCATGGTTTTTCGCGAGAGTAGTCCAGTAAGAACACGCATCTACGGGGCTGTATAGAGAGGGCAACAGACACTGTTACCGACTATTTTGCCACCACGATGGAGACCTGTGGAACTCGGCAAGCAGGCCGTACATGTACAAAATGATTGGCGTGGCGTCAAAGACTTTCCCTGTCCCACGCCCCCCGCAGTTATCAAAAGTTCGATCGATATCGTGATTCACCAGGGCTCGTTATGATGGTGTAACGGGTTTGCTCCAGGTACTTCTGCTGATTGGAGGTTGGATCGGTCGAGACGCTGTCTAAGACCAGGGGTTTTCCGGAATAGAAGCTCCTGCGCTTTTCCATGGATCTGGTATAGATGCGGTTGATCGTTGAATTGCCCAATCATCAACTCTCCAGACAGACTAGCATTGCATAGGGCAGTCGGAATATGCAGATGCATGGGTTCTCGTGACAGGGGGATAGCTGGGGAAATCTCATAGTGGACAATACACATTTGTGGAGCATCCGAGCTACGTGCAATGCAATGCGAAAACCACCAGAGGCTTTGACGCTGTTGATAGGCATATTTTGTATTCGCATCAATGGAATTTCATATTGTCGGTAACAGATCTATCAATTGATGGGGGAAATTTCCCCGAATGTCAACAGCGATAGTGATGCTTTGAATCTGGTAACCCCAATGGCCGATCAGGCTACACCTGGTGGCGTTGTAAACTACAACAACGATTAAATATGCTAGCTTTTCAGCTTCTTTCCTTTCCCAATGCGCTGAACCGTTTCAAACCGATATCCATCCTTTCGCTTGCCTGACCAACGATGTGCCGATGCTGATTTCAACACAAGGTGTAAATATATGTTCCCAAAGCGACTGTCATCTACTTGAGCTGTTATACCTTGTCGATTTGTAACGCCTTGAACTCCCCAGTTCTCGTGAAGAACGCATTCCTAAACGCCCATACCTGAGTGGTAAACTTGGTTCTTGTTCAAATCTGGAAATTTGGACATAGTCCAGAGAGGGTATAAACTAAAATTTATGTAACATGAAAATGTGTACGCATCTCATAATGTTGGCGTAAACTGTAATTATAGAACAACACCGCGATGTTTGTTTTTGTTTGCATACGGCAACCGCGCCCAAAGTCCTAAAAGACGCCGTCTAGGAACGTTTTCGGGGTTTGAAAAGTCCAAGACAGGAAAACCGAAAAGCGGAACACCGATAGGATGCTGGGTTTGTAGATTATTGTTCTGGCCTGCCAACAATGTCGCTGGCACGCAAAAGGGCGCTCATGCCGTCCAGGCCAGGATCCGCACCCCCGGTTATCTTCGGCAGTATAGGTGGTGCCGGATGCTGAGTTGTAGGCTGAACTTGATTGGCCATAGCCGAATGGTAGACGCCTAAAGAGGATTGCCTTAGTCTAGATGCATATGATCCATTGTTCCTTAACATACCACTGTATGGCAAGCGGCTATCAGCAAAATAATCGCCAGGACGGCCGGGATATTGTTGTGTAGGCGTTGCTGGCTTGTTCGAGCTCGGGCCATCGGATAGAGGTGCTGCTCCCGTAAACATGGAGGGTGTTTCGGGCTTCGAAGACAGGAGCGCGTGGATGGGCAGGGAAGACTCGCTGGGCGTCCGGGGCTGGCTAAATGAGCTCAGAGAGGCTATGCTGCCCGTTGACGATTGCTCGGCGCGTAACGACGGGGGCCGTGACCAGAATTGTGAGGAGACCGACGTGCGATGCGACTTAGTACCCTCAGAAGGACCAGGGACCATACTCGGGATACCGCCTTCAGGGGAGTGGGACACCGGACCAGACAGGATGCGAGGATCACCCAACTGAGGCAACTGCGGAAAGTAATTTGAAGCTGATGCGTCGGGCTGGAAGCCTTCACGTACTGCCGCGTACCGGACCGCTGTGTTATCTGATGCGTCCCTGCTGGCAGGACTCGAGAAGCCTCGTGGCCGTGGGCTGACCTTGCCTTCATGTGTTACAGCTGTCGGCGAGAGCAATGTGTCGTCAGCATGTCGTGGAAATGCGCTTGACGAAACGATAGGGGACACATGTGTGTCGGATTGAGATGTGATAGAGCCAAGTCTCTGCTGACGAGTAGGAGGTGGTTCGCTGCCCAGATGACTCTCAGAACCACTTCCAGCATGGTTGTGCGTGTTACTGGCGCTGAGAGACATACCACTGCCGCTCCTACGGTTGGAGCTGTCTCCGTCCACTCTTGCTCTTTTGTGAGCATCTTGGGCAATGTTAGACGATATCTGATACAGAACGGAACTGGAAGACACGAACCGTGAAGAGCCTGTCGCTTGCGGAAGTCGTGCAAGTAATCCGCATACCGCTTGTAATCGGCCGTCTTTTTGTACTCGGTCATATCTCGGTTATATTTCTCCTTCAAAACCTGCGCCTGTGTCTCATAGGGTTCTTTTTCGGTGCGGACGAGGCTTTGCCAGTTCTCTCCGACAAGTTTGGCGATTTCGGTGAATGTGAGATTTTGACCTTTTAGATCTTCCCGCATTTCTAAGTACAGAACGTAAGCTACGAAATTTTAAATATTTTTAAATCTTCTGGAAATATAGTCCAGGTCGGGTCCGAGCATGGCTATGTCATGTGCGACACAGAGCGAAGATAATTAGACAACTTACTATTTGAGAACAAAACGTAGGCGGACGGTGGCCGTTCGGGGGCATTTTCGTCCGTCTTTGGATGCCTCCTGTACTTGCGTTTTGCCGTGGCCGCACCATCTTTAATCTCAGCTTGTTGAAGCTTGTTGACAGCTGCAGGTGGTTCTTCGATGCTCGTTCGGGTTGGCGAGACCAAAGATGCGGCCGGCGCGAGGCCTCGATGATTCGCGATGCGGCGCTGCAATTTCTTGAACCGGGGGCATTAGCATGCAATACTGGAAGAGGGCACAAGGGACGGTATCATACCCTGCGATGCCCGAGCTTCACCCCAAGCGCGTCACTATGCCAATATCAGCCGTTGATCGAAGATGGAAGCGAACCCAACCCACAGATCTGACTCTGTTATGTCCAGAATAGTATCCCAAGAGTCAAAACCTTGGTCGACGAAGGCTCCCAGGTATTGGCTAATACCTAGCTCTTGGAAAATTTCCTCAAGTAGAGGCATATGTCCAGCTCAAGTGCACAGGCACGTTGCGTATAGTCTTTCGGTCTCGATGGGCATGGATTGCTGGAGGGGGGTAGAAAGAAAAAGTCGTCGCCCGTGTCCGCGTCAACTGACGATTGGACTGGTCTTGTCTTCGCGTCTCTCCTCTCGTAGGTGCTCCTCTCCGGGGGTCGATTTTCCCTTAGTTCGACTAAAACGTCCCTAATAATTGTCCGGTCTAATAACCAGCTTCAAGAACGGGATCCAAATGGGAAGGGGTCTGCGTGCCTCCAGTTCGAACAGTCGGCAAAGCGGTGGGCAGCTATAGCACAATCAATGGCGACTGGAGGTGCTCGTGTGTATTTGGGTAGCTTGCCAGCTTGCAAGATATTGGTTCAGGGGTATCCGTGCATTAAGTGGCATGCAAGCAGAGATGGTCCGAATGGGTGGTTGTGGTACTAGTCCTGGGATTTTGGAGTCAGAGTGTCGTAATTCCGTCAGGAGTTAAGATATGCCATTCATCGACCGTGGCGTTGAGCAAACTAAATGGGAATGTTGTGTGGTCCGTGTTCGGTAAATGGTAATGTGTATGGGAAACTGGGAGAATTGGCATCATTGAATGCCCGATCACTAAACGTCGATACGATCCATGGCTACATTTCTCGATCCAGGTTGTAACGACGCCAGGTCGGGGATCGAGGATCAGAACGGAATCTGAGAGGAAAAAGAAGAGGAAAAAACAGACTAACAGTCACGGGGGTCGTTTGAGACTAGCATTGCAGACGCAGCGGGAGACAGACGAGACGATACATTTGGCTCAAAGCAAAACGGTCGGAGCTACGTCCAGTAGCACTCTTTACCTTACGGAGTAAGTTATCACTTACAAGAATAAGTGGCGGGTCTGCACTGCGGCGTAAGCCTTTGAGACAACACAGCAGCCAGCACAAAGCGGGAACTCCAAGGTAGGCGTTAGTGCTGAAAGTACACACAGTAGGGTTCGGCTGCTACTTGGTACCTGCTACTAGGCAGGTAGGCTATAACGTCAGGGATGAGACTTCATGGAAAAGACAGTAATGAGTACTGTCGTGTTTATCTTTGCCCTTTTCCCCCTTGCACATGGGGGGACTGGTAACCACAGCCATAGTCATGATCATACTTGTGATCAAATCAGGAAACATGCAAAGTCAGACCTGGCACTTTGAAGTATCTACTGGATTATTAGGTGTCGTGAATGCACAAAATGGCGCCGCGCATCGGAACACTGTTATTGCTTCGTTTTCACCGGGCTGTCATGGAGGATCAGAGATCCCAGCAACGAGCATGGAAGTTTTACGAGATTGTGCAAATTGCATCGTAACCAGCCCGCTAATGGGATGGGATGGTATGTAGGTACAAGTAGTTATGATGCCATGAGGCATCAAGGCCATTCTGAGAACCCATCCACATTCTCGTTTGTTCGCTAGCCGACTCGTTAGATGCAAGAATGCATGGTGGGATCGAGATCTATACTCGTAGCTGGCCAATCAGATATCGCGTACCCTACTTCTTTGTTTAGATGGGCGCAAGGTGACCCGTTGCATCGCGATGCTGCGATCCGTAGCAGACGGGTGCCATTTTTCTGGGCTTTGCAACTTTCGATGCCATCGGCTCCAAAGCAATCAGGGTCAACCGGAATGTTAGGAGCACAACGCTCTCTTGGGATTTATCGTCATTTCAATTTAACTGGGAGCCTCAGTAGTGCTGTAGGCATGTTGTTTCGATGTCATGACGTGAAGACGACGCCAGAGGGTGTACACAGCCGTTGTTATAGGCAATTGGTGCGCAGTGTCGGACGAATTGCCGAGGATGCAGCCAGGGAGACGTCGCCGCACGACATGGATCGATTAACGCGTGTAGATCGAAGACTTTTCCGGAAACGGAGCCAATCCCCACCGAGGAAAAAGAAACAAGAACATATGTACATAGCCAACTGGACCAATGTGTTATTGTTTCAAGGGCGAAGGAGAAAGAAAAAAAAAAGACCCTTGCTGGTACCTATTCTTGGAGCTCTGACGACAATTTTCTTAGCGAAGATTGCAATCGAGATTGTTGATATGTAGCGGCCGGACTCACTCTTGCCGATCCCGCCTGAGATTCTTCAGGATATCTATGGTATGGTTGAAGAAAGGATTTCGATTTCGATTCAAACATAATCCGCCAATGTCTTTGGTAACTAACGAGTTCATTCTTCGCTACCATGGCTTCAGTAAGTACTTGATACCTTGCCGAAGGCTGTTTGGAAAGACTATTACTTGCATTGCATACCAATTAAATTCTAGTATAAACCGGAGGCCCCCCGGCGCCACAGGCATTATCCTGTGTCGTAAAGTGCTGCAAGCCTTGAATCGTTCATGACTCGTATAAATAAATATTAGGCCTCTGTAGGGAGACGTTGTAGAATAGAAATACGTGCTTAAAGTGCAGTTTTGAGAATCATGAGGCTCTAGGATTGTATGGGTGATTGAAGATCTAGACCCCATCCCCCTTCATTTTCGCCAGTTCACATGCGCAGGGAAGCAATTCGGTTACAAATAGGGCGCGTGCGTACTATTACAATCAGATTAAATCTACAGTTTTTGGATTCTGCAATTGAACTCATGTCCACACAACCAGGAAGGCGCTTCCTTCAGGTTGTGAGCCTGGCTAACAGTACAAATTAGATGTGAAGTAGTCACTCTAGTCCGCAGTTACATCAACTATCCACAGTTCATACTACATATCTAAAACATTTTGTCTTACCTTCCATCGTATGGGCTAAGCGGCGACCGTTCTTGTCACTCGATTGATTGGACCCTACAGTAGTATAGGCGGGAAGTGCTTACTATGTAATGTATGTACTCGGTAGCATTATCCAATGTGCTCTGTGATCTAGTTATGCTGGGTTGTCCAACCACACCAGTGGGGCTCTGCGTTAATCTATTTCCGCGGTCAAGTTTCTAACCTAGACTAGGTGATTGAACTTCTGAACCTTGTGGTTTACTCTGGAGCGTCCCAAACCTGCCGCGCCCCGGTTAAGGTTGCTGCTTGAGATTTTGAGTAACGACACTTGGAACGAATCTCGATTGCTGAAAAAGAACTTTCAACGGCGTTCCTCTCCTTTGCCATACTACCGTGTAAACCACGGAGGCGCGCGCCTTTGGCATTCTCATCGTCGATCGACCCAACCTGCTCACTAAGCAACCCTCAGTCATCACCGCACCGCCATTTGACAGTGCCAGGCCACATGTCTCAAGGGGACAAAGCCAGCGGCAGCCCTGCGTCGGCATCGTCAGATGCAGACTTGGCACAAGTGAGTTTCTCGAGCACGAGCACCTCCACGGGGTTGCAGGCAAACGCGTATTCTGGCCAGAGCTCAATCTGCGCACCGCCAAATATCGTCCCTGCTCCTCATTGCAAGTTGGCGCTGACATTGGGTCGTTCTAGGCCTTCCGGGAACTAGCAAGGTAAGAAAAAGACAACAAACCCGACGTTGCAACCTATCGATATGTTCGCCTTTCAAGATTGCGAACCCCATGTTTTGATGCATCGCATTCTCGAACCCAGACTTGTGCGTTCCAGACTTCTGACCCGCGCCCCATGGTCGGACTAAGTGGTCCTCTTACCCTCGGCTCCTCCAGTTCCAAATCCGCTTCTTGTTGCATGCCATTTGGCAGAATGCGACCCTGAAATCCCCATCTCCTGGCCCAGAATCCCCTTGTCCTCCGCCTCGAAAGTCTAGACCTGCCTGTTGCCACTGCAACCCAACGGCGCCTATGGTTGACTTTGTCAAAATCAAAATCACAAAAAAACCTTGCCCCAATCATGCATAGCCGCTGCGGGACATTTTGCTTCGAGGCTGTTATCAGCTTTCCTTTTTTCTCTTCTTTCTCTTCTCTGAAATGTCATAAGACCGTGGCCGCTAGTGGTAGCTGGTCTTTCAGGACCAGTAACTCCGGTTTCTATTTGGGGCGGAAACGTTCAGAAAACGTGTGGTATACGATATCCCGCGCAAGTGCGTTTATTGTTTCACACCGAGGCACCTCGTTTAGTTAAATATCACGATTAGTGCTCTTGATAGCACGTTTGCTGCCAAGCACATACCGCCTATGCTCTACCTACATAGCTAACCACGCCGTCAGGGGTGAGCAACAAGCGGCTGCCATGGAAGCCAACTTGTCCAAACTTGAAAGCAAGCTCGATGATCTGCTCGCACAGTTTGAAGCTGCCGCTGAAGGATCTGCAGCGCTCCACGAGGTCAACAACACAAACAAGGATGGGCAGTCGGCGAAAGATGAGAAACAGTCCTGAGCCTTCGCTTCACCCCGATGCCGTATAGCAAAGTCGCCTGAAGCAACCTCGGAATATGAATCTCGAAGACCGAGGCCGGCTCAGGAGCATTGCTGAGCGCTATACATGAGGGAGCGTTCACAAGCCGAGGTAGACAAGGATGGCAAGGTAGAGCAAACCTAGAAGACACGGGCTTTCGAGCGACAATTCATGAGTAGGTTGCTATGTTCAGAATAAGAGACAGCTATGACGTCCCATGCCTGCCTTCTGCCTTGCTGCAGAGTTACTTGAGTATTATTCCTCGGAAGCATAATCTGATGTAGTCAAGACCAATGGAATAGATATCCCAACAAAAGTAGTCTACAACCACTCGAGACCATGACTCGTACTCGGAAGACGAGGAGTCTAACCAAGGCTGAGCAAACACCCATAAGGGTAAGAAGACTGGACGAATGCCTTAAACATACCCTTCTCTCTCCATCATTGCCGTTGAGAAGGCCAGAATTTAACCACGGGCACACATGCAGCAAAATGTGAAGAAAGTTATCATAAACAACAGCAACGAGCTCGGGAAGACGACAGTATTCGAAAATTATGATTTTGTTTTGTTTTCATAACGGCAGTAGTCTATACTAGACAGTATTCTCCACGAATCTAATGCCAGTAGAATCGAGTCGTACAAGTGAATGCTAAACCACTTCCCCAAATGAGTTCCCATGTCGGGCCAGCTCACACTCCCGAACCAGGATTCAAGTCCTTCGTACTAATACTCAAGACGTGCGTGGTTATCGATCTGAAAAAGGAATGGGTCCCAGCAGAAACCCTTGCAATCCGACAGACTACATAAAGACCATTGGCATGTGCTGACTTGCGTCCACCAACCCCAGAAAACGCCGGACAGAAATTTCAACGCCAACTATGAATAAACCACTTCTTGTCCTTCACCATCCACTGTCACCCGTTCATGAGCAGTCATTGCTTGTCCACATGAGCTACAGAACCAGTCGCGCTGAGGTTCAGGTGGATTCTTTTTCCCAAGCAGTGAGAGGATCATTGAAGACTATAGTATAGATGAGGCGCTCGATGTAAATCGAGGTAACACAAGGGTATCGTATCAATTATACTGGATATATGCCATAATAACAGATCGCAGAGCAGGTAGCTTTGGACTCCATAGGCAAGAAAACCGAAATCTATTTTCGCCCCCATGTCAACAATTTTGATTAGCTGCTGAGAGCTCTTGTCAAAGTCTGCAGTCGTATGGCAATATTAGTTGGCTGGCTTTTGAACAATGTCGGAAAGACTTCTACGTGCCGCTAATTTCATGGGGTCATCTTCATCTGCTTTGACGAGAGATGGGCTTGCAGCGTTCAGCTTCGAGGTTGACGACATTGCTCGGGCCTCGAGGTTAGGACGCAATTGACTCGGGTGACCCTTGGTGTCTGGTGTCTCATCAGTCTTACGGGTAAGCTCCCTCTCCCGATTCTTCTCAAGTAACTGACCGCCAAGTGTGGCGCACTTGAGAATGGTCTGGATAAGATGGTTCTGCTGTAGTGGCTTCGAAAGGTATTCGTCCATTTGCGCTTGGATGCAGCGCTCCCGGTCACCCATCATGGCGTGTGCAGTGAGGGCGATAATAGGTGTTCGATGAGAGCCTAAACTGCGTTCGTACTCGCGGATCTTGCCTGTGGCTTCAAATCCACCCTAGAATATGATTAGCAAACACTTTGCGTTACGTGGCCGTTGATGAATGAGCATACCATTATGGGCATCTGTACATCCATAAGAATAACGTCGAATTTCTTCTTCTGTATGGCTTCCACAGCTTCCAAACCATTACCAACTACGGTGACAACATGATGGTATTTCTCGAGGATCTTGACCGCCAAGCGCTGGTTCACACGGTTGTCCTCAGCCAGTAGAATTTCGAAGGACCTGGTGTTGTCTGCTAGTGATGGAGTCGCACGGTTCTCTAGGGCTGGCACCATTCCATTTCCGAGATCGATGGGGGCGCAGGGGGTTGTTAGATACGAAGTAATACCTAGGTCTAAGCAGGACTTCAAGCTGATGTGAGTCGGTGGAGCTAATAGCACGATGGGTAGGTATTTGAATTGGTCAATCGCCCTTAGCTTGCGAGCAGTCTCAACCGAGTCGACGATGATGACGTCGAAAGGAGGCTCGTCAGATCCGAGCCCAGGATAACTTTCTTGAGTGGCCACAACCGGAACCAAGCCGAGATCACGGAGGGATGATACAATCTGCTTGCCAAAGACTGTTCGGCCCCTATCAACAAAGAAGACTTGGTGACCCTTGTATGGTTTGAGTTGCTTCTCAATTAGAGACAGATCACCACCTGCCAGTCTGACAACGCAAGTGAAGTAGAATGAACTGCCCTTACCGACATCGCTCCGGACCCAAACATCACCACCCATGAGGCTGACCAATCTCTTGGAAATCGAAAGACCGAGACCAGTGCCGCCAAATTTACGCGTCATGGAGCCATCTGCTTGTTGGAACGTGTCAAAGATAAGGTCGAGCTTGTCCTGCGGAATTCCTATTCCCGTATCGGAAACAACAAACTCCAGAGCGTACTCGTTATGGTCTCTAGGTGTTGGTTTCTTGGCTTGCTGGATTGAAAGCCGGACCTCTCCGTGCTCAGTAAACTTGATGGCGTTGCCAACGAGGTTCAAAATGATTTGCCTCAAGCGGAAAGAATCGCCTACGACGTAGTCGGGCACAGAACTATCTACGTAGTATGTCAAGTCCAAAAACTTCTCGTTTGCCTTGACAGCGAGAGTCTTCAGGGCGTTGAAGACTGTACCACGTAACGTATACGGGATCTCTTCAATAACCATTCTCTTGGCCTCGATCTTGGACAAATCGAGAATGTCGTCAATGATGGTCAAGAGACTGTTGGCTAGATTGTTGACAATGTTGAGCATTTCTCGCTGGTATTGGGTTAGGTCGGTATCCAAGGTGAGCTGGGTCATTCCTATAATGCCATTCATTGGTGTACGGATCTCGTGCGACATGTTTGCCAGGAATTCGGACTTGGTCTTGTTGGCTTGTTCAGCAGCTTCTCTGGCTAGTGTGTTCCTTTGAATACTGTCTCGCAGGTTGTAAACCATTTGGTTGATCTTGCGCTTCAATTCATCCATCTCGCCCGATGCCTCAACGTCAACTAGTTTTGTGAAGTTCCCATCGGTAGCAGCATTGGTGATGTCGCCGAAGGCACGTACTTGGGTGGTCAAGTTGGTCGCCATCGTATTGACATCGGCCGTGATCTCCTTCCAGCGACCCTTTAAACCAGCGACATCGGCTTGACCGCCCATCTTGCCATCAACGCCGACATCCTTGGCCACTCGTTGTACTTCGTTGCAGAAAACGGACAGTCGGTCAACCATGTTGTTGATGGTGTCTTTCAGAAGGGCAACCTCGCCTCCAGCGGTGACAGTGATCTTCTGGCTCATGTCACCATCTGCAATGGCTTGCGTGACCGTAGAGATACCCCGTACTTGAGACGTAAGGTTGGATGCCATGGTATTGACGTTTTCGGTAAGGTCCTTCCATTTGCCCTCAACGTCGTCCACACGAGCTTGGCCGCCAAGTGTGCCATCGGTCCCGACCTCTTTAGCGAGTTTGGTGACCTCGAATGCAAAGGTACTAAGACGATCTACCATGGTGTTTATGGTGTTCTTGAGCGATAAGATCTCACCTCTTGCCTCAACACTGATCTTAGTGCTTAGATCGCCCTTTGCTACGGCTGTGGTGACCTTGGAGATCTCGCGAACTTGCGTGGTCAGGTTCATGGCCATGCCGTTAACGTTGTCGGTAAGATCGCGCCATGTGCCTTGGACGTCGTTGACGGTTGCTTGTCCGCCCAGGCGTCCTTCGGTGCCGACTTCTCTGGCAATCTTGGTGACCTCGGCAGCAAACTGTTGCAGCTGGCCAACCATAGAGTTTATTGTCGACTTGAGTTCCAGGATCTCGCCCCTGCATTCAGCCTGAACCAATTGTGTGAGGTCACCTCTGGCGACAGCGGTAGTGACCTTAGCAATGTCTCGGACTTGGGTCGTGAGATTGTTCGCCATGGCGTTGACGTTTACCGTCAATTCGTTCCACATACCCTGCACACCCATGACATCGGCCTGTCCCCCGAGCATACCCTCTGTGCCTACATCACGGGCGACGCGTGTGACCTCTGCAGCGAACGTGCCAAGTTGTACAACCATGGTGTTTATTGTCTGTTGGAGCTCGAGTATCTCTCCCTTGGCTGGTCTTTCGATCTTCTTGGTGAGATCGCCATGAGCGACAGCAGTAGTGACGGAAGCAATCTCTCGCACTTGATCAGTTAAGTTCTGGGCCATGACGTTGACTAATCACGAATTAGCGATCATTACTAATAGATGGGAAAGAGAATGGTGTACGTGCCGTTGTCAGTGAGCTCTTTCCAGGTACCGTCGACCCCTGCAATTCGAGCCTGGCCACCAAGAATTCCATCTGTGCCGACTTCACGAGCGACTCGTGAGACCTCGCTAGAGAAGACCTGCAACTGGTCCATCATGGTGTTGATGGTGCGCTTGAAAGTAGTAATTTCCGGGTCCATCTCTACCGAGTTCATACGCACTCTCTTGCTGAGATCACCGTGAGCTACCGCTGTAACAATCTCACCAATCTCACGTAGAGCTTTCTGGAAAGCCTCGTTGGCCTTTTGATGCTTCCAGAGCTCCCTTTCGAGAGCAGCGACGCGCTCCTCTTCCAAGAGCCTAAGAGCCTTTTCTTGCAATTGCTTCTGCTCCACGAGCTGCGCGTTCACATGCGACAACTCCTGGCGCTGGTTGTCGAGTAATTTGGATTGGTCGTCGATGTGTTCTCGGAGACCCTCAAGAGCCTCATCGCTCAGAGGGATTGTCTTGACCGACCGCTCATCTTGTGCGATACTGCGGGCGGGAACTGCTGGGGAGATCTTTGATCGCATGTATGACTTGCCAGTAGCGGAGGTCGGGGATGAAGACTCGACTCCGAACATGGAGTCAGCAGTCTCACTTGGGGTTGCCGGAAAGATGCTGGGAGCACTCGAGATGCTAGCCTTGGCCTCCAAACGTTGAATGCGGGCAGCGAGAGCGGAAAGCTCGCTTTCGAGAGAGTTCTTGGCAGAGCTGGAAGGGCCGGGGAGTGTGCAGATGGGCTCACTGCCAGGGTGAACAGGCGTCGAGAGCTTCGAGTCGGTTGCCAAAGATTTGACCATGGCAGCAGCGGCCGCCAGAGCCGATTCGTCAGCCATCATTCTCATGGCCCGGGGTTTATCCAATACAATTCAAGAGTGATGGATTGTCCGGATTAAAGCGAGGTTTCGACGGATTATTCAGGTAAGGAGCGAATGATGCCAGCGGAGGCTGATATCGGCGCGAATGATTTACGAGGACGATGGCATCCTGCGTATGTGTCGGCAAGGGTTGAGGTCGACTTTGGATGAGACACAGGCTAAGCCAAGTCGATGGATGTATAATGCCTCAGGTCAAGGTCGCGCCTCTGCGTCTGGACGAACTGCACGGTACAGCACGATTACAGCACGGCACAGCACAGCCCAGGCAGTGACAAGAGGTGGCAGCAGTGATGATATCCAGCAATGCAATGGATATGTGGTGTGTGTTTAGGAGCAACGACAAAACAACGACAGTAGCAACAATGACGACAACAAATAAACACTTCCTTGAACGTAAATTTTTTTTTTGGAGGAAGAGACAAATATCGACGAAGCGATCGTGGAAGAAATCTCCTGACCAGAAAGGAAGCAGAAGTTGAGTGCGGGCGAAGTGGAGGTGTGCTTGGAATTTGGCTCCCTGAACGTCGCGCGCTCGCTTCGGTCTGGGGTCTGGTCTTGTCTTGCCTTGTCTTGTCCTGTCCTGTGCTGTCTTTTTACTCTACTTTACCGTATTGCAACTGCACTGCATGTGGCACCCACTCCAGCCACTGTTGCAGCATTGGTCCGCGTTGACTAGGAGGGTGACAAGTGCGGCGGAGCCACGCAAGATGCACACGCTAATCCAGTCCGTACCGAGCTACGCACCACAGGGGCGCTAATCCGGCATGGATCTCTGGCTCACTGGTAGCGGCAGCTCAGTCTGCTCGTCTCGTCCGAGCTCTGCTCCTAGCACTGCACTTTATCAATGGCAATCAGCCATCGAGCTTCACCTGCGAACTCAGGGGGCCTCAGGTAATAATCAATGATTAGCCGTACGTGAGATGCTTTTAAGGTTCCCAGTTGCTTGCTTCTGAATAATCGTACTGATGCTGCAAGCGAGTTTCTACCCACGCGCACTGTGAACGGCTTGTGGAACAACTACTGCTGTGGTTATTTATCATATACTTTGTACAATCGGACGTGGCAACAAATACTTACAATACCGCAGCAGCAGCCTACCGGTATTCACAAACTGCCTGCCCTCAGGTGCAGAGTCCCCAACCGCAAAAAAGCAAGCCAACCGGTTCTTTGTGCACCTTGCTCCGGGGGTGACGCCTCACCTGAACAATTGCGGTGCAAACCCACTTTGCGGAAATAATGCCAACCACGGCGCCATCATAACACAGAAACCCACCAGGTATAATCGCTGCTTCCTCGCATTCTAGTGCAGAAGAACACTTTGTCATGCTGAACGGGTATGTATACTATGTATGTATGCAATTGGAAGCGCCAGAGCTCTGAGCCATGAGGTCAGTGATCCATGCACACAGTTTCATGACTTCAACGCTGCCTGTGGCTCACACCAATGCATTCTTCGCTAACAACGCTGGAGAAAGGCTCCCGAAGACTGATTGGGGGTGCCGTGTTCCCGTACTCAATTTCCGCCTCTTGATTCGTCAGATACGCTTCGTCCAATCATAAGAGGCCAGTGGGGTGTGCAAATATGGATCCATGATCATGCTACATACATAGTCCAGTAGTAGAGCCGTCACACTTGCTTGGGATCACCTACTCAGCTGCCATACTGTATGGAGCAGTGATCGATTCTGGCATTGATCTTTTGAGTGCAGTGCAACCAGATAATTTTCGATTACATGGTATTGCTGCTCAAGTCATGGGCAAACACCCTCAACAAGGAGCTCTGCTTGGGCATCAACAACCCAAATCACACTCACATCCATGTGAAATTGGCTGATTGGCTCTGGGAATGGACAGACCACATCGCGAAGGTGGCAAACTCCTGCCGCGCAGCAGTCTCAGAGTTCCAGTTGCTGTTGGCCGGCAACGCAGATCTGCATCCACTGTATTCTCGCTTGTCGCCCAACCAGTACTCGACATATTCGCGATTTTCTTGGGGTTTCCCTTCCGCGGAAAACAAAAGAGAAGGGGAGACAAATATAGACCAGCCTCAATTCTCAACTTCCTAGACTATAAGTCTGGACGGAGCTCCCTTCTGATTACATGCCTTCTCATCAGAATGCGCACTACTATGTTTCCCCAGGCCCAAAACATGACGTCAGGCGATTGTCAATCTCTAGTTCGTGCCGCTTTGGGTACATTAACAATTTGACTTTGGCGCGTCCTACCGTTGGCTCGAGCATCAACTAGTTCAATGCTAGGAAGCAAGCATATTTGATCTTGGAATCGACACAACCCCTGAAAGCTGGAGCTCTAAAAAGAGCCACAAGCCACGAACATTGCACAACGCGGTATACAAATCACCTAGCTAGATATACTTCGAAATAATCTGCGTCACCAATTTTGAATGTTCACACTGTTTCGAGAGCTAATCTACGCCAACAAGTCCAGCCAAATCTGCTCAGTAATACTCGAAATAACTTTCACAGCTAAGCAGTCTATGAAGTTTTCATTCGTACTTTTAGTATGGAATACTCAGTCACGATTACATACTGGTAGTACATAGCGCCGAAGGCGGGGCACAAGCAGGACCCCTACATAGTCCAGCAGCTTAACCAGTCAGCCGCGGGACGATAGCGATTTGAGTTTGGTCTGCCTTATTAGGACTGGCCCATCTCAACAAACGCCCATCTCTGCTCATCTCTGCTCATCTCTGCTCATCTCTGCTCATCTCGACCAAGTGGATAAAGGATTCAGGCCTCCAACTAAACCAATTGAGATATGCAGCAGTTTGAGCAGGACTTGGCTACTACATACAGTTCGTTTCACAAGTATCCACGTCTTTCTCGCACTTACGAGTTGCCTGGACTACTGTGCCTAGATATCGTTGGACTTGTCGGCGAATACCACGAACGCAGATCGGCCCGCAGCTGCACTAACGAATATTCCCAGACCGACAGTTGACCGACCAGGCTATGTTTCGTGGCCGTGCATATCCTGCTGGATTGAGGGGACTGAAGAATTCTCCCCCACGGATTTTAAGATTCAGGGCGCACGATCAGCAATGTAAAGCTCAGGCTTTGCATCCCATGTGAACTCCTTTGTCGATCGCGATATATTTTTTGGGGGGTTTATCTTGTTGCTGAAGCATCGATCCGGATAGGGCGTGGAAGCACTACTGACTCGAATCAAAACAACAGGAGATACCTTTTTTGGCGAACACGTCTCTAGTCCTTTCCGCTAGTACCGAGTTGGCGTGAGAAACCGTTAGGAGGGACGCGCCCCTACTGCACCAGTTTCCACTGTGCTGGACCCTGAACGCAGATGGATCCTCCATACGCTTGGGAACACGAACTGCAGAGGCAAACTCCGGCCGTAAACCCTGCAATGGTGTGCCAAGAGTGCCCCATCCACCCGGGCATCGCGAAGGGCTAAGATGGAACACGGTCATCGAGGGTGCTTTTCAGGGAAATGGAAGGGAAAGATACATAGTATACTCCTTTCCATTATGCAATGTCGATCCAAGCCAGCACACCCCTTGTTCAGCGTTTCAGCCTGAACCATCCATAACCTGGCAGCCTGGCAGCCTGGAAAACATGGAGAGGAAGTGCAAGAGAGTGGTCTACTTTCTGGTCAATGATAGACAGTATGAGTGTTCATGTGATCATGCACGTATCCACGGCGCGCATCGGACGCTGATTTGTCAGTAGCCGGGCTGCCCCCTCTCTCTACTTAGTACAGAGTCTGTACTACAGACTCGTGCCCCCAAATCAAAACGGAGGCCAATGTCAATACCATACAAAGAGCGTAAACTTTAATATAAGAAGAGTCTACCGAATCATGTGAGATTTATACTAAATGAATACAGAATATTCTGTCATAGCTTATTAGCTAGTTTATCAAAATTGGAATCGTTCTTATTTATGAACATTGAATTATCGTTATCCAAAGTTGGGCCGCCTTGGTGAAGTTTAGAAATCAGTATCCGATTTGATTTGGCGGGCAAGAGACTGATTATATTTTGGATAGTCTGGCTACCGGATGACGCACTCGTGATTGATTGGCGCATTGCTCTAATTCAGCGCCCCCATAAAAACTCCGTTGCACGAAAAGGACCCGATCACGTTAACGCACTTCCCTTTTTTTTTTCTTTTTTTTTTTGAGAATTTTTCCACAATAGTATAATACGGAGTACGTCCGCACGGAGCTGGACAATTCCAGTTGTGTATGGAGAGGTTTTATGGGTGGCTGCCTTTATGAACATGCCTGATCGATGAAACCCGGCGCGGATTAACTTCCAGCTGGTGTTCAACATCATCGTCTCACGACGCCAGGCAATTTGATTACACAACATCTACACGTGTAGAGGAGACCATGTGATCTTCCGCACGTGGATCACTGCAACACACCAGGAGACGAGACCACAAGTGGGTGATGCCTGCAATGAGAATAACAGTAACACTAGTGTCTGTGGACATGTTATGAAAATATCTTTCGCAGATTCACGACACCCGAGTTTCAGTGAATGTGTATTCATCTGTTCCCCACAACGGAACATGGTAGTTGACGTATCATAGTATGTCCCCTCGGTCGAATGAGAATGTTTCATATTAGTTAATCTATGCCGCCATTCCTCGTCAAATCCTTGCCCCTACCTACGCCTCCAAAGCATGCTTCGTGAGGGTATCGAAATAACAGTCGTGAAGAACCACCAACAAAAACCAAGTACTCCCAATGCATGATGATAGTGACAACGAACGCATAGACACTCAAAATCCAACTATTCCGCATGCATAGCTCTCGTCTGCCCATCATTACCTCCGTGGCACCCCACCTCTTCCAAACCCGCCAGAAGCCCAGCCTTGGTTGACGCTCTGCTTCACTATCAACGCAGCAGCCTGCGCCGCAGCCTGGCGTTCCTTTTGCCTACTCCTTTCTTTAAGGTAATTCGTGGCCTCGGGTCTCATCCTCAAAATCCTCAGTATCATATCATCGCTTGGATCTGCTTGTGCCTCCTTCCGCTTCTCCTCCTTGGCCCTGCGCATGGTGCCCAGATTTCGGCTCATCATAATACTCTTTCCGCGTCTAATGGTGCCCATTGATGCAAACGCCGGGCCCGCAGAGCCGCCATATCCACCAAAAGCCGCCGGCGCACTCAGTCGATTCGGGTTTGTAGCAAGTTGTTGTTGCATGGCTTGCTGAGCACGCTGAGCCGTGGCGGCGGCCATGCGCTCCGAGGTGTGAATGAGATGATCTGTCGTCTCGAAGTAGAAGAAGTTGAGCGAGGCGAGCTCGTGATACTTAGGCGACTTGAGCACTTCTGCCGGGACTCCCAATACTTCGCCCGTCTCGGCATCGCGAACGTTGAAGAAATCGAATAGTAGCTGAAGCCACTTATAGACCACCTCCAGTTCGCGTTCTGTGAGTGGCCTCTGATTAGAAGGCTTATCTGACAAGGGCGGCACAACCAAAGATTCTATGGCCATTAGAACTTCTTTCCAGAGTCGTGTCATGACAGCCACCATAGTGGCATCTGTCAGTGTGCCTTTCATAATGGCAAAGTTCTCGTTAAAATACGTGAAAAGGCCTTGCAAGGCGTTCTCAATGTCGCCCTCAGTGAGTGTAGGCACTCTTGATTGCCTCTTCCATAAACTTGTAGCAGACTGCAACAGATTTCGCCCTAGCAGGTTGCGTAAACTCTCATGGGAAAGTGTAGCATTGATATGCGTCGTAAGCTGAAAATGCATTAGTAACCCCACGTCTCGATATTGGGGGCACGGCACGATTACCTTATCTGTGATCTTGCGCACCATGTCGCGCTCCGTCCTCTTCAGATGTCTGAAAGCTTTACCGAAATAGAACTGAATGTCATCACGTTCGCCTTCCATACTGACACGTACCAACAACCTCCCTTGTGTATCCAGGTCAAGCCATATTTCTTGAGGTAGATAGTCGCGGAAGCCGTTTGGATCAAGCTTCAAGGTGGTTCTGCCTACAAAGTCATGTTCTCCAAACATGTCATAATCCCAGACTGTGGCGACAAGATTCAAAGGTCCTGAAACATTGATGTCTACTGACTCATCCCATTTGGGATTTAGCGTCCTCATGATGGTTCTTGTCTTGGCAATACGCTTTTGGTACTCGTCACCAAGCACCACATATGGGTCGCTCGTTCCATTGGCATCGCATGCCTTGAGGTCTTCAGCCTCAACGATCTTGACAGTGAAGACATATTTCTGAGGACGCTTGGTGGGTTTCCTGGGACCTTCTGCCCTCTCCAGCAAAGCAGCACAGGCATCGACGTTTATCAGTTTCTCGAGCTTATCCAATTCTTGCATAGCGTATTCAATGTTGTTGAGCTTGACCAAAGACTAGAGAAGTGTCAGCAATTGCCATAACATTATGGTAAGGTTCTGTTACTTCAGAATAAAACTGGAAAGGCTCGATCCTCTCCTTGTTGTTCCAGGCATCCTTGGCATACTTCATGAATTTGCCTTGCGCCGTCTGAGCCGCAGCCAAAGCTTCTTGCTCATTCGCTCGAGGGGCATCCATTTCTTTGTTGAACCTGATGTCGATGATTTCGCAATATCTTGCAAGGCCATTGGCAAATATTCTTGAAAGAGCAGTCATGAACTTGGCATGATGGATATCATTGTCCCACTCTAGCTCAAAGATTTGGTTGGCAGTCTGGTTGAAGCTCTTGAAAAGATCAATGACGGAATGGCTGTGGCGGTCTTCATCCTCAGGTGTTAGCTCGTCTCGTCCTGGCCGGACCTGAAATTGATCTTGCTTGATCGCATTCTCTACAATGTTTGCTGTAAACTCCTCAGCATTTGCAATCCACCGCCAAACAAACCCCACTAGAAGTTCCTCGATGTCGAATGCGAATGGTGTGTCAGGCAGCAAGGATCGGTGAATCTGTCGAATCTCGACCAATTCTTTATACAATGCAAAGCCATCTTCAGACCCGAATTCTTCGCCACGCTTCTGGGCATTGTTAATGATCTCTTGTATCATGTGAGGGGCGTCATCTTCGAAGCTTGGAAACATGGTCCCAACCAAAATTTTCAAAGGGCTAACCCCCATGATTTCTGGCTTTGCTTTATACCGCTTCCTGATTCTGTCACATAGCTTGGCCACCGATTTGCCGAGCTGTAAAACATGTGCAAAATCCCAATCTGCCATATCTTCAGGTATTTCAGAGTTCAAGTACTCGCGGTACTTCTCTCCAGCTCTTTCTTTAAGACCCTCGTTTAGGGTTACTGTAAATTGTTCCTCCTCCTCGACTCTCCGGGAGAAGCTTGGATCCGAGTAGATCTGGCTGGTCAGAACACCGAGCGGGTAAGCGATGGATGGCGGCTTTGGCTCATAACATTGCATTAAGTTCTGGAAAACCTCGCGAAGAAGTCCATCATGCAACATATTCAGGGTGTGTTGGTACACGGCGAAGTCGTGTATTGTCCACCTGCTCCTATCTATCGTGTCAAGACTTTCGTTGTATAGATAAATGTGCGGCGGCTTTTTCGTCTCCGGAGGTGGAATTTTGATCGAATCGAAAGCTCTGTCAATATCCTCGGCTTTGAACATGGAATCGAGATATTTTGCGGCTGCCAGTTCCAAGAAAACTACGAGCCGTGTGAATTGGGGGATTCGCCAATGAACACTCAGCTCGGTCAACAAGTCCATGCTTTCCTTTGAAAACAGACCCGGTTGCTCATTTTTGTCGGCATGCATTGAATCAAACTCCATCGCATACTTGGCAATGGTCTTAAAATACTCACGGGGTTCCGGCGGTATAAAAGTATAGTGTGCATCATCAACGCTCCTGATACTGCTGGTATCGTCTAAAGACATGGAGCCAAGGCTGAGCGAATCCAAGCCAGATGCAGAATCAGGACTGGACAGTGCGCGGCTGAGGTCTGCATAAGATTGGTCTTCGTCGTATCCAGAAGTTGGGCTCGAAGGGAGTGGTTTCTCGAAGGCAAGACTGGCGGTTGACATTCTGACCAAGCTCGGTTTTGCCGTCAGAATGTCCTTCATCATGGCCGATAGGTGTGGTGCTTCTGCTTTCTTCCATTCTTGAAAAGCTTCATCAATATCGAAATCATGACTCTGTAAGGTCCCAGACATGCCAGAATTGAGTCGGTGCTGGTACGACTTAAGGTCTCTGAGAGCAGCATCCTCCGTCCAGTTGGGTCGTTGTTTCTCAATGTGGTTGTGCACGTCTGAGCTGGACATACCAAACAGCCTTGCAACAACCTGAACCATGTGCATATCTTTCACATCGTAGGAAAGTGGGACATCAACTTCGATGTACTTCCCTCCATCCTGACCTGTGTCGACGAAAAGGTTTTGGTCGTTCGTGAGTAGCTTCTGCTCGAGAGTCTTTAGGCGGCTCATAAGTTCCGGTTTGTCGCGATCACTTCCCATATCTTTCAAGACGTTGGCAACCAAACGTACAAACATGGCGACATGTCTATCGACGAGCAGCTTCCAGGAGTCATCGACCGCTGGAGCACCAGGAAGCGGGCGGCATGATTTGGTTGCAGCACTGTAGAAAGTCATGACAACACCCTCGAGCTTTCTATCCTTGTCTATAATCTTCTGCATGGCAGCGCTCCCAAAACTGTTGTATGCCTCGGCAAAAGACCTCTTGATATCGGCGTCCCCATAGCCGGGCGCCTTTTCCGCCCCAGCCATGACGCCGGCCATGCGTTTGTCGAGATGCTTGCGAAACCCATGTGGAAGTTTTACGGTCGAGGAACTCTGTGGCAGCAGCTCCTTGACAAGATCTGTGGCGGCCGAAGTATATGCTCTCTGGGGACGTTTAGGGGCAGGGACAAACTGTTTCTGCTTCCGCTTTGGCTGCAAGAGATAGTGCAGATATGCGATGCGGAGGGAGTAGGTGAAGGCTTCATCGAACTGCACTTCGGTCTTGCGGGCGCGCGAACTAGATCGGGCTCGTCGTTCTCCTCGCTGTATACTATCGAGTCGGCGGTGAATAGCTGGACTGCCCGCCAATGATTTCCTGGAAGCCATGGACATGTTGCCGGGGAGTCGGGCGTCGGCCTCTTGTTTGTTTTCTCGTCTCGGCGGCAGTGATGATGACCCCTGTAACACTCATGTCATGCTTTTGCCCTCCTGAAGGCGCCGTGGACGTTCTGTCGTCGTCTTCTCCGTGGAATTATCCCATGCACAACAGGCTGTAAGTCCTGGCTTCCAAATAGGCTCTCGGGTCGCAGAAAAGAGGACGGTGTGGGTAGAAGAGAGTTGGGTTCACGCTTGTTGTGATTCGATTATGTGTTTGATTGCAGATGGTCCGGCACCGATTTAGCAACGTCATCCCGTTTGAACCAGGAGCTCGGCTATCCCCATCTCAGGGCCTAAGGTGCTGCAAAAGAAAGAAAAAGGGGCCCAGTGCGGGTTTGGGTACAAATATGTGAAGTATTGGCGCCAAACTGCCGTCAAACCGTCCGCCATTTGAGCACGGTACTGTGTACCGGACTGAGACTGTGCCTTACTGATTGCAGTAGGATACCTGCATTACATTCTAATTCCATCTAGATAGCACTAATACGAAGCTGAATACGGGGCCGGCGGGGCGTCCAACGTCTGACTGCAGCACAAGCCTCTTATACTGGCTCTCAGCCTAGTGTAAACTTGCAGTCTTCTGTCGCACGATAGCTACATTATTTGACTGCAGGAAGAAAAAGCCAAGTCTACGTTGATAGTTATGTATGAAGACATATATTATTGGGGGCGCCAGCAATTAAACAAGAGGAAGGACAATGAAACCGAAACCTGCATGGGCCAATAGGGCGCACTATGGGGTGGGTGTCTGCAGCTAACTGCCTAGACAAGATTCGAGTCCTCACAATAGTTAGCAAACAGATGCTGGATTCCCAAGTGTAGCCTACCGTCACGATCTGTCAATGTTCTTGGCTGTTGCACTAATATGCTAGGCCGGCCTAGTGAGAGCCTGTTTAATGTTGTTTCCGTGTCAGCCATCTGTCCTGATACTGTTGGTGACATAGCGTACCTCGCAAGGATCTATGGGATCTTCTGCCTCTGAAAACGCAATACTATATAATCTTACCAGCATGGCTTCCGTCTCCTACCCCTATGGACAACAACCTCTTTGGGAATATCCAACCGGTCATGGCAGTTTCGAACATGGCGTCACCTACATACCAGGAGTTGTATTGTTGCTTCCATCATCGTAGCTAGCCGCTCCTTATCTTGGGCTGGTGGTACTAACAATACCCAGAATGGAGACTGGGCCTTTCCTCAGGTGCTGCAATGAAACAGTTCTGCGGGAAAGGGCCACCTGCTGTGTTGAACATGTCATGAAGACCAGCCTTGGGCCAACACCAAGAGGACGTTTGGTGGTAACCTAGCCTTAGACTTGATCCTTTCAAATTCGTATTCTCGTCTGGCATTCAAGGTGGCCTTTTAACCAACTACTGCGTCCCACATGGGTTTCTCAATACATACGTAGCAATTAAACTTGCAGCCGGCGCAACTGGGTCCACTGGTTTTTCTACAGTACAACCTTAGTCCCCAGGTCATTTCTTTTCACCACCTACCTAATCTTGGATATCTATGCACTGTATTCACCAGGCTTGCGGTGTTGCTCAGCCTCGTGTTTGTGCGTGGGCGTGTGCTTGCGCTTGCATGACTTTCGGCATCACACGACAACGACAGGTATGTGGCTCGGCCCCCTCATGACAAGCGCAGGCTGTCGATTGGAAGGATATCTGGAAGCATCAAAGGGTGATGTACTGCCTAAAGCAGAAGACGCAGGAGTGCTGTACATACTTAATACATGTGTTTGGTTTGGATTTGGGTGGATCGCAGGTCCGCCATCCCATTTGTCATTTCGCTTCAAGTTACTGGTCCCTTGCCAGGGTCCTTGCTCTCCAGACACAAGGCCTTGAACGGAGACGGCGCCACTAACTAACCTACTGTACCGAAGCCAGATCGATTCGAGTTGCGATATTGGATTGGAATTCTGGGAATACAGTACATACCCCGCTGTGCTAGAAAGGCAACCCTCCAATCCCCAAGCTCCAACAACGTTACGAAGATTGGTCGCTAGGTAATACCAATACCAATACCAACACCACCACCAAATACCTCCCCCCCCCCAACGAACCGCACTGGAGGCAACTCATACCACATGTAGCAGACACATCTACAAACCCGTCACGGACTCCCTTCCTGCATCCACAAAGAGAAACTCCCAGGAAGACGCCCTGTTCGATTGCGACTCCCCACGGCGACCACAGTTGTCTTCTCTGCGGCCTTCTCCCAGGCCGGCAGCTCCCTGCTAGAATGGGTATTGTCAGTAGTAGACCCGATGATGGCTCGGCCGTCTTTCTCAAGGACCAGAACAGATGTTAGTTCCTCTTTGTTGCCTTTCTGCTACAACAGAAACCACTGCGGTCGCCAAGTCTGGCGCATGGGCTCGAGCTAATCTGAACCTCTTCTGCAGTGTCCATCTCTTCTCTTGTCATATCGAATCCGCGAAGGCGAAGCGCAATCTCCATAGTTCCAAATGCGTTCCCTGCCACCAAAGTTACTGCCACGCGGGCTTCAGGAGATTCAAGCCCCGTAGAGTTTATTCAGGTTCGTGGCACGCATGCAGAGCAGCCTCTAAACAAAACAAGAATATCGCATGTCTCTGACTGCGCTACTGCAGGACACCGAACCCTTTCCCATGCCTAATTTCTTGCTCAAACTGAACACGGACGACGAGCTGCTCTTCACGTTCACCTTTGTCATTCGCCAAGAGAACACCAACGGCCCCGCCGCAGATACCCATATCAACGGTCTGACCTATGTCTACGCCTCAAATAGCAGAGAAGTCGAGAACTTGGTTACTCGCGAGTTTCATGCCGACCCGAACTTACATAAGAATTCTAATGTCGAATTGGTAGGAGACTACCACACGGGCGGCAGTTCCTCAGTGAGCTTCGAGTGGTCATGGAAATGGAAGCCTCCAAAAGCTGTGGAAGATCGGGGTGGTGGCTGGAGAAATGCTTGCAGCGTATGTCAAGGTCACGTCCTAGACTACAAACAAGGTGCTAATGACGTCCGCAGTTCGTCGAATACGACCAGAGAGCCCACAAGCTGGTCACTCTCGCCAGCTTCTCCTTCTGGGTTGCCAGTGAGTTCCCACAGTCCTTGGATCGATTGGCTTTACGTTGACCAGTCCAAAGACACCTCAAACATTCCTTCCCACCCAAACTCGCCGTCGCCCGTGTTCCAATTAGCCGTACCACCGCGAATTCGCGTGGCATCCGCACAGTCGGTCGATTCACGGATCAGCGAGGGGGAAGAGCCTGGCTCTCCCCTGAACATACAATATGACCTCACGCCGATTGCGCAAGTGGAAACGAATATCTCACAACAAGCGATCAAGGTCGATGTTGCCTGCCCACGACCCGGCGATGACATGAGCGTAAGTGACGACGGCCCAGTCTTCCGTGCCACAATCAAAGCTTTGGAGCAAAAGACAGGGAACATGAGAACACAAATGAAACGCGTCCTCAAAAAGGCGGAACAAGCCTATGCAGCTCAGGTCGAGGCCAACGACGCATTCTCTGGCTTTCTGGACTCCTTGCGAGAAGCTTCCAGTTCCAATGCCAATGCCGTACAACCAGCATTAGAGCATTACTTTGATAAGATCGGGCGGGAGATATTGGCCTACGAAAGACTGAACACTTCCAACTTGCAAAGGGCCATCATCGAACCAATCAGTAAGCTATATACATATGATATCAAACAGGCAGAAAGCAAGAAGCGCGATTTCGAAGAAGATAGCAAGGACTACTACAGCTACGTTTCCAGGTACTTGGGACAACGACAGGATTCTGTCAAAGCCAAGAAGCTGGTCGATAGCGACAACAAGTACCAGACCAAGCGACGGAACTTTGAGCTGAAGCGATTCGATTACTCCTCATTTGTGCAAGATCTGCATGGTGGTCGTAAGGAACAGGAAGTACTATCGCACCTGACCAGGTATGCTGATACGCAGGCACGAGGTTTTCTGACCACGGCGAAAAAGATCGATGGTCTACTCCCTCAGCTAGAGGCTCTTTCAAATCAGGTTCAAGAGGCGGACAAAGAGTTCCAGTACCAGAGACGTGAGCGAGAGGAGAAAAGGCGGGTACTCGAAAAGAGCAATCTCTCGTATAACGAGCCAGAGACGGTGGCTTCAACCGCGAGCGTGGCTCCTAGTGCTATCGCTTCCGTTGCAAATGGCATCCAGTATACTTCTGACTCGGAATTGGGTCGCGCTGATAGCACCGGCTCGCAACTCAGGGTCGTCATGACAGGCAGTTCAAGCGCCGTAGTCACTCCAGGATCAGACCTCTCAAGATCACCTGGTAGCTTAGGCCCAGCTACTATAGGCAGCCCTCTACAGAGCGCCAAGTTCAAGGGGATTCGAGATCTTGAGGAAAGAGACCTGTCACAGGCGTTAGGTCTTGACAAGAATGTGACACATAGAAAAGAAGGACTGCTCTGGGCCCTCAACCGACCAGGAAGTCATGTTGATCCACGGGCATTAACAAAGCAGCAAGGATGGCACAAGTAAGCTTTCTTGAGGCGAAAATTTCCAGTTCATGCTAACATTGTCAGGTTCTGGGTGGTGCTGGATCAGGGCAAGCTCTCCGAATACAGCAACTGGAAACAGAAGCTGGATTTACACATGGACCCTATCGATCTCCGGTTAGCGTCTGTTCGTGAGGCAAGAAACGCCGAACGAAGATTTTGTTTCGAAGTGATAACGCCACATTTCAAGCGTGTGTATCAAGCCACAACTGATGATGACATGAACAATTGGATTACTGCAATAAACAACGCTTTACAGAGTGCTGTCGAAGGACGCGGGCTTAGGGATTTGCCCACGACGTCATCGTCTACTGGCGACTCGTCAAGCTTTAAGAGAGATATCGGGTCTGTACTCACAGGCAAGAGTACTTCCTTGAACCATGGGCACGGCTACGGCCATGCCCACCATGGCAGCCCTGCCGCCAACATTCCTACTAGGCGCATCACCGTGGGGGCTCGGCCAGCCGTCTCACAGCGACCAATAAGTAGCAGCTTCGACGACAGGCCTGATAAACTACTGCAGACACTTCGCGATCACGACCAGGGAAATCTTTGGTGTGCGGACTGTGGCAGTGGCGCCAAGGTGGAGTGGGTGTCCATCAATCTAGCAATAATACTCTGCATTGAATGTAGTGGTATACACCGGTCATTGGGCACCCATATCAGCAAAGTTCGTTCTCTTACACTCGACATCACGTCTTTCACGCCCGATATTATCGAACTTTTGCTTCTCGTGGGAAATCGAGTGTCAAACATGGTATGGGAGGCGAGGTTGGAACCAGGTATTAAACCCGGGCCGCAAGCGACGCGTGAGCAACGATTGAGATTTATCACGGCCAAGTATGTTGACAAAGCCTACGTGGAGCCCATCTCCGCTACGCTTTCAAGGTATCCGACAGCAGACGAGACACTCTTAGCTGCCATCAAGCGGAATGAGATACAGCAGGTCATCTATGCCTTGGCATTGAAGGCCAACCCGAACGTCCTTGATAAATCTCGGGGTACACATGCCGTCTTCCTCGCTTTGGCAGCGGCGGATCCAGCTTCACCATCCCCATCACCTACTCCTGCGAGTCGTGGGGAACCCGACAGCAACACTAAGCCCTTCCCGTTAGCCGAGATGTTGATTCAGAACGGGGCAGAAGTACCAGCCACCATGCCCGCCTTCCCACTCAGCCGCAGTGCACAGCTATACATTGAGCAGAAGCGAGGGCGCAGCGCCGCCATTGATGCTTCTGGCATGTCGGCATCGGCCTTGAGTCCCAGTCCAAACGAAAGAATGCGCCGCGATAAAGAGCGTTTACAGAAGCGCATCAGTGCAGGAGGTCATTTAGCCACTTCCCCGATACCCGAACGTTAGAGACGTCGGTCGACGGTATCTAGTTCGCCACCCCCTTCACTTTTGATGTCTCCTTCCGAAACTGCAAGCTATTTAGAAATGGCACTTATTCCGAGGCGGAGTTCTAGCATCGAACGATAGAAACGGCGCTTGCAATTGCCGTTAACACCAGATCATCCGATATGCTCCTCGACATTGTCTGCTTTTTGTTTATCTATTATTCCCTTCTGTTCTGGCAGCAAGAGCATATCATTGCCTTCTTCTCCCTGTACACTTTCTTCCACGAGTTCAGCTCCACGGCTTGATATGGTCTTCAGCTTTGGTGATGGGTTGGACTGGTGATTCCATTGGCATTGCGTACGTGGCATTATTGGGCATGGCGTCAGGGTATGGACATGTTGAATGATGGGTCTATCCAAGTATATAAGTGGAACATGGATAGGGCAATAATCGTAGTTGTACGAATCAAAGAAGAACCTCATAAAACATTTTTATCTCAAATGCAGTCTCGCCCGTCCTGCAGATGTAGAATACCTACTGGATAATGCGATAAAGCCAGTGAGACACACGCCCCAGTCCCTACGTAGTTCCCACCACAAAACCCAACAGTGGTAGGCATCATCACTCATCAGTTTGGATCAGACTTGCTTCTTCGCAAGGCGCCGCCACTTGGCCTGGACATGGACGGCTTCGCACATTAACGAGCACAAACTAATGTTATAAAAGATGAGGTCGAATAAGATAACATCTTGCAAGAGATGTTGTTGGTTACACATTTCCAGAAGGGAAAAATATACATGTATAATTTAGACGGATAGAGGATAAAGATGGTTCTTGCGGACAGACATAATCCAGGTGAATACGTATGTTCCCCAAGCGGAACGATTGTTGGCACATCTCACTTCTGCCGCTGTTTTTAGATGGCCGCAGGGTATATTCTCGTTACCGGGCCATGAAAGTCAGTGTTCGGGGGTGTAGTTTCCCTGTTCTCGGGTCTCCGATGACTTCTCATTACAGTGCTCACATGTTTTGTAAACGAAAGATGAGTGACAAGGAGACACGGCGTCAGGTGGGTGCACTGAGAGCATCAGCTGGCCTAGGGACTTTGGCGACGGAAGCTGTGACAGTATCCTCGAGGTCTAGTGCTCAGCCTCAAAAGTGCGGGGCCCGGCATTCAAGCATCATTGGCGAGCCGTAGCTTGCCTGATAAGAGTCACCAGCCGGTTGAGTCACGAAGTATCTGTCACAACAGCTCCCGTCGCTTCATACGTGATGAGTATTGCGAACCATTCACCTCGTTACGAGACTGGGCTGAAGAGAGCGCCTGTCGATTTACATTTACCAAGAACCGGATGAATGCGACGTGTTATAGGGCAGGACGAAGACGGCGTCACTTGACGCATTCAAAGGGCGGTTTCCACCCTGAGGAGATCCACGCGCGCATGCATGCGGACCTCACACCTCTCACGTCGATCTCAGGGTCCCCGTCCATCAGCCATGGTAGGCGCCAGGGGGGGGGGATGTTTCCATGATCTCGCAACTCAGGCGGAAGGCAGGCATGGGATGGGACGGGATGGGGCTGATGGGATGGGAAACTTGCTCCGCCTGTTCGATTCTCCATTTTTAGCATGCTCAATTGTAGAACTAACACGTACCAGTGTGGATGTCCATAGTTAATTACAGGAACTAGCTTGCAGGCCGCCGAGTACAGTATGTATCCGAGTCTCCGGCCTCTGCGTCGAGGCCTCTGACATAACTATCGAGGCCTGTGACATAACGTGACCAGTCGCCGTCCTTCGAGAAACGTGCCCCGGGCCTTGCTTTTGAGCAAGCTGGTCCCTCCCCAACCCTTTTTGCTTGATAAATCAGGACGTGGACATGGCATGATTGATCCGTCCCATCCCCCCCCGTCCGTCACCGAGGTCTCCAGCTTTAAGTACTAACGTACTGTAAATTACCTGACCTACTGTACCTATCTTAACTTACAGTACGCGACGGCCGCAACCGCAAATCACCATCCATACTCCAGGCTCCAATCCGCTTCTGAGCAATCAACCTAATCTACCCGCTCCTTGTACAATTCCGTGACTTGCCAATATCAAGCACTTGCTCCTCTCCACGCGTGCCTGCACTCAACTATATAATATTTTGGCACTAGGTTAGGCTTCAACCTCCTATTCCGGCCTCCCTGTTGTTACGGCACCGTACCAGCCCGTGATAGGCATCTGCACAAACCGTTCATCTGGCACCATTGCTATAGCCATGGCTCCACGCGAGAAGAGCCAATTGAAGCGAGTCCGAGTACGCATTCCCTAGTCGATCCCCAATCATATCATTGCTGTTGAAGCCCTGACTCATCATTCTTTTCATCAAGGACTCGCCTCAAGAATCAGACCCGACCAAGAAGCCGAGACGATCCGAGCGCTTGTCCCAAAGCAACGGCGATCACCTCAAGACCCCCGTTACCAAAAACCAGCAGAAGCTTCCTTCTCCAGTCACCTACAATGAGGACGAAAGCAGTCTCAACGGCCGATACAAGGAGGCCACGGCTACTCCGCCAAATGGCAGGCCGAGCCAAGTAAGACACAGAACACCCGAAGAGACGCTGGACTCACAATTGTCCTCGCCGCCAAACGACACCCAAGCTTTTCCCTCGCAACTCGTCGACCCACAGGCCGCTCTATCCGACGAGGTGGAAGACGAAGTAAAAGAAGGAGTCTGGGGATATCTGTTCCCCCTCGACGCCAGATTTGGTCGATGCGTTGTCCTACGAAAACGAGCCACATGCCCTGCCTCGGAGGCCGTAAGCGACACCGAGCCCGTCAAGAAGAAGAAAGAAGGCAGAGCTCTAGAGCAGGAGGAGACCTATGAGAGCTCCAAGGCCAAGGGAATCCCTTCTGGCGGCTATTTGATAGGACGACATCCCGAATGCGACGTAATAATAGACGACCCTGTCATATCGAACCGACACTGTCTGCTGTTTACCGAGCACAAGGGCAATGACACAACAGCCGTCCTCGAAGATCTGTCTAGCAATGGCACATTTGTCAACGAGGCTCTGGTGGGACGGAACCAGCGGAGAGAGCTTCAGGACCAAGACGAGATTGCTGTCATGGATAAGGGCCGATTCATTTTCAGATACCCGCGAAGCCGCATGTCAAGTGCCTTCCTCCACCAATACACTCTCCTCGAGCGGCTAGGAAAAGGTCACTTCGCTGAGGTTTTCTTGTGCGTCGAGAAGTCCTCGGGCACCAAGTATGCTGTCAAGATCTTCACCAAGCATCCTGGTATGGAGGAGAAGTCCAAGATAGAGGGCTTGCAACAAGAAATCGCTGTCCTTATGGGCGTGAGTCACCCAAACATCCTGTGTTTGCACGACACCTTCAACGAGAAGAATGCAGTCTACTTGGTTTTGGAACTAGCGTCTGAGGGCGAGCTCTTCAACCATATCGTAATGAAGCAGAAGTTCAACGAGGACGAAGCCAGGAAGCTGTTCATCCAGTTGTTCCAGGGTATCAAGTATTTGGTGGGTGATAATCGAGCATTTGAGACAATATGCACCTCGCTAACACGTTCCAGCATGACCGCAACATTGTTCATCGCGATATCAAGCCTGAGAACATCCTTGTGGTGGACAAGGAGATGCACGTCAAGCTGGCTGACTTTGGGCTTGCTAAGATTATTGGCGAGGAGTCCTTTACCACCACGCTTTGCGGTACTCCCAGCTACGTTGCTCCTGAAATTCTGGCAGAGGGAAGGCATCGCAAATACACAAACGCAGTAGACATTTGGTCACTAGGTGTGGTTCTGTACATTGTTCTGTGCGGCTTCCCTCCTTTCTCCGACGAGCTCTACGCAAAAGAGTTCCCGTATACGCTCTCACAACAGATTAAGAGTGGACGGTTCGACTACCCTTCACCTTATTGGGATTCTGTCGGCGACCCAGCCTTAGATCTCATCGACCACATGCTAGTAGTCGAGCCCGGGAAACGGTATACCGTGGATCAATGTCTAGAGCACCCTTGGGTTACACAAAAGATGCCAAACCTTAACGATAGCACAGATGGCCTTGTCGACGGCGTGGGTGGTTTGGCAGTCGCCAAGCGCGGTATTCATCGTGAGCGCACACTGCTCTCGTCTATTAACAGCGTGAATTTGGTCCGCAAGATACCCCTGAGCGAGAAGCAGCAGGAGGACAAGGGACCACTCAATGTCTACGCCAAGAATACCGATGGTGCTAGTGGCACCAACATCAGGCTACAGGAGGCCCGCCCTGCAGATGAACGTACAGCGAAGGAATTTATGGAACTAGGAGGCAAAGGCGATCAAGAGCTTTTTGGGAACGATGGCGGCAGTTATTACACGAAAGAGGAAGCTATAGCTGCCAATGGCAATGCGAAACCCAAGAGCAAAACCAAGACCAACGGACGATAAGGCTCGGAGTTGTTCACTAGAAGTCGGTTCGTCTGACTCGTGGGAATAGTTGGGTCGGTTTTGACGGCGTACGCAGCATTACCTCGTGTATGAGGATCTCTAAACTCTACCGGGGGCTATGATTAGGAACGAGATTTTGTTAAATATCGAAGGCGCTCATGTCGGGTTTCATACGCCATTCCTGGCTTGTGTATACGGTCTATGGCGTTAACGGGGTCGAAAATTTTATCTGAAGGGCTTTGGTGGGCATTTCTATAGCAGAACTGCATCTCACGCCGTGCTCGTGCACTACTGGGCTCGGATGAGCGCAATAATAGTTGATAGTCCGGGCCCATATTTATTCAGCTTCAGTAAATGATATGACGAGACTCATAGTACAACGTCCATTTGCCTTGTCTACTCCGGACACCTTTTTTTTTTTTTTCCTTTTTTTTTTTTTTTTTTTTTTTGGTGGGGAAGTTGAAGTTCGCGGCGAAGATGAACCATTACTTCACATTATCATTGCTGGGGCCAATTTGATTCTGAGGTACATGTTTTCGAAGAGATAGCCGTTCTAAACCCTTCCAGAGAATCGCTTAATTTGAACATCTGCTCGGCGAAAAGCCAGCGCCATGCTTGATTTGATAATGTGACACGTGCTCAGGGCGAAAAGTGCGGCGGCGGTCTCGAGCCCCCAAATATAGCTGCAAGGCTCGCCAAACAATGCCCACGCAGACTTTGATTGTGGTAGACACGCATGCCGACACATTGGAACGGCCCCTAGTTGTAGAGCCGTAACATCGGAATTCGACTTCGTGTCTACACAGCTGAATTACTGCATGGTAAGGCTGACTGTATTGGTACCTCTGGCCAGCAGGCTGACAATGAAGATGAGACCTTGCGTTCAAGAGCTGAATGGAAGAGAAGAGTTGCCTCTCTTCAAGGTCAACATGTCTTCCCATGGACTACCGAAATATATATCGCGTGGTAGTTCGCGAGGGTACACTGTCTTCCATTTCCTGCGTGGGATGAGCCAACAGAGATCTTACAGTCTGTTGTACAAGTCACTATGGCGAGTAACACCGTCTCACCATATTCCGCTTCGACCTTGGCAGTTGCGGTCGACAGCGCCTCAGCTCAATTTTCCCTAGATCATGACCTTCCATCTCAAGATTTGGTTTCCTGGAGGAGTACCCAGGTTCCATCATCGAAATGTATAACACCATGCGAAGTTGTCAGAGACACCTCATTTTCAACCGAGTATCAGGAGACAAAAACGGTCGGGGTGTCACAGCTCGGCGCCTGGAAATATACCGCCGCCACATTGCATCCATGGCGATGGCAACTAGTCACTTCGGTCTTCTCGATTACTTGTTTTACATACCTATTCTACTTAGCATCGATAGTAAGCAGATTTCGGGGTTTTATTCAACCCTTTTTTAACATGTCCATGGATCCTATGTTTTTATCACTGCTTCACAATACTCCCGAAGACGTCCCGACGATCATGAAGAAGTACTTGCTGACTCCAAATACTGTAGTGGGACGATAGACCTCTGGCCGAATGGACCACGGAGACTGTATCTATTAATGCCGTAGTTGCCGCCACCGCGACTGCCCTCAAAGGTAGTTTAATGGTCCTCGTGGCGAGTACCATTAGTCAATCCCGGTGGATGCATTTCGCCAGCAGCGGCGTTCCTCTTCGCGACCTGGAATATATCGATGATGCAGCTCGCGGGCCTTGGGGTAGCCTTCTGTGGCTCTTACGATTACCGCGGACATCATTACTGGTCACGATTGGGTCATGCGTGACGCTGGTTGCGACGGCTTTTAGCTTCTTCGCCCAGCAGTTCGTAGCCATAGATTTGAGACGTGTCCCGGACCCTGAAGCCGTTGCCTACTTCCCATGGGTCCAGGATGCTTCGATCTTTGACTTGTCCTCGATCCGCGCCTTTTCTGATGGGTTTCTTGGTGTAAAACCCGACGACGTACTCATGTCATGTCCTACAGGAGAATGCACGTGGTAAGGTAACTCGCAGTCTAAGTGTTATATTTGCTAAGGTTATGAATTATTAGGAACAGCGTGCTCTCCGTTGGCGTTTGTGGAACTTGCTTGGATGCAACTCATCGATTGGAACAGGCCTCGTGCGCCAACATGCAGTTAGCCCAACATGATCGGAACTACGAGACTATCCTGTGCAACTACACAATTTCTGGCAGTCGAGGCAATGCTAGTAATGACCGTGTGGTCGTAGCGCCTGCATACAACACGTCGTTGAAGCTCCCAATTGTGCAACATTATGGCTTGTCTGGAGTGTCGCCGCTTCCTTTGGTCCATATCTTCGGGCTCGGCGACAGCATAACATACCCCAAGCAAACATGTAACACCAGTGGGCTTTGGACAGGTTCATTCGGCAGCTTCGAAGTGCCGCTCTTGAACTACGATCCCGACACGCATGTACTCCAATTTGGCTCGCCCACCCTAACACAGTGTGACCTCCGATTCTGTTTGCAGAATTATGCAATCAATATTGACCATGATCAGATAACCCAAACACTGACCAACACTACTGGGTTCTACTGCGAGGTCGACCAGACACCAATCTTCCGGGATGGTGTTGAGGGCAACAAAACCCCTTACCCGTTTGCGGTGTCTGCGCCCGAGGTTCCCTTTGGAGTGTTTTTCGACCAATTCCGAGAGAAACCCATTATCCTTGAACTAGATCGCGGCCGGAAGAATGCATCGGACGCAGCCAGCTACTTCCAGTCAGCTGTGGACGGCTTGAGTGAGTATCACGGTCCGATGACTAGTTCAATGTCCTTCTTAAGCGCCCCTGGAGATTATGTCGCGGCTTGGGCACAAACAAAAGGCAATCGCCCACTTTGGATGGACAATCTCGCACAGACTATCAACAATGCGATCCGTCGTGCAAATGCCGTTCCGATGTTCCGAGACTCCTACGCCGGCACAGCATATTCAGAACAGGCTTACATCAGAATTTCGTGGTCCTGGATTGCATATCCTGCGAGCCTAGTAGGCGTCACGTTAGTACTATTTGCTGTGAGCCTGATCACCACTCACTGGACAGGCCGGAACGTTTGGATGACTGGAAACCTTGCATTGTTGCTTTCGGATGTCGATGAGAATATACGGATGCGAGCACAAGGAGCGTATGGGTCCCACGATATACTGCTTGATGCCATTGGGAGAACAGAAGTTCACTTAGTAAGAGATAACGATGCTGGATGGATATTTCGAGCAACCGACACATATTGAGGGAAGCTTCTCGGTATTATTAAATAGATTACGGCTTTGAATGATGTTCTCCGCCACCCTTTTTCCTCGTTGCGTAAACAGATGAACCATTCTGAACATCCGACTCGCTCTGACATGGGTAGTTGAGTTACAGGCTTCTTGATTATCTGATGATGTTGTATAATCTCATGAGCTTCTAATAATGATATATTAGATCAGCTCAGGCCAGGGAAAACTTACCACCCATAGGTGAAGTGCATCGTTACTTATCAGTGACCTGCATGAGCGTCGGGTACGGGACGTGCAAATTCACAAATCGACTGGATTTTCACCATCCTCGCTATACCGGAAGCATGGCTTGAAATCGCAACTACATCTCCAGTTCTCCAGTGCTTTCTACTCTAAGTTCGGATCCTTGATCGTACCCGGCTTCGGTACAGAGTTCGCAATCTCTCCGCAATTCTTGCACTTCCTGTGGTCCTCACTCGCCATAAATGTCTCAATTGCAGCTTTGATTTGAGTGCCCAGATCTGTGCAGTGGAAAGCCGCCTCGTGGACGACCTCGCTGCAATTTTGACAGTACCAGCGCATCTTGTCCACACTGCGTTCGGGCCGCTTCTGCTCAAGAACAATTCCCACGGTGTTGGCGAAGCGTACAGGGTTATGCGGCGTGTTTCCTGGCAGGAGGAACATATCGCCTTCTCTGATGATAATATCCTTAAACTCGCCGTCGTCCACCACCTTGAGCATCATGGCGCCCTTGTGCTGGTAGAACCACTCGGGAGTCTCGTTGATGTGGTAGTCTGTGCGGGCATTGGGACCACCCACGATCTGAATCGGCATGAGTATAATGCTGTTTGCTTAGCTTCAAGCAGGCACCCTTACCATGGTCGTAAAGCCTTCATTGTAGACGCAGTAGTTGTTGACTGGTGGCTTGAGGAGATGAGAGTTCTCCTCCAGCCTGGAAGCTCGGGGAACTCGTCAGCGAGAGCTTTAGGGGAGGACTTTTGCTTCAGATGATACGATAGAGCTCACCACTTTGGTATATTTACTGGGACCGAGAGCATGGTAACTGCTTGCCGACTATGCCGCTTTAAGTCAAGTAGGCGGGTGCAGGGTAAACAGCTGGCCGTCCAGGTTGTCTGTCAAGAAAGCAATGATGTGATCGAGTAGGCGGGTAACGCTCTTTCATCAAAGAGTGAAGCCAAGCATAGACTTGCTGGTCTTTACTTTGTGAAACATGTAAATATTTTCAAGGCGGCAAGCTTATGAATCGGGGCGGCTGGCCACGGGAAACTTACTTACACAACCCCTCCAACCCCGTCTCCATCCCATATCCGCGATCCGGTATTAGTAAAAGCACGGATAAGAGCTCTAAATTTATGGCGACCTCAGCCCGTGTCTATAGCGCTGTCGAACGAGCCCCTGCGCCCAAGCCAGCAGATCATCGTCTGAGGAACCCCTAGCTCTGAGACGCGGTTCATGTCAGAGGCGTACGAGGCCCTGCACCTTCTGGAGCTGTCGCTTTTGCTCTTTGGCCATCTCTGGAAGTTGCAACATCCTACATCTGTCCACTTTGAGCACATTTGAGCTGTTTCCTCGAGAGAAAAGCAAGCTATTGTAATCGGCCGCTCGCGCCACTACTTTCTGGTCATCTTGTCGTTCCTTATAGTATAATACCGTAAACCCACCACTCCCCCGTCTTTGAACTCAGGCCCAGCGCAGCTGTAATCGATACCCTGATTTCCGACCAAACGCGACACGATGGACCACGCACACATGGATCACTCACAGATGGACCACAGCGGTATGGACCACGGCGATATGGACCACGGAGGACACGGCGGCATGACTGACATGTGCAACATGAACGTGAGGAATACTGGCCCCCTCCTGCGGGAGTGCCGTCTATGAGACGTAGCTTACGACTGCTGACGGAATTGAATGCGAACCACAGATGCTCTTCACCTGGGACTCGACGAACCTTTGCATCGTCTTCCGCAGCTGGCACGTCCGGGGCACGGCATCCCTGGTCTTCTCGCTCCTGGCCATTGTGGCCATCTGCGTTGGCTACGAGGCCGTGCGCGAGGCCACTCGTCGATACGAATCATGGGCGGACAAGAGACAAGAAACAGCCCCTCGTGAGTCCTTACCCTTCCTTATGTCTCCCACAAGAACGAAAAGGCACCCCGCAGGAATCTCCACGAGAAGAGAATACACATCAATGTATGCGCCCAGGCCTTCTGAGCAGTTTCCCGTCTCTACCCCCCCTTCTGCCGGCGAGATTGCTTGGTTTTATGGTCGGAGGGTTGCGCCAGCTTTCGCTTTTGTTATGACTTTCATAGAACAGTGTGAAAAGAAGCATGAGGGAGCACCCTGACTAAGAGATAATTGCGCGGGCGTCTGAAGTCCTCGTAGGCGAACACGGAGATGGACACGTTACTGAGAATACGCCGTTCCTATGGACAGGACGCAACCAGGTTGAAGTGAGCAAGCGAGCGCACGTTATCAAGGCCACGCTGTACGCAGTGCAATGCTTTTACGCTTTCATGATGATGTAAGTTTTTTTATCATTATTTTTAAACGGGGTTTGTTCTTTGTTTTATTTTTTGTAATGGGTTTCCCGAAATTCGAAGTGATTAGGAAAGTGTGTTGTGATGTTGACCAGGAGTTCAGGCTGCTTTTCATGACCTACAATGGCTGGGTCATGCTGGCTGTTTTCGTCGGCAACTTCATTGGATATATCATGTTCGGCAACTCTACCAAGGCGACTAAGGAGACGGCTTGCCATTAGAAACACGAACATCAGGGAGGAGGAAGTTTGCAGAGCGACTCATCAGAAGTATTTGCGCAAGCGTAGTTGGGTAAGGTGGTTGTTGCAGTAATTAGCGAGCAAGCAACAGAAGTCCCACGACAAAACCCGTAAGAAACATGCGGATCGGCTGTCATTTGGTATCTATTCATTAAAGAGCAAGGTTTGACCTGCGTTATATCTTGGCATCTTTGACCTCTTCCTTGACTGCCTCCTGACCGATTTCTCTCCTCTTCTTGTCCGGCAGCCGGCCTTGGGATTCAAGCATCGCTATGATTTCTTCGTCCCCATAGTGTTTGTTGTGCTCGAACTCAGGCTCTTCCCCGTACGCAATGCGAGCAGTATCGACAAGCATCCGGCCTGTCAAGCCCCAGACTAGAAACCTCTGTACTTCGTCCTCTTCCAACTCATCAGCTAGAGCCGCCTGCCCGCCATCTCTTGTCTTCGGCTTCGTCACTCTTTGATTGTTTATTGGCACCCAGAAATTGTGTATCCGCCACGACTTGCCGTGCCATTCGGTCCATCTCCCATCGTACCAATCGCCATTGGGGAGCGTCTCGCCCTGGACTTGTTGGTCTGTCGCCTTCAAGAAGTTGTGCAGCGGGCCTGAAAACACAGCGGCCACTTCTTTCGCGTCTAGCCGAGGTATCATGCTCTCGTCCACCATTGTGGGTGGCTTGCTGGGTGCGTCGTCGGCGTGTAGGAAAGCCACGCAGGGCCGTACCGCCAACTCGGTCTTGGCTAGGCTGCATGGCAGACTGCAGAGCGGTTCTATCCTAAACGGCTTCGGTATCTTCGAATCGTCCATGGGAAGGCCGATTTCCTCCCAGGCCTCCCGACGGGCGATTTGGTCTACACTTGCTTAGTTGTTCCGCGTCGGCAAAAACATATGGTTCATGATTTCTGATTACTTACATGGTGTTTCTGTGAGAGAGTCTGCCTTTCCTCCCGGAAATGCTGCGTGTCCTGATGAGAGGTGTCAACCACTCGCCGTTTTTCTTTTTTCTTCTTTTTTTTCTTTCGTTTTCTTCCTTCAAACAACAGGGACAGACAACTCACCAGAGAAACTACGCAGACTGGCCGCCCTCATGGTAATAACGACTCTAAGTTGGCCCTTGCGATCGGCAAACAGGAGTACCAGGACAGCGGCTCTTCGGCTTACTGGCAGGCGATCCCATGTCGGAAAGGGAGGGGGTTTGTAGGCGCGCAGTCGCGCAATGGCGGCCTTTGATGGCATAAGCATTTTACCACCCGGGTATCTCAAGTTTTGTGTGGGTTGCTTGTCCTTCCTACATATCCTCCAGCTCGGGGATGGGGTGGCATGATATCAAAGGGCTCGCTCGGGGATTAGAAATTCAAGCTATACTGACCGCCGAGACTGCATTGAGCGGGGCCATTGTCGACGCATCCCAGTAATGCGATGCTGGATGCGAACTGAGGTCAAGGGAGTGCTCGAGATCGGGCTCGATAGTCGTTGGTACGATGTCGGTGTTGGGCCCCGTCGCAGCCTCACGGAGGGTTTGTAGGATGGCAGCGCCCTCTAGGTCAGTCAGAGGTCTATTCCTCTCGTCTGAGATGGGCGCTTGCTTTTCGTTGTCGAAGATGGCGTTCGAGGGGTGCGTCATCCTTCGAGCAGCTGGTATACCCCCAACTTTGATTTGCCGGGAAAGGATATATCTATTACCTTGGGTAAGGTTAGGTAGGGAATAATAATCGTCTGACGCTACTGACGTACCAATGGAACGGCCGGTTGGTGGCGGGGGTTGGCAGCGGGGGCAGCTTACAGGGGCTTTAGCTCGGTCCGGGGCAAAGCTAGGGGATAAACTCGGCGGCCTATTAACTTACCGGCTAAGCTTACAGTCAGTAAAGTAAATAAGTAAGTAGGTAATCAAACCCCAACGGCAGCCGAGATATTGTTCTCTCTAACGCCTTACAATCTAGAACATGCCGGGCAACTGGTTGATATTACTCACCAAGTCACTGATACTTGGTGAGGGGTCGCAGTGAGGAGAGGGTAACTAATGATCACCGAGGCAGGACGCTTTCGTCCCCAGCCAAGTACAATTAATTAACTAATACTCCCGGACCATGTCCACTGGCGTCATGGCATATCCAACCTTTTTATTTTAGAGCATATTCTTCTGTCCACTCCGCATGTTCTGATGCTGGATCTTTCCTTTGAGCTCTTCTATCCTCTTCTCTCTTTTCAACTCCTCGGAAGTAAACGACAACTTCGATATCACGTCACCACCAGCATGCTTAACCCTCGACACAAGCTTGCCAACGCCCCGAGATTTGTTAGACCCCTCCGTCTTGCCGCTCTTTGTTGAACTCCTTCCCCAGCTTGATCTCTTCGACTTCTCACTTTCCTCATCATCGTAGTCCCACGCGCTCTTGGGCGGAACAAGATCGGGGTACGGCGTCTTGACGTGTTCCTCAGCCGTCTTGCTGTCGTCAAGGTACAGTGGGGCTGGTTTCGCCTTACTGCTTACTTGCGGCTTACCAGAGAGACTGGATTTTTCGTTGATGGCGAATGAGACCTTGGACGAACTGCTTGGCGCGGGTGAGGGCTTGTCATGACCATATCCTCGAGTCCACATACTGTACGGCGATGTGATGGTATCTTCGCTCGCGCCAGGAGTTGGCTTCCTCCTTGTCACCCTCACTGCTTCGCTCTGTGGCCTCGAACTACTGATCTTGTTTATCTTTCCCTTGAGGTACGGCTTAGGTGCCAGCAACCCGATGGACATTGCGCTTGCAGTAGAAGTCTTGCTTGGGCTGCCTGGGTCGCTATACCGGAATTGAGACTGCTGCTTTAGCTTTCCACTAGCCTCTTCACCAGGCAACCCATGGAACCCCAACGAAGAGTGAGAAGCCGCTGGCGGGACATCTTCCCAACGAGACTGCCGTCTTGAAGCGTTGGGCCCCCATAAATAAGAACCCTCAAGCTCGGGCTCCGACACTGTCTGCTCAAAGCCTCTCGCCGTCACATCCTCAGGTGTGAGCGGCGAGACCTCATATGTCTGATGAGAAAACGTTCCAGTTGGCGGTGATATGATAGGACTAACACCAAGTTCGTCATACAACTCTATATTCTTGACGATTTTGTGGTCCGGATACCTGGGTCTCGGCGAGTGTATGACATCCCGATATCCACCATTAAGAAAGTGATTTGTCTGCTTGATATCTGTCACGATGCTCATACTTGGCGGACGGACCAAGGCCATGCCATCCTCGTTGATGGCGCCCTCGAAACCACCCGATGTGCTGTTACCTGCACGGCTTTGGCTGCGATTTGAAGCCGGCGATTCGTGTCCCCCATGAAATCGGCCGGGCATCGGCCGACAAGATCCCTCATCCGAGTCATATATGGATGACGACGCGGAATTTGATTTCGGTGGCAACGGAGGTAAGTTCCTCGACGTGTAGTTTGGTACAGCCTTTGGTGGTGGGAACAAGTTCTGTCCGTTCCTGAAGGGTCGTTTGCCCGGCAGTTTCATGCCGTCCTTTGCCCTGTCTTGGCCCGACCGAACGGCCATTTCGATACGCCGCAGTGTTTGTTGTTTCTCCTGACTTGGTCTTGCGAGCCCATATTTTGAAGATGCCAATCGGTGTCATGGTGTATTTTATAATTCATGACATGCGTCAGACCCTTTGTGAGACAAAATGTGCAGAGAGCTGTTAGCGTTGTCGCTGGTTGCTTCCGGATCGGTTATTGTTACCGCCATAGCCCTTTGTTCGGTCTCGGGGACAAAGTAAATTGGTTATCAGTTCTTGGATCTGTTTATCGCTTCACAGTACTCAAGAAGGTGAATGGCCGCAGGTTTAGTCAAATTCCATGACGTCTGGGTTTTCTTCTTCTTCATTATCTATACCCATCGACCGAAAGTAGCTATGTCGGACACTTGGCAATTTGTGATATTGCCAGTTATAGGCAAGGAATTCCCTAGCTATGTTTAGAGACACTGTTTATTATTTAATCGCATTGCTGCACCGTGCTTCTAGGAGGTATGCAAGGCGGCGCAGTAGGCTGAACCGCATGAATCCGGTCTTATCTTTCCGGAAGTATTAGAAGTGCACGTATGCCGGGCTATCAATAAAAATATTAAATAGCTTCATCTCTCTCTATCTCATCATCTCGCCATCTTTGAATATTTGACCTTCAAGCAGTTGTGTTTCACGGAATATTAGAAGCAGTAGAGTTTCCTGAACATTCGTCTTGGTTAAACAAACTGAACACTAATTATTAAGAGCATTTTATGATGCCAAATTGAAAGTTTTCCGATCCAAAACAGTCTTTCCCTGAACACCTATCCATGGTATTTGTATCCGTCCTTCGCTGCAATGCAAACGCTCCATTTCCTCTTTCTCCAAAATTTTATTTATTGACAAAGTTAACCCACTCGCACCTACATCCGCCGGACCCTCCGTCAATGCCACCTAGTGAGCTATCCGCAGCGCTCGCCGGGTTGATCAGAGTGCCACCAGCACCCCTGTCAACGGTAATCAGCTTGGCATTCGAAGTATCGACGCGCTGTTTCTTCGTAATGTCCCACACGACGGTGGCCTTTGTCACTTCGTCGCCACCGTGGAAGTCCTCCACGATGGTGACGGGATAGGGCATGGTACCAGGTTGTGCGTGCACCGTAGTTCCGTCGGTCCCCGGAGCGGTGCCGTTGCCGAGCAGCTCGGAGTCGAGACGCGTCCAGATCTTCACGAGGAACCGAGCCTGGCTCCATTCTATCAGGGCAGTGGCATCTTCGAGCAGTGCACCGCCGTTCTTGTCGGCGTCGTTGTCCTGGTCTCGATTGAAGATGTAGATCGACTTGTTGAAATATGTATAGAACCCGTAGTGTTCAGTCGGCAAGCCTCGGTCATACAGATGGACGGGCTGTTGGGACGGCAAGGGGAAGAGCACCGCGGGCAGAGGTCTTCCGGCGCCGTCTATCGGGGCATCGACGAAATGACTGATGTTCTGACTCGCCGACGACCCGTTTGTAGGGGCGGTGTCGATACCGTTGCCTATGCCTCGCCTGCTAAGCACATTCGGTCCCACGGGCTTGTCAACTGAGGACAGGAGACTGATGAAGAAGGGCGTGGGCTCGCCCGCCTTGTTATCAGAGACAATGCCGTCGGTAGTGTTTCCCAGGAAGAACATATCAGCTTGCTCGGGCGGTGCAGGAGACGGTGAGAAGCCAGGGTCGTACACGATAGCACGGCGGATGAATGCTGCAGCTCGAGCAATGGCGCTTGAGAACACTCGACGTCCAGCAACGGCGTTAAAACTATGCTCTTCTACAAGATCCGCAATGCTTCTTCGAGTAGGTTGCTCACCTGTCTCGCTGACATTCCAAAGAGATCGGGTATTGTTGTCAAACTGAATCTGGAAGATGAATTCAGGTTGATCTGGGTCAAATAGGGCGTTCGGGTCTTGTTGGTCCTTGGGGATTGCGCAACTCCACAAGGTCTTCGCACTCTCTTGAAGACACTCATCAACCGTGTCGGAATTGTTTGGGCCCGACACCGTCAAAACTCCTGTTGGCATAGGTGGGAAATCGGTCAAGTTGAGCCAAATCGTGCTGACTGGTTCGGTTGTTTCTGCCGGACTTGAGGGGACTGGATTTTGTGAGACCGCACGGGATGGTGCGATGGATCTGCGAGCCAACACAACCGCAAGGACCACGATTAGGATTATCAGGGCAATGATGCCACCCCAAACCGCCAACCAAATGCGGCGTCTCTTTCTTCCTTCGCGGCCTGTCCGTCCAAAGCAGCCCTCCGCAGGTATACAGCCTCTGCCTCTCCAGAAACCACCAACTTTCCTAGCAACAAATTCCTCCTTCTCGTGCCGCCTTCTGTTCCGCTCCACTGGGAAGTTGGTCCCAGGTGCTGCTTGAAACTGATCTTGCGTGACATGTGTGCCAATAGGGCGATCAGGAATTACAGCTGTCGGGGCCCTCCTGGGGGTTAATGGCACATCCGACATCATGATAGCTCCTTGCGATGTCATGGTTCCGGGAAGACCAGGTGACACTGGTCCAGGTGACGGTATTGGTCGCGAGATAAAAGTGTTTGGTGGAGGGGGAACCACGCCAAACTTCACCTCGTTGAGTGAATATGGAGGTGGCTGGTCAGCTGGAGTGTGATTATGATTTTCTTCGAGCAAAACCCGGGCTTTCTCTGACGCAGTCTCCATTGGTGTGACATGTTGCTGCGAGGATGAGGGGACCGATCTCGAACTTTCACTTGTGATCTCGTGCGGTAGAGCCGCTGTCATGACCACGAGGTTCGGTTGTGGTGGTGGAGCCTTCTTCTCGTTCTCGTTTGTCTCCTGCCACCATCCATGAGGTGCTGCTGCGGATGAGCTGCTCTCCCCTGTTTGCTGTGGGGTCTGTCTAAACGGGTTGTTTGTATGTTGTGGTGAAAGGTGCATCTGTTGTGTCTGCTGCGAGATTCTCACGGTGTCCCACCAGCCCTTTGACTTTCCTGTACCCTCAGGGCTGATCGCCGATACTGCTTTGGCTGACTTTCTCGATGCCAAAGGACTGCCATCTTCCTCAAACAAAGTGCAGGGCGTTCCAACATCATCGTCGTCCACATCTACCAGTGTCTGTTGCTGTTGTTGTTGGTGTTGTTGTTGTTGTTGTTGTTGTTGTTGTTGTTGTTGTTGTTGTTGCTGCTGCTTGAACTTGTAGGTTGCCGGCAAGACTGGAACAGGGGGTGTATTAATGAAGTCGCCACCTCCACCACGAATGGTCATTTGCGAGTAGATGCTGGATGCCGCGCGAGAAGGCACGTGTGGCGATTCGCTTGCCTCAGTATCTGGCGACCAGACGGAACGCATTTGTACGGGTGTTGTAGTCGAGTCGCCAGTTTTCTGTGATGCTAGCCGTGGGGTGTACTGCTGCACTGCGTAAGGAGTTTCTACGACCGCGGTCTGAGGACTGACTTGATGCTCGCTCGCGGCATCAGATGGCATGGCGATTCCGATAACGATGGGCCGCGACTCCGGAGATAGAGGAGAGTTTTTGTTGGATTTGGCAGACAAGTTTCCAGTCTTCCGCTTCAACCAGGAGAAGCTGCCGATCGATGCAGAATTTGGTGATCCCTCCAACGCCTTGAGAGCTGCTGCATCTGCAAACCGTCCGGCATTTTCAGGTCGTGCGCTTTGCTCCATTGATTTCTGTAACCTGGGTGTTTGTCGTAATTTTGACACGTTTGTGTCCAGTGTGATTCCGGCCTTGGCGATCTTCGCCTTCGTATGACCTTTTGACTTGGCTCGAAACATAGGCCTTTGTACCGAATACCTTTGAACACTGCTCTGCCCACCGTCGTAAACATGTTTGTCGTCTTTCAGGTCCAGCGGACCATCATCAAGTATCATAGTACCACGCCCGTCATCCTCCTCCCAGTCCTCCCATTCATCCCGTGACGGAGGTTGCCTGAAAGGATTGTTTGAAGCTGGGTGCAACGTACTCATGGTAGCGTTATAGTGTGTTCGTCACTCCAGTAACTTAGACCTCGATTACAAAATATCAAGTGATCTCAGAGAAACTAGCTGTGAGATCCCGTACTATAAAATTTTATTTATTTAGGGAATGGCGTTGTCGTGACTTTCGAAAATGTTGAGTAAAATTAAAATGGCAGGATGTCGCGAGGTTGACCAAGTGTCGGTTCTTTGTAACGTTTCCGAAGGTTGAAGCGATGCCAGCGTATTAGGATTTATTAGGCATGCAATACTGAAAGAAGACTTGTTCGCCTACGGCAGACATGCAAAATGGGGTGGGAAGTCAACAAAGAAAAAAATTCGACAACAATGGATTACGAACTGGTAGGGAATGGGAAAAGGTCATTGTGAATTGGCATGACAAGATATGGCCTACAATAAAAGAAACCGGAACAATGACTAACAAGTACGCGGTCTGGCTCTTACCGACCTGACGGAGCAACATTTCGAGGCCCTGCATCCGTTCGAGGCGCTCTCGCGTCGAGCATGTAGTCGCTTATAGGAGCGATCTCGATATTTCACTGGTCCACGGGGTCGAGGTTATGTGGGTTGCATCTCCAGACGAACGGGCCGGAGCAAGCATTAGTACAGTCGAGCTCCTTCGTCTATATGATGAGAAGTTGAAACTGGGCTCCTGGCTGGTGGCTTGCCAGATGAGTGTTTGGATTAAGCGCTGTCGTATTGCATTGCGCGAGCATCATTGGCTGGCGTCTCCAAGTGCCAAGACCCACCGCGAATTTCATTGGGCGTCGAGCTTTCTGCGCGGCTGCGTTGCAGGCCATGCATTCCGGCTCGCATTTACTCGCTGAGGCTGCATGCTTTGTGATTCCGACTTGCGCAATAAGCGGGCCTGCCGAAGTTAATGGCCAAGCCCGCAAAGGCCACCTGAAAGAGGTTACGTTGAGAAGGGTGGTATCCGTACATAGTAATCCGCAGATCTTCACACCAAGTCGGAAAGTACTTGTCCGTGGCCCAAGGCGGGTCTTTCCATGGCATCGGAATATGGGTGCAGGGGTCCGGTCTAATGCCTAAAAGTTTCACGACGCGTGCCTGGTATGTATATACGAAATATCTAAGCAATGGCGATCCTGAAGTTTTAGAAAAATGCAAATGGGTATATTTCTAGGTGCCAACGCCAAAAAGAATGCTACAAACCTCACAACTCGTCTTTTACGTGGCCTGTCTCCAATCTTGCCGCATCTATCATCGCCAGAAGGTCATGAGCCCATTCAGCATTCGTCTCCTGAATGATCTGTCCGAGATGGTATTCCCAGCAACCCTCATCGAATTTCGAACCATCTTTCTTGCAATTGCTTGGATCGATGGCCGGTTTTACAGGCCACATACCCTTCTTGGCACCCACAGTTTCATCTAAAAAGGTGTCTGACACGATCCGACTAACCCGCATTCTTGCAGCTTCCCAGACATCTCCCTTGGTAAGCAGAATTTGCAGAAAGTGCTTCATCCCATTATCATGAATGAACTCGGATCGTATGGCACTGCTCTTTAGGAGCTTCCCTACGACAGGCAAAGCTCGACGAATCCAGAGAGCTTCGAGGGCATCGTCGTGATCACTCGTTGGGGTTGATGGCTCCAAACCATTAAAGAAGACATCCTTCAACGGTTTCGAATGGGATTTGCATTGTGAATCCATCAGGGAGTCCCAATACGACTCTAGGCTCAGTAATGCAGGTGGGTTGTTCTGTAGTGATGATGACAAAATCGATGACGCCAATAAATCCCAATGATCTGCACCGTCGCGGTTGAGAGAGTGCTCGGCATCCCGCTGAGTAAGGAGACAGAAGAGGCTTTTCACAGCTTCTTCATCGTCCATGATTTCCTTGCCGTAGTACATGTCATGGGAGATGTCCTCGAGGTCGACCAAGGCATCATCTAGGGGGTGCTTCCCAGGAGAGGGTGCAGTCTCCGCGTTGTTTTTCAAAAAGTCCAACGCAGCTGCAAAATCTGGATTGTGTACCTGAGGCCCCTTCACTGCTCCTACAGAGTCGTAGGATGGTGCACCAGCCGGTATCTGGGGTGTATCATCAGGAACCTCGGGGTCCACCACTACGACAGATCGTTCCACAGGTAGGCCTTCGAGAGCTGGGTCGTCTGCGTCTGGTGTGTAGAGCTTTGCTTCCTTCTTCCCCGAATAGATATCCATTCGTACGTGAAGGCCAGGCGGTAAGTCTTGGTCATCACGTACGATCTGGAACTCTTCTGTAGGTGAAAAAACCTTGGGATAACAGTCTGCCGGATTGTCGGTATGACATATCACATCGCTTTTGGCTGAAGGAGAAGGTGCAGCATCTGACGATGCTGCCAATATGGACGAAGCGAGACACAGAAGCAAAGCAAGAGAAAATGTAACCCGAAGGGAACTGCGTGATGGAGCTGGAAGCCACATGATGAATAGGTGCTATGCTGTGTTGGGATGTTGGCGATGGTGGTAGTTCAAGAAGCGTGATGGGTTTAAATAAATATGGTTGGTGGCAATAGGACAGGTTGCAAAGGAAAGGCCACGAAAACCAAGCCAGAATGACTCTTACACCACAGCTCGCGGCCTTCCCGACGTCCCCACTACATGGACCAAGATGGAAGCAGACACGCTATACTGAAGCATTTCACGCGGAGGATAACCAACAAAGTATCATATAGAGCAAATCCTGGCTAATCCGGCATTGCGCATTGCAAACAAGTGAACCCGTGTCTTGAGTCTCATGTGAGATAGCTTGGCTATTGGTTGCCTGCTTATGTACTGATCAAATCGTGAACTGCCTCGGCAGCCGTTAAGAAAAAAAAACCCCCCATTTTAGATAGCATGAATGAAAGTACGTGTGTGTGATTAATAACCCAAACGACCATGAAGCTGTTCGATTGACATCACTCAACTGTACACGTGCTGAAGATGTGTTCCAGAGTTACCACATGTATCGAATAAGGATCAGAGGAGGTCGACTGCCGCTGAGCAACCTACAGTTAGGTAGCGCTGAGGCTAGGCAACGTCAAGGTAGTAGAGCGAGGGCCCCACCATTGCTAAATCAATCCCTCGTGATTGGTCAAGTCCGGCACCCAGTCCCCGACGCAAGAGCCTCCCAATTGGAATTGACCTCAAATCACATCAAGCGTGCAAAGAAAGCTTGCTTCAAGTGAAGCTTCAGTCAATTGAGAGCCCACGACATACAGCACAACCATGCAGGCCTTACGACAAAGAGCGGCTGGTCTCGCTCGCCGCGCGAGGCCGACTTTCCCCCGCCAGACCCGAACCTACGCCTCCGACCATGGCCACGACGCAGCACCGCAGGTCGCAGAGAAGCTCAGCGTACGTCAAACAAGAGCTTTCGAGCATTCCAGGCCCCCCCTTTCTTTGTGTTCGCGGGCACTTGTTAACCTTGGTATCCTGACAGACATCCTTCTACGTCTTCGTGGGCCTGGTCCCGGCCTCCATGTTTGGCTACAGCATTTCGCGGCCGGGCAAGGACGGATCGCCCTCGAGCCTCAGCAACTGGCTGAACGACTTCGAGTATTTCCGCCAGCAGGATGTCGAGCGCAACTCTCTGCGCACCAATGCCATCGAGGAGGCCGCCCACGACAGGCACTTGCTCCTGCACGCCGAGAGGAACCCACACATCGAGCTCAAGATGCCCGAGTACGTACCATGCACATACTCTTCTCGCCGTACACGATGGAATGAAGTGCAAGGCTTGCAGATCAAAAGACCGTTAAATTATATTTAAATGGACATGTCGAGAACCTGAGGGCCTCTCGGAATATGGCACACAGAAGAGACACAAGCAGACGAGAACACTGGCTAACATGATTGTTTACCACGCACAGGTTGATTAACTCCGGCTCCCCCTACAACGTACCGGCCGGCCACCGTGGTCGCAACTTGGACGAGGTCGCGGAGCACTACAAAAAGTTGTACCTAGAGGATGAGGAGCGGAAAGCCCAGAAGATCGCAGCGGCAAAGCAGCCCCAGACAGCATGAGAGAAGCCAAGTGTACATGATCAAAATTAATTCGAGTACATAACATAGAGTTGGGAACCCACGGTTGTGGCAAGAACAACCAAGTTTCCTTTGTTCAATCAGCAGCTGCCTCTGTACCAAGGTCTGCGCAATGTTATGCTGGGAAGCATCCATTTTCCATGAAATGACCTAGCTTTGTGATGTCACGCCGTTTCCCCGTGCACGCAAAAAGAAAAGTATGTAAACGCTCACCCTAGACGTTATGTTTAGCAGAATCAGAACGTATCCAAGAGATATCCTTGTGACACAAGAAAAATGGTTCACATCGGGATAGCTCTGTTTACGGCCAACCCAAAATTATCAAAAGGGGGGATGTGAGAGAGAGACAGATATTTCAAATCCAACCTAAGCACAAGGTACCGGGAAGCATTCTGCAAAAAGACCCCAGGTATAAGGCTGTCGACAGGGAAAGAAGATTAATTAGGGACGAAATCTGGTACAATACCTCTAGGCGACCACGTCGTTCGGTGCTGATATTGGAGTGAGCATGGCTCAGAGGAAATGCATGTCACAGACTAGGACAGCATAAGGAATCCTTGAGCTCATATAGAGTCCATCATATAAAGCAGCCAAAAATAAGAGTCCAATTGATTGATTGTTTGTCGTAACGCCCAAATGATCTTCAGCCATGTATCATCTAATGCATGAGATTGCAGTAAGGGCTGCTCTCGTTTTTTGTTGCCATGCCGCCCAGCAAGAACCAATTTCCGTTCGCCAAATCCATGAATACAAGGAAACCCCCATAAACCCGCAACTTTTTACTTGAGAGGGATGAAACGAGACGAGTGAGTGGCACCAATACCGGGTCTACCATGCTTAACGGGCTGGCTGTAGAATGATTAGTTGTCCGGTCTGTCCAACGTGATTCTTGACTAGTGTACGTACTAAGAGATGGAGAACTCAGCCAAGTAGTGGCCAACCATCTCAGGTCGGATTTCGACCTGGTTGAATACCTTTCCAGAGTAGATACCAACAACACTGCCAATCATCTCGGGGACGACAATCATGTTACGCAAGTGTGTATTGACGGCGTCGGGCTTCTCATTGGGCTTGGCCTCTTGCTTGGCCTTGCGAAGCTTCTTGATGAGACCCATGGGCTTGCGCTTCAAGCCACGGTTGATTCGGCGACGGGCACGGGCGTGGACGACATCACGGAGCTGCTCGGAGTCGAGATCTAGGAGACTATTTGTTCAATGGAAGTTAGCGTGAATCATCTTCGCCATATCTGGGGCAGCTGGAGCTGAGAACATGGATGAAATAAAGATGGTGGAATGCATTTTCAATTTATTTTTCTTTCTTTCTTGGGGGATCCCAGTGACTCGGAACTAGGCAGCACGTACGCATCAAGGTCGATTCCTCGGTAAGAAAACTTGCGGAAGGTTCTCTTCTTCTTGATCTCAGCGGCCTCCTCAGCGTTCTGTATGCAATCTTGTCAGCCCCGTGTCCACCCTCGCATCAATTTTGGCCGTGTCTATCCTTCGGCTGGTGAGTCAGGTGCGAACGTACGTAATCGGGGTCGTCAGCCATGTTTGTGGTCGGGTGTTCTGCGGACAGAAGATTCGCGATTCGATGGGAGTTGGCTTGATATCGAATAGCGAACACTGCGAGATGTAGAGAGTGTATGTGGGTATTGGCCGTGGTCGTTTGGGCACGCTCTAGGCATGGGCATCTGGCCCCTCGCACGTGATTTTGGAAAAGCAAAAGCGGCAAAAGTCCGGCCTGTCTAAGACTAAAGTTAGTGAGTTGGGTCCCCGCTCTTTTGTTCTACATAGTACTAATTATGCATGATAGCCAGGCAGGCCTGGCAGGTAACTTTCCGAGTCCAAAGCTTGCTCAGCCATCCGGTTAGCCTCGTCTGATTAGATAGTCCCCTCACCTTCTGTTCGTCATACATAAAGAGCAGCTCGGCTTTGTTCCCAGCCAGCGTGATGGCATCGTGATAGTGGCTACTACTACAATTATGCTCGCCATGCGTCAAGAGACCCGGATTTTACAAATGCTTGCTATTTGCCATGAGCTCGATCGGGCCTTCCAGTCGCATGTGCAGTCCATATTCGTTTGACCGCGGAGGAAAAGTCCTGTCTACTACGTGCAGGCGCATTGGCTAGTCCGGTGATTAAGGACCGACAAGGTTTCAAGTTCTACAGGCAAAGAGGATAAAATCCCATTCCGTAGTCCGTGCCTGCTGTTGTAGATGTTTTCTTTAATATTAATAGAACGAACGCAGAGCATCCTTTTCGCTGCCATGAGGCCAGTATTCTATCCGCAGTTTTGCTACTGTACATGATAACATCAAGTTTTCAGCCTTGAACAGCAAGCAAACACTGAATGCAACTTCTTCTGAACCTTCTTTGAAAAATCCCGCCAGAACAGATATTGGTGATGACCTCGTCGATAGAAATTTGAGGTATAAATGAGAGACAATGCGAAACGAGCCGGCACCTTATTGAAAATCAACTTTTGGGGGAATAGAACACCGTCCTTGATCCTAAAACGCCTTCCATCTGTGCACGATAACCGATGAAAATACGCCAACAGCACAAATGCAAATGCACCCCTTTTGTCCTCTATGCATAATTGCATCTCATCACCAAACGCTGACGCGTCTTACAGTCGACAACGCCGGAACCATCATGTAAATATCTCCGTGCTTGTAGCAGAATGGGCTCAAATCCACAACACACGACTAACTGATTGCAGGTTCCGGCACCATCACGTCCGACTTGGGCTCAAGCTGAGCTCTAAGCATCGTTACTTCATCGGTCAGTTGGACGACCCGCTCTTCTTGCGATCTCTCCGTCTGCTCGAGGGTCGCTACCCGTCCAGATAGTTCTTTGAGACTCTCTTCCAAGTTGTGGATATACACCCAAATACCTTGGTCCGAGGCAAATAGATTGTTGGTGCTGCCATCGCCATTCTCGCCGAGACCGCTAGTCGCTTGAGGTGCACTACTCTGCACTGTTGCGCCAGCCTGTGCAGCTTCAGCAGCACCCTGGGTACCGCTCTGTGCGGCGTAGCGCCCATCACTTGCGACAAATCCCGGCACTGAAGATAGTTGAGCGACAAGCGCTTCAGGATAAGATGAGAAGTGAGACGAACCTGGTGGGGTCTGGCGATCTGTTTGGTGCCGACCGAATTGTTGCTGCTGGAACTGCGTCGCGAGACTTGGCGACCGTTGTCTGTTGATGTTGCCATCCTGCGCATGACCCGGGCTTAGCGGTTTAGGACTATCTGTCATGCCGGTCTGAGAGAATATGGGAGCATTGCCCGGGGTTGGCGCCGCGCCGGGCGTAGCCGAGTTCACAGAGCCGTGCTCGACATTCGGCGGAAACAAACGACCACCGGGGGCAGTAGGTGGAGGGGGGTATGTTCTAGAGTGTGTTGCATAACCCTCTTGAATAGCTTGGTTTCCCTGCGCATGCTGCGATTTGATAGTCGGATTGGGTAGACTCAGACGCCGCCGATCTTCTTCAGTCATGTCACCCTCGTTGCTGCCGTCATACACCACTCCAGACATGGACGAATCACCTTCTAGGTGGCTCGCATCTCCGAACTCATCATCTCCAAACATACTACCTCTTCGGCTCACGCAGCCACCTGGACCCTTGCTATGACGAGCCAATGCATCACCACGGGCGAACTTTCGATCGCACTTGGGACAGATATGCGGCTTCTCGCCGGTATGCAGCTTGCTATGTCGCTTAAGATCGTGTAGCCGTCGAAAGCGCATTTGACACACGTTACATGCGTAAGGCTTTTCTTGGCTGTGTGTTAACAGGTGGCTTTTGAGATTATGGTGGCGTGTAAATTCGGTTTCACAGTACGGGCATTTGTGCTTTTTTGAGCTAGGAGATCTCGCTCCAACCTGCTGCCCAGGGGTCATGGGCAGACTTGAACCACGCGGCGGCGGTGCAGGCATTTGCGTTGCCGCCGTCGCCGCACTTACGAGCCCGGGATACGATAATGAGGTGTTCTCCTTTTCTTCCATCTGAGCCTGTGGCTGCGGAATGTACCCAGCTCGTTCAAGCTGGGGGTCTATATCCATTGGTGCTGGGCTCGCCGTGACGGCGCCGCTCACCCCGCTCATACTTGTGGTAGTAGGGCTCGTGTCTGCTTGGGGTTCGCTGTCATTGACCGTTGTGGTCGGTATTGTGACCGCCGGAAGGCCTTCCAGGCTCACGGGCGCATCCTGCGGCCTGCTCAACCCAAGTGCGCCAGCCGACATTAGTTCCGCCTGTACCTTGTATGCGGGGTTCTCGCTCGCGCCAGACACTCGCAATCTGTATTCTTCCTCCTCCCTCCTTCGCTCGTCTTCAAGGGCCGCAGCACCTGTAAGTGGAGCAGGGGATCGTATAGAGGCCAAGTGGGCAAGCTTGGCAACCTTGGAGGGCGAGTAATCAGCGGTAAGCTGTGTCGCAATGGCCGAGCTAGGCGACGTTGGGGTACCCTCCCGCGCTCTCTTGAGAGTCGCGGCGGCGCGACTCGCGTCGGCCTGCAGCGATTGCAGCGAGTCTGCTGAGATGGGCGATGGTTGAGAGACGGTTGAGGATGAGAAGGGCGGGGCTTCTGTCGCAACCGGACCTTTTGGGGAGGCCATGAGTCCCAACGAAAGCAGAAGTCAGAGACGCGATTGAGATGCCACAAGAAAAGCGCTTGAATTGCTTCAGAACACCTTCACAGAGCTTCTGCGCATCAACTACGCATGATCAAGCTCAGGGACGGGATGAGGCTGGAGTAGGGTGTGGCTAGAGTCGTGGCTGCTACGATGGTAGAGTAGGTTTGACTCTGGCGCGCGTTGTAGTCGTTTGTGCTTGTGCTTGTCTTTTGCAAAGGGTAAAAAAAGGGTTTGGCGAATGCCGAATAATTAATTGACGCGTGGTGTGGCAAAAACAAACGGTCCAAAGTAGAGATTGGACACGAAAAGGGTCAGTGATGGGTATTCGGTTGTATCGACGCCAATGCGATGCAAAAGGACTGAGCCGCAAGTGATAGTCGAATATGTGTGGATGAGCAGAGAAAACACTTGGAAAGTGTGGCAGAGGCGAAGGGTGTTGCAAGGTTGCGGGTGCAAGGCGGCGTTCTCTTGCTCAAACCGTGCAAGGCACTATGTAATCCACCCAATCCCTGTTTCCATTTATTTTATTGTTGGCCGTAACCTTGCAAATGCAAACTGGAAAGTGACCAAGGCGCACCTGGTCTTGAATCAGCAGTAGGGCCACCGAGGGCCAGGGGCCACCCAAGCCTCTGGAAAGTCGCTAGTACCGGCGAGGACGAGCCTGAATCGAGGGCCGCCAGGCAGTGCTGCAGCACTCTCGTTAGTACCAGTGACCTGTAACCAAACCTTCGGTTGGTGCACGGCTCAGCTGTTGGTTGGCACAATCATGGAGTGCTTTTACTGTTCTTTTGAAAACTTCACTGGGGTCGGGGAGCCAGGAATTGTGGCCGTGGTTTATGAATAGGATTGCCTGAAATGTGTTGTAATATTCACCTTTTTGTCAGCTCTGGCTGCGTGCAAACTACCAGCTTCAGTTAAACTGGAGGTGATGGTGTGTGGACGAAGAACGGCAGTCGCGGGGAAACATATACCTAGTATCGCGCAAAATAGCACCTACAGTGCAAAGAGCCTCCCAGAATCCCGAGCTTTCAACGGCGATCACTAAGTAGATGATGTGGCGGCGACTTTATCGCCGTCTTGGAGATGGGAGATTGGGTTGCAAGACGCACCACTCGACCGATGTCTTGGAGGCTAACCGTCCGCGTCAAACGGACGAGTCTCAAGGAGGAATCGGGTAGGAGATTGACAGGGAATATGATCGCGATGGCAGAGACGGTAGACTTGGGTTCTCTCGTCCGCATTGTACCACAGTACAGAGCCAGGGTGGCTGTGCGATCTACTCCGATGGAAGAGCGCATCTGCTGAAAATGGACAGGACAAGACTAAACCAGTAATAACAGGTGGCTGACTTGACAATTACGTAGCCAATCAATGAAAGTGGTTCGCCTCCAATGTGGTCAGCGTACGATTGATCTTCAGCACAACACCAAAGTACCAATCATCTTCCGACATTGACGCTGGTTATTAGCTGATAGCTGATAATCGCAGCTCTGCTATAGGTATACAGCTTCAAGGAATGAACATGAACGCCGTCTCTCTGATTTGGTAAGGCAACCTTGTTTTTCGGTCTACTCCTCCAGCGGCACAATCAACACATATGGGATATAACATATCAAGGCCTTGGCCTTCATGTTCATCTATTCATCTGCTTTCTACAGCCGCGAGCCGGCGCCAAGATGCGTGCATGTGAGCTTGCAATGTGATCCGCAATCTCAACTGCCATAGTGATTTCACTGCAGCAGAATGCCGGGTTAAATCATGGATCAGCCAATCATAACTCGGCGCGGGAAGCATATATGACATTGCCCCAGGAGATCTCAGCGAACCGAGAGCTTCGGCCGCTGACGTATCCGCGTGGACGGCGAAAATTTCTCCGCATTCATGGAGCTAAAGCTCCTGTCGGGAAACCTTGATATTGTCAACGTATTCCCGACGACAGCGTGTGCATTTCAACTACAGTATTATCACCTATGTTTTAGGGGCTATTTATGCCATAACATCGTCATCTAATCATTGACAACCGACAGTTCTCTGCCCCTATTCACTGCTCTCTGGCTCTCTTCAACATATGCAATGGACGCATCGTAGGTGGGGTCTGCTTCATAACCCCCCCTGCGCCACCCACGACAATATTGTTGGATGATCCCAATAAGTCGTTGGCGTTGCATAAGTCGAGTAAGCTAATCCTGTCATGTACGGCTAGCAGAGGCCCAACCCCAATGCCATTCCCAGAAGAGGCAGATACGCCGTTGACGTCGTACGCTTTTGGACAGCTCTCAGGTGAGGTCTCAGGTCAACATCACCCAGCCTGCCAGCCATTCTTCCTCGTCCATTCTATCCTTCTACAGTGGGGACCTATTGCCGAGTATCATGCCATGTAAATGGTCCAGCCTAGCTTGAAAGGGCCAGCCTATCTGAACTGGTTCAGCCTTACCAACATTAGAACGAGTGTGCTCAGCATGGGCTGTTGTTACCTTTCGATTTGGAATTTCCTATGGGGCCAGGGTTACAGTCCGGCTAGTCTGACTAAAAGTAGCCCGTCATATCCGACTATTGAACTTTACGTTTGGCGTGTTCCGTGCCAGAACACTACATTTAGGCGATACATAGTAGATGTTGAAGATGGCGCACTTGATTGTGACATCTTGCAAGCGGCACACGATTATCTAAAAAGCCCCGATCATTTCTGTCTTCTCCACAATGTCCAACTTATCATACATGACAAGCGTATGCAGCTTCCACTGACCACGACCCGGCGCACCATCTGCAATATTTATTGCTTTAGAGTGTTGTCTGCTCGTGGGTTTTCTTTTGCCAGTTCTCTAAAACACTCCACAACTCCATTGGTCAAAGCATCCATCTACATCATGCCTCGCGCTCCTGACTTCATAAAGCCATCATAAGTCATCCAGGGCCGCATTGCGGCTTGGTTGACTCAGTATATTGATTGCAATAACTCCAGTCGTCTTTGTCACCGATCTTCAGGGTGATGGCTGTGTCTTCGATTCAATGCAAGTGGGACTTGAACGTCCGTATTTTATGTAAGCACAAATGGTCTTGAAAGTGCTGCATCTGCAACCTTTGGTCGGTATTTCACCTTGTGCCATGCTTGTTTCAGCTTTTTCAGCATCCCGAAAGTGTCTATCGGCAAGACAGCATGGGTATCCAAGGCAAGAAATGCGATTACTGGAATTGGTTGAGATGAAGTGAGAATTCTCAAACTGTTCATATGGGCAGCACCAGTAAACGGCTTGCGATGAGTTCTCCATCAGGAAATATCAAGATTCTGTTCACGCAGAGTTTTTGAGGACGAAAGATCATGCATTAGATATTAACTGGACAATGATGGTGACATGCTTGGCAAGCCGATAAGAAGGAAAAGCTCAGCAACCTGATTTCATTTCATCTCGTCGTCTCCGTTTTTTCCTCGATCGCCATTACAGAACACCATAGAAATGGAATTCGGTCCGCTTCTCTGCGATATTATCCATCGTGTTAATTACACACTACTTGAGCTGTGCCCCAGGCGTAGCGAGTAATTGCAATCCCCTAAACAACATCAGCTGCCCTCTTGGCCCAGCACTTGTAACCACTGCGGTCTTCGACTTCCGGTCAAATGACTTGTCAACCTCTTAGCTATCTGCCGAAATGTCGGCCAACGTATACGGCAGTCTACAAGCAGCCCAATACCCTATACAAAATAGGACCGACCAACCACATATAACGTTGCCGAAATACTTCTTTTATGGGAGGGTTGAGACCACTGTGAAATGTGTAGCAGCGGCTGGTATTGTCGCCACCGTGGTGATGTTATTGACCTGGTAAGTATTATCAACTCAAAATCTTCATGAAAGGACACGACTCAGGGATGTGCTTAGGAGCTCATATATGGTGATTCTTCTCGTCTGAGTAGTATATACTTCTCAAAGGACGTCTTGGATATCCATATCATATGTCGAACCAACCGACGTTTCTTTCTTTAATGACTTTCATAAGTTCTCCACTGATTGGGCGCCGGATTTTATTCGATGATCCGCCAACGATAAGATTGTGAGGACCGTCATGAAAGATGAATCGACATTCCCGTATGTTGTTGGTTTTGAAGGGCCGTGTGCTTCTAGCAAACTGTGGACAGACCCCGATGCAACTTATGCTGGGCGCATGGGCTTCAAGCAAGTCTTCGCTAGTCTAGACGAAGAATCTGATATGAGTGATGCATTATACGTCGTGGTCACGGACTGCAGCAACGGGGCCACCAAGGCTACACGATACGTCTATGGCTATCAACCTGGCACTTTAAGCAGCATAAGTATGATACGAAAGGAATCAACTGAGGCGACGGGTACGGCGTCGACGAGTTCTAGCTCCAGCACATCAGGAACCAACTCGGAGAAACCCAGCAGCTAGCAGTCCTCGCCCAATATACAAAGATTACTTGCTGGAATCTCAATGGGCCTTAGAGGGAGGAGATTTGGTGGTTCTCTCCGTGTTAATTGTGTTTCTTCGATAAGGTGAAAACGAAAATGACGCGCCACCGACAACTACTTCCTAGGTGGGAGGTAAGAATAGTTCGGAGATCTAGTATCAGAATTAGATGGAACCTCGGAAGAGCGGAGAGAGCTGCATGGGAATCCGGTGTCAGAGTAAGAAGGAATGGAACTATCTGCTAGGATAGCTTCTGCCTTGAGAAAAAGTAAAAAAACCCGCGGAAATATCTCATATCCGGTAGACTGGCATGTTTAAACCTTGGTGGGGCGAGATGTGAGCTTCCTTGATTGGAAATTCAACGTATTAATAGTTAGAGAAACTATGCAACGCTTCGTCCATGCTAAGTTTTTGTTACATTAATTGCGCACACACTTGTACGTTCATAATTTAAACTATCCGTTGGCCTCCTTATTCTTAATACAAATTAGTCGTGTTCTCAGTTTTAATATCAATAATGTAACTGTGCATTCAGCCATAAACCATAAAACCGGCAAAAGCTCATCTATATTAATCTTTGGAATACATGTACCTTAGTGCAAACATCTACAAGCATGTGAACCCTACGATCTTGTAATTCTCACCATCCCTTAAGAAGCACTAATGGTTTTCCTGGGATTACACTAATGCCCTTATTATCGAGATCGTTATCAGCGCTAAAAGCATATATAATTATCTAAAAGCTTGTGAGGTTTGTCTGAATCTTATTTCGACAGGTAGTTGTCGTGATTCGGCTTATATAAATTAACGCACCACCTCATCAATGTTACTTGACCCTCTTTCATAGACTTCTAATTCCTCATGATTCCAGTATGCCCTCAAAAAAATCTCAACCTTTCGAACGTCCCCTGGGCACGGAGGTCTACAAATACGAGGTAACATATAAGTATCAATCAAAGGCCACTCCAAGAAAAAGTGAATCTGTAATCTGCGCGTGACGAAATCGATTAAACATAAGCGTTATAGCCTCTTAGAATCCTTATCCGAGCTCGATTATAGAAATTGTTTTGTAATTCTTTTCCTCTTTCCCAACCGAGTACTGGCACAAACTCGAAATCAAAGGCTACCTTAGATGGTTTCCAAACCCAGCCAATGATATCGCTAACAAAATATTTTAATAGTTTCGCATTTGTAAGGATAAACATAAGTAACAAAGTGACGCCAAGCATGGTACTGAAATTTTGTTTTTACCATATTAACACCAATGCCTTGTGTCTAGATCGCCTCCAAAGGTGAGTGCTAACCGGTCACGTTAGCTTGACGGGTTATAGATATAAGTAGTTTAAATATAAACAGTGGCATAAGATCTCTAACGATTTAACATGCACCGATTTATAGCCAGGAGTATGATTAGCCTATCTGCAACCATATGCACCATTGTTAATAACATCAACTACAATCCAATGATTCTTTGTACTGCACTACATTGGTCGGTTTATATTTAAATATGTCTTGCGTTTGCTTCATTACCGAAGTACCCCGCAAGCTCACAATGTGATATGTATAGCGACGCGGACAAGAAGCGTGTTGATTATTGTTTTCTGTCAGAAATATTTATTAATCAAGGTTGACTTGTCGGGACGAAACCAAACAGAACAGGTTGGGGTTATATCGATGGCATCGACTCTTGTTTCGGACGATTTATCTGGTCGACTGATTGCTACCTGATTGAACAGAGACCGGAAAGCCGACCTGAAGCCATAGTAAAATAGTCCGCATCAAAGCAGTTGTCATTTGTTGTAGAATCTAAAGAAATTTTCATGGTTGTGCGACAACCAGTCTAATACGTCCCGCGCGGTATAGGATTCCACAAATGCTGACTACGCGTCGCCAAGTTGCTCCTATTCCTAAGCCCGTTATATTCATAGCAAGAAACATAAAATATAAAAATAGAAACCCTTGCCGATTCATAGCGTAGAAAAAAGTACATGATCGACAGCATGCTATCGTGCGTGATAAATACATGTCTTTCTGCATATCATGGCTGCACATAGCCTCGGCGATGCTAATGGCATCCTACATGAACTCTGTGATGGAGCCGTTTATGCTTCAATCATTTGCAGTCGTTCAACGGTTCTCAAGAGAAATAATCATATCCATGGAAATGTAGCGACGGATGCCTAAGTACAGTGAACCCAATGGCTCGAGTGTTGTTATTGTTAGTAACCAAAACCCCGCATTAAAGGCCATATCACTGATCCATGGACGCACTCGTATTCAGCAGGAACTCGGGAGCGCATAATCCTCCAATTCGACAATATGCAGCAACTGACGTCATTCGACGATCGTTTGCATTTTCGTGCCTGGATCCAGGCATGGCCTCGAGCCCATCGGATAAAGAGCCACCCCCTGATGATAGGGAGTCGTGGCGTGCTGACTGCAAGCGAATCAAGCAGATCTCCCGATGGTGGCGCCGCTCATGAAAAGTGCGGGAAGGAGCCGTTGCGAGATGCTTTCTTGGACTAAACACAAAACCGTTTATTAAGACAGGCCATAAAGCCTACAAACTCAAGCGAGTCGCGTCAGGACGCGCCCAGGTGCTCACATGCTATATGCAAATGATTGCATTGTCGCAGAAGGTATCTTCAGTGGCCAAGTTCCAAGTCGAGGGCTCGAAGGTGCGGATCCGAAGGGGCGTTTTAGTTTTGTAACTGGAGCCACTGTGGTGCAAGTACACTCAACTGAAAGCCTGAGTGTTAACTACAGGGGATGTCGAACTCGGGACACATCACATTGGAGCGCACCATCTCGGGAAACAAATTGCTTAATATGATCAGCTGGCGCGAACTGGCATGGGTAATTAGAATGACAACAATGCCGATACGCCGGTCAATTGGTGGTCGAGTTTATTGCCTCCAGTCATCCAGAAGGCATTCTGAACCTCCGGCGGAAAACCGACCAGTGGCAGCAAGTTTCAGGTGGACTGGATGGGTATTTAGATGAGGCTGACGTTTGTTCAAAATCCTCGTCCTTCTCATGTGATGCAGGACCTTCTCGAAGGTGGAGAATGCTGCAAGAGAAGCCGCGTGTGCAACGGCAAGGATATCCAGGATCGATGCAAAAAGGCCATTCTAATTCGACGGGAAAAGCTTCGACAGACCGACAGGACCGATATATTGTGTCGTTTAGCGGTTTACTTGAAATGTTCATATCTTTTTGTTTTGCCTTTTTGGGCTCAGATCACAGTCAATTAACCTTCATGACCTACCTCCCAAGGCGTCTGCCCAGCCAATCGTGGTTGAGCCTCCCGTCCAAATTTCCCGAGATTGCAAGACATGGGCTTCAGAGGCGCAGAGTGCAGTTCAGGAATCTGGATCACTTGCACCCTTGATCTATTCCCTGACTGATCACAGGTATTTCTCGTGCGCCAAGCTTTTCAGAAAGGCATTGATTAGCCGTTGACAGGCTAGATGGCAAGTTTGGATAAATTGATCGACACTGAGAACTTGGATGGACGACAACCGTGCATACCTATATGTCGACAATTATCGTAACATTTTATCACGAATTTAGCCCCTTTTACCGGCGTAATTATACTGCGGTATCATGAGCCGTACGCAGGAACAGAACAGGAGCAAGAACTTGAAATGTTGGGCGAGTTATTACTGCTACAAAGGATCGTCTGACTTCAAGTTTGCTTTGTTGAGAACTGACTGATGGTAAGTGATAACGTTATGCCTCGAAAGAAGGATTTAAGTTCAAGACCATAACGTCCGTATACTTGCACGACCCGGTAGGACTTGCTCATGTGGAAACCCATCAGTCTGGCGCTATCGCAGCACGCTATTGTGTACCTACGTAAAGGGGCACGCGTATAGCAAAATAGGCTCAGGGCTAACATATGGTGGAAGTCAGTCACGAGAAGTCGTTGCCAAGAGCTGTCACTTCAAACCCCCCCTCCTCTCATGGAAAAGGACCAAAGAGCAGGACGGGATAAGGATGGCGAACGGCGGATGTCTTGAGCGACGAGATAAAGGAGAAGAAAGAAGAACTCAAAGCGGCTAACATGGACACGACGGTTATTGTGTTGATTAGTGTTATATAGCATTGTCACCAGCTGCTGCTATGGTGTCGGGGGCGCAAGTTCAGTTTCTAGGGAACCTTGGAAGTTCTCGACTCCAAGAAACTCCACTCGTCCCATTGGAATCCATCGTGGATAGTCCACCGATCATTGTGTCGTCGAGCGAGACCGCTAGGCAACCCGCATTCCATCGCCATCGCCATCGTCATCGAGATATGGCAAGCTGGTTCATTCTCAGGAGGAGCATGAACCATTAAAGATCTACCCACAAGTCGTAAATTAAATGTACTGTAAGTAAACATGGGATTTAGCCCAGCAGAGCACTAGAGGGTCCGGTGATGGCTTAGTTACTGGGCAATACTTGGTCCACTGGGCAATAGTCCACTGAACAAAGTGTCGATTGACAGGAACCTGAGCCTGCACGGCACCCTCTGCTAGGGTTGTCAATTTCTATTTCTATTAATCACAAGAGAAAGTTGGATGGACGAATGAGAACTAACAAGATAGTACCTCGCAAGCACGACGACTGCTGCTTTGTGACCCCTGCTCCCCCATCAAGGCGTTGGTTTTGCCCTGGTTTAGCCCCTACTTGCGGAAAAGGCAATTTCCTGAGGTGCCCCAAAGGGCATAAGCGCCGTTGTCCACTGCCCCACTGGCCGTCCGTTCCTGCAGTAGCGCAGCTGGCGTGGCCAATCGAGCCAGTGCAGAGCCAGTGCTAAGCCAGTGCACACGCACTCCCCAATCTCAATCTCAATTCACTCCTCAATTCATTCTCCCCCCCGGGCCCCCTGGCCCAGCAGAGAGCTAAGGAGAGCTACAGGTGGGCCGCCCTCACGTCGAGGTTCCCTTTTCTCCCTCGGACGCCCATACCGCCTGCTTCGCATCCCTTCACTCATTTGAATCCTCACGACAAGCAAACCATCGCGTCTGTTCCCCTCGTCCAACTTGAGTGTCCTCGGACCTCTATCACATTCTTTTGGAACCTTGCGAATATCGAGTCACTCGTTACCTCGTATTACGACAAGAAACAAACACAAGAAAATTTAATTCACAAGGAAATAGTCTCCAGCCAACATCCATCGTATATCGTCAAAACCAGCACCCGTCTCCAGAAAGCTGACTCACGTTATACGGTAAGCAATCACCGAAACTAATATACGCACTCCTCTTTCGCGTGAGATGACTGTATATTCATTCTGTATACTTGCCACCATGCCTCCCATTTTTCTTCTTCTCCATCTGCCACCCACAAACAATATGTGTCGATGTATATATCTACATGTACACAGTTGCTCTATTTGTTGATCGGCACATGGCTAACTGTAACCGCAGATACCCTATTTACTCAATTAATTCACATATATTAGATCGATTGGATAACCCTAAGACTCTTCAAGATGAAGTACACAATCATGAACCTCGCCTTCGCGGCGACCCTGGCTGCCGCCCAACCTCACAACCACGGCCACGGCCACTTGCACCAAAAGAAGGGTTCTCCTGTCGAGAAGCGCGCTGATGTTGTTACTACCATTGAGGCTGCTACCGAGACTGCTTACGTTCTCGGCGACAAGGTTGTCACCCCCGACGAGGCCAAGGCTGGTATTGAGAAGGGTCTCTACATCGTCGTTGGCGAGACTACTCCCACATACACTGCACCCGCCGTGTCCAGCACTGCCGAGACTGGCAAGGTCAATGCCCAGTTCTTCGAGTACGCCACCAAGAAGTCTTCGTCATCCGCCACTTCCTCGTCCTCCACCTCCTCGACGACCATCGTCACCAGTTACTCCGCTGCCAAGCCCACCTCGTCCTCGACCTCAACTAGTGCTGCTGCCGCCACTACCAGCAAGGCCTCCAGCAGCTCTGGCGGCTCCGGCGTCACTGCCGAGTTCCCCAGCGGTGAGATCGACTGCAGCCAGTTCCCCTCTGACTATGGTGCTGTCGCTGTCGATTACCTCAACACGGATGGTTGGACCAGCATTCAGCAGACTCCCTACTACACCGAGGGTGACAGTGCCATCTCGTACATTGTTACTGGTATCTCTGGTGACAGCTGCACAAAGGGCTCTTTCTGCTCCTACGCTTGTCCTGATGGATACGTCAAGTCTCAATGGCCTGACGCCCAGGGAGCAACTGGACAATCTATTGGCGGTCTGTACTGCAACAGCAAGGGCAAGCTCGAACTCACCCGCTCTGGCTACACCACCCTGTGCCAAAAGGGCTGCGGTGGCATCACGATCAAGAACAAGCTGAGCAGCGGAGGTGCCGCCGTCTGCCGTACCGACTACCCTGGCACCGAGTCCATGGTTATCCCTCTTTGGACTGAGGCCGGCTCATCCTACGACTTGACCAACATCGAGTCTGCCAATTACTACACCTGGGGAGGCGCTTCCACCACTCTCCAGTACTATGTTAACCCCAAGGACGTCGCAGTTGACGATGCCTGTGTCTGGACTTCCCTCACCAACCCTTTGAGTGCTGGTAACTGGGCACCAATCAACGTCGGCCTTGGAAAGAACAGTGAGGGCTTGACCTTTTTGTCCATTTTCAACAACGCCCCGACCTCGACTGCCGTTTTGGATTTCGACGTTGTTATCAGTGGAGACATTGTTGGAGACGCGGAATGCTACTACAAGTCTGGCAGCTATCCCGATGGCGGTACCGGCTGCACTGTAAGTCTCAAAACTGTTCCCTATCACGGCCTAGCCGACACTAACTCCTCTTTCAGGTTGCTGTCACAGACGGTGGCTCTGCTACTATCACCTTCCAGGAGTCGTAAATATCACTCGCGGTGGCCCATCTGGTTTCATATCACGTCTTGGTTCTATTTTGTATTTCTTAAGGATACCTACTGCCATCTACAGTCTCGACAGGCGCCGAGCTTCGAAGTCATCTACATCGAGAAAATAACATGGCGAATCTAATTTTTATTGTGTATAATTTAAAGGGGGTTCAATACCGGCGACTGTGGAATCGCGCACGGCCTGGCTCTGGCGCAATATACACATCAGGAGACGAGATGTTAACAGGGCGGCAAGGAAAACTCAATAAACCAAGGACGGAAGCTGGTGCGGCCAAACTCACCTTAGACTTGGGGATGACTCGAATCGTATGGGGATCACGAAGTGGTGCAAACGACCCCTGCCACCAGACAGACTTCATCTTTCTTTTGTTAGCATCTCGTCAATTTTTTGCCTGATGTGTTATCACAGTCCACCGGTGGTGGAACGGAGAAGGCGGGTTAGCTGAATTTGTTTTGATCTACTTTCAATTTTGAGGTCAAGACTTTTGATGTATAGTTGCAGATATGGCATAATTCAGTTTCTACGTCTCGAAACTCGTCATGTGAGGCCCCTGCTACAGTCCAGTGTCAATGTTACTCCAGCTAGTCGGCCCCAGCTCGTTGGTCTCCTGCAAGCTATAACGTGATAAACGCGTGGCCTGGAGAGTATAGATGGGCGTTGCTTATACTTCTCAACAGCATGCGCAATCCCTGGTTCTTCCCCTCGTGTCGTATGTTCCTTGCATTGACAGCTGCACGCTCGAACCTTAAAGCTGCGTTCGGGTGCTGTGCTGTGGATACGAAGTCTTGCGCATTAGGCACTTAACTACAACATGGCTATTGAGGCTACTACACGAGACTACGCTGCTTCCATTTATCAATCTCTGCTTGACTCCTTTCCTCCCAAAACCCGGTAAGTAGAAGACAGTGAGATACGTAGACATGCAACACGCCCTGCTATGCAAGAATGAAATCGAAATGACCCATGCAAAAGAATCCATATGACATCCCAATGCAACGCAAGATCTGCAGCAAAACTCCTTGGACGTGAATCAAATTCTTCCGTACCCTCCCGCCAACACCTTGCTTCTCATTCTCCTCACGTTCCACCACACGAACCCGACCAGCGCCACGCCAATCACCAGTCCCAATGTTAACAATATCAGGTTCACGGGAATAGGATCGTTACGGAACGTCTTGTGAAATAGGTAGTCTAGCCCGCTCTGGCTGAAGTTGAAAAGACCCGACAAACAGATAATGGTCCCGTAGACAGTGCCGAAAGTGCGGAACCCGAAGACCTTGGCGCTGTAGTCGCTGACGGCCGTGTAATAAAAGGGACGATAGAGGACAAACAGAATAATGTTTGCGTACGCGGCCCACTCGAAAGGCAAACAGCCAAGCACGCCGATCGTAGTGGCAACCGACACGAGCGTCGTGAGCACAGTAACGGTGCTCAAACGGTCGAGGATAAGACCAATAAAGGGGATAGAGATGATACCACCAAGCGGTAGCGCGATGTCGAAGAACGTGTTGATCTCGGCAGCCTTCTCCGCAGAATCAAAGATCTCCTGGTATTGCGGCCGAATGGTAGCCACGAAATAGTTGATCCTCGTCATCTGCACGACGGTGAACAGGCAAATCAGCCAGAACCATGCCGATGAGATCTGCTCGGAAATGGTATTGTTGTGCATGATACCCCAGACCCCGCTGATCTCGTTTTTGGCTTCCTCCCGCTTTACCTGCTTATCGGCCTTCGCAGAACCGAGCAATTCCTCAATCTCCTGGACCACCTGCTCGTGGGCCTCGCGCTGTTGCTCCCGTCGCTCCTCGCGCAGCAGAGCTGTTTCCTCGTCGATCTGATCATCGACGGCCTCCTCGTTTGAGGCAATTCGCGCATCGCTCTCCTGTCGGTCGATATCCTCGATAATCTCTCCGACCGTCTTGTAAGACTGTGCGGGAAGTACCGTGAACTGCAGGACGACGATGACCACAGGCACAACCAAATAAGCTAGGAAGAACTCATGGTGCCCAAAAGAACCTCCCGAGCCCTCGAAAACGAGACGATACACGAGGAAAAGCGCGCTCGAGGCATCGAAGGCGCCCGTGATGAGGGCCAGAATCAAACCTGAGTGCTTCGGGAAGGCGTTGGAGAGCTGGAAGCTCGAGATATATAAGAATGGCCCACCCAGAGCAAGAAAAAGATACCCCACGAGGAAGGCGTCGAAGGGCAGCTCTTGGGCAAAGGACATGACCAGCGAGCCGATGGCGAGTGACATGGCACCTAAGCAGCCACATACACGGGGACCATAGCGGTCAAGGATGGCGCCGATTGGTAACGCTGCAACGTTGGTCGCAACAGCGGCAACTGTGAACATGAGGTTCAAATGGATCTCGATGCAAGTATCATCGCCACGGCATACTTCCTGATATGCACCCTCCGTCTTGAGGACGGGCTTAATGGCAGCATAGCCAAACACGACGCCGGCAGAAAAGAGACAGTAGGTAACGGTCACAGCTAATTGAACTGCAAATGCGTTAATCCAATCGTGTTTATCATGGAATATGCGAGAGTAGACTGACCGATTCTTTTCCATCTTGGTACTTCAAAGGCACCGACTGAAGCGACTTGAGGATCGTCTTTGGGAAGAGCGGGTGCCCACGATTCCGGCAGCGGGTTGAACGTGAGCTTGCGAGCTCGTTCGGAGGCTCCAATGGAGGCATCGGAGCCACGGCGAGATCTCAAGCCATCCTCAGACACACTCACAAAAGTCTCCAACGAGGCGACGCGATGTAGAGACATGGTTGAGGTATAGCTATAAAATATGCTTTTTTTTTCCCCTTTCCCCCCTGCCGAGATGAGAGATGCAAGGCACAAACCGTAACAACCGACTATGTATCAAAACCCCCCCCGCGAACGTTAAACCTTGAAAACCTGCAAGATCAACTTAGTTTCCCCCGCCTTAACTTGCACGCTCCCGCGACGCAAATGACAGCTGTATCAAGTCAACCTTAGCTGTGATACGATTGGATTTTAACGGAGGTATATTCGAAGCAATTCGCCAACAATGGCAAGCAGACGAAAGCTTCCAACGGAGGACCTAGCGATGAGAGCTTCTGCTCTTGTAAAAGGGTGATTGGAGAGGAGGTATTGAGTAATAACACAGCTCGATGACGAAAGACGGTCACAAAGATTCGGCCACGACCAAATCACAAAGTTTTCTGACTGTTATTCTCCAAGGTCGATCTCTTTAGCTGCCGCCTAGTACCGTGGCGCCGTAAAAATGAAAATAACTGGACAGCAACGATTCAAGCACAATGCAAAAGGGCTGCTCGACAACAACGTGCGTGTACCAACCTTGTTATTAAACAGAAAGTCAAACTGTACAAGGACCATGGGGCGTGCAAATATTTTCTTCTCTCTCTCTCCCCCTTCCAGATAAATTGGGCCGACGCCGGCCGTATCGTTGCAAGAGGCAAAAAGCTGTTACTCGATACGTTCGAGCAATTGCAACTTGGATATGCAAGGAGTGTCTTGGCCCATTCAATGTATCGTTTATCGCTGCGTTGAGAAAATTTCTTTCTCTCCGAGAAAGCTGTATCCTGCTGGCCACATGATCCGTCTGGTGGTGGGTATTGTACATGCATGTACAAGCCCCGAGGTTCCCACATCGCGGTGATCCCCTGTTCGCCCCCGTCTCGCTATGCGGCGCTGGCGATTTTGGTATTACCCCGCTAACTGCAGGGCTGCCGGCGTGTTCCGCACCAGTGGCATCCAGCGGGCTTTAGTGGATGTAGGCGTCATTGGACCAGAAAAGTAAGCGATGCGTTAGGGCGATTTATCATGGTGGTGGCTTCCGATGCATGGTACCCGCTGGTCTACATTGAGACGTCAGTCATGGCGAGTTCAACCTCAATGTTAAGAATTTCTTTGCATATTGCTACGCCGGCGTTGAGGAAGAGAAAGGGAGTGAGAGTGACATCTCTGGGTGCGCCAAGCCATTTCCTTTTTTTTTTTTTTTTTCTTTCCTGTTTTTTCAGCTCTCTTTTTGAGTGACACCACAAGCAGTGGATATGGGATTTGGCGCACCCTCGAACGTATAGCTGATCAGCCATCCATTCTCTTGATTTGGATAAAGAACACCAAGCTGCCGAGAGAGATTCAGTGGGTAGTCTGGAAATGCATACTGACAGACACCTCACTAGCAAAACGCAAGATAACGTAAGTGGTTCTAGTACACCAATAACGGCAAGCCTCAAGTCGTAAGCCCGATTCTTATGTCCGCTGCCTACACCAATAGACTGTACCTCTGCACCCTTGTCTTATGCTTAATCCAGCCACGCACTTGCATCTTGTGCGACATGCGACTGTTAGATGGGCAGTTACGTAAGTCTTCAGACAGGATCTTGCGATCTTGATACGCGCATATGCTCTGAACTCTGCTCCCCCAAATGCTTCCATTAGTTGAGTACAACATATAATGCTCAAGTGTCTACAGGTGTCCTGTGACTTTCAATATCAATGACATATTATGTTGAATATCTTATCTAGCTTAGCTACAGTTCATACTTGGTAGACGAAGTGCCATAACTACGATTCAGTGGGCGTAACGACAACACCCTGACCGTCACAGTACTGCACGAAGCCATTTAGGCCGCAAGCACCACCATCCTGCTTGATAACGGTCGAAAACCCCCCGAAAGGACTGCCACAAACGCTCTCATAGTCCGCATCGCTTGCCGGGCTTACGGGACAAACAGTGTCGTCGTCATCGGTCGATGCTTGGACACTTGCGGGATACTCGATCTGAAGGACTGGCTTACCCTGCTGTGCGTACGCTTCTTCAAAGTCCGTACAGAAATCATACTCTAGACAACTTTCCAGGACTGCAAAATCCGTTATCCCGCCAGCCAGCAAGCCCTCTGTCAGCTCGCCAGCATTTTTCTGGCCCAGGAGTTTTCCAGCCTCATGAATAGGCTTAGCCAGCTCGCCAAGGAACGTGACATACGCGCTTTCATCAAGTTTGGTTTCGCCGTCCTTGGAGGTAAGCTCCTGGCTGAAGGCGTCGACATTGTCTGGGTCGAAACCATCGCAGCCAGCGGCAATGCCCTTGCTGATGCGTGCGACCATGAGATCGACAACGGTCTGCGCTGACACGTCCACACTACATACTTTGGTGTCAGTAGTTGTTCTTTTAGTGATTGGTTGAGGCCCTTTTGGGAGTATTATAAACCAGCCACAAACAGATCGATCACCTCCGATACGCAATTTCGACTCTGTAGACATGCTAGAAAACTTGAAAGATGATTCCGGAAATTACTTACTAGTACTCGCCCTCCCAGTCGCCGATGCCGCCGTATGTGTAGCCTGAGAAGGAGTTGAAATCATCATCCCATATCTGAACGCCGCCACCGTTGAAGTAGCAGACTATGAGGATATCATCGCCATTGTGCTCCTTGGAGAATGTCAACGGCAAGTTCATATCCGGAACAGAAGGAAGGACCATACCCGAAGTTTCTGAATGGCTGTCTTACCGTCATCGTCCTCGCCAATGGCCTCCCACAGATCTAGCGTCCACTACAACATTCAAAGTCAGCAAACACTTCTTCATGATGGTTTGTGGCGCCCCGCGAGTATTACGGAGGCGGCTTCCAAGAGCTCGATCGCCCTGTATTGGCGATATACGCTTCACAGATATGCTGAACAGGATGGAGATGATTCGAAAATTGCTTACGACTTTGGCGTCCGCGGGCTCGATGGCGCCACTGCCAGAGAAGTCGATCGGGTCATGAATTTCGATCTGCCATTTTGCACCCTGAGGAATTGTGGTTGCCCGTGCAGTGAGACCATTGCCACGGATCGACGGTGAGCCCAGGCCCACTCCTGCCAGGAGTGAGATAGCAGTATATGGCTTTCCCGCCCACATTGTTCAGGGTGCAGATAGTAGAGAGAATGGATTAAGGTTCGGATAAAAGAGGAGCGGGTATGAGCACTAATTAGGCATTATTTGTTCGGCGTAGAAAAAACCGCTGTCTTTTTAAAGAAGAAGCGATTGTATGGTTGTGGAAATGTTTATAGGATTCATTCACCTCTCCTAGCTCTGGGAAGCGAAAGTCCACTTTGTCTCGGCCCAAGACGTATCAATGCATCATGTTTGTGATGACATGGTCTGATTGGCTCCATTGTGGAACGAGACATTTCAGGATGCTGTAGGTAATGTGGACTGCCATTGTACAATCGAGGTTTTCGTGGCCGAGAATAGAATTCGAGATGTCAGAACGGCCGAAGGATTCAGGTCGCACTACTGGTAATGCCACAATGAGGTAATGCTCACGCTATACGATTGGTGTAGCACTTTAGCGAAATTGGTGAGATTTAGCTTGGTCCTGCGATGGGATTACAGCAGCTAGCTAAACACGAGCTCTGGGCCCCCACGACCCATGAATGACACGGCACACCTCTGGGTAAAGCAAAACATGGTAAGAGGATGGGACACAAGGGATCAACCGCGGTTGTAAGTTATGGTATGATACCCGAACAGAATTTGATCTCGCTAATATGCTTTCTCTGTCCAAGGATCCGTATACGCTGACTGGTACTTTGCGCCGAGTTCCAAGCATAATATACCCAGGATAATGCTATATTAGTAGCTTTTGCCTACCAACGCCAATGATCAATACCCTACTCCGTACATGACTGCAAATTGGTAACACCTAACCCGAAACACCATACATCCTACTCGTCTCTCAAAGGCATTTTCGAGGCCATCAGCAGGATCTAGTGCTCCATTGGCACTGCGACACCCTCTTCCTTGTCTTTCCGGCCCTCCTCATCTTGTTCGTCCATTTCCTCTTTCATTCTGTGCTCGACCTCATCTCTGACGCCCCCGAGATCGGGAGGTATAACTGAGCACTGAACGCTGGGTGCTGCACCAACAAAGCGAAGCTGCTCGGTAACGTGTTGTATTATTTCCTGGAGCCGCTTTTGGGTATTTCGATTCTGACGAGCATCTCCCAAAATCTGCTCTATGGTTGGCAGGAGGACACTGTCATACTCAAATGTCTTCCGGTATGGTGTATGTAGCGGGATTTCTGGCGTTTGCGTAATGTTCGTCTGGTTGCCAGTGGCGACAGCAGTCTCGTATGCCCAGGCTCGGGCAACATTTTTTGGCGTATAGCCTCCACCACCAACGATAATCAGAGGAACGCCGAGCCCTTTGCAATATTCGAGACATGAAGCATGTCCTTGCACGAGAAGGTTGAACTTGCCAAGCCTATCTCCGGCCAAGGAATCAGCACCACACTGGAGAACAATGGCCTCGGGCCGAAACTTGTCCACACAACGGGAGATGACGTTTTGGAAAAGCCACTGGTATTGCTCGTCTGTAATGCCATCGTTCAGGGGCACATTTATAGCATGGTGTGCGCCTGGGTTGTGCTCGCTCTTGGGGCCGTTGTCCTCTAACGATCCTGTCCCGGGGAAGAAGTTCATAGGGTCGTACTTGTGGAAAGACACCGTCATGACACGGTCAGTAGAGAAGAAAGCCTCCTCGACACCATCGCCATGATGGACGTCGATATCGATGTAGAGAACCCGTTTGTGGATGCGCAATAATTGTAAAATGGCGACCACGATGTCGTTGATATAACAGAACCCCGAGGCTTCCGATCTCTTGGCATGATGTAGCCCTCCACCCCAAGCAATGGCAATGTCAGACTGCTTCGTACATAATTTTCTGGCGGCATCCAAAGAGGCTCCGCCAGATAGCGAACAGTAATTATAGAGGCCTTCGAAAAGCGGGCAGTCACTACCTCCCAGATTGAACCTTATGTCCGAGCCAATTCCGTCTAAATCAAGCGGCGTTGGTTGGGGGGCAACTGTTGCAAGAAAATCGATGTAATCTGATGTGTGGAAAGAGGTTAATTCATCATAGGTGGCCGCGCGCGCCGTATAGTTCTTCATAGTGTAGTGCATGCCATAAGCGGTGACAAGCCCCTTGGTGAGGGTGAGTCTCCAAGGTTTCATGGGATGGGTTTGACCGAAGTGGTGCCTCTCCATCTCTGGATTGTAATGGAACGAGACATCATAGCCTTTGGGAGCCGTAATACCCAGCTCCTGCATGGTGCGCTTGGCCTTATTCCTATAAGCGGCATTCTCGAGCTCGGAAGGTCGATCCAGAGGCTTGAAGACCTCTTCCACGATAGGCTCATTTTGAATGTGAGGAAGATAGTTGGGCTTTGGTAGCCGATAAGTGTACGGGTCCGACCTATCTATATCCATTGCAAGGGACATGTACGCGCACGCGTAAGTATGTACTCAGACGTGAACAATACGGAACGCTCCCAGATGAGAATCCCTGTATCGACTGTTCCCTGGCAGCTCAAAAAGCCGGATCAACAGGATATAGAACAGCGGGTAAAAGTATTAGGATCTTGTTGATCCCTTGGATCTGACAGGCAAATTAAATGGATGAGATTGGAACTTCCAAAAGTTTTGAAGTGGACCCTGAAGAGAGCCGCAAGCCCTTTGATCTCGGCTTGTCTGTTGCGGGAGGAAATGTTGGGTTTGTGCTTCTACCATGGGACGCTGGGTGGGTGGTGACAAGAGGACTCCGTATCTGGCTGGCTACGTTAGACGTCAAACATGAAGGATGGCGAAGAAGAGAGGCCAGCGTCTGCGTTGCTAACGGAAGCTTGCCAACGTCAAGGTAGTTGAGTGAGGTGCGACAATCTTGGAGACCGGGATGCCCCATATTGTGCTTGACTTGTGCCGTTTGCGGTTAAGCTTGGCCAGACTAACGTGGGCTGCAGGCAGGTACCGCCAACGCGGATTTATTATTACAAGTAACTACGGAGTACGGACACCCAGACAGCAGACCTCAGCAGACCTGCGGATCTCTACAGCATTTACATACATACATACATACTGTACATAGGAAGCGCCTAGCTGCATATCCCATCCCCACCTTCAGGCACTGAAGAAAATATGTATTAAACTGGAGGGCAGGCTGAAGTGGTCTTGACCGGCCTTGCGCCTCACGCCTCGCGCCTCCCCACACCGTCCCGCCTTGCAGCATACATAAGTTAGCGGGCTCGTAATTAATTACTCCTGGATTGGACTGGAGTCGCTGGACTGGACCGTTGTTGGCACCGACCACGCGGTTTTTTCTTTTCAATTCCGTACAACCTGTATCGTGTTTGCCCAAGGAGAAAGAAAGTAACCTCATTCGGATAAACTCCAGCAGGGGACATCTGTTGAGCAGTGGGAAGTTCTAGTCCCACTGGGTCGCCGTTGACATCTGACTCAGGGCGCTGAAGGTGAGCCAAAAACCCACGCTCGTACATCATCATCACCATCATTATCATCATCATCATCGTCATCATCATCACCAGCCTCGTCGTTGCTTCGTGCTATCCATCCCCATCTGGACAGCTCGGGACTACTACTTGCGTGTATTGCTACAAACGTCCTTTGTACCCTCCCACTCGTCGTATCTCGACAAGTACATCTTCTCTGTCTCTGATATACAATACCCTCTTGGGAGGAAAGAAACGTCGAGGCATAAGGGAAAAGGAAAACAAGCAGCCCCCCCTAAAAGAAGAAGAGGAAAAAAGAAGGGGGGAAAAGAAAAGAAAAGAAAAGAAAAAAGAAGAGAAGAGAAGAGAAGAAAAGAAGAGAAAAGAAAGAGAGAAAGAAAGAAACATGCTTCTGTCATAAGACTTTCACTTGTCATTCATATACTCGCGCCATCCCCCGGCAAACTGGGTCACGTTAACAGCGATGCCTAGAGACGACCTATCCATCGACTTCGTACACAAGATGGCGCCCTCGGTGGAGGCGCAAGACCCAGGCCTCATTCTTGACGACTGGGTCCACCGAACCTCGAACCTACACGAAGAGATACGCTTCCTTCAGGACGAGATACACGACAAGGACCGCGCGTACCACGAGTGCGTAAAGACCATAGAGGACAGCGATGGCAAGATACAACGATGGATACGCGCCAACACCAGCGCCCAGCCGAATCCTCGCGAGGATTTCCTGCGCAACACCATACATACCAACTATGCCAAAGCCGAGCGGCTCGCCTTGGAGAAGACAAACCTGTCAGCAAGACTAAGCCAGCTGCTCGAGAAACATTTGCGACATTTAGACGGACAGATCAAGCTCCTGTACGATCGCGGAGAGCCGGGCTTCGTGAACCCAGACGAGACTCCCTCAGTACTACGACCGAGTGCTGCCAACCATAGCATCCCCAGTACCAAGTACAGTGGCGTCGCTGCCTCGTCGTTAGGAACCATAACCAGTACTAGCTCGACACCCGGCGCAAGGCCCACCAACCTGCAAGTTAGAACAACCCAAGCTCAGAATCACCCCAGCTCTGCGCCTGCTTCCCCAGCCGCCACCATTATTCTAAATCGTAAAGACCGCCAGTCCTCGGCCGACCCTGGAAGCGGCATCCCTAAGAGGGGCCCGCGTACTGGCAGTGGCCTGGGCAACGCGCCTACAGCATCAAGCGGTCTTGCGCGACACTCGTCTATCGGTCCAGGAACACCGAAAGCCGGCACCCCAGCCGGGAGTAGAGCAGGCAGTGCCGGGCCTCGGGCCACTAGCAAATCACACGGCGGCGTTCGCAAAGGTACTCCGAGCGGCACAGCGGGACGTAAGAAGCCCCCGAACGCCAAATCGGGCCTGAACCGCGTGAAGCAGGCCGGAAGGTCCAAGGGCTCGCCCACCTCGACGGTCGATAGTGAGCTGTCTGACGCCGAGTCGGCCACCAGCTCGCATGCGGGGTCGCGGGCTGGCAGTACGCCGGCGCCCTCAGCCGCCACCAGTCACTTACCTCACAAAAGGTCGCACAAGCGCAACGGGGATGTTGAAGACATGGCCGATAGCGATGGCGATGCCAGCGGGTCCGGCGAAGAAGAGGACGAAGAGGGCAAGAAGTACTGTCTATGCCAGCACGTGTCGTATGGCGACATGGTGGCTTGTGACAACCCAGACTGTCCGTACGAGTGGTTCCATTGGAATTGTGTTGGTCTCAAGAGTGAGCCCGAGGGACGCTGGTTCTGCCCTGAGTGCCGTGAACAGAGAAAAAAGGGGAAATAGTGCAAAACACCAGTACTAATACTTGGGTTTGAGCAACATGATTTACGAAGGAATGACAGACCCAGCCGGCCCAAACGGGCCTGAGGCATCTTGCGTTCAGCAGCAGAAGGCCTGCGTATGCAGTAATGATACCACAAATACTACATCAGGCGTCCCGCGGTGCTTGACTTGACATGTGCGTGTTGTCCTACTACAAATTTAAGATATATATATTATGATGTTCAAAGACAAATTGTCTCCAGGTTTCAGCATTTCCGTAAATGTCGTAGAGCCTTGAACACGGGTACAATGGTGTCAGTGAAAATATGCCAAAGAAACATCGCCGCGTTTAATCACAGGCACATGTGGAAACTGTCTATGAACTTTTTTTCTTTATTCATCTTATTAGATACTAACTCCTGCCACGTTCCGTGCCCCGGTCTGGCCTAAGCGCCTCGACTTTTCCTTTATTTACGCAACGCTGTTTCCTGCTCTAAAAACATGGCCTAGTGCAACTATGAAGCTTCGAAAGAACAATGGAGAGCCATAAGTAGTAACACTAGTGCTCAAGCAGGCGCAAGCTACCCTGGACAACAACATTCTCAAGGATAGATCCCGGGGGCACGTCAATGGTGGAACCTTCCGTTGCCACAATGATGACGGTGCCCTTCAGTACGACACCACGGCCAAGGTTAACGTTACCCGTGATGGTAAGATGGTCCAACTCGACAATCTTTGGGATGGAGGGAATGTGCTTTTGGAAGTCTGAAACCTTCTTGAAGTCACCACCAAGCTTGATCAAAGGAGCGTCACCGAAGCGGCTGGCGCTCATTTGCAGCTGACCGTGCTTGAGCGAGTACAGGTCAGACTTGACGAGGAGAAGATCCGAGCAAGTCTTGACAGGCAAGAAGCGGCGACGCGGCACATTGACACCGTGTGCGTTCTTGAAGTGGCGGATGGCAGCGCCGACAGCGGTCTCGAGCTGAAGGACGGAGACATCAGACTCGCCCTTCTTGTCACCAGGGATGGACTTTCCGTTGGGGATGATCTCCATCTCGAGCTCGTCGTTCTCGACGACACGCTTAATGGCCTTCACGTTCATCCAGATGTTGTTGGTGTTGAAGTACTTGAACTTCTTGATCGACTTGAACTCGTTGACGTGCTCCTTGGGGACCTGGGCAATCTCGAGGAGACGAACGGAGCCCTCGTAGTCGATGATGGTACCACCCTTGACATCGGCCTTGGTCTTGTTCGTCAGCTCCATGACGTACTCAGCACCCGACTCGACCATGTGCTGCAGGATGCGCAGATCAACAACAGCACCCAAGTTGTCAACGTTGGACAGGAAGATGTACTCGATGCCACGCTCGATGAGGGTGTCGAGGACACCAGAGTTGTACAGGGACTCGAAAACATCACCGTGACCAGGAGGGTACCAGTCAGAGATCTGGGAGTCGAAGCTTTTCGGGGCGGGCAGAAGAGAGTCCTTCAAGATTCTGGGGTATCTCGACTGGTTAAAGGTCAAGATATCGACGTTGTGACCCTCGTACTTCTTGATGATAGCAGCAGTGTCATCGTTGGTGTTGAACGAGTTCATGAGGATGAAAGGCACGTTGGTGTTGTAGGTTCGGTTGAGGTATTCAACCTGGCGCACTGAAAGATCCAAGAAGGACATGCCATCACGAACCTCAATAACGGACTTAGGACCAACACAACCCATGGAGGTACCGAGACCACCGTTGAGCTTGAGGACGGCGAGCTTGTTGAGGAAGTTGACGGACTCGGAGTTGGCAAGGTCCTCATAGTCGACGACCTGACCCTCAGCAGGAGGGGCAATACGGTCCCAGTCGCTGTTTTTGGCTTCGTTAGCAAATGGCATGCTTACTCTGATGGGTTTGACATTTGTAATACGTACACAGCGGTGCCCTTTGACTTGTCGTTCAGATACCGGCGGAAGAGGGCAAAGAAATTGTCCATTTCAGTCTCGAACAGCTTCTTCTCCTCGGGGTTCTTGACGGTGCTTGCGAGGTCGGTCAACGCATTGCGCATCTGCGCAGCAGCAACATTTGTCGAGGCATTCTCGAAGGCCTTGCATTCCACGTCAGTCAGTCCTCGGGACATGATGTGCAAGTCGGATGCTGGAGAACGAAATACAACGCAGCGGGGGAGGGAAGTGAAAAGAGGGTCAGCAGCGACGAGGAGTGTCTCGGACTAGAGCTTTGAACAGAGTCAAGAGGCACGAGAGGGGGCTGGCTCATGTGATGGTATGGGAAACCCCTTGTGAGAATAAAATGCCTGCCACAAGTCTGTTCCAATGCCGCGTGGGCATGATCCAGGTGCTGTGCTTGCCCCGTAACAAGGTACTACCACCAAATGCCTTGCTCAACAAGGCATTCATGGCGAATCTGGCAAGAACGGCTTCACAAGCACTTTTCAGCGTCACATGGCTGTTGTTCTTGCCCACAGGTGCTTGAAGGTAGGGCAATCGCTTGTTTGGGCAAGGAGAGAGCAATACAGGGTGACTAACCATGTGAGATCGTGTCTTGCCGTGGTGACGACCAGCGGCATCGCCGTCTTGACCAACGCCAAGGGACGCCTTCAGGTGCGAAGGCAGAGAGCTCTTGATTGCCTGAGCCATTGTGACGTGTAGTTACGGACGGAATCAGAGAAGGAATGGTCGTGTCTCCGTTGCTAGGTTTTCGACGATGAACAAATCGGTCGAGAATAGTACAACAGTTGTGAGTTCTGTTGACCAGGAATGGCGGGGTAGAAATGCGGCTGGGAGCTTCAGGGAGCTTCGACTTTTTCTCGACCGTCAAGTAACTACAGTGAAGCGAAGAGTGAGGAGTTAGCAAATTGACGTCATGTGCAGCACAACCTCCAGAACCCTGTCGGACCATGAGACACAGTGGGATGGACAACCAGGTCGAAACTACCACCAAGTACTACTGCCTACGCCCCAGCACAATCGCAAACTAGACAAAGGCATGCAGGCAAGCTGGCGACACCGCTGGCTAGCAGCATTGTAAAGGGGCAAGGAGCAGCACACGGCGCAGAGATCACCGCTGCTCGCCATCCGAGCAAAACAAGATCTTGACTTACCTCTTCACAACGAACCAGGGTCTTGCAATGAATCGAATCAGAAGTCGGAGCAGAGCAGAGCAGAGGAAATATTGCTGCAGAACTTTGAGGGGCCCTTCCGGCACCTTTTATTGTTTTCAGATCCAGTCAACCCCCCTTCCCACCCCCTCCACGCAGTCTGCAATAAAATATCTCTATTGACATACATGATGGACCGGATTGCCCCGGCAATCTAGTAGTGACACTGTACCTTTTGGGCCCCTTCTCGACACGCAAATCTCCCGACCTTGGATGAAGTCAGTGTTCACCAACACCTAAAGTCCACCCTAGCTACTAACTGTGGCGCCAACGAGCAGGGATGGTAAGTGCGCGGTCGCATCAGACCCATCCAATTTGGACTGGCGAGATCAATCGTAATCAACGGCAGTGGGGTGCACTGGGCGCGCTTTTGCATGGGCTATTGGCTGACTGGCGAAGCCAAGCTTCGCGAGCTGCAGCTGGGAAACAGTCGGGGGAAATCGCATATGCAGTCGCCCCCCCTGGTCCTTCTAGTTTGCCCATCGACATATGGCGTTGGCGTGGGATGTGCCACCAGTGAATGCTATATGCCATGGCGATAAGTAGAATTTGCCTCACCAGTTACGGCGAGAACTTCGACGGCCATCTGTTTTGATCCGGTTTCTTCCCCAATGCACCCCTTAGACATGTTGTTGACTAGCATACCTCAACACCACGAGAATGCGAGAATGGAACGAAACGTAACTGATTGCTCAATGAACATGAAGTAGGGATTCCCAAGTGAACCGTCCACTCACAGGTAGCGGTACATAGATTGCCGCCGTAGCTCACCTGTACTCAAGCCTCCAGCGGGAACTAAAGGCTGGAGAGTTGGCTTTCTGGAACTTGGTTTCAACTCCACCCAGGAGATGGTCTGGTGTCAAGGTGTAATGATCTCAGTGGCAGTGCAAAAGACATTCATTACAGCGTAATTCTAGGGGTGGATGCAGAAGAAGCTACGAGGCGATCGGTCATTTTGACATACTCGACCGGCGAAGGACCCCTGACTGGTGCTGTTGTATACTAGATGTATAGACCGCCATTCTGGCCAAGATCAATCAATGTTGTAGCGAGGGCCATGCGTTCCAGCCTGTAACGAACTAGGTATGCAATTATTGTGAGAGACACATGGGCTGAAGACAGGCCCAGAAGCATTCGGAACTCTATGTATGTAGTACATGGCGCTGTTCTTTACGAACCTCAAAACTTTCAGCGGCCGAAGGTCAAGAGCCTGCCAGGGCTGAAGTTGTGACGATAATGGAATGGTGCACGCAATTATCCCGAACAGTCCCTAGGCGCCTAGACACTTTTATGGCCGGCTAATGCAATGCACGATAATGTGCCTGGACGTTCTCGAACTGACTATTGCTGAAATTCCAATATCCAGCCTCCTTTGGCGTGTCGCAAAAATCATATTCTTAAGTGTACTCAAGTGTAAGGGGCTCGCTCTACCAGGCTGTTCATATCTACCATCACAAGGGGAACGTCACTACAGTACCACGGCAAATAGACATCTCGGACCCCGCCACGTGGGGTTGACTACGGGGGTCGGGAGATCTTCCTCAAAGTTTTAGACACTGTCTGTTTGTACAGATTCAATCGTGTACACGGTTGTTGATCGAGACGAAGACATTCCGCGGTTGTGTATACCTTGAAATTACCCCCACGGTGCCATGCGTATGCTCGTATGCACATGAATTTGAAAAATTCTTATCGCTTTCAGCTGAACCTATACTAGGCTATCTGGCATAATAGTACCATGGTGGCTTACACTATTCAGCACCAGCCAGCAGCTAAGGAGTCTGTCATCTCTGTATTTGTGTGTAACGTATCGGAAGTGTACCTGCGTTAGACTCAGGTCACCACAACACCAAGACTGTGCGTTTCGAGTCTACGAAAGGACTGACTTATGAGCAGCCCAATCAATACCTTTGCCCCTAGCTCATGACGTTCGGATAAATCTAAACCTGACGGGGTGGGGCCGGGTTTGTTTTGGGCATCAAGCCATAGCCATAACCTTGCTCCGTCACAAATTGAAACCCCTGATCAGAGCCTATCAAGTCGTTTGTCTCGGTCAGCCACAATCGAAAAAGAGAAGATGGGCAGTCTAAGCGATCTACCGTATTGGCATGTCAACGTACCAGAGGCAGAGAGGACAATAGAATGCCCTGAATTTCTCCGCAATCTCAGCCTCAAAGATGAGCGTGTCATCAGTACCCCTGATGACCAATGCCATGTTCTTACTTGGGCAGAAGTCCAGAAAATCGTCGCTGAAAATCGCCTCGACGCTTTCCAGAGACTACCATCCGATTTAAGGAGATACCTGTGCTTCAATTGGAAGCTGAAGCAAGACTATGGCAGCGTGATGAACTTTGTTCTGAATGAACGGCTCGGATGGCAGGTTCCGATGGTTCCTAAAGGCAGGCCCTTTGAGTTCGACGAAGACATCAAGACTTTATGGAACGACTGGCCTTATGGTCTTGACAAGAGGATAGTACATCTTGTCGTGTGGACGAAGTTTGAGCTGGAGGATGATCCCGCGACTGACGACCTTACCGATAAAGCAAGAAAGGAAATTGATGATTATGTTTCACGAAGCTTTGGGTCGAAGTTATCAAAAGACAACGTGAGTATAAAATTTCTTTTTTTTAAAAAGAAATTTCAAGCGGAGCATCGGTTTGCGTTACTAATGCCCATCAAAAGTATGTTTGGTTCAAAAACTGGAAGTCCATCAAGTCAGTACACGCTGTCGAACACTTCCACGTCATGCTGTTCGATCCGGATCCCGAATTTATTGACGACATCACAAATGGTGATGTACCACTTGTCCGAAAGGTTTGAGGAAGGGGCAGCTTTCGGTTTCTACCGTTTCAAGACAAGTGGGAACCAAAGGAGTTTCGAGCCATAAATGTAGTATGATACACGCAACAAACAAATCAGTACTTCGATCTTCGTGATCAAGTCATAGAAGCAATAATGATATCTGCCTATGAAATTTGCTGTTTATTACAGATCTGCTCCTGCCTTGATAACTACTTCTGGACTATCTGCAAATGGCACAGCAATGGGCTTACCTAGCGTTATCTTCACCTGCCAACCTCTTTCTCGTCCTGTCCTATCCTCGAACTTGAATTCATCGAGAATCTTTCCGGTCACAAGCGCTCCTAGCGCTTCCAATGTCTCAAATGAGGAGGCTGCCATTGTCTGGGTATATGTTAGCGTAATGACCATTCACTAAGACATTTGTGTCACGGACCTCAGTTATGATGTTCTCAAGCTCCGGGTGAATATCCCGTGCGATGTCTAACCTGTCGATCTCCACGTCTGCAATCACCATCTGCTTCGCCTTTCTTTCATTCTCGTTTACCCCGATAAGGACAGGGACTCGTAGTTCATGTATCTTCAAACTCCTAGCATAGCTCTTGAGCGGATTCTTCTCTGGTCCCTCTTGAAAGCAGGCTGTTACTGTCAAGCTCACACCCGAACCCAGTAGGCTTGCCTTGGGCAGGTGCACAGTTAGAGACAGACCCCTTAGCCGGTCTGTGTCTAGGAAAGGGACCCGATCTAACGGCAGAGCGCGCAAGCTCCCATCCACCACCCGGCCAGTGAGCCCAACCCACAGTAGCTCGAAAACGTCCCCCGAGCTCGGTCCCTCCGCCTCCGCCTTGGCCGCAACGGCGGGATTCTTTGGCGGGCTCGAGGACTCGAATATCTTCAAGCTGTTGAGCAGGTTCTTGCTCAGGTTTCCATAGTGTGCTGTTTCTGCATTCACCTTGTCGGACTCGGACGCAGCGCCAAAAGGGCGTGCGAACGAGACTTCGGTGCTGATCAACGCCGGCTGCGGCTTGTTGGGCCGGCCCCAGGCATCCCGGCCCACGGGCAACACACCCTGCAGATTGCGTACACGAACCATGGCGATAGGCTCCCCAGCTGCAGCGGCGACGTGCCAAGTTGACTGGAGAGGAGCCGGAGGATCAGGCTTTGGCGTTGTCATGATGTATGATCTCAAGGTTGAAAGCATCAAATTGCAGGTTTAAATTTTGAGGGGAATTGCCTCGCAAAGAAGAATAGAGTATCCGGTGTTGATGTCAATATCCACGGAGTAACACATGCGAGCTTAAGGAAGCACTAAGCAAAAAAGTTTGCTCTTTATTTGCGTTCGGGTGACACGAGCCTTGAGGCGATGATGAGAGACGTATAAAGCAGCTTGCCGTACCCCGCAAGCGGCGAGGCGCCAGAGGAATCTTATTAGTCGTCTGTCCCACATAATCGATTGTAACACTTCCACGAATTATCAAACGAAAATGAAGCAATTGACGCAGGGCAGACAGAAAGTGAGTCACAGTTGCGAGGCTTACAAGTTACACATACCATTTTTACTGTAACACTCTAATTCACCTACATGAGTTAGCATTATGACGGCCGTGTCCCACGCCGGGAACCTGAACGAAAACTGGATGCATATATGACGGCTAAACGGTGTACTTCAAAGGTACGTAATCAATAAACCATAGGACTCTTTTCTTTTCCTTCTTCTTTTACCATTTTCTCTACATGTCCAATCTTTCTTCTTCTCCTTTTTTTTTTTCAAAAATTTTTTTTTTTTAAAAGAAAAGAAAAGAAAAACATCAGATCATGGCTGAGGAGCTCAATTCTTTTGAGGATCCCAGATCATAGCCCATGTTTTATGAGTCTGTGTAGCACCCCACTTGCTCATATCGAGTTCCATCAACTCAACATCCTTAAAACCCAGGCTGGCGTATAGCGAATGGCCAGCTTCACTAGATTCGAGGTATGCTATGATTCCCAGTTTTTGTGCTTCCTCGAGCACTTTCTTGATGAGTAACGATCCGGCACCACGACGTTTATGCTTGGGATCGGTCTGCAGCATGTGGAGGTCTTTTCATTCATGTTAGACGACCCGGTCTACCTGTGAAGGAGCATGCCGAGAGACTGTTTTACTCACAAACATAATGCCTATCGCCTAGGATTCTGATTCGCTGCTTTTGTATACCACCAAACAACATTTCGCATGCTTCAACGTTGCAGCCAGGTCCAAACTCACGAGGTGTCAGCTCAGGCTTTTTGGTGTAGACGTGCCATTTTGACCAAGCGATCATCTGCTCCTCGCCTTCCGGCAGGTCGGTATCGACAATCTTGTGCCAGCGGGTCGTTGAGTCCTCATGCAGCTGTTTGGTCAGGACTTCGGCTCTAACATCTTTTGCATCCGCCGGCATTGGCCCGGGAAAGAGGATCGCACTGAATGGACTTGGTCCATATGCGATACCCTCGATCTCAACACCACGGTGTATGTCGGCTTCTGTAGCAGGCTGTAATTCCAATGGCATCTTGATAATGGCAAGCTGTGAGCGATGGGCCGATGAAAGCTTCTTGGGTGGTTCTTGAAATATTTATGCGTATTGACCGTATAATATTGACTATACGCTGCATCCTTCGCAATGAGTCACCGGTGTGCAGCTTTCGTATACTGAATTGACGCTGGAAAGGGAAGGTGCAGCAGACACGAAGGATTACCAGGCCGGGGAAAGGGCGGCTTTGCGTTCAGTTTATCCTGACTCGCGAATACATGGATTACTTTTGTCTAAAAAGACGCCTGTAGTAAGTCTGTCTCAGGTTTCGTTTACATGTTACTATATGTGCGCAGAAGCAGTACGCGCGCCCGTTTTGTTCGCGGTGATCTTGAACAACGGAAATCTCGGTTTTGGGTGCAAGTCGGTACCATAAAATTTCAGCGCCGATGGCTTCTGAACCCTCTGGTCTAGCGCTGCGGTGCGCACGTCTTGCGATAACACCACGTTCTGTTAAATACCACCACGAACAAAACGGGGCGTGTAACTTTGTAATATCTACGCCGCGCAGACAAGACACAAGATGATAATTCCGGATGGGCTCAGGCTCAACGGCACATCATTTTCGCCAAGAGGCCGTTTCCTTACGGCGGGCCGTACCTTCGAGCCTGGCGAGCTCATCGCCCATTTCACTACCCCAAGTATCGCACTTCCCGATTCGCCATCACTTAGTTTGACCTGCTCCTACTGCCTCCGTACCGATACCACGGTGCGTGCGTGTACTGGCTGTCGAGGCACTTATTACTGCTCCGCGCCGTGCCAAAAAGCAGACTGGGGCCTGGTGCACAAAGCAGAATGCAAGGTATTCAAGAGGGTCAAGTCCGAGGGCCATGATTTCTTACCAACGCCGGTTCGGGCACTCCTCCACGTTCTGCTGCGAGCAGACATGAGAAATGCGGCCTCTGAGCTGGAGGGCCATGTCGAGGCCTTCAGGAAAGACGGGGGAGAATGGAAGAATGCAGAGCTACAAGCAATGGGTGCGCTACACTACTTGGAGCTTGAGATGACGCAGAAGCGTATTAGTGAAGCTGTTGAGCTCGGATGCAAGGTATGCCACCCCTCTCCAAGTGCCACCACTACGATTCACGGAATGAAGGACAACTGAGGATCGCGGGTAGCTTCGAGTAAACTCATTCAATCGGAAGGACGAAGACATTGGCCAGACCGGCGTTTTTGTTAATCCAGCGTTGGCAATGTTGAACCACTCCTGCGTGCCGAACGCCTTCGTGCAGTTCAGTGGTAGGAAAGCCATCTTACGAGCCAATATCACCATAGAGGAAGGCCAGGAGGTGGTGATATCTTATATTAGTATTACAGCCACGTCATATAACATGTTTTGGTTCGCTAACGCAATGCAGATTCTAGCTTGTACCGGTCGCGCAGACAACAAGCTCTCAGAGAGCAATACCACTTTTCCTGCACATGCCTCAGGTGTAGTGACGATTTGGATGTCTATCAAGTGGCAAAAATATATCCCGATGGCAAGCTTAACAATTTGAGCCTCAAACCTGATCTAGAACTATCGGACAAGCCAGCTATTGCTACCTCAGTCAAGAGCATACATACTCAGATCGACAAGATTTACGCAGCTGTCTCTTCAGACCCTCCAGTTGAGCTTGCCGCAATTAGGAAACACTGGCAGCTCTGTGGGCCGCTTCGTAAAGCCAACCTCTTTGCTATCGAGCCATTGCCACAGACCATGGCAGGAGCTAGTATATATTTTGTGAAGCTCGGCAACTTCCCATTCAGTCTAGCCGTGTCTTGTTTCCTAGCCGTGCATATCGACCCTTTCACGAATCCCATGCCGTTCGGTCCATCCAGGATCAAGGGTCTGCAGATGGTTGCCAATCTTTTGAGCAACACAGGTCCGATGTCTGGCTCAGAGACACCAAGCTCTGACAACTCTCTCAATGGCAGGGTGGCGCAGGCCTTGAGTAAGATGGACCAGGCCACCATTGCCCAAGCTGTTCTTGCCATCATTGCGCATTGGGCACCTTTCGCGCATTCGAAGGAATGGCAGATATACCGGGACGCTAGCATGCAGCTGAATGACATCGAAGATCTACCTGGCCGAGGAAAGGAGAGAGATCTGGTCAAACTTTGGGTGACTACGCCAGATGATGTCGAGGCGGCAATGTTCTTTGACTATGCCGTGTTGAAGCCAGTCCGTAAGCTGGCGGGCTTTGCCTTGGAGATTATGGATGCCGAATTCAGCGGAAAACAAGGGTTACTTGGTGATAGATAATGGGAACTACATGCAGTTGTTATATTGCTAGTACGTTGGCATCCCTACATGTTAAAAACACGAAGTGTGCTTGTTACGATAATCAACTCATACAGCATGTGACGATGAGCGTTTCGGGTCGCGCCTTGTCGGTCGCTTCTTGATCTTTCCATCCTTTGTCAGTTCCTGGTTTGGCAAGAGAGCTGATCTGAGATCGCTGGAAGCTGCACGCTTCGCGGGCGTCCTGACCGGGTTATCTGTACTTCGGCCAGATTTAATCGATAGACTTCTCCTGTGTTCACCTGTTTGTGGCGTACCTGGGACATCTCCATATCCGGTCTCGTAGCTATATGTCGACGCAAGTTCGCTGTCGGCTACCGAACCAAGATCCCAGTCCCGTAACCGGCGTCTGAGGAAATGGACTTCCTCGTGAAGCGGCTCGACCTGACTTATGCGAGCAGCCATATCACTAAAGTCCTTTGCAAGGGCGTAAAACTCTTCTGGCGAAACTACGGTGCTGTTTTGCTTGGCTTCCCTTTCGCTTTGTAGCTCCTGCTTCAGTTTGTCAAGCTCGGTTCTGAGTGTTGACAGTTCTTCCGCATGAGAGTCGAGGTCTTCTGGCGAAAGCGCTGGCGTGTTCTGCTTGTCCTCTCTTTCACGTGCTAACTCCTCCCGCAGCCGTTTCAGCTCGGCATTCGTGGCTGAAAGATCCCTTGCATAAGAGCCTGTAGCTTCGCTGATCTCTCTATGATCAGCCTTGGCCGTTTCTAACTCAGCCCGAAGACTGTAGAGTTCAGCTTGCGCCTCCGTGAGTGCTTTCTTCGTGGCCTCGTTTTCTTTTCGCAGTGCCTCGCTGGACAATGTGACAGAATCGGCCGTCTCCTGACGGGCGGCTGATAGAGCGTCTAATGCGTCTCGAAGGCTCTTGAGCTCAAGCTGCGCATTGGCCAGCGCTTTCTTGGTAGCTTCACTCTCTTGACGCAAGCTCTCATTGGTTCTAGCGGCAGCATCCGCAGCTGCTTGTTGTGCGTTAGTCAAGGCATCTTCTGTAGCCTTTTTGCTGGCCGCGAGACTGTCCTTTGAGTTTTTCAGTGCCTTCTCGATGTGCCCAACCTCGGTCTTCAACAAAGAGATATTCCTTGTATGTCCTTTTGTTGTTTCGTGGCTCGTCTTGACTTCAGTTTTGGCAGCCTCCACATGTTTCTGGAGGCCTTGCAGCATTGATTTTGCGTCGGCCAGCTCTTTTCTAGTGGCATCAACCTCTTTTTTTAGATCTGCGTTATACTTGGCAGCAGATTCTTGTAACTCCTGTCGTGTGACAGACAAGGCAGTGTGTAGTTGCTCGTTGCTCTCTTCAATGCTCGTCCTTGCTTGATTCAGCCCACCCTTCATGGTATCGAATTCAGTCTTCAGGGTTGAAACATCCTGTGCGCATGCTTCAGAGGTGTTTTGAATGTTCTTAGCCCCATCCCTCGCCTCGTTCACTTGCTTTTGCAGGCTCTCAAGCTTCATTTCTGTCTCAATCAGCTCCTTCCTGGCAGTTCGATTTCCTGCTTGTAGATCTGTGATACAATCATCCAAATATTCTGACTTTTCATCTTGAGCGCTGGATATGGCCATCTTCGTCGTTTTAATTTCTTCTCGAAGTTCCTTGACACACTTTTCAAGTGATCCAGCCAGTTCGTTTCTGGCGGCAAACAAGCCTTCCCGGATGGAGTTGTGGCTCTCATCGATTGTGTTATTGGCGTTGTCCAGTTCCTGTTGAAGCTTCTTGAGTTCCGCTTGCGTGTCATACAGATCCTTGTTCGTGGATTCGATTTCTTCCCGCAACTCATTGTTTACTCGGATGACAGATTCTGATATGTCGTCTCTGGCCATGGAGAGATCTTTCCTATATGTTTTCAAGCTCGCCTCGACGTTGTTGTAGAAGTCATCCAGGTCCTGTCGGATTTTCTGGAGGTTCTCTTGTGTCTCGTCCTGCGCTCCGTTGACAGCCGCCGCGACGTGCTCGTGTAACTTCTTGCTTGCAAGTGCAATGTCGTCTTCGAATATCTGGGCAAACTGATGCACAAGCTCAGACATGTCATTCCTGGCGGACAAGATATCCTCTTCAGCTGCAATTATTTGCTGCCGGAAATCCTCACCGAGGTTGCTGATGGCCTTTGACGACTCCTCCTTGATGCTGGAGATGACGCGCAATTCTGCGCGAAAGTCGGCGACCTGCTTGTCAAGGGACGCAGACAACTCGTCTTTCGCAGACGACACTGCATCTTTGACTACCGCCATGTCCTCTGCAAGCTGTGTGACCTCGGAGTATTTGGATGCGAGCAGCGCAATGTCCCGAATTTCCTTGGTGAGCGAGGCTATATCAGAGCCTAGCCCATCGCATCGAGAATCCTGGCTGCCAACTTGGAGTTCCACACGGTCTAGACCATCGCTGAGCTCTCGGAGTCCGTCAGCGACACGGGATGCGGCTCCGTCTGAGGCCAGCCGCTCAACGTCGTCGATCTTGACCATAAGCGAGGCGTACTTGGAATCAAGCCCACTGGATCTTGCCATCTCATGTTGAAGGTCGCTCTTCAAACTGGTTAAGCCGTCTTTCAGCCCCGCCAGCTCCCCTTCGACGCGGGAAATGGCATGGTTGACGACATTGGGCCACTTCTGCCCGGAGGGAACACCATGCCTAGCAAACAAGTAGTTGTAGTGCTTCGCGTCGGAATCATACCCGATGGTTGGGTTCTCCAGCATGGATTTGGCCTTGGCGAAGTGCCTAGGTATTGCACTGCCGCTATGTGAAAGGGCTATGCAGGTCCCGGTGCAGGTCACAGTTGAGCTGATCACGGACGGACTGAGGAAGTCAAGCAAAGAGGCCATGGTGCCAAAGCAGGCGGGCGTGCCTGTGCAGGCAGAGGCGCGGATTATGATCAACGGCAGGGGTCAAAATTAGGACTGGTCAGACTCCATTTTGCCGGGGCAGACAAAGGCCGTCCTTCATGTTTGAGTGACTTGGACACAGGGCGATGATGACAGGATCGGAACCAAAAAAAAAAGTTTGGGCTTGATTAAGCTAAGCTGAGCTGTAGCTTCATGTATGTACCCCAAGGTTAGAGAGAGAGAGCGAGAGGAGCAGCAGAGGCGGAAGAAACTGGGAAGGACAGAAGGAAGAAAAATAGGTAAGCTTCCCTCTGGTGCAGGTTTTAGTCCAAGGTCAGACTAGTCGGGCAGTCTAGCACCTGCACCTGCACCTTTACCATGCGAACGTCCGGTCCGGGTCCCCACAGCGAAGCCAGCCCACTAAACTGCGCTGGGCTGGAGCTAGACGGATCCCTGCGATTCTTTGTAAATCTCAACCTCAGTCCTCTCTGCTGCATGTGTGTGTGTCTTCCTCACATCCATTCTCCCTGTCGCGTGCTCCCCGTAGCCGACCCCGCCAGCCCATCATGGACGATTCCGAGGCCGCCAGCATCGCAAACGCCCTCGCCGCCGTGCAAGCCGCAGTTGCGAGCAACCCCGAGGCAGCAATTCCTAAGAGCATCAGCCTCAGCCTCGAGGGCAGCCACCAGGTTCCCCCGACGAATTTCCTATATCCACAGCATGCCGGTCATCTCCAGCAGCTGCCATCCCAGCCCACACTCGCTCCGAGCAACGCCGGCAGTCTCAAGAGGCCCAAGCCCGACGACGGCGACGACGACGACGACGACAATGAGGGCTGGCAGAAGGTCGAGAGGAGAAGATCCAAGAAGAAGCAGAAGAAGATACCCAAGGCCGATGGCGGCAACTACCCCTCCATCACCTTCAACTACAACGCGAAGCTGCAGGCCAAGGTGTCCCTGGACCAGTTGCGCAGCCTAATACTGTACATCTTTACCGAGGGCACCGCTCCCCAATGGGTCTCTATTAGCAACAGGCCACAGTTCAGGAAGATTGTCACAATCATGGTCCCCGGCTTGGAAGAAGCCATGTTCAAACAGGGCGTCGACTTTTCCACCTACCAGCAACAGCCCAGGGACACGGAAAAGTCTCGCGTCATGACATCTCCCGACGATTATTATCCACGCCTGCTGAAGAAGGACGAGTTGCCCGACATACTTGAGCCTTTCGCCGACATGTTCCCCCATCTCTGGCCCATCAAAACCCCTGGCAACGAGAGGTTCGGCCAAATGCGCTCCCCGCTTCACACCATGCTCACGGCACCTCAAGAGAGATCTGGAGAAGAGAAGAATAGAAAGGGCCATGGTGTACAGCCTGCCAAGGAGCCTAGCGGCTGGAGGGATCAGCGTACTAGGATCACAGAATATCTCATGAAGCCCGAGGATTTTGTGCCCAATGGCTACAAGCTGCACCCGGCACTCATAGACAACGCGGAACGCCGTGCCGAGTTCAAGGATGACGAGGGCTGGACTCATACCAACGTCGACAATATAGCAGATGGGGACGTGTCCGAGTCCGAAATTCAGCAGGGCGCCATAACAGCTGGTCGCGAAATTCTCGCGCTAGACTGCGAAATGTGTATGACCGGAGATGCAGAATTCTCACTCACGAGGGTCAGCCTTCTGAGCTGGGACGGCACGGTGGTCTTGGATGAGCTGGTGAAACCGGATAAGCCCATCACGGACTATGTCACCCAGTTTTCAGGCATCACCAAGGAGATGCTCGCGCCGGTCACAACAACTCTCAGAGACATACAGGCAATGCTTGTGCGGATCCTCCACCCACGCACTATCCTGGTCGGTCACTCGCTGGACTCGGATCTAAAAGCCCTGCAACTTACTCACCCTTTCATTGTCGATACCGCCTTGCTGTATCCCCATAATCGAGGTCCACCCTTGAAGAACAGCCTGAAGTTCTTATCACAGCGGTTCCTAAAGCGTGAGATTCAAAAAGGCGCACAAGGCCATAGCCCCATTGAGGATGCCAAGGCATGTTTAGATCTAGTAAAGCAGAAGTGTGAAAAGGGCAAGTCATGGGGAAGTCATGAGCAGCAAGGCGAGAATATGTTTCGCCGTCTCAATCGCTTAGGTACTTCCTACCGCGCCAACGGCGGCGTGGAGGCACTAGGCGGCGCCGCGTTGGGCAAATCAACCGTCATGGTGGACTGGGGCGACCCGATGAAGGGGGCAGGTGCGGCTGCAACTTGGCGAATTGGGTGCAAGTCAGACGAAGAAGTTGTTGCGGGCATCTTGCGGGCTGTGAAGGGAGACCCCGTGGCCGAAGAGATACCCTACGGCGGTGCAGACTTTGTCTTTGCGCGCTTCAGAGAACTCGAGGCTCTGCAGGGTTGGTGGAATAGAAACCGCGCCGGCCCAGAGTCTGACTTCCTCGCGCCCCCCGGGGTAGCAGACATTACAGACTCGAACCCTGGCGATCTAGCTGTGTCGCCTTTGCAGGCTTGTTTGCAGCTTCTTACTTCTCGCCTCAAGCACATTTATGATACACTGCCGCCTTGCACTGCCCTGATTGTCTTCAGTGGCAGTGGCGATCCACGCGAGATGAGCAGATTGCAAGCACAGCAAGCCCAGTTCAAGCGCGAGTACAATACTCCTGGAAGCAAATGGGACGAGCTCAGCGTCAGGTGGACCGATACTGAGGATCAAGCCTTGAAGAAGGCTGTCGGTATGGCACGAAATGGCATTGGCTTCATTGGCGTCAAATGAAAAGAAAAAAATTAATTTTAAATTTCAGGGCGTCTTTGAATGATACCAGGGACAAAGACTTAGATGCGTTGCTGCCCACATGCTCTTCTTGACATATCCTACTAGGCTGGACAGTCCAGAGGATACAAGTTGGGTTGGTGGAGAACCCGAGTCATCTTGGCACATTGGAATAACGGGCAAAGATATCCTCCCGTCCAATAATTCTGAGCCTGAACATCAGGACAATGTGGTCATCGGTGCTGCCTGCGCAAATATGTTAAATTCAGTGTACATTACGAGGCATGAGTAACCTTGTCGGATATTAACATGAATTTATCATAATACCCAGTTTTGCTGTCCTTCAAAAGTCAATATATCATGTTACACTAGTCTAGTCTAACTCATACCATACCAGCCCAAGTTGATAGTTGGCTACAGCTTCGCTTTTATGTGCAATTTAATGAACCTGACACTGAATACTTAGACTCCCATAAACACATGTAAATGGTTCAATGGATAATATAGAAATCGCAATACGGAACAAGCTTTGTAGATAACCGCAATTCAACAACAGTCTAAAAATATCAAGACGAAAAGTAGCGGCATACGGCAGGATGCTATTGAGGTAATCCCCGAACTTAGCTTGTGCTACTTGGTAAATTCTCCCTCCTTATCGCAAGCTTTATCCACGGTTGTTGTATTCCTGTTCCACCAGTCTTTCCATTATCAAACCCCGCGTCCGGGTTCAGCTGCTGTTGCTGCTGCTGCTGTCCGTGTCCGAAACGATTCCGCTCTCCTCCTGCCTCTTGCGACGGGCCTCCTTCTTGTCGTGGCTGTCAAGGCAGTGCTCGCGAGTCTTGATCCATGCCCAGTGCCCGAACTCGTAGGTGTAGTACATGGCGGTCATGATTGCGCAGAAGAGAAAACATATGTTGAGCTTTTCGACCGTGTGCCGGGGGCTCCGGTGTCGCATTATCAGGTCGGTGAGCTCGCCAGCGATAACAATAGTGACTACCCAAACCCATATCTTGTTGAAGACGCGATGCTTGTGTACTCGAAAATCAGCAGTCATGGTTGTGGTCGGTCCGGGTGGGACAATAACCTTGGGAGCCATCGTGTGGTGTGTGGTGGAGCTTCTAGCAATTATTGCCGATGAGGATGATGGGATGATGTCCATGTTGTTTGAACGGGATGATGAGCCCAAGAGACGAAACTGTTGTATCAGTCTGGGTTGGAGGATGACGAGTCTCTGTCGTCACTGATAATATTGGAAGGCATGAAGAGTTGTGTGACGGCGCTTGCCAGTGTCTTTACTGTCACATGTTATAGTTGGAAGGAACAGCCATACCGACGAACTTGGACGCTGTATAGGAGTAAGATATCATCTCTTGCCCCGTGGGTTTGCTATTCTAGAGGTTGTGGCTATCGTATACCGACCCTCCAAGCTTCTGGCCTCATAATCGGCATTCACCATATCCATGATAGGTACAGTTGTTCCAGGGGGGTTCGATATGAGTCGCCCTAGTAGTTCGGCTTGCGTTTTCATGGGTCCAAAAATTTACCACAGCATAGTGTAAAGCAACTTTTGAGAATGACCTCAATCAAGTGGCTCGTTCACGCTAGGAATATCAGTGAAGAAAAAGAAAGAAGAAAGAAGAAAGAAGACAAAAGAAAAGAAAGTATCTGCACTAATGAGCTACGCATGCAGCTCCATACGTCTGTGAACCCGTCCAGATTCCTCGCAATGCAGGCCACGGTATAGTTATCTTATGATAGTCTTGTACAAGCTGGTAACTAGATAGCCACTAGGGAGACCCCAATAAGCGAGCTTCCACCATTACAAGGTTCTCGTTGTTAGGATCAGATAGGATCTGTGTAAGCATATGCGCAGCTTCGTAGCTTTAGCTTGCCTGTACGTTGTACTTTTGTCCAATGGTCTTGCTTGAGGTTGTCGGCTGATACCGATGTGAACATCGACTCTGATATAGGGGCTTTCAAGCGATAAGAGACGCCATCTAAGCTTACATGGCATTAAAAGTATTGTGATTATTTCAGGGCCTATCCTCGCTTGGGTTTGTCAGTAGACAGAACCACGATAGCTTAGAGAAGTTATAACTTTAGTTACACCGCAAAATTACGAAGCTTACAAGTGATTTTTGCCAGGTTTGTAAGCCCGTGAAGCATGCAAACTAAACAAAATCTAAGTGAGTCTGTTTCATACATCGCGCAGCTTGTCTACTTGCCAGCTTGCCAGCTTGCCATAAGCTCTCTTCAAAATCCTTTGCGACTAGTCCTTGTCAGTGACCGCCGACTTTGAAGTAAGAGCAAAACATCGCCAATGATATGTTGCGCATGATTTTTATATTAGCCTTAACGGGATAGATATTCCGACCAGGCCGACCAAACGATGATTTCTCAGCATAACAGCAAAAATGTATCTTTGCAAGTAATAAACGCCGAAACTCTTGTTAAGCCCGAAAATACCCAAGCAAAACAATCAAAGTTGGGCTTAATGGACAAACACCGACCCCAGTGATTACTAAATATCCTAACGCCGACCACAAGTTGCATATGAAGAAAGGTGTGGCTCAGGCCGGATTGACCCCCACTTGCCTAGGGACAGGACATGCCCTTGGTCATGACTTGAATAAGAAAGTCAGCATCTTAGCGAAGTACATTTTCGAGGAGCTAAGTTGGTGTACCATAGTGCCGGCTAATACAGATATCTTGATCAAAATGTGGTGATTGAAATACATAGCAATCCTCACTTGCCCAGGGAGTATACCCTGTCTTGCACACAATTGATAGGAACTCCAAATAGGGCAACGTGTGATGTTGGTAAGCCGTTAGACGGAGCACTTACTCGCGTCGTTATGTGCTATGGTAACAGCTAAATATCAATTTCGCGTCATCGTCGTCGGCGCCGGCAACATACTGAATTGTTGGCCTCGCTCAACTTCCAAATTCTTGACGTTGATCACGGAAGACGCCAGATTGGGATTTAACCCTCACGGCGCTAGGATCTTGGCAACAGGTCGAGGTATTGCGAACACTTGCCAAGGCATGCGCCCTGACAGTCCTTCAGCCAAGACGTTGGATTCGATCATGGGCCAATGTTCCAGGACATGGACGACATCCGCTCTGACGGGAAGCATTACGACGCCAGTTGTGAGGCTAACACAAAGCAGACCATCGACGAATCACTAGGAGAATCATGCTACAAATTACATCAGACATCGATAAACTCGATCTTGTAGTTAAGCATCATAGCCATGCCTCGGAAGACTGCTTCCGGCCTGAATGAGAATCCCCTTTAGTGAAATGTATTCAGGCATCGACTTTAACAATATGGACAAAAGCAAACAGAGAAGAAGAAAAATATGAAGAATTTCCTTGGACATAGAGTTTTCAAGAGGTCCGGCTTGGTAAACCCAGCATTGTCCACGGATCCGGACGCCAAAGTTCAACATCATAGGTTGGCGTAATGCAAAATAAATCCTACAAGAGAACCCGCGTGCCTGCTGCACTGTTTTCACTGCCTTGGAAGTCGAGCAGGAAGCAGTAACGAAGTCTATCGAAGCTTGCCGAGACACCAAGGTATTCAAGATCAATTTTGCTCAGGATAGTGACACTCTTTCCCTTAACTCTGCATCGTTCCAGGTGTTAGTCGTCGCCGACTGGCCTCACACGCTCGACCCAGCGAGAGCCTTTCTCAAGCTGGGTGGCTACGCCATTACCGGTCCTATTGATAACGCACACATGGCATGCGTAAGTAAGTATGGTTGGTTCCTCGAGTACAGTTCCAGGGCCCATAACCGAATGAACAGGCAGTGAAACACACGAGACCGGACCACAAAGCCCAACTGAGTTATCGTACTCATCAAATATCCATCGTGCCACTCTTCGCTTCGCCTCGGAGCCGCTTGGCTGCCACGTATCCGCACGTACTTTGGAGAAATGTGCTGAGGCGGGAGTGATTAAGTAGCTCGTGCTGGCCGACTCGAAAGGTCTTTTGCTCTACACCATGACCGAGAGAGAATTTGACTGCATCAAGGGCTCTACCAGTGCAGGATCGTACGTCTTGTGGGACGGTACTGGAGGGGGGTCAGGATTTGAATGAAACAGGCTTAATGCCCTAGTTAGTCGCTATAGTCTTACCTACATGAGAGATCATATTGCCCATGTCCAGTATACAAGTGGTATGGCGGATTTCTGCAGCTATGCATGGACCCTCTCGCATTGTATCTAATTTGGTCTGTATGATCTCACGTTTCTCGTGTTTCATTATCCCGAGGTATTGTGAACATGAAATTGCTGGTGAGCGCATTCGCCGATATGTATTCTTTATTAGTGTGATACTAACGGCGGTTGTCAATCCAGGGGTTTATTCGACGCCCTGGCGAGGATCATCCCTATAATTGGCGCGGAGTTAAGATAACATGTGCTAGTCAGATTCAGATGCGCGTGATTGTTTATTGCGTTGCTGGGCCTGTGTTATATTACATCTACCTGTGCCGTACCCGCTTATGAATCGATAGTCGTCGCTTAGAAATCAATCTGGATATGAACAATGCATGAATGTTATAGAAGTACGCTGGAATCTACATTTAAACAGCTTGCTTCCAATGGGCCTGCACAATGGGGACACGGGAAACAAGGGGCCCGAGATGTAAGATAAAAAGGGAAGCAGACGACGCGGACTAGTCAACTTTACACAATGGCACATATCTACAACGCCAAAACCACGGCGAACGAGTTGACGAACGACTTGGCTCATGAAATCAGTGGCAAAGTTGTAATGATAACTGGCCCATCCCCAGGCAGTATCGGAGCGACTTTCGTCAAGAGCATTGCAAAGGCGCAGCCTGGTCTTTTGGTGCTGGCCGGTCGCAATCTTACCAGTATACAGAGAACGGCCGACGGACTTGCTGCCAACCATCCCGCTATCCAGGTTCGCCTGCTCGAGCTGGATGTAGGCTCTCTAGCCGCGGTCCGCACATCAGCCGCGACTTTCAATGCTTGGGACGATGTTCCAAAGCTCGACGTTCTTATCAACAATGCAGGCATCTGGGCGGTTGAATTTGCACTGTCAAAGGATGGTTATGAGTCAACCTTTGCCACGAACCATCTGGGGCCTTTCCTCTTCACAAACCTGATCATGAAGAAGATCCTAGCTTCCTCGTCACCACGAGTGGTCAACGTCAGCAGTAACGGCCATCGCCTAAGTCCAATCCGTTGGGGCGACTATAACTTTCGGGTAAGAGCCAGTGTTCCCGCCTCCGGGGAACCCGTGTGACGTCTTTCAGCTGATACCAAGCGTGCTGCCCGCATAGGATGGAGAGACGTACAACAAATGGTCCGCTTACGGCCAGTCGAAGACGGCCAATATGTTGTTTGCTCTCTCCCTGGCCAAGACGCTGGGACCGAAGCTTCTAGCTTTCAGTCTCCACCCCGGTACCATCCTTACCAACATGACAAGTCCAATCGGAGAGGCAGGTATGGCTGCTATTCGTGAGTGTTTTCTGTTTCCCCCATGGATTAGAAACCCGACAGGTAAGCAGCAGCTGGCTGATATGTCGAAATAGGTGATAGTGACAAGGCAATGGGAAACGCCGAGGCGTGGAAGGAGTACATATTCAAATCAGAACAGGAGGGTGCTGCAACCCACATCTACGCAGCGTTTGAGCCCAGTCTTTCAGGTGTGTACTTATCGTTTCCCTGGTTCCTCCCATAAGTGTGGAATTGGCCTAACAACAGTCTCCCAGCAAATAACGGCGCATATCTGGAGGACAGTCATGTTGCAGACCCGTGGGTTCAAACAGTCAAGCCGTGGGGAACTAGTACTGTCGAAGCAGAAAGGCTGTGGAAGTTGAGCGAGAATCTCGTGGGCGAGACGTTCAACTACTAAGCAAAGGAGTTTTAACAAGTGTTAGGAGAGTAGTCAGCTAGATGTACTGTGTATAGCCTTGTCCTCTGTGGAAAGGGCATGCCTGTTCCATAGACACGCGGCAACTCCTGGAACTGAAGTAGGGTGCGAAAGCTCGGGAAAATGCAACGAACTGACACTGCCCTCTCTGATGTCGCACGCCAAGAAGTCGTTGCACATGCGGCTCAGTGTGGCAACGTGTCGTACCCATGGTACTGCTCCTGGGCGGTCGTGTTTAGAAGAGAAATCACTCGCGATACAGATATTGAGCATAATTGCCGAAACGGGGGTGCCTGAATTTCCGGTTTACCAGGATTTAGATATCGCACTGCCCAATCGAACCGGCGTTGAAGACGAATGTATGTATTCTGGACCCACGGACAGTATGGAAAGGGGTCTTTCAGAAAGGGATCTCGGAAGGCGGTGTCAATAACAGATACATAACCCAGTGGCAGCACCTCTCCCCGAAGAGTGACGAAGTTCGGTTTTATCACGGACCGATCGAAAGCCGCAATAATTACTTGGTATCAAAACCCCACGATATAGACTCGATCCATCCGAACCGACCGTCCAGCTCAAAACCAAAACACGGCCAAATGAGAGTTGCCTAACCTAAAGCGGATGTTTGGGGGGGAGAAAGCCTCGGGACAGGGAAAGGCAAAGCGAAAGGGAAAGCGAAGGAGAAGGCGAAAGAGAAAGCAAAAGCTGGGGCGAACTAAGATAAATGTACTATAACCTAACCTAGAACAGTCCAGTAACTTAATTACAGTGCGGGCGGGCATAGCGAGCGCCGTTTGGCCCTCGGCAAGCTGCCCGGCCTAAACCTGGAACAGGCCTACTGTAACTCGGGGTCCTTAGGTAACCAGAATAAACCCCCCCCACTAACATTCATTTGACATCTGAACGAGATCCGAGCATCCCCTACGCAACCCAACCATCCTACATACTCCCCCTTCTTGCCTCTCGCCTTCCGTTTTCTGTTTGGCTGTCCAGTCGCAGTCCGAGTCCTCACAGGCAAGGCATCATAATCAACATGTCTTTCATGGGAGGCGCCGAGTGCTCCACGGCGGGCAACCCCCTCAGCCAGTTCACGAAACACACACAAGATGACAAAAGCCTACAGCGCGATCGCATGGTCAATGGCGGGCCGCAGTCCAGTCTCGCTGGCTTCCGCAGCGCTGCTGCCCACGCGCCCCAGGACGCCATGATGAACGGCTTCTTGCAGCAGAACGGTCAACTACACGACATGCCAATCAACGGCCCCCAGCTGCAGATCGACCGCCCCTCCCACGGCGTCCACCTGCGCGCCGGCTCTGCCTCCCCGTCTTGGGCAAACGAGTTCCAACAGAATCCCCAGGCCGCCATGGAGTCGGCGTTCAAGGTCCCCCAAGGAACCCAGTTCGGCCCAGACGACTACGCCAGATTTGCTCAAATGCAGCAACCAAACCAGTCCCACCGGTCGAGTCCGATGCCGGCGCAGATGGGCTACCAAAGGCCCATGATGGGTATGGCCAGCAATATGGGCATGAACTATGGCATGGGCGCCATGTATGGAAACCAAATGTACGGGCCGCCACAGCAGCAGCAGCAGCAACAGCAACCACAACAAGATATAAAGGGGAAGGGCAAGCTGGTGGAGCTTGACGACAAGCAGTGGGAGGAGCAGTTCAAACAACTCGAGCTCGACGATCAGCAAGCACGAGAGGAGGCAGAACAAAACGCCGCTCTGGAGCCTGAGCTGGACAAGCTCGACGAACAGATCCTCCAATCGGAAACAAACGAGTTTGGCGATTTTGAATCAATATTGAAAAGCATTCAAGCCGAGAAGGACGCCAACCAAGAAATCATGGGCGAGGATGAATGGGTCAGCAAGTTCAACGACGAAAGCTGGGACAATATGAATATGAACTGGGGTGAGACCACCCGACTGTTCGCAGACCCCCAGGTTGAGAGCTATCTGTTCGAACAAGACAATCTTTTCAAAGACACGGGCAACCCATTCGAGGAGGGTTTGCGCATTATGGACGAGGGTGGCAACCTCTCGCTGGCAGCATTGGCCTTCGAGGCTGCCGTGCAGAGAGACCCCAAACACGTCGATGCATGGGTGCAGCTGGGAGGGGCGCAAGCACAAAATGAGAAGGAAACAGCAGCCATCCGAGCTCTGGAACAAGCAAAGAACCTTGATCCGAATAACTTGCCGGCCTTGATGACCCTAGCCGTCTCGTACACCAACGAGGGATACGATAGCACAGCCTACCGGACACTAGAACGGTGGCTTTCCATCAAGTATCCATCAGTTATCTCGCCTGCTGATCTATCACCGGCGACGGACCTTGGCTTCACCGATCGGCAGATTCTGCACGACAAAATCACAGACCTGTTCATGAAGGCGGCTAATCTAAGCCCAGACGGAGAACACATGGACCCCGACGTACAAGTCGGTCTGGGCGTCCTCTTCTACGGCGCTGAAGAGTACGACAAGGCCGTGGACTGCTTCAGTTCCGCGCTCGCCTCCTCGGAGCAGGGCTCCTCGAACCAGAGCTCGCAGGTACACCTTCTCTGGAACCGGCTGGGCGCAACCCTGGCCAACAGCGGGAAGAGCGAGGACGCCATCGCAGCGTACGAGCACGCGCTCACCCTGCGGCCCAACTTCGTCCGAGCCAGATACAACCTGGGCGTCAGCTGTATCAACATGGGCTGCCACGCCGAGGCTGCCGGCCACCTCCTCGCTGCCCTGGAGATGCACAAGAGCGTCGAGCACGAGGGCCGCGAAAAGGCCAGGGAGATCCTGGGCGGCGACGTCTCTGATGCGCAGCTGGACGCCATGACTACGCAGAACAGGAGCACCAACCTGTACGACACATTACGAAGAGTCTTCACACAAATGGGTAGGCGGGACTTGGCTGAAAAAGTGGTGGCCGGCGTGGATCCGGGCGTCTTCAGGGGTGATGTCGACTTTTGACATGACTGCCATAGAGAGGGAAATGAGTGAAGGGTCGAATCAAGCCTTGCTTGGAATATACGAGCAAGCGCCACGGCCCTCGCCATGCCAACCCGCGTCAGATCATCACATGTGCCTTGCGCCATGTCCCCACTGTCCCAGTAAGCGTCGTCGTAGGGAATCTTGGCACGCATCTTGCTTGCACAGCCTCGACCTCTCTGGTGTTTTGTTCGTGTTTGGTGCAATGCTACAATGCTACATTAGAGCAGTGCCTGGCTACATAGCCTGTCGGGAATGTCACAGTCACGTTGGCCCTCTATGGACCATGGTAGCAATCCTGGAGTTGACAAAAGGGAGGCATACCACAGCCGTAGAATCAATCAGATGGGAGATATGTTACATTCAAGTCGCTGACAACTAACGCCATTGACCTAATTAAAATGTTGTTTTACACGTGTCTTTATGTTGTTACATATACAGTCGACCTCCAGGTTACCATAACTGGCCCTAAAATGTGCGTCGGAAATGCGCAGCAGCTCTGGTCCTCTCCCCTCCCGCGTGTCGCCTCTGTCACGGGGACGGGTATCCTTCTCTCCAGGCCGTGTATCCCGTGTGTGATACAAGATCTAGGAGTAAAAGCTGCACCCCACCGCCTGTTTCTGTCGGCACGGCATGCGGTTCAATCATCGTACGTCCGCCTTTCACTCTCGGCCGACTTAGAACGCCGAGTCACGGGGCGCACGGAACTCACGGGCTTCACGGGGTCCACGAGATCCCTGACGGTCCCGATAGTCGTTGGTAGAGCGCTTCTCTGAATAGTCGACCTTGAGCATGCGGCCGCCCATTGAAGTGTTTGCGACCTTCTCGTAGCCCTTGATAGCACTCTCGAGATCGACGAAATCGGCGTGGGCGAAACCACGGGGCCAGCCGGTGTTGCGATCGACGGCGACACGGACATCAGTGACGCCGTCGAGCTCACGGAACAGGCGGTTCAGGTCCGCATCTGAGGTCTCGTAGGGAATGTTGCCAATGTACAGCGAGGTAGTGGGCTTATCGGGGCGGGAGGGCTGTCGCTCGGGGAGGTCCTTGGACTTGCGGTGCTCAACATTGATACGGCGGCCGTGCCAGAAGGACTTGTTGCACTCGGCGACAGCACGGTCGGCGGCGGACTTCTCAGCAAAGGTAATGAAACCAAAACTGTGAGGGGGAAACAGAAAGACATTAGCTGCTTAGTTCTCAAATAAGACAGGGAGGGAAACTGTTCGTGCATACCCTCTGCTCAAGCCGCGGCCGTCACGGCCGATCTTGATTGCGCTGATATCGCCGTACTTGCCGAAAGCCTCGCGCAGGTGCATGTCGGTGGCATCAAAGGTCATATTGCTGACGAAGACGGGGTATCCTTCGGTCTGTGCTGCTGACTCCGACATGGTAGGGGTGGACTTAAGGGTAGGGTCGGCCGTCTCTTGTGTAGAGCCGAGTCCCTCTGTTGACTTGACGGCATCGTCGACGATATTTTGCTCTGTCTGGTCCTGGGCTACACGGGCAGTCTGGGAGAAGAAGCGGGCAGGCATGGCAACAACAGGGCGGGCAGCGGCCTTGGCGAACTGCATAGCGAAGGAGCTCGCCTGCTGCCTCGAGGCGGCGACAGCCATGGAGGAGGGAGAGCTGGCAGCTCTCAATGCTGCGCGACGAACGGAATACCTGGGGTTTTCACCATGTCAATCCAAGTCCCTCGCGTGCATGTGTAGTGGGTTTTGGACGGGAAATGAATGCTGCAATGGAACTTACATGTTGGCTATTGATTGATGGTGCTGGGATTTGATGTGTAAATGGAAGAAACCCTGGAGGCGAAGGAGTAGTTATGTGATGTGACGGATGTGAGGTGATGAGACGTTCGTCTTAAAACGGTCCCAAAGCTCGACTCGACTGGGTTTACTGAAAACTGAGAAGAGAAAAAATTTGGCCTTGTTCTTACTGGCTGCCGGCAGGGACAGGAGAGCCGGCGCCACGAACTAAGGCCAAGTACGGAGTAGGGTACCTTGACTATGCAAGACACATAGTAAAGGTATCTGACGTGGGATAAGGTGGGTCCGGTTGCTTTTCCCCTTCTCCTGTCGGATCGGATCCTTTGGCCCTTGAGCTCCGTGATACTGTTGCTATGTACAGTGGCTAGCTAAAGTAAGGGGCCTCCTTCAGCCTGGTTGGTCAGCCATGCAGTCTTGCCTTGTTGTGCTCTCCGTGTGGTATTGGGGGGAGGGGGGTATTTTGCACAATGGAAGGTCTACTAGATATTGCATTCACTCTCATACTCATTGCCCATGTCTGTGACCGTTATCATGGACAAGTTTCTACCTCTCTGATTCATGGTCGAGGTAGCTAATTGCATGCCTCTTGCTACCACTGGTGTTTTGAGCAGCCCATGCTTGAACTTGGTCAGTTCTTTGCTGACAGCCACGGACTGCTGGCCCTTATCAATACACCCTCCACGTCCAAGTAACCCCCTTACATTTATTGTAGGTGGTCTATATCCCCACCTGCCCTTGCGCTTTTTTTAAATTTTATATTTCAACACAACCATTCCGACCGAAAAATATTTCCATATCCCGAGCCCCTCTCGTTGGGACGTATGGGGGGTATATACCGACACCAGAAATCCTACGCCCAGAAATTATCAAAAAGAAATAGTCTGGATAGACGCATAGGCGTATACGCCTGCTGGTTGATGAAAATCCAGTTGATAACCCGCCCGTTATCAAGCTACCCATAGTAGCGTTGCAAACAACGTATACAGGCATGAACCTGTCCCGCTGCCTTTCCTTATATCACACATTAGAAATGAACATTGTTGATGGCCTTTGCCCATGGTTCTGTTCCCATGAATTGGCCTCGATGCCCGCCCAGATTTGAGCACGTCTCTCAGACTTGCAAGGCAACAGAAGCGAGCTGTAGATCCAAGAAGAGTTGCTCGAAAGGCCAGAGCCATATTGCGTGGAGGGCAGATTTTGCCGTAAGATTCTACCTCCTTGAGTGCAACACTCGCCAGCCCGGGTCCAGTTATTAACCTGGGGTGTGCCCCAACAGAAAACATAAACATAGCGGTCCGTATCGTATCACAAGACACTTGTGGCGTTTGACGACAGCAGCATCCTACTTAATATTGGCGCTGACCATATCCATTGGCTTGCTGCCCTTCGTATTGAACTCCAGTCATGGAGTCCGGACCATTTGGCACATTGCCACTCAGCGATCGCAAAGGCGGTAGTTCTGGCCGCGACGAACCTTTGCCGTACGGGTCGGCGGTGGGCTGCGCCGAACCGGCGTAACCAGGTTGATGGGCCTGCTGATGGGCAGGGGGGACGTTTGGACCATTGCGCAGCTGATTGTTTTCCATGCGCACCATCTCAAGCTCGCGACGGAGAATGTCGGCTTCCTGCTGAGTGTTCTGGCAATGACCAGAGAGCTGTTTAATGTAGTCCTGTTGCTTTTGATGCTCCGCAATTGCTGTCTAATCGTCAGCAAGACCATTGCAAAGAACAAAATGAACAGTCACATCATGAACGTACCTTTGGTGAGAATCTCCCATTTCGAAGCCTTTGACCCGCGCTCCTGGGGCATCAGATCCCGCAGCTGCTCAAAAAGCTCCTTCATTTCCGTGCGACGCTTTCGTTCTGCGAGCTTGTGGCTGACCCGAAGCTCAGGGGTTCTGCTATATGGCTGGTTACCGGAATGGGGACTGGACTCCTCGCTATGGAGGTCTGTGAGTTGTTTGTGCTGCAGCGTGTGGTGGTGGACAGCTGGGAAATCAGCAGAGGCGGTTGATATGCGCTGGTAGTCGGGAATTCCGTCGTCTAATCGCCGCTGGCCCGGGGGCAACCTCGACTCTTGGGTGTATTGACTGCTGGCAATAGACTCGGTGATGCTACTGCGTCTCGAGTCGTGATAGTATTGGGTTGGCGCCGCAGAGGGCATTCTTTGTATCTCATCCTCCGGGAAAGCCCAGGCCTGTCCCTTTGTAGGCTCGGCAGCTCGAGCAAGTGTGCTTGTCGTCGGCCCGGTGATCACTGGTGCTGTGCGCACCATTCTGTGGTGCGGATCAGGCTGAGGGTTTCGATCTGCATGTGGCTGATAGCCATTAGAAACGCGGTGAACCGAATGGGTCTCGTTCAAGCCACTCGTCCGCGGATTTCGTTGTTGGGCCAGGGTTCCTTGGATAGAGGCAGTTGACTGGTTATGGCTGGCATAGGGGGAGTTGCCACCCAGCTTCATTTCCCCAAAACCCTGAGCGAATCTGCTATCCACACTCTCACGTCTGGAGTCAAAGTGGCCATTCGTTCCATTGGACTCCAACGACAGGGGGCGATCAAAGCGGCCACTCCCTGGCGTTGTGGTTGTGGGCGAGACCATGGAGTTGATGCTCATGTTGGTGGATGGCGAGATCAGGGGTTGAGGAAACATGCCTGCTCCGTTCGGAGAAGGGGTCTTCTCACTTGGACCGTTGTACGCTGGGTTCGATGAAGGCGGTCCTACGACATTGATACCAATTCCCGAGGCGGCTGAAGTGTCTATATCATATTGTGAGCTAATACTCTGCCGCATCCACGGCGCTTGAACCTACGTTTGCTCGAGGCATCGGTGCTGGAAAAATAGGCAGAATCACGGTTCTCCTCAGGATTCAAAACTCCCGCAAGCCCTGCAGGGAGTTTATGGGAAATAGGTCGAGGGTGTTCGGTCGTCATCTTGAAGGTAGTCTCTGCTAGGATTCCAAGTCGCAAGGCGCGCGGCAGATGGGGAGGGCAAGGCCGTGGGGGGTCTTGGTTGTCGCGTCGACCACGTCTGTCTTCGAATAATCAAACTGCGCGAGGGCCGGGTAAGGTTGGGTTCGGCTCGCTAATGGAAACCGTCGTGGCCAAATACAACTAGAAATTAGAGCTCGAGCTTCCTCGTCGACTTCCCGCTCCCAATTGCACTCAGGCGCAATTCAACCGAAGCCTTCCTGGTATCCTCCCTCAGCAAGGGTGGCCTGGCCGATAGAAGTAACACCGACAAGGAAAAATGATATATAAGACTATACCGACAGGATTACGTTCGTCGTCTAAAGGAAAATAGAGAAGGACAACTTCCTCGCATCAATGCTGGAAAGCAGCATATCAACGTGGATGTAAATGATGGAAGTTGAGTGGGCAGAGGGTGAGAACGTGGAGGAAACGTTAAAAGCGGTTTAAGGTGGATTGGCACAGGAGCCCACCATCAAAAGTCCAGATGCCCCCCAGTCGGCTTGCCCACATTCAGCGGAACATCTAGCGGCTAGTAGGGATGCCCAGGTGGTCAGCGGGGGGAGGGAGTTGGTCAGTTAATTGACTAGGGCTGATTGCTTGGGATCTTTGGTCCTTTGGGTCCTTGGGTCCTTGGGTTCTTGGTTCCTTGGTTCCTTGGGCTCTTGGGAATCGAGGTGAGGGAGCAAACCCCCCAGTAGTGCAGAGTGCAGACACAAAGTGCAGCGGCGGAGGAGATGATCATCCAGCCCACGACGATCCTAGTACTAGAAAGAAGAAGGAAAGGCGCAGGACGGTAGGTGCAGGATTGCCCTCGAGCCTGCGGGCACAGGTACAAGTACCGCGACATGGACGTGAGGACGATGGGGCTTCAAGCCACATGCTGTGAGTGCCTCTCTTGACACTGCAGCGGGTGGTTCCCTGACGCCCATGCGAAGGGCCTACTACTGCACTGTACACACTACCGTGGGTTTTACTCCGTACTGTAGTTGAGAGCCCTCAAGGGGGGAAATCGACGAAAGCTACCTCATGGCTGGGTAGGGAATACCTCCGAGACAGGGGCTTTTTCCTTAGCGCGACGTAAGCAGGCGCGCGAGATTGCACGATTGCTGCGGGTGATTTTCCTCTTTCCTCGTGGCAGAGCATGTACCGGGCACATCGCATTTACGTCCGCCAACTTGCGGGCGATGATCCCTGACGCCGTGTGCAATTGTGGGCCAAAAATCGAGCGGCAGCGTGGCCTTGTATCGGTACGCGCATCTCAGGGTGTATGTTTTTTTTTCTTCCCTCTTCTTGAGAAAACGACGGACAAGGTTGGGAAGCCTTTTCAAACTCTGTTCCTACTCGCGCGTGGCTCAACACACCCACCCATACATGGTACCCGCATCAACGAAGGGACTAGATGCGGATATCAGGCGCATGCACAGGGCATTGAGATATTCTTGGTCATAAGCTTCACTCTAGACTAATGCGTTCTCCATTCCTTCAATTTTGAACACTTTACCGTTGCAGTACAACTTTCGCTCAGGGAGAAATAACAAGCAAGTGCACCTATGTAGATATGTAAGAGAGGGCATTGGCTCGTTGAAGTGTGCGGTGGAGTTGTCAAAACAGCAAACGCCGTTGGCTCTACCAAGCACATGGACCCAGCTGGGAAGAGAGGCTCAATGACAGGCTCAGAGACATGAAAGTCAACCACATGCTGTTCAAATGTATTACCAGAATGGTAAGCCCTAAGAATGTAGAGCCCGCCGCCCTACGCATATGCCCAGTGCGTGTGCTGCACATAGAAACAGAGTATGGATGCGCAAGTAAGTCTACGGCGTATGTCCGATTGTGCAGCAGTAGATTAATGGCTCGTGCAAACCCGGAGGGTCATACCTTTTTTTTCCCCGATGATGTGATATTCAGCAGACTTTGGTGCAACGTTCCGAAGAAACTTAACTGATAACGGCAGTCGAAGCTTTCGAATACACGAAAGCACCTCAATTTCTGGCCATGCAGTCAGGTCATTATGGTTTGCTATGTACAATGTCTATTTGTTGCGGGCTATATTCGATCAGTCCCGGGTCGACGACCGTAACCTACAGTACTCGTGGTTGCATGTGAAGCGCCTCTCTCTGGGGGCTGAGAGACGGTGGACCCTGACCCTGCCCCAGTAGTAAGTACCATTTGAAGCAATTGGGGCAGATTTGTGTTCCCCGGGAAGCATGGACAAAAAAACCCCATGCTTGGGCAATTTGCAAGACATGCTGTCGTCGATCATACAGTTCAGATTTCGGCATTTGCCAGGCCACTGCATAGACGAGCTCAGTACCTTGATGTATGGTACCTTTATAATCACCACAAATTGTTTTTCTGTTTCTGTTCATGTCCGGTGTGTGCTATTCACAACCTGCAGATCTGGTACTCTGACCAAGTCGATCTACCCGGGGCGCCACGTGAGATGCACCAAGTTAGGAGGCTTTAGTTAGGTAGTCCAAGTAAAGCAACAGTTGGTCACTGCCATGTGGCCTTTGCGATGAGACGGCTGAGCCAATCAGAGCGGTCATGGAAAGCTTTTGGCTGGCTCCAACACTGGCGCTATACAAATGGCTATGCCTTTCCTTTTCCTACAGTATGTACCTACAGTAAGGTTGCTTTCTCGGTGCGCCTGTGGGGAAGGCGGGAGGAAATTTAAACACTACGTCTTGTGCGGTCAACGCCCACCAGGCTGTCTCGTATTGAGCACAATGCGCTTGATGTGTATTGAGCCAAACACAGGGACCGTCCAGGACTTCTTCTTGCAGTATTAGCTTCAATGCTTTTGTTCATAAGTATAATGCTCATGTGGCGTGGAACAGCTTTCTGGATGCTGCTCGGCACTTTGCAGCAAGTTTGCTTTGTGCGGGTGTCGCAATTCCCATCTTGTCAAGCTGCACGGCATCTTACATGGCCCAGCAGTGCTAGGGAACACTCTATAGGATCCTAGCACCCAGTGCTTCGTCAGCTGCAATACAATGGTCTTGACGTCCCATATCGGGTCGCTCGATGACGATATTCACATTATGCTAGGACGCTGGCATGGCGATTGAGGGTGCACCTGTGGAAGTTCGTTACGAGGCACTCCGACCCATATTAAAGCCATTACTGCATTGAGCTGCGGCCAACTCTGCCGCCATAACTGCAGCCGGTGTGCCCATGCTGCAGATGAGATTTAAATACTCACACAAACCCCTCGAGACCCTCAATCGAGATACGACAAGTAAGCACAACATATTCAGCTAACGCGCCATCCGTTGTCACATTGCTTATGTCAAAAGCACCCCATTTGTCTGCCAAGGCACTGAATTGGGTTACAATCGTCATAGGATCTTGACACACTGTTTGCTCACTAATAAGTGTCCAATCCTGCAGAGTGACGGCCCCCAATAGATCTATCTGTTGCAGGCAGTACTTTTCCTATGTAGGCTTGTACAAATTATCCGGCATTTACAATACCTACAACTGAAGCAGCATTTCTTCCATGGTGGATCTGTCCAAGACCAAAGTCCACGAAGCGTAGGTCAATTTGCCTGCACGTGGTTAGGATTTCACAAAGCAATTTTCGAATGACACGAGACCGGGCAATTACTGACACTGCATTCTCAATCGTAACAGGCGCGATGTCACCAAATCTCCGTGGTTTCTGGTTCTGCAATTAAGCCGCCAATTCGGAAGATCGTTGAGCAAGGTGTTCCTTAGTGGCTTGATCCAACTTACCGTTTTCTAACAATGAGTGCGGGCGAGCTGCTGCATCTATACATCATGTCTGTATGGTTTCTGATCCTCTCGGTCTTGATCTCGGTAAGATGAATGATCCTCCGGGCGCCTCGTCGAATATTGCACATGTACGTACATAGTATCACGAATCCTACCTTTTGACGCAGTTGCCAGCGGCTCAGCAATTCCTTTCGCCCCTCAGCTGCCCCTTGTCAAGCTGGGCCACGTTCCGGATGGTCAGAGATGGGTCTAAGTAGCATACAAGCGGGTCAAGCAGTGAATGTTAGCGTTCCCGGTATCATCCCTGCAATGCTCATTTCGGGCTGTGGATGGCTACAAAAGCCAAAAAAAAAAAACCAAAAAAAAAAACCCAATACCCCAGAGCTCGCGAGAATCGTTGCCCAGGGTGGTCAAATAAGTTCCCCCCCACTAATTCGTAACGCCAGGAACGTACGCATCCGTGCAGCGGAACCATGGCATTCATGGATTTAGGACCCGAGGCGTTCGGCGAAATTTGACGAAACTTTAGGTAACGTGCCAAACGAAGAAGAAACAACTTGTTCCCAAGGACCTGCTGTGCTTCGGACAAAGCTAGAATACTTGCTGAGTAGCAACAACGGTATTTAAGTAATCGACGCTCGAAGACTTCCTGTGAGCACTGCTTCGGCAGAGCCAGAACACGACCTCGCGAAACGGCATGTGGGCCATGCCAATAGTACGAATATTCAGATGGACACTTTCCACTCTATATGGGGTCGAATTGCCATGTCTCCGCCAGTGGGACCTCTTGTTTTAGGACGTCCATTCGGTTTGCTTCCCCGAATTTTATATCTGTGCTCAGCGGAATCGGCCATCCGGAGAATTCTGCAAAGATATCCTGACCACGTAGTATTTGCATCACGGTCGATCAAGCAGCTCATTATTAAGCTTCTTACTTAGCTCTCATGCGATGCTTTTGCCGTTTCTTGGTAAATCAGCACGCCCATGCCTTCGAGTACCTGACCGTGGACAACCTGGCATATTCAAACCCTATTGAGACAAGTCGGGGTCTGCCATGGATTTGGCGGCAGGTGTAGTAACAGTTAAAGATGGCCAACTAGTTCCTCCCGATAAAGTTACACACTTTTATCATAACGTCAACGTTTGACTAACTTAGACATTAGTGCTCTCTTGGATCACTCTTCACGATATACCATGGTAAATCAAGCCTCAGGGACCTGCTTCTTGGCTCCAGTTAGTATTAGACGTAGATATTAGGCATCTCTTAGTCTAATATCGTGGATAACCACGGCCGAGAGCCGTGGCTACTCTCCTTTCAATTCTACAACATAACAATCCGCAACAACAGGAATGGAGGATGTTGTGATTGATCCAGCAGCGGGGCAGACCACAGTTTAATGGAATAAGAAATTGTCCCTTGGCGTCATCTACTGAGACATAGCTAATGTGCAGCGCTGCACCTGAGAGTTTGGCTTAAGCAGAGCCTGAAGCCGCCAAAGATCATTCGACATTCCCGTTGCTTGGATGTTTCACATGGCGCAAGCCCTGGGCGGCTACATTGAAATGAAACATGTCTTGCTGCCATTATTTCTGTGATCCTTCGACTCTTACTGGTGACCTTGATCGCCAGTGTGATCGGACGTCCTCGTCGGACTTCGTATAACATGAAGCCGGGGGTACAACATCCAGGGCACATCCTGATCAATGAGCTGCATGCAAACTTCGATGGTTTTGCTGATGAAATACGAGAACAATTACTGCGCCTTCGGTTTGAATATGGCTAGTGATTCGCATTCAGTTGCCTTGAGAGGGAGGACCGAATGATTTGATATAAGTGCGAGACCTTACCCGTAGATTGGTGTTTATTCTTTTCTTTCTTTTTCTCCCCTCCTTCTCTTTTTTCTTTTCTTTTCTTCTTGGTTGTCTGGATTTTAAAAATATGTAAGAAATATTCAAATGTTTTTAAATTTTCCATGCCGAGCAACGAGTGACGTCTGATATCCGTAGATGGCTTAATCCAATCTACCATCCCAATGGAACAACGCTTTCGAAAATACTTCTGGAACTCCAGCCACACCAGTTCACGCTTAGGTACAGGACTTGAACCTTTGATATTGCTTATCTTGATCGTGGAAATCCGGTCTGCAGGATGCGCCACTGATGTTCGGAAACTTAAAAATCAACACGAGATCGACAAATTTATGACTTCAATTCTGTTCTGTTGAGTGATTATGGTTGCTGAGCGAGGTTAGGCGGTTAGTCAGGGCAACTAAGGACGCTTGTCTGCATGATTTGAGGTCGTTGCCGCCGCTAAGCAAAGCCTCCCCCCGATCACGCTTCAAGGTAAGGTAAGCCTGCTATAGTCATTCAAAAGCCCTGGCGTGATCTCGAGAACCGTACCTTGTTGAGCTTTCCCCCCCAAGGTTATTCGAGTAAACATGTCTTGTACCAGTCTAGGCGGCCTCCTATGACATCGCATGGACCGTCTGATGTGTCTTGGTCATACACGATCTGGTACAGTACCTAGATGCCGCACAGAGGGCGTAGATCCTCGATGACAATGTGTGCCCTTTTTTAGGGGTGAGGTCTGTTTGCTAGGCGGGATCAAACGTGAAACATATAGTACAGATAGAAAGACAATCACGTGTAACGGACCCCCCATAGTAGCCCATTCCCCATCTGTCGGGATCATGTGTTGCTCGAAGCAACATAATCCCGAGTGACAGAACATTTCCTGTCTGTCTTCCTGTTCCACAAAACGGCCATGGGCATGAGACTTGTTGCCCATCTCCCACGTTTGTCTGAAGACAACGTCCGTACTCGCATGAGATCGATGTCGGCAATGTCCTCAGCTGCCTGCGAGGCGTACAGGGGGCTTCCTGTCTCGGTCTCGGATGATGCACAAGGAGAGGCTGCCGACGTCAATATCTGGGCACAACGATGTAGGAATCGATTCGAATAAACGCTTGCCCACCGGATCTGCAAGTCAGATCCAGGTGGATGGACCATACGGCTAGCAATAAAATCCGGTACTTGTTTGTCAAAAATATAACATCAAAATTCATTTGTTTTCAGAATAGTTCGGCAATTCACTAACCATGACACAAAACGTACTATGGCGTGAACAGAAAGCCGGTGCTGGTAGCCTCCAACATAGTTCTCCTCATAATAGCTGCAATGCAGATCCTGGGCCGACCGATACATAGCAGTATGTATATTGTTTGATGCAGTCCCCCTAATCAGATGCCTAACTGTCATCGGGTCTCTTGCCAAGGTAGCCTTCCAATCTCTGAAATTTTATCAACAGCTCCATCCATAGCAACAACTGTGAAAGACTCTGAAAATTCACTGACAAAGCGTCTCAAGCAGTTTTGGTTCCATGCAGAAAGCCAAGCAAATAAGCCGTCAACTTGAATTTCACAACTTGATCGTTGTGTTGCTGCATGGCAGTGAAAGTCCAATATCGTTCTTGATGGCTTCACCAATGTCAATATCAAGGCTCACGTTGAATGAAGCCAGGGCATCAGCAAGCCATGGGATAGTTTGGCCATTATTAACCACACTATTCCCGGAAATCTGTACCGGCAAAAGGCCTCCATTTTCGCAGTAGGGCCTTTGTTGAAGAGCTTTGATGACATCTGCCTGAGCAACATCTCCCTTAATGTTGAAGTTGTTATCGCCTGGGTAGAGGACCATGTTGGTAATGTTTGTATTGCCAATATTAGAACCGTTGAAGTAGGTGTGGAAAGAAGCGTTGCCCTGAAGTAACATCAGCCAGCAGTCTTATACATATTCTTACTGTACTTACCACTTCTACAGTCCAGCTCGTCGGGTTTGGTATGTTAGTTGTCGCATTGAAGTTGTTTCTAGTCGACAAACTGACATGAGGATTTGCTACACTGATGCCATTGAATGCGTTGAAACCAGCGAAAGTAACATCCTTTGAAAAGGTGATGGGATAATCACGCGCAATACCGGATACACGAACAGTGGTATCTCCTTCAACTCGCACATTCACGCTCTGGTTCGTCAGAAGATATGAGTTGAAGATAGTGAGCTCACTGATGTGGTCAATGGTTACCGGCTGGCTAATGTTCACCAAGACCAAAGCATCAGAAGGCGTCTCTGGGAACGTGACGGCAGCAAAGGCCAATGGTGGGTTATGGTCTAAAAGCCACAAGGTGCCATTAAATGCAGCTATTGTCGCGTGCGTACTACCGTCGGTAGTGATGGAGGAGTTAATGGCCATGTTGAAGGAGCCTGTCTCGCTTTGGGTGATCTTGACACCATCAATGTGAAGCTCGGCCTCATTGACTTTGTTCTGCGCAATCCTGGGTACCGCAACAAGGAGACTGATTGGGAAATGATAAGCTACTAGTAGACTTTGAGTTGAAGCAGGGCTCACATACATTACAGGAACCACGATGACAACAATAACCACCAGAATCAACAAGTACAGCCACCAGAATCTCTTGCAATGGCCATTCCTGGCCTTCGGCTTGCCGGTCGAACTATGTGTAGTTTCTGACATCTTGCTTGTTATTTGTGGTTGTTGGCCGTTGAATATAAGGACCGCGAGGTGTGGTTTTCATAAATTTTGGAAAGTGAGGTGGTCGTATCACCGCGTTTTGCATATTCTGAATTGTAAGTTTCTTTCGACCATAAGAAAGAGGTCGTTGTATCCGGTCGGCGTAGATCTGACAATACGCGAGACTGTGCTGTGTCCCAGCTCTACCAAAAACAAACGAATGTGAGGTCCAGGGGACTGAGCAGTGTGTTTAGATATTATAGATGCGGGAAGTAGCGTCCGGAAGGTCTGTTGTCAAATGTCATAAACGATGGAGCCCCCATGACCAGCAAGTTCGATCGCCGAATAGACCGTATAAGCGTCTTGTAGCACCCATACATACTACAGACGTTGCTAAACTACTTGAATAGAATTGTCCTGAGCCTGTAAAAGGAGCCTTGGCTAAAAGGTACCTTTGCCCCATAAAGCTGCATAGTCGAGATTCGACGAATGCAAGATCACCAGAACATGGAACCAGACCACGGATGTGAACCCCAGTTTGGACGAGCCGAGATCATCCCCGCAAAAGTAGACCATCCGACAAGGGCCCCATTAACAATAATCTGGGGAACAAGCCAATAGGGATGCCGAGAATCAGACTCCCGAGGCTGACGAGGAAGCACATGAAAATCCAATTACAACGACGGGCTTCGAGGCGCGGTAGAGAGCTGGAGGTCTTGAGGCAAGTTTTTAGTCATGAAATCAGTACGTCCTGCCAAACACGTCTAGTTAGAGTCTTATAACCAGGGTGCCACATAAGAGTGCCTGATGTTATTTCCACAGGGGAAGACAGGCAAAAAAGAAAAGGGGGGGAACCAAGAGTGAATAATGCTGTTATTCCTTAAAGGCAATGGGATCGTTGGAGTTGAACAACAAACTTGAATTCTCTTGGGTTTGGCAATTTTCATGTTGAGCTGGCCAGCGTGAAGGTTCACCCAAGCCTTTGTGATAGGTAAATGCTCTAATGCGACTGGGTGTTGGTACCCCGGATTTCATCTCCCCACACGCCAAGTCGCTCCAAGTCTAATGAACTTCCCCTGTATCCCATTCCTCCACTGCGTTAGTTTGGTTCCTTCGATCGGGAGATCAAAGCATGTGAGAAGCACTTTCGGCCGACGGGTCTGACAACAGCTTGGTATTTCGCAACCCACAAACCCTTAGCGCATCCTTCGCCAGGGAATCTTTCCCCGACCATGGTCAACCCTGCTAGGGAGTCAACATACCGCCGATAGAGGTTGACTGCAAATACCAACGTTTTAATGCATGAAAAGTTCGGGCGCACTAGGATAACAGGACGAGGAAAGTAGCCCAACTGACCATAGAGGTGCCCGCTTGAACAAGTATTTGCTTGCGAAGCGCCTCTAATTTACCAATGGCGTTTGTAGATTTTAAGATGTGCCTCGGCCTGCGAATCTGTCATGACGACTGAGAGAACTCTAACAAAGATCTGCAATGCCGATATACAATGCGAACATGTGTGGACTATCCGGCAGTAGCGCAAACGAAGATCAGAGTCGTATCGGCCATGTTAATATAGAATACGCCGCCACAAATCACAAAGCACGCATCTTTGCTTTTCCAAACACGAATGACAATCATATTGCCAGGTTTGTATCATTATCTATAGAGTACTGAACTGATAGCAACCTCAAACAAATCATCGTAACAGTTCTATCAACCTAAATCTGGACCTAGGTGATCACGCTATGTAACAAGCATATACAAATCTTAGATCGTTGTGAGTTTAAGCCACCATGTTAATAGTTCCCACAACGTTTCCCATCACAGTTTCGCTTTCGGTGCCCAAAGCCCATTCTCGAGGTTAGAATCACCATCATAAATATCCCGCTCGACCATACGAGTGTTGATATGCTGCGGCCCAAGCGCATCGACATTTGGTGCGCCAAGCAGCCTCATGCACGTTTCTATCTCAGCTTTGAGAACTGTTACAACCATTAGCACCTAGACAGCAAACGCCGAATTGTTGACACCTGATTTTACTCACTTTCGAACGTTCTCTCGACCCCAGCCTGTCCACCGGCACCAAGGCCAAATAGAGCGGCTCTACCGATGCCGACGCCCCTGGCGCCAAGACACAATGCCTTCACAACATCTGTTCCTCGCTTGACGCCACCATCAACCCAAACCTCGATCTTCTTCAGGACATCGGGGCAGTATTTCCGGATTTCAAGAAGAGTGTGAATTGCAGGAGGAGCTGTATCAAGAGCACGACCTCCGTGGTTAGACAGAATAACTGCCTGTACTTGTGGGGCATATTTTGCCGCAATGTACGCATCCTCGTGTGTCTGGAGGCCCTTCAAGACAATTGGTAAGTTTGTATGCTGTGCCAACCATGGCAGCGTAACCTTCCACGTTAGATCCGCAGCAGTACCAAAAAACAACTGCTGACCGACGCCTCCTCCGCCTGGCCGACTTGGCTCGCCAGAGGTCTTGGCCGCAGCCGCGACGGGTGCCGCGTTGGCAAAGTTTTGCTTTTCATCGAGCTCTCTCTTGCCAGGCACGGGCGCATCTAGTGTCAGGACGATGCACTTGAACTTATCCGACATCTTGTTGATGCGTGCCAACATGGCCAAGCTCTTATCCCTATCATTCTGCACATACAACTGCCAACCGAACATTTGGCCCGGCGCTGCGTCCGCCACGATTTGCTCCGGCGTCATTGATGCATTGTTGGAGATAATCTGCAATGCGCCGAACTTCGCTGCTGCGCGAGCAATACCAGCCTCACCGTCGGGATGGCCTAACCTCGCCATGGCCGCCGGAGCCACGAATAAAGGAAGGCCAACCTTTTGCCCCAACAATGTAGTCGATGAATCACAGCTGACGCAATCGAGAAACACTCGCGGTCTTAGGAGTATATTCCGGTAAACTTGATTATTGTATCTCTTCGAAAATTGATCGTCGCTCGATGAATAATAATATGCCCAAGCCTTCTTGGGCATCTTCTTGGTAGCGAGCTCCTCAATCTCATCGAGGTTGAGCAGGCTCTCAAGCGGTGGATCTGCAACATCTCCGTCGGACATCTTCGGTTCCTCGTTTGCCGTTGTGGTGGTGACAAGTGTATCGGGGTCGATCCTGCCTAATTTCGCCTCAGGCTTTAGGTTCTCTTCGAGAAGTCCCGGGGGATGGATTGGATCGTATTCCTCGGTGGCATCCTGGCCTGCAAGTTGCAGAATGATCTTGGAGCCGCCCGGGTGTGAGGGCAGAAATTCTGTCACGTCGTAGACGTTGCCGTACAGCACCACCCAGCAGCTCTCTGGCGAGGTGTGCTTCACCACTAGACCGCCATTGTCAGTCAGACCGTTTGGTGTCTGGATAGTCTTCATCGAGCTGCGATCAGGAATCCATTTAGCAACTCACATTCCTCAGCACGGATCAACTTGTCTCCCGCCATCTTGCACAACACATAACAATACTTCACGTATCTACTTCAAAAGAGCATGATGAGAATCAAGCATGATCTCATTGGTAATCCATTTTATTTCAACCTCATGTGGAGCCGCCAACTCGGCGGCTTTTACCCCGCGGGCCCCTGCGAGTCACTTTGGGGAAAGTGATCCACGGCAGTAACTAGTTCTCGGGGGTTTAGCGTCAACAACAAACGAGTCAGCAATGGTTGGGGATACTCTCGGCGATTTGGTCCTCAAATGGAGCGAAATGGAAACTAAGACAGGAACGAAAACAATCTACGATTGGTGGTGTCCAATCTCACACCAATAATAATAATTCATACTACTCCAGTCAAAGTCAACGGACAGTTTCCTAGGCAGTGCTACCGCTTTGGTAGAAGGTTCTGGCAATTTAATAACAGAATACACGGGGTGAGGCGAGGAAACATGGCAATAATTCGGCTCAGCAAGTCATTTGATAATGTGTCGATTCAACGTTGGAGCTCTGGAGGCAGTAACCGAGCTGTCATATTCTGTTTACTAGTGTAGGCTGCGTATCAGCTGTAGCAGAGCGCTCCCTTCCACAATCAATCGAATCCAAAATTACCCCCATGCTTGTCAGAGGCCGAGTATGCTTCGCCATCGTTTTTTCTCTTCCTCCAATGCTACTCGATCGTCCTGAGTACTGCCAGGAAAAATTCTGACGAAACTCCGGGGAATATTGAGACGAGCACTGATAAGAGGAATGGTAGGAGACGAGCTCTCACCACCATAGCTCTTTGGGGCTAGCTGGCGCTGTCCTGTATGTGGTCGCATAGACGTTGGGGTAAATTGAACTCGACGGGCCACAGATGAAGAGATCGAAGAAACGGTTTGCATTTTGTCCGACGGTATCTTGGGAATGCTAGGGATCGAAGGCGGCGGAATAGGAGTGCTGCTTTTCCCCAGCCATTCTGAAGACGAGGAACCTCGTGAAGCCTGATTTCGATGCTTTTTTTTCATTTTAGATTCCGCAAAGGAATCCTCCGCTCGCTCTGGAGCTGGATTCGGTTGTAGGCAGTCGTATTTCTGCTTAGGGCCTTCAAATAAGACCGTCTTTGTCTTAAGGGGGTTGGGGCCCGAAATTCGTGTCGGACTGCTGCGAGTTGTTTGCCTTCTCGTGACGGCAAATCGTTGAGCTTTCAAAGTCTGCTGCGTTGGTGAATCCAAATATGAGTCGTATTGTGCTTGGTTAGCAGCCGTAGCCAGTGGTCTCTGGCTCTGTCTCTGGTTTGCGTTTTGCGGTCCAGCCTCCTCTGATATGCATTGATGTCCTTTGTCGCTTTCGCTTTCTCTATGAGAAGACATAGATGAAGACACTAAAGATCCGTGAGATTCAAGACAAAGAGCAAACTGCAAAGCTCCTCTCATGAGTCGTGGATCAGTTGTACCTTTTCTTGCCGGCGGTACGTCATGCACGACGTTGGAGTCGTCTAGGTGAGGTGCAACAATCTCGTCAAGCCGTCGACGATTCTTTATCAGGTTGATCCCCTTGTCTTCTCCGGATGTTAGGTCTTGGTGTGGGCTGAGCTGCCGTACACAATCGTTCTTTTGCACAGCCAGCATCTCAGGGTTTCCTCGAAGTTCTTGGTTCAGACCCTTGGCTTCCTTAGTAACTTCCAATTTAATCTTCTTACTCCGTCCTCGGGTTTTGTCTAGCTCTGGGGAGTTGGCTTCAACATACGGCCCCAGATGTGCCCGGAAAATATCAAGAAGCCTGCGGAGACGGTATTCGTCCCGAACAATCTGATCATTGCGGCCTGTGGCGAGTCGAGCCCTGGCACGCTGGAGCTTCTGCTCAATCTCCTGTAAGTAACGTGTCTCTCGGCGTCGGAGGGAATTTTGTTTTTGAAGAAGTGCTTCGCGTGCTTCCCAGGCCTTATCATCCAAGAGCTCTCTGTCAACTTCATAAAGCAGCGCCCTGTCAGTTCGTTCTCGCCGCTTGACGAGCTTCTTTGCTTGCTTGAAGTATTTGTTATGCCAAAGTCTCTTTTGCTGAGTTTCACAGGTCAAGACTGGTTTACCGGGCCCATACTGGCGTTTCTGTCGCTGCTGAATCGTGACGCGTGCATCGACATCTGGGTCGCCCAGTGCAGGTTTTACAGCTTGAAGGTTTACCACATCAAGACGTGCTGGTAGCTTCGTGCCTCTGAGGTCGACGTACTAAGAAGCCTCGGGCGACGAACTAACCTTGGTCTTATCGCGCGATGCAGATGCCTTCCTCTTTTTCTTGCCCATTGTTGAATAAGAGTCTGGTTCGAAGAATCGTGTGGCGGTTGAAATGACTACGCTAGGCGAGCTGTTTCAGTTGAAACAATACTAGTAGCACGCAAAAGCGTTTTGTACTGCTAATGTGTGCATGTGGTGGTGCAATGTAAATATTTGGCTCGGTATGCTCTGTCGCTGGGCAACTATGAAGCAACCTCATTGGATTCACAGGGCGATCACTTTGAATCATCTTGTGCCAGATAAATTCTACAATATGACATACTAAGAGACCCGCCAGGTTTTACGTTTTTTGCTTCATGAGATGCTTAGATTGCTGAACATGTGCTCTGGCAATAAGGTCGCCAGAGTTAGCTTTGTTCAAGAAGACCGAGATTGAAGTTGGAGATTTCATATATTGTCCAAGACACGATGGCTTTAGCGAGCAAACCCATACTACGAAGACCACAAGATTTTCAAGCTAAATTGCATGTTGGAAACCCGTGCGGTTCGAGTGGGATGTGAAATCCAAGCTTTTGCCGAACGCAAATAAGGTCAATGACGAAGCTGTTAGTGTTGCGAGAAGCTCTGACAGTTCTTTAACGTTAAGCCCTGAAGGTCGGTTTCCAGCCCCTGTTCGTTCAGGAACATTTGCTTGCAGAACGAGGTGCGCACATTCAACGGCTGAGTCGAGATGATGGTTTCACTATGATGGTTTCACTAAGCAAGGTTTACATGACTGCAGTATGCTGTTTGGGACTGTCAGTGGCTCACGCTCATGGAGCATGAAGAATATGTGGACTGACAGCGGTTGTATCCGTCCATTTTCGAGTATGGACCCGCTAAGCTGACGGTAAGTGAGCCAATTAACCAGCCACGCTAAGCGGGGCAAGAACCGTAGGCGAGAATACCAGGAGGTGTAGATAGTATTAATTACCTATTGCGCGGCATTATCGAGGGCATTGACTCGAGCGCATCAGTCTATAGTTTCGACCGCGAGGTAAGCAAGACTCGTGCGTTATTATTCTTAAGGTAGCTTAATGTGCGTGCCGTCTGATTGACCGTCAATCTGCTCACTACTTCAGCATCCTAAAAGGCCTAACATAAGACTGACATGCTCACGCCCCGCTACCCAAACTCGGGCCAGAGCTAGTAGAGATGGTGCGTATCCAAGTTGCCCGATCTCACGCCGAGCACTATAGACTGACTTGTATGATCTAGTTCCGCCGAAACCTCTTCTCATCTTCGAAGCATCGCCGAGCACCGACAGTCGAGGCTGATGCCACCTCGACTATTGGTAGCAGCATCACACGCAGTCGAAGCCAAGAGAGCAAAGCAACATTCGTTGAAGATTCGAAGCATAATCTTGTTGCACACCGGGCGAACTCGGACGCCTCATTTCATAGCCAGAATGTGCCTGATATCGTCATATCCTCTATCCCTGCGGCTTCTCCCAGCAAGACTAAGGCAGACAGAGCTGACGATCCTCTGGGTCTGACGCTGTTCTATGCCCCCGATGGCATTCCGTCAGCCGATATTATATTCATCCACGGCCTTGGGGGTTCGAGCAGGTTAACGTGGTCCAAAAATCACGACCTCAACCTCCTTTGGCCATCACTTTGGCTCCCTAGCGACGACGACCTTCAAAATTGCAGGATATTTACTTTCGGGTATAATGCAGACTATCGTTCATCTTCGCAAAGCCCAACGCTTGGCATATCTGATTTCGCAAAGAACCTGTTGTTCGATATGCTTTATGGTAGGGATAAGCAGGGTCAAAGCTTTCACTTGGGGAAGGTGAGTGGTGTAGCCTCGTTGCGTATATGTTCTACTCCCAACTTTTTGGACTGCAGGCACCAATTCTTATAGTGGCCCATTCCATGGGTGGGCTAGTGTTTAAAAAGGTATACATTTGACTTTAGCTCATGAACTTAATGTTGACTTTCTAATAGGCATACCTTGAAGCGCAGTTGGATAATCGGTATACAAGTATTGCCGAGTCCATGAAGGCCGTGTTGTTTCTTGCCACACCACATCGTGGAGCTGATCTCTCTGCGTCTTTGAATAAACTGTTATCTATTAGCTTTCGAGGCTCAAAGCATTATGTTACGGAACTAGGCAAGCATGGCTCGTTCATCCCGACGTTGAACGAACAGTTCCGACACATTGCGGAACGTCTCCAAATCTTTTCCTTCTATGAGACAGTCCAAACATCGCTTGGCTTGAGCTCTGCCGTAAGTCCGCGTGATTAACATTGAAGGTGAAAACCTAGCTGACATATACCAGATTATAGTAGACGAAGATACCGCGAAGCTTGGTTACCCCGGGGAGATATCGAGGTCGTTGAACGCCGATCATCATGGCGTATGCAAGTTTGAAAGTGTGAATGATGTGAATTATCGCGCTGTGTTGGGAGTTCTCAAATCTACTGTCTCATCTTTCACTAAAATCAGTAAGCAATCATGCAGCGCTCCTTGCTTAGTAGCTATGAATAACTGAATAGCTCAGGTGAACACTCCGCTGCGGATGATATGGAGAAGATTCGAGTGCACTTATCTATATCTGATAATGTGGACCATGATCTGAGTTTATTCATGAGCCGCCGCGTCGACGGCACTTGTTCCTCAATTCTCGATGAAACCCAGGTACGCTCCTGGATGACAGATTCCTCTCAGTCTCATATCTTATGGCTGCATAGTCGCCCGGCACGTGGCAAGTCTGTATTTTGCTCTTTCATGATAGATCATCTACGTGACCAGGGCGCTACTGTGCAGCATTTTTTCTTCAGGGCTGGCGACGAAACAAAGCGGTCTGTTGGCTCTCTACTCAGATTCTTGGTTTTCCAAATTGCGAATTTTCACCCACCGTTTCGTCAAGCAGTTGCAAAGCTGCTCGATGGAGGCTATAAGCCTAAGGATAGCGATTGGAAATCAACTTGGCGAAAGCTATTTGTAGGGTTGCTGTTCAAATATGAATTCGAGAAACCGCTTTATTGGGTCGTTGACGGCCTTGACGAATCAGCTTCCCCTCAGCAAATCCTGGAGCTAATGGCAGAGGTCAAAAGTTCGTTGACGCCAATACGGGTATTGGCTACAAGTCGCTGGACCCCTAGACTCTTCACTTCCTTCGGAAGAATCAGCTCGAAAATACCCACATCGTGGTTCTCTCTCGACCAAGACTCTACAGATATGCGTATCTACATCGAAGAAGAACTGCAGTATCTCAGTTGGGACGATTCTGTCAAGGGTGAAATCACGGGTAAGGTCCTGGATCAGGCCAATGACAATTTTCTCTGGGTTCGCCTCATACTTGAAGAGATAAGGGATTGCCATACAGAGGATGATTTACGTCAAGCTCTGAATGAGTTACCTCCCGGAATGGAATCGTTATATCAACGTATGGAGGAGACGATATCAAATATAAGGAGACCCTCAGATAGGAATTTGTCACGGCAACTACTTATGTGGGCTATATATGCGCGACGCCCGGTGTCCTTATCAGAGCTCTCGGAGATTCTAGAACCAGAGTTTGGTCATATTTTGGACCTCACGACTACAATCACTCGTCTATGTGGACATTTCCTCGTGTTAGAGGGGGAGAATCGGATTGGGTTGCTTCATCAAACAGCGCGCGAATATTTGATCGCTTCTAACAGCCTTCCTTTCTCGTTAAATGCAGCCGTCTGCCACGATGAACTTTTCCGACGGTCTATGGTCGCGTTGGCGGACAAGGCGTTGAGATCTAAGGTGCAGCTAAGCGGTTCGAACTCCCTCCATTATCGCGCAACTGAATGGATGCATCACCTGAAAGCGACTGGGTTGCCTAGTGATTTCGACGGTCAACTTGATGTGTTGCTTAAGTTTTTCAAGCAACCGTTTGTGCTTACCTGGATCCAGCTCCTGGCATCCTCGGGCCAATTAGGAATTCTCATTGATACTGCCCACTCTTTGGATACTTTCGTCAAAAAGACACGAAGATCTGACGCTGCTCGTGAGCCTGCCCAGCGACGGTTCGAAGACCTTGAGCTGTTAGATCTATGGTCTCGTGATCTTCTGAAGCTTCCAGGAAAGTATGGGGCAATTTTATCACAACACCCTGCATCTATACATAGTTCTGTTGCACCATTTTGCCCCTCAAACTCGGCAATACACAGAACCTTTGGCAGCCTTTCTTCCTCGCCAAGAATAAAGGGACTCTCAGAAGACTGGGACGACTGTCTCGCCAGAGTATCAGTTGGTAGCGATTGTCAAGCCTCGTTGATAAGCTGTTCAGCGAAGCATCTTGCTGTAGTTGATGGAAATGGTAATGTCTCCTTGTGGGACTGTACTACATTCCATTGTACTCGCCTCGTGACTGTTGGTGAATCAATATCGACCATTTGTTTCAGCGAGAACGGTGACCGAATCGCAACTTATGGATATCGAGCGACAAAAGTATGGAGTACGTTTTCTGGCAAACTGCTCAACTCGTTCGATAATCCCCTGGACATGAAGGCAATTACTTTGAACTTCATTGACGACGGTTCAGCCTTGTTAGTGGGGACGGATCGTCGGTGTTTGGTGCGAGGTTCGCTGCAAAAGGAGAAATGTGTTTGGAATATTATCGAGTCGGTAATGCTCAACGATACCGAGTCTTTAGAGGGCACCATCCTAGGTTCGCCCACCGCCCTCGAAGTGAGCCCAGATCATACGAAAGTTGCTGTAGCGTACCGCAGGTTCCCTTTGACAATATGGGCCACGAGTCCATCAAAGATTGTGCAGCGGGTCAATCGTGATACTAGGGCATCGATCTCACCTTCTCCATTCGTTACATCACTTGCGTGGCATCCTAATAGTGAAGAAGTAATTGGCATTTTTATGGATGGATACATGTTCAAGGTTAACATTATTGATGGTACCTACCATGAACAACCGCCTGATTCTGGCCAGTTCCCATTGCACATAAGAGTCAACCCGGATGGCACCATATTTGGAATATGTGGTGTACATGGAACGATAAAGCTTTACGACTATCAATCCTCTACACTGGTATATCAACTTACGTCTGACGATAATGTCGCGGACTTCTGCTTCAGTCAAGATGGCCGACGATTCTACGATATCCGTGGGAGCTGTTGCAATATTTGGGAGCCCAATGCCCTGATTAGATTAGGCGCGACTGATGATCATCCTACGAGCAGTCAAGCACCAGATGAAAGTGTGGAGCAATCAAATCTTGCTTCAGAATCTTTTGCAGACAATCCTACTCCAATTATCATCACATCGCCAATGCCTCGCCATTCCGTTGTATGTCTAGGAGATGAAGAAGGTCTGGTTGCACTACACGATTACGAAAGTGGCCAAAGGTTGAAAATTGACCGTATCGCTACTGGGATGGGCATCGAGCATCTTGTTTGGAGCGACGACGGTGTTCACTTCGCCTACGCCGAGGTTGGAGGTCGATTGACGATCGTCAAGATTGAATTTACAACAACTGGTTGGAAACATGAGCGAATTGCTAGGTTCAAGCCGAAGTTATCAACCGGTGGGATGAAGCAGTTAATCCTCTCATCTGACTCGGAGTATATTCTTGTGTCTTTCAAGGACTCAACTCAACTGTGGTCAATACAGTCCTTAAGTCAGGTGGAGCAGGGCCGTGACCGTACGCCAAGAAACTCCGCACAATGGATCGTGCACCCGTCTTCTTCTGCTCATCTTCTCTCAGTCACACCTGACGACTGTCTCACGCATGAATGGGTTGATCTGTCTATATCATCAAAATGGCTTATCCCGCAAACAGATCGCCAGAGTAATTCAAATTCCAGGCCGCTTCTCGAACGGGAGGACACGGATGGCAATACGTTGAATAGTGATCATGTGCATGAAGCCGTCGAGAAGATAGTTCCTACCTTTTTCAGGGGACACATCTTGGTGCATATCTCCCGGCGCACCACTCACCGAAAGCAAAGATCACGTTTCATGATAATTAGTGGCTTCGATGGACAAAACGATTTTGGCGAATCACACAAATTAACATGTACCACCGTACCTCCTGAACTGTCTGACCAGATAGAGGTGCCGCTTAATATCCTGAAAAATGGATATCTCGTCTACCTAGACCGGTCACTTGGAGTTTGTACATGGCATATCAAATCCTCCCACGGCATCCTAGATACTAAGTGTCATTTTTACATTCCCCGAGATTGGATCTCGGAGCAGAATCTTGGCCTGCTGTCTGTGACGGACTCCGGCTCGATTCTGTGCCCTCGCAAGGGCGAGTTCATGGTCATTTTTACCTCCCTTAGCTCTGACTGGTAGTCCTTGGGAAACGTAGTTTTTGACTTTCGATCATAGATATTACAACAGGAATATATCTAAGTCCGCAACCTCAAATCAAATTTCTATGTACGAATTATGACCATGCGCGATTTAAGTCACTACTGAACTTTGGAGATCCACATTTCATTCTCCTCAAATGCAGCGACTGGCCTTGACTAATTATTTCTAGCCTCTCTCCAAGCTTTACCCTTTCGCAGTTCGAGAAATAGCAAAGGTCCACATGTGCCGTTTAGGAGACCGAATATTGTGAAGCACCAACCTGGACCAACATTGTCAAGGATCGTCTGCAATACGGCAAGTGTTCCAGCTGCTAAAGCACATCTCACAACATTTGCTGATGCAGCGGCTGTTGAAGAGCGGTCTGGGTTTAGGTCCGTCAGAAGGGTACCTAATACCTGCGTGGCTATCAGCTGATTACAGTGTTCATTGGTAACAGGGGGATTACATACTACGAACATGCCGGTTGTGGAGAAGCCGATGAGTGTTTGTATAATTAATGGCACGGACGCGTGCTGTATATACATCAGTAATACTTATAATCACTAAGACGAACATCCTTACCGCACGATACTGAACACTCCAGCCATACGCTGTGATAGACACTGCAGCTAATATGATCAGCCAAGGCGCGCTCCGGAGCCTCGCTTCCTCTATTGGAAAACCAGTGTCTCCGTCGAGGGGCCGCTTTTCCGCTTGAATACAATGTAATTTCCCTGTTCGAGCATAGTCAGAATTTAACAACTTGCCTATACACATTAGTTTAGTGACCATCCGATTTAAATTCTGTCTCTTACCCCACGAATATGTGCTAACCAAGCAGCCGAAGCCAAATGGGATATAAATTAGTCCTGCTTCTAGTTTACCATACCCATAGACCTGTATGAATAATGTAGAAAGAGATGCCTGGACGCAACAGTATGTTGCGTAATAAATACCATTGCAAAGTATAACAATGAAGATGTCCTTGAAGAGGAGTAGTTTAAGACAGTGTAGTGGGTTAGGAAAGGTGAACTGTGGTTTTGTAGTGTTTATATGTTCTGTTCTTGCCCGACTTTGGTGTTTGGAAATCATAGATAGAGGCATCTTATTAGTGCCGCTTCCCACAATTTTCCTAGCTGTCTCCGGTAAGGCCAAGACAACCAGGAGAAGACAAAGACCTCCAAGGATGGCGAGAAACCAAAAGATTGAATGCCACCCTAGCCTCGCAACGATGAGACCTCCGATGACTGGCCCAAACGGGGGAGCAACATTGGGTCTAGCAGCAATAAGTATATGAACTTGAATTAATTATAGATACATGCTTACCCGAGGCTGAATATCCCCACAAAGAGGCCTCTTTCTGCAGGGCTGGCAATGTCTGAAACGATGCCGTATCCTAAAGATATAGTTCCTATAGACGTAAGCTCTCTGCCTTGATGTATACATTATATAGAATCCTGTACCAGAACTGCCTACACTTTGGATCATTCTCAGCACCAGTAGTGCTGGATAACTGCTCTGTAAAGCAAGTCCAAGATTTGCGACAAAGTAGATTGACAGAGCCAGAATGTATATCGGACGACGTCCAAGCTTATCGGCTGCGTCTCCCAGGATTGCTGGTGTAATTCCTGAAATCAGCATGTATGTTGTGATGGCTATGTTCACCAGTGCAACAGTTGTGCCAAGCGATTCAGCAATGGACGTTATAGCAGGATAAAACACGAAGCTACTCATGGGAGAGAACATGGCGGCGAAGGCTGCCATAAATAAAAGCCAGTGCTTCATCCCTGTTGAGAGAACCGAATATTCGTCGATTGTCAAGCCATCCGTAGGTGCTTGGGATTCCATAAGCCCGCCATCGTTTGGTTTCGTCGACATGTTAAACACCCTACAGGTCGCCGGAGCACCTTGCGGAAGATATGTCAAGAGTTTGACGCAGTACTTCCAACTGCAGAGGAGTCTAAGGGCCTCCTTGTAGAATCCGCAATGAATTTGACAGTCAAATGGTTGTACACGGCTTGAACTAATAATGCCCAGGGAAGTGTAATCTCTCCTGGTCACCGTCTGCTAGTCATTCTGATTGTGCAATTGTCTGTGCTCAATTGAAGAGGCCTCGTCGGATCCACGAGCATACTCTGGGCGGCTATTTGCATGCTACGATTGGCGAGTTGCTTACGCGGCCGCGCATACCCTGCATAATTTCTGTAGGTGGGAGTAGGGAACGAAACTTCTGGAGATATATGATTTCCCACAATATTCCTCCATTAGGTTAAATCACGGATATATATTACTATTTATTATTCTTAAAGGGGTAAACTCGACTATCTCTTAGGTTATTTACGAACCAAAATAAGTCTTAAATCTTAAAGGATTTTTTAATCTACTTACATAGATCCGTGTATTATAGACGATTGACTTATACTGTGCACAGACGATAAATTTGGTGATAAATCACAATATTTCCTAATTCGAAAACGATATTTACCGAGGCATATTTCATTTTTTGGTATTCCCTAGGTGGGAGTCCCCCGCTTGTAATGAAGCAGCCTATATGTTCCCCTCTTCCCTCACTCCTCCAAGCTGATTCTACACTCCATTACAACACAATGGCTTTAGAACTCCAGAACGGGCTCAAAGAGCATTTGAGCTTGTTGAGTGACTCCCTTGGGGGTAGGCTACCCTTGGATGATGCCGTCTTAGAAGGTATTCGTTGACTCTAAATGTCATCACTTTCAGTTCGTATGCACTTATTGATCACACAATGGCAGCCTTACCACCGGGAACCACATCAGCGTCTGCACATGCCTATGGTTTATCTGCATGGTCATTTACGGCCAGGATTAATGCACTCGATAACGATTATCAACCTGTCTCATTCTTTCTCAAGGTGGGTTCCACTTTACCTTGATATCAGGATATCCGTTTTAATGTTGTTGGTACCATAGTATGTTGCTGGGGACCTCGGCAAGAACCAATTAGAGGGAGAGTTTGTCGGTATGACAGAGTTGCATAGACTGCAACCCGAACTAGTTCCTAAGCCTCTTGCTCGAGGTAAGCTCAAGGATGCAAACCCACCGACGTATTTCTTCTTGATTGAATTCAAGGAGTTCGTGCCTGGGCTTCCTGACCCTGTGAGGCTAGGTGCTCGCCTTGCCGCGATGCATCGCAACAGTACTTCCCCGGACGGCAATTTTGGCTTTCACTTGCAGACTTATGATGGTGCAAGGCTCCAAGCGGTCGCACCGGCCAAGAGCTGGACCACCTTCTTCGGGAAACTTCTCGCTGAAGCTTATCGGCAGGATACAGAGACCAACGGAGTTTGGCCAGAGCTTGAGACCGTGCATCGACGTGTACAGTCGCATTTAATACCTCGTCTCATCGGAGCTCTAGAATCCGAGGGTCGATCGGTGAAGCCGACGTTGATCCATGGTGACCTTTGGGATGGCAACGTCGGAGTCGAGGCGAACACTGGCGATCCATGGATTTTTGACTCTGCCGTATATTACGCCCACAATGAGATGGAGATCGGTATCTGGCGAGCTGAGCGACATCAGCTAAAAGCGAAACATTTCCGTAGAGAATATCTTCGTAATTGTGAGCCTAGCGAGCCCGAGGACGAATGGGACGACCGAAACATTCTCTACAGTGCCAAGACAAATTTCATGCATTCTGCATGTTTTACAGGTTCTCCGGCACGTAAATCGTGAGAAGACACCTAGAATGACACTAAATGCGGAGGCTCTACTGACAAGAATAGGGCTTTTAACGACTTGGTTTCACTGATTCAGAAATACACTCCGTGGGAGGAGAATTCTGATGGCTTGCGACAAGTCGGCCAAGGCCAGAATGGCGACTCCGTCGTATAATTATACTCATGTACTATAATTGATCGGCTCCTTGTTGTATGTCGTTTGCAGTCTGAGGGTACTTCTCAATTATAGATTGTGATCATTCTTACTTCAATCGATTTGATTTATGCCGCTAGCCTTTGCTTATTTCAATTTAATGAGTTATGATGATTAGAAGGTCGTCTTCTCTGGGACGTGCAGGTATGTTCGACCTTGGTAGACAATGATCAAACGAGGCCGTTGAATGTGAGCAGATGTGAGTAAGAAGATGTGAGTAAGAAGATGTGACTATAGCACTGGATTGTCTGAAGTAGTCAAGAAATACAGGCCCCACTGATGAGGACTCGTGTTTGGGAACATGCAGGGAGACTGGGCCTGCCTTAAAGCCCCGGAATCAGTCGAGTCGGGCTCGGCTGCAACCAAGCACATTTGGCGTAGTTTGTCGTTCGCTACGGCTCGACAAGCTTGGCTTGTCACACATAAGGGACCGGGGAAAGGTGGGGCGGGACAGGGAAGGGTGGAAGAAAGCTCGTTCTCCACACTGGAACCTCGGCAGAGGGGGTTCGCTAGAAAAGCGGCTGTAATCCGCGGTTCCTACCTCGAACTGTCGTGCTTGTCTGCTTATAAACGTCCGAATTGCTAGAGCTGTGCCATTATCTGGAGAGTTACAATCACCAAAACAATTATTACAACTGTAACTTGTTCTATCACATTCAATATGAGCGGTCCCGGTGTCGGTTTCGAGTACCCTGCCAAGGAGGTAACATGGTTGAAGCGCGATGCTCTACTCTTTGCTGCCAGCATTGGCTGCACTAATGAAGAGCTCAACTTCCTCTACGTACGACAATCACCTCTCCAAGAGCATCAATCAATATTAATGTCCATATAGGAGTTAGACCCAGATTTTGCCGTCTTTCCTACCTACCCAGTCATCTTACGTACGTTATCCTTGTGCAGCCCTGTTATTAGCCGCCGTCCTCACAGGATATAATACAGCTTTCAAGGGCGACACGCAAGAAGTTATTGATTTCTATGCTGCGCAAAAGGCAGTCAAGATTCCTGGTGTTCCCGAATTCGACTCTACAAGAGTCGTCGACGGGCAGCGTCTTGTCCAGTTCCTCAAGCCCTTACCGACCTCATCAGAAGGCAAGAAGTTTGAGATTCGGACCAAAGTCGTTGGTGTCTATGACAAGGGTCGTCCGGGCTCGGTCGTCGAGACACAGACAGATATCGTAGATGTTGGTACTGGGGAGGTCTACGCACGTGCCATCGGCAGCGCTTTCTTCGTCGCGCAGGGCAATTGGGGCGGTCCCAAGGGTCCCGCGACTGAGAACTTCCCTCCTCCAAAGGGCAAGAAGCCAGATGCAACTTTTGAGGACCAAACCACTCAGGAGACTGCTCTACTATACAGGCTCAATGGGGACTACAACCCTCTCCACGCTCACCCAGAGCCCGGCAAGAAGATGGGTTTCGGCGGTGCCATTATTCATGGTCTCTACTCGTTCAATTCCACCGCACACGGATTGCTGAAGACTATTGGCGCAAGTGACCCCAAGAACATCAAGGAGTTCCAGGCGCGTTTCGCAAGCCCCGTCAAACCTGGCGACAAACTGGTGACCCAAGTCTGGAAGACGGGTGAGATCAAAGATGGTTGGGAGGAGATCAGATTTGTGACCAGTGTTGAAGGCGGCAAAGTGTGCTTGAGCAATGGTCGCGCTTTGATGAAGGTGGTCGGCGCAGCGAAGACCAAGTTGTAGATATTATTGTCATTAGCGGCAGACCAATTGATACAGTTAATACAAGATCAAGTTTCCCTGCATCTAATTCGGTAATCAGCGATGATGGTTGATGCTTAAGTGATGGCTATTTCATTTGGTTAAAGGTTCACGTACCCAAAAAATCGGTGCCTGAACAACTGTTAGTCGTAGGTATGGATCCAACTAAGCGAAGTTGAGCTTGATCCACTTTACAATCGAACCTCAAAACCAACACGGGCAATGTCTTGCACTCAATAACCCAGTGCGTTGAACGAAGACTGAACTCACCCAGATGACTTCAAAAGTTAATCCCGGTGACCGGCTGTCTTATGACGGCGCCCTATGCACAGTCCGATACGTCGGCGAAGTGACAGGCACATCAGGATCTTGGATTGGGGTAGAATGGGACGACGCGACCCGGGGCAAGCACGACGGCTCCCACAAAGGAACACGCTACTTCTCATGTAGGTCTGGATTCTTCAACTTGCTGCTCGAAAACTGACATTTCCATGAGGCAAATCCAAATTATCCACAGCTGCCTCTTTCGTGCGGCCAACCAGGTCTGCAGAGTCACCACGCAGTTTCGTTTCGGCGCTGCAAGACAAGTATACCGGGGAGGTGTCGGCGGCCAGTGCGCAGATCAAGTTCTCAGGGAAAATCGCCGAGGAAGTTGGATTTCACAAGATTCAACGCAAACAGGCTAATTTGGCCGAGTTGAAGTTTCTGATCTTGGATGGCACGCGCATCGCCTATCCCTACGACAATGGAGATGCGTGCATCGCTGATACTTGCCCCAAGGCGATCGAACTTGATCTCAGCCGCAACTTGTTCACCAACTTTGGGATCGTTGTGGACATATGCTCTGAATTGCTCACCGTACACAATCTACGGCTGAAGTAAGTGCTCATCTGGTTGACCGTTTAGTGTTGGGAGCTAATACTCCAAAGCGGTAATCGCCTTCTGAATATCCTTCGCCATGAAGATTCAGAGCGTACTGATGTGGTATTCAAGAATATTAAGGATCTTGCATTTGATCAGACACTCATGAGCTGGGAAGAGATATGCCATTTATCTTCTAAATTTTTGTCTCTGGCAACTTTATCCGCCGTTGAAAACCAACTGTCATCGCTCCCGCAGGTTCCCTTGAGAAACATCTCCTCATCACTGCATTCGCTCAATCTTGAGTGGAATGAATTCACTTCGCTGTCGGATATAGCAAGTCTGGGCGAGCTGAAAGCGCTTCGCAATCTACATCTGAAAGGAAACAATATTGCAGCGATGACTCATGACCCTTCAGCAAAGCCTCCCGTTTTCTCACCAAGTCTGCAATACCTGGATATATCCTACAACCAGATTCCTTCTTGGTCGTTCGTGGATGATCTCCCAACCGCTTTCCCAGGCCTTACTCAGCTGCGATTCACCCATAATCCTATATACAATAACCCAGATCCGGAGCACTCCATCCAGTCGAAGACGTTCACAGAGGAAGCTTACATGATTACTGTGGGCCGTCTGGCCAATCTGCGAGGCCTTAACTTTGGCACCATCTCAGCAAGTGACCGGCAAGATGCGGAAATGTTTTATCTAGCACGCATCGGCAAACATTTGTCCGCCGTACCTGAAGACGAAGAGAGCCAGGTCATCAAGAAGCACAAGCGTTACGCCGAGTTAGTTGAGCTCTATGGTCTTCCTGTCATAAACAGGCAGAAGGAGACCAATCCGGCGTTTCTGGAGGCTCGTCTTGTCGCAGTCCAGTTCATTTTTCATCCTCAAAATAGTGAAAGCACTGTTGAGAGACTTACCAAGATCCCCAAGAGCTTTGATATCTACAGAGTCAAGGGCATTGCAGGAAAACTGTTTGCACAAGATCCACTCGGCTTACGCTTGATTTGGGAAACAGGGGAATGGGACCCGGTCGCCGGATTTGACGAAGAAGTAGAAGACAGCAGCGATGAAGAAGATGCGGAAGAGCCTGCTCGCAACGACGCGGTCTCACAGTCCGAATCTGGCAAAAAGGCTGGTTGGTGGGTCAAACGGGAAGTTGAACTGCAAGACGGCCCGCGGCAGCTTGGCTTCTGCGTGGATGGATTGGATGCAAAAGTAAGAGTTGAGTTACGACGAATTCAAGTGTAGAACTACTGCATTACTTACACGCTAAAGAAAAGAGGTATGTGGATTGCGTGTTGAGGACAATATTCAGAAGCTGCAGTGTGCTGGGATGACGATGATCTGGACTTTCAAAATCTATCATTTGATACCAAACGCAGCTTGCAAATCGGTTAGTACCCGCATGGCCGACTGACAAACGCATATGAGATATGCAAGTTGCTAGAGATGAACAAACACCAACTGATACAAATTCTACCAATGCACAACATTTAGCCATGACGAAAAATGCGTGCTGAGGCCATTTGCAAACGTCTCACGCATGCGAGGCTTACAAGACCCCTTGGCCCCTGAATCATATTTTACTCGGGATAATTATTTCTTAACGCCAATCGCGGAAGCTCTCTGTAACCTATATCCTTTGCAAGTCTTCGGCGTCAAGAGATTTTGAGAGAGTGCATACTGCCACTGTCTTCTAACGACGACTTCGACAATCAACAGTCATCTTATCTTTTCTTCTCATCGAGTGCCTACAAGACCTCGCAGCCGCCATTATTTTGGTTACGCCTCTCGTCCACGACGTTGTCGATTATCTTCGTCCATCGACATCACCTGCGTTATGGCTTATCGCACTAATGGGGAGCATGAACATGAGCGAGACCGCCATATCTTGAAGCCCTTCTCAGCGCCCCCCACGACATCCCCCACCTGCGAAGAATTACTACCCCGGTACTTCATCGTCCGCCCAGATGTCACAAAGCATACCGCATGTGGCACAGTCACCATCAAGGGGCCCATGGTGCCCCTGATCCCCATTGACCAGCTTCCTCCCTGGCTCGAGGTCGTCGACGTTCCCCGTGAGCTAGATATTGATCAGATGAAGGGTCTCATAAATCTTGGCGAGAGCCGCAAGGACTTCGATTCATTTGAAGTCTACTTCGTAGACAGTAACGATGAAGAACTGTCCTTCTCTGATACCGAGGGCTGCGGCGCTACTGGCGTCACCGCTGAAAAAAGCATCATTGACGGCCAGTCGCAAGGCAATACTAATGCCAACAAGTCCAGCCGCAGACGAGGGGATCGACGCCACAAGAACTGGAACCAACAGCAGGATGGCTCGAACCCGGAGCCTTCCACCAGTAGCGACAGCTGCAGCGGTGACGCGGCCGAGAGCGTTTCCTCGTTCAAGGCCTCGGCATCGAGCAGCACAGATGCTGCATTGAACTACCACCCCCAAGCCACGACAACGGCGGCCACCAAGGGCGGCCTCAAGAATAGTCGCCACGCCGCCACCACCCATTCAGCGCCCCCGAGCCCGATCGTGACCCTGAACGCCCGGGTTCCTTCACTACCCTCCGCAAGCCCGGGTCCGTTAAACCGCTACACCATGCTGCCCCGCCGCAACGGCGGTCCCATCCCACATCCGGACCGCCCTGCCTCGCGCTTGCTCAGCACCTTCGCGCCCGCCCCCAACGGCCACTACTCGCCCGCTCGACCCTCTAGCTCACCAGCTCGCGCCAACCTTCACCACCACCACCACAACAGAAACAACAACACACCGGCGTACCGCAGCAGTAGCCGCAGCAACCCGAACGCCAACAATAGCAGCAGCAACAGCACGGTCTTCTGCCGGCACTTCTGCCACCACGGGACCTGCAAGTGGGGACAGGTCTGCTACTACAAGCACGGGATGCCGTGCACGCCGGACGGGCTGCGCGAGGTGGGGCTCGCCGACTTCCCGGTCTGGTACAAGGCGGGCATGGCTTTCTACTCGTACATGAACAACGGCGGCGGCGATGGCCACGGTGCCATGACGCCGCCTGGGAGCGGCGTGGGCATGGGCGTGGGTGGTCCCAGTGCTGCCGTGTCCGACTTGAGCGAGAAGGACCGGAGGGGGTTCCGGGAGCGCCTTGAGAGACAGGGAATGATGGCCAAGACGGCCAAGGAGAGACAAGAACCACAGCAGCAGCAGCAGCAGCGTATGGGGGGTTGTATCAGTGGCAAGAACAAGAGCAAAGGTAAGGAGAAGAGGAGGGTTGAGAGCATCCTGAGGGAAGACACGAATAAGTCAGGTCATGTGTCCATGGATGAGCAGGATGGCAGAGTCTTCATTCCCGAGGAGACGCTGGAGACTCGGTCAAGACAGGTCGAGGAAGAAGATACATAATCAGAGGTGCAAATCAAGGCGCAGGAGAAGGAAAGGGAGAGGCAGAGACAGAAGAAGAAGCAGAAGCAGAAGGCCAAGGTGGAGACTCAGCATACGGTAGAAGACCTCCTGGACTTCTGAGGTCTTTCTCCTTGACTGGCGTTGCTTGAACGTTATTACGCAGGCAGGGATACCAGCCCATGATGGGGTGGAATTTCGCTGGACATGGTGAAGACAACAAACTCCACAAACGAACTGTTAAATTGCTCTTGATTGTAATATGAACTCCAAACCATGCCCAAACCAAGGAACACGGTGACAACGTACAGCCAACCCAGACGAAACTCCGGCGGCACGTAACTCGTAGAAATTTGTACAATGGTTTTGTCTGTCCTGGTATCATCTACAGCGACTTGTTCTCTCCCCTCCCCTCCCCTCCCCTCCACTTTCTTTCTTTGTTTGTTTCTCTCTTCTTAGAAGGCCATCTCCTTCTTGATCTCGGAAATGGCTAGACCGGGGTTCAAGCCCTTGGGGCAAGTCCTTGTGCAGTTGAGAATGGTGTGGCATCTGTACAAGCTCATGGAGTTGTCAAGCGCAGCCTTTCGCTCGGCCTTGCGCTCATCACGCGAGTCGGCCAACCATCGGTAAGACTGTAGCAGGATGGCGGGACCGAGGTACTCCTCGGCGTTCCACCAGTAAGAGGGGCAGGATGTCGAGCAGCAAGCACACAGGATACACTCGTAGAGACCATCCAGCTTTCTTCGGTCAGCCTTGCTCTGGCGGTATTCCTTGCCCTACGAGGAGATTAGTACGGGGGAGCGGTCGTGCGTGATATAACCAGTCAGTCTGGCGGCATTGAACATACATCTGGAGCGGGAGTGTCTCTCTGCAGGTACGGCTTGATAGACTTGTATTGCTTGTAGAAGTGGGTCAAGTCGGGAACCAGGTCCTTGACGACGTAGGTGTGCGGCAGGGGGTAGATCTTGAGCTCCTTGTTGGTGTCGGTGGGAATTCTGCACAGGCAGGCCAGTGTGTTGGTGCCGTTGATGTTCATGGCGCAGGAACCGCAGATGCCCTCTCGGCAACTTCTTCGGAAAGTCAGGGTGGGGTCAGACTCGTTCTTGATTCTCACCAGGGCGTCGAGGACCATGGGGCCGGTCTTGTTGAGGTCGAGAGTGTACGTCTGCATCCGTGGCTTCTCGGTGGGGTGGTCGGGGTTCCATCGGTAGATGGAGAACTTCTTCAGGCGAGACTCGGAGGAGCCCTTGGGGGTGGCATCAACGGTAGCGTCACCTACCGAGGCCATGGAGCGAGAGAAGACGGCGGCAGGCTTGACGAAAGCCGGTCGCGATGCCGTGGCCAGGAGCCGCGACGAGGTAGAGCGGAGAGCTGCCATTGTGGGCAATAGGAACAAGAGCAGATATGAGGATGGACCGTCGGTGTGTTTGCGGCAGATGAAATGTCGGGTCGAGTCCGGCTGCTCGAAACAAAAGGAACGAGGCCAACCAAGGTTGTTCTGGCGAAAGGGCGCGTTGGGAATTAGCTCAAGGTGGTGGCAACGTCTGGAATTGAGTATGTCGAGATCATCATCGATCTGATTTGATTGGATTGGGATGGATTGGATCTGGCTTGGAATTCGCGAGCTTCCGACCCGAACACCCAGTGCTAGAGCGGCTTCCCCCCCGTGCTGGCAGCGTGGGTGTGGACTTTCTGCTTTCCTCGGTTGTTGGCGGCCAATCACAGCCCGCCACTTCCTAAGCAGTTCGTCAAAGCTTTTGCGGCCGGTGGGCAGAGCATGCGAGCAAGATCACCGCCAGCCGCCAGCATCTGCCCGTGGTGGGCCGCCCCCAAGCAGATCTGGAATTGCAGCCCCTACGGATCCCGTGCTACTGTGAGGAACTTATGGAGAGAGGCAGAGAGGCAGGAGGGACGCCTGATGGGTCGCTCGGAAAGCACCGGGTGTGCTGCGCAAAAGTCCATTTCCAATCCCAGCGTTCATTGCGGATCACCCCAAGGTTGAGTTACCATGTTATGTACTAACCTTACAGCATGTAAGTTATATGCACGCGTCTACAGTATGCACATATCCAAAGCCGTCGCCCTTATGCAAGCACGATAAGATAAGATAACACGGCCCACTGGACGGATCCCGCAAGACGCTGCAGCAGCTGCACAGTAAAGTTAGTTGCACAACTCCAGGGTTAGAAGCTATTCACACCAGGACGAGCTTCCAACCATCAGCCAGTTGGTGTCCCGCCAATAGACCCGTCCGACAGTACCCTCACGCAGAGTCTGGCGTCTGCACACAGCCTTTCTTTAAGCCTGTCAGACACTATGTTCATATGACCGCTCCCTGGGATTTCAGTTGTCCCCGTATCATCAACCTCATCTAAAAACATGGCCGTAACGGCTTCGCGGCTCATACTGCCTCGAAGAAAACTGCTGGGGCAGAGTACGGCCGCAACACCATGACACCTTGTCCACCTCTCACTGATTTTCTAGCAGTCTCTTCTCCGTGCCAATTGAGGTCACCATTCCTCAACAGCAGCAGCAGCAGCAGCAGCGCCCCCTTACATCATAACCGGTCGTTCTCCTCGCAACCCTCCATGTCATCGCAAGACGCAGGAATACCTACGCGCAGATTCACTTATCACGCCGCCGCATCATTCGCAAGCAAGCACAAGCGGCTCGACCCCAGCAGCAACGTTTTTCACTTCAACCCTTACAATCGTATTCAGCCTCAGGTCAAGCGGCCCAAGTCGAAACGCCCCGCGAGTGGACAAGATGCCTTCTTCATAGCCCGCGTCGGCGATACGAATGCGGTCGCCCTGGGCGTTGCTGACGGCGTTGGCGGATGGGAGGAGAGCGGTGTAGATCCCGCAGACTTCTCTCATGGCTTCTGCGACTACATGGCTTTGGCAGCTTACGAGAACAAGCCATCAGCTGGCCCGACTCTCACCGCCAAGGGACTGATGCAGAAAGGCTACGACGACGTGGTCAATGACAAGAGTATACACGCCGGTGGCAGCACAGCCTGCGTTGCCATTGCAACCGAGGACGGCAAGCTCGAGGTCGCCAACCTGGGAGACTCCGGCTTCATTCACCTGCGCCTGAACGCCGTTCATCACTGCTCAGAGCCGCAAACGCATGCCTTCAACACCCCTTATCAACTATCAGTAATCCCGGCTAGTATGTTGGCCCGGGCGGCGGCTTTTGGCGGTGCCCAACTTTGCGACCATCCCAAGGACGCCGACATCACCACCCATAACCTCAAGCATGGTGATATCCTAATATTTGCGAGCGACGGAGTATGGGACAACGTGTTCAATCAGGACATACTGAAGCTTACCAGCCGCCTGATGACCAGCAGCGGCGCCTGGAAAACTTCAGATGGTGGGATTCGTGTCGCCGACGACCTCACTCCTTTAACACAAGCCGAGGACTCATCACAAAGACCTGCAACGCTCCAAGCCGCCATTGCCGTCGATATTGCACTCACCGCCAAGGCTTTGAGTCTCAACCAGCGCATCGACGGGCCTTTTGCCAAGGAAGTGCACAAGTATTATCCCCAGGAAAACTGGCATGGCGGCAAGGTCGATGATATATGCGTCATTGCTGTTGTTGTGTCTGAAGAAGGAAAGGCAGCGCCGATCAAGGCCAAACTATGATTAAGGGGCTCTTCTGTTTAGATGATGGTTGGGGAATGAGCATGAAACGGCGTTTGGGTGTAAATTGCGCATGGCATTTGGCATAGAATATTTGGGGCGATAACGTTGTACAAAACTGTGAAGAATAAGTAGAGAACTTATCATCCTCTTAGCTAGATCTCGCGCCGACGCTAGATACTATGCTTTGGTAGAAAAGCAGCACTTGGACTTGGCACATGTGTTTATAATAAGCCTTGATCCTGAAATATACCTCTCGTGAGGAGCTGATTCAACCGGTGGCTCTCCGAGTCTTTACTACACCGAGCATGTGATTCCCCTTATCAATCATGCTCATCACATGTGATACAAACTGAGTGCGGGAGTGAATATTCATGACAAGTACGGATGAATAAACCATAGCCGCAGCCTTGAACAGTATAAAGCATGACTTCCATACCCACAAGTATGTCCTCGCTGCAAACCGGTAAAACGTAATATCACAGCACCAACATATGCAACAGTATATCTCGACCACTCACAATTCTGGAAGCTGATACATCACAGGGACCAGCACGTTAAACACAAAATGTCGTCAGCACAAGATGACATCCTGGATCAGCATAAGGCAGAGGCCCTCCGAGACCTACGAAATCTCCGGCGTGCTGATGCCGACACATGCGAAGCAGCTCTCCGCGAAGTAGCGAACAAATGGTGGGCCATATTTCGAGAGAGAGGTCGGACTCATGGTCAGTACTTGTCCACTCGCTTCTCGTCCCTGTTTTGCTCGGGTCGTCGTCTGCGCCACGTTTGTCGATTGCTGTGTCCGTGATTTCAACGGGTGTCATAACATTTCGAGTTTCCGAGTATGAATGATTATCGCATACTTGACATAAGTAATATCTCTGTATGGTTCCACTTGTGAAAGCCGAGTTAGACATCATCTGGTTTTTCTCCGCAACAACAGTACGGGTTGTCTCTCGCAGATCTAACTGCCCACGTGCCCTTGCCCCTCTTCCTCTAATTGTACATGAATGCCCTTATCCTCCAAATCATTCGGTGGCACATGTGGTTTTGCTGTGCCGTCAGCCGCTTGTGCGGGCTGGTGAAGGACTTGTAGTCTGAATATCACACTTGTCTTGGAAAATCTTAAAACGCCACGAATCTTTCCTCACTCCCCGATAGAAAAAAATATTGCTGGCGATGTGGTTCGTAGGAAAGCGAACTATATAATGAGGGTTTCGAGGTTGAGTTGGTTTTGTAAGAGCACGATAGTTGTTCCGTCAAGGACTCTCATATCGCAACGATCTATACCGTCCGACACACGTCGTGTGTATTTCTTGGTGGTCACAAGTACGATACACAAAGGGCTCCGAGCCTGCCCTAGCAACAGCATGTATAGAATTGCGTGCTGGGTAGCCTCGCAGCCACGTGTAAACGATGGAGACCTGACTTCCGCCACTAGGCTTTCAATGGTTTGATGCTCGAGACGGGCCGCCAGGACTTGATATCTTGTGCGTGTTGCGTTGGACCAATGTCGATTCCGGCTTCTGTGTGACTGCTGCCACTTCTGCCTGTCCACCCGTCTACCTTTCATGGGCAGTCGTGATGACACTGACGTTTAGGGAAGTGCAGATGGAATTATGCACAACATCAAGAGTTTCTCTACACGCACCGACGCAGGCGAGAAAGGCGATCTCATTCTCCGCTCGCCTGGTCAGATCCAACGTTCCCTACTTAGCGGTTGTAGGCTTGATAAGATGGCTCGGTTGTTATGTCCCTCGCACGTCCCGGGATTTTGCACCTATTTCACAAGTGAAGGTGGGTTTACATACATTAACTCAGGTGTTATTAAACCAATATGTATGCACACATACATATATATATGGCCTCATATGGGGTTCATGTAAAATGATTTTCGTGAGGATTCGTCTGGTTGTAGAGAATATCTCGAATTGAATTTCCTTTCCACGAAGGAGCGCATAATGCGTAGTGTCCTGTAGCCACTCGTTCGGTCTCATCTAATTGTATGATCGACTAGCTTACAGCGTGTCATTCGGGGCGTTTTGCCACCTTTGTGAAACGCAGGCCAACATAGTTATGCGAGCTGTCACTTTGGGGCAATTCTTCGAGGCGGCATTTCGATTTAGCGCGAGAACAGACGGCTTTGAGACGTACAAGAAAAGGGAAGCGAACTCCTTTCCACAACTAGACCATATATTGATGCCTATGTACAAGGAGGCGTTACGCGGGGGGAGCGATCGGCAGCCAGACAACACTGCCTCTCCAGTTCCACCAATGTAAAACCACGTATCGCACTGCTACTAATTCAGGCGTTGCAGCTACCATATCAACTAGATAAACATATGACGGGAGGTACCTATACAGGTATGTCCCGGATAAACATGGCAAGTACTTCCAAGACAGGCCAGCTTTACAGAGCGGCTAAGACAACACCGGCCACGAGGGCAAGAGGTGCGAAAGCAGCCTTTCCAGCACCGTTGACGCTAGCAGCAGTGGTGGAAGCGGAGGCAGACGAAGACGTGCGAGTAGAGCTGCTTGAAGTAGCTGCGACGACATTAGTACCTGGTAGCTATTTGTATTCTACGAGAGAACATACTAGATGTAGAGACAGTGGTGGAAGCCGAGCCGGTGGTGCTGGCAGAGCTGGAAGCCGAGCTGGAAGACGCGGTGGTGCTTGCGCTGGTCAAAGTCGAAGTCGAAGTAGCCGAAGAGCTGGAGACCTTAGTGCTGCTGGCTGTGGCAGAGGTGGTGATAGTCGAGCTAGCGGCAGATCCGAGGAAAGGGAATTGAACGCTGTAGTTGGGCTCATTGTCCGAAATGTCAATGATCTCAAAAGCGTAGGTGCCGCTGGTGAGAGTGCTGGGCAAAGTGATGGTAGCCGAATCGGCGGTGGTGCCTAAGAACCATTATTTAGAAAAGCTGTACGAACTAAAAGGGAGGAGGAAAAAAAAAGTCTTCAGTCATGCGCAACTTACTCGAGATAAGGGTCTCGACGGTCTCGAGGTTGTTCGAAGGGCCATCCTTCAGGTTGATCGTGTAAGGACCCGCACCACCCTCCCACTTCAGGGTGTAAGATTGACCAGCCACAATATCGAATTCGGTGTTGGTGAATGAGGCTTTCGCATCAACCAGTCCAGCGAGGACGGCGACAGCGAAGGAAGCAATGACGGACTTCATCTTGAACGATTGTAAGGTGGGTGAATGAGTGTAGAGAAAAAGCTAAGTGTAGTATGCAAGGTCAGCCTGATATTTGGATCGCGATTCATATGCTGGCGCAAAGATGCCGCGGGAGACAACTCTTAATGTAGCAAGGTTGCCAGGGGCGTGGCGCGCGGGAAGTAGAAACATGATCGGGTGACAGGCAACAATTGCGACTGTGCCGCGACAGGAGGGCTGATCCGCCGAGTCCCCCTTCCCGCTTGTCACTTCTCCCTTCCCCCTTCACCCATCCAAGCGAAGCGAGACGGCGGAAAAAGCGTGTGCTAAGTGGTGGGATATACATCGTGAGGCATGCCTTGGGAGGGAACGTCATTGGAACTTACCAGTTGAGAACTGGATTATATTAAGAAAATTGTAGACGGTTGACAAAAGCCAAATCAAGACGAGATAGTGAGCGACTGGTAGTGAACGGCGGGATGTTGGAGATCAAAAGAGAGAATCAAGCACGCGAGGTGTCATGGGAAAGACCTAATGTAAGGTAGAGGAAATGAGTTCTTCGGCGGCTAGGCCTCTGATTGGCATCGCAACTGAGAAGGCGCCCTTCATTAAGCCTGGGATTATACCTGTGCACGCCCAAATCGGGGGTCTTGGTATCCACTAGATGCCCTTAGACAAGGTTAAATAGAAGCTATTTTCTCTAGCTGATAGTTCTATTTGCTTCGAACACTGTTCCTGTTGCAATTAAGCATCATAAACATCACCCGTCGCCCCTAGATGGGCACCCGACCGCGAATAGTACATAATAGATAGTACACACTTACGTAGTAATCATGGCCACTTGCAGGCGTTGTGGAAATTGCTTGGCATCGCAATCTGCAGGAACCTTGCCGCTTTGGGACCACCCTGAGATCCTCTCTCCTCCGCTCCTCCACCGACTGAATCAGATGGCTTCGGCAATCATGCGCATGCGCTTTAGACAGCCTTCTTTGGTATCTGTGCAACATCGATCGCGCACACATCCTAGAGAATGACGTCGCAGGAGAGTGTGGTGGTCCCCAAAACATGGCCAAAAAAACAAAACAAAAGAAAGCGCCGACCAAGTGTGTGTAGCTGTGTACATATGCATGACATGATTGACAGCCGAAGAATTAAAGCTTCGGTAGAAAATTAGGAGTTCACACCATGACTAGCATGCGCCGCCTCCCTCTGGTCTCGCCCAATGGCTGCCTCGTGCGCATAACTACTTGTAGGCCGAGAAACATTGACAGAACTGCCATCGAACAGTGCCCGGAATTCCCGTAGCGATCTCTAAAAACTGGAGAAGTTGCATTAGGGCGACCCTCCTCTCAATCACATCTCCCCAATTTCGACATGTCACATTAAAGCCATAAGAAAATTCGTTCTTGTAGTTGGTAGTTGAGCTGTGACTAGTCACAGCTCCGAAGAGCATCTTCCGGCGCAACTGATATCCGAACATTGGCCTGCGCTCGGCTCTCGTCAAACCCTTTCCTGCGACTTTTTCAGAGGTTCTCGAGCGGATGTGGCCTAATGCAACATAGAAAGGGAGCAATCTCCCAAACGTTGTTCCTGCATGTCGATGGGTCCCAATTGTTCCAGGCGCAATGTCCGGGCCCCCCGCAGCGTTGCAGGGAGGGCTGCATGGTGGATTTTGAGATATGCTATGCATTTTCCCCAGATATTATTATCTTATGCGGGTTTCCTGGTCTCTAGAAATGCGACACATCTGGACAAACAAGTTACGCGGACCAAGATGCGTGCTATGTACATCATCATCGCGAGACCGTGATCTCCCACTAATTGGGAGTCGTTTGACATGCTTTCTTCTGTGCTCAAGCCTGTCCCTGGGGGTACATGCTTTGGAAGAGGTAGGGCCTGAGTTATCTAAGACGTCTGTACTATCCAAGACCCGCGGATGGGTAGTTATTAGTCACATATTCATTGAGCCCACGCGCCACCTAGTATCAGCGCGGATTGTGGCTTGCTGAATGAGCGACAGACGACGCATTCACCACTGCCTTGCAAACTGCAGCTGAAAGTAGCCTTTCTTGAAGGGATTCACAAGTGTTTGGGGAGTGAATGCGGCTGAGTAAATGGCGCATTTACGCTACCGTGCCAGAACACCTCCTTCCAATCGCTACAGCGATCTATTCTAGGTAGTAAATCTTCGGATGTTCCCTTGAAAACTTATTTTACATTAAACAACATAGAAGAATAAAGTTGCAACACTAACAAAATTGGAAGCGAGAGAAAGGGAGATAGAAAACAAAATATAAATGCACGGGTCGCAGCCTATGCAAAGAATATTGAGTCCCAATGCTCTTAGTCGTGTTCACTCCGTCTGGGTAAGCCCAGTGACGTTTCTGACCACCAAAGCCAGTGGCAACCGTACATCCCGGTATCGACCACTTTCAGGACAATCACAATGGCACCAATACGATAGATCAATGCGTGTGGGTATTAATGTAAATGCTCACCAGTGGAAATTATGATGTAGACCGCTTAGCCGAACTAGAAGATACCAATACGCCAGACACCTCATGATACATCATCAAACCATGGTCTATGTAAAGTTATTGGAGTCCATCCGTTGGCTCATCTAGATACCAAGTCGTATCACAGTTGGGATCTAACTCTTTGGCTGAGAAACCATTGCCAAGGTAGCTGAACCTGTTGTGCGAGGGGCTGTCATAAGCATACTCCCAATCTTCACCCCTAAACTGCTCAAGCATATGGAAGAAGTGTATTCTACTTCCAGGATGTAGAGCGGTCACGGATCCCTCCTCCTTGCCGCCCTTGAACCATGAGCGGCCTGCTGAGCTCCAGGCGGTACGCGGCATGAAGGCCGCGATGTGCTGGCTGTAGTCGTTGACTGCGGCTTCGGTAGGTGTAATCGCCTTGATACCCTCTTTCTGACATTTTTGAATGATGCGTGTAACGTATTTCGCGATATGTTCACTCAAAGTAAAAACGCTACCATGGCCAATGGGGGCATTCGGTCCGAAGAACGTGAAGTAGTTGGGCACTCCAGGTAGGGCACAAGACATGTATCCTTTTGGCGTCTCGGCCGTCATACGGTCCTGAACGTTTCCGTATCTTCCGACGATCGGGAATCGTGGGCAGAAGGAAGTATCAAAGCCGGTTGCACAGACAATAGCATCAAGCTTGAGAACCTTTCCCGAGTTCAGCTGAATGCCTTCGGGGACAAATCTTGCAATTCCCTCGCTGACGATTTCAACGTTTTGCGCGCGGACCGCTTCCAAATAGCCAGGTGCAGGTGTAAGTCTTCGGGTGCCCAAAGGAAATGTTGGTATCAAGGCTTTACAGAGCTTCTCGTCGCCTCCAAGCATAGCCGTCATGTATTGCGCTACCTTCTGAGTTGCGAATGACTGAACAGGACTTCCATTAAGAACCTTTTAAAGAGCCAGAATCAGTTCACGGCATCTATCAGATTAGCTGGTGATTGCAGTTGAGCTTACCAGTGGAAATGCCCCGTTGATATCTCTTTCGAAAGTCTTAACAAATTTCTTGTAAAACTCCGGGTCCGATTTGAACTTTGCCATCTGACTCTCGCTGAAATCTTCTTTCTCATCAATCTCGATGTTGGATAGAATTTCACTTGCCGGACTACCGAGCATTTTGATTGCTGTCAGCCTCGGTGGTGTGATCCAAGTAGGAGTGCGGATTAAGTGGTAGAGCTTCTCAGCGCCTACTAGAGCATTAACGGCTAAATCTCGAGCAATTTAGATTTGGGCCTACCTGAATGTATCGCAGGGACGACTTGGATACCTGTCGACCCATTTCCGATTACGGCGATGGACTTGCCAGTGCAGTCGAAGTCTTTTGGCCAGTTAGCTGTGTGTATTAGATCTCCTCTGAAAGCATGAAGATCAGGAACATCTGGCCACTTCCAGTTGCTAACACAAAGTCAGCATATTACGCCTCATAAGACCTTTCATGTGATTTTACTTTAGTATCCCGGAAGCGTCAATGATAAACTCGGCCTGATCGTGGAATTCCTCGCTTGTCGAAAGGTCTTTGATGTTCAAATCCCAGACACCGCGGACCTCATCCCACCATGCCCCCGTAACCTGATGTCGGAGCTTGATTGAATCCAGCATGTTCTCCTCCTCGCACACGCGGCAAAGGTACTGCCGGATTTCTTCTGCCGGGGAATGGAAATTCGACCAGTCTGGATTTGATCTCCACGAGAATTGGTAGTTGTGACTGGGTATATCACACCTGCAGCCTGGATATCTGTTCTCGTGCCAAGTTCCGCCGACGCCATCGTTCTTTTCGTAGATGACAAAGTCATAGTCGGTAAGGCTCCTCCGTAGAGTTCTGATCAAGTTGATGCCACTTGCGCCCGCACCGATGCCGACTATCTTCACATGCTTTGTGGCGCCTAGAGGCTTGTCGGAGACTGTGTAAGCCACTGCAGACCCTGAACCATTGACTGTTCTGGCATTGGGGGCGAGGTTCGTCGAGGCCCTAGAAGGACGTTGTATAGTCATATCAGGATCAGCAGAAACGGACTCCTGGGCTGAAGAAGGAGGACTCGAGTTCAAAGTCATATTCCTAATCCGTGGTGCGTATGCTTTATAGTTTGGTCGACTGCTTTTTGGTGGCGAACGGCAAAGGGGAAGGCGCGGCTCTATGCAAGAGACAACGGCTCAGCTGAAGATTGCCAAGGTGAATGACCAACCAGAGTTGGTCGAGGAAGGTTCCTCTATGCCGCGGAGCGCAGGGCAACGTATCTTAGCCTACCACGACAGACCTTCGATAGGACTGCAAATAGTTGATAAAACGCTGTGAAACCAAAGCAATCACATTTGATAGGAATGTTCTTCTTGATAAGAGGGATGAACCCGGTTCCAAGCTGGTTGCCACCCAAACAAGCAGGCCGAGTCGTAATCACGAATCCTAGTCACAAATCATAATCACCTACATGTAGCACATTTTGGACGTTGCCATGGAATGCAGATTTCAATTTCAATTTTTACGTTTTAAACTTTTGGGGGTGGTTTGTTCTGCCCGCCTGCCATGTCGACTTGCTGGTCGGCTCGGACCCTGGCAACTCAATAGATGCCACTCAAGACTTGGGCCAATCGCAAGTTGGAGGGTGAGCTTTTTAGGACTGCATCAGATACGGGGAGGTGGTCTGATAGCTCGAGATCGTATTCCGTCCAACCACGGGTGTCGCGACCCCACAAAAATGCCAATTCCTTTCAGCATCCAAAAAAGCAGCCGCTGTCCCACCGTGGCGCATGTGGACAGCTCTATCCATCCAGTCCCATGCGCATTCTGTTACCGTATAATTCCTGAAGTAAATCGCGAACAAAAAGCCGAGGCAATCCCACAGAACAAGAGACGAGGCATCGCAGCGCGGCGCGCAGCGCATCCAGTGAGATCTTTGCAGAAAACTTCCGAGGATCGCCCGCAGTATACTTAATCAAAGTTAGTGAATCCTTTCTATTCGACTCCACCTCAACCACAATCCCTGACCGCAAGCTATTTAGGTCTAGAATATCAAAACCTCGCTCCTTGACCTATCAGAAAAGAGCCTGTGCGGCGTTGACGCTTCCGCTCACAATGTCGTTTTCCTTTGGGTTTTCAGGGGATGATATAGACGAAAATGAGCAGCAAACGGGCACCAGCATCCCGCCCAAGCCAGCCGAGACAACGGCTGCGCCAAGCAGCGCATTCCCGGTAGCTGGCAAGCCACTACTACCTGCCACGCGCCATAACCTCAAGCAGATGCTGTCTGAGCTGCCTTCAAAAGTCGCCTACAGCACATTAGACGTTCAATTGGATGGCGGTGAGACAATTAAGCTTCCGCGACGTGAGCTGTGGGACGTTCGCGTGCAGCTGATGGCTGAAGAGGGAGAGAGCGGCGAGACAGAAGCAGGTCTGGGAAGTCATGATGTGAAAACTGGCGTGTACGAAGGTGGCTTCAAGTCCTGGGAAAGTAGTGTGGATCTGGTCAAAGTCTTGGAACAGTCAAGAACGTTTCTAGAATCGCAGGATGGTGTTCCCTGTGTGGTCGAGGTAAATACTCTATGTGAATGGATGATAAACGATCCGGATCTGACAAAACTTGCAGCTTGGATGCGGGACAGCCCTGCCTTCTTTGGCTCTCTTTCATTGGGCCAATCTGGCCAGAAAGGACGCGAATCCTAGACCTCTGTCGATCATATTGGCCGATTATAACTCTACCGTCCTGCAGCTCGTAACTCTACCCAACTTCGTCCTATCCTGGGCTTTGCAGCAAGCAGCAGGCTCCATCTTGCTGACTGAAGCGTTTGCTTTCGAGGAAGGGGAGTTAGAGCTCACAGCTGAAGTTGTTCACGCATTCGAGGAGTTTCTAACTACTCAGAACATCAACTTACAGTTCATTTCTGGTGGCTGGTCGCATGATTTTGTCGAGCTCGTCAAATCTGCTCAAACCCACCTCCAAAACGACGATACGAAGCAGAAGACTATGATCTTAGGTGCAGAAACTATATATTCGCCATTTGCTTTGCAATCCTTTACTGAAACTATATTCTCACTCATGAAACATTCACAAACCACGGGAAGCGAGGCGGAAGTTTACGCTGCCGCCAAGAAGATGTACTTTGGTGTCGGAGGCTCCCTTGACGACTTTGTGGTGAAGGCAAGAGAGCTGGGAGCGGTTGTGGACCAACTTCGAGAAGAAACAGAAGGCGTGCGCAGGGGCGTCGTTAAGTGCTATCTGAGACCATAAAGTTCTACAAGCCTCGCAAAAACCCGAGCCCATAGAGAATATTCACCGCGATGAGGTCCAACCACATGCGTCATGAAAATCACAGTAGTGCCAACAACTTTGCTCAACGCTAAAATGCCCTTTCGGTCACGCCGGTGGCAATAGTCCTCAACTTGAATTGGCATAGAATGTTGAGTCATGGAGCTGCTGGAAGCATATGTTCCTCGTAGGCCGCTCTTCCAACATGTCAACCGCAGGTTTGCTCCAAGGACGGTCTTCCAATCTATGGACACCGGGGGTTCATGATCATTGGCCCGAAGCAATGGGAAATATTCGACAAGCAGTCTGTAATTATCATCACGATTACTCGTCGCAAGATCTGCTATCATGCAAGGACGAATCGAGCAGATTCTTTTGCACTACAAGGGTACAAATTGAGATATATATAGTCCTTATGTGGCACAATTCAATGTCGCTAAAAAGAAGTTGAGGCATTTGGCGTGTATGGTAATATGGTCTTCGAGCTCTACGGCAGATTAAGTAAGTAATTCGACGGTCAAATCCTAAATCCTGCCCAGATTATTTTTAAATCATGGTTCAAACCCTCATTTTCGTATAATTATGAAAGTGTTCAAACTGATTGAGATGTAATGTGGCTGTTGAGTGATGTTTTGCTTCCAATAGTGCCAGCTGTCACCGGGTGGCGGCTGCAATCTCGGAATTTCAATATCTGCTGCCTTCTACTGTAGATGGACTTTTCATGAGACTCACAAGCTACATACCTCAACATACCAGCAACATCGAAATGGAGCGACCTGCGAAGCGCCGTAAAGGCGAAAAACATGCTCACAACCCTGATTTAATCATGGTTGGTGGGAGATTGGTGGATATGGGATTCTCCAGGGTAAAGAAATCGGATGATGCAGGAAAACCCAAACCTAAGGACCAGGACCAGGACCAGGCGCAGGAAGCCATGCAGAAGGCAAAAGCCGAGCCTGAGTCTGGCAACGCTAAAACCCACAAGAAATATCGGAAGAGCGACAATTCAAGGGAGAATGGCACGACGCATGTCAAGAAAGGCCCGGAGGCGGACTCGCCTCTGCTGAAGGCCCGCAAACAATTGCCCATTTGGTCGCATAAAGACCAAATCACTTCAAGTCTTAGAAACAACGATGTTCTTCTCGTCGTTGGAGAGACTGGTTCGGGAAAGAGTACGCAAGTTCCACAATTCCTTTGCCACGAACGCTGGTGCCAGAGAAAGAAGATCAAGGTGCCTGGGCAGTCGGACCTGGTCAATGTTGGCGGAGTGGTCGCGATCACCCAACCACGTCGTGTGGCAGCAACTACCCTCGCAAACCGTGTCGCAAAGGAAATGGGCACACCCCTCGGATCGACAGGTGGGACACGCGAGGGTGCCGTTGGTTACTCCGTCCGATTCGACCACAATGTTCCCAAGGGTACTAAGATCAAGTTCCTAACCGAGGGTATGCTGCTCCAGGAATTGTTGAGGGATCCGAATCTGCGACAGTATAGTGCTGTAGTGGTGGACGAGATCCACGAGAGGAGTGTGGACGTCGACTTGATAGCTGGATTTCTGAAACAGATCGTCACTGGTAACAAGGCCGGTCGTGGTGGCTTACCACTGAAAGTTGTTGTCATGAGTGCCACGGCCGACGTCGAGAAGCTCTCGGATTTTTTTAATCCAGCTGCAGAGACTAAACCAGGGGATGAATCCTCAGTGCAAGTCATGCGTATCAAGGGACGACAGTACCCAGTAGATATCAGGCATACTCCGTCACCAGTACCAGATATACGGGAAGCACTCTACAACCAGATCAAGAAGATTCACGAGCAGGAACCCCTTCCCGGTGATATTCTAACATTTCTCTCTGGACAAGAAGATATCGAAGCACTTCAGCGACAAATAGAGGAATACGGAGCATCACTAGCCTCGGATGTGCCCAAAATTATTGCCTGTCCGCTGTATGGACAACTATCGGTTCAGGCACAACAGGCAGCTTTCCAACCAGCACCAACAAGGTTCACGAGAAAAGTTATCCTGGCCACCAATATTGCAGAGACGTCCGTCACAGTTCCTGGTGTCCGACATGTGATAGATGGTGGTAAGGCCAAAGTCAAGCAATTCAGATCTCGACTAGGACTGGAGTCCCTGCTGGCCAAGCCAATATCCAAGTCATCCGCTCTTCAACGAGCTGGTCGTGCTGGACGTGAAGGCCCTGGAAAATGTTTTAGACTCTATACCAAGGAGACATATGAAGCTATGAAAGATGCTGATCTCCCTGAAATCCTACGGAACGATGTCCTTGGAGCAGTGTTGACCATGAAGGCACGTGGTATCAATGACGTTTTCTCATTTCCTTTGATGGACTTTCCCGACGTCGACTCAGTCGAGAAGGCACTTATACAACTACATTTCTTGGGCGCAATTGGCGACGATGGAGCAATCACTGATATTGGAAGAAAAATCGCTCTGTTCCCCGTTACAGCGCCATACGGTCGCGTCCTTCTGGCGGCTGCTGATCCTGAATACGACTGTCTCCTCGAGGTCATCGACATCATAGCTTGCATCACTTCAGGCGAGACCATCTTTCATCAGCTGAATATGGAAGAGGAACAACAAGAAACTGAAGACATGCGTAAAGCACTCTATCGGCGAGAAGGCGACATCTTGACATACCTTACGACGATGCAGCAATACACGGCAGAGCATGCAGACCGAGTCGATTGGTGCAAGAAGCGCAAAGTCAACGTTCGCAATATGAGGCAGGCATTGAACATCCGTAATCAGCTACGGAGCCAGTGTCTAAAGGACAAGCTGCTGAAAGAGAAGCCTGAGCCGGATCCCGTACCATTTGTCCCGATGGCCCCGGAGCGAGCAGAAGCACTGCTGAAATGTTTCTTGAAGGGTTTTGTTACCAAGTGTGCTCTGCTTGCGCCAGATGGGAGCTACGTCACTACGCAAGGGAAGCACATAGTTGCAATACACCCATCGAGCGTCTTGCACGGACAAAAGAAAGAGGCTATCATGTTCTTGGAACACGTTTTCACTCAGAAGAATTACGCAAAGAAAGTTAGCGCAATTCAAGCGGACTGGGTTATCGAGGCGCTCGGAGGCAATTAGGAGCGTTAGGAAGGCGAGGAGAGGGAGCATAGCCGTTGCTAGTAGGAATGACATATATACCCTTAGTTTTGTATTGAGCTACAATTCATGGCTGGTTATCGTCAGATATTAAGTGATTCGAGTTTATGTCATACTAATCAAAACAGGTGTCTTTACATAACACGCTAAGTGCTCTGCCCAGAGGGCTTAGTTAACATGCTGCGAAATTTATGAGCTCATGGTGAGCTCTCACATCGGCGTTCTAACGATGCTGCACGCCGTCCGTTCCCATGACTGTGATAGCATTCATTACCCAGTCGCGAGCCGGAAACGACCCATGATGTACATTGGAGATCTATTCCTCCTCGCCCTCGTCCTTGATATCCCGATTTTGAATAGCTTTCATCAGCTCATACATCTGACCCATCTGCTGATCTGCCCAGAGGTTAGCATTAGTACTCCCACATACTCTCCACCCCCCCTCCTTTATCCGTGTCAAGAAGCAAGAGTAAATCAATAACCTACCGCTCATCTTCTGGATTTTGGCCGGGTCGATCTTCTCCCCTAGCCAAGAATCGCCCTCAATTTTCTGTGCATATAGCTGCCATTCTGTCAAGAAGCCTATCTAACAAGATTGTTAGCTCCTGTCAGAAATCGATTCCCGCCCCTCCCCTTTTCATAGACGGCTCGTCAAGACTCACTATGTGCACTGGGTTGTCTGTTTCTCTGTGTGCGCGGAACTCGGCTTTTATGTACTCGTCGCCCAGCACCCGCATCTCCGTGGGTAGGTGTTTCCTGTGAGCCCTGAAGAGCCGGCGGTAAAGCGGGATGGGTGGCAGCAAGGCCAGTGCCGGGCGTAGGCCAGCGTTAGTTGAAGCCGTGGCTGCCTGGGCCAGAAGTCTAGTGGAGAGTCTCATGGTCTGTTGATAGCACTGTAGTGCACCCAAACACAATTGCTTTATTTGAGATAAATCGTGTGTAGTTAATCATTAGGATGTTCTAAGCTTCATAGTTGGACCACACAGTGAAAGCAGCGATTTGAGATGTCGCGACACCCTTGTGGGTCATACAGTGTACAGTTTGCACGAGCCAGTACGAATACTGTGCAGTCCCCTGAGCTCCATTTACGTTTTATCTGGCAGGCGGTGGAGGTTAGACGAACTACATAGAACAAATGCATGATATTCAATTCTCTAACCATGATTGGCCTCACACTGATTAGGAATTCAACCCAGAAGAACGCCTCTACTATGTATGAACTAGAAACCAAACTGAACAATGCCGAATCCAGGAAGCATAGCCTCGCCAATCTAGTGAATTCGCCGCAATCTTTCGGTGTTGAGCTTCGCCTGGTCGTTGACTGCATCGCTCTGCGACTTGGTTAGCCACGGTTTGTAGTAAAGCAGCAACAAGTCTTACCTTCTCGCCAAGTCTTCCTATGAGCTGGTCTTGGGAATCGATCTCTTTTTGCATCAATCTCGCAACACTGTTAAGGGTCTATATTCAACCATGTCAGCCAACCCTAATCAAGATATTAAAATACCAACACGTATACAAAGATTACTTACGCCGACATGTTGTGCCGTTCTCTCCATTGCGGAATCAATGCGCCCTTCGGCTTCGTCGTCTTCAGAGTCATCCTCGAAGGAATACTTGTTTTTCTCAGCAGCACTAGATTTCTTCCTACACAATTTGTTAGATATTGACAACATGTGAATGCAAAGGAGCGCAGAGACTCACCATTTATCTGTGCTACGTGCCGCTTCGATTTCCTTGAAGCCCCGCTCCATGTGATCGTTGGCTTGCCATCCTGCTTTTCGGGTCGCTTCGCGAAGGTCGCGATCGGCGCGGTGTTGCTCTAGTATCGATTGCTCCAGCTCGCGAGTTTTCTTCCCGGATGTCTGATTACAAGGGAGCAGGTTAGCTTTCTTCGACTCTGATGAGCAGAAACCTCCCAAAACGAGCTGGAAGAGCATAGATACTGGATGTAGATTTGGTCACTTACGAAAGGATTGTTTACGTGGACGGCGAACATGCTTCTATTGAGGTGCTTGAGTTTCTTGGTGGAACTCTCCGCCTCACGCGTGCTCATACTAGCCTTGTCCAATAAGCCTTTATGGAGTCAGTCACAAATTCAAATTTGGAGTTTTGTGCAGTGGGTGATATTGTAGCGGCATACCTTCGGTGTAATTGAGTCGTTCGTGCTGTGCGCCCAACCGAGCGTAGGTTCCCTACAGTCAGTTAGCATGATATCCCGGATCGCTCAAGTCGAAATCGAGGCAACTTGCAAGGGCGGTCTCGACGGCCTGGTTTGCGATACGTTCGCTGTTCTCCGCAGAGTTGGCAGATGCCAACTTTGTCTCCTTGATCTGCCGTCTGATCCCAGCCACCTCTTCTTCCTCTTGCTCCTCCGCCGTTAATTCTCGACGCGATCCATATCCGCCATACGATTCACCGCCCGTGGCACCTGAACCGGAAGCACCATAATCGTCGCTGGGCTCTTGCTGCTTTTGCTGCGCTCTTTGTCTCGCGCCACCGAAGAGATCATCACGTGCGGTATCGTCTGGCTCGTTGCTGGCCGGCCCAAGTCCGCCATAACCTCCGGGACGCTTCTTTTCGTCGCCATATCTGTTGCTTCCATAACCTGCCGGCGCGCCGTGGCGGTCTGAGCCATACCCAGAAGACGGGGCAGCGTATGGTGGAGGTGGCGCGGATTCCGAAGCGGTGCTGGGATTGCGAGTCGGAGGTGCACCGCCACGGGGCCCATTGGGAAGGCCCCCAGCGGCAGCTTGAGGGCCGCCTGGCAATCCTCCGTATGATGCTAGTTACCATGAATGTGTTAGCTTTTCCTTTGGCCTGTGACCACCGGGGGCTTCTCCACCACGAAGCAGAGGCCAAAGAGGCTGTGCATTTCCCAATGCAGAGGGAGAAAACGAAATGTCCTTACCTGTCTGATAGCGCTGATAGCTTGACTGAGCGCCTGTCTGAGGCGGTTGGCTGTACGAATCGTTCGCGTTCGCATAGGGGTTGACTGCCGCAGCCTTGGTCACACTCTTGTTCCCTGAGGAGAAGTCATTAAATGTGTTCGAGTAACAGTCCATTAACTGGTCGCATACCGAAGAGAGCTTGACGGCTAGTGTCTTCTTCTTCTTTCTTCTTGCTAAATATACCCATGGTGGCTTGCTTTTTGCAACGAGATGTACGGGTTGGGTGGAGAATAGAGGGGGCGGTTCCGTCGTGGGATGAATGCAAAGGGAAGAAGAAGACGACGACTCGGAAGCGCAGGTGCTGGTTATGGTATGTATGGTGAGAGCAGACAATCGGGTTGTCGTGAGAGGAATCCAAAATCAAAGGAGGCGAAGCGGAAAGTGCAAGTGCAAGTGCTGCTTGTGTTATTATGTATGGTGGGGGGCCAGACAATGGCACCGCCAGAGGTGTCTTGAGTGCTGTTTCAAGTACAATCCGACGCAGACCCACGATCGACAGAGGGACCCTGCGGCGCTTGGGGCTGTTCAGGGTCTTGGTTAGGGGTTGCCGTATGTAGCGTTTTCGTAAGGATGGTTGCTGCTAAGCCTCTGGAGCTTCGTCAGAGTCTACTGTAAATACCGGCCATGTGTGTAAGTATCCCCTTCGCCAGTAACAGCCAGACAAGAGGGATAAGTCGCGGTACGATACGAAACGGAGCACGTGCAGTACAAAAGACCAGCAGAAACCGCTCGCTTCTAAATGCCTATGGTAATGAGCTCAGCCCCAACTGATCAGCTGCGAACATCAGAGTTGGCTGATAAACTGGTGCCTGACATTGCTTAACAGGTTTCCAATTACGGGGCTTAGGTGGCGACAGCGCATCTTAAACCGCCTGCGGATCCGTACATATGTACCCGTTCCAGCATGAACCACCTTACAATACGGGGTAATTAATGATGCAGCCAATGTCCTTTCTTTGTTTGTTTGAATCTAAGATGTCACAGTATGAGATGGCCAAGTTAAATGAAAGCGCGACTTCTGTGGCGTTTAGCTATCGCAGAAACGTTGGTGGTGGTTCGAACCAAGCGGCAATGGCTCTCTTCGGAGCACCTCCAGGTTGAGCCGCTCAGTGTCTGAACATGTCCTGACCGCCGTCCGTGACCGGCATTGGCCGAAATCGAGGGGCGCATTGGAGATTGTGTCCGTGGTGCCATCAACCGGTGCAACATCTAGCTTTCATTCTATTGCGAAGCACGCAGTGTAGTTGCAATAGCCGCCGAGGTCCCAACATTCCACAGTGGCTGGCTTTGAAATAACACTTCCTAGTATCTGCATCTGAGCAGCATGCTTCTTGTCTTGTATATCTGACTCATCATTACGGTCGCTTGCCAAGGTATTTTCTGCCATGTGACTCAATGTCACCGCGTGCTCTCTGTACACTACTATCACTGCCCATTCTGGAGGCTGGTGGAAGCTGAAGTTCCTTCAGAGAAAGAAACAAGATCTTCTCTCACACAGTACACATAAATATTTGGAACTCATACTTTCAGATCTCGTCATCCAGTTTACCACAGTTGTCACCTCATTACAATTTACTAAAACGCGATCAACATTCACGACCAAGTACTCCGTCCCTGCTCACACAAACTTCTATTTCTATTGCGTGAACGCAAAACATTCGAAATGATCACACGGTTACAGCGGTATTATGCAATAAGATCAACAACACGGTATCACTTAAGTGTATATTGAGACTACACGATTTTCCGTCATGGCATCTGTATTCACGTTCGACCCTAACCCACCACGTGTATCTTCTCCGTGGCTGGCAGCCGAGGATCCAGACAAGAAACATGCTGCAGAGCGCTCCGCTTCGGCAAGCAATGATGACGACTCGGAGCAAAGTCCAGGGTTGAATGTGGAGAGACTCGATGCTGAACCTCAAGATGGGCCGATCGAGTACAAATTGCATTTACTTCTGCGCCCACGTCGCAGATATGATGCCATGACTACGACATCAAGGGGAGTCGGTTCGCAGCAATCGAGACCACGGCCCGTCATTTCTAGTAAGTCTGGGAGTAATACGCCGACATCTTCGGCACAGACCCGGCAGAATCGTCTTGCGCAGCTTACAACCCAACTGCTTTGGAGGCTACAGCAATCGTCTCCGAATCATGCAAAAGCAAGAGGGGATCTAATAATTCCAAGGCTGCCGGAGGATAGCGACAGTTTGGATTTATCTTTATTGGAGAAGCCCGAGAAACTCCTTCCTGGGTTGGAGGAGTCGAATGGAGCGCTGTATGAAATAGGCGTCTCTGATGATGGAACTTTCGTTGGACTGACCAAAGATGAGATGGACGAGAGTATGACGACTTTAAAGATTATGGCGGCCAGTTTGGGATGCCGGGTAGAAGTCCAACGGATGAAGCTCGTGGGCCATTGCCAATGGACTGAATATGCGAACACGACGGCCATCCCAATTCAAAACCGCTGCGAAGCTGACTTATGGGTTGCCGAAGCTCTCGTCACGCCGAACCTCGAGCCACTGAACGACACTGATGGTGACAGTGGGGGTGCTTCTCGGCAGCAAGATTTTATGAATGCAGTGACTGTGTCTCGGACAGAGCAGCTTCGTGTATCTTTGACGGGCCCAACAACTTCCGGGAAGACCTCCTTACTTGGTACTCTCGCCAACGGGTCATTAGATAATGGTCGTGGAAGTAGTCGTATCAACCTTTTGAAGCATCGCCACGAGGTTGTCTCGGGGCAGACGTCTTCTGTCGCGCAAGAACTCATTGGCTACAAGGATCAAAAAATCTACAACTATGCTGGCGCGGACGTCGATTCTTGGACAGATATTCACGATCATGCAGAAGATGGTAGGCTCGTGTTTTTCTCGGATTCAGCAGGTCATCTTCGATACCGCCGCACCATTTTGCGAGGGGTTGTTGGCTGGGCCCCTCATTGGATCTTTCTCTGCATCACTGCCAATGGCAATGATAGCCCAAGCCGCGGATCTCATTCGCTTTCCGGTACCACTGATGATCTTGCTGATATGTCTGGCGGTCTAGACTTGGCAGTTGCGCATCTGGATCTCTGCTTACAGCTGGAGATACCGTTGGTCATCTTGATCACCAAATACGACCTTGCGACCAAAGACAAGCTCAGGGGAACTCTGAACACCATTCTAACTAAAATCAAAGCTAAAGGTCGGACTCCCAAGCTTCTGGCACCAATGCCAGCAGACGGCCCAGAGCTAGTTGAGATTCCCAAAAGCAGCCAGCAGAAGGTCAACCAGGACATAACAAGAGCGATTGCCGAGGCGGGCGAGCTATTGTCGATTGTTCCAATAGTCTTAACCAGTGCGGTCACCGGGCAGGGGATAGGAACTATTCATGCATTGCTGAACAGCTTGCCAATGCCTCCTGCGCCCACTGCTAGGGATTTCGCCCCTCAGGTTCTGAACCCAGAACAACCAGCAGCACTATTTCACGTGGACGATAAGTATGAGCTGGCAAATCACGCATCTGATAAGAGTGCCATTGTAGTTGCTGGTTACCTTCGCTTCGGCACTGTTCATATTGGTGATAAGGTGGTACTCGGTCCTTTTCCTGCAGACGAGGACGAAGCACGAAGGCTGATACCACGCGACCATCCTTCGCCGGGGGACGGTTTGTCCATTTCCCATTCTTCATTCTCTGAGTTGGCCCGGTTTGCCTCGAAGAATGCTGTATCTGCCTCCAGCGTCAAAGGCGAATGGCGCAATGCTACGGTGGTCAATATCCGCAATTTGAGGTTGCCGGTGCGCACAATGGAAGCTGGCCAGGCTGGCACCCTTCAGATTGTATTTGATGAGCCTGTGGAAGAGCCGTCTGATTCCGACTCCATATTCGAAAGGATAAAACCGACGGGCGGCGTCATTCGCAAGGGGCAGGTCCTTGCTATCCCAAGTCAGCACATGCTGGACACTGGCCTGTCGTTACAAGCAGCTTCCGGTCTTAGAGCTGTCTTTAGGGACGACGGCGTTACCAAGCTCTCTGTGGGAAGTCTTGTCAATATCTATGTTGCAACAGTGCGGGCAGCTGCACGTATTCTGAAGGTTATTCGATATCTCCACAACGACAGTGCACACAATACAACAAAAGCGGATGAGCATGATGACGTGTTCAGCATGGCTGACAGCATAGAGCTCGAACGGCCACAGTCTGATAGTGGCAGTGACTTCTCTGAATATGCTGTTACGCTGGAATTGCTTACGAACAGAGAGTGGATAGAACTGGGCTCACGGGTATTGCTTTTGGAAGGTGGGAAGCAGGGGAGTTCAGGTCTAGAGGGGTACATTGGAAAAGTAATAGAAGTAGCAGAATAGGTCATTGAACACAGAACGAAACAAACATGGGTTGGAGAGGGTGTTACTGAGCGACTGGATATCTGTTGGATAGCTACCAGCACCTAGGTACTGGCGAAGGAGTTCTTATTTTTACTATAAGCATGGCGCCGATGCCCATTTGCTCTCACAGCTCATCGTCTTTCAAGCAACATGAGTCATAGCTTGAACGCCAGTTCTGCCTTGTACAGGTCTCTTTGCCCCTTGCTGAGTGGTTTCGTTAAGCTCTTACCAGCCCGTAGAATAAGGTCCATGTCAAGATGTAGCCAGCCAGCCCACCAGATACGCCTCCGGTCCAGAACTCGTACTGTGTTCGGAAATACCTGCTCGTATCGAAAGGACTCGCTCCAGCTTTCAGCGACGTAGGGGCCACGCGGACGGTGTAGAACAAGACGGTGGTGAGGATGGAGAAGATCAGGTAAAATAAAAAGCCATTGTACGATTCCAGGCCCAGGATGCCAGCGGCCACGCCGAATATCGATGCTGTCAAGCTTTGAACATTTGATAGGGCCTGTAGCAACCCGGTGTCAGCGTACCTGTGAACGCGTGCTGCCTATTGAGGAGTGTAGTTCGGGGATTGGTTGTGAATTACCCTGCTGTTGTGCATCACCGACTCCGGCACAATGGGCGCAACTTGAAGCTCGCGTTCGGTAGACATGGTTGCAAAACGGCTTGTTCGGCTCTAGTTGGGTGTTGCCGAATGAATAAATGGCGACTGTCGCAGGCGCAAATGTTTCTTATCCGTGGGAACTTTGTGTTTGACGTCTCTGTCGCAGTATGGCTTTGCACAGGCGCAGAGGAGGCTACGGCGATGCCAAACCAAACCGAACGTCAATTGCAGCCAAGGCACTTGTAGTTTATGCAAGGCAAGGCTAAGGTTAGAGCTCGGATGAGCTTTAGGTGCTTAGGTACTCGGGTTTTGGGGAATTTAGGTAATACTTGTGAAAGCATAGCGTAGCGCCGCGCCTCGTCACGGCTGGGTACTGTAGTACTCCGCACTCACTCACTGTACTCTCCAGGCGGAATCAACGTTGCTCCAGCGGGGGGAGGCTCGTCAGTGGCTCGCTGTCCTCTCAGGGGCTTATTACGACTTGCAAACTCCGTACGGACATTGCAGGCAAGCGGTGCAAATGACATTATGTATGCACTCACGGTTGTCTCATTTCCAAAATCCAGCGGCCCGCAAACGGCTAAAGCTTCAACATTACAGTAACAACTCCACTGGTCCGTGTTCCGTACGGATCCGTACAGCACTGTAGAGGTCTCCAGCGGTGGCGGGTCTCGCCATCCTAGCGCAGGTAATGAGTGTGTTCATCTCGCTGTAGAACGGCCTCCTGATGCCGATTAGGATCTCAACCGAAGCTCTAGAACCCCAGCTCCCTCCCCAGGGGCACCCGGACCGCACAGCGGCCACAAACCCTGGACACCCCATCCGAATCCATGACGAACCCTTGCCGCTAGAACAATCTGACCATGGGATCCTGTTCTCTCGGGGCTTTTCTCTACTGAGGACTCCGGCCATCTTTAATGAACCTACTCCTAAAGGGAAGTTTACTGTCCATAATACTACGCTTAATCAGAACGAGAACACATTACACTTAACGTTGGGTGCTATCTATCTACCTACTGACGCCCGCGTTCGCTCCCGAGTATAGTACGGTACGGTACGAATAACAACACAATAATCTAAAATAATCAACAGTACGACGCCTACTAATATCCTTTGACCACTATTATACACACGCCCAAATAACGATACCACCACCACCACCACCACAACAACAACAACAACAAAGCCACACGGCCCGAGTCCCTATTCTTTTGTTTCTCTTTTATGTTTGCATCTATTCTGGACCACTGCTGCTACCCACGAACCGCCGACGAACCTGTGATACCTGCCACGACTGCGACCCCCCCTATGAACTGAGAGACAACACAATCTAGTGGCAGATGGACGACATCGCCCGTGCGACAAGTCAATTTCATGGAGACCAATTATGAACCTGGCGGTCCTCACGACGCTCTAGAACGGGATATCTACGAGGGTGAAGGTATGCTCGGCGCATTTCTGTACCACATCATATACCCTTCCAGGCTGTCGACGCGCTTCGGGCTGGACCATGGCGCCCATATTGCTAACCCGATCATTCTCAGCAGGCACAGGACAGGAAACCGAGTCGGATCGAAGCAGTCAAGATGGCCGGCGCAGGTCGCTCGGAACGCCATTATCCTCACCGCCAGGTAGCCCACGGCCAAGTTTTGCTCCTAGGGGGCAGGTAAAACCGAGGATAGGATTCCGCGGCAAGATACCGAGCGGCTTGACTCTCAATGTAGCGCTGACGGAGGGTGTTTCCAAGATCGCTAAGAATATACCTTTTGATGACATACATGGTGCATATTCAGTAAGACCCTCTTTCCAAAGTTGTAACCCGGTTCTCGCACTGAACCTATCTTTGCAGAACGTAATAGATTCAGTGGCCCATGCGAAACAAGCCCGAAGCTTCGTCGAAGAGCTCAACTTTCTGGTCATCTCCTCGACATTGCTTAATGAGCAACCTGCATTTGGGCCCGCCTCCGTGGCACCTTTACCGACGGACGCTACCAAACGGGAGGAGCTTCAGGAGATCAAGGTCAATCCTTGGACCACCAATGGTGCCGTGGCTGCGGGCGCGCTGGGCTTCACTGTAGCATGCTTGATCAGATGGTTCATAATTGGGGGGACATTGATCATCTCGCTAAGGCGCATAACGGTTGCTGCTGTTGGGCTCGGTGCTGTGGCATGGACACTGAGGACGTATATGCGGCGTCAGTGGGCCAAGTATATCCACGAACAGACCTTGAACGAGCTGAGGAAGTTCCTGCGGAGCTCTTCTGAGCTTGATAGCATTGCCAGCTCGGCCTTAAGTTTCATATTTGAAGTCGAGCTTATTGGACGCGGCTATAGACTGTAGGTTTTGATGGGTCGGGATTTCTCTTGGGAGCATTATCTGACATGTGTATAGGTCTCTGCCGCTGCCTCCTATCAGTCGCCTGGAAAACAACGACAACGGCCAAGCTCTGAAGAGTTTGAAACTGCGACAGGCACTCAACCAGTGTTTTCAAGATGTCATACAGATTTATTACCAAACAGCACAAGTGATCAGGGACTTCGCTCATCAGGAGCAACTCAAGTCCAACGACAACGGATTCAAGTGTGACACTGAGAAGATCAATGACTATATGGTTCGCTATGTCAACATGAGCCCAGACGACGCTCAGAAAACAGGGCAGCTCCGTGAGACGCTGCAACTATCGAGAGAGACACGGAAAATGTTCCTCGTTGGTTTGATGTCACTCGAAAGTACGGGGAGCAAGACGGAGCTTCTGGATTATACGACAGCACTGCAGGGCATTATAGACTGTCAAAGCAAGACCCGGGAGGCTTACAACAACCTCAAGAGTGCTCTTTTGCCTGATAGAGGTACGGATACCAGGACACTATTGTCATTCGACTAATGCACGATGCTAACTTACTCGCAGCAACGGGGAGCGATCGAAATTCCGCAAGTCCGTTGAGCCCACGCCACATGAAGTGGAAACATCAGATCGACAAGGTCGGGGGCATGAATATGAACATTCGAACTATTCAAGCCAAGATGTATTCGTTGCTAGAAGAGTCCAAGAAGACACTAGACACAGCCGACGATGTTTCGGAACTGGGACATATGTTTATGAGCCGTTATGACAACATAGGGAAAGACATTGAAGACTTGATGGAATCATGGGAAGCCGGCAAGGCCAGTCTGGCCAAGAACATCAACAAAAACGAGCGTCGAGTCTCCTCCATGAGCTCCATCATGTCGCCCACAATTGATCCGTCTATGGAGGCAGTCCGGGAGGAGTCCGGTGACGCGGACGATGGAGTATCAGCTGCGTGGGACAAGCTTACTGGCGGTGAACTGCCACCGGCAGGCATGGCAGACGACAGCTCCCCCACAAGTCCTCGGCCCATGGTCATGGAGACATTCGAAGCAATTGCAGCTCCACGACCGAGGAGCACGCTTACTCGGACAGAGCGCATAGCAAGAGCGCACGAGGATCGACAAGCCAGGGAAGCTGAGAGGGCACAGGCTATGCAGAGAGGTCATGTCATGGGCGAGCTGCGAGACGTGTTGAAGAGCCGTGGCCTACACGCCACTGTGGACACAAACACAAAGGGAGGAGCATCTGTTGCAGCACAAAGTCCAAGCCCCAGTAATAGGCAAAGCTTTGGGCCCATCTTGAAGAAGAGGGTGGTATCAATGCCGTTTCCATAGCGGACGAGCATTTGACAAATCCTCATGATTTTCATTTAGCGTTCATTCAAGGCGCGATACCAGAACTATATCAGCCACGATTGCATAGGCGTCACATGGGGATAGACATAGGGACCGCGGATTGGTATTGGGCTTTCTGGCGTACAGGCTCCAAGGGGCGTTTCGTGCCTCTTTATGATCATTGCATAGGGAAAAGGCAGCCTTGCCACATTCGAATTGTTGAGGTTAATGTTTTACTTTGTACATAGAAATCCGGCTGCATACTTAATGATCAATATTCCTTTGACTATACTTGATAGACACAGGTGTGGTGCCAGCTCTAAGCTCCCTAGCCTGTGCAAGTAGCAGGCTTTCTTGGATGCTGGATGGTTGACGCTACAGTAAACTGCTTACAGTTTGCGACCCGTGGCCGTCTACCAAGTTAGGGGCACACAGCAGCAGGTCAACGAGATTTGAATTTTAAGGAACTGAACCTTTCATCTTGGTATAGCCCAAATTTTTGATATCCTTTGTTGGCACGAACCATGGGCTAGTTAAACAGGTGAAGGCGTTGATAAGTGCCTGCGAAACACGCGCTAGGGAAGCCTTGGAACGCTGCGCGTCGGGCCCTCAGCTTTCAATTAAACCGGTTCGGTTCCTAGATTAGACGCGTCGCGTTGCCCCATCCCATCCCATTTTCTTTTGATGCCTTGAGCTTGGGTGCAGCCCTCCTTTGCTACCTTGTACCTGCGTCTTCCTCTTCCCCATCTCGAACCGTTGACTTCCTCTCACATACAACACTCTATACTTCTTCTCTCCCAATCGACTCAGACGTCAATTCCTCGTAGTCCTTTACTGGTTCCCCGCCATCAACATCCCCAACTCCCACAATCTTTGTCTACAGACCGCCACCATGCTTGAAGCAAGACTCGAGAAGGCTAACGACCTGAAGAAGGTAAACCCCGATCTCTCCTGACCAAGCCCACGAAGAACGCGATACTGACTCCAGCCAGGTCGTCGATGCGATCAAGGACCTGGTCCAAGACTGCAACTTCGACTGTAACGATTCGGGTCTCGCGCTGCAGGCCATGGACAACTCACACGTCGCCCTTGTCTCCATGATGTACAAGGCCGAATCGTTCTCTCCCTACCGATGCGATCGCAACATCGCCCTCGGTGTCAACCTGGTCTCGCTGACCAAGGTGCTGCGCGCCGCCCAGAACGACGACGTGCTCACATTGAAGGCTGAGGATGCCCCCGACTCCCTCAACCTTGTCTTTGAGAGCTCCAACAACGACCGTATCTCCGAGTACGACCTGAAGCTCATGGACATTGACCAGGAGCACCTGGGCATCCCCGAGACCGAGTACGCTGCTACAATTGTTATGCCCAGTGCTGAGTTCAAGAGAATCTGCACTGATCTGATGGCCATGTCTGAATCTGGTGAGTTGGTTTTATGCCTATCTGGATTGAGGGTCACTTGTAGCTAACACATGGCTCCAACTAGTCACCATCGAGGCAAGCAAGGACGGCGTCAAGTTCGCTGCCAACGGCGACATCGGCAATGGTTCGGTGACGCTACGCAGCAACCAGGATGTCGAGAAGGAGGAGAACAACATCGATATCGAGTTGACCGAACCTGTATCTCTCACTTTCTCTCTCAAGTATCTGGTAAACTTCTGCAAAGCCCAGCCTCTATCCACCAGAGTCAAGGTTTGCCTCTCTAATGAAGTGCCTCTCTTGGTTGAATACGGCTTGGCCGGCACCAGTTACCTGCGTTTCTACTTGGCACCAAAGGTATGTCTTGCACTCTTCAACATCCAATGTGGTACCTGGATGCTAATCCCATGTATAGATTGGTGACGAGGAGTAGGAATATTTTAAGGAAGGACGTTTTGACATGAAGACCACGAGATATACCATCGGATTGCACTCGGCGCCGCTACACGTGGGATATGGTACGGTAAAAGCTATCTGAGTCCCGTCACGATATTGGCCATATGCAGGCCCGAAAAGACTAGCCCAGGGACCTTTGAACAGAGGGGGTGACAACCACTCACGACGTTGAGATACATACTGCATGGAATAGGATATGGAGACAGCGTAATGACAAGTCAATTTAACACATGAACAGCCCCCATGACGTTGCGCGCGTCTGTGGGAAACGCGTATCTCTGTTCGGCTTAGTGCGGGGCTGGCGGGGTTGTCCAACTTGCTGATAGTCGGCCTCATCGGAGGGGACCCTGCATATGACGAGAAATTTCGAGTCATTGTGACCGTGGAAACGCCAACGGCTTACACCAGCGGCGTCTTTGATAGGGTCGTTCTCTGAAGTACTTCGTATCAGCGATTTGTCTCTTTTTGTTTTGCTTCCAGGCTCCATCTCGAGTCCCCCTTTGCCCCCTTTGCTTTCAACCTCATATGACATAATACCACCGCGAAATATATCCCACAATTTCCCAATCGTCGACGAGCCGAATGGGTAGCCAAACTATGAGCGCCGAGCCGCCAGTACCAGAGACGAGCGTCCTCGCCGTAGCCAGTCATGTAGGAAGATGTTCGCCTTTTGCAATCTAAGGCAGAAACCAGCTAACTCAACCTCAAGGTCGTCTCTGGGTAAGTCCCGCCTTCAATATGCAGGAACCATGTAACGAAAGCTGATTGCGTTGTCAGACACGTCGGAAACAAAATCGCTGTCTTTGTGTTACAATCTATGGGCTGCGATGTCTCGGCCCTGAACACGGTACAGTTTAGTAAGAAAAGATCGCCTGAGTTATTACGTCCGCACTTGGGGAACTGACTGCGCCAAAAAAAGGTAACCACACTGGCTACAGACAATGGAGAGGCAGTCGCGTATCGGCGCAAGAGATCACAGATCTCTGGGAGGGTCTGAAGCAGTCCTACCTTGATAGATTCGACATGATGCTTTCGGGTTACGTACCTGGCGCCGCCGCAGTGGAAGCTGTTGGTAACATCGCAAAGGAGCTCAAAGAGAAGTCCAAGGCAAAACCTGGAAGTTTCTTCTGGGTCTTGGATCCAGTCATGGGAGACAATGGTAAGCTCTACGTTGCGGATGATGTCGTACCTGCATACAGGGGCTTGGTGCATCATGCAGATTTGATATTACCAAACCAGTTCGAGGCTGAGTGAGTTACCACCTCTAATCCAAAAACGACCGAAGAATATTCTCCAATGCTAATGAAGATATCAGACAACTTTCCGAGGTAAAGATTACCGATTCGGCATCTCTCCGCAAGGCTATTGAAGTTTTGCACACCAAGTTCAACATTCCTCATGTTGTAATTACATCTGTCTCCCTACCCTTGGGCGAATCGCAAGTACTCCCAACGAGTCGCACAATGTCCGTAGTGGGTTCGACAAGAACCTCGAACGGCAAGCCACGCCTCTTCAAAATCCACTTCCCCGTTTTCGACTGCTACTTCAGCGGCACAGGCGACATGTTCGCCGCACTGATGGTTGTGCGCATGCGGGAAGCTGTGTATAATGCTGGAAAGGAAGTTAGAGAAACACCAAGCTGGCTCAGCGGAGATGAAGTGCGGCCGTTGGATCTGCCATTAGCAAAGGCTGCCGAGAAAGTCCTGGCTAGCATGCATGAAGTGCTAAGCCGGACGTGTGCAGGCATGGAGGCCAGGGTGAAGCAGGAGCTCGCCGGACTGGGTCAGGGATTGTCGGAGGAGGAGGAAAAAACAAAGCTGCACTTGATAAGAAGCAGAGCGGCCGAGCTCAAGTTGGTCAGAAACATGGGCTGCTTGAGGAGTCCGGAAACAGAGTACCAGGCGGAGAAGATGGAGACTGAGCCTTGATGGACTGATCTAGACTAAGCGACGTCTGGGGATACATTAGATACTCAAATAGAAAAAGTTACGCGTCAAAGGGTCACAAGAGTACACCTCTTTGCCGGTCGTCGGATTGGTCTATCTTCTATACTAGAATAACGGGACCTCTTCGCATTACACTCATGCCTTTTCTGTGCCCGTTTCCGGCAATATTCAACAACCATGAATGCCGTAATGCAGGGCTCATGGTATAATCCCACGACCTGCTTGGGCTTTGACGCCTTTCCCTCATATTAGTGAGAGCCGCTATTGGTGCCATCGTCTCCTCCTTCTTTTTTTCTTCTTCTTCGTCTTCTTCTTCTTCTTCCTTTAGTTCGCACCCGTGCTGCCGAATCCACCAGCACCACGCACGCTCTCCTCGAGCTCGGCCACCTCGACGACCTCGGGGGTGTAGATGCGCTCGATGATGAGCTGTGCCACCCGGTCGCCCTCCTTGACCTCAAAGTCCGCCTCGTTGTGGTTGAAGAGCAGCACCTTGACCTGCCCGCGGTAGTCGGCATCGATGACGCCCGCGCCCGTGTCGATGAAGTGCTTGCTGGCGAGGCCGGAGCGGGGAGCGATGCGGCCGTCTGGCGCGGTGGTGTTGTCAGTACGCGTCAATTGCACAGTCAATCGAGGGCTTGGCTATTATTTATATATATAAAAATTCTTTTTTAACTTACAGGTTCCCGCCGGCACGGCGATGGCGATGTCCGTGTCCACGAGCACCTTGCCACGCTTGGGGATCACGGTGTCTTTCGCGGCGTACAGGTCGTATCCGGCGGCGAACGCGCTGCCTCGCGTGGGCAGCCTGGCCTTGTCCGAGAGCTTCTTGATGAGGAGCGGCGGCGACTGCTCGAGCGTGGGGACGGCGGTGCCGTTGCCGTTCTCTGCTGCCGCTGTTGCGGCGGAGGAAGACATGCTGCTGCTGTTGACGGTGACCTCGGCGATGGAGTTGGAGAGCTTGTGGCGCTTGGCGGGCGGCGAGGTCGGTGGCGAGGCTGCGGAGGGGATGGTGCTCATTGCGCGGTGGGATCGAGACGAGATGGGTGCGATGGGCTGCGTTTTTAGTGGTGAGACGAGGCGGCGGAAGATTGGATGGTCCTGGTGGGGGAGGTGTCGGTGAAGACGCGACGGAGACGCGTAAAGCGGTTTCTGATGGGGCGCGATGGTAGGGGAGCAGAGGGCTGCCACAGCGGATCGTCTGGTCCTACTCGCGGTATGCATGGTACTATGGGAACTGAAGAAGCGATATCATGCCATAGCTTGCAATATGGCTCAAAACCAAGTATTTTATTCTGGTGCCCATAGTTGGCTGCGTTTCGAGCATACTACTGTCCGTATGAGCGTGGTATCAATTGTCCCGTGCCGGATTCTAAGATTAGAAATATAGGATAGTCCAGTTGACCACTAAAAGCTCAGTCCTTTAGGTTAGTTCACCATAGATTGCTGTGATAAGCTCGCTGCGTATACATAACCAAGGTACCATCATCAGAACTGGTGTGCGATTGAACCATCTACCGGCAGTTGTTACAGACTAGCTGCCCTACGAGACTTTCCGCTGTTTGTTTCTCTGCTTTGACGCGCTAAAAAAAGATCTTTTTCGGATCGAGAACCCCTGAGGTAGTAGTATTGTGACGTCTCGGCGTTTCAACATCACGGCTGGGGTCAGCGACTTTTTAAAGGCTGATCTGTGATGATGACTCGGCATCAACGATCTCGGTTTCAGGTACCTGGTTCGATCAAAATCCCGAATACCTATCCGCTTTGTGTGTTGAGCGAGGCCAATTGGATATAGTAGCATCAAAAGTCAAGCAATACCTGCCCGTCATTGCAATGTAAAGAAGTACTCCCAAAAAAATTATACAGTTTTTTTCATCTTTTTTTTTTTTTTTTTTTTTCAATCGCGAATATGCGATGGATATTGGAGCGAGCTCAATCGTCCAGTTCTCTGCCAAAGTCAATGAGCCGCAGCCTTGTAGAATCTTTAGGATGAAACTGTGCCACCTTAGATCTGACAAGGAAGCGTGCAGCGGCGGTTTCTCTCTCAAGCTGGATATAGGCCGCAGTGCTGTCACCATCTGATTCCATGAGGGTATTAAGTAGCAGTTCAGTCAGCCCTTTCATCTCAGAACCCGCCGCCACTGACTCATCTCGGTTCTCATCGTTGCGCTGAGTGTGCATCTCCTGGCTTTGCCCCCATATCTCGTCAATGCGCCTCTGCCGCTTGTCCTGGTCTTGGTTTTCCTTGATTCTCTTCAGTTTTCCTTGCGAGCTGAAACCAGCGGCCAAGTTATCTTGGTCGATTTCCATCAAATTGCCCACCACGGGCCCACCGAGATCTTCTGCTGCCAACATTGCAGCAAGGTGGCCCTCGATGAACTTTCTCAGGGCTTTGAGTAAGTCTGAAGTGTCCCTATTGTAGTTATTCTTTTTCCGCTTCAACTCTGCGACACGCTCTTGTGCTATGTCATCTGGATCCATATCCATGCGGTTGTCCAGTCCATCGCGCAGTGACTGGATGCGATTCTGCAAGCTCTGTGAAAGTGCCTGTTGGTCCCTCAGGTTGGACTGCTCAACTTGAAGTCGTTTCTGAGCCTTGTCTGCTGATCCGTCATGGCTCAAAAGGTAAGCCCTTGTCTCCTCCACAGTCTGATGTGTTTTGCGGAGAGCAATCAAGGCTGGCAAGACAGAGTCCGGGAATGGGAGAAACGGTGTCTTGGACGCTAGCTCGTCATAGGCCGCCTTCGTGATTTGCAAGGGAGCCTCTGGACGGATAGTGGTGAGTGACCGGCCGGGCGCCGATGCACGCAACTGTCGTATGTGAGCGTCGTAACTTGTATTGCGCTCAAATTCAACGGACGGACCTTGCTCAATGTCGCCTCATGCTCTGTGACTGTTCGTTGCAGTTCTGCCAAGGATGCGTCGACGCGACTGGCATGAAGCGCGTCGTGTTCGTTGTCAGGGAAGAAATCCATAATAGCTGGTCCTGACGACGAGGGGACTAGGTGTTTGTGCACCGCGATAGGGTGTGGTGTGTTGTGTAGAGTATTGTTAGATAGCACGACGGGAGGGTAGCCGTACACTGCACCGTATGCGTTGCTCAACGGTCTACAGGTGGGAATGTCTTGCACAGCGGGAGCCACTCCCGTCTGACAGTTTTGTACCGAGAGCTGCACGCTGGTCTTACCATGCACATGTATCGAGGAATGCCACCTTAGCCAATGATGAATGCTCATTCCTGCAGCATTGCCGGAATCATACGCCTACACGATACGGCTGCAATTCATTTGACGTGGGCGTCCAGGGCCCATGTGGTGTAGATCACGGCAATAGTACGAAAGCACACAGTGTTGCCCATAGTGTGGAGGGCATCCGCCAACACAAGCAGACGACTTCCAAACGCGCAGGCGGCAGCGCTAGGTTGGATGTTGCCTTGGCGATCCGGCATTTAGAAACACAAGTATTCGCACGGTAGGAACAACCCCAGTTTTCGGAACCGCGCCCTAAAACCACAAACGCCCTGGACGCTTGGACTGCAGGTTGTGGAGCGCAGATCTTCATCCACATCAACCTTTCGTGAGACATCATCCCCTTCAATCTCTCACAACAACCCCAATCCCCCATCGACCCTTTTGTGACTGTTTCTAACCAGGCTCCTGGAACACCACCCCTCCCCCGGAACTTCACTCTCGACCTCTTTTCTGCGGATTATATATCCCACCTTGAGCACTCCTGCCCTGCCCTTGATTCACTTCCTCCCTGATTTGGAGCTCTTCTGGCCAGGTCAAAGTACGGACAAGAGCTATCAAAAAGCTCCCGCCCGTGCGAGTTGCATCCTCCTTCACCATCTCAAGGCCTTTCTGCACCTCCTCCTCTGCAGCGAACCCCGTTTGATCTGGCAGACAAGGAAGCAGTGCAAGCTGTCCACAGCCGACGTACAGAGACTGCTCCGATCCCATTGAAAGGAAAGAGACCCTTCAAAGAGACTAGGTATATCTAGTCCCGTTTGACGGAGCCAAGGTTTGAGGACCACTGACTGACTGTCTGTCTACCTGACCCTGCCTCTTGTTTTCTCGGCATCTCATCCTACCTCACCGTCAAGTCTTCTCATTACCATCACATCCTGCGCCTGTCTGCTCTCAAGGCAGCGAGTCGTCTTCCCACCACACCCATTCCGCCATTCTCAGGCCACCTTCCAGTCTACGCGGAACCTGTCAAAGGCCCACGTTGTAGCTCCGCATCACCAGCACCAGCACCTCAACTGTCTGCGATACCGACCTTTCTGTTTCCTCGACCAAGCTTCGTCCGAATACATCTCCCGACCCTTCCTCACACCCAAGTGTGCCCTCGCCTCTTGTTCCGAACCACTACACCTACACGTTTTCCTTCGAAAACCCTTAGGGTGTAGATAGAAGCCGATAATTGAATAACGCATTCGACCCTGAAAAGAAAGAAAAAGAAAAAGAAAAAACTTCTCCCGCCAAACCCTCCCAAGTGAAAGACTATAAAGTACTAAAGACATCATGTCTGCCTCACCTTCGCAAACAACCAACCCGGCCAAGCGCCCCCTCGAGGATGCCTCGTCCCCCTCGGCAAAGAACGACCAGCCCGAAGCTAAGCGTCCTGCTCTCGACAAGGTCATCAAGAACGGTGACGAAGACGACGAGGAGAAACCTGCTACCCCTGAAGACAACGCCCCAACTCCCCCTGCGGAGACCAATGGTACAGTCAAGGCCGAGACCACCAACGGAGAGAAAACAGAGGCCAAGGATGAGCAAGGCGATACCATTGTTCCAGACGTCAATGAAGCCAAGGCCGCCGGTACCACCGTCGCCAGTACCACAGCTGCCTCTATCCCACACAGCACCAACACCCATGACGAGACGGCATGGATTCATATTCGCGCTGTCATCTCGAGCCCCGAAGCTGCCACTATTATTGGTAAGGGTGGCGAGAACGTCAGCAACATTCGCAAGCAGTCTGGTGCCAAGTGCACGGTTAGTGACTACCAGAAAGGCGCCGTGGAGCGTATTCTTACCGTAAGCGGCGTCGTCGATGCCGTTGCCAAGGCATTTGGTTTGATTATTAGAACACTCAACAACGAGCCGTTGACAGAATCGTCCACTGCGCAGTCAAAGACATATCCACTCCGGTTGCTGATTCCCCATGTGTTGATCGGCTCCATCATTGGAAAGGGTGGTATGCGTATTCGCGAGATTCAAGAAGCATCTGGAGCTAGACTCAACGCATCCGACTCCTGTTTGCCTCTGTCCACTGAACGTTCCCTCGTGGTCATGGGAGTTGCTGATGCGGTGCATATCGCAACCTACTATGTCGGAAGCACTCTCTTGGAACAGCTTAACGAGCGGTTCGGGGGTCCTGCCGCGTCTGCATATGCGACACGGAGTGGTGGCCCTGCTGGTGTTGTGCCAGGTGGCATGCAGGTTGTCCCTTACCAGCCTCAACCGGCCGGCGGCAGTTTCGGGCATCGTGAGAACTACGGCAGACGTCCTGACCCGCGATCTCAGCACTACTTGCCTCCTAATCCGTATGGCGCCCATCAACAGCCACCCTACGGAGCTGTACCTCAGCCAGCGGCCAGCGCACCCATGCACTATGCTCCTCAAGCTGCTGCAGGCGGGTACGGTGCCGGACCTCATATGCCTCCTCACCAGGGCGGCCATGTTGGTGCTCCCCAGCCGCATGGTGCCCCGCACGCTCAACAGCCCATGCCCGGTGGTGGTATGGCTGGCGCTCCCCTAACTCAGCAGATCTACATTCCCAATGACATGGTCGGTGCCATCATAGGCAAAGGAGGCCAGAAGATTAACGAGATTCGACAAATCAGTGGAAGTGTCATCAAGATCAATGAGCCGCAGGACAACAGCAATGAACGGCTCGTCACGATCACCGGTACTGAGGAATGCAACAGAATGGCGCTATACATGCTATATTCCCGACTCGGTAAGTAAAATGAGACGCGTTCTTGCAAATAGACCTCCTCTACAAGATGCTAACGAGTTGCCCTGCAGAGAGTGAAAAGCACCGGATTTGATGACTTGCCATGACATTCCTACCATTTGTTGTTTATGGCTGTGTCTTCACAGCCGGCAGTTGCTCCCTTGGGCCTGGGGCTTGCAGTCTCTATTTTTGAAGGAATGCTTTCGTGGATATGGCGTAAGGTTAGATGGACAACCAAAGGCTTGGTCATCACAGAAAAAGGAATTTGTTTTAGCACCTATGGTTCTGCCTCCTGAGGCTGGATCGGATCTGGCACTTGGCACCTATGACATTTAATACGCATGGAAATGACCAGATCTTTCCATTTATCAGTATTCCATATCTGCAGACCTTTCAGCAACATGCCCCACGAATGCTATTTGGTGGCAGCTGTCGATGGTCATGGACCGTTACCAATTCCGTGACCTTGCTTCTTCCATTTGTTGGCTGCATTCATTGTCAATGGGTATCCTGCGTTGCTTGTAGACCGGTTTGCATCTGGTGGGATTCGCTGTAGAGCTCGAAGAGGACTAGAGCGTTTGCCAAACTTGGTTTGATGTCTTTTCCATCTTGACGTTTGGGAGGAGAACAGGGCGAGGACGACTGGCGAATTGCTCTGAAATATATCGTTGTGTCGTACTACTCCAAGGATTATGTAGACAGAAGAGATACGTTTCACTGAATCTGTAGCCCTTTGCTTAACCTCGTCTACCTCAGTTCTGTCTGACAGCTTGTGCTTAATTCACCATGTCGACAAAGTCCACCCTTATTGCCCATACTCGATGACATGCTGTCCCTATGAAAACCCACGCCACCCCATCCACAGACCCACAAGCATAAAGTGTTCATCACGTACAACAAGCAGGCATACCTATTCACTGTTTATCCGTTGAATTGTACATAAGTTGCCCAGTCAACTCGTCTTTCCTCGTGGTTTTCAGTTGAGTAATAATGAACATAGGAAAATCTTAGAATGGCTGAAAATATGTAGCGGTATCACGTACTTGCGTAGGGAAGTTGCTTGGATTTTTGGCCAAGGTTATACTTTGATATTATTATATTAGTTAGATCATGGGGGCAGTAGTTGTTGGATTGTATGCTCATCATTTTCAAGTATTAATATTGGAAAGAGAACACACAGAGGTGTTATATGGGCCAGCAGGGCGGTTGACTGTTCAGGTGCAATATTGAGAGGGAGTATACGACACATGCACAACCAGACAGCACAACTGATAAAGCTTGGCAATACGACCGAGCCGCAACACAAGATAAACTACCAGCCATTACCACTATTCAGCGTTCGGACGATGGATCTTCATATTACGGCATTCCCATGGCTTCTCTTGTCTAGTTTCTTAACATTGGTTCCGAAAGACACCAAAGTTTCGTATTTCTAAAGAAGAGAAGAAGATGCGGTCGAGTTCTACCGCGCCAGAGATTGGGGGTTAATGTTAGAATTAGCTTCGCAGGGAGTTGATGATTACAAGGTGTCTAAAGCTATCGGCCTGTTAGCACTATTTGATATGCTAGGTAATCAGATATTCGGTCACAGAGGTATCAAATATGCCCACTGACATATTTGACTTGGGGATCAAGTTATCATGAGTTAATCAAACCTAGATCTTACCTGACTGTACTGTATTGCAACGAATGTAGAATATGCGGTCGATTGTTTGCCTCAGATTTACCTATTCAGCCTTACCATGTCGCATTGTGACCGCTTAGTATGGACCATACGACTGTCAATATGCGATACCCGGCTGCCACTATACGGGATAATATATGGCAACACATCAGCAAGGCGGGCCAGAGTCTCTCGTGCGTCTGACGTAAGGATAGTCATCAACTGTTTTTTCATGGCTTCCTCCAATGCTCTTAGATATATTTAGGTCGGCCAACAGGAAACAGGCTTCGCATTGTTGTCCAGGCCATGGACTATGGCAGCACGCTAGGATGGATGTATACACAACATTCAATTTCCGAGCCTCAAGTGGCCCGGTCATTGTCCGATAAACACTTCGCTTATCGAATCTGAGTCAGGGCGGGCTGACATCTCAAACCCATCTCGACTGAGCTTGTAATGAACGGTGCCAGATCCAACCGTCGTTCACCTGAAGGGTCAGATCTCTTGTGGGGTGGTTTTTCTGATGGAAATGGCCATAGGCTGAAACGTCAAATGGGGATCATCGCGACTTGCTGATGTTATCTGTGCTTAGTTTTGTTAACCTACGGCCTGGTGCTCGCCGGCCGGCCCGACTACTTTGGGTAAACCAACAAAAGTCGCTAAGAATCGCGACGGGCAAATAAACATGGACAGGAGGCCGAGCTGAAATCAGCACTGGTAGGGCTGAGCATTATATAGTGCATAAGAAAGCTGGGTGCGCATGTACTGCATACTCCGCATGACTAACGTGTGCATCGTGGCTGGATGCTGTACGACTTCACCTGCGATTCTGCAGGTATACCAGAAGCGTCTTACTGCATGAGATATGATTGGTCAACGCAACACGCACGAATCTGACTTCGTGCAAGTTGGGGGTTCTAATAATTATGCCAGGCATGCAAACCTTCATAGGGTCATTTAAAATCTGACATCAGCCGTGGTCTGCACCAGATGAACAGGTCACAAATCTGACATGCTGTCACAGTCACGTCCGTACATGACCAACAAAGAGTTGAATCGCTTCATCGTAAAGCGTCTGTGTCAGGGGGGATGAGTTTGCGGTCGAATGGCTGCATTAGGTATCAATTTTACGCTCGGCGCTCTCCGTCCATGCTCAGCGTCAGCGAGATCCGACAACTTCTTGTTTGTAAGGTGGCCGAAGGTTTTCTGCGGTAAAATACCTCATGACATCCGATACATGGGGTTGAGGCTTGGTAAGGACGCTCAGATAATATAAGATTTGGGTTTGAGAATGCACTTCGGTCCGTCGCGTAGCTGTGTGAAGCAAAGGAAAGCAGAGTAAAGCAAATCGTAAGGAACAGGGCAAGATCAGCGGTCAAGCCCATGGCATGCACAAAGTTAGAACAAGAAACGAGCCATAAGGCGAAGCTGTCAGATCATGGCAGAGGTCTGGGCTGTGCAAACAAACCTGGAAGTTGACTAGGAAGCGCGGACAAACTTCTGCCAAGCTTTCCGGCTAGTGGGACTGGAAATTGGACCGAGTAAAGCAGCTGCCGCCAAAAACCCAGTCAGCAATTTACCACGGTGGGTAACTGTGACGCAGCATCTTGTATGAAGGACAAATATCTGACAGAAGGCAAAATTGTCGCATACGCAACACAATCAACCTGCGGAGGTTTTTCTTTAAAGCTTGGGCTCACCAATGGCCCAGTACGGATCCGTACGCATATGCCTGGCTCCAGAAGCCCAGCCTACCTGCAGTGACCAGTAAAGCATTTTAGCTGTCAGAATGGTGGTCAATAATTACAGTAGATGGACGCACGAATTTGGCGCTAATACATAGTTAGTAAAATGCGAAGAGATTGCCCATGTTGGCTCAAACAAGGATCGCATAACGTCTTGTCAGGGGCTTTTCTGCACGAGACCTGGTCTGTCCAATGACTATAAGCCCCGAGGGATGAAGGAAGCTCAGCCCGACAGTCCCGTCTCTCTTATTGACGCAGGGGATTTTGCGACGGTCTCTCATTCGTCTGAGAGCTACCTAGGACTGCCTTAATATAGTCTAGACTAGAGCATGCCCCTTTCGCTTCCATGCTCCTTTGGCTCCAACGGGAGATTAACCTTTTAGCAATGGTCCCATCGAGCCCGCAAAAGCGTGGAGCTTGGGCGCATGGAACAGACCTTCATCGGGTAATTTTGATCAGACATGGCAGTTATTTCTAGCAGATCCGTTGTAACTTCACATAGGTAAACTGGTGGAGTAGGTACCAGGCCTCAGATAGACAGCCGTCCAGCGACGTGAATCTGGGGCACTTGCTGCCTGTGGTCAGCAACATCGTGGAGCACATCGCCATGTAAGAGGCGCCCTGTGCTGTGCTGTGCCGCCTACCCACTTCTGGGCTAATGTTTTCTATCGTCAAAGCCTTGGTACCGCAGCACCTTTTCCTTCTTCTTCTTCTTTCTTACCACCCCATCCAACATCTTCAGACATTTTCGTCTACCACACTCTTTTCCCCTCCTCAGCACGTCAGCCTAAACGTTGCAGTCACTCTTTTTATAAGTCACTCATTCCGCCCTGTAGAGCCTCACCCGCGGTTTCTATAATCCACTCTTCGACGCCAATCGAATATTCAGTGATATTACTGTTTCAGAAAACTCTAATACTCTAATATCATACTCACCTTCAAGATGCGCTTCACCATCGCCGCCGCTTTGGCCTTTGCCACCACTGCCTTTGCGCAGACCGCTGGCTTCGATGCCATGACTACTCCCGCCCAGAACGAGAACGTACCTGCCGGCGAGACCTACACAATTGTGTGGCAGCAGGGCACATACACCACTGGTACCGTGACCCTGTCTCTGCTTGGTGGTGAGACTGCAGCCACTCTTGTCGACCTCGGAAGCTTCGCCTGTAAGTTACCAACTACACCAATCTGTAAATGCAGACGAGTGAGAAGAACAGCTGCTGACATTGACATTAGCCGGCGTTGACAACGCTGCCGGTAGCTACACGTGGGCAGTTGACTCTTCCCTGGGTTCTGCCGCCACCTACGGTATCAAGATCACCTTGGACAGCGACAGCTCTGTCTTCCAGTACTCTTTCCCCTTCGTAAGTGACATTATATGAACTCCATCGTGGAAAACAAGACACTAACCTACCTCGCAGCACATCACTGCTGGTAGCTCCTCCACAAGCTCTTCTGTTAGCGCCGCTGGCTACCCAACTGCTGCTGCCCCTAGCTCTTCCAGCTCCTCCAGTGCCGCCTCTACCTACGCTGCTTCTGCCCCCACCGTGACTGCCTCAGTCAGCAGCACTGTCGTTGCCAGCGTCTCTTCTTCCAGCTTCCCATCTTTCACGCCTTCCGGCACCGCTGGCGTCAGTGGTATTGCCACCGGCACCGGTATCTCCACCGTGAGGTCTTCCTCAACCGGCTCTGCCAGCAGCACTGCTACTCCCGTCACCACCAACGGCGCTCCCCGTGCCGCTGTTGGTGTCACCGGATTCTTGGGACTCGTCGCTGCCATCTTCATGTTGTAAGAAGTTGCGCAGCATCCTGCGTTCTTTGATTTCAGCATGGCATAATTTCATTTCGGCAATTGTACACGGTTACGTTTCAACGGTTTCCTTCTGTGCATAATCCTGATCCGGTGGGTCTCAAAAAAGGGCCTGCGGGCATATACATATTGCATCATGCGGTGGTCATGGAGGAAGTTGTATGGCATAGGGACAAATCTAGAGGCAATTTTTTTAAACACGAAAATATGATATCCACTACACGACTAGTCAGCCGTTCTAGATCTCAAGTAAACACCCAGAATATGTCCGTTTGAACGTGGCCGCAGATGACACGAGAAGAAACCTCTAATATCGTACATTGATCTTCGTCCCCAGCCAACAGCCGGTATCAAATATTGTTGGTCCGTACAACGGTATCTCCAAAACTGCTAGAGGTTGTGCTGGCAGGTTGTGCAAAAGCAATGTTCTCCGCATTTAGTATGGCATTGATCTATGGTTGGTTAAGATCTAACCTACTTGCATATGCAGTGCAAACATCATGGCTGCGGTTGCCAATTAGAGAAGCATTGGCCTGCCAGCCAAATGGTTTTTATTTATTTATTTTCTTTTACTTCTACAATAAATACCAACAAGCGTTCAAAACATGGACAGCTCATTAACAGGTTTGCTGCTCGGAGCCAAACATGAAGTATGAATGCCGTGAGCAGACGGCTTGCGGAAACGATTAGCTGTAGTCGTGGTATTTACCATGTATCCCTTGTTGTACATAGCATGAAACTCTGTCGCCCAAAAACAAATTGGAGTCTGTCGCAAAATGAATACGAAGTGGGTATCGCAAGATGCTACTGTACATTCTCTATGCTGGGTAGTCCAGTTTTCCAAACACTACGTCGTATCCTGAACCTGGTCCATTGCTGATCTTCAGTTTCGGCATTAGAAACTCAATATTAGCAACTGCTGTAACCAGGAGAGCACGTAGCAGCAAAATTTATCGGAATGATACTAAGATTGTTGGTTATGCTGAATGTCAATTGTAAATTCTCAATCCAAAAGCCGTCGCGGCCAAGTTTCACCATTTCGCTAGGCGAAGCCGTCTGCAGCGGACCAAATATCCAGCGTGTCGCCGTGATGGCGGTACGATGAAAGAACGGCAAGACCACTAGAGCAGATTCTTTGCTCAAGGTGTCATTGATGCTTGTGCATCTAAACAGTGTCGTACCTAACCCCATGATTTCCGGCATTCAACGGATCAGACAAAAAGCACGATACAATTTAAGCAGTATTGGTGGAACCAAATTCGGAGAGTCTTGTGGAAGGTTATTCTCTTCTCGAAATCGCCAGTTCTCTGGTCAACCAGAAGGTAGCATCTATCTCTATCCATCTCATCATGGCATTGTGTATCCCAGAAACTCCCATCGCATTTACCCGCTAATAACATAACAAACAATTATTTTCCCCCCTTAATGACCGCCAATCTGGCCCCTTGGTAGCGGCGATACCCATGAAAAGAGCAGATTCATAGCAATCATGATAATTCCAATGATCCAAAATGCTTTGGCGTAGTCGGTGCCGTTGTCCATGAAGCGGAAGATGATAGCAAAGATGACACCTCCCAAGTTGCCTCCTGCGCCGGTAGTACCAGACACAAAACCATTGGCATGTGGGTGGACGTGAGGCACGAGAGAGAAGTTTGCTCCGTTGCCGGCTTCTAGGAAGATGGCCATGAGCGCGATCAGGCCGAACATGGTTGACTGGTTGTGCGAATCGACTCTGCCAACGATGATGAGAAGGACACCAGTAACACAACCACAAACCAAGATCCAAATCTTCTTTGCCCATAGGTTGCGACCGGTGGCTCTATAAACGATATCGCTGATCATTCCACCAAGGGGTCGAGTGACGAAGTTCAGAAACCCGAACATGGCAGCCCAATTGGAAGCGTTGGTTTGTCCAAGCGCAGGGAAGTTTTTGACGTAGTAGGCGCTGAGGATAGAGTTGATTGCAAGCTCACCACCGAAAGAACAGAAGTACGTCGAGACGTGGAAAGCCGTCTGCAAAGAGAGTAACACTCTCAACCCCTCCTTGAAGGTTGGCTTGTTGACAATTTCGCCCTTTGCTGTCTCGAGCATCTCATCCTTGGATAGGGCAGCTTCGTGATCCCAGTGCTTCTCGCTCTTGTGCTCATGCCTTTCCTTCTCCTTATCCACACTGGAAGGGGAAGTGACATTACTAGGGACTTTATCCACGACAACTCCAGGAACGTCGACGACACCCCCCGTTGGTGTCTCAACACCGTGTTGGTGCAGGTTTTCTTCCGCATGGAGATGTCTTTCGGACCACTTTCCAGTTGGAGTATCAGGGCACAGTAAGATCATACCAAGAGCTGTAGCGAGGACAATGATCAGAGGAACGATGAATGTAACTCTCCAAGCTGCACCATCTGAAAGCCCGCGGCCTTTCAGCGAGTCGAACACGGCGGGCATGATGAAGTAAGTTATACCACCACCAGCGTTGCCCCAGCCACCAGTGAGAGCATTGGCAGTCCCCACAACGTTCTTGTCAAAGAATCCAGTCGACCAGACCATACAAGGAACGAAAGCACCACCCAATATACCGATGAAGAAGCGGCTGACGTAGAGACCACTGGCGTTCTGAACAAGTGGTGCGAGGCCGAGAGGGATGGATCCCACGAAAAGGAGGCCGGCGAACACCCATCGTGGACCAAATTGATCGCAAAGCGGTCCGGCAACGAAACGGATAGCGAGACTGTATTGGGACATGTCAGTTGTTGCGATATGCAACGGATCATTGCTGTGGGAACTCACGTTGCGACCAATGAGACGATGTTCGAATTTGCTACCTCCGCTGGTGTCAAGTGCAGATTGGCTTTGATAGTGTGGGTCAGCTGGAAAGGCTGTTAGTGACTATAAACAACCTGAAGTTTAGGTTATTACATACAAGTGGTGGAAACGTGTACCAAGCCCAGAATGCAGTCATGAAACCAAACCAGGAAAAGAAGAATACCCGCCCATAGACGTCGATGGGGTTAAAGAAGGGCACTGAGCGAGCCTTGCGATTGATTGGGTTGATTTCGGGTCGAGCCCACAGATAAGATACCTTCATCTTGCTGGTGTAATATGATCAAATATTCAATGAGAAGTTTGTAAGGCTGGTGTTCCCAAACAGTATTGATACTACTGATGCTTTTCTGAACTGCTTGAGGTCTGATGAAACTGGATGATTTGACCCTGGCGACCAGTTCGGATATATAGATACAAGGTGTTAGGTTCTCTATGAATATCTGAGAGAAGCTGTCGCAATGAGCATCTCCGGAATTCAACTTTAAGGTGGGCCAGACCCATTCAAGCCCTCCACAACGTCCCAGACTCGTCTTTTCCGCGGGAGATCCTTGTGGGGATTGTTGCTGGGTTGGGTAGGCGCCGCTAGTGCTTCCTTTGGAAAGACTACTGTATCATCAAAGACTATTCAAAGATAGACCTAAGATTAATGATGCATATAATGGGTGGATAGACTGATGTTTGACAAGACAGACTAATGAAGTCAAGGCCTTTAAGAGAGATGACACGAGTGTGCCTAATGACGCCAATCGCAGATAAGTATGTACAATGAAGTAATGTCTCGAAGATATTGTGTAGAGTTCTGGTGTTGCCCTATCAAAGACTCTGTCATGTTGTGATTGAACCTGGGCACTAAGAAAGTCGCGTTGGTGAATATTGCGCCTGGAGTACGACAGCGAAAGATGTCAAAACTTCCTTACAATTCCTACCGTCGTGGTAGACGCAACGACTACAATCTCGACCAGCTGAGTGCGTGGCGGCCTTTCTAAGCGGCTGGATAGGATGTGTATCAGCATATCCCACGTTGTAAGAGAAAAAAGAACGGCTTATACTGTAGATTCTTGCTTCTCCGTTATCAGCCTTTTGGCACTACAGTAACATGTGCCGGATGGAAAACCTCACTAGCCCTGGTACCAATGGCACAGGTCCTTGTAAATAAACCTTAGCATTTCTTGGGCTGGATAAGGGATGATAAGAACAGAACGTTGTGTGTAACCGTCCCTTATCTCTCGAGGGCTGTTTATGCTTGGACCGAAAATAGTCGGCTCCACCCGCCCAGAGATAAGCAGGAGAGCTGTAGTTGGCCTGTATGTCCCGACAACGACGTCAGTCAAATCTCCGCGGAATCTGGGGTGCCTTTCACGAGAAGCCCGCAGTGCTGGTCAATACGGTGGAGCGAAACGTCCTATTGATGTGACGTTGGCCAGCACCAGACGAGGTCTATCACGGTGTGAAGCTGATGCGGGAGGGCGCCGTGCCGCTCAGTGGCAGCGAATGTCTTTTTGGACATACCTAGAGTGGCAGACATTGATCTCCGTGAGATTGGTAGTCTAGTATCGGTTAGCATTCTAGTCTCGACCAAAGGCAGGGGAGGCAGACTATAAATCTACGAATATGGTGATATCAAGCTGTCGTCCAAGTAAACTTTGCCATGAGCCGCAGCGATTTGTCACGAGAAACAAATCTATATCGGGGGCGTAACGCTAGATTTGGTTAGCGTGCCCCCACGCTGTCACCCGTTTGGAAACTTGCTGATGCGCCTGGGAGAAGGTCGAATACAAATCTGTGGATTTGATTGAACCAAAATGGCGTGATCAAGAACCACATCAAGTTCTTTGAAAGTCAACCCATAGTTATACTGTCGTAAAATAATACATAGAACAACGGTTTTTAATCCCAAATATTGCTTGAGTTTTGTCATGACCTGAAGATTGGCCACGTCGATGCGAGCGCATAACATGACGTTTGCTCTTGACTGTGTCGGCCGGCTTCTACCGGCTGTCGGTGTTCAAGCAGAGCATCGTTACGGCAACAACGGAGACCAGCATGCAACGGATGGATTCGACTCCATTGCGCAGCTTGTCCATATTTGAAGCCTGAAAACATGGTCAACTTGAATTTGAACTTGTAGCCATGCCGTTGTTAAGTATTATGTTTCCCAGTGCCTCAGGACTGCTCTTGAAGGATGTTATGCGAGGATCTTGTCATCTCATACACAACCGTGGCGAGTACAAAATCGCAAATATTGTACTTGACGCCCGTGCGGTTGTTCTAATAGAAGCAACACGAATCGACCTGAGATGGATTCGAAAATCTGGGGTTTGAAAAAGAAAAGAAAAAGTGGAAGAACCGGTGCAAGAAACTCCTGGACGCAGGCTAAGCACCCTGCGGCACGGTTTGATACGGCATCTTTCATCATCTCGAATCTGCTTGATTGATATTGGCAGTCGTCAAAAATATCCTAGCTGGGATGAGGCGCTTATCAACCGGCTTTAAAGCGCGAGAGAAGCCGTGACTGAGGTATATCCCACGGCAGAGAACCGGCAGGAATGAAACATAGCGCCAAGCGAAGTCTAGGAGGTAGTATTGTTCTCTCGTTCTCACCTATATCATGTGAAGAGAAAGGCACTTATCCCAAACCGGAAACGAAGTATCGCCAGAGTAGATGATTACGACGCTAAGGCTAACTTTTGTCTGTTTTCAGATACACAAACACTATCTTCCATAGTCTTTCCCAGGAGATCAACCAACAAAAAAAAGGAGAAAAAAAGGGAAAAGATAAAACCCTGACAGCCGCCCAGCATCCATCAAAGAGACTGTCAAGCTGGGTGGACACAACATGACCGTGGGCAACTTTTTCAGCGTTCCAAACAATGTCATACAGCCCTCGCTAATTCGGACTGTTGCATTTGTGAGGTCCAACCACATCGGCTGGTATACCTTATAACGGTAGTCGGTTAGCTCCACTCGGTAGTCGGTATCCCGTGTAACAGCCGGACAGTCGCCTTCGCCAAGGCTTGGAGAAAACTGCAAGCCAGCCGCAAGGAATGTGACATGTCCAGAACGTCATAGACAAGTATGTTGCCTCAGAGCACCGACTCAACTATGGCGAGGCAGCCCAGCAGGTTTCTCACACTGGCTGATTGGATGACGAGGTCACATGTTGGGTTGGATTGAGTACGGCGCATGGACAAGCTAGTAAAACACAATCGCACAACTTCCCATCAGGAGCGCTGCGCACTGGTTTCGATTGTGGGCCCTCAAACGACTCGTGTTGTCAAAAGCTAGCGAACTTGACCAGACACTTGATACCTTAGAGTAGCCCGGACCGTCACCGCCCAAGGCATTGGAATTCCAGCCAACGTTCCACTCTTTCGGTTGTCGGTTTCTTAGTTCTGTCATCCACCACGGCTACAAGTGGGCTGCTGGGTGTAACCATCATGATTCCTAGGTGAGGCCGTCACAACTACCTGATAGCCGTGCCGCCATGGCGCTCATGCGGATAATTTCATCAAGTTTTCTTTCTGAAATAGACCGTACTTCCACAAGTGGCGTTGTTTGTTTCAATAGGCATGATCAATTTCAATTTACACGGTTCGTATATCCAGCCATTATCTTACCAGTGGTTTAACTACTGAACAATTATCAACATGCATGCGTCAAAGGAAGAACACTCTTCGGCGGACAGTAACAACACGGACTCAATCCTAGGATTGGAAGTACTCTCATTTGCCCCAAAGCCACTTCCGACCCACCAGAACTTTCTGTCGAGTTTGTTGAATCATATGCAGGAGGAAGTTCGACCATCTATTTTCGCCGAGTTTGAGCTCGTACTCTTGACCTTGTAAGTGTTTGGTCCCAATCGGGGGCAGACATACATTACTGTGCTGCATGAGATGAGGTTCCTAACCTTGAGCATTGCATAGATTCACTGGAATACAAGATGCGATTTCCTTCCCCGACTACCACTGTTTTGCCTCGAATCAGACAGGAAACACAGTATTTCTAATGCTCGCCATTGTACTGCCCGAATTCGACGGTGACATGTTCATCACTGCCAATATAGGTGCGGCGCTGGGGTTCTTCCTCTTTGCAGGGTGGCTGACTGGCCAGGTGAGCCACCTGGTCGGCCCGAGGCAACGCTGGTGGCTGGTCCTGTGCAACTTGTTCCAATCAGCCCTCGTGTTTGCTGCAGCAGCAATCCAGTATGTCTACGGCACAGAAAAGGAAGGCCCGGCAGCTGTCACGGTTGTTGCGCTGCTGGCGTTTGCATCCGGGAGTCAGGTGGTGCAGTCGCGGTCACTGGCAATCACAGAGATTTCGACGGCCATGGCGACTGCTGCTTGGGTGGATCTGATGATTGATCCGCACATGTTCACGCGGGATAATCGATCTCGCAACAGGAGGCTTTGTTTCCTCGTTGCCTTGGTTCTTGGAACACTGGTGGGTGCTGGCATCTACAAGACAGCCGGCTCGGCGCCAGCCATCGCCCTCTCAGCTGCTGGCAAACTCCTGGTGACCGTCATGTACTTGTTTAATGGCTCCCAGGAGCCGAAGGGAGATGACATTGAGGCTGGATCTTCATGCCCGTCTGTGCTTGTGAGCAACTCGAGAGACTCGTCGAAGCCTCCACTGCCATGATAAATGATGGCCATCAAGTAGACTCAATATAGTATATGTCGTCATGACAGCATCGCCTGAATAGCTATGTACGTTGAAAAGGTGCAGTCGCCGAGGGTCCAGCTCCACATCAGCAAGACGGATGGATAAATGAATGAATGAATAAATGAATGAATGGAGCGGAGCCAAAGTGCGACCCACCTGGCTACCACCGAGCCACGGTGCATACATAACCTCACTATGCATCAGCTTCCATTATCAAATTGATTCGGTTCTGAGGATCATGGTAATGCAATGTAATGAGTCACATGATCTGGTGATGGTGGCGTCGTATTCGAAGCGCGTCTCGGTGGGGCCCGCGTCCCCCCCACCCCCCGGTAGCCTTGGCCGTTGGGTTACCTGATGGGCCAGCTTAAAACACAGACAACAAACATCATTAGGATCCGTACTGTCGAGAAACCGAGAGAATTGTATGCCCTGAATTACCCAATTCTGATGGCGCAGCTGTGGGACCTAGGTTCCCAGACGTCTTAATGACTCGCAACAACCTTCCCGAGAATATCGCTTGGTTACTGGCGAATCTCGCATTGTCAACACCAAACGCGCCCTTGCTTCCCGCCGCTCGCGATCTTCCCGGAGACCTTTCCGCACCTGAGACCCTCCCAAATTTTCTAGCACCCCCGCTGCCGAATACGAGAAACCTCGGATTCCTGCCTGGCTCTTCTCCCTTGGTTCCCTCGACAAAGCAGACATCTCGACCATCCGCATCTCATGTACCGGCAGCCACAATCTCGAAGCAGTCGCAGGAGGATCTGGACGAGGAGGGAATAACAGAGCCTGAGGATACCATGGGACGATTGGTGCCGAGTTCGACCCGGAAGAGACGCTCCTTACTGTTGCAACAAGAGCAGTCGCAAGATCAACTACTAACGCCTGCTTCGACTACCGGGGTCGGCAGGCTCCAGAGAGCGTACTCGAATTCCCTCAGGACACCGAAAGCAGCCAACACCCCGGCCCCGCAGAGACAGACCCCAGCGTCGAAGCCACGGACGCCCGCTCTCACAAATGACGACAACTGCGAAACAGTAGACCTGACGGGGTCGGACGATTTCACCTCTTCCGACTCCAATGGATTTGCTTTTGGAGACGACGTGCGATTGTGGACGGAAGATCACGCAAGCCGCCCCGAACCAGCTGCCGAGGCTCGAGGCAGGAAGCGAAAGAGTGATGATATCAGTCAAGTCCTGGACACTCAAGTGGATCCCTTTGAAGATGACTTTCCCGATATCGATGATTTTATAGGAGATACGTCGACCGAGTCAGTCATCCGTGTTACTCCAAACTCTTCAAGAAAACGGAATTCGAAGTCCAATACCAGCCCGGAGCATGCAATTTCTCATTTTGGGGGGAGTCAAGGAGCTAGCCAATTGACGATACGGGATATGCCCTCAAAAAGAGATGTTGGAAGAAACCAGAGTGCCAAAACATCGCCGGCAATAGCACCCTTCAAGCGTCATGTTTCCGGAGTATCGCCACCCCCGGTAAAGCGAACTCCAAGTCCAGTAAAGCGAGGGTCTCCGATGAAAGTGGCGGACGACCATCTCAGCCCGCAGCCCGAGGGCCAGCTTCCTCGGAAGTCGCGGCGTAACAGTCAAGTGATACAAGATTCCGACGACGAATGGGCTACTCCACCGACACACAACGTTTCGATTATGACTGTGCACTCGACTAGTAGCCAGAGCCGCATTAGAGGGGGCCCTCACGATTTACCACATCATAGTGAGCGTGAAAAGTCGCCTGCCATTATCGCTTTTGACACACCATCAAGGCGGCGTCACGGTGATTCGCAAATAATCAACCCCCCCTCGTCGCCACCGAAGCAAACATCGCCAAGGAAGCAACCAAGTCAGACCGGGTTACCAGTTGCCAATATCGAGCTATCTGATGATTCGCTAATGATCAATGTTCAACCCCTGATATCAAGCCAACCAGGTCCTTTGCCGGGTGATGATGTACAGACAGCCATTCTGAAGCTCTTCCTTGCCAAACCTTCAACACTGCAGAGGAACCGGGCCCTCGTGGAGGACAAGTTAAGGCAAAATCGAGATGATTTCCGTGCCGCGTTGACAGGCGGGCAACTAGGACAAACCAATATTCTGAAACGCGACAAAGAGCGTTTGACTCGACAACTTGCTGCTCTGAATGCTCTTGCTGACGAGCACCAAATATATGAAGACCTGGTCCTTGAGAAAGACGTGCTCGTTGAGAAGATCATGGGGTTTTATGAGCAAAACGAAGACACCGAAAGTCTGGACGAGAGAATGGAAGCGTTGGTGAAAGAGATCAAGGGTCAGGAGTCATTGATGATCTCATCCCTTCTCAAGGCAGGTCTCAACGATGTCGCCATGTTCGAAGACCGGGAGCCATCACGTAGCAGTCGTCATGACTCCGTGGTACAGGCTACCCAGCCGAGCTGGAATCAGTCCCACTCACGGTTATCAGGAGAGCCTGCATCACTTCCTGGAGGTAACACTCAACTCATCATGCAGACCCAGGTTCTTCGACGCCGAGAAGCTCCTATAACAGCTTTCCACGCCCTCGACGATGCCCCTGATTCTCGGTACGTTGAGAGGGAAAAGTCACGAGCAATATCTCCAATATCCAGGCCAGCGGCTGGCAGAACATACCAGGAACCTTCGAGGGCAACGATGATACCTGCGCAGACTATGTCAGCTCATTCTATGGACGAAGAGCTGTATGATCTCGATGATGAGGACGAGCTTTTCGGCGATACCCCATCTTACGAGATGTCTTTTCCAAACCGGCAACACATAGAGGAAATCACTGGCACAAGGAACAGAAAAAACACGGCAAAAACACCTGCGAAGCGCAACGAAACGTTCATGAGCGAGGATGAGTTCGACGATGATGTGGATATGTTAGAGCTTGCCGAGGACTTTGAACACAAGCAATCTTCTGCCGAGACTGACACACGTCTAAATGCCCGATCGGTTTTCTCAGAGACTTCTGGCAATGCTGGTGCTTCCAAGCAGAAAACGGTCAAGAGGGTTGCAAGCACGTTGGCCAAGACTTCTTTCCCACCGGAACTCATGAAATACCCGTGGTCACAGGACGTCAAAAAAGCTTTGAAAGAACGATTCAGGATGGCCGGTTTCCGACACAATCAGTTGGAGGCTATCAACACCACCCTCGCGGGCAAGGACGCGTTTGTTCTCATGCCGACTGGCGGAGGCAAATCCCTTTGCTACCAATTGCCAGCCGTTGTTAAGAGCGGACGGACCCACGGCATCACCATCGTCGTATCTCCGTTGATCAGCTTGATGCAAGATCAGGTAGACCACCTCAAATACTTGAACATCCAAGCTCGTTCCTTTAATGGCGAATGCAAACCAGAATATCGCATGAAAACTCTGGAAACCCTCAAGGCTCCTAATGCGGATCAGTTTCTCGATCTTCTTTATGTCACTCCGGAGATGATCAATAAGAGCTCGGCATTTCGCAATGCTCTTAAGATGCTTCACCGACACAAGAAGCTGGCACGGCTTGTCATTGATGAGGCCCACTGCGTGAGTCAGTGGGGTCATGACTTTCGACCGGACTACAAAGAGTTAGGTGGATTTCGTCGTGAATTTCCGAATGTTCCTGTCATGGCATTGACTGCAACAGCAACTCTCAATGTCATCGTTGACATCCAGCACAATCTGGGTATCGACCAGTGTCAAGTCTTCTCGCAAAGCTTCAACCGGCCTAATCTGTACTATGAGGTCCGGCGGAAAGAGAAGGGCACAGTAGATCTTATTGCAGAGTTGATCAACAGCAAATATTCTGGACAGACCGGAATCGTCTATACGCTCTCACGAAAGAACGCAGAGTCCACAGCGCAGAAGCTCCAGGCTCATGGCATCGCTGCGCACCACTACCATGCCGGAATAGAGGCAGTTTTGAAAGCACAGATCCAAAAAGATTGGCAAAGTAACAAGATCAAAGTAGTCGTCGCAACAATCGCATTCGGTATGGGGATCGACAAGCCTGATGTTCGATTCGTCATTCACCAGACCCTGCCAAAAAGTCTCGAAGGGTACTATCAGGAGACCGGACGTGCCGGGCGTGATGGTCAGGCGTCCGAATGCTACCTCTTTTATAACTATGCCGACGTAACCCAGCTGCGAAAGATGATTGCCGAAGGTGAAGGGAATGAAGAGCAAAAAGATCGCCAACGGAATATGTTAAGAACGGTTACTGGCTTTGCCGAGAGCCAGAGTGATTGCAGGCGCGTTGAAATTCTTCGCTATTTTGGCGAGAGCTTTAATAAGGCGGAGTGTAACTCAACATGCGACAACTGCAAGAACAATGGTGTCTTCGAAATGAAAGACTACACGGAGATTGCGATGGCCGTGCTAGAAGTCGTGAAACGGCAGAAAAAGCTGACACTGAATCAGTGCAGTGAAATCCTACTTGGGTTGCAACAGAAGAAGAACTATGCCGCCATGAATGAGGATACGATGGAGTATTTTGGGTTTGCGAAGAAGATGCCGAAGCATGAGATACACAGGGTCATTGATAGGCTCGCAGCTGAGGAGGCACTTTTTGAGGAGAACGTATTCAACAGGCAGGTCAAGATGGCCTTCCAGTACTTCTTTGTAAGTGGCTTGTAGATCTTCTTTTTCCTCAGTGGCGGCGTACTAATGCAGTCGCAGCTCGGTCCCAACGCAAATTCCTTCCTCCGCCAGCGACGGAAGCTTATGTTGACCGTCCAGGTTAAGAGTGGTGATAGTCGGATTAAAGCTTCTAAGCCCAAGACGAAAGCGGCCAAGGCGGACAAACAGGCCAAGTTGCCTCCTTCCATGTTGCCCCCTTCTACCAACGTGTCGTCTCCGATGACGAAGACCAAAAGACAGAATGGCAAAGGAAAAGCTGCCGTTGCCTATGACGAGGATAGTGACGAGGAGGATTATGAGATGCACGACAACGGTTACGCTAAGGATGATTTCGTGGTCGACGATGACGACTTTGACGAGGATTTTGAAGAAATGCCAGTTTCCCGCCGGAAACGGCATAGGGAGCCTGCCGGTCCTCCGATTGTCGATGATGCTGGGTTATCCTCTTTGAACGAAGTTCATAGAGATATGATCAGGTCATTTGAACAGGATGCAGTAGTCATGGCTGCAGAGATTCAAAATCACAATAACCTTCGCAAAGCCATATTTACACGACAACAGCTCCGAGCCATGGCTGCTGCTTGGACGCTGACTTTGGATGACATGGATGCGATACCTGGTATTGATCAGGTCAAGGTCAAAACATATGGCAAGCAATTCCTGCCGAAGCTCAAAGAATACCATGCGCAGTACACAGACATGTTCGGTCAGGCTACCGGCACTTCTGCTCAAGGCATCAACCGGCGTGCCTCGCAACGAAGTGTTGTTGATCTTGTGTCGGATGATGATGACGGTGATGAAATGAATGATGCTGGGGATGACGACGAAGGAGAAGACGGCGAAGAATCGCATTTCTTCCATGGCCGCGGCGGTGGCAGCACATACCGACAACCAGCCGACGTGCAGCGCTGGAATGCAGAGATGGATAACTTGGAGAAGAACCAGCCGGCAACTTCATCGCGCGCGCGGTCAATATCCTCGTCGAAAGGAGGCTCAAGCCACTTCACGAGGGGTGGCCGGAAAGGCCATCGCAAAACGTCCGGCGCGTCTAGCAGCCAGCGAGGTAGAGCAGGCGCTGGGGTGAGGAAGAAGGCTCCGACCAAGAGAGCCTCGACGGGATCCGCACGCTCCACGTCGAGTGCGATCGGGTCTGCCTCCTCGCGAGGAGGCAGGGGGAGTAATCGGAGTGCGGGTGGCAGGCAGGCAACACTGGATATGCCCATGATTCCTACGATGGGTTATTATTAGTATGAGACGGCTATACATGGCTGTAGGAAATGATCAACAAGTACGGGAGGAAAAATTAGACCTTTTTCTTTTGATTGAACGATTTGCGCCAAAAGAGCGGGCAAAAACTTTATGAGCAGGGACGAAGTCGAAATGGAGCTTGCATCTTCGCATTGCATGATACGGCATGGCATACGGCGTATCGGTCGGTTCTCTTGATAAATATATAATTAGATACGAGGTCACGGATCTGTCTCTCTACTCTTTTCGCTTCTTCTTCTTCTTCTTCTTCTTCTTCTTCTTCTTCATATTCTTCTGGGATGTAGGCAGCAAAGGTGCGATATACCAGTGCCTGCGGGCCTCGGAGTAAATGGTCAAGACTGTGTACAAAACTCGGATTGCAAAAATGATCGTCTCAACGTTTTAACGTTAGTCCTGCATGGTTGAACACCGCGGGATTTCATAGAGTCCACAAACGCGTGAACGACGAGTCACGAGACGGCATATGCTGGTATTACAACGAACAATGGCACGTATGCCACGGGCAAGATAACATAGTGCATACGTGATGGCGGGTAGACCCCATCTTATATTCACAAACTCTTCTGTCCTTTGCCACTGGCCCAGATGCCACCGTATCTTACAATTCTCCTAGAGGACCAGTACTATTTCCCATCTACAAATCCAGGTATCAAAATACAGGTATATCTGTTTATGCAACATAAGAGGCGACCCTGTCAGTCTCGAGAAGAAGAAAAAAGGTAATTGGCACCCCCTATAAACGCCAGGTGCCGCCGCTAGCCATGCAGCATATTACGCCCCGGGTGCAAAGAAAATAGCACCAACAAGAAAAGAACAAAACAAGGTTGAAAATTGGCTAATATCTGCCAGTATCATTCTCGGGTATCACTAGAAATACTTTGACTCTATCTTATGAAGTCGTTGGTATATGAACAGTCGTCAGCGAGTCAATTGTGTCCCGAATTCGGAATGACAGGTCTAATTGCTATCCAAACTCGAAGGAGCCGCTTATGGACGCCTAGAATCGCCATCGCGGCTTGTTGTCATCTGAAGAACCTCTGCTCATTGTGCGCATAGCTGTACGTGCCCCGGCTAGTGCTTGGGGGCTATGGCGTCCTGTGACTGTGTCGGCCTTTCCCTTAGGTTGTGGCAACATGCTCGTCCGCCTCGAAGTGGTCATAGAACTAGCAGGCCGCCTAGCCGGATCCTGGGCTTGGCTTCTCGGCGGTTGTAGGGAAGTCCGGCGGCTGTTGATATTCAACGCAGACATGGATGCCTGAGATGCCAGCTTTGGTTTAGCCAAGGCATGTTGCGCGTACGGCACGGGCGATGAGACACGATCACGGAATGACAGTCGAGAGGCGCTGAGCCTTGAAGGCGTTTCTTCCGGCATCGGTGATGTGGTGCCTGCGCGGCTGAGTGGACTTCGCAGAACGGGCAGCTTAGAGGCCTGTGAGTTGGGCGTCAGTGACGATGGAGTTGGGCTTCTCTTGGCATATGGGCTAGGTGTGGTCAAGCTCAAGGGTTTGAAATTATGCCCCGTGTCGCTATGAACAGTGTTGACAGAGTGATTCCAACGGGGGCGGTTGTCTGCCAAGCTCGATGTTGACCGAGGTATGTGGTTGCCAACAGGCGTGATGGTATTACGCGCCAGCGTTGAAGCGTTCGAAGGACTTGACAGAGTTGAAACCCGCGGGCCCAGTGGCTTTCGTGCGATCTGAGACCCAGGGGGCGCCAGAGTGCGTCGAGAAGAGGAGGGCTGAGGTAGGTGACTGCCGCCGCTGGCAGACCGGGGCTTCTTGGCCAGCGGGGTGACGGGGTCCAGCCCTAGACTTGACATGATAACAGACGAAGGAGGCGAGCTACCTGGTGTTTCATGGCCGCTGGCAACTGTAGATCTGTCGTTCGAGAGCATGCTGGAGATGGAATCTCGTAGGGTTTGGCCTCTCTTGTCTGCCTGCACCTCCTCCAACGCTAAGTCGAGGTCTCGCATTTGTCGTTTTACGTGGTCCCAGTTAGACTGCGTCTCGGTATGCAATCTGAGGATCTCGCCATTCACAGTGAGTCGATCCTTGACCCCCTTGTCGATGATTGAGAGTACCCGCTCTATGGCAGGTCCGTAGTGTGTCTTCTTTGCTTCGTAACTCTCAATCTTCTTGATCAACGCAGCTGGGTTGGTGAGGTGCATTCCTGAATCAACAGCCTCACGTAATTTGCTTACGCTGCGCTCGACGGATTCCGTCATCTTTTGTGCCTGGCGGCCGGCACCACGGAAGACCAATACCCACTTGTCCTCACCAAGCTCTTTCCTCAACGACTCCGCATCCTTTTCGAGTTTCTTGTAGCTCTCCTCAAGGGACGTTCGCCTGTCCACCAGCTCCTCACAAGCTGAGGGGAACACCGGCTCGGCCCTGGCCTCAAACATGGAGAGTCGCATTGGTAGGAAATCTAATGAGGCCTTGAGCGGCTGCATCCTCGCGAACAATGCTAACAGACTCGAGTCATCATGGGTCAAAACAGGGCCAGCCCCAGCCGGAGACACTGGACTCAGAGGAAAAGCTGGCATGCTCATGCGGTTGTTGCGTGCATCGATAGGCGGCGTTTCTTCCACGATCGTTTCTAGATCACCAATGTCGACTCCATCTCCGTTCGCAACAGCCATCAGTGATTTGTGCCTTCGTTCTTCCATCTCGAACACGAGTCTGCAGAGATCGTCCATTTCATTCTGAACCTCGCCGAGCACACTATTCCACAGTTCTTCCCACTCCATGGCAATCTCAATCTGAGCCTTTGCGACTTTCAATGCCTGGCGGATCTTTGCCCATTCGGCCAGGATGGACTCCATCTGAGTGACTGCACGTTGTAGGTCATCGCTTGTTACGCTGGCAATGTCATTGCGGCCCTGAAGCTCCTCTATAGCGCCAACATAAACATTGATGAGTTGTTCGAATCGCGCGACAAGATTCTCGACCTCCTCATAACCTTCCCTACCACCAGCGGCGGCCCATTCAATGTCGCCATCGCTGTCCAGACCTCCAATAACCTCTGTTGCCTTGTAGATCCACATGCGTATTTGCTCGGCTGCGTTTATCAGAGCTTTTGCGGCAGATTGAGCAGTCGGTATTGCAGAGATCTTGCCAGACAGTGTCCCAGCATCCGGCAGTTGGAGGGCAGTCAACTGAGCGAGTTGATTCGCGAAGGAGAGCCTCGAGATTGTGTAGATGGAACCAGGCCGTTGTAACCCCAGAGGGTTGAAGTAGGACTCGGCATCGGGATTGAACTCGTTGGAAGCAGTGCCCCCAGGCGGCGTGTCTTTTGGCAAAGGTGGCGGCGGCGTTAGGTTCTCCTGGTCTTGCAGGCTCAGGCTCAGGCTCCGTGTGTCGCGCTCTATATGCTCCCGGCGTGTGTCTGATAAGGCCTTGGTGCCATTGCCGTTTGTGTGGTCGGGAAGTCGGTACTTGTTTGTGTCCATTTCCAGGGGCGGCACAGGGGGGATCTCAGGAAGATGAAGCTCAGGCCCGGGCTTTCTGAGCGAGCTCGGGCTTCCCGAGTAGGCAGTGTTCTCTTCCACCTCCAAGATATCGTCTTCCACTCGCCCCCGCGATCTTAGACTGCTGCGACTGGACCTGGACCTCAGCAATTGCAGAGGGGCGCCAGCACCCTTCCAAGCGCGACCGCGCCGTTCAACGGTCTCCTGCAGGCTGTTGGCTTGGTGCTTTTCGTCAATGGAACGTAACTGGTCTTCGGGCAGGCGGCCGATGCGGTCGTTGGTGTAGATTGTGGGAGCGGAGGATTGTCTTGTGGTTCCGCCAAAGCCTAGAGCTTTAAGACGCGCCGCCAGGCCAGGGGAAGGTCTGCGCGACTTGTGGCCGGAAGTTGGACGGACGGGGGGCAACACTACGGAGTGGTTGCTATCTGGAGAACTGTCAAGATGCCGGTGGTGTGGTTCAAGAGGGTCGAGTTGGCTAAGGTCGCTCGGTACGTCAGAAAAGGTCAGGATTTCGGGCGGTGGTGGAACTGGGTCGACATGGTGCTGATCTGTCACTTTTAGGCGCGGTCCCTGTCCCGGAGAGGTAGGAGTAATAGGATCGGTTAAAGTATCTAGAGGTGGTTGAGCTGCAGCAGCCGGGTCTGCGATGTAAGCTGTCGAGGTCATTTATTTTGATCTTGCTACGGCTGGTATCACCTTGCTTGCTTGCTCGCTCGAACCGGTTGGCGATCTGAGGAATCAGCAGGGTAGCCTTATCTTTTTCTTTCCTTTCCTTTTTTTGGGGAGTTTTTTCCCCTTCGCCCTCTTTGTCCCCAGGCTAGGTCCTTGGACGAATGGGTGTGGTCACTGGGCAGCAGTTCCTAATTGATCTCCTTATTGCCAGGTAGCTCGCAAGGCAGGCTGTAGGGTATGTAGCGTCTGTTGCGGTGGGGATTGGACGTATGGGGGGGTTGTCAACATGCAACTGCAGTCCAATCTTTAACTGGGACCCTGCAGTGCAAGTGGTAGACAAGAGCACTAGCTCTCGGGTCTACATAGGTACCCGACGGGGTTACTGGCAAGGCGATTGGGATTGGGGTTGGGATTCAATGGACCTATGGCAGATGAGGGCTGTAGTGGTCCGGGCACTCCTGACAACATGCAGCCCCAGGGAAGATGTGAGAGGTGAGAGGCGAGAGGCGAGAGGTAAAAGGTAAGAGGTAACAAGGAATTGCGAAAGTCACGGGCAAGACGGTGTGTTCGTTTCATCTGCCTTATCCTTCCTTAACTTACTTGGTATTATATCTAATTTAATTTTTTGGGGAGGGCCCGGTCCGCGCTTCTTAGGCTAGCGTAATTCAGTGCCGTCATTTTTCTTTCTAGCCGTCGGCTCAGGCGCGACTTGCGACGCGTTTTAAAGCCAGCCTGTATCCGGGACCCCGTACCTGTATCTACAGAATATCCATCCCTCCGAGATAGGGTACCCCACAGTTTGCCTCGCTCCTGTTACTTTTACTTCCACAGCAGATACGTCCTCGACGAGGTCAGCTCTGTGTACAATACATGTCTTCCACAGGTGGGGGCAGCCACACCCGATGATGACGATGATCTAGGATGATCTAGGAACGAACTACATCTCGAACGACAAATGTTGCTCACGTTGTGGCATCTCTCTTATTTGTGTATTAGCTAGCAAGATGGTCAAGCCGAGTACTGGCCAATCACTCTAGACTACCATCCAGGCGTACCAAGGAAGAGAGAGGGAGGGAGGGAGGGAGGGAGGGAGGGAGAGACAGAGACAGAAAGAAAGCCATTTCACAATTTCTGGATACACCACAAACTAAAGGGGCTTAAGTATGTTTGTCGTCAATGTTAAGCCATGTCCCTTTCTAGGGACTGCTTGATCTTGTTCACGAGACTGGTTTACATTTGTTTGCCAAGCCTTGGCGGATTCTCGACCAAGGAGCATCTAATGGAGTGTCATTCACATGTCCATCCAAACAGCTTTCATTCCAATACTTCAGAGACGAGAGACTACAAAAGTATACCCAGTCTGAAAAAGCACAACCTACGAGAGTTGATTCAGATCTCCCTTTGTCAATATCTTCCCAGCCTCCCACAGCAGCCATAGGCAGCTTCCGTTGCCAATCCACCAGAATACGCCCCGGCTGACAGCCCACAGGTTTTTTTCAATCAATATGTAGGAGACAGCGTAGGCAACCCGTGCAGCCGTGTAGATGAGACCCGCGCGGTTCACATATTCGGCTTTAACGCCAGCAAAGGTCGCGAAGCCCATAGCGCCAACGAACAGAGTGTAGTTCTCGACCGAGTTGGCGTGCGCTCCCTCATTGCGCTTCAGCATGTTGAGCTGCCTCTGAGTGATCTTCCCCGACTTGACGGCCGCATCGCCGTATTTGACCAGGTCCTCACGTGGTGATGCCTGATGATCGATGCCGTAGATCTGCTTGAGATTGCGGGATGCCACTGGGCGCTGAAGTTAGTGGTGCCTGTTAGAGAGCCTGGAAAGTTATAGTTGCTGGCTGCTTAATTTGGGCGAGCAGTGGACATGGCAGTGTGATCGGGGCCTAGATGGGCAGGAAGGGTATTCGGAAACTACATACGGATACAGTATGCGTAGACAAAGTGGAAGCCAAGGTATGCTGGTGCGTAATTGGGCGTCAGGCCATCTATAGGCACGGCACGGAGGCCGAGATGGGTCGCGAGAAATGCCATCAGTGAGGTCTAATATCACTTGAATCGGTCAAAAGTCGTCATCGGCTCTACTGATGGAAGCATGAAGATTAGATTATAATTACATGACCGAGTTACCGAGATGGACAAATATAGTCTCGACTGTGCCGTAGACGCTAGACTCTACAGGGGATTCCTAGGCGATGCTAATGACATGATACACCGAACAAGATCGGAGGCTGACATTCCAACAGAGGCATGCATATAGTTGCTTGTAAGACCGGCCAGTGGTTATACCGACCCCCGTTCATGCCCAGATCCAAGCAGTCATGGCCCCCGGATATTCGGTTGGTCCAGCGAAAAGTACGGACTTGCTAATCCGGCTACCAAGATGATGCCTCATGCGCAGCCTGCTCTTTTTGAACTACGCTACAGAGCTGTCGGAACTGCTGGGATAATTTGCCCATCAGCCGCGTGTTGGTGGCCTGATCAGGGATCAGCAGGTTAATACATTAGCTCTAGCATCTGGGGCTTTCCCACTGTTGCAAAGGCAGGACTTGCCTTTGAGCTATGGACAAGCAATGGCTAAAACTGAATCATGCAATTATTTTGCGATTATACTCGGGCGCAATCTGGCGTTGAAGCGTTTTGTGCTGGTCGTACAACTGCGATATGTGAATCAGAGGGCACAGCTGACTACACATAGCAGCAGTAGTGAATTGCTTGTTGCTTTTCGGGAGCTTCGACCACGGAGTGCCCTGCCGCTGCGTCTGCATGTGCTAGCGGACCCAATCTAAACTTTGCCAGTGGTTCCTCGTGCACGGATCTGGTGTTCATGGTTGGTCGTATAAGGTAGATATCGAAACAAACGTTCACCAGTGCATTGCTTAGGGAAAACTGTTTGTCGGTTCTTGGTCTTTACTCTACTCAACAAGTCAGTGGTGTAGCCGGTCTACAGAATGGAAGCTTCAATGAGCAGCGTTGGGATGCAGTTGACTGACTACATAATCATAATGAATTGGCTTCTAGAAGCTGTAACCTAGTTCACCCCGGGCTGATGCGGGGGTGCTATCATTAGTACTTCCGAGATTAACTTACTGGGGCCAGCAGGAACAAAACACTAAGGTTAGACTACTTACTACTGTATGCTACCAACAGTCGACTTTCTCAGTTAGTTGACTTTTGCTTCCATGTGCAGCTATGATTTCACCATAAGGAGCTTGCATGCCCCCGCCGGAGGACAAAGTTGCTTCCGTCAGACATGGTACCTACTTTGGGAGTTATTGGCGATAGTGTCAAGTTGATTGCACTCCACCTTCCCGTGAACAGCTTTACTGGGGCTGGAATGCCGTGCAATCTTGTTGCCGGGCCAGTTGTTTCCAAACACAACGAATGGACCTACGAGTTACATCATCTACCAAGTAAGTGCCTGTGACAGTTGTTCTGTGAAGGACAGGCAAGTTCTGGCCTTTTCCTGTCCACTAAAATGTGGTCCTTGTCTCCGTCAAACACACACACACACATGGATTCAGGAACCCAAAGAATCCATTGATTTGATCCTACCTTCCAGACCACTGGGTTCCTTTCGTTTCGTTGGATTCAATTTCAGCGATTCGCTTGGATCAGGGTCAAAAGAGCTGACCAGTGCCATTTTCACGCGTCTCCACCCAATCGGGAAGACGCGAATAACTGCTTTAGATCCTTGCCAGTACAAACCCCCAGGCCCCTAAATACCTAATTTATTAGGTACGGATACAGTAGTCGAGATTCATCCAGAACTGGATCACTTGCACAGACTTCCGGGCGCCGCTCTTTCACCACTTCAGCAGGCGAGCTTTGTAATCCCAGGCCAAAACTGCTGAGCAGTCCAGTCGTTGTCAATAACTAACCCGCTCCACATCGCCTTGCGCAACCTTCGTTCTTCCTTGTAAATACTTGGCTTCTGCTTCTCGAGTAAACATAATCCCCCAGCTACTAACCCGCGCAAACCCGACCTTCGAAACGAGCCGTGCCGAACCGTCCATCACATCGAGCTCCGAGCCGCCAGCCACCACAAGACTGTCCCTCGCCTTGCACATCCCGCCTTCCTTGATTGCTCCAAGTTGAACGAAATGGCTTCAGACGCCACCTACGACGCGCGCCCAACTGTCCGTCGTGACTCGCCCTCGCCAGACACAGCTCCCTCTGAAGCCGTTGGAGCTCAGAGCCTGAGAGTGGGCCGGTGTGTATCCACAGCCTCAACCAACTCTCGTGGATCCAGTGCAGATGGCTCGTACAGAGACTCGTTGAGCAGCGGCGCCTACTCTCGGCAGTCATCAGCCAGCTATTCCAGGCGGTCGGATGTAAGCTTTGCGTCTTCTCGCAATTCGACAGCAAGCTTCATGGGAGATAGGCCGTCGAAGAGACGAGGGTATACAAGGCCAGAAGGCACAGACTTCGCAGCCAGTGCTAAACAAAGGGAAAGTGTTCTGAGTTTGGGAAGCATCACACATCTGCAGCACTTCTTTGCTAGAACCGGATTGCTGGATGGGAAAGGCGGCCAACTCGCGAGAAAAAGGAACCCGAGGGCAACCATAGACTTCTCCCAACTGGACCTGCCGACCATCCTCACGCCCAACGGATCTGGGGAAAATTTCGACTCCTCGTACGCAGATTTCGGAGCACAGCAGGAGCACCTGGTTGAATCGCCAATCGACGAGCATGATGGGTTCTACGATGATGAATATGACGAGCCAGACCCCAATATACTTCCGCCCACAACAAGCACATACAAGCACAGAAGGGTTGTTTCGAAGCCGCCGACCATCGCCAAGCTCAAGGCTGACCTCGTGGCGTCACTGGATTCCGCAGCAAGGGTATTGAAGGAGGCAATACTGGCACAGGCTGCTGCTAATGATGCGTCCCATACGACGCCGGATCGCTTACCCGGGCCAGGTCAGGGCTGGTATGAAATCCAAGGAATGCAAATTCTGGACGTCATGACGTTGGCGATCCGCGCTGCAAAGGTGTACTATACGTCTCATGAACACCCAGAACGCCTTGACGCTATAAAGTCGGAGAAAGCGATAAGGTATGATCTGCTGGCTGTCATGGAGGTTCTCAAGCACATGGCCACGCGGAACTTTGCAGGGGGCATGCGCGAGGACGAGCACGAGACGATGCATGCCTGGGTCGAGAGCATATATACGATGCTGAGGAAAGAGCAAGAGATGGAGGAGGCAGACCGGGCAGAAAGAGCCGGGTGGACGTGGCTCAAAGGCAATTGGAGCGGCCGGGAGATTGAGCGCGAGATTGCCTTCTTGACTTCAATAGACACCGAGGCCGAGCCACTGCCGGTATACACTCGTATTGACCCGAACGGTGTGGTTCCAACGCCATTCCTCGAAAGCTTGCAAAACGGCATACGGCTGGTCAAGCTGCACAATGCAGCAGTCAGGAAATCGAGGCGACGGTTTGGGGCTATCGGAACGTTCCACACGGATACGCAGAAGCCGTACAGATGCGCCGAGAACCTGCGCTACTGGAACAAGGCGGCCGAGCTGCGGTGGGAGGTTGTTTTCAAGGTGGATGTGCTAGGGATCGTTTACAACAGTAATACCCAAGTCTGGATTGACTTTGAAGAAGCACTTTGGAAGTGGTGCCGCAAGGTGCGCGAGGAGATCGCGGCAGAACTGGAGAACGACAGCCTCGGTGGTTAAAGGTTTGTTCTGTTGGCTTGATATGCCCAGTGGGGTGAGGGTGTTCGGGGAGGAGTTTATTTGCATTTGGCATTCACAGCATTTTCGAGCAAATGGTGGCCAAGACACGAGGAAGAAGGCAGAGATCGAGGTCTTTGGTCGGGGTCTTTGGTCGGGTCGGCTGATGCATTCGTACCGCATTGCATACTATTTGATGCAATCATATACCCAAGAGCATGATACCTGATTAGCTGGCATTATTTATTATCTTCCTTTCGTTCTCCGCCCTTCAGGGAGCCTTTTTAATGAACAATACAATACGAGTGGTAGTCTCGAATTACTTTGGCTTGTGCCCGTATTCCCTGAGAGTGAGCAACTGAAAGGATAAGACAGAGCAGAGAGATGGGGTTGTGGATGAAAGCTCTTGGTCCTGCTGGGCGCGTACGCTATAATTACTCTGGTACATATAATCCGTACGTCGTCCTGGCCCTGGGGGGGGGGGCATGATTAGTTAAGGTAACCGTAGATGATTGGTCCAAGCTCCCCAAGCATAGCTACAGCAGTAGGCAAGGCACAAGGCAGAACCGTGACGACTGCCGCAAGGAGCTGAGCTAACAATACCATCCGCTACCAGCACCAGTGCCATTTCATACCATATTACATACACGGCCCAAGCCTGAGTAGGTAGACAAGCTACATACGCCCGCGTCTCCGTCGACGTCGCACCCTCAGCCTTCCCTCCAATTCCCCCCGTCGCCTTCAAACCACTTGACTTCCCACCCCAAACATCGACACATCCTTGGCTCATTCAGCAATCGACTCTCTCCCAAGCACGAAACTCAGCACCAGCTTCGCTTGCCTAATATCACAGCAAGCGCCAAGATGGATCACCGACCGCAACAATGGGGCCGTGTAAGCACAAGCATTCGCATTCCTCCAGAGCAGTTCTGTCGCCGTACCACCCAGCTAGTAGCTAATCAGATCATGTCACACCCTCACAGCCCAGAGATGATGTCTATGGTTCCTACGATGCCTCATACATGCGACCCAACGGTCCGACCACACATACCCAGTCTCCCGTCGTTACCGGAACATCAGTAGTAGCACTCAAGTTCAAGGACGGCGTGGTCATCGCCGCCGACAACCTAGGTACCGACTTCCCCCCCTCCTCCTCCTCCCCCGCCATGTCCTTGCGGTTTGCTGACCTGCCTGCCTTCTCCCAGCCTCCTACGGCTCGCTAGCTCGTTTCCCCGATGTCAAGCGCCTGCGCACCTTCGCCTCCAGCACCGTTGTCGGCTTTGGCGGCGATGTTTCTGACATGCAATACCTCGATCGCCACCTGACCGAGCTCGCCATCGACGAGAACTACAAACAGGACGCCGCCCACACCTTGAACGCTCGAAACCTGCACAAGTACCTCGCCAAGCTGCTCTACCACCGCCGCTCCAAGTTCGACCCCCTCTGGAACAACCTGCTGGTCGCCGGCCTCGACGAGGACGACAAGCCATTCCTCGCCGCCGCCGATCTGCTCGGCACCACCTACACGAGTCCCAGTCTGGCCACGGGCTATGGTGAGATGCTGGGTCAGCCCATCATGCGCAAGTACGCACCAGATGAGGAGAGCGCCGCCAAGTTGACCAAGGAGGAGGCTATCAACATCGTCAAGGAGGTTATGAAGGTTCTCTTCTACAGGGATGCCCGCTCCTTGGACAAATATTCCATGGCGGTTGTCACCAAAGAGGGTGTCGACCTGAAGGAGGACCTCAAGCTGGAGAACCAGAGCTGGGCATTTGCCGACAGGATCAAGGGATACGGCACGCAAACTGTCTAAAGAGCCTGGGCATGTCGTCGGTTAGCCCGGATTAACCGCCCTGTGTTGTATGCCAGTGCACATCGAGCTCATAGACTGCGGATGGCATCACATCAGCGTGGCTTGTACTATTAGAGCGACTGAAACACAGCGAATTTGCGCGATACAACATATACCCTCGGTCGTGAGCGTAGTTTCTAGCGAGCGGCGAAAGGTCACCAGGCTTCATCTATCTCACAATAACATCCTCTCCAAAGGGAGAAATAGCATCAAGGCTACTTTAGACTACAGGCTGCATTTGTTGTGTGTGTGTGTGTGTGTGTATATGTATATGTGTGTCTGTGTGTCTGTGTGTACTGCACATTCTGGGCCACAAATAACCAACAATAATCGTGAAATGGCCATACTGACTTGCACATCTTCACGTGGTGGCTACGTCGAGAATTCTCACTCGCCAGCCTCGGCCTTCAGGTAGGAGTAGCCACGAACCTGTGACGGTCCTACCCAGGGGCGTTCCTTTTCAGTGAACATGTAACTTGGCCACAAAACCTTCGCTCGCCGCAACGACGACGACGACTTGCCACACAACCGGCATCAAATGCGACCACTCCTTGCTCTGGTCGCGAATCGTTCCACGTCATTAGTCCTGCATGGTCCGCTACCGTCACCCTACCATTTGTAATATGCTGTGCGAGGACAAATCATCTCAGGTTTCACCAGTTGGAAAAGTGATGGGTGAGCGATTCATGCCTGTGGGCATGCTGTTTCGAGCTGGGGAGGTCGTTCGTCTGATAGATGTCGTCTGACGAAGCAAGGCGTATGCCAAAGGCTGCCAATCTTGAAGATGCATTCAGCCGATGCTTCCCGTCAACGCAACAGATTGTGTCGATACTTCACACCATGAGATCCAAGAGCTTATTTTCGTTATCAGTTCATTTTATTTTATTCTATGACTGCCTCGGATGCGGCTGCGCATCTCTGTATGGGATATGTCGTAATACAATCATCTGCTCTTTTGGCGGCTTGTGGCCACATGTCCTCCGATCAATTCGTAACTTGCCGCGTCAAAGGGCAATGACGGAAGGTCCATGGCCCAATGGCCAATGCCCACTCCAGTCCATCTCTACGCTGGACTAACGATCAGATACACCAATTGACCGTCGCTGCGTATTACCTCTTTTTTTTAATATTTTTACTGCCAACTCCGGTCGTAATAACCACCAAATGCTAATCATACATTAAATTGCTTACTCGACAGTAACAGACTTGGCCAAGTTGCGAGGGAAATCGACGTTCAAGCCCTCCTGGACAGCCAGCCAGTAGGACATGAGCTGCAGAGGAATGACATTGAGAAGACCCTGCAGACAATCGACAGTCTTGGGGACCTCGATCTTCTCAGCAAGGTTGTTCTTGAACTCCTCGTCGTTAGGGTTGCAGATGACGATAGGCTTGCCGCCACGTGCAGTGACTAGAGGAGAGTTAGCAACGAAACGATCAGGTATAAGCATTTAGAACAATCGAAGACATACCTTGTTGATAGGCGTTGAGCGACTTCTTGAAGAGGTCGTCCCGGGTCAAGATCATGACAATGGGGAGATTCTCGTCGACAAGAGCCAGAACACCGTGCTTGAGCTCACCAGACATGACAGCCTCACAGTGAAGGTAGGAGATTTCCTTGATCTTCAGGGCACCCTCGAGGGCGGTGGAGAACTGGCTGCCACGGCCAAGAAGCAGCAGTGACTTCTGGTTCTTGAAGGTCTGGCAAAGCTCCTTGATTGGCTGGTCAAGCTCCAGGATCTGCGTGATCTGCTCAGAGATCTTGCCAAGACCCTCCATGATCTGGACACGTCTCTGGGCCTTGGACGCACGGTCCTCGCTGAGAGACAGGGCAAACATGACCATGGCGATGAATTGCGACGTGTAGGCCTTGGTGGAGGCTACACCAATTTCGGGGCCAGCATTGACGTGGACACCACAGTGTGTGAGCAGAGAGATGGAGGAGCCAACAACGTTCACGATACCAACAGTAAGGGCACCGCGCTCCAAGCAGTATCGGAGAGCCATCAGGGAGTCGGCAGTCTCGCCAGACTGAGAGACAAACACGCAAGTGTCGTCACGGAATACAGGGGCTTGTCTGTCAAGGAAGTCGGATGCCAGCTCCACAGCGATGGGGATCTCTGCGAGCTCCTCAAAGACACCCCGAACGGCCATACAGGAGTGGTAACTCGTACCGCAGGCAATGAAGATGATGCGACGGCATCTGCGAATTGTCGCAAGGTATGATCGAAGACCACCGAGCGTGACAGTCTTGTTGGCGACGTCGAGACGACCTCTCATGGTGTTGACGACGGACTCGGGCTGCTCGAAAATCTCCTTCTGCATGAAGTGGTCGAACTTGCCCTTCATGATCTGCTGGAGCTCAAGCTCCAAGGTCTGGATAGCTCGGACGTTGGAGCTACCGTCAGCCTTTTTGAGACGGTGAATGTTCAGGGAACCCTCGTGGATGTGGGCAATGTCGTCATCCTCAAGGTACATAACCTTCTTGGTGTGCTCGATAATGGCAGCAGGGTCGGAGGAAAGGAAGAACTCGGCGGGCATGGGCATGCCATCGTCGGTCATGAAAGCACGAGATTGCGAGCGGTGGAGCAGAGACTTGTCAGGGGCAGTCAACATAGCGGCGTTGGGGGTCAAGAAGTTGCCCGAGGTCTTCTTGAGAGCGGCGTTCTGAGAGGCGGCCTCGGCGGGGAGAGCGCCCTCCTCCGAGTACTCGACATCGACGAAATCAACCTTCATGCGCTTCTGGGTCTTGACACCAATAACGAGGGGCGAACCCTTACGGGCAGCGACGACCTCATGGGGGTAGTGGACGGACTTGATGAGCAGACCGTATGCGCCCTCGAGCTCGTTGATGACCGACTTGGCCAAGTCGACAAAGCTGAGGTCGGGGTGTTGATCGTAGATGTACTTGGCGAGCTTTGCAATACACTCGGTGTCGGTCTCTGTCTCGAACTTGAAGCCCTTGGTGGCCAAGAGGGTCTTCAGCTCCTTGTAGTTGGTGATGATACCGTTGTGGACAACAGCAAATTCCCAGTTGGGATCAGATCTGCAAAGCAGATTTGCATTAGCATAGGACACGCCGCGGCGGAGATACCCCGAAAGTGTCTTACCGGTGAGGGTGGCAGTTCATGCGGGAAGGGGGACCATGTGTCGCCCATCTTGTGTGTGCAATACCGGCATGTGAGTCGAAAACCTTGGTCAAATCTGGCTTCTCGTTCTCAATGAGCTCCTTGAGCTTGGCGACCTTTCCGACCTCCTTGAAGGCCAAGACTGTGTTCTTCTTGTCGCCGTCGATGGCCAGACCGGCGGAATCATAACCACGGTACTCGAGACCGGACAGGGCTGTTGAGGAGAATCGTGTTAATGTCAATCGCCTCGAATTGGACAGAACTGGATCTCGTGGTTCTTACCATTCACAAGTGTATCAAGAATGAATTTTCTGTCCTTCTCCACCAGGTAGTTGACGTCTAAAGACAAAAACAAATGTTAGCGATCTGTTGTCTTGGTTGGTCGAGGAGAAAGAATGTGTCGAATTCGACATATTCAAATGCCGGTATCGTATCTGTCTATCGGTGGTACAACTCGAACGAGTTCATGCAGAAAGCAGCATGCCCTCCGAGGTCGGTGACAGCAAGAGACGAATCTATTGTGGCTTTTGAACTTACATCCGAAAATTCTGTGCAGAAATTGAACATTAGCGTCTCGTCTTCAACACGGTCATACTGAAATTGGAGGGGTCCGGTTGCTGTTGCTTCACCGCGACTCAGTTTGCGAGAAGTTCATGCAACACAGCCAGAAGACATGCGCCTTTCCATGCCCATGCCCATGCCCATGCCCATGCTCAGGCTGATGCTCATGCTCAAACCGGCCCAGGTCTTGTTCCGGTCGAGCAGGAAACCAATCCCGGTAAAACAACAGAAGAGAGCCCTCGTGCAACTAAATTGGTTCACTCTGTCTTGACTTACCCACACATCTTGCCGGCGGTCTAGGAGAATAAAGTTCGATTCGGTTGTGGGGGGGTTAGCGATTGGAAGGAGAGATTTCTCAAATTGTTATGTGTCCAATACCTCGATAGAGAAGAGGCAATTAGAGAAAGGAAGCGGGAGTCAAGCGAGCTGAGATGGAAGGCAGAAATGATAAGAACTAAGTTTCCACAAAGCGCAGTTGAATGGGGAGGTTCTTATGGTCTTTTAATGCTCCTCAAGGACCAAGCTAGATCTCGTACTTGGTTACCATGGCGGGGCCGTTAAGTAGCGAAACAAAGGACGAAGGTGGGTGAGGCTTGGCCTTAGCCCCTGAGTATCGCAAAGTACTCCAGGGAGGAGGGTACCCTCCAAATATGCTGGTTGCTGGGTTAGACACGTTGTGAATCGCCAGTTGAGAATTCCATAGCCTTTCGAGTGCTTCACAAATCCAGTCCATCGAATTCCTCTTACAAATCGCTTGAGCACAGTAAGAATCGTTGACGAACTCAGCTGTTGTGAACCCCAATAAATCCCCCCCCCCCTGATTCTTTGTTCAATGCTCATTAACTATACGTCCACTAACTAGGTTAACTAACACTGCAGGTTACCCAATCTTGTTACAACTGCTGCTTCAGAAGGCCATGATCAATTGCCATTCATCTTCAGCAACAAGACATGTTGTTGATGCGGGCAAGTTAACACCAGGGACTCATCCATCAATAGCTTTCGGTTAGATTCGCGTTGCACAATGCCTCGTTTATGCTACAGCTAAGCAGGTTATGTTCCGATGTTCCAACCCGACTGCACCTGTTGAAGTAGGGTTCCAAAACATTAGAGCTTCTATCTTTCCTTTTACAAGTCAAACCACCATATATGCCCGTGACGTGCCAATGGACTACCTGCCGGTACTTGCGATAACGATGAGCTTACAGGGTTCCTGTACAGGCTGGGGTTCTCAGTTGCTCTTCGCTCCATATACATCGTGGCGCTGGCGCAGCTGGGCAGCAAGACAGGGCAGGACCCCGGCCGTACCTACTATGCATGCGGTGGACAGGGATCTATCGTCATCCCATCCGAACATTGTCCAACAAGAGTTACGGATAGCTTCAGACAATATCTCAGAGACGGCCGCTTCGTTCGCGGCTAATATGGCAAAGCCATCCCACGTTTTGCCCTTCATTCTCAGTGAAAGGAATTGCTGACGCCGACAGCCCATGTCCCACCGTATGCGTGCAGTAACATTTTTCTCGGCGATTCATCAACGCTGTTAGCTCAGCCATGGGGGACGAGTTCGAGTGGATATGCCGTTGGCACGAAAACCATCTCAGGTAAGGGTAACTCAAGCAGGTTGCTCCAAATAAAACTCTATCGATAGAATAAGTTCCCATCAGCGCTTCCCCCCGTATTCACACGCTGATCTCACGGGCCATTGCCGGAAGAGCTGAGATCCCCCAACTGTTGCCAGGCGCGCCACGAGCCCTACCTCGTCTACTTACCAGCCATTCTTGGCTCATACGAGGTATGCTGTGGCACCTTCGTGCTAAGCATGGCAATATCTCCGATACGGATCGACCTATACCTTGCCCCTCTGTTTATGCAATCCCGTATTGACGACATATTCGTTGTGCCAATGCCGTGTTCCCTTCCAGTCGGTGCCTTGCTCTAGCGGCGCCTTTCTCGTGACAAAGAGGGATCCATCCAAGGAGATCGCCGAACGATCAGGGTCACCGCTGCGGATTGGATCGCAACAACAATGCAAAATTTCCCAGGTACAGCCTCAAAGAAAGAGGAGTCCACTATGTTCGTTTTGTTGCTAGCACGCTAAGAATAGCACCCCTAGTCCTCTTGGCGCCGACCTGCACCGACATCTGCGTTCTTCGGGAGCAGTTCTGATGTCAGACGGCAAGGATTACATTGGGAATGTCGTCTGTTTCTCCAAACATTTATCGACTTGTTCTCACAAACCTAGATACTGTACTGCAACTCTCGTGGAAGCGCCCGGGGAGATGCCTGTGGACCACCTTTTGACATCTGGGGTTGGTTAACATCCGCAGTCCAGTTAGGGAGGTCTCACCTCTCCATCGCATTGACCCCACCATGAGCTGCTGATGCTACCAAGTCCCCGTCAGCACTTCTGCAGCCAAAACATCAAAGGGTCCAGGGCCAAAAACACCATGGCGGTGGGCTCCGGAGGAAATTTTCCCGTCCAACATCCTTCAGCCTTACGCTTCTGGTTCTAGTATGCGGCGCCGGCGAGATCAAAGCTGATTGAAGAGCATCGCTCGTTAGACAGCCTTATGCCGCTTAGGTCCCGGCGGCACAACGATCAACTGCGGGTTGCCGACCGACATGTCGTTTCAATGAATAGCTTCCGGATGAACTGTTCTTGTTTGATTATGATTGTGGTTTTTTCTAAACTCGTTCATGAGCTGTCCAAGCAAATAGTGTTGGAACGCTTTTCGGTAGTCGTGACACATGAAAGTCCGCAAGTCTCATTATCTTAGAGGTTGACCGCTATTTTTCATCCCGAGCGTTGGAAGACACTATTTGAGTTGTGATGGGGCCCAAACGGACCTAATTATTCGTCAATTCTTACTTATCTTGATGAACGTTGCCGCCCGTCACAAATTCGAAATGACGAGCTAGCGCTCGGCTACTACTCATGTCGTACCTCACCGCTATGTTGGTGATTGGAGTTTGGGTAATGCAACATATCCACATTGTGAACATGGCAAAAGATGTTTAGAGCGTTCGGTCGATAGCTCTTCAATCTAAAAAATAAAATAAAATAAAAATCTTAGAACTCTGACGTACCTAGCTTCTATGAATAAATATCTGTCTTGATCGTTCCAGCCTCACGTCCTCGACTGGCTTCTTGTATGTTTGATCACCATTGCCTTACAGCAGTTGCTGCAACTCTGGGTATGTAGAAAAACTTCCCAATTGGAAAAAAAAAAAAAAAAAAAAAAAAAAAAAAAAAAAAAAAAAAAGAGGCGGCCAATGAAAATAACGATTTCTAGAATGGTTCTCGAGGCTATTCATTTGAAGCCGACGAGATAACTTTCAATACGGAAGATGAAACGAAACCTGTGGCCTGTGATAGAGAAAGCCTCAAGTAAATCTTCTATATGTCTTGTTATCTTACTCATTCTCTCGAACAACAGTCTCAACGAGCAATAGTTGATTCAAGTTGTGGTTACACACTTGGTCACCAACCGTGTGGCCTGTGCGTTGGTTCTAGTACGACCCGCTTTTTCTGACCAGAATAGTATATTCTGGTATAAAGCAACTCTCACAGACATGGTTGATGACAATACACGCAGCTGAAGGACACAGGGTCTTGGAGAATCACGACCATCACATCTCGATTAGTAAACACATGGTGATGCTTGATACTGGATCGTCGTGAAAGCCCCGTGTTCAATTCAAGTGATAATACATGAGGGTCATCGCAATGCAGACTAATAATACATCAAGGTCATCGCAATACAGACTTAGTCATGCTACCCAGTCCGCGCTGTCTAGAATTTGTAATCTAATTTACTCTCTAGCTTTTTACTCTCGGCCAACTTTCTTACTGCCTTGTTGAAGTCATCCTGATTAATCGCGTCACGATAGTCTTTGATGGCGAACAGACCACTATTTTTGTGTTAGCATATGAACGAACTCTGGGACGAGGTTGGACTTGGGTCAAACATACGCTTCTGTCACGATATTTCGTAGATCGGCACCGTTCAAGCCATCACTCATCTTGACCACACTCTCATAGTCGATCTCGCCGTCCGTAACCACGCTTTGTGCATGGATCTTGATAATCTCTAGTCGTCCGACCTCGTTCGGGAGGGGAATCTCGATCTTTCGGTCCAGACGTCCGGCACGCAACAAAGCGGGGTCGAGGGTATCGGGTCTGTTGGTAGCCATGATGATCTTTGTCTTGCCCAAGTAGTCGAAACCATCGAGTTGGTTGAGCAGTTCCATCAGTGTACGTTGAATTTCGCGATCAGCACTAGTGCCCTCGGAGAATCTTCGTCCGCCGATCGCATCAATCTCGTCCATGAAGATGATACAGGGCTCGTGTTCTTTGGCGTAGCCGAACATTTCTCTGATCAGTCTTGCAGACTCTCCGATATATTTGTCTACAATGGCTGACGAGACAACTGGAAGTTGAGGTTCGTGTTAGCCTACTTTCTAGGTCTCGGGAACCGTTGGAAATGAACATACCCTTCAAGAAGTTGGTCTCAAGACTGCTAGCCACCGCTCTTGCCAACAGGGTCTTACCGGTACCCGGGGGACCGTACAACAAGACGCCCTTTGGCGGCTTGATGCCTACTCTGAGGAAGAGCTCTGGGTTCTTGAGGGGCAGCTCGATCACTTCGCGCAACTCTCTGATCTGTTCGTTCAAGCCACCGATACCGGCAAAGCTGACTTGGCCGGGGTCCTCAAGCGACATGTTGTAGACTAGAGGGTCGACTTCTCGCGGCAGCATTCGCATGATGGTGAGTGTAGTCATATCGAGTGCCACACGGGTTCCTTGCTTGAGTTTGGCCTTGTCGACTTTGGATCGGCAACCGACGACATAGCGGGGACCTGAGGACGCCTTGACGATAACTGCGGGTGAATAAGTTTGATGAGCAGTGTGCTCCAGGACGCTGGGGTTTGCTTGACAGGGAGGAATGAAAAATAAGACAACGCACATCTCTCCTCGTCTAACTGCTTCAAGACTTCACCAATGATCTGTCCGACGCTCTGCAGTGCCTTGATGTTGTCCTCGGTGGTGTCGAAGTCCTTGGCCAGTCCCTTGATCTCTAATCGTAGCGCCTTGAGCTTTGCTTCCCATTCCCGCGACTCGATTAGCTTGGCGCGGAGGTTCTGGAGGGCGTGGTCCCTCTCTTGATCGGAAGCCATGGTGTGTGAGGAGGGCTCTGTATAAGGATGTCGTATCCAAATTCCACGTGGTACGTCGAAGATATCTATCCTTGGGTACTTTCCGCCGTGTTGTGGGGTATTTCGTAGATTGTGTTGATGGAAGTGAAGATCGTGACGTTGAAGCTCTAAAGTTGACGAACGGAGCTTTGGTAGGTGAGGCTGGTCCTGAACAGTGCTGATGCAGCTGTCCGTTGCCTGGCTGGGGGCTCTGGCTCGGGCTCTGGCTCTGGTTCTTGCCCGCGCATTGGGTGGGTCGTAGCTGTCTCGTGGCTAATCCAGATCAAGCTTAGTGCCTAAGAGCAACCTTAAACTCACACAGGTGCTCTACTCTGTATCAATTTCAATCCTCCCACGCGTTCCTACATAGATCATAGTGTGTACAAAGTCATAAGAAATATTTATAGTCATCACCTTTGCACCCACACATCAACTTGGCATGAAGAGTAGTCACACACAATCACATCAACATACAAAGCCAGCCGACACCCGCATAGCATCTTGAACTTGGTTATTGGATTCATCTCTCCACCATGGCCTTGGTGGGATATGAGAGCAGCGATGAGGAAGATATTCAGGCGCCGCCTAGCACCGAGGTAAGAACCCAGAGTATGGCCATCATCCTCGACGAAAAGAACAGTGGGCAGCACTGATTCGTATGAGGCCAGCCATCAAAAGCAGTCCAAGTCGCAGATGCAACCATAAATGGTACACAAGGTAGGTCCCACCCACTCAACCGATTCTGCAGCAGGCTCAGTTTACACAACACAGAAACAAGGCCGCAGCCTGAGCCTGTACCTGCCCTCTCTGCACCGGTACCTGCAGCGTCAGAGGGACCGAGTATGATAGGACCAATGCGGCCATCTGAGGACTCATCAAACCTTAGTTTTCCACCTTTGGAAGAAGCGCCAATGGACCCAGAGCCGCCTACACTATCACTACCGCCAGGATCGCCATACTCAGCAAACCGGGCGCTTCTGCGAGATCTTACTCTTCCTGCTGTGCCAAACATGGATATTCCTCCCTCCCCTCCTGGCTCACCGCAGCCAGGAGCGAACAAGAAGTTCGAGCAGTTTCTTGAGCTCAAGAAGAAAGGCCTACATTTCAATTCCAGGATCGCCCAGTCCACGGCGCTTAAGAACCCGAGCTTGATGGACAAGCTCATGGATTTTGCTGAGATAAACCAGAAGCATCAGTACAGAACAACATTGGAGCCGGATATATGGGATCCCAGTATTTTCCCCAAACCCGCATACAAGGAGCATCTTAGGCAGAGCCAAGTAGAAATAGGCCAGGCAAAAGCCAGACCAAGAGGTGCACCAGTCGACTTTGTGACGGGTAGTGGGGCGAATAGTCGAAATTCTACTCCTAGTGGTGCACAAATTCCAGCCGCAAGCACAGGGAAGCGCAAGACGCGGTTTGACACCTAAGGCAACTTTACCAACTGTTAAGGAGGGCTCAAGGTGAGGATCTTGTTGTTTGCACAGAGTATCTCAGTCGGTATGCTGACTAATATTTGTACTTAGGAAATATAAGCGACAAATGGGGGGAGATGAGTGCTTTGTCAATTATGAAAATTACCGGCGACATTCCCGAGGGTGCCAACTCAAAATGGGTGGCCATTTGCTCATGGTACCACCCACGAGAAATTATCGCATACGTAAAACATATGCAAACAATATTACATTTAATATTGCTAAAAAGGAGCTGATCAGGTTTCGGTTTGGTTAGAACCCGAACTATTTTAGGAAGGGCGGGGAGGTAAGAGTTCCCCCTGGTCGGGAATATGATAATAGCTCTATTACAGAAATAATTCGTACAAGGTATAGTCATGTTGTGTATGGAATGGACCACGGCTCGCAGAACCCCACTCTAGCATGACCACGCTCATTTGGACTACTTGGGAGAAATCATGTAGCAGGTGGCATTATGCTGGCAGGAGTTGTATAAAAAAATAAGCAGTAAAGACCTCGAATAAACAGGTTTGATAGTGATCTCATATTGAGAAGTACGTATTTTTGTATTCTTATTGGAGGCGGTGGCTTATGGTGGCGTAGTGACCATTGTTGCTTAGTTAATCTTGAGCCAAAATATCGTTGTTGGGTTGCTTCCATATTCTTTGACCGTAAATTCTTCTCCTTGCCATAATCTGCGCCTATACCTGGCCAGAGTCTTTAAGATCAACGTTGATGGTATATCCACTAATACGTATACAGTAGAATTTTTGCGACACGACAAGAAACACAACATGCTTATGGTCCTCACTGCAATGCAAACCATCCCTATATCAGAGAGGTCTCTCAGCCAATCATCTACTGCTTGTATTGACTGCATGTATCTCACATGATTTATGGTTTACCCCCCACATCTTCGTTCCTTAAGATACATCATTGCGTCAGCTGCCTGTGCGTCATCATGTTGAGGATGTTTTTGTCTCTCATCTTTCGACTTACCAAATATCGGGCTTCTCTCGTATGAACTTTTCCATCAGCTCGATGCAATTCTTATCATCCATGACGACAACTTCGACTTCCCTTTTCTTCAGGTATTCCTCGCCACCAAGCCAACTCTTGTTCTCGCCGACAACCACGCGTGGAATACCGAAGAGAAGGCACGCGCCGGTACCTGAAGAACTTTGATAAGAATCTGGTTCACAAAATCAACCGCTTGTTCGTTTCGAACCGGACTTACACATATCACAAGGCGACAAAGTAGTGTACATTGTGGCTCCCTTGTATGCCTCTGGTGACAGACGTCCAGCATTCTGGAGTGCCGAGGTCTCGCCCTGTCGACGCAATCGTTAGGTGATCGATACAACGCGTGTTCATTGCGGCTGGTCGCTGGCTTACATGGAGAATATTGCTGCTTTCCTGCACCCTCTGGTTGCGCCCACGACCTAGTACCTTGCCATCTTTGGACACAAGAACTGCTCCGATCTACGTATTGACCAACATCCGTTAGTTTCTGCAGTCGTGATACAAGAGGGAAAACCGCGTGGTATATGCATGTCGGTCGGGTCGGTCTTGATGTACTTACGGGTATGCCACCTTCTTCATAACCAGCCTTCGCCTCCGCGAAGGCCATGGCCAGAAACATTGCATCATCCAAGGCCATGATCGAAAGCCAAAAATAATAATAATCAAACCCTAGTCTAGAATTTCCAGCTGCTTATAAAATATGTGAGCAACAATGAGTGAGCAACAATGAGTGAGCAGACGCAAAACCGCCCACGATTTATCTGATAAGGAGGGCATGAAGCTTTTGGTGTACCCCACCCAACTGTTACGTGGATGACGATGTAGAGAAGTGGACCTGCATGCCAGACAGCATAAGTACGTACAGAGGAAATATAATTGATTCACATCAAAGGAAAACGCCAAAACGACAATTGACGCTGCAAATCATCTTGTATTTCATATTTTTCTATCTAATGAAACGCATCATCTGTGCATATCAAGCACCCATTCCATCTATTCTTCCTCGATGTTCTGGTTGAATAATGAGAAACACTAGGTACTTATGATACATCTGAGAAACCCGACATATGAACTCCTTGATTAAGCGACTCCCGGCATTAATCATTCATGTTTTCACCACCCAAAGCCCAAACGCCTCTTCCGAAACAAGACTCCGGACATCTAGTTTTGCAGATCATATGTGCTGGTTCGTTGAGGGCCAGATCTATGATAGAAGATTTCGTAGGGATGGACTTGCACTGGCTCCACTAGCTGGCCGATTATCACTGGGGCGCGGTGGTGGATTATTCGACATGTTCGCTTCGCGATTCATCGGCGGACCTTCTCGAGATATTGGCGGACTGCCATGTGGATTCTGGAATGGCGATCGCTGCCCGAGAAGACCTTGCGAGAACGAATGTTCCGCAGGCCGAGGTGGTGGGCCGCCATTGGTCAGGTTGTGTAGGGAATGATGTGTTTGGTGGTGGTAAGCTGGAGGATATCCTGTACCGTTTTGCATCGGGGGATCACGCCTAGGCGACGGCGGCAAGCCATTGACCAACGGCTGCCCTATGGACCCATGCCTCAAGGGTGGTGCTGCATGGTGGGCAACGGACGTAATAGGTGGTGGTCGAAGATCACGTAGATGGTTGAGATGCAATGCATTTGGTCCGGGGGGACCTCCGTTCAGCTGATGCAGAGGAGGCGAGCGCTGGGATGCGTTGCGATGCCAATCGTTGTAGGAAGTACCTGCGTGAGGATAAGTGTGCGGAGGTGCTGCGATTGGACTGGGGCGAGTATGTGCAGCGTTCAGTGGTAGCGCTGGAGGCGGCCCCTGAACTGGTGCCTGTATCGGAGGAGCAGCAACAGGTGGCGGCGCCACGGGAGGAACGGGGGGTTGACCAGGAGGTGCCCAAGAATATGGTTGAGGGGCTGCCCTCGGCTCTGAAAGAACAGGTGGAGAAGTCCTGAGAGCTGCTATAGCTGGCGGTGCTGGAATGGGCTCCAACCGTGGTGTTTCTTCAGCCGGCGGCGGTACAACGTGGGCGACTGGGGTTTTGCCAGCCTTCTTGCATTTATGACATTGAAAAGTCCTCTGCTCAACGAACTTTTGTGCTTCACTGCCCAGGTTGCCGAGATGACCATTGATGAAAGCTTTCTCTTGGTCCTTCTCAATTGGCCACCATTTGGGACTAACATCTATGCCACAAGTGATGCATACTCTGTCGCCGCTTCTTGCAGTGTTGGAAGAGAGTTCACCTGAATTGTCGATTGAGGAAGCTCTTTGGGCGCCTTGGGCGTTGCTCGAATTAGCAGTAGTTGATGCACGTCTATTTGACCCTACAGGTAGCGCTGACACCGGCGTTTTGGTAGCCATAGCAATAAGATTTGCCTTTCGTACGGTACCAGTGAGGGTGAGGTCGGCTTGCTTGAAATTTTGCACGTAGAACTGCAATGCATTAGGAGCAGCAGGATCCTTGGCTTCGCTCTCAGGCTGATCGACAGGGTCGAACATTCGATGGACCATGGTTTTCGTGGGTATATGCTCTTTGCACCAGACCGCTGCTGACATCGTCCCGGTCTCCCCATTCATGGTGACAATGTTGAATTGATCGCGACGAGAGCCTTTGATAGGCGTGACCTCGAAACCTAGCAGCAGCCCACTTTGTCGAGCACATTCAACATGAACAGGTGCTTTGCACTGGTGACACCCTACACAAGCTCCGCCAGTCTTCTTGCAAGCCTTGCAGACTTCCTCGTATCTCGCTCGTGGAATTGACGGAATACCTTCAGAAGGATTTAGGGCTTTAGCGCTGCCAAATTTGACTTCGGGCGTCCAGATCGCACAAGTGACATGTACCCAGTTATTGTCAGCAGTTCGTTTGAGAGGTTCCCTTGGATTTACCGGTCGATTCGTCTCTTCTTGTTTCTTGCGATAGTATTCTGCCGCTTTCTGCGCGGCTTCACGTTCTTGTCGTTCTCTCTCCTTATCTTTCTCGGTCTTCTTCTTGTGTACGCTCATCTTTGGCGGCTCTACAAAGTCATGTTCCGTAGATTCGACCGGACACAAGACACACTTGTACTCCTATGATATGGTAAGTTCCATGTTTTGGTATAACACAAACATGATTGTTTACTTACAAGGGAGAGCTGGGGGTTCTTGTCGTTAAGACACATATCACAAGTCCATTTGCCAGGATGCCGATTATCAACGACGCCATAGCATTTACGGTGCACACTCAGTCTACATTCCTTACAGGAGAGTAGATGCAGTTCACCGGCTGGGTTCGATTGGCCGCAAACGGCACATGGAAGTATTCGGGGTTTCGGGAGCTCAGGTGCTGGCGGCGGGGCTGGCTTCTCTGCCGCTTTCTCCTTCTTCTTCGGTGGGGCTACTCCAGATATGCTACTTGTATCAGAAGCATTGGGTTCGACGTCTCTGTCCGGAATTGCTTTGAGCTTCTTTCGGGGGGGCTCTGGGGCAGCAGTTTCGCTGACTCCCGTAGGAGTTTGTGCCGCGGCGGGGCTTGGGGTGTTGTAGACCGTGGCGCTCATCATCTCGTTCGCCGCATTCAACTCTTTGAGCACCTCCTCGTCTATTTTTCGCTTCCAAGCACGCCCGCCGGTGGCGAGTTGCTTGGCAAGCACTTCCATATCTTCCCATTGGATGGCATATCGTCGCCACAACTCCGCACAGCGCCGACAGAGCGCAACGATGTACTGTGCACCCTTGTCCTTGTTCTTTCCCGAACCCTCGGTGATCAGGGCGGCTGACACATTAGGCGCACGGCGCCACTGCCTTGAGGTCTTCGTACTGCAGAACTTACAGATGAAGTTCCTTTTTCGGTCCAATGCCTTTTCGGTATCAAAGGCAGAATCATCGAAGTCATTTGCAACATCGTCTTGAAGCTTATTTGCTGTAGCTGCCGCCTTCTTTGCCTCCTTTTTGCCTTTCCTCCCTGAGAAACTGCCCCAAACTTGAGCTCCACGAGGAGTTTTCTTCCAGGTGTAGTAGTATCGCACCACTGTTTTATAGTCGAGGGTCTTGACATGTTTCTTCACGAGATACAGCTCAGATCCGAATTTGTTCACAGCCTCTTCGAATTTCTTCTGCTCCGCCGCACTCAAGTCGGGCTCCTTGAACTCTGCTCGATCTACCATCGGTATAACCTTCAAGGCTTTGGCTGCGTCAAGCTTGCTGTGAAACAGTGCGTCTCTTGCGACGTCCATCAAGTTTGTCGATTGTGCGGGAAGATCTAATGAAGGTGCCAGAGCCGAAGCTTTTTTCATGTAGGCATCAATCTCAGTGTCGAGGATCCCCGGGTTGTCAGCCGCCACCGGTTTCCAAAGCAACTGCGCGGTATTTCTAGGATCATCGTCATCGTAATCCTCGCCACGAGCAACATAGCCAGGGGGTTCGTCCTGAACCCATTTTGGCCTCGTTTCCCGCGCCAGCTTTTCGAGCTCCAGGGCAGCCAGTTGCTCCTTGGAGGGTTTGTCTTTGCGACCCCTCTTGATCTCGAGTGGCTTCACGAGTTCAACTGGACGGCCTGGCCATGGTAATACTATCGCTTGATGCTTTGGGCCCAGACGAGAACCGGCTCTGGGATAGATGCGGTCATCGTAATCTAGTGCATCTTCAGGTTTGCAGTGTTGGCCCAGATACCGCCATGGCCAGAGGCTGGCTTGATAGATCTGCTCGGGAGTTGCCGGCTGGTGCGTGTCGTCTATTCCATCGGCCGAGCTGGTACGATTGGTACCGGCACCGTGGTCGTCGTCTTCCTCGTCCCAGTATTCCTCTTCGTCAGCTTCAAGATGTGGGTCCACCAGACTTGGCGTGTGACGAGCTTCCAGTTTCCTCTCCTGGGCGCGGCTGCATGCAGCACAGGCCCAAGCAAAACCGCGCGACGGCTTTTTCAAGAGAGGTGGCCTCACGCAGTTCATGTGGTAGGTTTGCTTACACACGGCACAATCAACAGAATCGTTGCTTCTCGTGGTCAGTATATTGCAACCAAATAAAACATGGGAGCCACCCAGTGGTCTACTGGGGTTCCTTAGCGCAACTTACTTGGCACAGTATCCACTACACCTCCTGCATAGCTTGACAGCGCTGGTGAACTCTTTCGAGCGACCTTGTTCTACAAGGATGTATTTCCATCGCTCGTCCAAGACTCTCTTGACTTTTTCAGGCACGTTGACAATCTGCGAGCAGGGTATCACCTCGTAATGCTTTTGGATATAGCGGTCGTAGAGCTTTTCAAACCAGAACGAATCAGGCGTTTTTCGGTAATCATCCATATTTGAGATTTCCGCCTTGTGACGGATGTCGCATTTGCCGCGCAATGCAGTCAACGGACTGATATCCGAGTGCATCGTGGCGAACACGGTCCTTGTATCATTGACCTTCTTACCAATGTCTTTGGGCCTGTAATACCAATTGATACGCAGCGCATCAACTGGTTTGGAGGCGTCGTTTTGCATGTGTAAGAATTCCATAATCCGCCCCAAGTAATATGGCTCGCCGGGTGGCTCGCACACTAAATAGACGTGATCTGGGAAAAGTGTCAGCACCCACTCCCACACGGCCTGCTACGAAATGGAATATCTGCATTCTTTGCAGAGACGGAATGCGTGCACACAGTGTTATAGACCTACCGTTCTTGCCAATGACCGTACCATCGTCTGCAACCAGTTTGCCGTCTTTTGGTTTTGCACCGCATCGATCGAAGCTCAGCATGTTTGACTCCCTATAGCCGAAGCCCGAATTGTTTACTGCAGCCGGCGCATTAGTTGTAGTTCGTCGTGTGGTCGTAGTGCCCTGGGCGACCGTAGGGTTCGTATGCACTTGCGTACCGCTCGTAGGTGGTTGCGCTGCTGCTTTGCGTTTTTTCGAGGAAGTCGTTGGCGTTGGTGTTGTCGCATTGGAAACGGCGGTTGCAGGCCCGCCCTGTTGATCTTTGGTTGCGGGTTGCGAATTGACTGATTTGCTTTCATCCGTGGATGCAACCTTGCGCGCATTGGAACCACCAGCGCGAGGCGCATCCGCAGGAACATTGGTAGCCTGTCGCGATGTCTTCTTGGGTTCTTGCTCTTTCTTCTCCGGATAGGCGTCAAACATTTCTGTGTCCATGTCCTTGTCCTCTGCGTAGTTGGGGCGCGGTTGACCTCGATTTCGCGAACGCGTACCATAGGGTGAGGGTCCGGACATGGCGTCTTTCACAGACGAGTCTGAACCCGCTGTACTGGATTTTGCTGCTGATTCTATGCCTCCAGCATTTTCAGGTGTGTCCTGTGTTATTGATTGGGTGGCCGAGGGGCTGTTGGGTTGAGTATCTGAGTTCAGCTTTGGCGTGCCTGCATCTGAGGTGTCCTTCGTGGAGAATGACGCTGGATTTGGTTGATCACCGACGGTGCTGGCATTCTGGGATCTGGGCGCCATGATGGGCTTTTAAAACTGGTGGTTCATGCAAACTGTTTGTGTGGAACGCCAAAAACATAAGGCGCAGAGTAGGAAAGATATCCGATAAGATGAATCCATATGATGTGTGCCCACGTGCACTTGAATAGATCTGGATATTCAACAAGACATAACATGTGCTCGTGGCCCGAAATCCATACAAGCGTTGCGCAGGTTTGCACCGCGGGCCAGATACAACGAATATCAAAGCTTGCGGAGAGAGACGTGAGGCTTTGTGGGGTATCAGAATCGAATGAGTGAAAGGCAGGAGGAGTGGGAAGAGAGAATGGACCCAATCTGTAGGGGGAAACTAGACAGAGAGTTCCTGTATCACGAACGGCGAGAAATGGATTTGTGTATGTAGAAGGAAAAGATGTGGGACGGGCGCGTTAGATGAGTGAGGATGGGATGGGAGGGTGGAAAGTTAGACACGGCGAGGTCTAAAGCGACGGCGACGCATCAAAGCCATCCCACCCAGGGTTGGACTGTATGAGAGGTATGGAAGTAAAGGTGAAGAAGAGGTCAGGAAATAAGGTCGGTCGACGGACTGACTAGACGCAAGTAGGAAACGCGAGCTGGCACGACTTTGCTAAGCCAAAGGAAGGGCTGCAGAACGAGGACTTTACGTATCTAGCTGTACTGTAGGTAGGTAGGGTAATGCAAATGTACCGTGTAGCATCGATTTCCCAGTCTCCACAGAGAAAGATCAGTAGACGTCGATTCCAAGTGGATATGCATGTCGATGAGAATTGGGGGGAGGGAACCATGAAAGGTAGGGTAATTGTCTTCTCGTACTGATACATGGCGATCCAGGGACGTGGGAGAGGCAAATGCCGCCATGCAATCTTGCCGAATGTGTACCAGGGACAACGGGCGCCGGTGAAGTTCTGGCCCACCCCTGCAATTGTGTCCTGCCAAACCGCAAGTGTTCAAGCGTTGCATCCTCTTTTTGACTTCATGTCATAACCATCGCCCCAAATGCTAGGTCTGATCATGGTGCCTTTCGCGTTTGATGTATTTGAATTGATTATCTGTCAAATGCCCAAAGCCAAACATGCCTTAGACTCAGTTCATGTCGTATAGACCCTTGAGCTGATATCTGCCTTGCTGTTGCTTTGTGGCGGGACAAGATTTTGGGTTACCGAGCACTGATTGGACCAAGGACTTCATCTCGGTCTCAAAGCAGAACAATAGCCAACCCAACACAATGTTGCTGTCTGTGTACCTACTTCTTCGTTGGGAACAGCGGCAGCAGCACTGATAGCAATGCGATGGTGTTTTCTTTCTGCTTCGTTCGTTTCGGGAAGTTTGCAGTAAACGACGAATTGCTATATCTCGCGGCTGACTAGACGGTAACAGTATTGCCTCAGGTGCTCTTTTGCCAATGGCGCACTCTAACAAAACGCGAAGCACATGCCAGGCAGGCAACAATGATCAACTTTTGAGTGAGGGACTAAACAAATTCGTGTGTTCGTACCAGCATACATTCATCCCGACGCACTATTTCTGCAATCGTAATAGGGATTGCTCCATTGAATGCACAGGTTGCCTGACCTCAGACGGTGGTCACTAGTCCGGTTATGCGTGCCACACCACGTCCTCCGGTTTCCATTGCAATCCAAGTGGGCACATCGATGAGATGTCATTACCCTTGCTACCTTACAGCCAGAAGCAGGCATCGACAGGGCAGACAAACGATATCACTGCACTGTTGTAATCCATATGAAGAGCTTGTAGCTGTGTGTTCTGTACCTAGTCATGCTAGTATCATCCGCAAATTGAAATGGGCGACAAACTTGCACACAGAATGCATGTATGTGGATGTTTCGCTCTGTTTGCTTTTTTGAGAGTGCTCACGCCGTAGTTGGAGCTCAAATCGGCAGCCCCAGCCCTTTGTTGAACTTTGAGACACCGTGGGAGAAACCGAAACCGACTGGTATTGGTTGCCCCCACCTTTCCATCCAAAGAAGGCCACAGAGGCTCGACAAAGTGGACAGGCTTCACAGAACTCAGGGATTTGCTCAGAGATCTCCACCATCACTGCATTATCAGCACTTCCAGAACTTCATTCCGCCGCCAGTTGTTCTCCGCTCACACATGTTAATTGTGTTTTGGCCACAAACAAGCCGGAACTCCACGCTTTTGATTTCCAGCTCACATGGGGACAAAATACTGACATATTATCGCGTGTAAGAGTGTAGGCTACATATGGCAGTGCTGGCAATAAAGACCCTCTACCTCTACCTATACATGAGCAGGAACGTGGTTGCGAAATAGTTCCTACGTCTAAAGTAACTATTCATATGTTCTAGGCATTGTGTGAGACCCAATGCCATGATATAGTGTCAGTTATGGGCAGAGTATCAATACGGTATGATGGATCGAGCCTTTGTTCGATTTCGCACCCACGCAATATGCGCCATGTAGGAATTGCTGATCTGGATGAGCGCACCAGTCAATTTTTGCATCACTATTGAGCCTAGCCATGCCCATCCAATCCGCCAGTGGCCTCGCTGTCTTGGCATACCACTAGCAATACATCAATGGCCTATTCATCTTGAGGGGATCTGGAAAGGCTCGTAGTAACTCCGGAGGAAATTAGACACACTTATTGACATACAAAAATACAGGTACGCCATCAGTCTACTGAAAGAGCACATGGTGTTGTCGAAGAAGCGTACCCGAGGTGTCAAGCAGACGAGTCCAACGGGCCCTGTGGTTGGTCAAGTATGGTCAATCGGAGAAGCAGGCACACCAAGCTATACTAACGTTAGGCCCTGCTCGTGAATCACGCAGTGCGGCGGTTCATGAGGGCGATGGCGATCGCGTGATTCTGGAAGAAAAGCAGCGCGTGCATAGATATGAGATAAGTAGACGTGGTCAAAGTTATACAGCAGGCAAGTGAAGAATGCAACATGGCAAAGCGATCAATAATGGCAAGATATGAAGTTGGCCAGGTTGGCATTGCATGCGTCTAGGCCGCAATTTCACTTTGCCTGGCGGGCTACGGATCCGTAGTGTCACTGGACAAACGTGGCAAGCACGGATCATTCAAGGAAGTGGATTCTCTGCAAATCATGCAGGTAATTTTTCAACCCACCTGGCAAGTCAGGTGCTTTCGTGTCACACTTGCCCCTCCAAGCACGTCTTGCACGTCTCTCGGTCGCGTAACTGGACCCATCCCCATACAAGTAGGTAAAACGCTCCTCTTCAAACGCAATTGCATCGTCCTCATCGTGCTTTGGCCACTCCCTTGCTACATCGCTTAGCCAGTAAAACTTCAGCAGAGGGGGTGTTTTAATAACGTACACGATGCAGTGCTCCAGACTTGGACCATCCGCCAGTCAACGGATGTAACTTGAGTCTTACTACGGTGGCGAGATCCGCTATAATTCCTACCATGGAGCATCACCGAGGGGTTTTGCATGAAACTACTGTTCAGGCAACCAAAGCACAACAATGTACATTTCACACGACGACTCTCGCTGGAAATAAAAGATCATTCTCTGAAGCTCTCCCTCAACGGATGGGCTCGGTAAACGCAACTCCGAACACTGAGTATCGTAGAGCTTCCTCGTTTGGCAGCACTTTGCCAAAACTTGTTGCTAGTGTTATTTCCGTCACCGATCATGGACAGACAGTACTCCCCAATATCTCAGAGTATTCACAACGGAAGGAGATATCTGCCACTCCCACTTCAGCATTTGACAAGTCGTTACTATTATCGCACCCTAGATATGCACTTCCGGCAAATTTGGTTAAGAACTTTGCGAGTCTGGGGATTAGAGAGATATATCCCTGGCAGAAGCACTGCTTGATGGGCCCCGGATTACTAGGAGGTTCTAGGAACCTCGTCTACACCGCACCAACTGGTGGCGGAAAATCTCTAGTTGCCGATGTCTTAATGTTGAAGAGAGTTCTGGAAGACCCGGATGCGAAAGCAATATTGGTTCTTCCGTATGTGGCCCTCGTCCAGGAGAAAGTTCGCTGGCTACGACAGGTGGTGCAAGGTATCAGCCGCAAAGGTCTTAACCCCGACTGTGCTGATAAACAGCACAGGCTTTGGCAGAGACGGGCAGACGAAGATAGCATAAGAATCGTCAGCTTTTTTGGTGGTGGGAAGATTCGAGCCACCTGGCATGACTTCGACATAGCTGTTTGCACATTTGAAAAGGTATTTTTTATTCATATTTGTATTTGATTACATCAAAGAGCGCCACAGCTGAATGAAACCTAGGCCAATGCTCTCATAAACACTGCTATCGACGATTTCTCCATCTCAAAACTGAGGGCTGTAGTACTTGACGAACTCCACATGATCGATGATGATCACCGTGGATATCTACTTGAATTGACAGCCACGAAATTGCTTAGCCTCGAACACAATGTTCAAATTGTGGGAATGAGTGCGACGTTACCAGTAAGCCAAATTTCGTGTTACCCATTCAATGAATCTATACCTAACCCGTTGTTAGAATGTCGAAATCCTCGCAGAATGGCTTGGTGCCCATAGATATCAGACAATGTATCGTCCAGTGCCTATTGATGAGCACCTGGTATTCGAATCTAACATACATGCAGCCTCGTCAACAACTTCGATGCTGAAGGCTGCAACACAGTTGAGTCACGAGGCGAGACCAACGCGAAGCCCGAGCTCGCCGGTCAGGACTATACAGCCTTCTCAACACAAGGAGCTGCAGGATCCCGTCCTTAATTCTGTGGTTGCTCTCGCTAATGAGACCGTCCGGTCAGGTTATGGCGTTCTGATTTTCTGTAGCACCCGTCTGGGATGCGAGTTGGACGCCAGGCTAGTCTCGCGAGTACTTCCAGATTCCGAGGACCTTGACGGCGCCGTTGCGGAAAAACGGGCGGATTTATTAGGTGATCTTCGAAGTTTACCATCCGGCCTTGACCCGACACTTGCCGATACCGTTCCTTGTGGCGTCGCATTCCATCATGCGGGCTTGACGGCTGAAGAACGTGATCTAATTGCTGACGCGTACGATAATGGTGTCTTGAAAGTCATCGTCGCCACTTGCAGTTTGGCGGCTGGCATCAACTTACCGGCACGAAGAGTTATTTTGCATAATGCCCGGATGGGACGGGAACTTGTCGGTCCTTCAATGTTGCGACAGATGCGTGGTCGAGCTGGAAGGAAAGGCAAAGACGAGGTCGGAGAGACTTACTTATGCTGCCGCAAAACTGACCTCGAGGATGTTGTCGAGCTTATGCATGCCGAATTGCCACTTATCTCGAGTGGGCTCATAACGGACAAGCATAGAATCCAGCGCGCTCTGCTCGAAGTGATTGCAATCAGACTGGCCACAAGTAGAGAGGCAATCGAGGACTACACGCGGAAGACCCTACTCAATTTTACGGCGAAGCAGGAGTTAATTCAGGAGCGTATTGAGTCAAGTTTGAGTGACTTGTTGCGAATGGGCTTCATCGTTACTGACGATGCCATGGACTACAAGGCAACACAAGTTGGAAAAGCCGTGGTAGCATCAGCCCTGGAACCAGAAGATGGTGCTTTTGTCCATCGGGAGCTGCAGCGTGCACTCAAAGCTTTTGTCATGGACGGCGAGATGCACATCCTCTACACGTTTACTCCCGTACAAGACTTCTCTATAATGGTCAATTGGCAGGTCTTCCGGAATGAAATGGAGGCGCTGGATGACAGCGGGCTGCGCGTCATATCCTTCCTTGGGCTCAAGCCCATTGTTGTCAACAAGATGGCCCAAGGTGGTAAAATGAAAGAGTCAACTCCCGAAGAACAAGAGCTATCCAGGATCTATGGTCGGTTCTACCTGGCTCTACAGTTACGCGACTTGTGTAATGAATGTCCAGTCCATGTAGTAGCTCGCAAATACGATACACCCCGAGGTAGTGTGCAGACTCTTGCGCAAACGTGCCAAGGGTTTGCTGCTGGCATGGTAAAATTTTGTGAAGGCATGGGTTGGGGCGTCATGGCTGCTGTGCTTGATCATGTCGCAGATAGATTGAGGGCTGGCGCAAAAACAGATCTACTCGAGCTTGCCAAGATCACCTTCGTCAAAAGTCGAACAGCTCGTGTCTTTTATGACAACGGATTTAAATCTGTAGCAGCTATTGCTAATGCAGACCCAACCGAGCTTGTACCCGTCTTGATGCAAGCCCAACCCACGAAATTGCGACTCAAGTCAAAGGACGAAGAAAAATATGAAGAAAAGCTTTTAGCGAAGGCAAGGGTCATATCGGACTCTGCTAATCGCTTGTGGCGTACGTACACCGATTTTTATTTAAGCCAGACGGATGCTAACTGTGAGCAGAGATCGAAATGCAACAAGAAATACATGAGGAATGATTCGATGCATTCCTAATCCGATCAACAACCATAGTTGTGATGATGTTGTCCCTCACAGCTACACAGAGGGTTACATATAGCGGCGGTATTGGAGTATAGGTGACAAGTGACTACTCTGTGCATAGAAATGAATGGGAGGCGCCTTTTCCATAGTTGCAATCCTATGGGGGACGTTGACGTTGATGTTCATGCTCGCCATTCTCGGCTATCGTGTTTCACAAGGAGGCAAATATATTCTTGCACGCTTGAATTATTCTGAAGGCAAAGCGCAATCTGGCAAATATGGTTGGCGCAAATGGCGGCCAAGCTTCTGCAAAAGCCAGCCGGGGTCAGCGTATTGCTGTGGTCGCTTCTACCCCTCCGACCAGTCATGAGACGCGACGAAATGGCGTCACAAGTACAAGCTGCATAATTCGAATGCGGCCACCAACTAAGTTTGCTGTACTCCGTACTGCTGTCACACTACAGACAACTTCCTTTCGCTTGAGGAGGCTCACTACCTCGTCCTCAATTACCTGCCAACCTCATGGGCAGAAATGGGCCGTACCGGTGAGCAAATCCACACCTCCATTTCGGACGCAGCCTTCTTTTGCGTTCTAGAGCGGGCTGCTGTGCAGTCAACGGCGCAATGCTTTGATTGGCATGGTCGCGTTTCATCAATTTATACCGATGGGCGGTTCGTTGCTAAGCTGAACTGCTGACACCAAACTTTATCTCAATCAGCCGTCCCGCCCTTCAGCTTCTCACTCAGATTGATGACTCCCAACTCTGACTAGTAAACATACGTTTCCAAGTACCTCGCTCTGTCCGGACTTATATTGGTGGTTCGCTTATACGGAATTACATTTGTACTTGAGTGATGGCTCGTAGCTTAGCCAACACAAGTCGAGGCGTTGCGGGTTCATCCGGGAACAACGCAGTCAACAATAGGAGGACAACCTTGGATGATGTGATGAGAGCGCCTTCAACGAATACTCCTGATATCGTTGTTTTGGATACCACACATGCCGAAAAAGTTCGCAAGGATATCCTAAACCCACAAGAAGACTTGTGGCTTTCTTCTGCAGATGGGTGAGATGAGTTTTTCGCATGCTTCGTAGGCGCCGGATATCGCTTAAGATACTGACGTATACTATGAAGTCGTTATAATTCACCGATCATTCCCTTGCAGGTCGGAGTCTTTCCGAAAACGCAAACCTTCAACGTAAGCATCACACCGAATGCGCCTACTGAGGCAATGCAATACTAAGACAAATACTAGGTGCACAAAGATATATTGCTGAAAACAGAATACTTCAGGAAAGCACTCTGTGGGGACTTCAGTGAGGCCATGTCGCAATCCATTGACCTGCCTGAGGAGGATCCTGCAATTTTTCACTTCGTCGTAGCCTTCTTATATGAGGGGTCATACATTCCCATAACCCCGCTAGCAACAGCACTCGGTAGGCTTGAAAAGTTGAGTTTTTAACTTTTTAGATGACTGATAGTTTTTAGTTCCGGACGAAAAGGGAAAAGGATTGGAGGTTGATAGCGACCAGAGTAGCTCAGACTCAGATTCCAGCGTCGGTGGCGACGGTGCAACAAGCGACTCCTCCAGTGCTCGCAGCCGAAGACGCCAGGCAAGACGCCGGAGGAGAGAGGACCGGCACTGGGAGATGGCTAGACAAAAGCATCCTGGCGCTCATCGAATAGGGTGCGGCTGCCGCCAATGTCTTGCCGGCGGTGGTCCACCTTGTTGGCACTGCTTAGCCCCTCGCTTGCCTCCAGCGCCTCCCTTACTACCAGTCGATCCAAGGGTGATCATTGTTGATAATAGACGAAGAACTAGGAACAACCGCCCCCATGATAGACCACACCTGCCATCTCCTCCTCTGCCTTCGGATCGCAACGCCAGCAGTGGCGATCGCATCCAGGGTGAGGACTTGCGATCATGGCTACTCACCTACGAACTCAACTTGGATGTATACATCTGTGCTAACAAATTCCTCATGGACGGCTTCAAAATGGCAATCTCCAGATGTACCATTGATATGCTGGAATCTGCAGGCGCAGATGCCGCTCAACCCCAGGTGCTCCAACTGTGTGCCAAGCTTCACAGGGGACTTCCAGAGTCAGATTCCTTGTTGAAGATGGTACTTGCACGAGTCGGTTTCCTGCAACCCCTTCTATGGCGTCGGTCACCGGAAGAGACGTCCGAATTTTTGCTTAGCCATCCAGAGATCTCGGCCTTGATACTCAAAGAGACAGCCACCAGACGGGAACAAGATCATGGCACAAATCAGTTGCCGCCGATGGAACGACCTTACTTACCGCCACCTTTAGATAGCCCATATGCACGACCAGTCGCCCCAATGCATCGTGCCCGGTGGTGAGCACACAGAGCTGAGTGCAAATTGGAGCGGCTTGGTTCTTGAATAGTCTGGTATTTTCTTCTTCTTTTTCTTCTTGACAAATATGTGGTATATGTTCTTAGAAGCGGAATAGCCAGCACCAAATTGAATTTATATGTATGTTTGGAACAATGAACAGCTGGCTGAGTATGTGGGGAAATTCATATTATTCGCCTCTTGGCGAGGGAAAATCATCATTCAGTCGGACTGCAATCAATCAAGATATGTAAGCAACGGGGACTGTCCATAATATGGAGTTGGTGTCAACGGAGAAATATATACCGCTTCATTCGGCGTATCATTGCGCTTAACCACCGAGCCTTTAGACCGTCATTGGCTAGACCAGGATAAACCCGACCTTCTCCAGGTTTCCCCCACGATTTCAGCACAATGACAACAACTCAGCCGTATAATCCGGGGTCATATCAAAGTAATTGATCGCCGGACTCCCTTGGAAAGCGAGCATGTGAGGGGCTGAGGTTTTTCACTTTGAATTTGGCGTCAGTGGTCTGCAATGGCACGAAATACAGCCGGTTAACTATATAAAATCCAACGTAGTTCCGGCAAAATGTGACAAGCACGACAATGGTCAATTAAAGTTCTAGAAAAGGCCAGCAAAATGCTTGCCGTCAATGAGAAACTGTGGTGGATAGCCACCTTGGCGATCCATTGTATCTATGCGCAAAACATCGTCGCAAGTCTGGATTATGGCACTTTCCAAGGTGCCTATAGTGCACAGTACAATATCTCGTACTGGCAGAAGATTCCTTTTGCTGCACCACCGGTGGGTGAGAACAGGCAAGCGAAACCTTGTTGTCAAGAGATGAACATCTACTAACAACCAGCCACAGATTCCGGGCACCTCAACCGCCTCTAGCCATTACTAGTGGCACTTACAATTCGAGTCAAACTTTTGACATGTGTCCCCAGAGAACGGCAAGTTCGTTCCGAGCATGCAAACCCAAGTCTTGAGTTATTACTAACATGATCTCAAGGTCAATGGCTCAGAAGACTGTCTATATCTCGGCCTATACGGCCGACCATGGACTACATCCCAACCCTTACGGCCGGTCGTAGTGGTATTCTATGGTGGCGCCTTCGTCCAAGGCTCGGCCTCCTTCACGATCCCGCCATCTGCTTACCCAGTACTCAATGTTTCAGAGTCCAGCAATATGATATTTATCTACTCAAACTACCGGGTTAACGCATTCGGGTTCCTGCCAGGTAAAGAAGTGGCTAGCGATGCATATTCAGACGTGAATGCCGGACTTCTGGATCAAGAGGCCGCTATCATCTGGACGCAGAAGTACATCAAGCATTTTGGCGGAGATCCGAATGAAATTTCCATCTGGGGACAGTCGGCTGGCGGCGGAAGCGTGGTCGCTCAGGTCATTGGCAGGAAGCACGACCCTCCCACGTTTAAGAGGGCGCTGGAGTCAAGTCCCTTCTGGCCCAAGACGTACAACAACGACGACCCAGAGGCCCAGAGCCGCTACGACACCCTCGCTAATCTGGCGGGCTGCGCCGGACCGGACAGCCTCAAGTGCTTGAAAGGCGTAGACGTGTCGGTCATCCGCAACGCGAGCTACACCATGGTCTCGGGCAACCTGTACGGTCCGACTTCGTATCCCTGGGGTCCGATCATCGATGGCGTGTTCCTCGAGAAGCCTCTGTCGCAGGCTGCGAAATCGTGCGACGTCAACAACCAGCTTGGGTTCTCCATGTACAACACGCACGAGGGGGAGAACTTCGTCTCTTCTGGTGTCGTCTACGACTCCTGGGTGTCAAGTTTCTTGCCGAAGTTCTCAACAAACGACATTGCGCGTCTAGATGCGTTATATCCCGCAGTCGGGAGCGCCGAGTCGATCACATCTTACAACGACTCATACACGCGCGCGAGTTTAATTTATCGAGACTCCGTCCTGGCGTGTCCGGGCTACTGGACAGCCGGCGCAGCGCCGAAGGGTGGCTGGCTGGGCGAGTATACTATCTCGCCCGCAAAGCATGCCTCAGACGTCAGCTATGTAAGTTTTGGCACCTACAGGAACTCTTGAGTGATACAAGTGTGCTGATGCGTTGCAAATAGTGGAATACCGTAAACGCGATCCAGCAGACTGATCCACTGCACTACAAGGGCTTTGCTGGTAAGTGGTCAATTTGGTTTCAATTTTATTCTTCTATTGCCGAGCTGACTCTGTACTAACCCTTTGGAAGGAGCATTTGCGTCTTTTTTCATGACCGGCGACCCAAACGCGTTGAAAGTGACAGCCGAGAATGTGACGGGTGTGCCAGCATTGACGACAGGACAGGAGTGGGTGATTGATAGTCAGGGCTTCACGACCCATAATCTCACCCAGTTCAAGAAGAGATGCGACTTTTGGAGAGAAGTGGCACCCAGGCTGCCTGTTTAGACTACATATTAACCTTTTGGTCAATATAATTTAATCACCAGCATAGTTTGGTCTTATTTTAATATTAAAAATGTGGCTCCTGGGAAATGTGTCTTCGTTGCCTTTCTTGGATGCAGAATGAGTACATGATTGCCAATTTATTTTTGCAAATCTAATTCGGCTCATATTTATGCTTAGTAGGCATACATGAGGCAGATAGATCGGCCGTGGGCCAAAAAGCAGCACCTGAATAAAATGAGGTAAGGGGAGCAGATATCCCGAAGTACTGTGCCGGCTTGTATGTTCAATGTCATCCACTCAATCTATTGTGTCATCTCTCAGGCGCAGCAGCTCTCTAAATACATCCGATGCATGGCTTCTCAACGCCCCATGGAAATGAACTGATGACTCCCAGGTTTTGCATCCTTTGATGATAGAAGCTGTTTTTCGAGAGTCCTCTGGATACACATACATATCCTCATATATGGCCGCATATACAGGGACTTCATTCTTCCTCAATTGCGCCTCATCGTAGAGAGCCGGCCATTGCTCGTACTTGGCAAGAATCTGGGCCGTATCCTTCAACTTTTTGAGCTCATCGCAAGTGTCGAAGAAGAAAGGATACACCATTTCCCCAGAAAAGTAGAGCGGCTCGTCCTTTTTCAGGGATTGAGGACCAGCCCAGTCGCTCCGAAGCCACTGGAAGTTGTCCAGGCCCTTGCCAACACTCTCCGCCGCCCAATTGCTTGCAATTCCCGGACGATAACACCAAATTGGCTCGTGCAGGACGCTGTAGATAGGAGCTTCGTCCCAGCCCATCGTCTGTTGGATGTCATTGAGGGTGGCCCTCGTGAAGAAACCAAACTGGTCCAGATCCCCTTTCATCTTAAGAATGTGATTGTGTACTATATCGAGACCATAGTACTTGCCAAAGTTGATGCCAATGGTAAGAAACAGAGGCACGGTCAGTCGTCCTCCAGCAGGTAAAGGAATACCATTATCCCCACCTAACTCGTGGATTTTGGTAGCGATTTCCTTGACATTTACAACGTCGTCTGGAAATTTCTGGTAGTACGCCTCGTTTCTTTTGATGACTTTCTTGAACGTGGACTGGTACGTCTCCTCAGCATTCTTGTCTAGTGCAACTAGACCACCTGTTATAAAGGATTCGCGTAGGCCGCCCGGCTGGAAAGACAGATACGTGAGGCTCGTCATGCCGCCAAACGATTGTCCAAATATCGACCATTTTTGCTTCTCCAGTGGATAGTCCTTGGTCAGATATTTGCGGACGGATTCGCAATCCCTCACGATGTTGTCGGCTCTAAAGTGCTTCAGGTAGTCGGCTTGCTCTTGGGGGCCACCAACAAGCTTCAATGTTTCCGCCGAGATAGTGGAACTGAAGCCGGTGCCTCGATAATCAAGAAAAAGCAGCTCGTATCCTCTGTCAAGCATATGGGATGACAAGGTACTATCTTGGGGTTGGGGGTTGCCAAAGCCAGGTCCGCCTTGTAAATAGACGAGGAAGGGCTTTTGGGCAGCCTTGATGCGCTCACCATGCGATGGCTCAATGATGGGACGCTCATACTTGGAGACCGTTCGACCGAACAGTTTGATCTTCTTGCCAGCAGGTTTCAAGTAGTCCAAAGGAACCTCGAACCAGAGCTCGGTTACCAAAAGCTTCCCTACGAAGGTGATATTAGCAAAATCACCAATGAATTTGTGCTAGACGAGTTCGATCTTACCAGGAACCAGATGCGGTTTGCTCTTCGAGAGCAGACGCGCAAAAGTACTCCAGACCATGTCAATCGGTTTCTGTTCGTATCTCAATACCATTAGATTATGCGGCTTCAGCAACGGGGCGCGTGATGTCCCGCACTTGAAGGAATTCTGGGCGTAATGCGTCGAAGAAGTTGTAGAAAACCAAAAAAAAAAAAAAAAAAAAAAAAAAAAGGAGATGAGCGACAAGATTGTTTCAGCTATTTAGAATCCCACGAGGTAGAATCGTCCAATGCAGTATGCCGAGTGCTTGGAAAAGTGATGACAAGCTTTGAGAGGGTGGGACCTACATTTATACAAATGTCCAGTTTCTTATCTCGGAATGGCAGGCAGTATACGCCAGCTCCAGCAAGGTGGATCAGAGTCTAACCTACTGGTTTATTGCGGACTCGGGCATAAACATGTCCGGGAATGCTTCCGCATATCGCGAATGTTCGTGGTCTGCAGCCTAGTTTTGCTCACACACGCTAACCCCAGGTCTTTGATGTCTTTGACGAAGAACAAGAAGAAGAAGAATAGACTGTCCGCGTCCAAACTAGGGGGAGATGGAACGGTGTAGACATGCAGAGACTTGTTTGGACATGGTGTAAGTAGTAATTATGATGCAGAGGGGGTTGGAACTGGAACTTCGACTCAAGAGGCCACTAAGCCGGGGCTACAGGCTGTAACTGTTGTGTCAGTGCTCTGCTCCTCCTTGCCTGGCTTGGCGTCCTACATAACCCATCAGAAGCGGCCAAACGGCGAATGCGTAATGCGGGGTGCAGTACACACAGATGATAGGTAATTTAACAATATTTGCAGTGCTTTCCTTTCATGCGACATTTAATGGTACAAATACATACATAGGTACTTGTGATGGGAGCCATGCTGGCCAAGGGGCCGTACGTCGTTAGGCACACAAGGTACAGCACATGTATGTAGACACAACATCAATGTAGACTTTCCATAGGCCGAGCCGGTTCGGAGCTCTCCTCTTATCGGTTGTAAGGTTAGTGGATGCCAGCAATTCCCATACTAAACCTGCCTTAACCTTTCTTTATCGGTGCATCTGATCAGATTGACTGATCAGGCTTTCGCTTCTGCTTCGCCTTCAGCTTCACCAATGTGGGTAAAGGATTACGGACATATATATTCTTGTCGCAGGAATGAATGTTCAAGACCTCACGCAGACCTTGGTCGAGTCTTTCCACGCTCTAGCAAACGAAGTCCAAAATCTGAACGACCGCCAGATCGTTCTAGAGCACAAGCTTCGTTATGCTCATGAACAGGTAAGAAAGAGATGCTCTCCCGCCATGTCACTGCTATTCCCACACCACACCACGCCACCTCAGCTCGGCCAACTTCCTGAGTCGGATGATGAGAGGCATATTAGCTTTCGAGAAAGAGCCACCCTGGACAGACATTATCTTTGTTCTGTTGTCTCCGAGTTGCAAGAAAGAAGGTTTCATCATCACCATGACAAATCAACCATGATTCTCCCCCAGGCAAGGCTGACATGACAGTTCATCACCTCAGTTCCAATTCTTCTCCAACAAATATGCGCCAGCTGCACCCGAGATATCAGAAACGCTTGCGAACCTGCAACTGCCACCCGAGCCCGACAACCCCTCATTGACAAGCACAAACTCCGTCCCTCTTCTGAGACGCAAGCCCGCCGACTCAAAGCACCAAATCGCTTTGATCATCAGAGAGGGCAGGCGCGTTGCCTCGTCGCTCGGCAATTACAGCAGGAGTAGCCACTCTAGTCGAGACCCGGACCTGGATACTCTCTCCCGAAGCACCATGACGACGGCGACCGACACTATATTGGAGCAAGATTTCACCGTGCAGGGCAAGAAGAGCGACCTGAAATGCCCTTTCTCTCGGACCCCCGTACCTCTGTCGGCCGACGAGGAAACGAGTCGATCACACACGACACCAGACCCTACACCCCACCAATCCAACGACCCGATATGCGCTGCCATGTTCGAGGAAACGACGAATATGCACGCTCCCGACCAGGATGGCGCCTCGAAATGTCCCATCCGCTACATGGATCAGCATTCTCCAGAAGAGATTGCCCACTATCTCGAGACCCACAAGCACGATCTTCCCCGAAGCCACGAAGTCTGCTTGCGCAGGTACCAGAAGAACGAGGACCATATCAGAAAACTTGACGCCAAGTACGGAAACCTCGTTAACATGGTCGAAGGCCTAGGGCGTATTCACCAGCCAATGCTGCCCGAGCAAGACACGAGACCTCAGAGCGAGGTCGAGACCGGTTCGAATGAGCGCGTAGAAACATGGGCACAGGCTGTCAGTGCCACAGCCACCGACGATCTTGAGTCGGAGGAACAGGCCGCCCACGACCAAGGACGGCAGAGCCATTTTGACCGGCCCATGAAAGAAGTACGCTTGGGCGAGTCTCCGAGTAGGCCTTGGGGTATACCGGTGCCGGACTTCGATCCGCCCTTGGTCGATGGGGAGGCTCGTGAGCCGCCCATGTCGCCTCCTCCAGCTCCTGTCCAGGTGCCCTCTACACCTGCCGCAAACAATGGAACACCCAGCCGTAAGGCCGGGAAATGTCCATTTGACCACACCAAGATTAAGGCGAACGCAATGACGCCAACTATGCCGAAGCTCGAGGAAAACAAAAGCCCAGAGGGCTTGGGCGCATATCCGGATCATCACGCCTTCACGACTCCCGCCACAGCAACACGAAAGCCAGCACAACAAGCGGCAACGACACCACCTCAACCGACCTTCTTGAACGCTGCTGACATAGCTCCGCCCAAACCTGGAGCGCCACAGATGGTTTTTACAGGACCTGTTTTCATCGGCTACCCTATTGAACAAGCAATACAGTTTATGCAGCATTTCCAGGGGCAGCAGTAGGGTTGTAGTTGTGCGACTTGGTCTAGCGGTTGATTTCTCGACGTTCCTATTATATACGACATTGGCGTCATTGAGCAAGCGGTTTATCATTGTTGTTTGCAGTTGTCACGCCGGCTTAGCATAAATCGGAGTTTTTGTATTTCCACAAGGGTTCAAAGAGTATTTGAGGAGCGACGATACCCTTTACGAGAGAATTGCGGAACATGGTACAGTTAGTCAATTTTTTGAATTAATTCGATTTCGGTCCCAATGAAAGGGTGCTAAACCTGGCTGTCTGGCGTTTGCAGATACTCTGGCGGCGCTTAGTACAGCCCATCGTCGTCACTCCCCGTGCCTTGTTCGAATCTCATGACAGCTTTCCCCTTGCCCTTGCCCTTGGCCCCGTTGGCGCTGCCGTAGCTCCGGTAAGCTTCGCCGTCGCCATCGCTGTCCTCGTCAGAATCGCCCGCGACGGCTTTCCCCTTCCCTTTTGCACTAGCGACAGCCTTGCCTTTGCCCTTCCCGCTGGATTTTGGCTGCCCCGAAGGTGCGTCGTTGCCGCCGGAAGTGTCGGGCTCATTCGTGCCGTCTTTCTTCTGTTGTACGCCTTCAAACGTGTCGCGCACTCGCTGGTAGTGCTGCAGTTCACCGGCACTCACCGAGGGCACCAGCTCCCGGTTCGCGTCCAGGAAGTCCTGTTCCGTGACCATGACGGCGATGTCCTCGGGCTTCGCATAGTGATCAAAGAAGTTGGCCGTCGATATGGACGGCCTGCCCGGGGGTAAATTGTTGTTAAGATCCCTGATTTTGTTGTCGGCGGCGGTGGCTTGCCGTGTGACGGCCTTGAGCATGGCATCGCTGCACAGCGCGTAGAAGTCGGCACCCGTGTAAGTAAAGGGGAGGTGCTGCGCGACGGAGGCCAACGAAACGTCGGGATGTAGTGTGAATCTATACCGAGGTGTTAGCGACACATGTTGTAACGTAGAGGAGGAGGCAAGCAAGAAAGAGACTAGACTGACTTTCGTGTAAGCGCTTCCATGATGGTAAGCTGCTTATCATGCGTATCGGATACTCCCAGATAGAGCATCTTGTCAAAACGGCCTGGGCGCAGCAGGGCCTGATCGAGCAGATCAGGTCGGTTGGTAGCACCAATGACGAACACACCACCGCCACCATCGTCTCCACCAGACATGCCGTCCAGTTCGGCCAAGAGCTGGGACACGATACGGTCCATAACGCCGCCACTATCTCCCTGATTACCTCGCTTAGGGGCAACCGAGTCCAACTCGTCGAAGAAGACCACGCAAGGTCGCGCATCACGGGCACGCTGGAAGACGCGCCGCACATTGGCCTCAGACTCTCCGATATACATGTTTAGCAGTTCTGGGCCCTTGACGCTGAAAAAGTTCAAGCTGTACTCTGTGGCAATAGCCTTGGCAAGAAGCGTCTTTCCTGTGCCCGGAGGACCATAGAAAAGGATGCCCGAACGTTTCTTCATGCCTTTGGCGAAAAGCTCTGGCCTCTCGAGAGGCAGCTGTATAGTCTCTGTGACGGCTTCTTTGACATTGTTCAACCCACCGACATCGTCCCACGTGACGTTGGGGATCTTCGGTGCGCCTATCGCGTCGGCAAAGTTCTTCCGCGCAGCGTCAACAGCAATGTCGAAATCCGCTTTCGTGAGGCCCCGCGCAGACGATCCTCCTGCCACTTGGATGTCCCGCACGGTAATAGGAGAATCAACGGTTGACGCTTGCGCCGATAGTGCCTCTAATCTCGCATCTCGCGCGACCACGGCGCGCCCAACCACATCGACTAGGTCGCCAGCCACCAATGCAGCAGTCTTGAGAGCAATCCCACCTAGATCGACTTCAGGGGCCAGCGATACACCCACAGTATCAACAACGGTCCTGAGGATACCTTCACGCTCACCCTCGTCCGGAGCGCCCATTTCCAATTCGTGTGTAAAAAGCCCGCGAATACCGTCTGGAACTTTATCCACTTCGGTAGTGGTCGCAATCAGAACCCTCGTTTCATCCAGAATCTCCTTCATCGCTGAGACCATCCTATCTGCGGTAAGGGCCTCTACATGGCGAATAAGCAAGGCGCAACAATCAGGCCCACAGCTCATGGCACGATCTGCCCGGGCTTTCAGAAAACCTTCCGTTTTCACATCGCTTCCACCACCACCACCCTCGTTGACAATATCATATGCATCGATGGTGAAGGTATGCAGGCCAATATCTGCGCAAGCGCTTGTAGCCACAGTAGCTTTTCCAATATTGCGCTGAGTCGATACTAGTAAGATTGCGATAGGAGGCATCCTGAGGTGAATCGCTCGTTTGCTGGTGGCCGCAGCCATTAGCTCGCGTAATCTCCGCCGGAGTGGTGGAGTGAATCGTCTTTTCTGTTCTGAAATAGGGGACACCGTTGGGTTTGAATCGATATTCGATGCTTCTTCTACCCCCAGATAATAGGTCCAGTTACTGTCCTTTGTCCCAGGTAGACAGCTTGTGATAGCGCCTGATTGGGCAATCTGAGTCACGGAGGTGTCAATACAGGCGACGCCACCCCAAAGGTCCTCTTCATCTTCCTCATCCACGTCCTCAGTCTGTTGACGTTGGATGTGGCCAATTTTGAACCATGCGGTTCCGTCAGGTTTCGTGGCCTGGCCACCAGCCCTGCCGGACGCTGTTATCGCGAGCAAATCATCGAGATTAGAGCCATCTCCGGTGCCGGGAGCCTCTTGCAAAGCTCTCCCTAGCTGAGTGTCTATGGGAATGGCGATTAGATCACCACTTTTCACGATCCGAGTACACCCTGCAAAATGACTCTTCAATCCGCCCAAGACAATGGTCTGTAGTGCCCTTTCCGAAGACAGGGGAGTGCGTATTTGCTGAAGGGTTACATCGCGAGCGTATGGAGGATGAGACGACCCGGTAATTTTCATTTGCCCGGGCTTGAGAGGGTATGCCAACCTCTTTAATGGAGACAGCCTGACATAGGGAGCGTTCTCGAGATTGGCAAGCAGTACCGGCGATAAATAAGCACCCGGCCCGGAAGGCTTTTGGACTTGAGACTCGAAGAATGAGAACCTTCTTCCGCCGCCAACATCATGCTTTGCGCTGGGTATTCTTGTCATCGGCCGTCTTGAATAGCCTTCCGGAAGACCGAACACTTTTGCTGGCCTCCAAGAGGGCTCGGCTTCATGCTGACCAAAACTTCCCAGGCCAAACAGGCCAACACCATTTGACGGGGGCTCCTCAGAAGCTTCCAAGCGTACCCAGTCACCAGAGAAGCAGCCGATCCTGGTCAACGAAGTAATGTCGACGTACACGCGAGCTTCCTCGTCGTCATCTGTGCCTGGCTTAGGGTGTAACAATCCGGATGGTATCGGTTTCACAAGATCGTGGGCTTTGAAAAGACGCCCCTTTGGACGGTCGGGTCGTGCTGTAGTGGCAGTGAAGCTTGAAAACACAGAACCGGGGGTGTTGATACCGTTGGTCTTCCTTCCTCGCCCAATGGTCATTGGTGTCCCAGGCTGCATAGTCGATATTCCACTTGCATTCGTTGTCGGTAATTGTGGTGCTTGTAGCGAGATCATGTCATCCAAGGAGTCGTCGGACAGTTCATCCTCGTTTTCTTCGACTTCGGAAACCTCGGTTTCACTTTCGGTTGCAGAAACCGTGGCTTCTGTCGGAGCATCCGTCTTGTACCGCTCTTCGGCCGCCGAGTAGAACTGGTCATTTGCTGTATCTTCTCCATCTTCTTGCATTGCTCCATTTAGAACCTGTGACGAGTTTGCCGAATTCCGATCAGGCCTTGATGAACCGTGACCCCTCGTCAGGATGATTTTGGTATGCGGACCTAATATGCCCTGCGCAACTGGTTCACACAGCATTACCTTGCCTGGTGTCGGCGGAATATGTGTAACAGAGTGTGGAGGTAAAGGTAAGGGGAACAGGTCCCCCTCATGGACAACCTTCAGGATTCCAAGCGCGACACGTAGTGCATCAACAAGCCGCCCTGCGCCTGACTCTGGCATGGCCGCTCCTTTGCTCTTGGATGATGGATGCTCCCGAAAGAACGTCCCCTCTCCCTGCTCGAGCCTCTTAGCCAGGTCATTTTCTAGGCTCACGAATACCGTGTCCAGCTCCAAGGCCGCTACGTCGAGGACATGCACCTCGATTCCACTTCTACTATGGCTTGACAGCTTTGAAGGTGCGACCTGCTGAAGGGCTGTTGCAAAGCTCTGCAACGCAAGGGAGGAGGGCGAGAATTGTAAAGTAGAATGGGCGAGGGCGGTGGACTTTAGGACGGGAACAATGGTCCAGCTCGTCCGTGCAGGATTCGTATTGGGTGCCCATGGTGCAATCGCAACGTGTCGGAGCTCGGGGGTTTGGTTCGAGTCATTATCAGTGCTTCCCTCTGCGCAGACAGGGCTTGATCAGCGTCTCTTCGGCCAAGGGCTTCACCTTGGGCGGTCGGAGGGATGGGTACTCACGATGAAGCAAGTGGGGAAACAAGTCGGCGAATAGATCATCTGACAGGATTCCGACGTCGCCTTTGACGTGATCGTCCAGAACCAAACGTGCGGTTATGGAAGGCTTGTCCTGGCGTCTCCTTCTCCTTCGCTTTCTCTGCGCCGGTGTGTTTGCGAGCACTGTTGCCGCCATCACGAACGCTGGTCTGCCCCCCCCCTAGACCTAGCTTATAGCGGTTGAGAGTCAGTTGAATTGACAATCATTCAGGGACTTTTGGTTGTATGCGGTTAAACGGAGCTGCTCATTCGTAGGTGTTGCGAATACACAATATCAACAAGTCTCTGTGACCTGGCCCAGACCTCCCAGTTGTGGTCGCGAACGGCAATGCGTGTGCTCAGCAGCACCCTTGCCCTTCCATTTTCGGTTGGATCTACAGCTTCGACCGACTCCCGAGGCATTGGCACATGCAACTTTCAGGCCGGGGTAGGGGTAGGGGTTGGGGTAGGGGGGTGAAGGCAGCTTGCACACTCAACTTAGTGGCCGGGGTTCGGGCTCCGGGCTGCCGGGGGCCAACTTGGCTGCACTTTGTGAGTGGCTCGTGCTCCACAGCCTATAGTTTGTCTGGTGCACGTATTTAGACGAGGTTTCAACTACGAACATATTAGATGTACATCCGTGAGGTGCACAAATTCTAGTGAGTTGGATTTTAGTATATAATACCTTGCAATACACGATTTCTCAGTACGACTCCTCGTCTATTATGTACGCGGAATATCTTGCTAGTCACTTCACTGTACTCAGCCGGGCTAGGACCAATTGTCTGCTAACCTAGTTTACTTGGTAGACAGACTAACTCTGCGTTGAATACAAACGTTCGGTCAGTCAAACCCTCATCGGCACCCTTCAGGTGTTTGCTTTAACGTGTTAGCTTTCCTTCTCAAGTCAATCGACCACACCGCCCGATTTGTTGTCAAGTGACGATTTCTAGACCTGGTAAGTAGTAGTTGGTCCACTCCACGCCTTCCAGAGCCTGTACGCCAGAAGCGCATAGCCATCCTGTTCGGTGTGTCTTCATATGCCCCAGCAGACGGAACCATGCGTACCGATCTCGTCATCTCTACCCCTCGACATGATAGAGATGAGTCCTGGCCAACAGCGACCAAAGTCGAAGCACCACGCACGCAGCATGAAGCTAGTCATATGCGGACGTATTGCTCCGTCGTGTCTATCAGTCGCAAGATAGACCTGGTGGGTTGACTGCAAAGTTGCAGGAATGAGTGCTTCAAGTCCAACCAAGTAGGGACCAGCCCGGACCCATCCATGCAATTTGACCTAATATCATTCGATTTCTTCGCCCAATGGAGACTTGCACATTATGCATGTCATGCACATCGGGCCGCACTCAACCTCGAGAATATCTCTGAAGCAAATCCTCATTTAACAGCCCTGCTTGGGATAGATGCTGGAGTCAATGAAGAGGCGCTAAACCCCCCCACGGCGCTGGGACTGACGTCAGAAGTGTTCGGCGGGATGCGGCTCGCACGGCGTGCAGTCCACTCATCCACTTCCAAGGATGTTGGCTTTGTTGTATTGATCAATTGCGCGACAAGAAGCGACACAGGTTGCCAATATTGCGCCAATCTTGGGCGCATCGGGACATCGCATCGTCAATGGCTGCCCTACATCCTGACAGGCAATCTCCTCAGCCCATTGAGCTAAGTCGTGCGCCTCCGGAGGGTCCTGCTTGATGCAGAAGGGTTTTTATTTCTCAAAGTTGAGACTCCTGGGAGCCGTTTTCCTTAGACTTCAGGCTAATACAAGCCTCGTTCCATTATCTTGACTCTCATTCTCTATATTCTTCCTCTTCTGCATCGCACTTCCTTGCTGCTTGTTTTGTTTTGTGATATTCCACTCCTCGCCAAGTTCAATATATCGTTCTACGATATTGGATATCTCGAAGTGCAGCGAGGAAGCAGTCTAATACGAGTCATGGCTGCCGCTGCGGGCCAGCGCTCAGCCGCAGAGAACCCAAGTGGTGTATCACATGCTCAAGCCGCCGTACAGTTTACGCAACAAGCAGAGAAACTGTCGCATCGATCGACGCTGAACGATGAACATCCGGGATCCGTCGCAATCGAGGCAAAATTCATCACCCCCCACGATCCCGTCATTGTTACTGCGGAGGGCTACAGACTGCCTGCTGTACCGCTCGAGGAGGCATGGAAGCTGAATGTCCTGAAGGAGGAATTACAAGAGCAGAGCCCCCAAGATGCGATTGATGAGGGACAAAGGCTCGCTCGACAAGATTCACTATCAGAGAAACAAAATGGAGCAGCGAAGGCGGCGCCGGATATGGCCGACCGCAGCAACGACAAAATAGACACCCAGACTAGAGGATCTCTTAATAGATCGATGCCACCGACGCACACAAACCCTTTGTTCCCGCCTCTACCGTTGTATGGACCGCCTTCGCTCATGAGGGATATGCAATGCATTCTCTTCCGGGTGTCATCCTTCTTTCTCAGTGCAGCTTTCCTGGCTGTCATCGTTCTTGGCGCACTGTTTACGAGCATACCTCCGTTTGCTTTTCGTACTTGGAAACGAGTGCAGGGACAGAACCCTGATACGGAGAGGCCCTTTTACGAAGAGGAACAGAAGAGAAAGATAGTGCGGGACGATTTGGCAAAGTCGTGGCAACACAGACGGTCCCAGGAACGAATCAATACGGACAAGAAGGATCTTGAGCAGCAAAATGAGTATCCTCCTACAGAAGGAGGACCAGATCCTGTTATTTGCGACATTGGCTATTATGCCAGAAGAGTCGGCCTCGATATGGAGGAATTCCAAGTCCAGACTGAAGATGGCTTCATAATAGATCTGTGGCACATTTACGACCCAAAGGAGTACACCAGGTTGAGCGCAGAGGACAGAAAGGACAAAGGACCTACCCTCTTTACTGGTGACAGCAGGCAGCGGTCAGAGCAGCCGGACCAAAAGCGAAAATTCCCAGTTCTATTGATACACGGGCTACTGCAAAGTTCAGGCGCATATTGCGTCAATGACGAGGACTCACTGGCCTTCTACCTGTGCAAATCAGGATACGATGTTTGGCTGGGCAACAACCGTTGCGGATTCAAGCCAAAGCACGTTCTCCTTGAATACACCGATCCAAGGATGTGGTGCTGGAACATCAGGCAAATGGGTGTTTTTGACTTGCCGGCATTAACTTCACGCGTTCTCTACGAGACGGGATTCGAAAAAGTTGGATTGATCTCTCATTCGCAGGGTACGACTCAAACGTTTGTCGCACTTGCAAAACAGCAACGACCAGAGTTAGGAGAGAAGCTCACTGTCTTCTGTGCTCTTGCTCCGGCTGCCTATGCAGGTCCGCTGATTGGTAAGATGTACTTTAAATTCATGAGAGTTATTACACCTGTTATGTTCCGCTTCATGTTTGGAATACATGCTTTCATTCCAATCATGATGGTTATGCATGGGATCTTGCCAGCCGGTATTTATGGCTGGCTAGGCTATAAAGTTTTCTCATTCTTGTTCAACTGGACAGACACACGCTGGGACAGGTCTTTAAGAGACCGAATGTTCCAGTTCGCCCCTGTGTACGTCAGCGCGGAGTCGATGCGCTGGTGGTTGGGTCGGGAATGTTTCGCCAAGCACAAATGCATTTTACAAACTAAAGAGGAGTGGAAAGCGGAAGAGCGCGAAGACATGGAAACCGACGGCCCCTTGGGGGATCCAACAGAGCCGATCAAAAGAAGGGATTCTGTCGTTAGCGACACCCCAGCGCCAAGTCACGCTCAGCACAAACGGAAGCCGAAAGGTTCATCAGCATGGTACAACGAGCAAGTGCCTCCATTCGCTTTATGGGTTGCTGGCAATGACGACTTGGTCGATGGAAAGAAATTGTTACGGCGTTTTGCGCGAGGGCGAGAGCCGCACGTGAAGATCGTGCACAAGAAAATTATACCCGAATATGAACATTTAGACGTCATCTGGGCAATGGATGCTGTTGATCAGATTTTCAGCGAGGTTCGCGAGGTCCTCTGGAAAACATGTGATGTTAGGGATCAGTGCCAGGTACCGAAAGGCTGCGAAAGTGTTTCTGCCTGGGCGGCTCAAGCTGTCGAAGACGACCTTGATGACAGCGGCGATTCCAGTAGCGATTCGTTTGATTAATTATGAGACGTCCTTCTAAAATGGCAAGGTGTGCATAGGCAAGATACACGGGCGTGGGCTTGATGATATGACGAGACTCATGAACACGACACGTGGAAGGTATACGAGATTGGGTTGAACTTTGAAAAGTGATCCAGGGGATACGCTTTACCGTCGGTAACTTCTCGTTAACTATTAGAGAAGCGATGTAACACAAATATATACTTGAATAACTATATTCATATGGTATTGACAGAAAACTCACAATTAACATTAGTTTCATTGTAGTTTATTAATAAGTTCAATTTATTTATCTAAAGTACAATAAGACACCTTGTGCTAATGGTTTAGTATTATTTTTTATTTTTGCTCATGCCAAATTTCAATTGCCATTCTTTTCGTAGAGAACTTAGGGATTACCGCTACGAGTCAAATGCACTTTACTGCTTTCTAACGGGACATGAGCTGGGCCTCGACCGTGGTGTTTTCGCCAGAGATGGCACTCGTGCTCTCTGTCTGCGCCTAGTCCGACAGCTGCGCCGAGTACGCGCCGTCCTGGGTGGTGTAATGGTGTTGCCGTACCTATGCCAGTAATCGTCCGTGGTGACCGACAGTTCCGAGCGGCCAGCTATATCATGGCACTGGAAGTGACCGCGTGGCCCATCTTGGTCAGCTTGGTGGCATCCAATGAACCCGAGGTTAGGCACCGTCTCGCTGCACACGGCCATGCGGCGCCTTCGTCGCTATCCGTCTCGATTCTACGTAAGCCTAAGTCGGAGATTTCAGATCAAAAGACAATCTTATGATACAGCTCGTCCTACGGTCCGTCACATAGTCATAAGAGGCTGTTGGGAGGTGGGAGATATGTTGTGCCAGCGCGTATACAGCGTGGTATGGCTTCACAATTCCCCTATTTCTCGGTCCTCCTTGCCAGTTTGATTCTGCCTGGAGTTGAGCAGGGCACTATCATTCAACAACAGAGTAAACATCAACAGTTGGAAGCAATCATTACACACCACTACACATCCGAGATGGACTCTAGGTACCATGAAGTGGTCGACCAAGACGTCTGAGCAGGCCTGCCAGCTCACATAAGTAGAAGCTTCTGGAGGGTCAAGCAAGTCTTGGCCATTGCAGTAACGCGCTAGAGCTTTGAGGTGTCATGCGGGGGAAGCATGAAAAACGATTTGGAGTATGCGACAGATATCCGCCAATATCCGTCGAGGATTTGGAGAAACTCGCAATTACATCCTCCACACCGTGGAATGAGAGACGGCCGTAGTTTCATTGCGCGCGATCCACATACCTTGGTTCTGAAACACTCGCTATTCGTTGTCACGCTTGCGCCGAATGGCAGCTGCAAGGCGATGGATCGTTTGCCCGTCATTGTATTACATACTCTCGCAGCAACCGGGGCTGTTCAAGGGCTATTGCCGAAACGCCGTGGAAGACCCGTGGGAGACCCCGTGGAGCTGAACCCCAAAGCAGCGAAAACAATCATGGACCCCAGCAATTGCAGTCGGGCGCCACGCCCAAGTAGTCTAAGTTAGTCTAGTGGGGTATTCATGTCCCGCGGCATTGAGTCTGTCAAATAAGTCGGAGTAGTCAGTTGTACTGTTGTGGTGTCGTCGCCTTGGTGCGGTCCGCGCTTGTCCGAGTATCTTGTGACGTCTCAGCTGTAGGATCCTAATCCTCCAAAGTCATTCTTACATTATCCTGTCTTACCGTTCAGTTGAATATACCCTCCAAACCCCCGTATTTGACCACAAACTCTGTCTTGATTTCAAAAGCGCATTCATTAAAATAAGGAGAGGGAAAGTGACCATGGTTAATGTTATCACCTCCCCACACGCCGATGTGGTAATTCCCAACGTGGACATCTGGTCATTCCTTTTCGAGAATAGGGACCCGGCTACTTTCAATGACAAGAAGGGTATATTGTTACAAGTCGTAACTCCTTTGAGGCGCAAAAGCACTAATTTTGTACACAGAAATTTTCATCGATGGAGATACTGGGCGCTCGTATACTTTTGATCAGCTCAAGCAGGCCACAATCGAGTTTGGCAAGGGACTGAAGTCACAATGGGGCTTCAAGAAGGGTGACGTGCTCGGCGTCTTTTCTCCAAACAGCATTGACTACGGCGCCGTGATTTGGGGCACGCTCTGGGCTGGAGGTGCCTGTTCAACGGCCAACCCGACCTACACAGTCAAGGAACTGGCTTTCCAGCTAAAGGACTCAAATGTCTCGGGTGTCGCAACGCAGTTGCCTCTGCTCCCGGTAGTCTTGGAGGCAGCTAAGCAAATCGGCCTGCCAGAGGATCGTATTATCCTTCTCGGCGATGCGAAAGATCCCACTGGCAAGTTCAAACACTTCACCGAGCTGAAGGATACAAGCTTGCTCGGACAAAGGAGGACGAAGGTCAATCCTCAGAAGGATCTCGCTTTCTTGGTGTATAGTTCGGGCACGACTGGTCTCCCCAAGGGTGTTATGCTCAAACACTCGAATCTGGTCGCAAATGTCAGTCAAACGGGCGCTGTTGAAGCCCGAAGTGGTCTACACCACCTGGGTGGTAGTGACGGCAATGGAGACAAGCAACTAGCGATCCTTCCTTTCTTTCACGTTTATGTGAGTACAACACGAGGCACTCGAATGCATGAAGAGGGGCTGACTTCCAAATCTAGGGTCTCACCAACATTCTCCACGCCACGATGTCTGATGGCCATCAAGCTATTGTCCTAGCGAAGTTTGAACTAGAGAGGTTCTGTCAGCTAGTCGAGAAGTACAGCATCACATTTGCTTACGTGCCGCCTCCGGTCATCCTCGGACTGGCAAAACATCCCATTGTTGACAAATATGATTTGTCAAGCTTGAAATGGCTCAACTCTGGAGCGGCACCTCTAACACATGAATTGATCAATGGGCTTTGGGAGCGTCTGACGATCCCCGTAAAGCAAGGCTACGGTCTTTCTGAGGTTTCGCCTGTGTCACACCTGCAGACAGTACTTGAATGGGCAAGATATAAGGGCGCAGTCGGCAAGCTCATCCCGAACATGCAGTGCAGGATTGTTGACTTGGAGGGCAAGGATGTCCCAGAAGGACAGGTAAATCAGTTCTGTGTTGTCCTCGTGAGAACGTAATTACTGACTTGTCATTTTAGGAGGGAGAGATCTGGCTCAAGGGGCCCAACGTGTTTGACGGCTACATAAACCGACCTGAGTTGGCCAAAGATACCTTCAGCCAAGACGGTTACTTCAAGACAGGAGATATCGGCTACCAAGACAACAAGGGCAACTTCTACATCACGGATCGTCTAAAGGAGCTCATCAAATACAGTCAGTTTGTCATAGATATTTTAATCATGCAGAAGACATACTAACCATGAAAATCTCTGCAGAGGGCTTCCAAGTTCCGCCAGCTGAGCTCGAGGGTGTCCTCTTGGGACACGCTGATATCACAGATGCATGCGTTATCCCCGTCTACGACCAGGAGCGCGCCACTGAGGTCCCGCGAGCGTACATTGTGGTCTCTGCCGGCATTGAGCGGACAGATGAGAAGGCAAAGGAGATTGTGGACTGGATAGCCAGCAAAGTTGCCCCTCACAAGCAGCTCCGTGGCGGAGTGAGGTTTGTGGACGAAGTACCCAAGAACGCTAGCGGCAAACTGCTTAGGCGAGTGCTCAAGGAGCAGGCGAAGCAGGAGGATCGAGCAGTTGGGCCGAAGCTCTAAGATTGGGTTTGGTACCTTGAGATATGTTGTTATCAATAGCATTGCACAGCGAGCGGCGAGCTTCACTTCATCGCCTACTAGAAAGGCGTAAAGGTCATGTGAGTAGTATGTAAGTACATAGGATACAAAATGGAAGTTGAACTCATTTATGGAGCCCCCATATGATACAGAAGAGTGATCTGGACGCCATCTATGCATGTCTTGCTTTCTTAACCCCTTGTATGCAAATTTAAATTTTTCTTTTCCATCTCAGAGTATGCATGCTCCTTTGGAACGGCCTTTACTCCATGTCGACACGAGAGTTGAGCAAACTCCATAATCCTTTGCCCGTAGACAATCAAGTGCCTTCTATACAGAGAGAGAGAGAGAGAGCTGTACTTTGCATTCTCTCAACCCAGCTTCTCGCTCTCCTCAAGCAACCTCTCGACCGTGAAGCCGCCGCCGGCGCCCTTGCCGAAATCCTCCAGAAGCTTTCTCTTCTCGCCCGTCCCCGCCAGCGCCTCGGCGCCGTAGAACCGCTGCATCAACAACACCAACCACTGCGCATCCTGGATGCTCGCGCCGCGCCCGTCGACCACGTTGCCGGCCATGAGCACGACGCCCTGCTTCCCGGCGATGCCGCTCTCGAAGTAGTGCGTGACGCTCGTGTGCGGCTGCGCCCACTCGCCGCGCGCCTTGTACTCGGCGAGCTGCGTGAACAGCGCCGTCGACGTCTGCGACTCACGGTCGAACACCCACTGCAGGTAGTGGATCTCGGCGCCGGCGCCCTCGCGCGGGACGGGCAGCACGAAGTTGGGGTGCCGCCGCGCCGTCGCCTCGAGGGACTGGTACGTGTGGGCGTCGATGACAGCGCACAGCGTCGTCGGGTTCGAGGCGTGCCGCAGCCGCCAGACGGCGCTGAGCTCCTTGGCGGGAAGCTCGCGGGCCTTGGGCAGGTCGAGGATCTCGGAGAGGGGCTTGATGCCGGATTTCGTGGTCGCGGGGCTCCTCGGCGGCTTGGGATTGGTGCTCGCGCCCGGGGCTCCCGTGGGCTGTGTCTCCGCGGTCGATGTTGGCGCCTGCGTGGGAGCTTCCTCGTCGGCGAGCAGGGCGTCGAGTCCCGGCACGGAGATCTTGTGCTTGGTGCGCTGCTCGACGATCTTGTCTGCGTAGGCGGCCTTCAGCGAGCCAATGTCGCTGTGCCCTTCTTCTTTTGCCTTGCGGTCCAGCTTCTCCTGATACTTCTCGGCAATGTTGCGCAATGGTCGGGTAGTGGCCAGGAAGCGCACGTCGTGGACTGCCGCCCAGCGTCGTTGTTGAGGCGCGGCCCGCAGGCTCTGCAGCTGCCGGCCGAGCAGGCTGCGCAGTGCCGGAGCTCGGTAGGCTACCATGATGATAATTCAAACAAGCTGAAAAGACTGCCTAGCAAAGTGATCCTTGAGATGCGAACTCAACTCAGCGTCGGGGATAACCTTGGATTATGTCATTGCAGCTGCCGAACCGCCGCTGGCGGTCGGCTTTTCGAGTTAAGTCCACTTCCGGCAGCTGGCAGAGACTGCTATAAATTCTCCCATTTCTTTGACACGAGGGTGGAATTTCTTCGATCCTCAACAATGGCCGGCTCTGCCTCAAAACTCAGCACAACGACAACAACTTCAGGCGCTTTGGTGACATCTACAAACGTTGCTGTGTATCCTAGAATGTGACCCGGAAAACACAACGTCTCAACGCGTCTTGCAACAGCCACTCCGGTTTGGCTTAAAAATTCTTCCAAAGGTTAGTCCACATTTATCTGGAACCAAAATTTCACCTGTTTCTTTTTGAATGATGAACCCCTGATAGGGACAGCTTATGTCTACGGACATATGATGAGCATACCAGGGCCAGTATTTTAGTAGATACCTGGATCTGACAATAACACCATCGTAATTACTTGCGTCGCAGCTAGTTTCTCTCCATGATTGCTAACTGATCACAGATGATTCAAATTCCTATTTGATTGGAACGCAACTTGCAATCGGTAAAACATTTGTAACACGAGGGTAAGTTCAATATAAGTAGATTTTGGTATATATATACAGGAAACATTTATCTTGCGTTTGACCGTTACCTGATTGAGTGGTGTCTTATGTACACATGCATTACAAAGTGTCGTACAATTTCAACTCACCCATGCTTGAACGCCATTACCCATGCACACATTAACGCCAACCCAAAAACCAATGACATCCTGTACCACTGTATGCCGACCCTGAAACTTTTATGAGGAAGTCGCAGTCTCGTCGGCAAACACCTGAAGTCCAGAATCATCATCTTTGATTCTGACACTGGCCTTGTCGCCACGCTTCAGCTCGCCCCTGATGATCTTATCCGCTAAGCCATTACCAATCTCAGTTGTGATAAGTCTATTCAGAGGTCTTGCACCAAATTTAGGATCGTAACCACGCTCGGCAAGCCAGTCCCGTACCTTGCCGTCAACATTAAGTGTAATGCGACGGTCGTCCAAACGAGTCTGCAGCTCTTGCAGACGGATGTCCACAATGTCGCGCAATGCGTCAATGGCGAGACGTTTAAACACGATGAAGGAGTCGATGCGGTTGAGGAACTCGGGCGGATAGTTTGCAGCAACAACATCCATTACTGCCTTCTTGACTTCTGGGCTGATCGAGCCGTCCTCAGCCTCCTTGTAAGGTACCGATGGATCGCCGCCGACAAGGATATTGGCACCAAGATTAGAGGTTAGAACAATAATGGTATTACGGAAGTCAACTTTGTGACCTTGTGCGTCCGTCAAGTAACCTTCATCGAGTACTTGCAAAAGCAGAGCCGAGATGTCCCTGTGTGCCTTCTCAAACTCGTCAAAGAGCAGAACGGCGTAAGGCTTGCGCCTCACTGCTTCGGTGAGTTGTCCAGCGTCATCGTATCCGACATACCCTGAGGGTGCACCAATCAATCTCGATATGGTATGCTTCTCTTGAAACTCGCTCATGTCGAAACGAACGACGGCCTGCTCTGTGGAGAACAGAAAGCCAGCCAGCTTTTTGCACAACTCGGTCTTTCCGACACCGGTAGGTCCCAAGAAGAAGAATGAAGCCAGAGGGCGGTTGTCGCCACTCAGTCCGGCTCTCTGCATGCGAACCGCATCGGCCACAGCCTTGAGTGCCTCATCCTGGCCGCGAACTGACTGTCGCAGAGCGTCTTCCATGTGAATGAGCTTTTCAATGTGGCCCGAGGTAAGCTTTGTGACTGGAATGCCTGTGATTCGAGAAACAACATTGGCGATATCATCGGCGGTCACCGAGTCGTGGATCAAAGTTCCCTCACTACCGGCACTGGTTGGGTCCTCGCCCTCCTTGGGCAATTTTTCTTCCAACTTGGGGATGACGCCGAACCGCAACTCGGATGCGCGGGCGAAGTTACCTTCTCTTTGTGCTTGATCCAGCTCGACTCGTGCCTTATCCAGGTCCTCTTGCACCCTTTTCAGAGAGTCGATTTCGCTCTTTTCCTTGTCCCACCTCTCGGTGAGACGCTTTTCCTCTTCCTGCAGCTGCTTCAAGTCCGCCTCGAGTTTCTCCCGTCGTTCGCGACTTGCAACATCTTTTTCTTTCCGCAAACTCTCAAGCTCGATCTGAATGGTCATGATCTTCTGGTCCAACCGCATGATATCCTCGGGCTTGCTTTCCTGTTGTAGTCGCAACGAACTGGCTGCTTCGTCCATCAGATCAATGGCCTTGTCAGGAAGGAAACGGTCGGTGATGTATCTATTTGAGTAGGTGGCTGCGGCCACAAGTGCGCCATCGGTGATACGGACGCCATGATGAACTTCGTACTTTTCCTTGATGCCCCGGAGAATACTGATGGTGTCTTGCACTGTGGGCTCATTTACCAAGATGGGCTGGAAGCGCCGCGCCAGGGCGACGTCCTTCTCGATGAGGCGGTACTCGGTCAGAGTAGTCGCACCGGCGCACTGAAGCTCTCCTCTGGACAAGGCGGGCTTCAGGAGGTTCGAGGCGTCGATTGAGCCCTCGGCTTTACCCAGACCTAGCAGTATGTGCAGCTCGTCAATGAACAGAATGACTTGTCCGTTTGCTTGCTGCACTTCGGTCAAGACCTTCTTCAGACGTTCTTCAAAGTCGCCTCGGAACTTTGCTCCTGCAATGAGCGATCCAAGGTCTAAGGATATGACCCTCTTGTTCTTGATGCTTTCGGGTACGTCACCGCGTACGATTCGCAGCGCCAGTCCTTCGAGCACGGCCGTCTTTCCGGTACCAGCATTGCCAATCAGCACGGGGTTATTCTTGGTCCTTCGCGACAGGACCTGGATGGTTCGTTGAATCTCGGCGTCTCGTCCGATGACGGGGTCGAGCTTGCCGTCTTTTGCCTTGGCTGTCAGATCGATACCAAACTGTTCCAAAGCTGGCTTTTCCGGCTCGCCGCCCAAGTCCATCCGATGGGTGCCGCCTGGGGGGTGTGGTCTGCCATTTGCATACGATCTTATGTGCGTGGTCGGTAACGTCGTTTGTGTTAGCAGCCTCGTGGAATGCAACAAAGCTGCTCGGGAGAAGGTAGATGGATGTGCGCTCGAGCGTGATACACTGCGCAGGGAGGCATCTGCTACTCGCCGCGACGATGTGAGAAGTTGCCTCCTCGACAACATCTTGTTGTTGTTTTGGTGAGTCGTGGAAGATGAAGGAATAGGTGAAGAATCGTGGACTCGATAGAGAGACTTCTCTTTGGCTCAAAACCAGAACATTACAATCGTGAGACAAGATGAGAAATTCCAAACCTGTTGGGCGTTGAAGTATTTCGCTTCGTGAAGAACCACTTGCAGCTAGCTCAGTTGAGCTTCTTAGTGCATGTTCCAGCTACTTCGAGAAGGTTTGGGGGGAGGGGTGAAGTCATCGCCAACATGAGAGGTATCGCTATCTTATCAGCAGATGTCGGGTGGCTTGAGCTGCTTTTGCCATGATTGAAAGTGGCTACAGACAAGGTGTGGCTCCGGGGAGGGAGGCAGGGGAGGGGTGCGCACGCCACATTGCAGTGGATGGGCTCATGGGCTGCACTTTGGATGCCCGGCCCTCATCGTTGACCTTACCAGCTTACACAACTTACGGATCCGTACATGCACAACGTTAGTCTAACCTTGCAGGGGACTAGTCTAGTCCGGACACACAGTATTAACCTAGTACATGGTAGATTGCAAGTAAGCGATGGGGGTCCTCTCCTGGGCTCGAGCGCCAATTTTCACGGGTCTTCTCCCCCTCCTTGGCTGGCAGGTTGGGCCTAAGTCAGTAGGGTCAGGTCAGTCCCTCCATCTCATACCAAAATTTCAGAAAACAACCCCGCCATCAGTCAATTCTTCCGTTGCCCATCAACGACTTCAATTTCTCTGCCCAGTTCATAAAAGCCCATTTCGATATCCTGTGAAACTTTCTCTTCTCGTTTCCCACATAATCAATCACCATGGGTTTCACCGACGTTCTCACTGATGCCGTATGTATTATTTAAGCCTGCTCACCCGCTCCCCTCTCTCTCTCCTCGTGGACCTCTCCAACTGACTCACCTTTCAAGGGCTTGGCCGTGCTCAACAACTGGCTCCAGACCCGATCATACATCGTCGCCGCTCCTGCGTAAGTGAACCTGTGCTTCCACGAGGCTCTCTACGACGAACCCGGCCTCGGCATGTGTCACAAGTGTGGTATCCGCCTCCCGTGTTGCAGCGCATACCCAAACCCCCAACACAACACAACACAACGCAACGCATCTTTTCATGATGAGAACAATTGGTCCGTGTTTCTGAGGAGCTTAAGACCCTCCAGATGGCGATAGAACAATAGCACTCTGTGCAACTCTGACTTCCATCCCACCCCGTCTGCTGTTATCCCTCCCTGCCTTTGCTTCGGTAATTGCTTGCAACTAACAGTCTTCAAAAGCTACGCTCCCACCCAGGCCGATGTCCAGACCTTCAAGGCCCTGAAGTCCTCCCCAGACGCCACCAAGTACCCCCACGCTGCCCGCTGGTACAAGCACATCGCTACCTTCGAGGATGAGTTCGCCACTCTCTCTGGCGATGCCTCCAAGCCCTACACCACATATGGCCCTGATGTCGCCGAGGTTACCTTGAACCCCGCCAAGGCCCCCGAGAAGGCTGAGGAGGAGGAGGACGATGCCGAGGGTCTCTTCGACAGTGACTCCGAGGAGGAGGATGCCGAGGCTGTCAAGGCCCGCGAGGAGCGCCTGAAGGCCTACAGAGAGAAGAAGGCTGCCAAGCCCAAGACCATTGCCAAGTCCATTGTCACCCTCGACGTCAAGCCCTGGGGTAAGTGCTTTTTCTAGGCTGCAAAAACCATTTCGGTATTAACCAATCCACTTTAGATGATGAGACCGACATGAAGGCTCTTGAGGCCGCCGTCCGCAGCATCGAGAAGGACGGTCTGGTTTGGGGTGGCTCTCAATTGATTGCCGTCGGTTTCGGTATCAAGAAGCTGCAGATCAACTTGGTCGTCGAGGACGAGAAGGTCTCCATCGACGAGCTTTCCGAGCAGATCACCGAGTTCGAGGACTACGTCCAGTCCGTTGACACTGCTGCCATGCAGAAGCTGTAAGAGGCTTCGCACTGGAGTCGGGATGACACTTAAAAAAAAATCTTAAATATGCCATGATGAATGACTCGAGAGACACGAACCCTGGTTGATTGATGATCAATGACGGGCGTGTAATGACGTGATGTGTGGTGGGCATCAAAAGAGATATTCGGCGATAGTTCACCAATAACCCATAGACTACTCTGAGCCAAATCAAGAAAGATGCTCAAGTCCAGACTTAAACCTTCCAAGTCTTCCTCTTAAACAGACCGACACGCTCTTCTCTTCATCTCCAATTAAAACCGCCTAGACGTCGGTACCTAGCAGTCGGAAACCCATACCCAACTGTGGTAGACCCTACCACGTGTACTCATCGGATTGCCTCTTGTAATACAGAGTGAAACCCTAGATGTAATACAGCCTGCTGGAATGAGAATTCTGTCGTGCTCAGATTAGGTTCAGCGCTATGTAGCATGCGATCCGGTCATGCCTTCGCGAAATACCAAGCACAAAGCCTTCTTGCATTATGCAGTGGGAACACTCTTCCAACTCTGTGCGTTCGTATCGTACGGTGAATAGTAAAGTAGAAGCTCTGTATTTATCTCATTCGAGCTTCAGGTCCTCCGATACGGCGACGTCTTGCAAATGGCATGGTCATGTCATAACAATGGTGAACGGCCTCCTTTCTTGTCTAATATCGAGCCAATGCATCAAACATGGAGGCAGATAACACCACAAATGAATAAAAACCCTGGCTATAAAACCGATAATAGGCATTCGTCTCACTCTCGGTGGGCATTTGATAGGAAGCTCTATAATGGTCACTTAGGCATCATTAAACATACCTCCATTATTAATATTATAGACGTCGTTTTCTTTCTTCTTCCTAAGTTGGTCAAGTAACCATCACATCCTGATAATCTTCCAAACCCACACCAGAAGAGCCAGTACATATTAGTGGCTTGAAACCCAAAGGCTTTGGTAGTCAAATTGAGTACGGAATTGTTGGATGACCTGTGTATCCTCATTAACTAGTCGATGGCAAACCTTTCAAGACTTTCCTTCTGTCTGCACTTGAAGTGGATAAGAGAGGGCCAAGAAAGAAAATGCACGAGTGTGCCGCACAAATAGAGATAAATTAAAAGTTCCCCCGGCCGAAAAGCCATCCAAGTTCCCAAATAAATATTATTGACAGGTAGAGCAAGTAAAACAAAAGAGAAATAGATAAGGGAGGGGAGGAAATAGATCGGGAGAAGAAGAAAAAACAAGACGAGGGGGGAAAGGGAATAAAAAGTAATAATAAAAGAGGTTAAATAGTTACCCGAATCGATCCTAGGACCCGGAACCGCTTTTAGGGAATCGAAACCCACCAGATGTTGAGGCCGAGGCCATCTACCACTGAACCACCAGGTCATTGCCTGGGTACCTCTCAGCCTCCCCCCGGGAAGTGGATTGGAAACTTCTGCTTCATTGGGATTTATTAAGATGACACAGATGGTCGGTAGGCACACCAATTCCGCAGAATCGCCTTTCGTTGATTCGAGGTGGAAGAGCACCTAGTTAGCGACCACCTTATAATCTTAGTGTTCAGGTCACAGCTGTATAACAAGCCTCACAAGAGTGCACTGAAGAAATACTAGGAGCGCTATTAATCTTGATTGATTAATGCTAACCTGATTACTACAGCATTTTTCTTGTGCCCTGAATCATGTGGTTTATATGCCATGCAATAACTTGATCATCATTTGTGTACCTCTATTTTACGAGGACTTCTGCAGAACCCAGGCAGCCAACCCCCAGTGTGGTCTTGATCGTGCCTAAGAATTTCTGGAACGTACTCGAATGGAGGATATAAGGCCGTCAACTCACTGTGTCTCGTCGCTGCTAAGCTGCAGAGCTTCTGCGCGACTGGACTTGGAGCCCTTGCAACGACGGACTAGACGATTAGGTTTGCGATGCTCTGGGAGCTGTCGGCGATGGAGATGTTCACTAGACGTGTAATTGGGGGACTCAGCATGAACCGGTAAGTGGATGAACCGGTCACTTGTAAGGGTGCCGTATCTAGAGCTCTGCGGTTTTTTCTTCGTAGATTGGGAAGCCATGCTCTCAAGTGGTTGATGTTGGCTGCAGTGGGGTTAAGGAGTTTATCTTTATTATTATTTTCCTTTCCCCTGAATACAGTCAATGGTTTGGTACCCGATGCGTGGATAGACTGTTGTAGGTCAGCCAATATGGGGTAATGCTTGGACGATGGTCGGTTGCAAAAAAAGTGGTAGCATTAACTTGGGCGACCCGACGAGGTTATATACTTTATGGGCCAGAAGACTGTTCATTGTGTAGCACTTTAGCTGTTCCGTCCAACGCAACTCGTTTGTCGTTTCTTTGGGTCATGACAACGTAAATCTGGATGGACAGTGCGTGATTTCCCAGAGATGCGACGGTCATCAGAACAAGTTTTTTGTTCGAATGCTGTGAGCAATGTAAATGAAAAAAAAAAACACGAGGCAAGTGCTTTTTAGGAATCATTTTCGTGTTTAAAATTTCAATCGCCGAGAGCCACTGGCCAATTTGTGGCGATGAGGTTTTGTTTGCGTACTTCGAGTCTTTGATAACCTGATGAGCTTTGAAAGCTTAATGCAGCACTTGGGCAAAGTGTATGTATAATCTTTAGAGCCGGTATTCTCATATTTCTGAGCAGCAAAGTATACGCCCAAGGTCTCTAAAATACTGCGACCATTATATGCGATATCCCTCCGGGATCGTGATTGCTGCCAAGCACGGCATTAATGTCAGAACCAAACGGTGTCACCCTGCTCCCGGCTCAGTAGCCTGGCGCACATGGCTATCCCGTGGCCAGTTTATACAGGTCACAATTCAAAGGCACATGTTGCTGAGTACGCCCGGTGGCAAGTGCTTTTGACTTTTCGAGCCGTTCATGAGGAATTTGAATAGATTATTGAATGGAGCGATTGCCAATGTATTACACAACGAAGAATGGCATAGACCCCCTCGAAGGACGATGCTTGACGACCGACTATTTATATATGTAATTTCTTCGTCTTTTGATTTGTCCGTTTTCTTTCCAAAAACAGCAAATTTATGATCAGTCGCAGCTGTTTGCCACATTGTGGATGGTTTATGTTGCTGCACAATTTGTATAGTGACCCACTATTTGTGAAGTGCTAACTACTATAGTAAAATTTGGAAGACGTCATAATATTGTCAAGCCAAAGTAATACACTATGAACTATATAAACTATTCATGACAACTATTCTGTAGACCTGAAGACCGACTGAAACAATAAACATATAATTTCAACTGAACAATCAATACAACAATATGCTGTCACGAACGATCCAAGCCTCCTGCCTCAAGGCTTCCTTCGGCGCTTCTCACCTGCCACAATCCGCATCCGTACCATCAACCGTTCGTTTGATCTCGTCAACGAAGGAAACTGTTGGTGGCACGAAGACGGACCACCGGGAAGAACTGAAACACAAGTCACAGTCGCAAAAGGCGGAGAGGCACACGCAAAATTCGCAGGACACCTCGCGCCAAGGTGGAAGTCAAGGTGGTGCTGCAAAGGCCGCAGATCCCAAGGCTGAGGGCAAAACCGGCTCAGATGTGCATCAGGAGCCTCATATAGGATCGATGAATCAGGGCTAAGGATGTTGGTGTCTTTTGAAAATCGGTCGCAAGTTGGTGTATGATATTGTGTAGCTGCGTCCAGAACTGTTACTGAAATTGACGTTGGAAGTGTTTTCAAAGCGAGGGATGACAAGGAAGGGTTTGATTGAGATATATATTGTTTGGCATATAGCTAGACTGCCTGGTCAATGTACAAAACCCTTATTTGCAAGTCTTGCCTACGGACACCACAACGCCTGAGGCCATTTAGAGAGCTCCCATCCCTATGCGCCAACGTAGTCATACAACAACCGCCTCTCTCTTCCAGTCCCCAACTGAACAAAAGGTATCGATTGACCATATACAACATGCTCACATGAACTTCCTGTCACACGCTACTCATCCCATCTACTGCACCAATGCGATAGGAACAAATTCCTTTTTCGGACTCGGCTTCGTGGCAAAGCCATTGAGCACTCTGAAACCAGCACCGCAACGTCTTCCCTCCTCAATGACATCATGGACGCCATCGAGGCACATGCCCGCCTCACGAATGACCGCATTGTCCAGGAGTCTCCCTTCACTGGCAACCTTCTCAGTCTCACATCGCAGCAGCCACTTCTCCCAGGCCCAGCTGCCAGCCAACCCAGCAATGGATGCGGCACCCTCGGTGCTGCCTTGTACCATGGCTTCAAGCTCAAGCTTGACTTCACAGCCACGGCTGTCACGAACAACATTCTTGTTGACGGGCTGCTTCTCCCCCATGGGGAGGCACAGCCATGCGCGACGGGTATCCTCGAATCCAGCACGGTTTAGACGCTTCAGGAACATCTTGGTAGGGTTAGGGTCGTAGCCGAGAGTCTTCAAGGCAAAACCAAACTCGACGGACCTTGCAAGACCAAGGGGACCAGCGTTCATGATGTCTGAGTCAAGAAGAGAGAACTCAAGGTAACCGCCGGGCTTGAGAACGCGCATGCATTCCTTGAGGCAGCTGTCCCATTCATCTTCACCGTTCTCACCGACGAACTTAAGTATTGAGTGTAGCTCGCGTGCCGAGACAAGGTCAAAGTGGTCATCCGGGAAAGGCAGCTTAGCGAGGCGATCCACTGCGACTTGGCGGTGGTTGGAAGGGCCACGGATGTTCGAGTTGGAGAGCTGGCGGATGGCCTTTGTGGTTGTTGTGTACACCTTGGTCATTGGGTACATGATAGCGCAATGCCATGCCCAGTCGCAAGTTGCCTGGCCACCGAGGTCCAGGATCCTTGCACGCTTGCTGGGCCCTGCCATGCGAGACATACGGGCCAATCGCTTTGCCAAGGGTGCGGAGAAAAGACGACCGCCATTGAGTGCCTTGACGGCGTTGACATGCCAGTTGGCAGTTGCCATTTGGCTGAGCGCCTCAGTCTCCTTCTCATGTTTCAGTTTCTCGGGGTCCTCTACAAGCACATCATCACCACGGACGACATTGGCGCTCATGCGCTTCTTGGCAGATTGTGGCACAACAGAGAGCTGGTACTTGCCGAGGAGCTGGTTACGGTGTGCCTCGCGAAGCGAAACGCGTTGCGCCTGCAGTGCTTCAAATCGTGGGAGTCTGTGGACGAAGGCATCTTGCATGCGACTGCGGATAATATAATCTTGGAAGGCACGCCAGTAAGCAGACTCCTGGCGGCAGAGTCTGGATGGCAGCGAGCGAGGAATGTCAGTCTTGATGACGATCTCCGAGAAGCGAACAGTCTTCTTGGCCACAGCGCTGGCAGGGGAAGTCTCAGACTCTGGGGACTTGATCTTGGGCGAGTCTTCAAGGGCGATCTCGACCGTCTCGCCTTCCAGATCATCTTCACCTTCAAGATTAACACCCTTCATATAGACCTTCTGAGCCATGAGCCATAGCTCAGTCCGGTCCAGGTTAGAAAGGGCTTCCTCTTGTTGTTTTTTAGTATATTCTGGATCATACACGGTAACAATTTCTGTGGCGACAATGTCTTCTTTTGGCGAAGTCGGCTCAGCAAGAGTCGCCGATGATGTCGATGTGTCCGAAAGTTCTGGGACACGACGGGCCGTGGGGAGATCATCTGACTGATCATCCTTAAGTTCGAGAATCCGCTCCAGAATGACCGGCCTGGCAGTTGGCATACCATCAGACATGGTGCCACGAGCCTCGACGATGTGCTCCCGAACATCAGCCAGAGGTGCGGAAGGAGGAACCGGAAATTGTACATTGGCAAATCTTTGCGGTCGCGGTGGCGGAGGAGGCAGGTTCTGTGGCAATGCTGGCACGGGAGGAGCGGATTGGTCATTCCAGGGGCATCGGTAGAACTGTTCGGCTGTTGTCGACGTTGGAGGTGCAATGTCATCTGGAGTCATAGAAGGCATGTGCCAGGTATGTCTAGTCCGAGGCGAAAGCCCCGAGAAGAAACCTCCAGGAGATGGGATCTCCAGTCGGGTTAAGCCATTCAAAGATTGTTGTTGTGCAGTTGCCAGTCGCAAAGCTGGCCTTGGCATAGAGCTGAAAAGACGAGGAGTGGCTTGGGACATCTCGGAAGCTGGCTGTGCTGGGATTTCAATAACTTGCTCGTGTTGGTACTCTTCTTCTGAAACATCAGAGCCGCCCGAAAGCGCGCGCAGGGTTGCGAGAGCTCCAGGTTGCAGACGAACACCAGCCCAATTCGACTCCGGTGTTCCGTCATCAGCACCAATTATCGGCGTGGGCGGGGCTGACATAGCGGCCATCTGCTCGGAGGTCATGCTTCCGTCGAGTGACGGCGGGGCGGATATAGTCGGGACGTCCATTGCGTGCTGCCTCTCCAAGAAGGAAATTACAGCCGGTGACATCTCCACCTTGGCCGGAGGCGTGGGCGGCACTGGGGACATGAGCTTCTTGAAATCTGGTCTCCCAGACCAGCTTTCGGCATTTTGCACTTGTGACGCCGGAATAGTCAGCTTGGGAAGTGCCCGATGAGAACTGGACCGTCTTGGTGGCGTCGCTCGAGAGCTGTTCTGACGCTTCAGCGACGACCTTCTCACTGGTAGCATTCTCTTTTCGTCGTCCGAAGTATCATAAATATCATCAAACTCGGTGACATCAGTACAGGTACTTGAACGGTTCCATGGGTTGGAAGAGGTGGAAGGCGAGTTGCTTTCGTCTGCTGAAACGGTCGAAGGTGACGAAGGTAATATTGGCGCTGATAAGAAATGAAACCCTCTGGGTGTAGGGAAGTGATCACTTCGAGGTGATAGCCACGACACTATTTTTTCGTTTGATGACTGCGCCTGGTTCCTGCAGTGTTCGGATGCAGATAACTTCTGCGGATACTCGGATTCCTCCTCCATTATAGTATTAAGTAACCTCCCTGGCCGTCGAGCCAGCGACGGAGAGGGCGGTTGATATGTGGTCGACGGTAGAAGAACTAAGTCTGGCATTTTGGATATATGGGATATGCAAGTAAGATACTAAAATACTTTCCTAATATTGAAATAATGTAACGTAGTGACGCCCAGCGTCGATGAAGGTAAGCTTAGGAAATGAGTCTAAACGACAGGAATGCTTCGATCAACGAAGCGAAATGTTGGAAGGCCAACCTCTTAGTGGGTTGAAGAGAAGAGGATACAGGAATGAAGCCTACCGAGGATTAGGAATGGCAATACTCTTATCAATCACGTCCTGGACATGTCGCGCGGTTAAAGATCGCGGGGGAGTCTGTCACGGCAGGTTACGAGCGCTTCGACGCACTCACTTGCTGCGTTGACGGACAGGCAGGCACATACAATTGCATGGCCTTGCATTCCAACTGCAGATTCGGCCAAACGCACGAGTCTGTGAGCCCATTTGGGCATGAAGCATGTAGCTCATCCCAGAAGAAGAGCGGCCATGGCGCCAGGCGACGTCAGACGAGAACCCAAGTTGAAAGTACTATTGAAGCGGCCGTCCAATCGAATGTACAGCAGTGCCAACTCATCGTGGGTTAATTTTAGAAGAGATGGCATGGGCAGCCAATGAACGGACAGGCGCGCGCATAGGGTGGTTGGGCAGGGTTGTTGATTGGGATGGTGGTGCAGATTTTCCGCCCAGTAATGATGACCCATGTCTTGTCGGCGCTTAAATGCTCAACATCGGCTCATTGGACTATGGGTTCCCATACTGAAGTTCAGTACAGTTTGAGTCCGGTTCTACGGTCGCATCTTAAAGACCTTGAGGTTCAAATAGGCCAGCCATTTGTCAGATGCTTTCGTTGATCTCCCGAAGCGACGGTGTGGTAGGGTATAATAGTGGCTCGGCTCCAGAGCCGCTCATCACTTCGATCAATCTGACATAAGCTCTTATCCATGACAATACTATAGGATAAAGCAAGCGTCTGATTGGTCACTTCTCTGCGGATAGGACCTGGCAGTCTCAAATGCCGTTGGCGGATGGCTGCACTTGTGATTTCTAGAGGTGTTGGTTGGTGTTATCATGTCATCCTTTGAATTCAGCAGCAAGCAGCCACTGTGGCTCACTACCCCAGAAAACCTAGGTTAGGTAACATTACGGATCCGTACCTGTGGAAAGCTGGAAATTGGTGGGGCCGCCCTACCTGTCGTGTGCAAACCACAGAGATGGAGATGACTAACCTAGGTAATCAGGAAACCGAACACCGTGCCTGATTGAATTTCTCTAGGTTGATTCTAACAAGAAGCGTCATTTCTCATGTTCCATCCGTCTCGTTTGCATGTTTGCTCGCATTTCACTATTGCTCTCGCCAATCGACAACAACTTGTGCATTATCTACGACCAAAATTTTTAGCCAGGCAAACTTGTTTACAAACATCGCAACCCGTTTAATTTGCTTATGTGCCTGGAACAAATGGGCACGGAGCAGTGTAAATGACGAATCCGCAAGATGTGGAAATCCTAATTCACATCGCTGCGCCCAGCAAAGCTTCCGATGATGCCAGATACAGGTCACTGGCAGCAGCATATATACACTTTCATCCACAGAAGCGTCATAATATTTCATCCACAGAATCATCCGGCCAGGAAAAGACCATCATTCCCGCCACGACACATACAGCATCTGTTGCGAGCCAAGACCCAATTTCACAACAGCTCATTGGCTCTGATGAGTGCTTTTCCTCGTTCAGATCTTTCCAGGCCTCCTTTGACAGTGTAATTGACAACGTGGGCTCACCTACAAATGCGGCTCAGTGGCAGACTCCCGGCCCCCAACGACTCAAAGCTGGGAAAAATGAGCTGCAGTCCTCGTGGAAAACTCCACCGAGTGTTGTACAGGATTCTGTTCCAGAAAATGATGCCACCACGGCATTGTTGACCACGCCAACGAGAGTACTTGAGCACTATTTGCAAAATTTCACAACTCCATCGCAAGCATCACAAAGAATTAGCGGTGAAGGGAACAGGTCTCTTGTCCAAAACCTCACCTCATATACTGCCAGCTCTGACCAGAAATTGCCAGGGCAGGGTGCTAACAATCATCTTTTACCCACCATTCCATGTACACCTGGGAACAAACCTCTGCAGGTAGCTTCATCGGTAGAACTTGGGGAGACCTCATCTGACCTTCGAGTGGACCGGCCTGGAAATGACGCGGCAAATGGAACACAAGTTCCGACTTCCGATGATGAAGTCGTTGAGGATACGGTCATAATATATGAGCCAGAGACGCCACAGATCATTAGAGCAGATTCGGAACCACCCCCAACCAAACGGTTACGGCAAGACAATCCAGATGCGAGTTCAGTAGCTCCGACTAGGACGGCTAGCGGCATTGGACCACATAAGATACCAAATGGTTCTACGAGGACTATCACATTTCTCCCAGTCCACGGGTACGGATACAATAGTCTTGAGCTGAACCCCCCGGATCCGCCCGCTGGTTGCGCCTCAGTCCTTCCCGACGACCTGATCACACCGGGCCTGCAGAAACTCGCTGCAGATCTAAAGCTTTCTCAGAGATACAAGCCAGAACTCACAGCTAGAGAAATACGGCCTTTTGAACGCGGCTATTGGACGCTAGATTGCACCGATTGGCCTCAGGACTTGAAGACCGAGACATGGGTATTCCTGGCGAATTATATTGGTACGGGCGTATCTGGCTGGGGAGTGTCATGCAAGCGGGATGAGCAGTTTACATGCGTACGACTGTATTGCTGGGGTTGCTTGGTCGCACACATCTACTTGTTAATCTGGCTTGCTAGCCGCAGGAGAGTCAGCTACAGTGGAGCAACATGGATTGACGGTGAGGGCAAGGTCGTCATTGCCATGGGCAGAAGACAAGGAACTTGGATACGAATGTGACGCCTAAGGGCAGCATGTATGGGAATGGCGCTTTTATTTTGGGATGGCATCACAAAGGCGCAACTGCATTTTGATTAGGCATAGGAAGGAAAACTTGAGTATATCATATGGCGTTGTTTCGTAGAACCGAACCCTGAATTGCATCACCATACTAGTAGACGGAAATTTCCGCATTTAGCTGGCGAAGAAAGTCCTCTTGTAAGGACACGTTCAAATTGCTGTGCAGCTTGTGTCAACTTGTTACCTCTAACTTCGAGATAGTACAATCGCGGTCTGCCATTGTCGCCTGTTGTAATGTATGATGAATTCTCAATACATAGGTGGGATCACTATCAAAGGAAAGGCTCAAGTGAAAACAAGAACATCTTGGGTGAATTGATACAATTGACAACCATATTTCATGGTCGCCTATCTCCAGAAATAAACACCACTTCCTTCCTTTACACATAATCAGTTCTAGGCATCCGGATACCTTCAGAGCTGGAACACCACCAAAGCCCCTGCCTTGGATGACAAGATTCAGGACGTTCATCAATTTTGATGATGTTGCAAGTTGGCTGCTTCCATTTCCCGATGGTAACGGTTGGCGTCGGCCCGAGCAAGCTCGATGTATGGCTACGTTGTGTTAGCCGTCTTTCAGACCATCATGTGAGCAATGATGGCGACTTACCTGCTTTTCTGCCTCGGACAAGCTCCTCCACTCAGCGCCTAGATCTTTGGCAACCGAACTAGAAACTTTGCCGCTGAATTCTCCAGAAGCCCATCTCGCCTTGGTGAAGTAAGTGAACGAGGACAGTAGCCTCTTAACGATTCGGTCATCCTTGATAAGCATCTTGTTGTGCTTCGGGTAGTTGAACTTTGACTTCAACCGAGTACGAGCGTTGTTGGCTTCGACAATCCGCGCTAGGGGAATGCTTTCAACCCAGGCCTTGTAGGTGGCAGCATTCTTGAGTTTGTTCTCTTCGGAAGTGGTTCTCAGTTGCTAGAAGCGGAAATTAGCAACAAGAGTTTTGCAGCGATACCCTCAGGGGAAGAATACCTCGAGCTCGGACGATGACAGGGCTTTGAATTTGGCAACAACTTCGGTGAAGCGACTTTTAACGTCCTGAGCACCGTCGTATTTCTGACCGCTCAACTGCTCCGCCAGGAAGAGATTCCAAGGTTGTGTGGGCAAGCCCTTGCGAGGCTCCTCTTGGAAGAGGGCTTTCTGCTTGTATTCCTTGAGCTTCAACTGGTCCTTCTGCTCTTGGGTGAGCGGCTTCTTTGGCCTCCCGGCGGATTTTGGCTTGGTGGGCTTTTTCGCAACCACCTTCTTCTTCTTCTTTGGCTTGGCCGCCTTAGCTTTGGGCTTTGGGCTTGCTTTTGTGGACGTGGTGGCGGGGGTGGTGGTTGCTGTCTTCTTCGGTCTGCCTCTGCCCACGCCCACAGGCTGCTCGGTCTGGGTGCCCGCTGATGTCGTCGCGAAGGTGCGTAGAGCACATGACTTGGCAAAGCTCGAGGCAAGCGACGCGAGACTGTTTTGCTCGGCGACAGTGCGCGAGAGGACGAATGACGTAGGAACGGGCTTTGAGGTAAGCCGGCGAACGGCGGCGCGCCCAATGGAGGACAGCATGGTGATGGCGAGACGGTAGCCGATGAATTGGTATCTGCCAAAAGCGCCTCCGATGTCAGATCGTCAATGCGACCGAGACAATCCAAAGGTCTCGCGATAGAGTAGAGCTTTCGATGGTATGGTGGAGCTACCAAAACTGTCCGATTGATTATTTACCAGTGCCGGGCCTCCTGTTTCACTGGTGCGCGGAGTTAGCTTGTCGCGTGTGCTCAGCCCAGCTCAGGACGATGCATACATATATACATAGTGAATACCCAAGGTTAGTCTCGTCTAATACATGGCTGTTGTGTTATGCTATGTGCATGCCAGTTGTACCCAGCATAAAAGCTCATTTCCCAGCGTGGCTAGTCTTCGTATGGGTTGGCGTCTTGGCTTCGGGCTGTTTCCCCCCCCTCCAGGTCCCTACAAGTACTAGTACAGCTTTTATGTGCTGCGGGACCCCAACCAACTGCATTGGGCTTGAGATCCACACGGGTGCGCTGGGAGGCAGTCGTGCACGGGCCGTATGATGCTAAGTGGAGAATATGGATTAAAGGCCTTGCGACTTTCTTGCCTGCTCTCGGAGCCTTTCTGCAGCACGTCAAAACTACAGCAAGCATTCGTCTGGTCGGCATAGTCTTGTGATTATTAACAACGCCCGGCACCTCATCAAACGAGTACTTCGAACCACGGCCGCAACTTGCACCCGGAACACATGAACACTTAGTAGCGTCCCGTCGTTGTGGAGAGGAGGTAATTTACAATTCTCCTGGCATTCCTACTCACACGCTCACACTCTAGCAAACAAGATAGTCACGCGCAGAGGGGAGGCGATACTGGCAATCACGACCTGCTACATTTACTTGGCAGGCCCTGCTGCGAGCTACGCAACTCCAAGCCTTGTGGATCACACAACTCCAGACTGGCTCTCTGGAATACTTATATCTTGTACGAGCGTGCCACTGTAGTGTTGCCGAAGCCGCTACCACGCATATCATGGCTCGGCTCAGGGACTCACGCTCACCAAGCCCTGCAGGAAGCTCAAGAAGATATCGGCGAGATGATGATAGAAGACGGGACCGCGACCGAGACCGAGATCGGGATCGCCGCCGTCCCCGTTCCCGTACTCCACCACGGCCACGCGATGATTACCGTCGACGCGATCGTTCCTTAGAGCGAAAGGATGACTACTATAGAGACGGACGAGACAGAAGAAGATCGCGCGACCGCTACGCCGATGCTGGCCGTCTGAGAGACGTGGACAGGGAAAGGGAACGAGAAAGAGAGAGGGACAAAGATCGTCGCGATCGTCCCAGGAGCCGGCGAGAAGGCACCGCAGACTCCCACCGTTCTGGACCCGTTGATGGGAGATCAAAGCCAGTAGTAGAGGTATGTACTCCTAAATTTCCGGTTTTCACGCATATTTACATGTCTTCGTTACAGGCGACGGATCCCAAACCGAAACCATCACCCGCCCCCGCTGCCGTACAAGCGGATGTTGATAAGAAAGCAGAGCGCTTGGCCAAACTGGCAGCATGGAAAAAGAAGCAGGAGGAAAAGGAGAAGGCTAAAGAGGCCACTCCAGGTGGAACAAGAAAACTCCTCGCTGAAATGGATGAGAAGGCTAATGGTAGCTCTGCCGTAACTCCCACAGTCGCTTCCCCTGCTGGTACTGCATCCCCAGTTGCCGAAACATCCATACCGTCTCCAGCAGCAGCAACCCCATATACTGGAAAGTTTGACCCGAAACAGATCGCAAAGAAGGCAGCCCGAGCCCACGAACCAACTGCGGCCCCCAAATTGGGCGCCATCGGAGGCCAACTGCCCGTCACTAAATTTGCAGCGCCGACTGCTGAACTCCCGAAAGCTTCGGCTTTGCCTAAGGCCAAGACGAGCGGGTTCGGTTTTCACAAGCAGAACATCGAATCCGAGAAAGTCTCACAGAAACGCAAGTTGATCCTCGACGAGGAGGAATCATCCGATAGGAAGCTCGCGAAGCTTCCTTCGCTGCCCCTTCCTGATGTGGATGATACTCCTTACGAAGTTCAGGACGAGGACGAGGATGACGGAGAAGCTGATAATTTCGCCGGCGATGAGGAAGAAGAGGCCGCGGCGGCACGAGCCGCTCAGGAACGACGAGAAGAACGCATAGCACAGGAAAGCGCGCAGCAAAACAACGCAATGGACGTAGACGAAGCCAAGGAAAAAACCCCTGCCGCTGAGACTGATGGAGATGCGATGCAAGTCGATGAAGAGGACGATGAAGATCCACTGGATGCCTTCATGAACGATTTAGAGTCCAAGCCAGTTGTGACGGCACCTAAGCCGAAAAAGCCGAACGGCGTGCGCCAGGTTGCCAAGTCTGAGCAAGAACCTGAGGCCTACTTCAGTGGCGAGGATGATTACGATTATGCTAAGAAGGAAGACGAACCAGATGCATTCCTCGAGAAAGTTAACAAGGCCCGCAAGAAGAAAGACATCCCCACCATCGATTACAGTAAACTGGACACGGTGCCCATCAGAAAGAATTTTTGGGTGGAGCCTGCCGAACTGAACGAGATGACGGAGGCTGAACTCACAGATTTGAGGCTTGAGCTAGATGGTATCAAGGTCACTGGCAAGGATGTACCCAAACCGGTACAAAAATGGTCCCAATTAGCTCTGTCACGAAAGACACTGGATATCATCGACAGCTTGGGTTTCGACAAGCCAACCCCCATTCAGATGCAGGCATTCCCAGCGATTATGTCTGGCCGTGATATTATTGGTATTGCCAAAACAGGATCTGGAAAGACTCTTGCCTTCCTCTTACCAATGTTTCGGCACATCAAGGACCAAGAACCGCTCAAAGAGAATGATGGGCCTATCGGTTTGATCATGACTCCAACCCGTGAGCTTGCTACACAGATTCATCGTGACTGCAAGCCTTTCCTCAAGTCGATGGGCCTACGAGCTGTTTGCGCTTATGGTGGTGCTCCCATCAAGGACCACATTGCTGAGTTGAAGCGTGGCGCCGAGATTGTAGTGTGTACACCTGGGCGTATGATAGATCTCCTCACTGCCAACCAAGGGCGTGTGACGAATCTGAAAAGAATTTCTTACGTCGTTCTTGATGAAGCAGACCGAATGTTCGACATGGGGTTTGAGCCTCAGGTTATGAAAATTCTCAACAACATGCGACCAGATCGTCAGAACATTTTGTTTTCTGCTACGATGCCTCGAATCATGGATTCTCTGGCGAAGAAGATTCTAAAAGACCCAGTCGAGATCACCGTAGGAGGCAAAAGCGTCGTTGCTCCGGAAATCACTCAGATTGTGGAAGTTCGGGAGGAAGACAGAAAGTTCGTTAGGACGTTGGAGTTGTTGGGAGAGCTCTATGACAAAGATGAAGATGCGCGCAGTTTGATTTTCGTCGAGCGGCAAGAAAAAGCTGACAAGCTTCTCAAGGAATTGCTACAAAAGGGTTACCCCTGTATGTCAATTCATGGTGGAAAGGATCAGGTCGACCGTGATTCCACCATTTTAGACTTTAAGGCTGGTGTGGTTCCAATCATGATTGCTACCTCAGTTGCCGCGCGTGGTCTAGACGTCAAGCAGTTGAAGTTGGTGATCAACTATGACGCGCCCAACCATCTTGAGGACTACGTTCATCGCGCTGGCCGAACTGGCCGCGCTGGTAACAAGGGTACTGCCGTAACTTACGTCACCAGTGAACAGGATAGCAGTGCCTACTGTATTGCAAAGGCATTAGAGCAGAGTGGCCAATCTGTACCAGATGAGGTCAAGGCTTTACAAAGGGCCTTTCAAGAGAAACTCAAGGCTGGTAAAGCCCGAGACGCTTCCGGTTTTGGCGGAAAAGGCCTGGATCGATTGGATCAGGAGAGGGAGGCTGCACGATTGCGCGAACGGAAGACTCATCGCAATGAAGGTGAAGAAGATGAAGAGAACGAGGAGGATAAAGCCGCCGCAGACAAGAAAGCCGACAAAGCCCTGTCAGCCATCCAGCAAGCTGCTTCTGATATCAAATCGCGTGATTCTGCACCAAAGCCAGAGGTCGCGGTTCCAGATCTGGAGCCAAAGTTCACAATCCACAAACGCGAGGTTCCACCACCAGGTACGGCCAACAACCCACTGGACAAGGTCTCCTCCGCCAGAGATGCCATCAATGCCCGCCTCGGTAAATCCGGCCAGCTTCGTCCTGGTCAACCAATTGACAACAAGGGCCCGGATGCTGGTGCTTTCCACGCCACATTAGAGATCAACGACTTCCCCCAGAAAGCCCGTTGGGCTGTCACAAATCGTACGAATGTTGCCAAGATTCTTGAAGCAACAGGTGTGTCGATCACGACCAAGGGTAATTTCTACCCTGCTGGAAAGGAGGTGCCAGCTGGGGCCGAACCTAAGCTCTACATTTTGGTGGAAGGTGATACGGAAGTGGTCGTGTCTACTGCGATGACAGAGCTCACTCGCTTGCTCAAGCAAGGTACTGTAGCTGCAGTGGATGCAGAGAGTCGCGCGCCGATAGGCAGGTACAACGTTGTTTAGTCATCCTCGCTGAGGCATGGTCTTGAAGAACGCATACAAGCTGACTCGAATCATCGTTGACCTGGCATCAAACCCCGGAAAGAAGCACAATACGCCGAGTACAGCGTCAGCTCATCGATGCAATGTAATGATCTTGTTCAAAGTTAACTAGAAATTGATTATATTAATCTCGTCAGAAAGGCAGTCGCTTGCAATCAAAATTGACTTTCCGGATCTCTTCCCTCCCAAAAGTGAATGCTAGTCGTAGTTCCTCGCTTGTGCGGCTTGGTCTGCCTCCCGGGCTCGAAGCTCATTCTGGCTGGCTTCATTAAGCGTATCCTGCCGCGTCTGCCTCTTCTGCGCCTGCAATTGCTCACTTAACTTTCCTGTAGTCTTCTGTGCCGCTTTAGCCCTCGCCTGGGCCCAAATGCGTTAATCAGTGCTGTCGTCGACTTTTCGCTTCGTTGGGAGGAACTCACCTCGGCAGCTTCTGCAGCCTTTCGTCTCGCGTCAGCGGCAGCCTCGCCGCCGGCGTCTTGACCGCTCGCACTCCCACTGCCCCCCAGTGTCCGTGGTGGCCCGCCGACTTTCCGTGACTGCGGCACGGGGGCGCGCTCAGGTTGCGGAGGTGCACTGCCTAGAGAGCGTCCCGGTGTCTGGAAGTTGTCGCTGTCGGCTTTCCCGCAGCATTGCCCCATCTTGAGAGCGGTGTGATGCGTTTGCGATGCGGTGGACGGGGGACTTATTGGATGGCCAGGGCTCGGGGGCTACCTACGAGGAAGGCTATAATAGATGATTGGTGGGGCTACGTGAGTGGTGAATGTAAACTGAGCTATGGGAATGCGAAAGACAGGACCCGGGTAGGCTTCGAGATACTCTCGATAGGATGCTTATGGTTGGATTTGGTGAATGAAGAAAGATGGCCCAATACTGCGGCACCTTGCGACGAAGGTGTGGAAATGTGCGCGCAAAGGGAGGGAAGTTCGAGAGAGATAGACCCCGGATGAGGATGCCGTCCAGTTTTGCGACAGATGCGAGCCAAGAGATAGTCATGCGGGGGCAAGCTTCGAGAACGATTCTAAGCACAGCCTCAACTTGTTGCACTCGATGCTCCGGTGCCTTCTTTTGCTTCTTGGACTTTCTTCTAGTCTAGACTAAGCCAGTCTTTCTACAGAGCGTTTGTAGCACTGGCGACTGAGATATAGGCATGACTCCCGACGTTAATGGCTCTGGAGGGGAACGTCCAACCATATAGGTAGGCCAGCTATCAGTTCAGGTTACGGACGCGAAGGATGAATTGTAATACGGTGTAGATAAATACAATATCGCTATTATATGTCGAATCTTCGACGAGCCATATCGTGCGTCGCTTCTTGCATTTCTCGGCGAACCTGTGAGTTTCTCTGGAGGAAGCGTACCTCCAGCACAGTGGTTGAAATGCAGCGGATGCATGCGGGAGTATTCCGCGCTGATCGGTGGTCGGGGAGTGCTTATTGCGACAAAGCTGCCAAAACTTCAACCTTGACAACAGAAGGTACTCAATTCCCAGAAACGCAGTTCGCGCCCAGAACCTGGTCGTCTCAACTACGACAACAATGGCTGCCGAACAGGATGTCGAGGACCTCAAGTCCAACAAACGCAGTCACTCAGAGTTCACAGGACCAAATGACGGCGGTATGTGTTCCTCCGTCGAGCTTTCCTTCCGGTTGTTTACTTACACACACTAATGTCAATTAGACAGCTCCTCAGATGATGACATGGGTCCTCAGCTGCCCTCCGTGGCAGCGCCCAAGAAGAAGCGCAGAGTCCTACCGTACGAGAAGCTCTATATCTCAGCACTACCTAAAGGCGCGCGATACTCGAAATCCTTGATGCACAAGGAGCAGCTATCCTTCGTCACCGTTACGCCCTTGACCGAATTCCTCATCACAAGCTCCGTTGACGGTGTTGTCAAGTTTTGGAAGAAACAGGCGCAGGGTATAGAGTTCGTCAAAGAGTTTAAAGCCCACAATGGCGAGATCAGATCAGTCTCCGTCAGCCAGGATGGACGAAGTTTTGCGACAGCCGGCGAAGACAAGACCGTTAAGATCTTTGATGTGTATACTTTCGACCTCCTCGCAATGCTGCAGCTCGAATACACGCCAAAATGCATATGCTGGGTGCACAAACGCGGTGCCTCTTTGCCAATATTGGCTGTGTCAGACGAGGCGAGGCCTTTAATCTACATCTACGACGGAAGAGGAGAGAGCCCGGCACCCATACATACCATCAAAGGACTGCACAAGAGTGCGGTGAGCATCATGGCTTTCAATGACGCGCATGACTGTGTGGTCTCTGCAGACGAAGGCGGAATGCTCGAGTACTGGAGCCCTGGCTCCAACTACGAAAAGCCAGAGAACGTGTTTCAATACAAGAGCTCTACTAATTTGTTCGACTTCAAAAAATCCAAGTCGGTGCCTGTGTCTTTGAGTATGTCTCCATCGGGACACCAGTTTGTGGCATACTCTTTTCCTGACCGCAAGATACGAATATTCGAGTTCGCCAGCGCAAAGCTCTACAGAACATACGACGAGTCTCTGCAGGTCATCGAGGAAATGCAACAGGCCGGCACGGCAAAACAGAAGCTGGATCCCGTGGAGTTTGGCAGGCGCCGCGCAGCTGAGATCGAGATCGAATCACCAGCCTTGAGAAACAAGGCCAACGTCATTTTCGATGAGTCGGGCAATTTCATCCTGTACGGATCAATATTGGGCGTCAAGGTCCTGAATACCTTCACAAATCACATCGTCAAAGTGTACGGTAAGGATGAAAACATGCGGCCGGTCAATCTGGCCTTGTATCAGGGACAGCCTCAAAAGAAAGGATTGACCACCGTTGCCATGGCGGCATCGGCAAATCCTCTGCTCCAGGAGGCAGAGTCGCGGGACCCTATCCTTATCACAACCGCAGTAGGAAAAGTACGGTTCTACATGTTCACGGATGATGAGGAGATCTCCAAGTCCGAGCGTGATGTTCAGAACGAGAAACCAACGATGCTCGGGGGCAAGAAAACGGAACAGAAGAAGCAGGCTGAGACGGGAACTGCTGCTGTTCTTCACACAACGTATGGCGACATCCACATAAGGTTATTCCCAGATGCTGCGCCGAAAGCTGTCGAGAATTTTGTCACTCATGCGAAGCGGGGTTACTACAACAACACGATCTTCCACCGAGTGATCCGCAAGTTCATGATCCAATGTGGAGATCCTCTCGGCGATGGCACCGGCGGCGAGAGTATATGGGGTAAGGAGTTCGAGGATGAATTCAGCACCTTGAAGCATGATAAGCCCTACACGGTCAGTATGGCCAACGCTGGGCCAAACACTAACGGTAGTCAATTCTTTATCACAACCGAGAAGACGGTAAGCCACAGCCCTTGATGGAATGTGGGTTTGCGCGAGTCAGCTAACACGCGATACTAGCCGTGGCTTGATAACAAGCATACCATTTTTGGACGGGCAATGCAGGGACTCGATGTCATCCATAAGATAGAAAACGTCCGGACGTATAAGGAGAAGCCAGAAGAGGACATCAAGATACTCAACATAGACATAGCATAGCGCACGAGAAATGAAACCAAGCCCCCCCCCCCTTCACGCGCAGACAGTAGCTCAATAGCTAGTAGGATGGGACTGTGGGCTGTACTCCGTTGCGTAGGGAGGAGCGAGTAGCGGGCGTGGGGCCAATGCTACTGTGGCTCACTAAGATATTCTAGACCAAGACCAATGAAGACGTCCTCTGCAGGGCTCGGCCAATCGCTGCCAGGAACTTATTGCTAGGCGGAGGTGCATGTCCTTAGACTCACTCCAGTACTCCAGTACTCCAGCACTGCTTGAGCTGTGAGCTCGATAACGAGTGGCGGGCCCCACCATCGACCTTGGCTCGCCTGCCTTAGTGAATGCAGCTTCAAGCCGGCCTGGGGATCGGCCTTATCTCCCTTGTCCCCTGCGATGCCACTGCACTTCCAAATCTGCATACGTGTGTGTGGGCGTGTCCGCGTGTGAGGAGCCCGGCTCTTCAACGACTCGACGTCAAGAAATCAAAACACTTAATGCAGAATCGTATCCCCGTCATGAAGGTCAAATCGTAGGCTGATGCGTGTATTCCCTCATCTGTTGGAAAAGGCACTGCATGTGACGATGCCTTGGCCATCTCGCTTTCCCCTCAGCAGAAAACCCTCACGCTTGCGCCTAGTTGATATTCCCCACCTGGTTGAGTGAGAATTGTCTGTTTATTGCTCGTGCAGCAGGGCATTTGAAATGCCTCGTCCCAAGAAGCCTGGAGCACCTGAGCCTAAAAGGAGGAGTCGGAATGGTTGCTGGTAAGGCTGCTCGTGACATTTGCCCTTTTTGTCGGCCCTGTATGGACGGAAAAGACCCGACTGACAATCTCCAGGCCCTGCAAGAACCGAAAAATAAAATGTGGCGAGGAGCATCCAACTTGTGTCAAGTATGTATGACCCTCTGCACTCAAGGACTAGATGCCGCCGAATGGAATTATTGCTTGAATGCATTCCTCGCGGCCGCTGGCTACATCCGCGCGTCTCTGCATTTGCCTAACTAACACTGTCTCTGTTAGCTGCCAGAAGGCCGGCGAGACATGTGACTATAGCATCCGCCTCAACTGGGACGGACGGCGGGGGAAGAAACCTGAGCCGGGGACCATCGACTTCAGTCAAGAAGTCCCGTCGCCCACAGTTCCGGCGAAGGGTTTCAAATTAGTCCATCAATTTCCAACGTCAAACAACACCTCGACTCGCAAGCTAGAGCCGCTGGTTTCTCCTGACAGCTCATCAAAGCCAGATTCAAACTTTACAACACCCAGTGCAGATACATCGAGTACAGCATATGATAGCCCATCGGACCAATTTCAGGTGCCTAACAAGCGTATCAAGCTAGACTCGGGCTCGGTGCCTCGCGAATCGTCGGAGAAGAGACAGTATTCGTCTCCTTCATCAACTGCCGATGTTGGCACACCAGCATACGGGTTTCCTGTTTCCAATGCTTCCGCTTCCGCGTCCCCTCTGACGCCGGCTGCTTCCTCAGTCTATAGCGACGGGGGACCGTCACGGCATGCTCCGCGATCGGAGCCCTCGCCTCATCTCATGTCACCTGACCTCAGGAGAATGTCGGTGCATTCCTTGATATCTGGACATGGGCGGCTACAGGATGAGCAAGGTGGTTACCAGCACCTGTCCCCAAGTCAGTGGGAGTCTTTGCTGCCATCACATCCGAATGGACCTAAGCTCTATGGTGTCGATCGCGGCCTACCGGATCTTGACCTTGGGAAGAACGACGACGAGAATGCCATTGGGACAGGATACACACCCCTCAGCCAACGAGATCGTATTGAGACTCCCGAAGGCGACTTTGATAATGATTTGTTCTCGACGGATTTTTCGTTTGGGTTCGAGGCAACCGATGCGAAAGGAGAAACTAAAGGCTACTATGACAAGCCGGTCGAGATCTTCATACCTCAGTACTTGGAGCCACTACCCACGAAACTTATCAAAAATCCCATGAACCTTCTCTACTTCCATCATTTCATCAACCATACGGCAAAAGTCCTTGTACCCTACGACGACGCTCATGCGAATCCTTTCCGGACAACACTTCCTCTTATGGCGCTTCGCAACGAGAATTTGCTCGCTCTCATCCTCGCGTATTCTGCTTCTCATCGAGCACGGCTCCTCAGGCACCCGGAACCAAGCTTGCGAATCGCGTTTTGGGTTGAAGACATATTCCCGGCTTTACGACAGGCGTTATCAGATCCCGGTCAGAACTTTTCTGATGCGAACGTGGCAACTGCCATCATGCTAGCATCGCTTGAGATCGTCTCACCCAAAGTGTTCGGCTACTCGATACCGTGGCAGAAACACCTTAGCCTTGCCAGAGAGTTGATCAAAGGTCGGCCAGGCGGTCTACATTACCAGAACAACTTTCGGCAAGACCACGTCTGCTCGTTCCTATGGAGTTGGGCAGCCTATCTCGACGTTATGGGTAGCTTGACTGGAGGGCCGAAAGACTCGTCAACTGCATGGATGTTTGACTACGAGTTGGAAGACAAAAATGACGGCTACGATGAGATTGAATGTATTATGGGCTTCACCACAAGATGCGTCTACCTGCTAGCGAAAATCGCGGATTTGGCTCGAAAATGTGATATTGAGCGCATCGACCCGAACAACAAAATACGGGCGGACTGGAAGCCAAGTCACGACGCGTTGGAAATAGCATACAAGCTCGAAGCTGACGTAAAATACAGCATGAATCGGCCTATTACGCCTTGTAAACATATCCTTGCTGGTGGCAACGTTGATAAATGGGATCGAGTTGAGCTTGCTGCCACAAACGAAGCCTTCCACTGGGCTGGGTTGATCCACCTCTATCGGAGAATACTTGGCAGGCCATCGGAAGATCTACATGTTCAGATTGCGGTTCAAGAGATCATCTCCTGTTTTTCAAGAATTCGAAGGGGAGGGAGTGCGGAGGCTTGCTCGCTCCTCCCGATCTTTACTGCGGGCTGCAACGCCAAAGATGCTGCGCAGCGGGCGTTTGTCATTGAGCGACTTGGTGCTGGTGAGAACCAAGTAAATTCAGCAGTCCTCAAGGTACGTTCAAACAGCCTATGTCTTTCTTACGTTGGGTTTGTCTAACTTGACCAAAGGTACACAAAGCTAAAAGAGTTATGGAGAAAGTGTGGGAGACTGGGCAACCATGGGAGACATTACTGAGCACGGAGTTTATTGGATAGATTGGGGCCTATGGCTGGAAAAAAAAATCGGAATTTTACAGAGGTATTATCTGGCGCAATAAGACGGATCGGGATCTACAATGTGCCCAAGGGTGGCAATTTGTATGGGAAATGAACTACGTCGAAAAGGCACGTGGGCTCGCTGCTACTTGGCTTGCTGGGACAACAGGTTGAACAGGATATTCAGTTTTCTCGGATTCGGATGAGAAAATCCGTCGGTGGTTATGTACGAGAGTTCGCAAAAAGGCGAAATAGGCTATGCTTTCCAAAAAAAAATTTGTACACATTTCTGCGTTGATGGAACATTATAAGCTCGCCTTCAGATCCCCGGGATATGACACCCTTCGTAAGTTTGTCTTGTTCAGTTCCGACACGCTCTTGACCCCAGTAAGACCAAGTGTTTGGTCAAGGTCTGCCAAGATGGACGCGAGCACGTGTTGTGCGCCTTCCTGGCCTCCTAAACCCAGCCCATACATTACCGGCCTTCCAACAAGTACAGCCTTGGCTCCCAAACTCAAGGCCTTGACGATATCCGCACCTGTCCGTATTCCCGAGTCAAACAGAACAGTCATCTTGTCTCCTACGGCCTCCACAATCTCTGTCAACATGTCCAGTGACGCCACCGCACCATCACACTGCCTTCCGCCGTGGTTGCTGACGATGATGCCATCCATACCCGCCTGCAAGGCCAGTACTGCATCTCTCGAGTCCTGGATCCCCTTGAGCACTATCGGTCCGTCCCAGTGCTTCTTTAACAGTTCCAAGTCCTTCCACGGATGGCTGTCGCCCGAAAACGCCTCCCGAATCCAATACCGCGACGCCTCCATCACATTGTCTTCGGGGGTCGCGCCGTCTGCCTGTTCGGCGAACTTTTTCCTGAACACGGGGTCCGTAAATCCCACGGTATTGCCCACACCAGAGATGAACGGCAGGAAAGTCAGGTCCAGGTCCGCAGGGCGCCAGGACATGGTCGCCGTATCGAGCGTCACAACCAGAACCTTGAACCCGGCCGCTCTCGCGGTCTTGAGGATGGAGCCAGTGATCTCGTCGTCCATGGGCCAGTACAGCTGGAACCAGCACGGGTTATCACCGGACGCCTCGGTGATTTCGTCGAACGTCGACGTCGACGCCGTCGACATGATGAAGGGCACGCGGAGCTCGGCACACGCGCTCGCGGTACCAATCTCCCTGTCTGCATGGTAGACGGACTGCACGCCTATCGGTGCCTGGAGAACTGGTGTTTCTGTATGTTTTCGTCAACCCTCGGCACCACGTCTCCCAACTGACGAATGTATTTCGGGGGGCGCTTGGCCGTCAAACTCACCATACGTCTCCCCAAACAACTCGACCCTCAGATCTCGAGGCACCGTCGGTCTCAGCATGCGCGGGACGATCTTCCACTGTCGGAACGCGAGACGGTTCGCGTCCATGGTGGCACCCTCGCCCGCGCCGCCGGCGATGTAGTTGAAGGCCTCGGGCTTCATGGCCTTCTGGGCCTGCTCGCGCAGCTTGTTGGGGTCGGTAGTGATCGAGGGCTTGATGCCGCCGAAGATGCCCTGCGCGTAGATCTGGAGCTGGTATTGCCCGTAGGAAGGCGTGGTTACGCCATCATCACCTAGGCCACCCATTTCCTTTTCCTCTTCTCCTCTTTTTCCTTTTTCTTTTCTTTATGTAAAGGATAGCTTGCGTGTCGTTGTTGGGATCTCACGAATGATAGGTAAACTGGTCTAATCAAAGATGACAGGACATGCGTGTATCCTAGTGAATTAACGATGTCCTTCGGACTCTGACAAATCTGTCCAAAGCCTTGTCGATAAAACACGCATATATATAATTACAGCTCCTGCGGAAAGCACTTCGGCGAGCGTGGATGGACAGGAACCAAGCTGGACAATGACAATGACAGTGCTCTGGTAACCGGATGTTATACATCCGATGTAAGCAAGCCCAACTTTTTGCGGGGAGCCCTGTAAGTGGCATTTGACAGGTACCTCGGTCCAATACCTTCAGGTTAGACTAGGTTAGTCTAGTGTGTGATCTGCGGTGCTCAAGAGTTCAGCTCTGACGTTATGTCAGTTGATCAACTGCTCTCCTCATACAGTGTTTCCCTCCGAAGCTGATTGCATGAACTCTGTGGTATTAGTATATAAGATTTTGGCTTTCGTGGTGGAGTTGCTAGCTAGCTCAAGGATGCGAGGTACAATCCAGTAACCTAGTGGTTTGACACCGTCGAACAAGTGATGTCATATCGATAGACCGCTTTGATATAAACTACATCCAAGCGGGTGTGTTTTCAGTGAGACAAGATCCATTCCGATGTACCGTAAGCGGTCGACCGATCGAAAGTATACAGTATGTGGTGTGGGCTCACAGGCTTTGCGTACAGCAGACAGTAAGTAGCATGGAGATTTACACCATGTCTGACCCCCTGGACCTGGGCCTGTAATACCTGTAAGCTTGCACTGTAGCTGTGACTGGAGACCTACCACCTACCTAAGGTTAGTTAGTCTAGGTTGACAAGTTAGCGGGTCTGAAGCCATCCATCCATTCCACTGGTTCCGCACCAACCCTGCCGAGTGCCCCGCCCCCGCTATCGCCGCCGACGCGCCCGGAATTAGAATTGATTCAACAACTGAGATACACGTCCTGCTGAGACTCGAGCATCGAGGGCCATTGGCTTGTTACCATAAATCGAGATACAGTTGTTTTGCTCACCCGCTGTCCAGGACACCTCGTTCAAGAGTCAGAGCAACAGGGCCATGGATATCGACGACATCCTGCGCGAGGTCGACCCGACCGAAAATGCGATTCCAGACGAGACACGCGATCTCCAAATGTTGACACGCGCCTGGACAGCTGAGAGATCGGCCCCTGAATTGCTCGAGTATGTCTCCAGCCACCCATTGACGGAATGTCAGAAATGCAATGCAAAGCAAAGCAAAGCGAACGAATGGAAGAAAGAAAGAACGAACGAAGGCCAAGAAGCCCGTACTAACAACCTGCCCCCTCTCCTAGCTGGCCGGCAGACGGTCTATTCGAACGCATCAACGAGCGCATAAAATCGCAGATAGAGACCATCGAAGACATGACGGGCGACATGGATCCCAAGACAAACTTCGCCCTCATCGTCCTGCAAACCGAGCTCGAGCGCTTCAAGTTCCTCGTACGTTCGTACCTGCGCGCCCGCCTGGCCAAGATCGACCGCCACACGCTGCACTACCTCTCCTCGGCCGCCATGAGGTCGCGACTATCCCAGACCGAGCTTGCGTACGCCACGCGGCATCAGGCCCTGCTGCATAATCATTATCTGAGTAGCTTCCTAGGGAGTTTCCCAAACAATCTGCAAAACCTAAACGATACAAGCGGAAACATCACAATGATTGATGCGCCGGATGTGGAATGTGCCGTCTTCGTGAGATTGCTTCGGGACGGCATGGTCCAGGGCAAGGGTGTGGACGCCGATGGTATACAGGAGGGCAAGGTTGGAAACATATACATACTACGATGGTCAGACGCCAAACCATTAGTGGATATGGCGAGGGCTGAGTTGGTATGAGAAATCACCATCTCAGTTCGGGCGTCCAGCCACCCAAAGCGGTGCGAACAACAAGTGCTCATGGCTCCCGTAAAGATGGGCAACCATACTCTTTCACCCAATGTGATTGGCGCCGAAAGGAATCCAGAGAAAAGTATGACCGCACTGTCCAGGTATGTTGTAGCTGTCACTCAACTTCCCTATCGATGCTAATGCCAGCCAGATTATATATCATATGAAGCGCCAAAGAAAAGACGAACGAAATAAAAAGGCTTTCCGTTTGCTGTCTGGGCAAACAATGCAGGCAGAATGAAGCAGGTCCGTTTTGTGCCCACCATTGGCCTGGGGAACCAGACGTGGACGTCATGCAGTTTAGCCCCTCCATCGTTGTTGGGAAGACGGTGTCTATTCAGTCTACACTCTCTTGCCCTGCTTCAAAAGATCGGAAACCTTTGGGGGCAATACGAGTGCGCTTCTGTCGTTGCGCTTGTGGAAATCTACCAGCGAAATTGCTGTCTTCTCGGGAAGATCCTCGTGGATGAAGTGACCAGCTTCGGGAAACACTTGCAGATTGTATTTGCCTTTGAAGAATTAACGACCGGGCATATTGCCAGTAGAGTTACGGGAGTAACGTACCTTGCATTTGGCCAATTGTCAGCTCCGTGTCCAGCCTATCTGTCCCGGCAAGTAGTAGTAATTTTCCACCTCGTGCGCTGAGGAATTTCTTGCTTAGACCCACGAACCAATTCTCCCAAAACGGCTGTGTGCTTGCGAGATCCGTTCTCCATCTCCATGGCCTCGGATCTCCTTCTTTGGTTGAATGCGTTAACAGTGCTGGCACACTTGTGCGGGCCGACACCGCATTGCGAACTGTCCTTGACCTTACGTGCCATTCTATACCGGCCTCGAGGCTAACAAACCCGGTAGGCCGTGTAGACAAATATGTCTGCATACTCTGCAGTGCATCTATAGCCGAACCTTCTACTACATCGAGCACTGCATATCCAAGCAGCGAATTTCCGAGTTCGCCTGACTTGGCCAATTCCGTCACCACTGCACCACCGAGTGAGTGGCCGACGAGGATGATTGACGGGAGCTCCTGCCACTTCATCTCCGCCTTGGTTTTGATAATCACAGCCAATAAGTCATTGGATAAAGTAGTAAGACTCAAATCGAGCTCACCACCGGGCGCAGTGGTCTCACCATGGCCTCGTGCGTCGTGAGAGAGGATGCCAGCTGTCGGTAGCCGCTTTCGGATCTCAGAACCGACCACCGCAAAGGACAGTCCGGATGAGCCTGCGCCGTGATGCATGACAAACAGTGGCCCCTTGCCCACCGGCGAACTTAGGTATGCGTGCAGCGTTAGACTGGACGCATTATCCCCGGGGCTTTTGAGAAATAGTTCCCTCTCAAAGTACGTAGTCCAGGGTATCTGGGTCAATGCACGCCCTCTTGGTACACTGCTTGGGGAGTCAGCATCAGACTGCCGGCCGTATGGAGAATCACAATAGCTTTTACCCTTCTGGTCGTGCGAACAAGTTTCTGCTTGGCGAGGGTATTATAGTGCCTGTAGACGACGCAGAAGATGCTGACGAGGAATCGTCTTCGATGGGTATTTCAGGCAGGTCCCCGATGTAGCTGTCCTGCTCCTCCCGTTCATCAAATGCATCTGGACTCACGCCAGCACTGAGCCTGGATTTCGCCCAAGCTCTCTGGAGGTCGCTCATTGCTATGAATGACGGAGCGGTCACTCAGAGTCGGAGGATTTATAGTCGTTATAGCCCAACCAGCCAAGCGATCCGATGGAATGCCTTAGCAACAGCTGCCGGCGGGCGGGGGCCGTAGGGTCGCGGAAGCTGAACTCTTGGAACCACCAGTACTGATATCTCTTGAAGCTGAAGCAGATAATACGCAATGGCCTCAAAGCGCGTCCAGGAAAGATCTCATCATGGCTACTTGTTTCAAAGGAGGCGGCGCTGTTTGCAAGGTTTGGTGCGGCGTCCCTGGTGGGGTTGACATCATCCCACCTGGACCCCGGATTTCTCAAGTTAGCTCTCAACGGATTTCATGTTGGCATTTATCACCGTTTCGCCATAGGAAAAATAGAAGAAAAAAATTGGACCTCAGCGGCATAATCAGCCTAGGAGAATCTCGTAAACCACTACTTGATAGAGAAGTCATTCCAATCTACTGACAATTCATTGGAGCATTGACCGTACTTATTCTCTACCGGGCTAAGTCATAAGCGCCTCGCCTCTTCGCATGATTAGGATGGCACAAATCTATGCAGAAAAAGAAATCACTGAAAAGAAATATACGCAAAAAGGCATTATCTCGACTGGCTAAGGAGATTAAATTCACGCTGAAACTTAGAACAACATCTGAACTATATTTGGTCCCTGTCAACGAGCACCGGTCGAACAGCTGGCCGTTATCAACCGGCTTGCTCAAGAATGATTATCGGAAGGATTTCCTCCTGTTAGACCTCGAGCCAGTTCTTTCCAACTTGTCCTGTCACCAAAATGGCTCGAAAACTAGTTACCGTACGGCGAATCGGTGCTATCAAACCAATCAAAGGAGCAGATAGGATCGAAGTGGCTGTGGTAGACGGGTGGAATTGCATAGTGAAGAAAGGAGTGTTTAGTGAAGGCCATCTTGGAGTTTTCTTTGAAATCGACAGCTTCCTTCCCAGTACCGACCTAAGATGGTCGTTCCTAGAAAAGAGCTTCACTAATTGGATAAATGGTCTCACGGGTTTCCGAGTAAAGAGCACCAAAATGAGAGGTCAGATATCTCAGGGGCTGCTTGAGCCTCTTGATATGTTTCCCGAGATCGGCTCGGTCCTTAAAGAGCTCGAAGACAAGCACGGCAAGGATGCAGTAGAAAGGCTGGTTCGGGATATGTCCTTCGAAGACGGATTGAAAGTGGTAAAATGGGAGCCCATGGATAGCACTTCAGGACGAGGCAATGGGAATGCACTGAACACAACGGTGCCCTTCCCGGCTTTTCTCAATAGAACAGATCAGGAGCGGGCACAGAATCTTCCACGCATGTTCGATGAGTGGACAAATGAGATGTTCCAGGAGACAACCAAGATGGACGGTTCTTCCATGACTGTCTACTTCCTGCGTAAGGACTCTGACAAGACACAGCTACTTCCAGAACTGGGCACTAGTCCGGAGCAAACTACGACTCTCCCGGGCGGCCGCTTCGGTGTGTGTTCCCGACACGTAGATCTGGGAGAGCACGATGCTAATGGCCGGCGGTTCTGGGAGGTCGCCAAAAGGAACAACTTTGCCACAAAACTTTCGGAACTGAATCGCAACATTGCATTGCAGGGCGAGCTTTGCGGCGATTCCATTCAAAGAAATTTCGAAAGCTTTCCAAAGAACTTCCATGACTTCTTTCTCTTCTCGGTTTGGGATATTGACGAGCAGAAGTATTTGAAACCCAAAGAAGCAGAAGTCATGGCAACCAAGCTCGGAGTAAGGCATGTCCCGGTGCATGGGTATTTCTATCTTCGTGATATCGCAACGAGCGTCGACGAATTGCTTTCCAGGGCCGAGGGGAAGGGCCTACGCGGAAAGAAGAGAGAGGGGATTGTTTTAAAGCATAGTGATGGAGGCATCAGCTTCAAGGTGATATCGAACTCATACCTCTTGAAGCACGGCGAATAAGACTATATACACACGTTGCCACTTGACGAAGGCCATATAGTTTTGACATCGTGACTAAGGGGTCAGTCACAGTGGTACCTTGAAAGCCGCCTCATGCCGCAGACTATGGATCTGAAAGTGTTACAGCGATGACTTCTACTCTCTATACTACGTAGAAATTTATACATTCCAGAAAGATTATTTCCGTCTAATAAATGACATACTCAGAATCGAAAACTAGATCTTGAAGTTGTAAAGCCTCAGATTGATTAGTGTATAAGTCAACGCCAATTCAGATGATCGAAGTCCAATTCTATGTTACCCACCAGTGCCTTTCAAGCAGCGTTAGATATGCCTTTACGATCGAAATCCAATATCCAGGCAGGAACCTGTCTCTTCATAGCCCATTCTCTGATAGCTTCAAAGTTACGACAAGTCCTTGTTGACCACACCAAAGGGAAGACGTGATAGTCGTCGTCGGGATGATGGATCCACTTGATAGGCGTGACATCAGATGTACATTGTAAGGATTGTCTCAGTGAGTCGATGCAATGATCTGTCGAATATTCTTATGTCAGCAAAAAAGAATTTTGGCCGAGGTGCGTAGAGTCGAAAAATGGTTGTACTAACCGATATGGAAGGACTGCGTCGTGTTGTGATTTACAGTCCCGTTCTCGTAGTGGTCCCACATCTCGGGATACTGGTCCGGGTATGCGACTTTGCGCAGCATGTTCAAGCAGTGGAGATCGTGAATCACTTGGAGCTCGATGAGATGTATGTCATCGGCCAATGGGGCTGTCACAGTAGCATTGAGCAGCTTCGAGGCTTCCTCCTTGGTAATTCCGGATGTACCGTCTACAAAATCATAATCAGTCAAGCAAATACCATAAAGGCAGTCGAAAAGAAACAACCCACTCACAATCGTACAAGTCTGCCCACATAATATCAAGGTTCTCTTTATCGGTCCCAAGCCAGGGACTCCTGTTGAAGAAGTAAGGCGTGGAACTATGTGTTTCGTACTTGACAATCTCATTTGCGGGTGCTGCCGTACGCGGTCGGTCAGCATAGATCAAAGGTTGAGTTGAAACTCCCTGGACATCTTACACCATAAGGCAAGAGTAGGATCTTGGCAGGTAGACGGCCGCCACATCAAGAGTAGCAGCATGATTGCTTCGAACACAACAACTATATATAGAATGACAGAGTGTAACGAGCTGGTTACTTTTGACTTTGTCTTCAATGGTCTTGGCTGCGTTTCCAAGAAGGGCTGACTGTCAAAATCGTCGAGGAATTCTTCGGAGCACGGAAGAATGACGGCTCCATCATGTTTGCGAATGGAATCCATTTGGTAGCAGTAGACCAGGAGTAGTGTCGAACGATCTGTGGTTCTTAATTCATATGGCTTATTGCACAATTGATTCTGAAACGGATGCCCTCTTCGCAGGCTACACTGCAGTCGTGAATACAGACAACTAGAGCGGCTTCAATGGAATTTAAAATAAAATAAAAGAAAGAAAAAGTGAAGTGTAGAGGGAAGAGCAGAGGAAGGAAAAATGAATCAGTTGGTCCTGCAGTGTCATAGAGTTTGTACGTCAGCCTGAAAAGGGGTAAATGATGTAGTGGACTCGAGATGGAAGCACTGCACAGGACTCCCAGATCAAACCAGTTGCCGGAACGGCCAGGATCTGCAAGTAGGACAATACGAAGCCAACACGGCAGGGTTTTGACTAGGCAATATGACCAGAGCCTAGAATATGGCAATCCACATCGTTAAGTGGTCTGTCGTTTGACCTCATATGAATTACGTAGATATAATATTATATTACGGTTTAGACTTCTGTGCCGAGTTAATGTGATCCTATTCATCCCAAGTTTCTATGCATAACAGTGACCGTATTTATGGATATCCCCAGAACTTCCTGAAATCATTCCAGGTTACACAGGTATGCGGAAGATATGTGAGATCAGATAGAGTTCTATCTAGTGTGGTGTGTACCATTCGGCTGAGAATGGCTGGTTCTTTCTTGCAATGCTCCATTGTTGGTTCATTCGACTGGTGATAGGCCTCTTGACATGGATTTAGTCTCCCCCAGGTTAAATTACATTAATGGTTGACCAATAGACGTCGTTGGTTGGTGCATCAACCAATATCCAGTATGAAGCAAACATGGTCTCGAACCTGTGAGACGACCCAGTCTCCTGGTACTGTGCCGCATTTTGCCATTGAAATGCACTCACAGCTACAAGGGTCGTAGAAGCCGCAAAATCAACTAATGTTAGACCTACCCTCTTTCATGGGACTTGCATGAAATACACCTCGGAATTTCTAGAGATAATGACTGGTCTGCGATCTCAAGCGAGAATCTTATTCATCGCAAGTAAGCAAAGAACGCCATAATTCCGATACTCTGATATCGAACATTGGCACCCAAAAATTGATATCATAAGTGGAAGTAGAAAGCGTATGGAAAGCATGTTGGCCCTCATCTTGATTGGGGAAGGAATGAATATATGATGTTTTCACAAGCAAATTACAAGCCGGGGAGCCTGGCCGGACCATACAAGGATATACTGAAAGGAAATGATGTACATTTTTGGTTGCTTTAGACCAACAGAGTTCTTGTCAAAAAGGAGATAGTGAGTGTACCCTAAGTTAGCATTGCTTTGGTAGATATATAAAGTCATCTCGATCATTAACTTCCTCAACATGGTTTCCACACAGCAGTACAAACTCCAAATATCCACTCATTGAAGCTCAGCACTAAATAATATACCATCCAGACTCTGCTTCATCTATTATTTTTTCCATATCAACCTTTTACCTTCTACATAGGTTGCTCATCATAGCAGTCAAGCCAATTGTCTTTTGAAAATGCAGCCTCTTGCCTTGTTCCTCAGCCTTGCAGTCATCGCCTCGAACGTGGTAGCTCTCCCAGTCGCATTTAGCAGTTAGTCTACCAACTGTTGCTCGCCCTTCTCCAGTGGGCCTGACCAAATACTGACAATAACTGCGTAAACAGGTGATGTAGTGGCCATCAAAGACGCCCTTGACGCCCTCAAGACCGAGAATCCCGGCACGACTTCTTCAGTTGAGGCAGTGCAAGCGAACGACTACCTATCTGCTGCTTCATGGGCCAAGCGCGATGATGCTACCGTCAACGGCCGAAGTAAGTCTACCAAATCATACTAGAATTTTTCCTACGAGCCTGACCAAGTACTGACAATAACTGCGTAAACAGGTGATGTAGTGGCCATCAAAGACGCCCTTGACGCCCTCAAGACCGAGAATCCCGGCACGACTTCTTCAGTTGAGGCAGTGCAAGCGAACGACTACCTATCTGCTGCTTCATGGGCCAAGCGCGATGATGCTACCGTCGACGGATTTCTTGAGTAGTCGAAGGCTAACCGCCGGGAGATTACCCTGTTGGCTGAGAAGATCCAGATATTTCATTTACACATTCCTTGGACTAGGGGCATTGTCCAGACGTCATAGCTGCCGGATGATCTGGATTATCGTACGCTTTGAACAAAGTGCTCTTCCAATCGGAGCGAGGCTTTTTCAATAATGTTTCCTTGACATTTACATTCTCTTCGTTTCTTGACCCACGGGAGACTGTGAGGCTTTAAACTCTAATTTGTTAGTTCTTGTATACAATCATTATGCGTATTCGCCGCACTGTCACTACCAAGAAGATCCCTGTTTCAATACAAGCGTCCTAACCATGACCTGAAACGACTAGGTTACTTGAATGGGGTACAGCAATATAGGATAACAGCCAAAAAACATTCTGATACGGAATGATAAATGAGACAGCATGGAATACAACTTCATATTTTTCGTACGAATAGCTATATAACAGAGGTTGGGCTAGCACGTTCGCTTGAAGTACTAGGAACCGTGGCGAGCCTTCAAGACCTAGGAAGAGTCCTTCGCCAGTGGACGAAACCATCTTCTGGTCCATCGAAAGACTGGAACCCAGTCTTTTGCAGAACCCTCTGGCTCGCCTTGTTCCCAATCGTAGTCCAAGCACAAATTATTTCCTCAACCCGTAGAGGGGTGCTCTTGTCTTTTATCAATCCAGACAGCGCCACTTCCTCCTTAGCAGTAACAACAGAATTCAACGCGACCTCGGCCTGTTTTTTGGCACGTGGTAGGCTGCACCAGAACTGCACGAATGATAGCGCAAATTCCGAAGCGTATCCTTGGCCCCAGTATTCCTGCTTGAACTTATAGCCGAATTCTGGCCACCCGGTCTGAGTATCTGAGAACTTGTGCACCCCTCCATCACCGATCAGCTCGCCCTCGGCGCCTTCTACCCCTTTGAGATAGACCCCAAAGTATACGTGCGAGCCACTATATGGAGGCTGCAGGCGCATGAGCTTAGCCTCCGTCTGCTCTATAGTATCATCCGGTAGGCCTGTGCGCGATCCAGTCATAGCTGCGGGCTGGCTGCGGATAGTTCGATATGCCTCCAGATCCGTGGGATGAAGCAAAGGGCGCATTATGAGTCGTTTACTCCTGAATGCCTGGATCATGCCATCTTCGAAGTTGGGAAGCGTCGTTAAGACAGTGACTGTTGCCATGGCGAAGATATTGCTGGTGTCGACCTCGGTCTTTGGAGCTGAAATGGGTGCGGATGCTCCGAACTGGTCTCAAAATGGATCTGATTGCACGAGGTCGGGCCGATGGGAAATCAAATTGAATGGTGAAGAAGCGAACAACTTTTGGCCTATGTCGACTCATATTGATCTCCGATTCAACTCCGTGAATATATTGCCTTATCAGGTAACCGCCAAAATAAAACAAATTGCGCTAGAGCTGCTGGCCGTGGTATCGTAAAACGCCAACTCCCCAATACTAAACGCTTCGAATGCAGGTGTCCCAGATACTTCAGTGGCATCGATCTCTCATTTTCGTCACATTCGTAATCATGAGTGCTCCAGAGAGAACTTCATATCTCCACTTGTAGTTCCTCCGCTGCACGTTCCTGTCATGCTGCCCGTCGGACAAACTGTCCTTGCAGCGCGCACGCACTGCTCCCATTTGTCTTTCGAGATGTTGATAATTGCGCCCGCATTGACAGGTTTGAGAGTAAACTTGGCCGATCCTGAATGCCCAATTGTGATAGATGGTTGGCCTTTGCATTTGGTGATAGACCCAGCCATGCCACCACATATCGACAACTGGGCTACGTTCTGATCATGAAAGACAATTCTCCTGAGCCGAGTCAGTAAAGGGTTCATCATCACGCACCACAAAAGTCTAACGTACTTGTTTGAGTCTAAGCATTTGACATCGTAGGCGGCAGAAGGAAATAGAGGCATGGCGGCTCGCATGCTGAGAACCTCGAAATGCTCGTAATCAACTGTGTAGTGCGGCCATACTGGCTTTGCCGCAGCGAAGCTGGCAATCGCAACTAGTAAGATTGTCCTGAACGGGCCAGCAGAGAGCATCTTGCCAAAAGAAAGTGGTGTTGGCTCGTCAGGAAAGGAAAAACAGCGCAACAGATCAGTGGTGTTGCTATGCGAGCTTTGCTACATGTATGTAGTTGGACTGGACCTTTAGTCTACTGGTACCGGGGTCGGCAGCTAATGACGGAGCAGACTTCAGATAGAAAGGAATGGACACGACCAAAAATCGAGAGACGGAGTGATTAGGCCCGCGCGTAGGAGAATATAATGAAGTTGCCCACCGGAGGAGCTACTGTGGGCGGGTGGCATGCATGATAAGTACTCGAATAAGTTTGCGACGATCTGGGGGAAGTTCTGAAAGACGGGACTACCCACCCCTGCGACAAACAGGTGCTATCTTTTCAAACAGCGATGAGGAAGAAAAGTAAATCCTGGGTCAAACTTGACTGATATGCTCGAGGCTCCTTCCTTGCTTGAACGAGCTTGAACGAGCGTGTCGTGTTTGTTGCGGCTTCCATATAAGCCCAAGGTGAGACTTTGGAGTGTTCCTTTCATCGATTAGCGTTTAAATAGTGGAATGATGAGCCGAGAACAGCAATCAAAAGATTAGCATCAACTTACCCGTTCTAAACCACGCGAGAAGAAAAGACGAGTCAGGCCTGCAACCGGGAAGTGAGGTCGATCAGCTAGCCGAGCAGTCCGGCCGCCAGTTTCGTTGCGACATTGCAGAAGCGAACGAATAGGATGAAGACGTTAAGACGAGAGGGACTGAATGTTCGGAGAGGGCTGATTGAAGCTTTGCTGTAGACAGGGGAGTATGTAGTGTATGTGAAACAACTCTAAAAAGAGCCTGATAACGTATAAACAGGGGTCTATAGTAAGTGCCTCATTGGCGAAACGGAAGTGGCTGATGGAATTGTGGGGCGAAATGATGCTTCACAAGCTGGCAAAGTAAGTACAGTAGGTAGCATTAGAACCCTGGATTGGTGAAAGCTTGCCAGTGCTTGGAAGTGGTGAATTGATTAAACTCAGATCGTTGATCCCTCAGAAACACAATTTGCGCATCACACCAAGACACCATGGACTATGATCATATCACCTCATGAGTCTGAAAAGATCAAGGAGTCTTATTATATATGGATACATAGTAGAGCTATAGCGGGTGGGGGTCTACAGTAGTCTGTGTTGAAAATCGACGAGAAAATGTCGGCAACATCCCAACTCAGCTTCGCCAAGCCTTTCTGGTTGGTGGAAAGAAAGCATTGCTCTGTTTCACACCGGATACCAGCACCGTCACCCGAAATGCCACCATCTACAAGCATGGGGGCAAAGCTTGGCACAACCGATGACTTCTTTTTCAAAGCACCAGCTGCCATTTACAGCATGAGACATACCTTATCTCATGAGCTAGTGCCATAAGCTAAGTTACAACATAAGTTACATACATGCAGTTCCTTGTGCAGCTAAGCCAAACACACACCCGTCCTATCGTGAGATCGGCTTTCGTCCACCACAAATGCCACATAGTCCGGCGTCGCTAGCGTTGAGATATTGACTACCTCGACAGGATGCACTTGTGCATTTCCATGCCTGAGGATCTTTTCTGCAATCAAGTACATGAGAACACATAATGCAGACAAGAGAAACCGGCCCATTCTTCATAGAGCACAGTGGACAAACCCCGGCCGAAGCCACTGACGAACTTGCCACGTCGGTAGTATAAGCAATTCTGGATATTTCGCGTGATGTTGGTTCATGGCTTGATTCATTTTGACTTGTGTGACCAAGTCGAAATTGCTTCTCACCAGTGTTTCCATCAGTCCGTGTCTCAGCCTCGCTTTCGCTTGCAGTTTCAATGCCATTTTTTTGCTTAATGGTGCTAAATTGAGGGGAGATAGCGGAAATTGGCCTGGCCTCGGAAATCGCTGATACATCCGAAAGTGGTAGATCTCGCAATCGTAATCGTGCATCGCCTTCTTGCTTGATGGTGGCGGCTTTTCTGGACGATGATACTGATAATTGTTGAGAGACATTCATCGAAGATTGAAGCTCAAGAATTTCATTTTGTGCATCAGCATCCTCTGGGTTCTCGTCCTCACAGACCTTCACCATTCGATGCCCTTTACCGTCCAAGATTCGTGCACCATTGATATCTGTGGCTTCGTTTGTGTCAGCCTCGCTCTCACTTGCCGTTGCTGATCCTATGTCGCTGGCAGCATCGTCCTCATCCTTGATTTTAACTTCGCACTTGATGTCCTCCTGACTCTTCTTTTGATGGTCAAATCGGGCAAGAGCCGCAGCAGCTCTGAGCTCGCGACCACGCTTGCTTTGTGCCACTCTCGGCTTGGCTTGCGACCGTTTGCCATTTTCTAACTCGGCCTTGATTACTTCGTCTTCGCCGAGAGCAACACCATTCGCACCAAACTTCTTCAAAATGCGGCGCTCCTTCTGCTGCTGATAATTGAGCTGATCCTTCGCCTTGCGCTTCCTCCGTCTCGAACGATATGTGCCGCCACAGAGGTGTTCTGGGAGAACTTCACCAGCGTGAACGGTATTGCTCTCAAATTCACCGGTGGTAAGCAGTGCCCCTCTACCCCAAAGACCTTCGCCGGTGTAGCCCTGCGACCACAGCCGTCGCATATGCTCTGCATAGTTATTGCGCACCGCCCAAAATGCCCTTGAGTGATTCATCTGCTTGCAATGAGCGAGCCTACAATTCTGAATTAGCATACAGTGAACAAACAGTTGTGAGCCATTATGGGATGCGTACTCATGCATCATGACCATCTGTACGTAGTTGAACGGGAACCACCTCCCGGACCTGGATTTCAGTACTAGCTGGATGATTTCTCCAGCGTTGAAGTTGCGGCCGACGAACTCTTTATTTGGCTCGTACTCCTCGAGCGACATCACCGAGATGTGATGCTCTCTCATTATGGGCACTATTCCAAGATCAATAGCTTGAGCGAATACAGGCTTCCGGAAACAAACTGACAACATTGTGCCGCAATGCGCTCCAGAAAGTCCTGAGCGACGGATTCGTACGGTCCCTTCAAAGGCTTTATAAAAATTATCTGCGTATTTGGCTGCGACTTCTTCGCATTGAGTCGTTGGATACCGATGGGCATTCTGGGCTGGCCTTTCTGTGATATCACAATAGGTCTAAATCCCAATCTAGCAGAACAAATACAAAGTACGTGTTCAAAGGACTCTAGGATACGCTCTAAAATGGAACAATGTTCGGAAATCTGGGCTGAGTTTTATTCTGGAGGTACTGACTTTGTTTGCTGCCTTAAACATAAATCTGATTGAAGTTCAGTGCTTAGAAGCCCCACTGGCGCGCCTGACATATTTGCCACTTAGACTAAGTAAGTCCTTTTAACATATTTCAAAGTAATCAAGTCTTACAATACAACGTAACCTATGCAGCACAGCAAATATAACGATATGTAGTAATTTGTTCATGGGATTTTGCGATTTCTATCACAATTTTCATTACAGTTCCCTTGTCAACGCCTCCTGCCCGCACCTCCGGCAGCACCTTCGCCCTTGTCCGCTAGAGACACCACTTCACCAATGCCAGCAGCTTCCTGCTCGTCCTCCAATGCTGTAATCTCCTCCCTACAATCCCACCACTTCTCTTCGCTCAATTCGAATGCCTTTGTTTTGATCTCTTTGATTGAAAGAGTCTCTGGTTGGATGTTTTTCCATCTCAGACTAGTCATTAGGATCTCTTGCCATTCGTTCGATGTACGAGTGAAGAACTCCCGACGTGACTCAAAGGGTCTAGGATGAGGCAGACCATCATCCACAGAGGAGGCCACGGTATCAGCTTCGTTTTCTTCCGTCGTTTCAGTTCCAGCAGTTGAAGCCGTGTCAGCATTTGACTCATCCGCCTGCGGCTTCTTCCGGTTGCTAGGCGACCGAATTTGGTCCTCATCAGGACGTTCATCCTCATCATCTTCCTCTTCATCATCATCGTCGTACTCGTCGTCGTCGTCATCGTCGTCTTCATCATCGGAGCCGACCCAGTTCTCGACCTCACGGTTGAAGACCTCCTTACAGCCATCCATCTTGTCGAGATTAATCGCATATAGATCGTCAAACGTGAACTCTCGGTCATCCTTCTCAAATGTACCTCCGTAGATGTAAAGCATATCATCTTGGATGGCCAACTGCGCATTGAAGCGAGGATGCGGAAACTCCATAGCAACCGGCATTTCCTTGACAGGCTTTTCGGGTTCTTCTGGCTCATCTTTCTTGAGATCAATCTCCATGCCATCAACATCCTCTAAGGACTGGCCTGCTTGCAGAGCTGCTAGCTGCTTAAGAAGCTCCTCTTCGTTTGCCTGAGCGCGACCTCGTCTTCCACCACCTCCCCGCTGTTCTGCTTGCTTCTTCTGGACCCTGGGCTTTCTCAAGGCCAAGGGGAAGAAACGGTTGCGTTCCACGTTCCACGCAAACATTTGGTTGAAGAACTCACTGTCCATACCCTCCTCGCTCTCTTCAACATCGTGGACACCACCGAAAAAAATGCCACGCCCCTTGTGGTAGGCCATTGTCGCACCTACTCTGGACGGGTTGGGAGTGTTGGCCGGCTTCTTTCGCCTCTCCCACCTGACAATTGGAGGCGTGTTCGCTGGGGCCTCCGGGGGAGGCTGGGTGATCCGGAGCAAGAAGCAGTCTTGGTGTATCATTGGCTTGAGGATGTTTCTCTGTCCCTGTGATGCGCCTTTCGCTGATTTATTTGCCGAAACCGTCGTCTTCACTCTCGAATAGCCGCCGAATAACACGGCACCACTATCATGAGGGAGGAAAGTGAAGGAGGACCTTGCATCAGGCTTCAACTGCGCTTGCGGTAAGACGGGGTTGTACCAGACGAAGTTCGCGGTATCATAAAGCCAAAGATCAGCCAAATACTTGGTCTGGTTTGACGTGTCTTGGAATCCTGGGACGGGTTGATCGGTCAGATAAGAGACACAGCATTTCAGCAAAATCACCAACTTACCTCCAAACAGTATGATATAGTTCTTGTAATACGTCATACGATGGCCTGACCTTGCTGGGGGGGTCTTGCCCTTGCACTCTATACGAGTCCACTCCCGACTTCTGGGCTCCAGCCGCCAGAAGTCATTGTAGTGATAGAATGTCCCCTGCTTGGGACTACTGAACTCACCGCCGAACAAGAAGACGGAGTTACTCTGGTTGCCACCTCTGCACCACGCATGGCCGGACCGAGGTAGAGGGGCATTAGGAGAGGTGACCGTGTGCCACTCATGGCGATCAGTGTAGTATATGCTCAGATCATTATAGAAGGTAGCAATGGCACCATTGTAATTCTCACCTCCGAACAGTAGCAACTGGTTACCATCTGAAGGAGAAGCTAGGAAAGTAGAAGAAGAGCGAGGCTTAGGTGGCGCATCAGCCACTACCTCAGTAACCTTGAGGAATTGTTCCTGCTGCTTCCTGTACTCCTCGAGGATGTTGTCGAGATCGACATCTTCAGCATCACTACCCTCTAGCTTTGCTGTCTTGGTCTTTGACTTCTTCTCGCCTTTCTTCTCTTGCTTCTGTTTCTTCTCGGCTTTTTTGGCCTTCTTGGCATCGACCGCAGCTCCTTTTTTCTTGTCCTTGGCCATGGTCAAGATGTGTATAATGCGGCAAGGGGGTGGAGCAGACGCAAGGCACACCGGGGAGACTAGATGGATGTATGTGCAGGTGCCCAAGCGCAAAGCGATCCGTAGTCCGACCCGAAAGAGAAAGAAGAAAAAAGGCAGACACGAGCACTAATGAGACCCTTAAAACTCGTGATAGAATTTCGAGATTTTGGTGGTGAGTGCCCCTCCCCCGCACTAGCCAGACCGGAGTGGTCTTTGCAAGGTAGGCAAAGAAAAGGTACGGATCCGTACTTTGCGCCAAGGGCAGGTGCCGCAGCTCTAACGTTAGCGATGTCGCCCGCCGACTGCTAGGTCAGGAAAATGGAAAAATTCCGAGGGCTGCTCTGATTCCTCATATGAGATATTTTCTTCTAACGTGATGACAGACGCAGCTTGAGGCCTCCCCAGCCCTCAAGAGAACGGGCTTTAGTCATTTATTGCTCTTGCTTGGGCCCCGAAATGATCCCGAAACGCGTCGGCCCCATCTACTTGCATCTTGTTGCATCCACACTTGATCAGCGGTGACGAGCGCTTGGCTTTTGCAGGTCACTCAGAGCGTTGTTGGTTATTAGTTGTTGGTCGCATTTACTTTCCACATCCACATCCACCAACAATAACCTTGTCATCTGTCCTACAGCAACTCACAGCAGACTTGTCATGACTTCCGTCTCTCCCAGATCTTCTCCTCTTTTTCATTGCTCGTTGCCTCTAGCGCCCGACACGGCCATAGCCAACCTCTGATCTACACTCTACTTCCGAGCGAGCATTTCTACCTCCGAGGCTGTAGCCCGATACAAATACACATTGCTTCACACGCTTGACACTACCGTCCTCAAGACAGAGTCCTCGACTATCACTCTGATATGGCGGCCCAAGCGGTCGAAGCTCCGCGAGGCGTGCTACCAGCAGCCATGCAACCAATGCCTGCCCAACCCAAATCTCAAGCGAGAGAGTCTATGGAGGATATCTTGTACGGATCGGTACGTTTCTCATTCCCTCCTAGAGTCTCACACGATTTCATGTCTGACAAGCCTAGGGTGCTGGCATTATCGGCAAATATATCGAATACCCCTTCGACACCGTCAAAGTCAGGCTTCAATCTCAGCCCGACCACCTCCCCTTGCGATACACCGGTCCGCTCGATTGCTTCAGACAGTCCATCAAGCAAGATGGCTTACTGGGAGGATTATATCGTGGAATAAGCGCACCATTGGTCGGCGCGGCACTCGAGACAAGCAGCTTGTTCTTCTTCGAGCGCATTGGAAGAGAGACGATCTACAAGACAGGACTATGCTCCAGGGACAAAGTCATGCCATTGCCAGCACTGTGGTTCACAGGTGCCTTCTCGGGTGCTTTCACTTCACTTGTCCTGACACCAATAGAGCTGGTCAAGTGCAAGATTCAAGTACCGGCAACCGTCAGTACTGGAGGCGCAGTACCGAAGGCGCCAACCGTTGCATCTGTTATCCGGGACGTATGGAAATATGACGGCATTGCTGGCTTCTGGCATGGCCAGATGGGGACTTTTCTCAGAGAGTCCGGTGGCTGCGCTGCGTGGTTTGGCTTCAAGGAAACTACAACCAAGCTCTTCTACATCTGGAATGAGCGCAATCTCGTCTCACAGATGGAGAAAGACGCATTGCGGACCGAGGCATTGCCATTGTGGCAGCAAGCTGTTGCGGGCGCCTCGGCTGGCATGTCGTACAACTTTCTCTTCTTCCCGGCTGACACGATCAAGTCGAGAATGCAGACCAGCGTTGTTGGAAGTACAGCAGTGAAGCGGACATTCATGCAGGAAGGGAAAGCACTGTGGCATCAGCATGGACTACGCGGACTCTACCGTGGATGTGGCATTACGGTCCTCCGCTCTGCGCCCAGCTCTGCATTTATCTTTATAATATACGATGGTCTCAAGAGGCATTTCCCTTTATAAATGCCGTTGGCGATCGGTGAATGGTATAGAGTGGAAAATGCTTGGATAGCAAGTACCGGAGTTCAGGCGCATGTGTATTATTTATACCAAGGGTAAATAGTCAGCTGTGATTCATACATACAATTTATTAGATAAACACGCGCGCATGAAGTCGAAAACGAGACAATCGAAAATAGCTTTGCAAGGCCATTGTTCGCATTGATATTCTGAATCCCTGCAGTTTACGGGATCCAGCCATGACGGCATCGCAAGTGCATCTAATCTTATCAATCTTATCAATTTTATCAATCTAATCGAAAAGATCAATCTGTGATGGTTGGGGTATCCACCATAACGTGAGAAACCTAATCGACGTTATCTAACAGACCGTCTGACAGCTTTAGCCCTTTGATCGCGACATGACGAGGCATATATTACTCTTCATGGGTCTTTCTTCGTGGACGTTTGATCAGCAACTTCCCACATGGTAAGTTAAGATGGTCTGATGTATTCAAATCATGCGTGCCAATTCATGGCCACTCCCATCCTTAAACTGTGCGTCGGTAAAGACCTCATAGTCAAGCATCCATATCAGTTGCCTCAAGATACCTTATGGCACGAACGGAAGCAGCATTAAGCTTAGACTCGTCATGAAGACTACAAGATACTCAACGCGTAACTAAAGCTTCCTTAGGCCTTTGATATGGCCGACCAAGAGTCTGTCGACCGAAGATGATGGAGGGAAGAGAGAGTATTCTGAGTGTGTTGTTGGCCCATTGCTAACGTTCGATTCCGGGCCATTCAAGTCCATCACAATGGGTCTCTTGTCAAGGTTAACTAGTTTGCGAAATTCCGAAGCCATGCCACCCGGGCAGTCTCCATGGCAGTTTGCAACTGGCTGCCTTCATGATATTACGGGTATCTCTGCTACCTATCCTTTACTTAACATATTTGCAAGTCGTCATATGTAGCCATGGAACATGCCTAACGCCTTAAGCGTTTTTGCCCTTCAACAAATCCTCATCGCTGATCTTCCAGTTGTTCACGATGCCCACACCAGCGTTCAGGTAAGTCGCAAAGCCCAACCAGGCCATGTACGGCACCATCAACCACCCGGCCGTCTCGTCCAGCCCGAAGAACAGGTAGGTCAGGTACCCGTTGATGCCGACCAGCGACGCGATGTCGGCCAGGGCCAGGACGGGCTTGCGCAGGCCGAAGAAAAGGGGCATCCACGCGAGGTTCAGGCCGAGCTGGATCGTGTACAGGGTCGCGGCGTGCTTGGCGGTCTGCACCCCGCCGACCGTTGAGGTCAGGGGGTTCAGGCCGGCGGTGATGGCGCGGTGCGCCGCATAGCCCATGAACCCGTAGAGGAGCGTCCAGACGGGGCCGAAGACTTGGGGAGGAGGGCGGAGGGGCGGTTGCTTCATCAAGCGGTACGTGTCTTGAGTTTTCTTGGCTGCGGAGAGGGAAAGACCTTCAGTCGACTGAAGATGGGCATAGGAATGAGCAGGGATAAAGAACTTACGTCTTGTGCTGAAGCCCACACCGGTACCAAGTGCGATGGGGAGCAGCACGGAGGCTGCGGCACTGGAAAAGACCTCATGGGGAATCGTGAGGGATGGGATATAGGTCGTCATCTTGGTTATGTTTTTATTCTGAGCCCCTCTGTAAGAACAGATTGAAAATTGACTGTCTATGTATGGGACGGCAGCGGATGCTCGGTGTTGATATACCAAACAAGTGCCAAAGAGTCAATGACGTAACGTGGTCCGAGAGGACATACGGTTCCTGAGACTTGCCTGCATGTGATGCTAGCGTGGTCGCGGCTGTGGGGTGTTGTATGGAGATTATTGCTGTGAACCTCGGACTTCGGGTCCTCTGCGACAGCGCAATCACGGCATCTCATGCAATGAGTCGATGCCATCCTTTTTTCTGATGAAGTTGAGAAACCCATCACTCCTTGATCGCCCCTTGGCGTGAATGAAAGAGGTGGTGCTTAGCAGCAGTTATCACATAAGTTACGTGGTAAGCTACAAGTGCGGACAGTTCGGCCTGGTGCAGACTGGAGCATCTTCATATAGGCAATGCCACTAAGAAATGATCAATTCTACTGTGTAGCATCACGACTAATAAAACATACCCCAAAATTATCCCATAATATTCATACTAGCCTTAATATGTAAATATATGTCTGACCCCTCTCAAGTTGCGGCTATATATAAAGTATGTGCTCTTTCGCATCTGGTAGCTAGCCATTACAGTGTGGTGATTCGAGCAGAGTATCAGGTCGTAATCTAAGTATGGCACAAAAATTGGAGCCAGGGATCTGAAGAAGTTTGACTAGCATCTACGCTTCTGCCATCGTGTTTGATTCTGGATAGCATTATGGAGCGCTCCGAGGCTGTGGCCGGTATGTCCTCATTTACAACCGTATGTGTTCATGGTTAATGCAACGGCACTCAAAGAGCATTAGTTTCTTCCAATGCAAACGTTACATTCTATGAGTTATAAACCCACATTTGGACATGAAGAGCACTGGTTTGTGTTGGAGCGTAATCATCCGAATGAACGTATTGAAACATCTGCAGTTTAGCATCCTCCCCAAGTGGTGAAAACAAAAGCTCAGGACGGCGATGTCCGTCTACTAGGTAAACCTCACCTCACTAGTGTAACACGGGAAAACTCAAAAAGCCCAATGCTTTCCAAGTGCATTGGAGAAGAAGTTGGGAGTGTAATATTGAACAGAAGAGGTGGTAGCTGTAGTCATGGAGTAGATGATGGAGTTTAACGGATGGTTTGGTTTGGTTTCGATGCGCCGACTATCTGAAGGGGGTCTGGGGGTCCGCTTTAGGCATGGTCCTCTGGGTGGGGAGTAACCCCGTTTTAAGAATGCGCACCATAATTAACGGGGTTATTGCGGAGCGTGAAAACTTCGTGCACCCCAGCCCATAGCAAATTCCAAATCCAACCACAGTCGAGCAAATCGTCATTCATTTAACCGAGAGTACTGGTCCAAGCGCAGCACAAATCACACTAAGAAGGCCGCTAAGAACGACATCCAAGCAGGGCCAGTATTCATTTAGCCGATAGTGGTGGTCCAAGCGCGGAGCGAAGTACGCTTAAGAAGCACGCTACGCTGGATCCTGGCCACGGCAGAGCTGGAGCTCAGTCTCCAGGCGCTGGCGTACCTTTGGTAAGTTAAGCATGTCCCCGTTGTTCTCCTTTGCTTTGTCTTCAAGACAATAAGCTGATCTCGAGGACGAGCAGCAAATTCCCGGACTCTCCTACTCTCAGGACGTCACGGAGGATCACAACCATCGGCCAAATAATCATCAGCAAGTTCGTCTATCCTTTTCTCCATCACATTTGATCATCAATATTTCACTCTTCCCCGTTGTATCATTCAGCATATGCCCATCTATGCCTTGGACTGCACTTCACTTCTCTTCTGCTACTGCTACTGCCATTGCTACTGCTGCTGAATCTATTCCGGGGGAGGAAAAAAAAACCCCCATCTACATCGATACATATATCGCGACCTCACCTCTCTACAGCCACCAACCTCTCTTCTCTTCCATTTGCTGCTCTTGTTGCAAGCAAACCTCTTGTCATCGCTATTTTCTTCACCATGCATTAGTTTGTTTGGCTTCTACCAAATCAATTTCAATTCGCTTCACCTTCTCTCACATCATTAGCGCTGCTAGCTATCCTCCTTCCTATCCCTGTCCCTCTTTGCCCACACCTTCATGAATTGTTGCTTCCGTCAAACCTGTTGTTATTGTTGTTGTTGTTATCGTCCAGAATGATTTCTCTAACGGCAATCGCGTCGCCAAACAGCAGGCACCACGCGCCCCAAGCTCAAGCAATCGCGTTCACAGTTCCTTGATACGGCATTTCCGGATCCTTGCACATCTCAATTACAACAACAACCCGACTGTCCAAGCACACGCGCGACGCTGGTGGGACGTTCTATCTCAGCAGAGCAAAGGTCGAATCGCGGCAGCAGTCATGGACTCCTACAACACTTACCGCGACCGCGATCGCGATGCAGCTCCCCGTTCTCCCCGTAGAGACAGGGACGAACGCGAATGGGTTCGTGATGACAGAAAGGACGATCGCGCTGATAGCTTCCACCGCGGCCGCTCACCTGGTGCGTCTCGTTTCTTTGTTTCACACCCCGGAACGCAAAGCTGACTCCTTACGCAGGCCCAGGATACGAGCGCCCCCGTCGCAGATCTCGTTCCCCCCCTCCCGTTGACCGATACGAGCCCCGTAACGAGCCACGCAGCAGAGGCCGCGATGACTTTGCCGCACCTCGCGACCGCGATGACCGATCCTCACGCCGCGTTCCCTCCCCACCTGCTAACATCGACCGATATGTTCCCGGTCAGGGAAGCAGCGAGCCCCCGCCACCTGTCGTAAACCCCTTGACAGATCCAGTGAAGCTCCCTTTCCAGGTTGGCTTCTCCTACTTTGGAGAGTGGTGGAGAGCCAACGAGAAGATCAAGGAGGAGAAGGAGCGCGCCCGTACCGGACGTCGCCTTGAGCGTCCGCGCGGCAGAGACTCGCAGGAGGATCGAGACAAGGAGAAGGCCAAGATCCAGGCTGCCTACGATGTCTACAAGGAGGAGCTACAGGCGAAGATGGCTAGAAGCTTCGTCGCCGAGCACAAGAAAGAGCAGTGGTTCCGCGAGCGCTACGTCCCTGAGGTTCGAGACGGCTTCCGTGGTCAAATCAACGAATTCCGCCGTGGAGCCTACAACCAATGGGAACAGGACTTGGAATCCGGTACCTTTGACGAATTTTCCCTTGAAGGCCTTCCTAAGAGCGAAACCAATGGCGCCGGCGGCCTGTTTGAGAAAGAGGAGGGCGAGGCCACAGCATCCAACGAGGTCCTCGGCGTCGGGGATCTTGTTCCCGCCCAGGGCAATGATATCCGGGATGAGAACCTCTTCCAGCCCACACTCCTGATCAAGACCATTGCACCACATGTCAGTCGCCAAAACCTTGAGACTTTCTGTAAGGAGCACCTTGGCGAGGAGGAGGGCGGTTTCAAGTGGCTCTCATTGAGCGACCCAAACCCCAGCAAGAGATATCACAGAATGGGATGGGTCATGCTACACCCCTCCTCTGACACGGTAACTGCGGCCGAGCGCGACGAACCCAAGGATGAGGATGGCGATACCGACGTCAAATCACCCGTGCCGATCTCTACCGCAGACAAGGCTTTGGAAGCTGTCAACGGCAAGACCGTCAAGGATGAGGTACGTGGTGACTTTGTCTGCCACGTTGGCGTCCATAACCCTCCTGGAAACCCTCGTAAGAAGGCATTGTGGGACCTTTTTTCATCACCCGAACGAATTGAGAAGGATCTCGCGCTTGTGCAGCGCCTCGTCAACAAATTTGAGGAAGAATTTGGCTCAGATTTCAATGCCCGGCTGAAGATTGAAGACCGTGTCGAGGATCTGAAGAATGGGGGCCGCCTTCAGCCCGCAGCCCCTATCTCGCCTGCCAAGAAAGTAAAGAAGGAACGCAACCTGGATCTTGATATAGATGAAGGCGAGGAGGGCGAGATGGAGGATGACGAGGACGAGGGTGTCATTGACGACGAGATCGATGATGAAGAGCTAGTTGTGAAGAAGAAGCAACTCGATCTGATGATTGAGTACCTTCGCCGCGTCTTCAACTTCTGCTTCTTCTGCGTCTTCGAGAGTGATTCTATTCACGAGTTGACTCGAAAGTGCCCCGGCGGTCACCTTCGCCGCCCCAGGAGCACGCTGTCTACGGCGGCCAAAGAAGTGGCACGAGCAAGCGCTAACGGAGAGCCTTTCCCTTCCAAGAAGCGCGATATCAAGGATGAGGAAGAAGGTGAAGCCCCGGACAACGATCGCAAGCCACGAATCTCAAAATCCGAGCAACAGTTGGAGCGTGCCTACAAATGGGTCAAGACGTTCGAGGACAAAATCTTGCAGATTCTTGAGCCCGAATCTTGCGATCTCCGCAAGCTTGGTGGCAAGCCATCAGATGACGCTATTGCCGATGAGTTGTCCAAGTACGTCAAACAGGAAGATGAGCACAAATACAGATGCAAGGTTCCTGAATGTACCAAGTTGTTCAAGGAGGAACATTTCTGGAAAAAGCATGTCGAGAAGCGCCACTCCGATTGGCTGGATGAGATGAAGAAGGAGGTATGTATTTTTCCCGCTGTTCTGTGTGAAAACTATTCGCTGACAGCTTGCAAGTTCGATCTGATCAATGCATATGTCCTTGATCCTGCACACATCGCCCCCAGCAGGACTGATGCCAATTCAAATGGACACTTCCCTCCTTCCAATGGTCAGACCCAGCAGGGAACACCACGAGGCTTTAACCTCAACAACTTCAGCATGAACAACATGATGCCGCCGTTTCCTGGCTTCCCCGGCCTGCCTGGCATGCCTCCCTTGTTCGCACAAGGAGGAATGCAAGCTGCAGGTTGGAATGCCGGTGGTGATGACCGTGGTGTAGGACCCGTTCGACGAGGTGGTGGTGCTAACGGTCGCTTCAATAACAACAATCGTACCGGTCCGTACGATAGACGCCAGCCGCAAGGACGTTGGGGCCAGGATGGACAGGGCGCCGGTCGTGGCCGTGGTGGAGCAGGCAGATGGGGCGATGGCGCCGCGCCAGGAGGTGCAGCTATGGGTCCCAGAGAGGCCGTCCAGGGTCGCAGCTTGAAGAGCTATGAGGATCTTGACCACGTTGCCGGCGGTGGTGGTGGTGAGCTGAACTACTAGTCAGGTTCAGCTTCCAAACCCATGGAGCCACCGCCAAACGCTCAGCACGCGCCAAGAGAACCTCGACGGCCACTTGAGGCGGCTCTGGCCAGTGTGCCAATAAGTTCCAAGGATTCTGCAGAACATACTTGGCCGAACGTCGAGCCTGATGACCCTTTGTATTCAACTTCTGACCTTGCATTGTCCCTCTTGGAGAATGCTTTCGATGCTTCTCATTTCGAAACTCCCTTCGATATGGGTTTCGAACAGGAGTGATGAATCACATTTCTCCCCTGACTGTTTCTGATGCGGTGGCATTGATTTCATATTTGGGCGCAAGGCGTAATACTCTGTCACTTTGCCAGTCTGGAAGCTACAGAATGATTACTTAAGAGCTTGACTTTGAGAACAAAATTGTTTTGATAAGGCCATCCGCTAGGGGCCAGCCCTCACACTTTGTAAATTAGATACTTAATGAGCAGTAGTCAGGTCAATGTATGCTTAAACATTCTAATTGGAGTTTCTTTTTTCCTGTTTCTTTTTTTGGGGGGGTTTTTTGGGGGGAGGGGGGTTTCTTTTTGCAGCTTAAGCTCGAACTTGTGATTACAGTTGAATCCCAGCAATACCATCCGACTCAGCTCTGTGCATTCTCACTTTATTATGATGAGACGCCACAATCTACATCTATATCTGTTTCGGCCGTTCTCAGCTAGATCTCCACTCTGACGCACATCAACCTCTTGACTGACAAACATGGAAACTTTATGACGTGGTCAGTTAACCAGTCCGGCGACTGCGAACGCAGACGCTCGAGGAGATCCTATCAACGAAACACTAACAAGACCCGTAAGTTAACGACATATCACAAGCCGATCTAACACGTCCTTGATATGTCCTAGATAGAAGAACCGCATGTACGAGTATCCGGCTGACAGGAGCTGCTCTAGACCTGGCCGGTGACATATCCTACTCCCATCAGCTGATATCCAGAACTTTGAGGGCACGCGCACTGCGTCACAGTAGATTCTGCCCAGATATGGGCACGTAAAAGCTTGGTCCACGAACTTTAGTGTCATCTCGCTGGCTGAACGACACCGGTAGAAAACACACGTCTGAGCCGGGCCTCTCCAAAAGTCGCCGCTGCATAATTCAGGGTGGTTTCTCAAGATCTTTAGATAATAGATGGCATGGATGCCAGTCGTAGATATGTGGTAGGTAGCTCACAAAAGAAAAGAGGGAAATGGCCGCGAAAATGCTGGTAGAGAACGTGTAGAGGCCTGGGACGAGGAGATAGACAAAACCGACGGCCATCGAGGATCCCACCCCGGTGCAATCAATCAACGGGGCCAATGTGATAGCCCCCTTTGGCCGACCGTAGGTAGAGCCGATGTGTACAGTGACAGACCAAACAAAGCGTCTCCGCGCTGTCGTCCTTTGGGTGGCAGTGCAGATTATTGATTGGCAATGCACTTCGCAGCGTCCTGCTACCCGACGCAACGAATGCCTGCTGATTCGCGTCTCGTTTAGCAGAAGACTGTCATGACCACAACAAACCAAACCGATTCTTACCGAAAAAATTACACTTGATAGCAAATAGAGGCGTGGCAGTACAATGATAATAAAAGGACAGTGCAAAGTATTGCATTGAGCAGGCATTGGGCCCGGGGAAGGTGTGGGTTTGTCCCAGGGAAGCGTTTCGAGCACGACACAAGCACTTGGCGCAAAGAGACACGGTTGTGGAGGAACTATTCTATTTGAGATCTCAATTATATCTCGTTACTTAATGCGTAAAGACGAGCAGTAATGCTCTCTGTTTTGAGCTTGTCCCAAATATTCTTCCACGCTGTATCCCTCTTACTGAGGCAGATCTTTTCCCAAATGTCTCTAGGACATTCCAAATATTACCACGCTCCGCGGCGCGATGATCCCCCCGTCCAACGTATCTGCAAGTTCGATGCGCAGCCGTGGGACGGGCCAGCCAGTGTTTCTTGGTCGGTAATGTACAGAGGAGAGGTAATCAGTGTAAGAACACATCATTGTGGTGTGTTTCGAAAAGAAAGACTATGATGTAGACATTAATAAAGCTGGAATGCTTGTCGTAACTCGTTATTAGAAAGCGCAAAGATGCAATACATCGGCGGCACCTGCTCCTTGCCGCTCTCATTTCCTCCGCTCGCCAGTCTCGCTCGATTGTGCGATATGCTCGCTGCTCAATCGGTGGGTATCATTTGCTGTGTTTGTTTAACTCGATATAGTAGGAGTTGCGAATCATAACATGTAGATGCATCAAAGATGGTGTGGTTGATGTACTCTCCCACATATCCAATTCGATTGCTGTAGGGCCACTGATGCTGATCGAAATTCAATGAAATCCACGAGGTATTGTGTCCGCTCATATGTGAGGAGCACCAGATCGGCCCTTGCCTAATGAGTCAAGCAGCTCTTCAGGAGGAAGGCGACTCATGGCACCACCACGGTCATACATTGAGGTGGGAGCTGGAACATAACCTTCACGCTTCTTCCTGTAGCGGTCTAAGAGGAGACCAGCAACCACGATGAGAAGCATCAAACCCAGTGAGATGGCCAATGCTATTAGAACGATGAAGCCAACAGCCAGCCCAGAACCTATATGCATGTTAGTGGGTGTGGAATTCGGAGTGCCCTACAATTTGACTTACTGCTATTGGAGAAGAAGTTCTCGTTTTGTACAAAGATCTTAGAAATCGATCCTGCAGTATTGCCGGTGTTGCCTGTGAGAGCATATGGCTGGAATGTTGTCCCATTGAAAAGAGCAGCCGAGGCTGTTCCAAAACCAGGGATACTAAGAGACCCGGTGATCATCAGGACCTGCGTTGAGTCCATTAAAGAGGTGGAATCATGGGCAGACGTGACCGTGAACATCTGCAAGCTGTGGATGACAGAGTCGGGATTCAGGCTGGTGCCTGCCGATTGCCAAGCCGACCCGTCGTATTTCATAAGGTACACTGAGCTAGAGTCGCTCGCAGTTCCGGCTGCCCAAAATTCTGTGCCTTTGCTGTTTGCTGTAGTAACGGCATCCACTGGCCCAGGAAGTGATGACGCTGACGAGAAAGCTGACCAAGCTGAGCTCGAGACATCATATGATGCAAGATATACCGGGATGTTATTGATGCTCAATTGGCCGCCAGCAATCAGAGTAGAGCTAGTTGGCCAAATTAATGAACTGACATTACCCTCTAGTCCTAGGCCAGGCCTGTTCCATTGAGAGCTTGACGTGGCGAATACGCATACGCCAGGGCATGCCAATGAGCCCGCAGATTTGAAAGAACCTCCAACGTACACGTCTCCTGTGTTGGGCCGCACTTTGATTGACGTGACAACCACAGGCAAGTCAGAGTAACCAACCAGAGCTGGGGGTTGACCGTTAAATTTGGCACCGGCGAGATTATAGGACACAAGGCCATTAACAGTCGAATCCCCAACAGTCCCGTTGATTCTTCCTCCAGCGAAGAGATTATCGCCTTGAACAGCCACTGCATAAAACATGGAGTCGTCGTCAATGCCTGAAGGCAGACCGGTAGTAGCATTGTTGTTATTGCCATCGATAATGACCACATTGCTGACCTCCGAGCCATTGCTGCTGAGGGCAGTGAAGTGTCCCGCGAGTACGGTAACCGCACCACTGTTGTAGAAAGCGCCAGCTTGGACACCGGTGAGGGTCTCTGTGCTATTGATCAACGAGGCCCGTTTGACAACGCCAGTGCTTGTATTAGCACTAGTGGACTGCGATGTAAATTCAACTGGGAAATTCCCAAGTGATTCGCCAACCGTGACAACCCCATTGGCGCTCATTGCTTGAGAAGATAGTGTACCAGCGTATAATGAAGTATCGGCCACACTAAGCAACGACGTGGTCAATAGGCCATTGATGGAGGGCACGGGTCCGTTTACGTTCTGGAGCCAGTTGCCTTGTGAAGGAACCCAAATGGCAAAGCCACTAACCACAACCTCCGAGTTGTCGTCGAAGGCAACAAGTGTGTTGAATGATCCTGTCAAGGCTATCACTGTCTCTGGAGTAGTACTGCTTATGTTCAAAGTCATAGGAACAATGCTGGCAACTGGGCCATCAAGACCAGCACCGAGTGGTGACCACTTGCCGCTACTCGGGCTGTAGATGGCTACGTGGCTCAGACCAGACATGGAATTATCCAAGGTGTTGTCGAATGAACCTCCAGCATAGATCGAGCCGTTCGATGCATAGAGGCATGACACTGCGCCGTTGAGGCCTCCGTCAAGTAGCACAGTAGAGTTACTAGCTGTGTTTATGCCGACGATGTTTCTAACGTTCTCCGACGTAAAGTTTCCTCCAATGTAGGTGACATCGTCGTCCACGGCAAGAGTTTCCACAGCGGACCGATCAGCAAAGGTGGATCCCAGTTTGTCGAAAGCGGAAGTCTCGAAATCGGCCGTATCGATAGTTACCTTGGTCGGGTCGTATTCGAAAAGCCCTTTTAGACCGCCGGTCGAGTTTAGCAGGCGCAAGCCAATGCGCTGAGCTACAACAGTCATGTTTGAGATGTCTTGATTGTTGGCCGGAGTAAGGACGATACTAGGTCGAAACGAAGACGAGGCCGCGTCCATAATTGCTGTGAAAAGGGAATCATACTTGTCGTAGTTGTTCGATTGGTAAATTACTTTGGAACTGTCTTCGGTGCTACCATCGGCAGTCAAAGTCCAGGTAATATTGACTTGTCCGCGGCTAGAGCAGGTATCGTCCTGAATACAACCCGGCGTATACATGCTAACCGAATAGTTGCCAGACTCGCGTATATCTGGGTAAAAAGTAACAGATGCCGAATCAGACGATATAGTGCCAGTCAGCTGAGCTGACAAATATTCCGAACTGCTTTCTCCGGATGGTGCGACAACCCATGAACCCGTCGACGTTGCAGTTGCTGGAAAAGAAGTGTTGGAGCAGGGTGGCTCGTTAAAGTCGTTGATGGAGTACGTATACATTTCGTCTGTGTAAAGTGCGATACCATCAAGGCCACCACCACTGCCATACCAAGCCGATACGTCAATTCTGAACTCGTTCATCCCAACACGGTTGACGAAGTAGAATTCCTGGTAGGGGATGGAAGTATTGTCGCTCAGTGGGCATTCGCTTGTACACGATATATTCTTGTTGCTGGCTGGGTCAATGTAAGTAAAGTTCATGATACCATCAATCGGCAGGGCCGTGAATCTCCAGGTCTTGGTGCCTCGGCCATCTTGGTGGGTGTTATACAATCGCAGCTTTGTAGGCTCGAAACCATAGGAGAATTTCGCAGTCCAGGAACCAGGGGTGTCGTCTTCCAACAACCAGGTAGTGTCAGACCCATCAACGCCACCAGTCTGACAAACAATATTGTCAGGTTCGTTGAAGCCTGTGGTTGCGATGCTGTGACTGGCCGAAATATTGGCCGCGGAAAGGTTGACCAGAGACTCAGTAGAGGTGCTGGAATTTGTCGTGGTCGTATTTCCCAATCCCGTGAAGCTCCCACCGAAGATGATATGGCCATTGGCTGCTTTGCTGATGGATGCGACGGGTCCATTAAAGCCCGCAAAAGGCAGGCTCGTCCAGCCGTTGTTTCCGACCCATGTAACTGCATTTGTCGAGGTTCCAGCCTGGAAACTTCCGCCAACATATACCATGTTTGAGTCGTCATCACAAAGCAAGCTGTTGACTTGGCCCGTCAGGCCGGTCAAGTTTGTTAGCTCCGTCGAGTTGAGGTCGTAGGAGGCTATGGCGGTAAACTCCCGCCCGCCCAAGCTCGTAAAGTTACCGGCCAAGATCAACGCGCCTTGGAAGGTACACAGAGCCTGGATGGACGCGTCTGTGTTCAAGATATTAATAAATTGGCCGTTGGGCAGCTGGGCCATGAGAGATTGAGATCCATTATTAGCGAATGCATTTTCGTTCTGCCCCTCCCACTGATAGAGTGATATGCCGGTGAAGTCGCCTGCAATACCCGTGTTTCCTAGCTGGCTGAGGTCGAGATTCGATGATGGCACTGGTGTGAATGTGATGCCTTGGGCAAGCGACAGGAAGGATGCGCACGCAAGCAGACACGAGGTCGAGTGTTGTGTGCAGCTCCGCAATGAAGGCCGCGGCCATCTTGAAGATATTCGCATTGTTGCGCGCGGATGACCGAGGCAGGGTTGGGAACTCGACAAGAGCCCCGGTCGTGGAAACCACCAGAAGGTTGATACCCGTCCAAGGAAGCTCAAGCTACCGCGTCGAAAAAGTCATGCCTAGACGCGAACGATGGGGGCGGTTTCGACAAAAAAGAAAGAGTGTTTTGAAGGGCAAAGGTGAATGGCCAATTGACGATGGGGGTCGCCCGTGAAACTTGATTGGGGAAAAAGCTGGTGTAGCGTTGATATGGAGTTGGTTTTTAGATTCGCAAGGCGGGAGGTTAATTCACAGTTTAGGTGTTGCAAATATCAGAACGAGTGAATGCTGGTTTGATGTGTGATTTGTGATTTAAGCCTCGTTCCAGGGCGGTCGTCTATGGGAATTTGCAGCTTCCGTTTGCGATTGTCGAAAGTTGGGTTGAGATGGGAACTGAGTTGGCAGTCTCAGGCCAGATCCAGGTCCAGGTCCAGGTCCAGGTCCGATTCAGTCTGAAGTCTAAGAAAAGCAGAGCAGAGCAGAGCAAAGCAAAGCAGAACAGAGCTGGCAGACAAGGGAACTGGCGCAGTACAGAGAGGCCCGTGTGCCTCGTACTGCAATTGCAGATGCACCGGGACACAGGGGTGGGTGATGGGGGCACTGCTTTGGATGGTCTGGTTCCAGATAGTGGAGTGCCGTAATTGGTACCTGATTCCAGGTTCCACCTGGAATCACGTCGTCAACTGGTTGTCGGTGGAATCTGCGTAATTACTGGTCAATCAATCTGGGTAGGCCGGCCTGGCGACTAGTGCTACTGGACGATAATCCCTACGTTAGACGTATTCGTTGCGTTGCGTTGCGTGTTTTGGAGCTTGGCCCTCCCCTTCTCTTCCGCTGTCTAGTGTGTCCTGTGAAGTTTGATTGCCCGTGCAATCCCCGCAACGCTGGCTGAGCGTGGTCGCTAAAATCGGGACGGTAAATTAGTGGCCGACTGCAAGGACTGCAACACACGCAAGGTAGAATAAGATTATGAGATGACAGGCGCCCTGCTGTTGAACCGCCTTCAAACTCAAAAAAATACAAAATTTAAAATAAAAGAAATTCAGTGACAAGCGAATCTCTTTTCTGCGATCGGTCTCCTTGTGCTGTGACACCAGAGATAAGAACATTGGGAAGCTCAACCGAGTCCTGCAAATGTGTGTCTCTCTCTCCAGTCCAGCTGGGGGCCCCGGGTATTCATACGAGAAAACGACATGACATGATGGCACTCACCTAGGTAGTAATGGCAGTAGTGGTAACCTTCTCAAAGGATGGCTGGCGCTATGTGCAACATTCGATCCCCGATACTTGCTGCACAATTCGGGCTATCCAACCTCTTCAGGACCTTAGTGTTTGATTTTCCGGTAAGAGATCTTAGTAACCCATTCAAATCGAGGCCAGGTGCGTAACGCAGGGCTGTCGTAATATCTCTCGTCGTGCAGATGTGGTTCGGAAACGAATGTAAACGGAGATCCCAAGGTTGGTAGCCGAGCGGGCTGGCCGTTGACGAAACTGCAAGGGAGCGATACCTGGTTTCCCAAGAAGTTGTTGCTGTAAGAGATATTGATGGGTGTCGTCAGATCAGGGGTAGGAACGTCGGAGGTCGTGGTTACGCCAACGACAAAAGAACGACGAAAAAGAAACCAAGTGAGTGAATGTATGGGCGTTATACTAGCCGGCAGAACTGATGTTAGATCAATCCCTGAGGCTATTCGCAAAGGCTCCGGATTGTATGTAAAAGAATGACGAAATGTTAAATTGTTTCTCTTGTGAACCCCACTGCTTGCGGCCAGCAAACACAACAGTACCGAACTTCGCAGAAAAAGGGAAACTAAACGCAACCGGCAGGATAAGCCAGTTCCTGAAAATAAAAAACCTTTGGTGTTCCCCTGCATCTGCACGACCCAATCCGAAGCCGAAGAGGGGGCTGGCGAGGGGTTTCGTCCAACTGGTCGAAGTGTCAGACAAGCCGAAGTCGACAGGGGGCCCAGCGTTGTCTTCTGGATCTGCAAATGTTCAACGGCGACTTTCAACTGGTCAGTCTCGTATTACCATGCTTCGATAGAGCCCAAGAAAGCACCTATGTGCATCACTTCTGAGAGCCCTGGTTCGCTATTATTTGCATTAATGGCGTGGTCTACCTGATATAAACAAACTTTAATCCCGCCTCGAACTTAAGCCCCAGATCTTTTCCGCTGTCTCCTTTTTCACGAGTCTCGGCTGAGGAATGCACTAACCTAGTGAGGTGTGCAATGTGTCTTACTTTCTTTTCTTTTCGCACATCGGCCAAGGTGATGAACCAGAGGAGTCGGGCTGTGCCGAAGATTTATTCAGCATTTTCGTCTGGATTTTCTTCGTAATGATGCCAGTTGTTTCCTTTAAATACAACAAGGACGATCTTCTAGGGTTGACCCAGCACGCGTCTGCGGAGACTGGTGGAGTTTCGTCCCAGCAAACGCCAGACGCCTCACCTTCGGCCATCCAGATACGCGATTATGCCAACGACTCCGAGAAATAGTCTAGTCTCTATTCGTAACTGCTGCGCAACAATTGAAATCTCCTGCTTTGCGAAGTAAAAACTACATTCTGAACCTGGCTGGGACTTATGTATGTCTCATGGCCAACCAGAGTACACACCCTAACCATATAACACCAAAGCGTGGTCGACATTTCAGCCTTCTTGTATTTCACCACATTATAGGACAGGTTACTTTCCATCGCCGCCTATTTGTGGATTTCTCTTTATGTTAAGGTCGTAAAGACGAACAGAGATAAAATGCTAATTTTATGTTTGCTTCTTATTTGTTGAACACAATGCTAGCCGGTAAGCTATTTGATAGCATGACTTGAAAGTTTTTGTTGTGCAATCACCCTAAATTCCTATCAGAATACACCCACCCACCTTGCGCCAAACCGTTAGCTATGTTTACCGACTTTACCATAGCACCTCTATTAACCTTAGACCTGTAAGAAACGCATGTAACCTCTTAGGAATATTGTTGATGACGTTCTCTTTAAAGTCGGTACTTGTAGTAATGGTGAAGTAAAAAATAAAAAATAAAACTTTCTAGTTAGTCTAGTGTAAGCTTCAACTGCTCTGAGGTTAGAGCAGCACATAACAAGAAGAACATAGACGGGTTATTCTGGTACAGTGACTTTTCGGTGACTTGTTTGTTCTGTTTGCACACGGGCACAGAGTCAACTAATTCGTGGCTGGGTCTGCCCTATCTACGGATCATAGATCTCAGAATGCTGGGTTTTTCGCAGATCATACACGTCGAATTTCATATTTCGCTCTATGCTTTGAGCTTTTATGCATGAAAAGAACCTTGACCGCCCGGCGCCCAAACATTGATTTGTTTATGCATAATCCTTTTGCTGGGGAGCACCGCAAGAAGCCTCATGGCTGCATCTAATTTTGCGCGTCCGTTGTGTTCATGCGAGTCTTGTATTCGCGCGGGCTCTCAAAGTGCTCCGGCTTTCCTCCCCACATACCGCATTTCTTTGCCTTGGCCTTGGCTTCTGCCGCCTTGTACTTCTGTTCGAGACCGCCGAACTCAGCGCCGCTCTTGGCCTCGTATGTTGTTGCCAAACCTCTCTTGAGCATTTCCAAGCCAACGTCTCTGCGAATGAGCCACCGCCTCACGAAAACAGTGCCTACAATGCGGTCGTACTGGTCCTTCTTGTAAATCTTGGCTCGGACTCGTCGACCCAGTATGTATCCTGACAGCCATGCCAGCGCATCTGCTGAGAAAGGCTGGGCAGGACGACCGAAATGCGCACACTCCGGGGCATCTACGCCGGCGAGACGAATGGATATCTGAACTCACACCTGTCAGCTTGGTTCCTCGAGACCCGGGACTGTCATGGACCAACCGTCTTGCCCCTCAACTCGGGCTTCTTCTCTGGCACACGTCGTAGCCAACCCCAGCCGGCCAGGCGTCCACCTGGTGTATGGAACAAGTGGAAGTTGTCGCCATCGCCGACACTCGTGACTTTGCCGAACAAGCTCCGCTTCCTGAAGAACGAGGGTTGTACATGTATTGCGCCTGGTATTCGGCGGATATAGGAGCGGTAGAATTGTATAGACACAAGCACTGTTGTAGTTGCCAAAACAGTTGGAACCCAGTTTCGTGGGTCTCTGAAGTGTTGCCAATCCGTACCATTTAGGCTTTCGCCCCAGGAGACAGGCCGGCGACTGCTCTTCTCCGGGTCATCTTTGCCAGAGCTGGAGCTGAACGGCCATGGCATTGTCGCAGTGGCCGAGGATGTCACACGATGAAGTGCATCACAGGCTGAAGTGCATAGCAGGAAAGGCGGAAAATCGCGGTGAATTCTACAGTCAACATCCGATCGGCTCATGAGACCTGGCTAACCTAGGCTAAGGTGAGACTGTTGGTGGGGGCTTTCAAGCTGCCAGTGGCTATTTGGGCCAAATCATACTGTATGTACTGTAGAGCCTAAAAGAAAATGCACTGCAGCGGAGCGTTCTTTATCAAGTAGACTTGGCATGACCTGGGACGAGCCGCAAACAAGGTCAATCAAGTTACTTTGACGTCAGCTCAAGGTTGCACGCATTTTAATGTGCAGCAGTAAAGTTTGTCTGCAAGTCTGCTCCCTGTGTATCAATTCCAATCCAGCTACCCCATAAACATAATTTCTAACACTTGCTTGACAGCCTGGTTTGCTCCAACTATGATGTAAATGCTGAAGTTATCAATCAAGCAGACAGGGTTTTCGTTGGTGTGGCTTGGATCTGCTTTATCTTAGTGAACTTGTTTCATCTACCGGCTCTGGAATTACCCCCACATTATGTCAAAGCCACCAGATCGATCTGCCAAAGGTGTAAACAATTCTAGTTCTGCCTCCCATATCCAGAACATGTGTTCGAGATCGTTTGCGACACCTTGGACGCCGTACAACTATTGGGATAACAGATCATTTGCCTACATCGTTGACCGCCAGTTGCCAGGCTCGAATTGCTCCTCATCCCGTTCTGACGTTTGCGTTGCACCAACCTGTCAACTTGCGATATCTCACCTATTTGTTCAGATATTGATATGACAACATGACAGATCGATCATCTTCGCGACACATACAGGTTCAGGAGCCCGAGAGGCGCCCTCTACTTGAACGTGCACGATTTCCTCATTCCTTTGATGCAGGAGACTTCTTCAGCTGCAACCCAAATGCCCATGCTCACTTGCCAGTTTACACCAACATACACAGGATACGGAGAGACGTTATATCCATCGTGGAGGATTATCTCACATTCGAACAATTGAGGGATCTGCGATTGAACATTTCAGTCGTCCGTCCTTTGGTTGATAAGCTTTATGAGCTAGATGACATATCAATTGGTAAATCTCCACACTTATGCCGTTTACTTCATCACAGTAACATTGAAACTGGCACCTGCATACTAACAACGACTCAGTATACTGCCTGCTCGTAAATCGTGTCCAGTTTCTTCACGAGCAATCGCATTTGAGCAACAGGCAGAATGTCAACTTTACCAGAGCGACGCTATGTGAAGTCGTAGCCACTCGCATCCTGAGGCGTTTTGGCGAAGACAACGACGGCAATCCCGGGCTTCTGGTGCTGGCACATATCCTGGTTGCTGGATTTACGCCCTTCCAGAATGCTCCCGAGGACATACGACGCGAAGGGTCCTTGGCTTCAACATGGGACTTACACAGAACCCTACCGGCCCTTGAGGTAGCCATCTTAAGTGAGGCCAAATTTTTTCTGAGCTCAACGCACTGCCAGAAGGTGTAAGTGTACGGCCATGTCACCAAAGACAGCCACTGACTATTCCAAAGAATCGACGCCATTTACACAGGACATATTGTCTATACACCTTCAACCTTTCTGGACCTCATACCGGACCGTTACAAGCAAAAACCGATTTCGTTATATGACCCACGAGAGGCACCCCTTCTAAACCAGTATCGGCTCATCGTGCCACGTACGAGGAACTACCTTGAAGTTTTCCAGTTCCTGATTCTTATTGGCCTATATCTTCTCTTCATGGCCGAACGAAATCCTGATCAGTTCAGCCCCCTGGAAATGGCTTTCTCTGTTTACGCCTTTGGATGGGTTCTAGACCAGTTCGCCACCATTCTTGAGCATGGATGGTGAGATTGACTGTGCAGAGTATCGAAGATCTTAACTGACATGGGGTCTAGGAATGTATACACGCAAAACTTGTGGTCATTTTTGGATGTGATGTTCGCCATGGTATACTGGGCATATTTGATTCTCAGGATACACGGTTGGAGAATTGATGACCCCGTCCCAGGGCAACAGGCACTAGATGTGCTCGCTATTGGGGCACCCGTACTCATACCAAGACTGGCATTTGTCTTACTATCTGACAACCTCGTATTCTTGTCGTTGAGATCAATGATGGCCGACTTCACGTTGCTCACATTTCTGGCTGCATGGTGCTTCGGCGGCTTCCTACTGTCCATGGTATGGCTTGCCGAAGGTCGCCACGACTTCATGTGAGTGTGTCCTTAGACTTTGATGTCCTCGCAGCTGACACGGTTTAGTACTATAAGCAAGTGGATGTTGTGGATATGGTTCGGGCTCGACGGCACGGGTGTATCACAATCGGTGCGTGGAGACCTGACAGGATTTTGATATCGAAGCTGACTAGACTTCCAGAACGATTTTCATTGGCTTCTTGGGCCGATACTTATGATCACCTTTGCTTTCCTAGGCAACACGCTTTTCCTAACTATTCTTGTGTCCATGCTGTCAAACACCTTCAGCACGATTGTGTCTAATGCGACTGCGGAAATCCAATTTCGCAAAGCAGTTCAGACGCTTGAAGGCGTGAAAGCTGATGCTATCTTCGCCTACCAACCGCCATTCAACATCCTTGCAGTGTTCGTGCTGCTACCATTGAAGTTCGTGGTTAATCCACGATGGTTTCACAAAATCCACGTAGCATCTGTGCGATTCATCAACCTGCCTGTCCTGCTCTTCATTGCAGTCGCGGAGCGACGCATTCTACAACCCACTTCCAAGCAACGACCAACAACACGAAAGAGGACATGGTTCTGGGAGAAATGGAAGATAACGACACACGGCGATCTCCAGACAGTTTTCGAGATAATGCCCCCCGACGAATTGACTGAGGATATTGCTGTGGATGATGAGCTTACCCATCATATGATCCGACGCCAATTTGTCAGACAGCAAAGTGCACCGTCACAGGAGCTCCTGAAGAGAGGTCGGCTGAACAACGACGGTGCAGACGATGACGATAAGGACAAGCGTACTAACAAACCACCAGCCAGACGGGATTCAATCGCACCATACGGCCCAGATTTGACTGAACAGGTGCGCCATATTCTCTCGGATATTGACACAGGGAAAGGTATCAATGTCACGGATCGGCTTGACTCCCTAGAAGAGTCAATGAGCAGGATAGAGATAATGCTGAGTAAGTTATGCAACAGCGAGATCGGCGACGATAGATCATTGGACGAAGAAGAAGCCAGAGCTGGTGAAGCGAATGGCCCATTACAACATTTGGATGATACGGATGTGTTTGCGGATTAGAAACCCACTGTCAATAGACACAGCGTAAAGTGGCGTATGGGGCAGTTACAACTACAATATACTCATGCATACCAGATATGTCGAGTTCTACAATCGTATCTGAGATATCTTTCCAGTGCTACAGCTTATTCTGCACTAACACGGAGGATCGTGTCCTCCTTCTCTTACCGTTATCAATGATGGCTTCTTCGGCCGGCGCCTCCTCCTCGAGCTTTATGGTAGCAGTCATTGACACACGTTTCCTTTTCGCCTTTGGCGCCGGTTCTTCAACCACGATCTTGTCCTCAACTTCGATTTTGACGTTTTCCTTATCTGTCACAGGCTTTGTCGTCGTCCGGTCTGAGAACGACTTGAGGTTTGCAGTGAACAGAACCGACTGTGCCCAGCCCGCTTGATCTCCCCAGATCTTCCTGAAATGGTCGCCAACTGAGTCGTACATGACCTTTGAAAAAGTCTTTGTCTTGGCCTTGCCAAACTTGTAGTCACGTTGAGCGATCTGCCAAACATGTGTGTCGACCGGTACGGCTTCACCCCATCCCAGTCCCATGAGACACACACAGTCGGCAACCTTGGGCCCCACGCCGGAGAGCGACAGTAGCTGTTCGTGGGCTTCCTTGTAGGAGACGCGGGGGACCTTGGCGCCGTGCTTCTCGGCGTCCCAGCCAGGATTCTCGGGGTTCGTCAAGCTCTCCAGCCATTCCCGGGGCTTCTCCTCCGAGACGATGCGGGCCGTCTCGGCGATGTACTTGGCTCGATACCCGAAGCCAAGCTCCCTGAGATGCGCCTCGACCTTTGTGCCGGTGAGGGCCTCCGGCGCGGGAAAGTCGTGGAAGGCTTCGTCCCCGACGTGGCCGATGAGCGGGCCGTAATGGCTGCACAGCTTATGCACCATCTGCGAGATCCGCGAGATGTTGTTGTTGCTGCTGCAGATGAAGCCAATGAGCGCCTCCCATGCGTCCTGGCTGAGGATCCTGATGCCGGTGAACTTGGGCGCCTTCCTGCGGAAGTTGGGGTCGTTTGCCGACCACTGCTCGTACAGGGCGGCTGCGTTGTGCTTGAGGCTGAAGTAGTGCCTTATGAGGTCCTCTGTATCATCGGCGGCGCCTCCTCCTTGTGAGAACTCCTCTTTGATGGGCTCCGGTGATATGCGTGGTGATGCTGCGGCAGGCCATGTTGCTTTGTAGTGCAGGTGTGTGTCGTCCTGCCTCAAAGACAGTATGCGGCCATGAAGCGTCAAGTGCCTAGATGTCGATTTAGCACTTTCTTTCTTCGGCCTTGAAAGAGTTCCAGCCTCACCATTCATCGTTGATCTTTCTCCATCGGAATGACTGGCCACAACGCAATGTCGTATCAATGCACAATTCTGTAAGGCTCAGGGGCAGCTTTCGCCACTCAGAAATCTTTAGCCCAGGCATTGTGATATTTGAAGAACACGTCAGCAATTCATTCCTTTACCGCAAATGATTCACAGTCTAGGTTGAAGACTTGAGAAGGAATACCGAGATAATAAAAACATTGGAGTCGTCCCGGTCATTATTTTCCCGCCTCAATCACATCTTGGAATGGATCAACATGCGCAAGCCACCGCCGGACAATTTATACCAGTAACGTAACCAAGCCAGGAAAGGGAGCAGAGCAGGTGAGCCGTGTACTTTGTACTGTTTGTACTATGCACGGATCTGTGCAAGCACTGTCCTTGGCGTAGCGAGTAACCAGCGCCTTGCCCAAGGAGGCTAGCGTTGAAGGGACTAGGTGCAGCAGTGGAGTGGGCAAGTCATTGGAACTCGCGACCTTCAGCAAGCCAAAATTTCAAATCCAAACTCCAGCCTCATCTGCAAGCAGCAAGCAGATCCACAGTCGTAGCTTCATATTCCTGAAGCTCACGCATTGCCCGGCACTTTTTACATTACCATCATTGTCGCATCCAGTGTTGTGTCGCGCTTGAGCTTGAATCAATTGCCGCAGCCAAATATGAACGGCGACAATTACTCCTCGCGAGGTATGCTCCTTTCCATTGCAAGCTCACTTTTTCCCCTTTCCTTTTTGTTGCGAGGTCTCTTGTTTTCTCTAGGTGGACAACACCAAGCTAACTTGTCCAACCATCAGATGGCCGACACGGCTCATCTCGTGACTACCCGTCTAGAGATGACAGGCGCGATCGGGGCGATCGGGGCGATCGTGGGGATAGAAGAGACCGCAGACGATCACGATCACCTAGACGTTCCCATCGCGAGGGAAATGAAGACTCGTATGCTTCGAGTCGCAGCCACCGCGACCGCGAAAGGGAGGATAGATACGGTGGTGGCGGTGGCGGAGGTGGTGGTGCAGGTGGTGCTGGAGGCGGTGGTCGCGACAGAGATTGGCGAGGAGGCGACAGAGACCGGGAACGGGATCGAGGCGGCAGACGGGACCATCGCCGCGACGATGGCGGCCGACCCCCGCGACGAGACCGCGACTTGTTCGACGACAGGCGAGGCGGTGACAGACGCGACGGAGGAAGAGGACGCGACGGCGGAGCTGCCCCTGCCGCTGGGCGTGACAGAGACGAGGACCTGTTTGCGCAAAACCGACGTGGCCGCAGCGCCACCCCACCCCCCAAGAAGCGAGAGCCGACTCCTGACTTAACAAACGTCACCTCCGTCCTGAACAGGAAGCGCCGTATGACGCAGTGGGACATCAAGCCTCCGGGTTACGAGAACGTCACCGCAGAGCAAGCCAAGCTCTCCGGCATGTTCCCCCTCCCCGGTGCACCAAGACAACAGCCCATGGACCCCAGCAAGCTCCAGGCCTTCATGAACCAGCCGGGTGGTGCCGTCAACAGTGCCGCTTTGAAGCCTTCCAACAGTCGCCAATCGAAACGTCTACTCGCATACAACATTCCTGCGAACGCTACCGACGAGAGTGTCATCAATTTCTTCAACCTTCAGTTGAACGGCCTCAACGTCGTCGAGAGCACCGACCCCTGCATCCTCTGCCAGATATCCCGTGACCACACATTCGCATTGTTAGAATTCAGAAATGCGTCCGAGGCAACCGTCGCTCTTGCCATGGACGGTATCTCTATGGAGCCCGATGAAGCAATGGGCAACGGTGTGGCAAATGGAAGCGGTCATGGCCTCCAGATCCAGCGGCCGAAGGACTATATCGTACCGGCGATTGCTGAAGACGTACCTTATGAGCCAGGTGTGATATCCAAGGTGGTAATCGATACCCCAAACAAGATCAGCGTGACAAACATTCCTCCTTATCTCACCGAGGAGCAAGTCATGGAGCTGCTGACATCATTTGGAGAGCTCAAGGCTTTCACTCTCGTCAAGGACGCTGGCACAGAGGAGTCAAGGGTAAGCTATACATGCACGAAACCGAGACTGGAACAATTTCAGGCTGACCCAACGTTTCTAGGGCATTGCTTTCTGCGAATATGTAGATTCCGCCGCGACGGACATCGCCGTCCAAGGCCTCCATGGCATGGCTATTGGCGACAAGGCTCTCAATGTGAAGAAAGCAAGTATAGGCATCACGCAAGTGGCAGGCGTCGAGATGGGTGTGAATGCCATGTCCATGCTCGCAGGTACTACGTCGACAGACCAGGAGGAAAGCAAAGTGCTGCAGCTTCTCAACATGGTGACAGCAGAGGAGCTTTTGGACAACGATGATTATGAGGGTGAGTCATACAGCTTTCTACGCTGTTTCTGGGATACTAGCTAACGCTTCGCAGAAATCTGCGAGGATGTTCGCGATGAGTGTGCCAAGTTTGGCCAAGTTGTGGCATTGAAAATCCCCAGACCTAGTGGTGGAAGCAGGCAATCTGCTGGAGTTGGCAAGATCTTCGTCAAGTTCGACACTACGGAATCAGCGAAGAAAGCCTTGAATGCCTTAGCTGGTCGCAAGTTTGCTGATCGCACCGTCGTCACGACATATTTCCCCGAGGTTAGTGAAGCCGGTCCTTTGGGACGTCTCAAACGCTGAGCAGGACATATTACTAATGCCAAATCTAGGAGAACTTTGAGGTCAGCGCGTGGTAGAAGCGTTAACGGGCACGTGGGAGCTTTTCACCAATCACTTGACGATCTGTTTGCAGTGGTTTCATCGGGATGGGAGGTATTCCAGGAGTCATCACACGTGTAATCTAAGTGCCCCTCTGGGAGTTTAATGATGAAATGGAGAATTGTATGTTCAGGTGCATTTGAGAAAAGAAGATGCTCAGCCAGCCAGCCAGCAATTTGAAGCCATGGTTGCAAAACTGTTGCCTGTGCCTTATACACTACACTTCCCACGCAAGGTGACGATAATCGGACAAGCCACTACATGAGAGATACCCATTCGATGTGATAGATAGTTTAGACTTCATAAGCACAGTTTGGAGGAAACTTGACCTGCGCTGAGAGCATGTAGCCAGAAACACGGGCACGCACTCAGCAACCCCCTGAGCGTGGCCTGGCGGGTTCTTTCTAATTACGTTAGCACTCGAGGGGCTCCCGTCAATAGCGTCCCCCCCCCTCACTCCTCCCCCGCAAAAAGCGGTCGCACTCCGCTCCGGGGGTGAACGGCTACTGATAACCGCTAACTCGAGGCTACTGTACCTAAAGGGTAGATAAGAGCTTACATTTGTACCTCGGCATCTGCTTGACTCCAAGCAAACTTGACTGACTGCCTCTAGCTCCTCGGTCATGGTTTCGAGATGTGCCAATCTTGTTCACGACATTGAGCTACGGCATGTCTTTCTGAGCTACTTGGGAACGCCGGGGCACCACTCGCCAACTACCTTTCCGACATAGAACCATCAGAACCTTGCGAGTCCGCAATCATGGCCGGCCGTGTGAGACACCCCATCGACGTCAAGGCGCTCGAGAGATACATCGAGGAGCACGTACCGGAGATCAAGACGCCCTTGGAGGTGAAGCAGGTAGGCTGCCCGCTTCCTTTTCTACTTTCCGAACCGGATCGACTTTTCAGTGGGAAATTTCGTCGCCCTATGGATGTGTACACACGCTGACTTCTCGTGCTCGTGAGCAGTTTGGCTACGGCCAGTCCAACCCGACCTACCAACTGACCTCGCCTTCGGGCCACCGCTACGTCCTGCGTAAGAAACCGCCGGGCAAGCTCCTCTCCAAGGCAGCGCACAAGGTCGAGCGGGAACACCGCATCATCGCCGCCCTGTGGTCCACCGACGTGCCCGTGCCCAGGGCGTACTGCCTCTGCGAGGACGCGTCCGTGATCGGGACGCCCTTCTACATCATGTCTTTCCTGGACGGGCGCATCATCGAGGACCCGGCCATGCCGGAGGCCTCGTCGGGCGGCGAACGCGCGGCGCTCTGGAGGGCCGCCGTGGAGACGCTGGCCAAGTTCCACCGCGTCGACTTCAGGGGCGTCGGCTTGGGCAACTACGGCAAGAGCGACGGGTTCTACGACAGGCAGCTCGCGACGTGGAAGACCATCTGCACGGCCCAGGCCGCCACCGAGGACGTCGAGACTAGGAAGCCCGTCGGACAGCTGCCGCACTTTGATGGCTTCCTGAAATTTTTTTCGGACAAGATGAAGCAGCCCGCCGACCGCGGCACGCTGATCCACGGGGACTACAAGATTGACAACATCGTATTTCACAAGACGGAGCCGAGAGTGATTGGTATTCTGGACTGGGAAATGTCGACCGTGGGACACCCGCTCAGCGACCTGGCGAATATGATGATCCCACTCTACACGGCGACCATGAAGGGCGAAGCAAAATACTCCTCCTCGCCCGCATTTCTGCCGGGCGCTACGCCGGGATTACCGACCCCGGAGGTGCTCATGAAGTGGTATGCAGACACGGCGGGCTGGGATCCTAGGCCGGACATAAACTGGGGCATGTCGTTCGCCATTTTCAGGTTAAGTGCCATCTGCCAGGGCATCGCCGCACGAGTTGCGCAGAGGCAGGCGAGCAGCGAGCAGGCAAAGAAACACTCAGAGGCGTTGGGCCCGCTGGCCGAGTTCGCATGGGAACTGGTAGGGACGGAGAAAGACCAGGTCAGGCCGGCAGCCAAATTGTAAGCATTTCATTGTTGCTAGATTGAGCCTGCTAGATTGAGCCTTGGAGTCATGATGTGTAATTTACGCAAGCATCAATAGAAAGTAGGCAGCGCACTGCTCTTGAAAATGTTGAGCAATAGCCTCCTCAAGGCACATCCAGCTCTCCTCCGTGCACCACCGGCGGTCCAACTCTACTCGTGTGTCAGATGTCCGCAATAAATATCGACATTTGGGGCTGTGGATAATGGATTTTGGAAATAAGCTACTTGGTGGTCTAAAGTGAATGAGCATATCAAGAACCGAATTGCCGGTATAGTGGTCGACTGTTTGCAGAGAATTGCTCGCACAGAAGAGCACGTGAAACTTCTATAGCTTTTTTGCTTCTCAGATAGATACGACAATCAGACAAGGTTGGCACAACACTTAGAATCAGGTTGCACGCAAGCGGGAAGAAGGTCAGGAGGAGAAAGGGGCCCGGTGGACGTTTGGCCAATCTGCACAGTGCAGTTTTCATGCACCTGTAGCTTTATACATACTGCTGTTACTGCTGACGCTGCTCGTGATGCGTTAAAATCCCCAATTGAGCGCTCAAATTTGTATATCTACTAGGTAAGCTATTTACCACCGTATGAGTATAAAGTCAACGCTGGATGAGCTGAATGCATGAGATCCATAAATGATTGAGTTTCAAGCCTTGAACCACATTACCTGATACTCGAAGTGAAGCCTGAGAAGAGTGCAAAATGTCTCGGTGATGAGTCCTGAGAGTGAGAGAAGACCTACCCGCAAGTCCGAATGATGAGATCTATAAGCATGGTTTGAGCTTCAGTTGTGAAAATAGTGTGAAAGATCAACAAGGCAAATAACAATTGCTCTGCTCTATTGCGCGGAATAGTCAGAGCCCCTTTCCTCTGGATCCGCCATCCGAATTTCCGGCCCCCCAATGGTGTGTGACGCAGGGGGGTAAAAGTCGGGTCTTGCTGGCGGCCACCTAGGTTGAATCCCGGTTTCGCTTGTCATCAAGGGATTCGGAAAAGGCAGTCTGGGTTCGTGTGCATGATACATGGGGACTTGTCCCAAATATGGCGCCATGGTATTCTCAAATCCTGCGGGGGCTGGGACAGGCGAGCCGAGTGCTCCCATTGAATGTCGGTGGTTGTGACCTGATGGGTAAAGCCGGCCACCATTGGTGTGGTACTTCATATAGCCATCAGTCAGACCTTTGAACAAGGTAGCCGGGAACAACGACGAGTTGAGGATTCACATACCTGACCATTAGGATGTCCCGAAATACCCGGAGCCATAAATAAGTTCGAGCGAGCAGATGGCGGAGAGGCACGTAGGCTGCCATGGCGAGGGCGTGTCCTTCGACGATTCTCACCAACATCTCCAGGCGGTGACCGTCGTTCAGATTGCTGCCACGAGCGGACACTCGGCAGAGCGTCAGGTCTCCGATATGTTGAAGCGGAAGAGGCTTCAGAAGTTCCCCATCGAGCTTCCCCATGGTTGTCACGAGCCCACCCATTCCTACTTGCATGCCGGAGAACCTGCATCTGACTTTGTCGCATGACATGAACGAAAGACTCTGGATCGGCACGATGTTGAGGCTCGGAAGGCAGTTTGTCCCTGCAATACGGGCAACTGTCTGACTCTGCAAACCACTTCTTTATACAGTGGTCACCGAAAACATGTTGACATTTCGGAAGGCGTAGGGGTGCTTCGTTTATTCCTTCCGGAGTCTCCGTGCCAAAGTCATTGTAGCAAATAATGCAAGCTAGAAATATTAGCAAATATTCGGTACAAAGTTTAGAAAACCTACCCCTTTCACTTTCTGGCAGATCTGAGAGCTCCACACTTTCAAGATCTGCTATAGCTTTCCTCGACGCTACCTTCCTCCCAGGGTTCACTCCTCTCATTAACTGAGCAGCACGTAGTCCGCTTTCTCCGGTCGCAGTAATGGCATCTAGCATTCTTGCTGTCATCATCTCTGTCTCATTTGGATCTGAATCCTCATCGCTTGGCGAATCCGAGTTCAAGGCGGAAACATAATATCTATTGTGTGTTTGACCCACAACAGTTCTCTGTGAATTCGTAAACGACTCCGTGGGTCTTTGCGGCATAGGTGGCATGGTGACCGATGAAGATCTTGCGGCTAGGGATAAATTAATTTTTGCTGACATTCGATGATATGATCGACTTTTGAATCTTGCTCAACATACCTGTCGATGATATTTCAGGCGTTCTTGATCGCCCTACATTCGATCCATTTCTTAAAGGAGAAGCAAGGTCTCTGCTGGGAGATGTCACGGCCCGGTCAGTTGATCTGATGAGCAGTTTAGCGATTGCACCATGCCATGCAACTTGAAAGCTTACACGTGAGTGAGTGCAGGTAAACGGCTCGAGCGAGAAACATGCTCAGATGGCCCAGAGTTGGTCGAGGCATTTCCAAGTGGATTTGGACTATAGTGACTTGGCCCAACGCCTCCCGACCTGTCAATACTCGGAATAGTCGGCCGCTGTGGGAAGCGAGGTGTTGAATGTGCATGGCCATGTGGACTGCCCTGTGCACCATAATAATCTCCTGCCACATTCCCGGTCACAAATGGAGGCACAGGCAGCGAATTTGTTTGCAAACCATGTGCTGGGGGCATTGATCCAAGCGGGGCAGTAAATGGAGACGCTTGTGTATACATAGGCATCTGGCGAGTAAGCATGTGAGAATGATATTGTGGGTGCTGCCAGCTATCATGAGGGTTTGGATGCCACCAATTTCCGGTATTTATACTGCTGTGCACTGGGTCATAATGAGACCCGCCACCACCACGCGAGGATGACTGTAAACCCGGAAGTTGATTATGTTCGGCAGCTGCTCGCAGAGCTGGACAAGGTGATTGTTGGTGGTCCATTTGCATTGGTGATAAGCCGCCTCTGTTAGAGGTCGGCGTGGATCGATGCATCACAAAGTCCATGGCTGAGGGATCCATACTTTCACGTCGAGAGCAGCGGCCCGGGATGCAGGCTGGTACTCCCGACCTTGTCTCAACAACGAACCTCCCGAGGTAAATGAAGACGGCTTTTTCTTTTTCTTTTGCTTCGTTGTCTTCTAGAAATGTTGGCAGAGCTCTTTAGTTTCTTAGTGACCGAGTCCGCCGATACTGTTTATTAGTATCGCGATTGTTCATGGAGGTTGAGGCGGATCAAGCACCAAACACAAGTGCCTTTGCTTTCGCAATCCCTATCTTCTTCAAATCTCTTCCTCGAACCGACAATCGAATGACTATAGTTTGTTTCGAGCAGGCGTTGAAGCGCGAAGTAGAGGAGGGGCGCTCGTCCGTTTGCCTGCCAAGGAGATAATCGGCGATACAGTAGCGTACGAGGGGTAAATCTTATGTTCCTCGGACCTCACTACTTGGCCATGTGAATGGGTAGGTGTTTGTCACGAGTATAGGTGAGTGAGTCAAAGTGAGCTCGATATCTTAGGATCGAAACAATAATCAAATGAATATTCAAAAAGTGTAGTTGCTCGAGGCTCTGGGAAGAGGTATCGGTCTTGGTACGAATACTGTATCACTGATAAGAGCGGGACAGTAGATTACTCGGACTGAGACGTGGTTCGTAGTATGGTGCGAAATTAGGATGACGCTTCGTGGCAGATCACGCAAATGAGAATCTCGGAAACGAGTGAAGTTATGTCCTAAGAAGGAAAGAAAGGAAGGAAGAGAAAGAGGAGGAGGAGGAGGCGGAGGAGAAGGGCAGGAGCACTCGGAGGTCAGAGGTCAGAGGTCAGAGGTCTAAGTGTCAGAAGGTCTCCCTGGGCTGTAAGTGGGCATGACAGACCGAGAGGTTGGCGGTTCTGGTTTGTTATTAGTTTTATCAGAATGCGACTAATAAAGCGGAGGAAATATTATGTAGGATCCAATACTTAATCTGTACGAGCTAGCTAAGGTAGAAGGGAGAAAAAAAAAGCGAACAGCATGCGGTAGGTACATGACATGGGATTGGATCTATCATGACAACAAGTCTCAGTTGGGCGTAACTACCCGCAGCGGAATGCCTGGCTTAGGGGACTTGGGTGGGCTTGGGTTTTGAACTGGGCGGCGCTGGTCCACGTTGGCTACCTAGGCAATGTCGGCAAGGTAGATGGACAAACCATCGGGTTAAGGCGTCGTTAGAGGTAATGCAAAATGCGAGAGATCCAAATTGGTAGCATGGGTATTGGCACGGAATACATAGATATCGGCCAAGGAGGGGCCGCTAACGATGGCACATGCATACATACAGTAGGAAGGTGACTGCGTCACCAAATGTTCATCGGGTTGAACCAACCCAGACACTGGAAGGACAAGGCCGGCCGGGCCATGTAGCGGGTATTGTAGCTAGCAAACAGCGCTGCGGTCTGCTGTGCGTTTTTCAAGATTGCTTAGCATTCCAGTCAGAATCGGATCACAACCCCCAAAGTTGAGGACCTTGGTAATTACGGAGTAATTGGTTATGTAGCAAGGTGTACGGACTAATGAACAAGCAAGGTGGCCCTGATGAGTTGGTTTCCAAAGTTCGCCTCGTGCATGGACAGGCCGTTGTGAGCCGCCAAACGAAGGTGCCAAACAGACGATTGATACAATTACACGTTCCATCCACTGGGCCCCCCGCATGTCGCATTTCACTCAGCGCCTCTTCGCACCAAACTCAAGTCTCGATCCGGTCTTGAAAGGACGTACCATGTGTCCCCTTACCGCCGACCATAGCCTGTATGCAACCTCGAAGAGCGCCCCATGACTTGGACACAGCATTCCATCAACCCTTGCATTAAATGGAACAAAAGACCGTGTTTAAAAAGAACCGGCCCCGTCCCTTCCAACTCGCTTTGCAGTGATTTACACGGGTGCCAACCCTGGGTGCGAATCGCCCTTCGACAGTCGGTTTGCATGGGTTTTACAAGCAAAGCACTTCTCCTGTGTCCCTGCCCAGGCGTTCTGATCATTCAAATGCGGGAAAGGAATGCCTCTCGATGGCTTAATTTCCAAACAGGTTGCGTATTGTTAGGTCACCGTGCATGTCTTCTTGCGGTTTGAAGGGGGCAGCCTTTCTGAAATCCACTAGGAGCAGGGTTCGTAATACTACATATTGCTCATTCCATCTGCCACTGTCCTCTTCTGTGCCACGAGATACAATTCGAGACCATTTGGTTCCCGAAATTTGCAGCGCGCTGCATGGAATTCCAGCTGCTTGCAGGCATCGTTGCATTTTTGGTAATGCTTTTGACTGTTGTGGCAATCACTGGGGATAGCCGAGGGAAACGGCGAGTGGGCACAAGGCGGAGAGCATACTTACGCTCTAGTCTAACAATTTAAATGCTTCACCTTTTGAACCTAGCGATACCGAAACATGCCACAGATGGCGACACAACAGAACGCCTTCCTACCACAGGGTTATCTGAGATTTGAAGCGTTACATCCTGTGCCGGACTGACATGCGGTTCTGGATGAATACAAGAGTAGGACTCTTCGCTTCATCCAACTTCCGAGACTTATCACTCAGCGGTCCCATGCTCACAGCGGAGGTTGCCCAAAAAGCAACCCATAGGCTCACGTAAGACAAAGAAGTATCACACATCATACTTTGCATACCGGAGACTCAAGTTGCAGAAATCCGTGGAAACAGTCGCAATGTCATGTAGGCAGCTGGAAAGACACATACATTGCATCTTTGTTCTGCTCACTTCTACTGTAGCATCCGTGGTTTACTGGCAAAAGGCTGAGGATATTTTCCATTATACATAATCTTTCGAACAAGTAAGCCCAAACTAATGATAGTTTCTTCGCAGGACAGTTGCAGATACGACTCTGTGTCAGTTGTCCGAAAGCTTCCCAGTTGGCAATGTGTGTTCCCATATTGCAGCTGTCTTGAGCACCAAGTCAAAGCTGGCAAACAACTTTGTTCCCAAATTTGATGGCAATTTCATGCGAAAAGCGACACAAAACGACACAAAAACAGAGTGATCAAACCGTGCCGAGGCCGTCACTGCTCGGATGTTTGAGTAGACCCTGGTTATCTACGACGACAAGATGCAGCAATGATGCATTAGTAGGTAGTCAAATAGGATTTATGATGGTGGCACTCTTCGGCTTTCTTTTCTTTTGGAATGGCCCTGGCCGTCTGGAAATCGGGGCGAACCTTGATCGTTTCACTTTTGACGTCGGGACAACCTCAAGCCACTTACACTTTCGTCGGGTTGATTCGCTATCGACACGTCCAGTATTTGCTCAATTCCCCCAGACACTTCCAAAACTGCCCGGTAAACTATTGCCAGTTATCCGATTCCTCTAACAATAGGGTCAGTCTATCTGCAAGGCTAACTACTTCCTTGAATACTGCGGTACAAGTAGCCAAGCAAAGACCCATTTTCGCTTCCTACTCTAAGTTAATTAGTCTACTGTCATTCCCGGAAACCATACCAGAATTCTACACACTTCATTGGTTGACAGCCTGATCTAATCGCTTGGCTCATGTTACCTGGACTTACATAGGAACGACGCATGGGCGGACCTTTCTCCATCAAATATCATTATCGACTCTGTGCGGAAATGCCACGACGCATGTGCTGTACGGAGGATCCATACGAGTGTGAGCTCCTGGAGTTTACAGAATTTTGCTTTCATGCTGTCAAGTTATGTTGGCTTCGGCTGAGGCGGCAGTCCCAAAGTGAAACTTCAACTTTCGGAGGGTACTGAACTAACAGACAATAGAGCGGATCGCACCACTGACGCTACCAGATTATTACCCCTCCTTAAGCCCATGGAACGCCGATTCACCGTCTCGATACTGCACCTATTCAACCTTGTTCACTGGGATCATCCATCGGATCTAAAACTATCGTCGCTCGAAATGCTAAGACTATCTGCATTCCTCAATCCATCACACTCGTCATAGAGACATTATCCGCAGTTGTTCGACCCCTCGCACATACGTTGAGGCTCGACTAACGAATGCTTTGCGATTCCCTAACCGTCGGATATGTTATACGGTATCAACGCAAGACCATACGGACAACTTCGCAGAGACATACATGTATAGCGAATGCTCAATCTCGCATCTCAGAGTCAGAGCGATTCTGACCATGATTAATACCAGTTTGTCGTAATTATCAGGCTGTCGTAAATTTCACCATGGCAGCCAAGACGACCCATTACTGGGTGAGGCGACATCCCATGCACCAGCCTGAATCAGCTGACGATAGTCCTCACACCGCAAACGCCGAACCCCGCCAACATGCACCTGACAATAGCGGCCGTCTCTACTTGCTGATTTCAACATGAATATTGAGACACCAAGTCAAAGTAACCCCAGACGGCAATACGTCCCGGCTGATTATTGTGCGTGTCACCGCGAACCCAACCACTCCGTCGTCGCAGCCAGCATGGTCTGCGATGCTAATTTGGAATATAATGACAGCTGATCAGCGTCTCTTTGTCGTCCTGATAAGCGCTTTGCCGCCAAGGAGAGTAGATTCAGGAAGGCGATCCATAAAGCGAGTGGATGATCTGAGGACGATTACGCATGGTGTATTTACGTGTTCATCAGCACTGACTGGATGCAAACATCCGCATACTGGTTGTCCTAACTCAAACCAAAGCCCAACACCTAAGCGACAGCTCAGCTCGTATGGCTACAAGGTACAATGCTAACGCATCGTTTGCCATGCTGCTCCATACACAGTACTTTCGCAACCCTGTCACGTCTCGAAATTGCATGTCTTGCACCCTGACTCGACATATTGCATTCGAGCACTGTGGAGAGCTGATAGAGTTCTCAACCAAGCCAATGGCTTGCGCTTGAGCTGCCGCTCAATCGTTGTTAACTTCAGCTCTGATTCAACGCTACAATTTAAGCGCCAAACTGCTGGTTTTCAATTCAGGTCGTCAAGACAAGACAATACGGCTTACACAAGTTGTCCTATTTGTTACACAATGCTAACTAACAATTGGGAAATGCAGATAGGAAGAACATTCACCAATCTGGAATCAATCTGCCATCAGGTAACGTCAATATTTGCATTCTTATAATTTGATATGAAAGGTGCCCAGATTTCGGGCGTCAGCCTGGAACCTCGTCGAACATCCAGATCGTTTTGAATTACCGATGCCAAAACTTATTTGACTGCTACGTGATCGTCTCCAACAATGCCTTGCACACTTTACCGGAGCAAGGGGGAACAGAAATACGAATCACATAACTGTTGGTTTGAATTTGGGATTTTCATTATCACACAATACTTATATCAGTTTGTATCTTCTCATCGAACTCAGCGGTTGGCCTGCTTAAGAGCAAACTACGATCATATGATCTCGACCAGCAGCGCTCTGGAACAAGCTCTTCATGATTGTCAGAGAAGATGCCCAAAATTAGATATGCTAGGTGACTCTTGCTTTTGTGGCTGCGTAGTTATTTCTGGCTGATAATTGACACATCGCGAAACATTCCCTTGATAGTGCCGAGCATTGTGATTCCTGTCTTTCCGGAACCCAGATGAGGTATCAAAATTTTTTATGATCTTCTTACCTATCGAATCAGGCAAAAGAGGTAGATTAATACGGCCGGAGTGCTCATAATCGTCCTGGCTTCAACGGCCGAGCTATGCAGGTCCTGAACCTAGAAGTCAGACCTTGCTTGCCGAAACCTTCGCATCCATGGAACTCGTCTGAAAGGGTAGATCTAGGTTGTTGAGATGCGGAAGATCGTTCCCCTCTTGGGTGTATTTTTTATGCTCAACTCGGGTGACTCACTTCTACCTTTTTGAACCTATGTCAAACCAATAATAAGTATCGTTGCCCACATTACTTAAATTAGAACCCTCAACCAAGGGTATTCATCGTGCACAAAACGACATTAGCAGATATACCCAGATACAATCGCTCCTGTCCATGTTCTCGAATTTGCACACAATATCCCGGTGATACTCTCCGAGTAGACCTGGTATGCATTTCGGATGCCAATGACGCGTCTTGTATTTGTATATGATAGATAGAAGTCTCGTGGGAAGGATATGGTGTGTTACCCGTAGCAGCAATGTCATATCATGTCAGAATTGCCCGCCTTGCATAGGATAATAGCACCAGTGCGAACATGTTTGTTGATGACCATTTGACTTGTGGTGAAGAACTCTGTGCTTACGGAGTTGCACAGTCTTGATTACATATACTTATAATCCGAAGGTATGTGCCTATGGTTGGACGTGGCAACAAAATTTATCTCAAAATCCCTTGGGTTACTTGTTCATGGTGTACAAAGTCTCTTCCGGGATGTTCGATATGTAGTGATCAGCACACAGCTAATTGTCATTTATTACCGGGGTGATTCACCGCGGCTTATCATTGGGCTACCGTCTCTTGCCATCATAACGTGAATCAAGTACGCAGTCGTCCCTTCCCTTCAATATTTCAGGACTTAAATCACCCAATCTAACACCTTGTGGTAAATTCACCGAAGATCACAAGCACATAAACGGGGTTGCTGCAATTTCTTTCCCTCATTTCCAGCAAAGCGCAACATAACCACTGACAACACAAGAGAGAACGACTCCGAGCAGCGTTCTGGGAGATATTTATCTTATTTCCATCCTTTCATCCGTAATTTCGGAGTAACCTAATAGGCGGACGAAAATGTGCTACACGTACCATTTCCGCTCTCAGAATTGCGGCCACCACTGGTTCCAGATCTCGCAGCCATGCTATCCAGGCTGGGGCTTCCGGTATTGCAACACCTTTGGAGATGGCATCGCGCGTGAGCCCAGCCCCAGGTTCGACACCAGGGCGCCTTGCCCAGCATGCACATGCGGCGGTGGTGGGTACGACAAGAATCAGATTCGCATGATCATGGACATCAAGAATCGCTGGCGGTTGGGACAAGGCCCGTGTAAGCATGACCCGGGGATTGAGTGTGTTATCCTGTGACGGAGGTGAGAGCAAGGAGAATAGAGGAGTGCCCATCGACACTTCCTCCTGGAGGACAGGGATACGGGGCAAGTACGAGACATGCGCATTGGCTGGGTGAGCAGAGGGTATGGTGGAAAGGTTGTGGCATTGAGTTGAGGCTTGGTGCTGATTTGGGACACTTCGACCATTACACAAATGAATGGGCAAAATATCTGATGCCACCGAAGAAGCAGCAGATCTATGGACTGATATTCGAGTGGTCAACCGGAGAAGGAAACCCTGGGCAGCCATGTCGTAAACCCGCGAGTAAGCGCCTCAAACAACAATAATTATCGCCTGCTGGGAGGGGGCGAGGGCCTTTCCCAAGTGTAACGACTGGCAGTATTTGGTTGAGCTACCAACATCTTGTCGGGCAACATCACTCCCACAGTCGCTCTTTCAGTCTTCCACTAGGCCTCATCACGTGCCTAAGCCCCCGGACCAGCAAAAATTTCGGTGCCCGCTTTTTGAAGCATGTCCGACCACACCCACGACACATCCACGCATTGCCTCTAAAGCTGGGCACCAACACTCTCTCCATGCTCCCTACACCAGATACGTCGCATGTGGATTATGAGCGGATCTACGAGCCAGCAGAGGACTCGTTCCTGCTCCTAGACACACTGTCCTCTGCCTCGGAGACTGAATTTCTTCAGTCCCGGTTCGGAGACAATGTATCATCACCACTGCCGCCTCTGGTGGTGGAAATAGGACCGGGCTCGGGCGTGGTGATCGGCTTCGTCAACGCGCACGCGCAGACCATCTTCGGCACCCGACACGTCCTGACGGCCGCCGTGGACGTGAACCGCCATGCCTGCGTCGCTACACGCAAGACGGCGCTCAAGGCGGGCACGGATAACGAGGGAACGCATGGCGTGTTCCTCGACGCGGTGCAGGGTGATCTTGTGGCGCCGCTGAGGAACGGCTGTGTCGACGTGCTGATATTCAACCCGCCGTATGTGCCAACGGCGGAGCTGCCGAGACAGCCCACGCCGGCAGATATCAACGTGGACACGGAGCCGACTTTTGACCATGACTCATACCTGCTGTCGCTTTCTTACGCGGGGGGCAGGGACGGGATGGAAACGACGGATCGTCTGATCGATAGCCTGCAAGAGGTCCTGTCGTGGAGGGGTTGTGCGTACATCCTGCTTTGCGCACAGAACAGGCCAGAGGAGGTCAAGCAGCGGATCAGGGGCTTTGGAAATGAATGGAGTGTCGAGATGGTCGGATCCAGCGGGAAGACGGCGGGCTGGGAGAAATTGCAGATTATTAGGATCTGGAGAGACTAGGCTCTCATGCAATACTGATCTTGATGTTTTGGTCCTCTCGTGGAAAGGTCGGGTTTGTTTTCCCCTTTGACCAAGTCAATAAGGATACCATTAACGAGATTGGACGACTAGTTATTGTCATGATGTGGAAAAAGAAAGGAGCCATACCAGCTGCCCATTGATTCACGTGTAAATCATTTGTTTTAACATGTAGACCGTGCCCTATGAACGCCATTTGCGCAAGTCGACCTCAATGCTTTCGTTTTCAAGCCTGCTCATATCTCAGAGCACCATGGCCAACGTTTTCGGCCGCTTCTTTCGTCTCGTCTTCCCCTCCCGCCTCCTTTCATAACTTTACTCTTCGGATGCTGGTGTCCCAAGCGATAATCCCGAGTCACACGCACTTACTCCCGCGCAACACAAGAGCATGTTTATCTTCCCCTGCCAAAACCACGACCACGTCCTCTGCCGCGGCCACGCATTCCGCCTCTGCCGCCACGCGCGCCAGGGGCACGATCGGCGACCTCCTTGCGGGCCTTGTTCTTGGGCTTCACCGAGTCGTCGATCAAGAGTGTGTCGAGGGGCAACGAGTCCGGCAGGATAAAGTATCGGATTGTGGAGCCGCGGATGTTCATCGTGTCGAGCGGGATAGGGTCTTGGCCCTTTGCCGTCATCTTGACGGTGCGCAGCGCCGTGTTCATCTGCGGCGAGACTGATGTGATTGTGCCATGGATGATGGTGCCTGGTCAAGGAGCAGCTAGTTAGTACCCTCCCCGGGTCGAAAGGAACGGGCAATGGCAGATGGCAGATGGCACGGGGCACGGGGCAGGGGACAGGGGGAGGGGGAGTGTAACGGACCGTTCTTGAGCTCAATGGTCACCGTCTCGTTGGCGCATTTCATCAAGAATCTGGTGGGGAGATCATGGTCAGCTAAATCGGCCTTGATTTGCGCAGATTGGTGTTTAGCACAAATGGTGCAGATAGGATGCAGGATGGGGGCTTACCTGACGAGCTTCATGGTGGCTGAAAATCGGGCGGGCTGGGGATCCTGTTCTGAAGTGAAGTTGTAGACGCGGTTGGCACTGCAGGTTCAATTGATTGCGGTCGAGTTTGGAGCATCAGCCTTGTGAATTTCCAGGCACAAGTCCATCCGGTCAGTTCGAGTCCCAGCGCCCACGCCAAAGAGAAAGAAGAGCTCTCCAAGCACGCAATCACGTGACCCCGCCCGATTTCCCCCCAAGTCAAACATCTTCCGTGGAGAAGGGAGCAGCGCCGGCCGTCAGCGCCACAACAGCACAGCATGACAGGTCCGCTGTGCAAGGTACGAACAACGGGATGATCCAGGTTATCTTGTCATTGACTTCCTTCAAGTGTGTAGTCCGTCTTGTATGACGTCTTCGCCAAAACTTCAACTAGACAAATGCGGGCCGATTCGCTCTAGACTAAACTAAATAAACAAACATGCTGTGGTGGTATCAAAATAATCATAATCGGTGTCGAGGAAATATGCTCGGGCGCCAAACAATATGATGTAGCCTAATATGCCCTCTGTCCTTTGTCCTCTGGCCTGTCCTGTCCTGCCCTGCCCTGCCTTGTCCCTTGTCCTGCCGTCTCATTTGTCCTTCTCAGTCTCGTTTTCCGAGACCTTCTCCCACTCATCCTCTGTGCTGACTCCAGACTTGTTCTCTGGCAATGTGTCCAACCTCTGTTTCAGTTCACCCTGCGGCTCTACAACTTCCACCTCCTTGCTCGCAGACACCTCTTGGATCGGGGATCTTGCCTTGGAGTCCACCGGTTCCACCTCCGTGTCGTCGCTATCGTCGGCGTTTTGCCTTGCTTTCGCCTCATCCTGCGCCTTCTTTTCGGCCTCTTTCGCTTGTTCCTTCTTGAGCTCCGTGGCAAACCAGTTGATCGAGATCCAGAGCCCCCCTGATATGAATGACAGGATCAAGAAGTGGATGCTGTATGTCGCGAGCAACAGCGCGAACAACACCAGCTGCAAGGCAGCGAAGCTAACGTTGGTCGCAATGAGCAACGTCGGCGTGGTGCCCGGAATGAAGATGGAGTTCCATATCTCCTCGAGGAAGTTTGCCATCTTGTGTCGGTTTCTTGGGTTCCGGGTTTGAGGTGTTTGTGCGATAACAGGTAGAAACAGAATCAATAGCCCAGGCAGGAATGCGACACGCTGGCAGCCTCTGGTACGTGAGCTGAGGGGTGACTGGCGTGCAAGCTCTAGGGATGACGTATCCACGGGGGAGAGATAGAGAGAGAAAGGAATCGGGTTTTATAGCCCCGACGAATGTGTTGCAAGACTTGGAGGTGTCGCGATAAAAGACAGCTCGCCTGACGGTAAAGACAACAGAGTCTACTTGACTTGAGGCCAGGTGGTGTTAGGCAGTAATTCTGGAGTCGTCCCAGGAGTTTGGAGTCGAGGACCTGAAAATGATGCAACCAATTTAGCCAGGACTGAACCTGAACCTGAACGCGACCTACAGCACGGATCCGTCCATGCAGTACAAAAGTTCGCAGAACTCGGGCGGATAGTGGGGGGGATGCTTTAGAGTAGTAGTGTCGGGTACCTACAGTACAAAGCAATAGTAACAAAAGTGATGATACCTAGAGTGGGATATGCAGCTCTGGTGGGTTCAGGGTGCTTTCCTAACAACGCGCACAAGTCCAACGTCGCAGTTTCGTGGTCCTGGAAGATGATGTAGAAGAGCTGTACAAAACCTCTCAACGAGTCTCAATCAACAAACTAAGTTATGATACGATTAAACAATGGTCCCGTCCCGTCCCTCAGTTGCGACTCTGCTGGCCGGCTTTGGAAGGAGGGGCAGCGGCAGGTGCTCCGCCGCGCGTCTTATCGACGTGAGCAAGCACCACAATTTTAATGCTACGACTCGCAGGTGACCCAGAACTTGGGACCTGTGATAAGCTCAAGCAATGCGAGGCCCCCGCCCTGCCGGAATCCGAAGTCATCCATTAATCATGCAGAACTCTTTACGTATGTAGTCTATATAAAATCATGGTCTATACTTGGATAGTTTTATTTTTATTTATTTACCTTCATGTAGGGGTAGTCGATTTCTACCAGCAGACTAGAAGTTGTAGGTCGTGTTGCAATGGTACTCTACTCCACAGCGAGTCTTGATATGAAAAAAATTGAAAAAAAAAATTTGGAAAAAATTTGAAAAAAAAAAAAGTGCTCTTTGTCAGCCGTGTAGCTTAGCTGCTGACAGAGGCACATCACGACATTTGTGTCAGACTTGCTTTCGAAACCCATTACGAGTATATGTCACGGTAGCGGCAGCATAGAAGACACATGATGGAGCATTGTTATTGAATAGCAGTGGGAGCTTGTAACAACCACCTCTAGGTTAGACTAGTTGGTGTGGGAGTTTGCGGAGAAAGCTACATACTGTATGCTTGTTAGACTAAGTATATGGCCCCGCGGGTCACTTGCCCGGCAATGCTTGCAGGTGCTCCGCTAAGGTAAGGTAAGGTAAGGTAACGCAACGTAGACCGCCTCACCACACCTCGAGGACCCTGGAGAATCATCGAAACTGGGTTGAGCCTCAAAGAATAATGAACTTACCACAAGTAGGCTTGGGATTGGTATATCTGGCATTGGGCGTACCTTTACATATGGCTCTCCTCCATACTCTCCCTTTACAATGGTATCCATACTCGAAACGTCTTCCTAGCAGAGCAGCAGTAAAAGCGGAAGGGAGCTTCACTTAACATTCGGGAAGGTTGGGCTGTGACTTTAACGTTAACCTAGGTTAGTCTAGTCGGACAGTACTTGACTTAGTACGCCGTCCAAATAATTTAGGTGAGATGTTCCGTTGCGACTAAGTTACCTGGCACACGACCCTCACTTCTGCGAACATTGCAGCTGCAACAGCCAACATCACAGAACCACCAACCACTGGAGGCTAGGTAGATTTGCGACTTTTGGCGCACTGCCCCGAGCAATGGTCTTCCTCTGCTTCATGGTTTGACACATTCTTAGTTCGGCGCGTTGCATTTTCTTGCGAATGACAGCCGAAGCTGGAACTCCCGACAATTTACCTTGCCTTATCTTACCTTACCTTACCTCAGCTATATTGTGTGCATGTAATCAGACCGACTTTCTCGAAACACCGGCGTAGAACACAACATGATTGCCAGCGCCTGGTCCAACTCGTCATGAGGATATAGGCAAGCATAAGCGCAAGTGCAAGCTCAAGCGCAATGGCAAATAGCACGAATCCAGACTTGCCCAAGAGCCCAGTTGTTCCGCTGGCGCACACAGAGTCGGGCTCTAATATAGGAGCCGTACCACCTCTCCCTCCGCCAGTATCCGAGCCGGAGGCGACACTACAGGCATCAACTATGTTCGCCGTGTCGACTATAGCGGAGGCGGAGAAGTGCGCACAGACTGATATTCGAGCTTGCGCTCTTCTAGACCTCCCAGTTGACGTTCTACGATTGATCGTCAAGGAGGTGAGGCTTCCGCATGACCCTCGAGCTTCCATGATATAGGCAGACTGACACTCGTGCTCAACCTCCAGGTCAAGCAGGCGAATGATCTAATCACACTCGCACTGACATGCTCGACTCTCCATAGCCTTGCCATTCCTCATATATATGCTCGATTCGATATTGTCTGGCCCGAGAGTGCGAGCACGCCTTCGAGTTCCAAGAATGTCGATGCTCTTACTTATGGTTTATCCACGCTGTGCCTGGGAAGTAAGTTTGGACAGCGTGCGCGCTGGCTATGCGGTGGTGCCATGGCAGGAGTGGGCACACCAGGGCGACTCGTCGATAATCAGTACGCAAAGTTTACACGGAAATTCGGTTTGGGAAATGGGCCGCATATCTGGGTATCGGATTATAACGTCACGAAAGAGAGTGGGAAGATGCTGGGAACTCTGGTTTCATTAGCTGTCGCCAAGATGGTCAATTTGGAAACCTTCGTTTGGGACATGCCCACTGGCGTCCTGTCGGACGTTTTCATGGCTCTGGCATCTCTGCAGGACGACCCTCCGGGTGGTCACTGTAAATTGGAAAAGGTTCACATACGCTGGCATGAGAGTTGGCAAGGGCCGCACGGGACGGCGTCATCAGAATCGAGCCCGGTCATACAACCGGCAAACCCAGTTTCTGCTCCACAAGTATACACCATTCAGCCTACCTCTCCAGCCTCACACATGTTGACCAGACTATCACCTCCAAAATACGCAGAAAGCCATGTCGAGTATCCAACATTTAGCGTGTTACCACCGCTGAAGAGTCTGACTGTTCTCGACATTAATGAGCTGGCTTATCTGGATGAGATATCCGTCTTGATCGAAAGATCTAAAGACACACTCCAGGAACTTCGACTTGGCATCCACCATAAGGCAATTGGGCAAGATTTTGCGAGTGCTTGGGAAGGGGACGGTTTGCAACAAGTGGACCTGAATGCTCGATGGCCCGGCGAGAGTGCTATTGGTGACAAGCGTCTTGGTGGTGTTCTTGGCGTGGTGGTAGGCAGAATTTTTGAGATCCGGCAGAAACGGCACTCCAGGTCGAAACAGTATAATTCAGGATCTATAACGCCAATCACAGATGACGGCATTACAAGTGGAATCAGTCAGTCTTCGCAAGCCTGGGCAAGTGGAGATGGAACTGGACACCACGGTCTGTCCCCCCAAGACAGCACCGCGCTGGGTGCAGTACCACACTTACTTGCGCAAGACGGACCCGCGGGATACACAAATCCAGAGTTCGGCTCAAAAGTGAAAAAGTCTGGTAAAGACGACCGGTCAAGAAGAAAGCGTCTTGACGGAAAATTGAGATTGCAGTCATTAGAACTGGAGCGGATAACCCTTTCCATCAATGTCTGTTGCAAGGTATTCGACTGGTCCTATTTAACAAGCTTGACGATCCTCAGCTGCAACCGATCCGACGCACTTTGGAAAGCATTAAGGAAGCGCTTTGAGCCAACCCCTCCACCTCATGGTTCTCCTGCGCCGTTGTTGGTCAAGTACCACCTCACGGTGAAGGAACTCCACTGTGATGCCACGACACCTGCTCTTTTGAATTTTATCAGAGAAACTCTGGAGCCCAATACGCTTGAGGTGCTCTTCCTTCAAGATCGTCGGCGATCCGTACCGGCCGTGGTAGGTATCGATGTCGTATTCAAGGTAGTTAAACGGCACCACTTGAGTTTGAAGAAACTATTGCTTGACAGCAACGAGAAAATAGGGCGAGAGCCGTATTCACCTGGCAATCACTGGCGGAGATGGGTCCTCAATAGTGACATGGTTTCATACCTCACTAGTGGCCGAATGAACAACTTGAGGGAGCTCGCAGTGGCGCTCCATTATCGAGACTGGGTAAGCTTCAACGCCCAACTTCTGACAAATAGCCCCCCCCCCCCCGAGAGTACATGGACTCACTAGCATTACTCTTCAGCATCTTTTCCTGCAGAGGCTGCCCAACGTCCTGCAGCTCCGATCAGTTCACGTTCTGCAAATTCAGGATCACATAGGTGGCGCGTTTGAACCCAAAGAGCTAGCGTTACAACTTGTCGACATCGTCACGTTGCGACCTGAGGTACAGCTCTGCTACGTAGGCATCAGAGATAGGTGTTTCGAAATTCTGGAGTGTTCCCCTACTCGGGGAGGAGCGGACCGGTTCGGATCTAACGGCTCAGTGTTCCATCAAACAGGGGGTGCTATCTCGGTCATCGATCTAGACGACGAGGACAACGGGGACGGTTCTAACAATGATAGCGATACAGACGAAACCGAGGACGAGGATGATGATGATGACGATACCAATGTCAGTCATCCCACCGAAATTGAGGATGACTTTACCGAGGTGTCCGACGTGGAGTCAGGAGCCGACAATTTCGATGAACCGGATGACAGCCAATCAGAGCCCCGGCTGCGTCTAAAAAAGATACTGTTTTGCGATGACAAGGTCGCCGTGTTCAAGGCCAGGCACGGTCGAATCTAAATGGCGTGCCTAGCAGGAATCCCAGATGGGGCACATGTGCCGTTGGGGGCGATAGCAGCTAAGCCAGCATTGTCCATGCGGCGTAATGTAAGAGGAATCCTCCTGGGAGATGTCTTGATGTCTCTGTGCTTCCCCAGTATGCCAGTTCTGTTTCGGATTTGGTCATTATGCAAATCCTCTGTCATCGCCACAGATACAGTCCAGCGACGAATTTGGGAGGGTGTGAATTGTAACATGTTGAGCATCATTATTCGGGCCCAAGGCGTATCACCGGTGGATCAAAATGCACCTTCCAGGTTCAAGTAGGCAAGGCGGATAGTAATTAGGGGGAGCGCGTACAAGTGTATTTTGGTGTTCGACGAAAGGGGGCACGAGAAGCGATCATGTGTACTGGGTTGCTACACCCGGAAGATACACTTCGTAGAGAGCGACTTTGACTCTGAAAAATCGTCAGATTAGAAACTGGCTCTGAAGGTTGTCATGCTGAGAGTATTCTCTTGCTCGAGCCTTGGAGACTATCAGACAAGCAGCAAACTTGGAAGTTAGCTAAAAGCGTTACACACTGCATCTTGTCCTACCGAATATGCATAGAAGGCAAATTGGAAAGTTTTGCTTACTCTTCCACGGTACCTTACATTACTGCATCGCGCCTCGCGATTTCAACTTGGAGCTCGAGAGAGCATTGTTTATCTCTAGGAATCCTGCATGTTTCGCAAACTGCAATATCACCCTACCATACTGATTTCGCCTGGTTGCCACCACCACTACCATCGTATAGTGGCAAAGGTGTATGCATAGAAACGTGAACTGCGGCTCGTTAGAATCCTTCTCAAGATACTTTCGTCTGGATGTTCATGGTACTTGCTCACGTTTTCCGCCCTCCCCTTGTAGCCCTTGTCGCCATGCGGTGCGACTGTGTGCCAATATGCAGAGATGATTTCATCATGGGGTAATGAGCTGCAACATCCGGTCCCGAATCTTACCACCAACTAATTTATCCACTCACACTGCTTACTTGCGCACGGCGGCGCAGTGGAAGTTATGGTAGGTAACAAGTACGAGCTGAGCGAGCTGACGGTCTCCAACCCCAAATCCAGCCTCGCTCTCCCCCGTGCTCTCTCCTTCGTTCCTGTTTTCGCCCCAGTCTGTGCTGTGCTGTGCTTATGCTGCTGTGCCGTTCCTGGCCATGTGTCTGACGTCTTCACGACTCGTCCAAACCGTTCAAGTAAAATCGTTCTCACGGCCGTCCGAAATAGCAAGGTGTGCCTCCATTTCAGTATCATATCATCTCCCAAGTAGGGCAGAAGAAGCGAAGACAAAATGGGCCCAACTGCAAGCAAGGTCCAATCCCACGAGCTGCAACCTAATCAAAGGGCGGCCTACAGTAGCTCGCAAGCGTACTCTTCCGGAAAGAGAGTGGTTTCGATCTCAGTCCTAGCGCCAACTCTGCAGTGTGCTTAATATGCACATAACATGATTTATTATATTGTACAACGATGATCAATATGCAATGCTGTAATAGGTGTTGTGATAACGCACTGTAGGACGCTGCATGTTGCTAGCTGATTCGCCAAGAGGTCCGCATTCTGCCAGATGTATTTTTACGGCACGCACATGGCTTACTGGGATCCGTGGTATATATTCTAGGCATATTACAGAATGCTACGCTGTTGGGGAGCTCGGCTCCGTTACTCAGACTTGCTGCAGCCTTGGAGGGGGGTGGAGAGGGTGGGAGATAACGTGGCGCACTTTCTACAGAGGGGTCTTTGGGGGTTCTTTAGTTACTGTTCTGGGAAAATCTTCTTGCCAAATTACAAGATGTGACGCCCTCTCCGAAATCAAGCACTGTGTGAGATGCGCCCGAGAGTTCTGATTGGGTGGGCGGTCTGTGTTTCAAAGGTTTTCTGCAGCGTTCTCAGCTTCTAAGGACAGGGTTCTTTGCGTTTTCTATGTAGATGAAGCCGTGGTGGTAAGGATCATCGATGCTCTCGGTCGTGGAACTGCATGCAAGAATATGGTTGAGGACAGCACCGATGTGACACTAATCTGTGGCCTTCTTGTCTGCACCACGTGTGAACATTGCAACGCTGAGGTTCCAGTGCTTGCCAGCGATAGCTGCTATTGAGGGAGGGGGTTCTTCTGCACGAGTCATCAGGGTGCAGCCACACCAAGATGAACGAACAGTCAGTGTTGACGACGGTGATGCGATGCAGCCAGCCACTTTCGGTCCCTACCAATGACGCGTGATCCTTGTCGGTGCAGCTCTCTTCCGACGTTCTTGTCGACGCTGCGCGACTTTCACAACTCTGTGACACAATGAAGCTTTGCCTCATGAGCAGCGTATAAGAAAGAACATGGGTAAGGCGAGCTCCGCGCAGCAGATTCTAATTTCGCAAAACACGTGGGAAATAGGTCGGCGATCTCCTACCCGTTTTTCTTCCCTTGCAGAATCTGGGTTCTTCGCAAAAGCTATTTTTAAGTCCACGTTGTACGATAATTGCAGGAACAAAGTCAATGACAATCAGGTCACAGAGATTCAAGCTTAGTCTACTGATCCTTCTGTGGAGCTTTCCTGCGTCAACGGCGAGGGCTCGATGCGCGGTAGATAGGCGGGATGATCCTTCGCCCTGATTTCTCTGGTGTTCGACGAAGGTGGCTGTGCCCAAAGTGTGAAAGTGTACGAGCTTGTTTAGTAGCATGCAAAGAACCAATGCGATCAAGTTGAAGAGCTCCTGTAGGTATCTCTTGCGTCGTATACCCCGCACGGACGCCGAACGGTCGATCCCGCCACTATGTCATTGGCGGGCTGTATTGCTGAGTACAGCATCTGCCCGTGGAGAACTTGGAGAACTTGGAGAGGAACTTGGGGGCGGGTGATCGACCGGACAATCATAGCTTCTTCTGGTGAAGCGTCGTGCGTCTATTTCAATGACAGGAACAGGGGAAACGATAGGATCGTGCTCAAATATCACCACGTACTAATATCCTAAGCGGTTTGGAGCATTCTATGTCGTCTTGACCGAGTTCACAGGCATGACGTCGGACCACGTGGGAGACGGGTGTCATGGCTAAACACTGTCAATTTGCTCGGTCCCTTCCGGTCCCAAATCAATCAGCAGTCCTTGCCCATGTTCAGAAATAAGTAGATTTTCCAAGCGGGAGCTTGGATCTTCGGCGAGGCCATCAAATAGCTGCCTCTTTGGCCAAACTAGTCGGCCGCAGCGACTGCTCATCACGGTAGATAGACAGGAGGAGTTCAGTGTCATAGGATAAATTGCAGCTGAGATGTTCAACGTTTCAGGTTCCTCCAATGGCCAACGATGACAGAGGGAGCTCGATACTCAGCGGCATGATAGAACGTTGCAGCAAGGTGGTAGATGCACCGATGCTCAACTCCTTCAACGTGAAAATTAACTGCATATTTTAAGGTCACAATGAAAGAACACGTGGGCTGACTACTCAAGTGCACAATCAGAAATATGCTGTGCAAGATGCATCTGCCTGTCGTCTCCGCCTATTGGAGGATCTTTTAGCATAGTGCTGATGATGGGGACAGCTGGGGAAGAGCTACGAGTGACAAAAGTGGTGATAAGGTTATCATTAGATGATGTCTATCTGTTAAGCAGGACCTTCTGATTCGCTGTAACATTTGTGCACCACTGGTCTGTGACACATCCCGCGTTCATCAATATTAGGGGTCCCATGGGGGTACCATAGTAGTGCAGGTGAGAAATGAAAATAATACGGAGAATATGTGTTGGTGGGGTAGGCGTATGAGAAACGATCCTCAGTACATGTTTCCTCGCCATAGCTCCCTGCCAGGGCATGCAGATATGTTTGAGAATGTGTGAGGTCGACTCAACAGTAGTACGCTCTCGTGGCAACAGGGTTCATGAGGGGGGTGCGCCCGTCACGCGGAGAACAACTCGGTCTCTTTCTCAACTGAGAGGGTTGTCGCAAACAAGGTACGGGTACTCTGGAGGGATTGGCTCAGATGTAACCTTTGCATATATGAATGCAGACATACTGAAGTCATTTTTAAGTAAATCGCTTTCTATTGGACCAGCAGCCGGGTTTGGCATGGTTGAGTAGTACTATGGCTTGACAGAAGCACCACTCTGCGCCGTCAATTTGCCGCCGCGTTACCTGCGCCGCTAAAATGCAGATAGCGTCCAGGAAGTCCAATTACGTGGCTCGCCTCTCATCAGAAAGTCCAACGGCATTTTGTCAGACATATCCGCTGCGCAATCATGTGCGAAGGGGACCCTGGGGGGGCCCTCGGAACCGAAAGATGATAGAAGTCGATGTCAGGGTTCTTACCCCCGTATACAGGACGCTATCCTAACGCAGAGACAGTGAATTGTCTCAAGTGCCGATGAGGCTAGTCTCCGGGAAAGTGAGGATCATGCAAGAAATGGAAAGGCTTGATGGCGCCCTTGTGCCGTGAAGGAATCGATTCCTCCCGTCGCCATATGCGAGCGGCACAGCGGTCCAAAGCCACACCCGCGAACAGTACTTTGCACAAGGGGGCTTACTTGTTCTGCTATCTGCCTTGAGTGTTATGCGATGGATACAGATCATGCATTGTTCTTTGGCGCAACGTTGATCGGCAACAATAATGCCCAGGTATAACTAACTCGGGGCGAATACCTAACTCGAAAGTCTAGGTCAGAGGGTCCACCAGATGAAAGTACATTGGTCTAGCCTTGAAGTGAAGAACGTCTATCTCTCGTCTTCCTTTTGGGAATTTCGTCAATGCTAATTTGAATATCGACAGGGCACGGGGATCTTGCTGACAACCCTCCTTCTAAGCTTCAACACTTCCGGAAGTTGCTAAGGAGGGGGATGCGGCCCGCCCACACCTAGAACTGTTGCAGATCGAACCCCCAGACCAGCAGGCCTAGTCTATCCAAGTATCCCGACTGTTGCTAAGAACCTTGTTCGCGGATACATGGTCGCTGTCCCATGGCTTTGGAAACCCTGCACCCGAGTACGCCGGTCTAGTCTCTTCAGGATTAGTGTACAGACAGGCGAAATTTCCCCCCTCCAAAAATGGATTTCATATATTTCAAAGGCAGAAAATCACCTGATCAACTGTTCGGTTCGCGAAAGCCGCCGTTTCATTGTAGTAATTGGTACCGTTTGTGGATATACTAGTGTCTATATTAGTATATATACTAGTGTCTATGTTAGTATATATAAAAAAAATTCACTCGAGTCTGCACCATGGAACCGGCCCCATAGCACACTAGCGAACTCTCCACTTCGATGCCAAATGCTTGAGCACCCGCTGTCCAGGGGATATGTTGTTCAGATCCCCCGCCAGTCATCAGTTGTGGTCTGCCTCTACAGTATCGTACAGTATCGCTGAACTGCAGTTCAGCAATCCAGAATTCGCTGCAAATTCTGGCCTAAAGATGGGCTAACTTCTTGAGCAAAGTCTTAGCCCAGGCCAGTCAGTTGACCTTCACTTGAGGCAAATAGCCTGGAAATGATAAGCTGTCAATGTTACTATGCGCCACCCAAAAAAAAAAAAAAAAAAAAAAAAAAAAAAAAAAAAAGGCCCTGAGCTCTCTGACCTGTGAATGGTTGTTCCAGAGCCGGCTGGGGCTGATTCTGTTCTGACGAACCATGCTTTAGCCAATCATGTGGCTTCTTTTGAGAGGTGTGAAACGCAAGAGTGAAGTACAACAACCGGGGCGATTGAAAATGGGAGACTTGCCAGGGTCGCAGGCTGGAGTGATTTCTTTCTTTCTTTCTTTCTCTCTGTGGATATGATGTCTTTCGGTAATGATGGCCCCTGGCGTGGACCTACTGTGCTTGATTTCGATGTTCTGGATAATGACCAGGTCGATCGCCAGGCTAGCAGAAAGTTCAACAGCGAAAACTGGAGACCTTGAACTATCTTTAGCACAACAGCCTTACTGCCCAGCCAGGCCGTTGATTGCAGTGGCAGGGCTGACGGGACAAGACACACTGGTGCTCATTCTATGACGCTATTGTCAGAACATGCGGCCGAATCGGCATATTTGGAAGAAAATGTTTCCAAGAAATTCCGAGATTAGCATGACTAGCAGGCAGATACGTTGCCATTGATTTCGGCGTCTTGGCCAGCACAGATCTGGAACAATCTTTCCCGCAAGTATCCTTGAACTGGGCCCTGACTAGGTTATGCGAACCCTGCGCCATTTTTGCAGAAAGCAAGGGCTTAAGAATAATATGAGCTTGGTACCGTTGGAACTCCGTACGTACTCGGAATATTCTGGAGGCACACCTGCTCTGGTGATGGGTGATGGGCAATGTCGCTTTGGGGACAACCCACCTGCTCAATCCGACTCTCCAGCAGATGGTCAAATATCTAGACAGTGTCACTAGCTTGCTTGATACTCCGTAGATTGGATGGTTACACACCACGAATTCTTTGCTGACATCTACGCTATCAATCGCACTTAACCGCACGCACTTGAGTTTTGACTCTCCACCTATGTAGTTGAACATGAGTTACCATACGCATCATCGTCCAAGAATGGAGTTCTCATGCTAAAAGCTTACACTTTGCGCTTTTGTCTGGGTTGTAAAAGAGACCAAGGTGCAGTGGCATCGGTGAAGCGAACAGTGGGCCCCTGACTGTAGTAGAAAGTGCTACCGGCGTTTGTTCAACCATTTCTCATTTAAGCTTTCGCAACCCATGCGTGGTACTTTCAGACAACCATCACACGAACTTGATTCGACTAATGTTTCACGGACGGGAGGTACTGTGGTATAGTCACCGCATCTATTGATGCCAACTCGACCCTCATTTGTTCGTGCTGGGAGGACAGTGGATAGTATGATGTACGTTTTTGTGGTGACAACAATATTTCCCCCCACCCTTTCAGCGTTCATTACCGTGGCGCATTGTGGTAGCTGCAATTTCGTAAGGTTAGAAACATTCGACAGTGGTCACTAATTGTGAAAAGTTCCCAGCCTTACAAGGCTCGCATTGTGGGGTTGGGAATCGTACAGTCAAGCATGTCGGACAGTCCGTACAAGCCGAAGGTTGACTGCTGCATACTAATTACACAATTTGATAGATATTTAGAATTTCATATGTTCACATGTATCTTTTGGACGTGCTAAACACGAAGAGAGGCATATACATATCACTGGACCGACGTTGCTGCCGTGCAAGGTAAGGGGCTATCCAGAGCATCGGACCACGCTATCCGGCCATGTTGGTAACGAATCGGAGATATTCTTTCATAGCGAAGTTCCCAATCGTTTGGCTGTACCAGCCGGACGGTGCAGTTGAGATATGGCATTAGGCTTGATTCGAATCTGGAAAAGTATGGGTTTATCAATTGTGCGCTTCGGCGCTTGGTGAATGATCCCTGGGCACGGATTGTGTTCCGACAATTAGACATGTATTTAACTAATCTGAAATACTTGAATGCATCTGGAAGGAGAAGCTGTTGGCCATTTAAGCCCAGGCCAATTCACCAAGAGCAGCCATGCAGGTTGCACCAATCGACAGCACCGGGGACCCAAATGCCATTGTGGCCTGGTTGGTGTAGTAGACGCCGAATCGTGGAAAGCACATGGTGTTGACAGCAAGCTCTGAATCCTATTAGAACGTTCTTGACCATAACAACTACAAGTTGTTTCGTTGTGGTAGGCTGATATTGCAGATTCGTTGGTGCACCTGCCATAGCTGTGCAATCGATGTGATGCAGGGGACCAAAAAACTTGAGCCAACAACACTTGACAAGTTATGAACGCAACCCTGGTATCATAACTTAGATTCTAGATTTCACGCCTCCTGAATTAAGGTGGCAGAGAACGAGCTGTACTGCCTCAATCAAGGCAACAAAACGTGAATGTCCGACGGTGGTTCACAATCCAAAGGCCATTTCTAAATCCATGATGTAATGAATCTATTTCCGTCGACCCATTTCCGACCTTAAATCGCATCCTTAGGGGCTCATCACTGAAGACGTTGTGCCTGGAAGCGCGTCTCAAAAGGTCTTCGTTATCCGGTATGATCGATGAGAGCAGGGGGGCTATTTTCTTCATCTCGATAAATGATCAAGAAACATGGGTACAATGGCAGTCTCAATTCAGTGGTCAATTGCGACTGCTATGTAGTGGCTGACGGCAGCACAGCCTTAGCGCCAACCGTCGTTGAGATCACCCAACTTACATACCCCAGTGGTTGCGGCTTCTTAATTGATCTGAATCACAGCAGTATTCTTATGTTCGAGATAGGAATATCAAAAGTTTTAATGACTTTCAGAAAAATCTGTATGGATTAGAAGCACCTTCAAGACAACTGCAAAATCCGTAGTTGCGCCATCACTTGCGTAGCGGAGGGGAGGGGGTTTCGGAGCCGGTGAAAAAGCAGTCAAAATCATGGGAGCCCATCAGCTTCCAAGAAACAAAATCAAAAGGCGAAAACGCCCAATTGTAGACCCAGAAAGCCTTGGGGCAGGCACCCACGGGCTCCTCACTCGGTTGTCTCGACGAATGAGATTCGAGGTTGAAGCTGTCCCTGTCCCATGTTATGGGGTTCAAAGCCCTGCCTGCCAGAATAGGTCGACCGGGGTGTCGCATGGCTCAAGGGGGGAAGCTGGTCGTCATTCAGGCCGGCCCTCTGTCTACATACTACGGGTCCGTATGGTAGTACATATGTAGTAGCAGTCTGCAGTGTCCTTTGGAGGGGAGGGGGTTACCATTTCCCTCTGATCAACGCTTTCGACCACCCCCTGGTCTTCACAAGCGCTCATTTGCAAGGGTGCGTTTGAACTTAGCCGCATTCACGCGACCTTGCAAAACTCGACTGCGCCTATCGAAGATCAATAGACGACGTGAGAGGCGCTCAAGAACGACTGCACTTCTCGTGTACCAAGTATGGCCAACCACACCTGTTCCGGTTCCACCCCAAGGAAAGTCTATAGTTGGCTACAGCGTTTGAAGTCGTCTAAACTGCTTCATCTCGTCGAGCAGCAAAAGCTCGCCTGAATTTACCGCCGATTCTTGCTCGGATTACGCATGGGTTCGGCTGGACACTACTGCCAGGGATTCAGATCCTTCAGAGAACAATCGCCGACAAAGCCCGCCACTTGTCTTCGAGAGTCCACTCGTTTTTCAGAATCTCAATTGCGTTTCTCCTCCGTGTGTCTACCCTTTCACTGTCGAGATAGATACAGTCTGCATGAGTTGCTTGGAACGAACCAGGTGAGCATTATGGATCCATGCGCAGTGGTTCTGCGAACCATGTGCATCGCGAAGCAAATCAAATCAAGCAAACGAATTACATGCTCATAGTAACAGATACGCTGGCGTACGCTGCCCGAAGTTACGGACATGCTCTTCACTTAATATGTATCTTAATTTTACATGCTGATTTACTGGCGCATTGTGACTGATCTGTTGCAAGTGTCACCTATAAAAAGGCAGTTCGATCGTTGATGGTGCGTGCGATACAGATATTTGGTATGCATTGCAGCGACGTAACACCCCATAGTGGACTTTTCTAACTCAAGTTCAGCTTTGCATACTTTGACAAATTCTTTCATTCATGGGTTCACTTTTCCTGCCTCACAGTATGGGAGCCTATAGCAATAATCGCCAGCGCGCCTCCTCGTTATCCGCCAAGTCTAGCCCAATCAAATTCAGGGCCATGAGTTGATAAACACCCATTACAACACCATAGTAACTGGGGGTTCTTTGCCAGTGCAACCACATAGGACGCAGTCAAACAAAGAATGTTGGAGCCTATTGATCAATCTCCCAAATCTCCGCTCGTCTGTCACTCGGTACCTGTTCGTTTGTATTGTCCTGTGCTGGGTTCTTTACTAGTCTCACTCTAAGACTAGACTAAGCTAAGATACTCGACTCCACCGAACAAGGCAGAGCGAGCTTGCACACACCCCCCCCCCTCCGCTAGTGGTCACACCTCGCATGGGATGACAGTTCCCACACCACTAGAGAAACTTGTCCCTTGTACCCTGTACCATCTTCTCTTCTATCAAGGGTCTCCGGCCGTTGTGGTCGGCCCCTGGTCATGTCCCAGGGACCGCTAAGTAATTGGCATGGATCAGATCAGTTGCCTACCTTTCCTCACACTCGACCATGTGTCTAAGGTCGAAGCCCGTCGGACCCATGAGTACTGCCTCTCATTTATAAGCGTCGATGTTCCTGTCAGTCCACTGTTGAGGCTGAGAAACTCATATGCCTTAGCAGTTCCAGAATTAGGATACAGCTTCTTTTATTTCCCCATCTTGTGGATCGAGCTCACGTCTGACGTCTTACTTGAGACTTTTAAAGCATTGTCATCCCACTATATCAACTAGCGAGGAGAGACACAGAAAGCACTGTATGTGTCCCTGATTTATTTCATCAGATTTATTGCGGTTGTCATTGTTTAAAATGAGCAACGCAAGAGCGAATCCGAATTTCGAGGATAATTATTCACAAACTTCTAGATCACAATACGGCAATCTTTCTTCCGTAACCGATCAACACCACAATCTGTACTTGGTTGAATCTCCCCGGAGTGTGCAGTTTGGCATAGATCGACCGGTCTCCTCGCAAAAGACCCACTCACCGTCTCTTATAAGTCGGGCCTCCCCATGCCCCGCGACCTATCTATCAACTCCTCCGACCCAGTATTATTCAACTTCAACCAACCTACCTCGAGACCATCCAGATCAACACAGGACTGAGCAATACACACTTCATCATACACCTTTACTACGTGTTCATCCAGCTCAAGACGACCCATCACATATTTCAACAAGCTTGCCGCCGACAACCACAACCATGAGGTATATCTACTCATATATCATCGCAACCCCCTTAGCTAAATATCATCTAGTGCTACTGCTGTGCATTTCGACTCGAGATACGATATGGGTTATCCTCGCTCATCACTTACATGGCCCGGGCTTGACCCAAACGTTGATCTACTCGGCCATGACTTGATGAGCCATGCAGGATCGGATGCGAGCATGACACCACCTAGCACATCAAGGTCGGCGACTTCGAGCCCACCTCGCGGAATCCTGACACCGGAGCAGCGCGAGTTGAAGAGACAACGAGACCAAGCTCGCAGAGACTCGAAAACGTCAGTCCGTGCCCGCCGCGCCCTTAGCACCGCATCATACTCTTCGGCATCTCCTCCCATGACAATGGCAGAGTTCTCGACAGCCTCACCTGTACCGATCTACACAACCTCGCCTTCCCATATTTCCCTATTGACAGAGCCTGTGACTACCTTACCCGGCTCGTCGTATATTCCATCGTACTCCACCTCACCTCTTCCGGAACCATCGACCATGTTTTCGTCTCCCTTTCCGACACTGTAAGTTGCTTCTACTATCGAGATTTGAGCTCTCTGCTGATCATAGAAATAGGCCATCGAGCGGGTACATGGGATTGGATTACACCTCAAGCTACTCCCAACATCCGCCGACGCTGATGGGTAGCGGCCGTCCATCATCGTTATCAGAACCTGGCATGTTGTATCCCATGCCACCTGTTTTACCATCAGGCAGTGGTTCGAGTCAGGAGAACGGCCACGTCAGAGTTGTCCAAAGCCGACCCAAGCCACAGTGCTGGGAGCACGGATGTAACGGGCGCCAGTTCTCGACATTCAGCAACCTTCTGAGACATCAACGTGAGAAGTCGGGCCAGGCGGCGAAGGCATCGTGTCCTAATTGTGGTGCAGAGTTCACTAGGACAACCGCAAGGAATGGTCATCTTTTACACGATAAATGCAAGTCGCGACGCAACTCTTAGACGCTGCCCAATCATTCGACAGAACACCAATGACTTGAAAACCTCACGATTCGTTACGATTAAGCGTGTACATTACACTGGGAGCAGGGCTGGATTGGAAAATATAGCGACCAAGGAATGTTTTGGTCCATATCTTGGGCATGGATGATTTTCAGGACTCTACGGACATGGGATTCTTTTCTGGTATATATGGGCCTGCTCTAAAACCCCCCTTTCATTTCGAAGGCGGGAAAAGCATGGGTTTTGTGATTCCGGGGCGGAGAGAGCATATACCCCTTTTCGAGTCGCTCCTCTTCACTTGGACATTGACTTGTTTTATATACAATACACATTCGCTCCATTTCAAACGTTTAGAACAGCATCTTGACCCTACAGCTGTGGATTATACTCGTTGTCTCGCGTTCTTTGCTACAAATTCTTGGCTTACCCAACTCCTCGGGAAATAAGCATTCGTATGAGCTCTGTCCGGAACTTTGGAACCCTAAGCGGGTGATCTGCAAGCACTATCATGCTTGCGACCCGCTACCAGTAGTAGCTTGGGCTGCCAAAAAAAAAAAAACGACGGTCGGACTCGCATTAACCTACACTTGATCATGGCCAGAAACTCAGCACCCAGGTCGTAGGACTTTCTACAGTCAGCAGCACATTACAAACCTGAAGTCTGACGTCGTCCACAACCTTTGCGGTTCCTGTGCATCGTGGTTTCCAGGGAATGCGAAAGGGTAGGGCCGCATCTCCAGTAACCTGCAGGTCTGCATATGCGGACTCTGACACTTGAACGAATCAGGAACTCCAGTAATTACGCATTATGTCACCCCAACGCCAGCCCAGGTCTAATCAGAAACAACATTGGATAGCTCGGCGAACTAGGGCCACAGGTTCAAGGCTCCGCAGGACTGTAGATGGTAGCATCCTCGAAAGGGCACACCAGCTAGCTCCCTCCTTGAGCAACACATTGCTGGTAAACTGCACCCGCATTCGGCTCTCGCTGCGGTTTGCATGCGGTTTGCATGCGAGTGGTAGCCCTGTTGCTATCGCTCTCAATAAGTCTGTCATGGCTGATCTCATCTCAACTTTCTCGCATAGATTCACAGTAACCAGAGAAACTGAACTGTATATACATTGTAGTACTCAATATGCGCCCATTGATCCGGGCCAACGAAGCATTACTAAACAAATGAGTTCTGCTCATCCATACTTGCAAGTACAGCAAATCCTGAACGGGAGTGATATACACAAGGGATCAAATTGTACCATGCACCGACTACAAGTTTCGGTGTTCGGGGTGTGAGCCGAGGACTGATGGCATTAATTTTGGAATGCACACTATGTAGTATTCATGGGCACGAAGTGCATATCTCGAAACATGGCAAGTCCAGGTTTGTACCACGTTGAAGCACACCAACAGATGATGATCGCTGACCTGTCTACCTCGAAATACCATCTTGAGCCTCGTTGTTCCACCCCGTCGCAATAGGGATTTTCGAATGCAGCCGCGAGGCTGATCTTTCGCTGCCGGTGCGAAATTGAACGTTTCCAACCGATGCATCATAGACGTATACCTCCCATCAACAAAATTTGCACAGCCCAAATGCCCCAAAAATAGCCATCTGCCCCAGAGTCCCAGAAGAATGGTAGGGCAGCGTAGATCTCCAGTGGGCACGGCCGCCCAAAGCTTTAAATGCGGGACCACGGGCCCGAACGCTTGTTAGCTACCGTACTAAATTGGAACTTCCTGACAAGCAGAGGGACTAGCACTGCGCTATTTCTCTACAGGGAATATTGCGGGAGGACGCGATGGCACCCAAATCGATTAATCCCAATCCTGGACCCTGTCTATGGAGTTATTGTTTTCTGTAGCGAACCACCCAGTCAGCGATGAAGCAGCCGGCCCCCCGCGCCAGGGAATACCGACATGGGAATAGCATGATGGAGTCACTTGTTCTGGTTCGGCTGGACACCCTGACGGCAAAACGTTTCCCAATCTAAAGACACATGCGGAGACGAATCGTCCCATGATGTTAAAAAAAGAAAAGAAAAAGAAAAAGATGTCTCCGCTTCGCTTGCGAAGTGCTTTCCTCGTGCAGGAATAACTCATCATTGACGCGCTGTCCAGACCCGAACTTACTCCAAGCAATTATGTAACTGCTTTCAGCTCTATCTTATGATTACACTGGGACTCAAGGCAGCAGCACAGCATGACCGCAACCCACTAAGATATCATGTATTCCGGTCGAGGGACTCCATAGTGCTGAAGTTACAGCTTTACGCTGTCAAGCACGAAGATGTCACGGCTGTCGCGGCACATAGCCGGCCGCCGACTGTTCGGGTGCATTCACCGGTGTCAATTCGGCACCGAAGTCAATAACGAGCCTCGTGCGATGAAGACTGCTCGGGTGGCACCCGCAAGTCCATTGAGAATCCGCAGAACGCACGTCTTCTCTTTCAAGCTTGCCCTACTCGGTGGGATGAACAGTTGATCTTGACTGCATCTGAGGCAAAGGCAAACTATTGATTCTTCAACGCCTGAAACGACTGTCCAAGGTACTGCATGGCTTGTGCTCTCGGTGAGTGGATCTTGATTGATGGGCCACTTCACGCAACACAATTCCGATGACTAAATAGACCAGCAGTTGTTGCCTGGCGTCGTCCCGCGCAAACATATCTACATACAGCTCGGGCAGTTAGAGCTATCTGCCAACCTGGGCCGATAGTCGCACTCGTTCGGGGGCATCCTAGAGACCATCACCACGGGCGTAGTATAAACATAGTGTCACCAGCGTCACTACGTCGAAATCGATTAGGAGACAAAACGTATGTTGCTAGGTCACTGCCATGACTCGTGCATCGATGGCTGAGAGATATTAAGAGATCAGAAGAATCCCAAGCTTATGTCATTCTAGCACGCTCCCAAGGAAAACCGGCACAATTAGCCAGTACGCAGTCATCTTGGGGGTATGAATCAGCTCATACACAAGCCGCGCCGACACTTATCCCTGAGCATCCCATCAGCACTACAGTATGGAAGGGCGGAATGATTAAAATCTCCGCCACGTGTGTGACAGTTGGGTGCTTTTAGAAATGCTTTACAACAAACCTCGAGGTTCCTCCAGCTCCGCCTTTTTGGCGCCCTACTACCACTGAAAAACCTGTTATAGTATGCAGATTGAGGCGGTAAAGATAGCTTGGGTAAGATTATGCTGTGCCGCCTGTATTGGTCGTCGCAGCGCTTTGCTTTGACGCTTATTGCTATGTATGCTGCGTCGGCGGCACAGGTCCAAGGCACTTTTCGATGTCTTGTGTTGCCGCAATGTGCCACACCACCTGGTAAAATAATGATGATGTGATCATTTAGACACCTATGAATCTTGCGGCCCCCAAAGCGCCACCGTCGCATGTGCAGCGTTGTGTCCTGACTGGAAATAAATTATGGTGTAGCAAGGCTGACGACTACTTCTTCGAACTTTGTCCGTAGTCTTGTTATGTGACATTGCTTTGTGGTGTTTCTTGGCCGGTCCTCTGGGATGATATCCAGCCGCCCATGCTTAGACAGGCATCTTGCAACAGTCCGGCCTGAAACTATAGGTACCATAGCGACAAACACTTGCCCAATTGTTTAACTAGGCCAAATCGCGTGATGAACAGTTTGTTGTATTCCTTTACAGCAGAGGTGCATACCATAAGCCCGCTATTTTGGGATTTCACGACAGAGGGGCAGGGAAGTCTTCACGTGCGCGCCGCGCCAAGTCTTGATGAATGGCTTGAACTGGACAATTTTCAAAGGCTTGCCGCATAGCTAAAAGTCCCTGAAACGTCTCCAGGAATTGCAGGTCTGTTTGAGCAAATGACGCCTTTGCTTACCCAACACCACTGACTGAAGCAATTTAGCGTGGCCACTATTGACGGGCAGTCAAAGATCCGAATCTGGAGGTGCCACTAGGATGGAAATGCGAACCTTGGCATACGACCCTGCATCATACAGTACTAGTAACAACCTTCTTTCATGATAAGCCTGTGTTCGTGGCTCAACATAGCATGTCGAACAGATTCCCAATGCCTGGGTGCCACGAGGTTGGAATGCATGTGTTGGTTACACGGCTTTTCTGCCATGTAATGCGAACAGTTCTCGAAGGACAGAAATCTTACGCCCCCAATTCTCCAACGGCGCATGGACCAACAACGTCGGAACTTCAATGACCTCTGTACCCCCTTCACAGCTGCAAGGAGTTGCAAGAAATGATTTAGGGCTGATCCATAGTACGGGTCAACATATGTGCAGAAAAGGGCTTTGTATAAACACATAATAGGGACATGCTATCACCCCAAAATCTCACCGGATGGTATCCGAAAATTGTGCCCATGTTGTCGATTGGGGATGGAAAGACGGCTCAGTGCATGATATGCAGTCGATTCGGTATGAGATTAGTCGGTCGCCCTAGAACTTGAACGGAGCAACGGTTTACGATTGGTTCTGAACGCTCGCTAACTATGCATTATTTCCCCTTGAAATCGTGATACCAAAAACATTAAGAAGTCCACCTGATAATTTTAGGATGCAATTGGTCCTGACCGCTCACTGGCCGGAAAGCGAGGACCAGGCTTTGGTGGAGATGATACCAATCGGTCAACGAGAACTTCCGTCTCATTGGTCAACATCAGCGCTCTGCTCTGCTTACCGACTTTGGTAAGCTCAGATCGATCATCATTGATAATTCGATGGTCTTTCGACATTGATTGCAAGTCGAGGCCGTTGTTGTCGCTACATAAATAGCAGCAACAATTAAAATGAAAGTGGTTAGGTTGTCAAAATTCTTAAATAAACTTTCGCGAAGGATGCGTCCCTGGCAGAAACCGTTGTTACTCCCATACGAAAGTCGCAGGCTCGAATCGTCCCAAGTCCTTCTACCATGTATCCACCAGAAGAAAGAAGTAGGGGTCAGGTCGGGTACGATCTACTCTCCTTTTGGAAAGCAGATTGTGGGGCTGTATATTCTCACACCCAATTTCGCGAAACCAAATGAGCCAACCTTGCGTGGTAGTAGCTCGTCAGCCAGATAGACGCCATAGGCGCGAGCTAGACAGCCTGGTAAACAATTCTACTCAACCAGAGACTGTTCGATCTGATCTTGAGTATTCCAACGACTGACCTGGTGAGCATAGTCATTCAACTGGTGGCGATGTTAGATACACACACGCGCGCACACATGCAATCCAGTCAGCCATGTAGCAGATAAGTTGCGGGCATTGTTTTCTGCTATTTGTTCAAGATTACGGAGTAGTAGGGCTGTCGATGCGCCTGCCGGGATCGTACTTGTACCATGTAAACATTCCCCACTTGTGTACAAGTTGCCCCCGCAATTGCTTGTTTTGCTTCACCGTGCCGACCTCGCGAACCTTCATTTACGTCAAACAAGGCAGCTTTCCATGCCTGGTTCCAAAAATAAAGTGACCACAACGTCGGTGCATTTCGGCTAGGTCAAAGAGACCATGGTTCCTTGAAGCCTTGTTCGATATCCGGATCCGATTTCAGCCATAATGACGGAGACGAGATGGAACGCGGGCAAACGACGCGTCTTCCAGTCCGTCTTCCAGACCAGCATCTCGCAGCCCACGCCCTACTCCACCCCTTCAGCACAGCACACTGAGCATGGGCAATCTTTTGGTGGTCCGTTGGCTTGCACACCTCAGAAGTGGACTAGTCCTCAAACGCAGGCATTTCTAGTTTCATCAGATAACTGCTACGCCGATGACCAAACACGATTTGATCGGTCATGGCATACTGTCACTGCACGCATTGCTCTTCCGCCTTCTGTAACAGTCGAGGACTCCTTTGGACCTTTACCGAGCTCCCAAGATGCAGAGGATGAAGAGTTTGATGAGGCCTTGCAGGACGTACTAAAACCAAGCTCTCGTGTGCCATTGGCTGTTCATACTGAGGACATTCTAACGTGGCACACACAGCAGGCGAGACTGCACTTTGTCAGTCATGTATTGCCGTTATTGGCAATATGCGATAGCTACGCAGATCAAACTCAGGTTCTGCTCGGTAGTATGCGAACGCTCGAAGCTGCTCATAGACAATACCTATTCGGTCTATCTACCATCATTCGGGCACTTGACACAACTGATGCAGAGCAAGCTCTCGGAGAGTTTCGCCGCGACTTGCATGCTATTGTCGGAAATTCCATGTCAAAATCGCTTATGTATGCTCTGAGAAGTGTCCTAGGCCAGCTCATGAATGTTGTCCTTGGCATACATAAACAAGCAGGAGATGCGACTTCAACTAAGGGATATGATGCGAGGAGAGAGGTCTCACAACTAGTCGAGTCTCTCGCCAAGATCGGGCTTGCAGGAGAGCGATTTCAAGTGCTGTTCGCTGAGCTACTGGACAACATGATGGCCTGCTACATCTATGAAACCTTTGCAGGGCGATGGGATCTCGACTTGGACAGGAGTGCAAGAACCTCGGCATCGGGACAACCAAATACCCAACCGCATTGCATCAGAGAACTCTCGGCTTGGATCGAGAACAACTATGCTCGGCTTGCAGTTGAAGTTGTTGACCACTTGGACAACGTCCAAGTTGCCTGGGCTGATGTCGAGAAGTGGAAGGAAATTGCTATCGGTCGTTTAGCATCATTGAGAATTAGCGAGCTATTTGACATAGTCAGCAGCTGGCCGTGTAGCGAGGGCGGCATCAATGACCTCCGTTACACTGTTACTACTCCACAGCGTCGACTCCAGCTAACTGATGCCTTCTCTGTCGCCTTAGAGAAGAGACTGCTTCATCCGGGACGTTCCACCCTGGACATTCTACGGACGTATATTGCCATGATCAAGACATTCCAAAGGTTGGACCACTCGAGAGTTTTGCTCGATCGCGTCGCATATTCGCTTCAGCTTTACTTGTGCACACGGGAGGATACCGTGCGTATAATTGTCACAAGTCTGCTAACGAGTCCAAAGCAAGCTGACGAGGAGGCCCGTAAGACAAAGCTTATAGAGCTGGTAGAGCTGATGCACGACCCCAGTCAAAATCACTCAGACCACCAGGACGATGAATGGGATGATCTTTCGTGGGTACCTGCCCCTGTAGATGCCGGATCGAACTACAAGCACCGGAAATCTGAGGACGTCATCGGCACTCTGATCGGTGCTGTAGGCTCACCGGAAATATTCATCAAGGAATTTCAATCCATCATTGGCGAGCATCTTCTTTCAGAGCAAGAAGAGTTCGTGCAAGAGTCTACTGTGCTTGCTCTTTTGAAAAAACGATTTGGAGAGTCATCGTTGCAGGCCTGCGATGTCATGATCAAGGACATCCAAGACTCCAGGAGGTTGAACGACGCCATGTACCGTGGTGCCATGAACGAGCGGGAGAAGATGAAGCTAGAATGGGCCACACGCACGAAAATTCTTTCTCGCCTCTATTGGCCCGATATGGGGGACGAACGCTTCGTTGTGCCTCTAAGCGTGTCAGAAATGCAACGTGCTTACGAAGACCGCTTCGAACATCTCAAGTCATCACGGAAGCTCAAGTGGCTCAATCACGTAGGACAAGCAACCGTGGAACTCGAATTAGAGGATCGTACCATCTCTGAAGAGGTTCGAACGTACGAGGCTGCCATTATCAACACCTTCAGTGAGGATACGGAAAGTGGCATCACCCCTTCATGGACCTTTGACACTTTATGGATGCATCTACAAATAGACGAAGATCTCTTAGCTGCGGGCTTGCAGTTCTGGGTAGACAAGCGGGTTCTACGAAAAACAACAAGCCAAGAATATGTGGTTATCGAGCGCCTCGAGGATGCGGAACAGCACATAGCATCGATCGCAAACCAGTCAGGCGCCACCCAGGAGATTCCACAAGATGCCATACCGACCAGCACTCGGAAGGGTAAGGGTATCAGCGAAAAAGAAAAAGCGCAACGGCAAGTCTACTGGCAATTCATTGTCGGTATGCTTACGAATTCAATGTCTCAAATGCCGCTGGGTCAGATCTCTATGATGATGAAAATGCTCATTGCTGACGGGTTCCCTTGGAGTAATGAGGAGCTGCAGGAGTTTCTAGCAGACAAGGTGACCGAGGGAGAGTTGGAGCTTGCAGGTGGGAGGTATAAACTTGTCAGAAGATAGTCGCCACCATACGTGTGCCCTTTGTACGCATGCGACCAAGTCTCACCTCGGGTCAAAGCCGTTCTCAATCATCTGTGACGGTCGATTGAACCATCGTCTGAAGGGGTGGCGGGCTGATCCAACTGTTATAGCACTGTAGCGTCAGGATTGTGACATTCAATCTTGTCGAAACTCAGCAAAATAACAAATATTACAGAATTAACCTACAACCATACGTACTTCATCACTTGTCAATTTTGGCGACTTGGTCTTGCTCTAAACGACCTACCACATGCAAGTTGCTTCACATTACGACGCCACAGCATTTCAAGCGAGCGCATTGATGTATCTCATACTGAAAAAAAAAAAAAACCCCCCCCCCCCCCCCCAATTTTATGATTAAGTTTATGAGGAATATATTAGTAATAAAAAACTTCGTATTGTCAGAGTTGGAGATGGTATTAATCCACAGATCATGTGCCTCATACTGGAGTCGAACCAGTTACCTCCTCATTACTAGTGAGGCGCTCTACCGGTGAGCCAATGAGGCTCTGCTAACGATGTTTGTGTAAAACCTAATGTAGCTATCAAAATGAGGGTTGTTTAATGAGACAATCTCGGTCATGGTGGAGTACTCGTCAAGGTTTGCACCACAGAGTGTGTCATTCGTCGTCTCGATAGCTCAGTAAAGTGGTCGGCGACGAATCTGTCAACGACTGTTTCGATCTACTTGCTGCTAGATGGCGGCCTCATCTTGTAGAACATCCTCAAGAGGGACACACTGGGCAGCGTGGTCGTCGACGATAGTACCGCTGAGGGAGTACATGTGCCAAACACGGAATCATGACTTTAGCTAGTCTGGTATAGATGGATCTGCTTTGTAGCTTTTTGCGAGAGACTATGGTAAAAATAACACATACTCGTGCTGGCAAGAGGTGTACAGCTGGCGTGAAAATTGACACGATGTTATTAATTCCCATTGTGCCATTTTCAGAGGGACCAGTTAGCATAACTCCTCGTGCTGCTACATTTATCGTGGACCTTCATAGCAGTTTACTGGTACGTAGAGTCACTATACACCATATTTCGCGCGTCCTGCGGCTTTTGCGAAAGTGGGCGAGTTTCGATTATGTCCTTGAACATCTGTTAGCAGTCAAATACCTGCTTACCCATCGTGTACTGTGGGCACTGAAGGAAGCGATTCGTGGTCTCATTACGCAGTTGTGTAGGGATTGAGTTGGGTAGTCTCCTGCGATTGGTGTAGAGGACGTTGGCTGCATCGGTCGAAGGCCGCTGTTTCCTTTCAATACAAGAACGAAATGAAAGGCGTAAGTAGCTTACTTATTTCCAGGACCCTCGGCCATCATGTTGGAGACATTTAAGTTCCTCGAGATCCAGACGGCCTCTTGCTGCTACGTGTACTTGTATAGCATCCATCAAGATATGCGGAAGACACTCATCTACTGTACGCCGAGAACATCGCTTAACCGTGCATAATACTAAATGGCTAAACATTGTTTGTCCTATTCCAAGGGAAGCTGAAGTCGCTGGCACGGTTGTCAACGACATTGCCACTCCAGACTACATGACAGAATAGCAGCGACTTGCTCAGTAGTTGCTTCATTCCCAAAGTGGATTCCGCCTAAACCCGACAACGGCAGGATGACACAGTCCAAGATTTATCTGTTGTGGTAAGTACTGCTTGAGCCCAGGTATAGTAAGTTAATTGATGTCGAGGTTATCTGGACTAGGCGAACATTTTCGGTCATACCGCTTCTGGACAGCACCAGGACAAACACAGAATTCTGAGGGACAGCGTATTCACCTATAGAAAGACTGTCTCTACGGCGCACGGCTTCAACAGTGTAATTTTTGAAACAAGTGAACGACAAATATCATGAAAACTGGTGTCGCCATTTGTAGGCTGCAATCTCGAAAGAGGCCCAAGTCCGTCGTAGAGCCTTGAGTAGGTCGAGATGAAACCCAGAACTGCGTACTACAATTCATTACCCCTCCGGTACCGGTACCTTTTAGGTAGCATTATAATTTTCTAGGTCCAGCCGTCTGCCCATAAGTAACAACCTGGATGGACAAGCCGCGTCGATTGACAACGTCGACTCCGTCTGCAGTGAAGAGATAACCTAGTAGCAAATTAATTGAACTTTGGCTTGGTTTAATGTGCCAATGTCGATATCATATTAGACAATCTCTTCGCCTACTAATTTGACTTTGGGGACGCGAGTTTCGTCGTATTTAATACTTTGATTAAGCTATTCCTAATGCATTATTTAATATAAATGAATGATTTCCGGCCTTGTTGTGATATGGATGCGCGAGGCTTCCTGCGTTATGTTCCTACAGTATTAGCATGGTTGGGTGACCCATCGGATAGGTATCAAGACCCTCTAGCCTACGTAAAGGCCAACTGGGGTAACACGACAACCTTTGATAATACCCGAAAGTCTTCTTGATGAGCGGCAGAAATACTTGAATAGGTGGGCGACGTTGATATGAAGCACGTTTATCAGGTTATATGCTAGAGTCCAGGTTGCCAGGCTTTCTTTGCATGAAGCGGTCTTGTCACGAACTTGCCACCAACAATGACTACTCGATTCTCCGGAAAAACTGCTAGTGTATGTTATCGGTAGTTGATAGGGCCAGTCACTTGTGGGAGAGGCATCGTTGGGGTTCATGTTGATTTCAAATGAGAAATAGTTTGACTGTGAGAGACTTGTCGTTCGAGGTAGGGGGCTCCATTATTCACAGACATGCTTGGTCTGGAGTTTAACAAGCCCAAGCAAAGACGGGATACAGACAAACCTGCCAGCATGGTCCTGCACCCGTCAAATCATTGCCATGTATTGTACTTGTGTGATCTCGGGGGGCGTTATAGCTGTGTCTCTTGTACTAAAGCCTTTGACTTATATCGTATCGGATTTTCTAATTACATCCCGCAAATTTTGCGTATAAGTCTCGAATTTTTTCAATGGAAACTACGCCGCTTTGCCACCCTTCTAATCCTTGCTGCAGGTAGAGAAAAGTCCCGGTGATGAACGTGCAAGTAGAATTTGTTGCCAATACTGAAAATTCCTCTTTGTGCAACGAACAACAGCATGATATACCAATTGAGACTCGGAATACTGCAGGATTCGTTCGTCATCTGCAACGCTATGACGAAAGCGTAAGAGGGATAAGCCCATATTGTGCCTTGTTATCCTTGAGCTGGGTGGATTTGCTCATTCCTCCCTGTCTGCACCACGTCAGCTCTGTTTGCTCATCCGCGTAAGTGATGTGGTACGTATTGCCAGTCGTTGGTTTTGGCAACCATCGTGGCTGGCAACTTTGTTGGTCATCTCCAGTCAAGCACCTAAATTAGTAACCCATTCTCATGGTCAACCACGCACCGTCAACTCATGATAGTCATTGTTGGTGTCTCACACGACTAAACCTCAAAAACTGCGGGTCAAACTAACGTGAGATCAGACTCACTACACCTGGTTTCACCGAACATAGATTCATTAGACCGACTGCCAGTGTTTCGTTGCAGCGTCTCAGAAACTCGATAGAATGTCGGCAACAGATTACGTGTTTTATGCATAAGAAGGTTTAAAATGCTCCTGAATGATTATTGTAGCACATGCGGAGTAAGACAAGACGCTTCTCTGAGGACGACTGTAATACGAGGACAGTGCTGAGACTGGCAAAGCACTGTTGTACGATGATATGCATTCGGCGTCGAAGAACAGAACAAGGCACAACTTTGCGATGACATGCCACGTTTGCGCTGCTCCCAACATCGTATCATAAGGAGTGTGATCCATTCCCAATATCACTCGAGCCAGTTTCAATATCCTTAGGGTGTGTGCTGTACTTTCTGAGGTACTTGGTTCAGAAAGTGACAAGTGACAATCGAATGAGGAATGAATCAACGCTCACGAGACGCCCCCCGAAGTTTCGTGTAGTTTAAGCAGTCTTTCGAGAAAACTTCCCCCCTAAGATCAACCTCCTAACCCGGCCAAAACCAGATAGAGTTGCCACTAAACAAACGGATCAGGACGAGATCAGGACGAGAGAGCCTCACTAACTTTTGCAAGTACTCTTTGATGAACACTTTACTCACCACATCTGAGAGCATCCAAGAAACTTCCCAGCTTGGCCACGCGGGTGTCCCCTGACGATCATCTCGGGGTGGAATCGGTGACTCTTTGCTCAGCTCTACGAGGCCAACTGTACAAGCACTCGGTAACACGCATCTTGATCAGATTTGGTAAAGCCCCGATTATACCGGGGGACTCTACATAGCAAGCGTTCCACTGCCCTGGAACATGATTGTCCCTTTACCTTGCAGACATGTTCCCGTACGTTTGTAGACATGTTCGCATGCCTTTGCCTTGCCTCTCTCGGACTGCCCGTGGCGGGAGCCTGTGGACTGAGCAAAGATTGGCATCCTTAGATAGTAAGCAGAAGTACAGACCAAGATAACCCCCTTTTCATGGTAGGCAAGGCGCTGTGATTGAGATGTATCAACGCGGTAACGCCCTGTCGATGCCCACAGCGTCCAAACCGTGCCATTGGGAGCATTGGCAAATCCTAGTCTACTCCATCGGACTCAATCATGCGCATTGATGATCAGGTACAATGAGTGACTTCCAGTCAATTTGTAGACAATGAAATACACTGCGAATGACTTCTGGTCAACCCTGCTAAATCCTGGAGGGCGATTCTGTTATCCCCACCACGCACGTGTGAAGCTTGTGAGTGGATAAGGCCCCGTTGGTACGCAATCTCCTGAATGGTGTACTTTGTGCTGGATGGCAGCTACTTGCAAAGCCCGAGTCGCACAGAAATCGGTTATGATCGGCGATGAGTGCATGAAGTAGCTGAGGTTGGACGAACAGGCTCTGAGAATGGTACAGTGCAGTAAACTCATCCGCTGACATTGGGCACAGGCTTCACCTCAAAACGGCGGTGAGTTGATGTGGCATGCTGTTCTTCCATTCGCAGAAAGGGAAAGAAGGTGGGAACAGTGTGAATGGAGACAAGGCGCCTTCGATCCTGCGACCACAGCAGATTTGCTCACTTGTCGGACTGCTATTGCACAGGAGTTTTCCGCAGACCCCGGAAACCGCATTAGAGGTGGCGATAATTACCACGTCGAAACCTCTCGCGTCATGTCAATTGTCGAAATGCTTCGGATTGGGCAGCAGCTTCATAACGGTAGGTGGATGTCTAACTTTTCTTAGTCGTCAGCAGCAGCTTTGCAGCTCCGAGCTATCCTAGTTTCAGATGGACCCTGAATGCAAATCGACGACTCATGTCGAGTCTCGAGATTGACAAAGGTGACAAGGTGAGGGGTCAGGATCTATTCCAGCCTTCGTGGTAACGCTCACAGGTTAAATTCGATGCGACGAAGGAATGGCATTTGGGAGCAATCCCCATCATGGACAGGAGAAGGTGCGAAGTCAAACCGGTTTTCTTGACACTACACAACGAAGCACGAGTAAGGCGCCGCTATGCGATAAGGGGCCTCAAGGCATCAGGTACCGCCATTGGACATGGGTGATTAATACGCCAAATTAAGGACAGCTGTGGAGGGGACGTTGGTTTGGTTGAGGTTTGCACAGCCTCTAACCCACTACATTATGATTTGCCGTTTGATTCTTTTGGAGGATCAGATAGAGAAGGTTTTAATTGTTTCCCGTCCGGTTTTGGCTGTGACCCTCTACGATAATCCCGCCGCGGAACACCCTAGGTGATCAAGCCGTCAGCTGGTGAATGCACCGCCCAGAAGTTCCGGTACAAAGAACTGAGTCCATGGCAGGGGTGCATGTCAATGATCCTTGAAGGGACAGCTCGTATACCCTGCCCCCGCCCAATCAATGTGCTTGTTTCACAGCCAATAGGAATAGGGTATCTCGCTGCAGGGACCCCAGCGGCACTAATGCGGCCTGACGTCAGGGCGTAGTTGGCTCAGTCAACGACGACACTCACACACGAGCAGAATGCGCAATTTTTGCATCGTTCAAAGACCAAAAACGACAGCGGACGCCTTCAAAGACAATCAAACCGCCAAATTAGTGGACATCACACTTGGTATCCTCCTCTGGTACCAGGTAAAACGTTGCAACTTTCAAGTATGCCGGACACCGTTTCAACGTGAATCTCAGCTTGAAACGGCAGGTACAGTGACGTTAGTGGGTAGAACAAACTCTACTCTAATGAACTACTTTAGCCGTCTTCGGACCGGTAGTTCTTTCGTCGTCGTTCGTGGTAGTATCAAATAAGTATTGCGCATCATCATTCATTCGGGCTCTCAAGAATGAGTGCCACAGAGATAGGCGTACCCGTGCTGTAGGCTCACCACCACTCGATACTTTGTATTCAACCAACTGAGCTGAAGTCGCCCTCATTGCCTAGAAACTGCGCTATTTGTGTCCCACCTGGAGTAGGTCGAGTGCGACTTGGTACATGTTGATACCGCACGTCCCCAAATACAGCTCTCTCTTACACATGTACACAGCACCCAAGACATGGCAGTCACAGGCGTCGCAGCAGGCATTGTGCGGACAGGTAACAGCAAACTGCAACAAGCTTTCGTTATCATCGGTGGCTGCCAGCCATTTATGCACCCCCGAGTCCAACCCCGGGCGTACATACTATGTATTCCCGGTCGTTAAGAAGACCCTGAAGATCGCGCGCGCAGATGAATCGTAATAACTAAAACGCCGGGATGATCTCTTGGCAACACCATGACAGTTTATGTTGCCCCCCAGCTCGTAACCCACAAGTTGGTGGGCCGGAACAAACAAGCGAATCATCAAAAGTTAACCGTACAAAGTACCCCTTTGCCTAATTGAATTTTTGCGCCGTAACGACGTCATCGGGATTGCTTGTGACCGGCCGTGTCGTCATTGTAGTCGGGCTGTGTCCCATCCATCGACGGAGAGATATGAACGACTCCAAATGATCTCTATTTTACAAGGTACGGAGTACCGTTAGCACAGTTGTTCTAAATCCTCCCTGTGAATAAGCTTTTGTCATGTTCGAAATCAGTCACGCTTTCAGGAAGACAGGTCTGACTACGAATCCTTGACAGCTTCAGCGGTTGTTTCTTTATATATCTCCACCGGCTTTACCGTACGAGGAAGGGATTTTCTACCTCGTTACCATAGTATGTAGACCCGGTAGGACTATGCCAACGCCCCACCCCACTCCGCCGGAAGCTATACTATCTCGCCGCGGTGTAAGTTATTTCGCGTCATAGCAATACTCAATAATGAATCGAAAACCGGCTCGCTACGTATGTAGCTACTGCATACGCCAAAGCCCAGCCATTCAACGCACAATTAGACATCCTAGTGACTGATTGGAGGGGGGGGGAAGTCGCGCAACAAGCCCAAGCATGTCCCGTAATGAATGATCTATGTGACGACGGAAACCAACACTGCCACCTCCGTTGCATATCTGATCATCTCGTTGCCAATCAATCTGGCGTGACGCCCTGGTAGACCATAGCGATCTTCAACTTATCGAGATGGGCATCACGTGCCGAACATGGAACGGTGATCTCTCTCAAGGTTCGGTCTCACATGCGTAACCGTTTGAGCCTTGGCCCGTAGCTCGTAAGGCATCCCTTATTATATCCTCCCGAAATCTGTAGCATAGCCATTGCATAGCACCTTCGAGATGCATGACCGAAGCACTTCTAATAGTCGTAGCTGAGCTCGAGTCAAATAGTTCGATCCGTCAGACCAATGACTAAAAACAGAAAGAGATCACAAAGCCGATGGTATTGACGACGACTAATAAAAAGAGCCGTTTTCGCCTCTTGGGTATCACATGAGTAGTGTACCAAGTATTTTAACGACGGACAGAAGCCTTCTGCTTGCACTGCCAACCCCGATCTAGGAAGGGATCGCGCCTCACCCGCTTCAATTAGCTCAAAATCTCGCAGACTTAGCAACCTTGATTGCCCAACACAAAAAGAAAAATAAATAATAAATAAAATCAATATGTGTCTACCTGTCTACTCAAAAGAACGATAGCTTTGATTGGAACAGGCGTCACAACGCCCCAGCTCGCTGCAAGCCCCCCCTTCCCCCCTCAAACTTGAAACACGCTTTTCTCTAGCGATCCCAGTCTGCGGGGGCGCCGGCCGGCGTGACAGTCGAAGTGGGGACCCTCCGCACGCCGATCATTCCCGTCCTGATTCCGTAAAGAAATATCATTGGGGGAGAGAGGGTTGGACCGTTACGACTGTTACTGCTGCTTACTGGATAAACCAAAAGTTTGCGGTAGCTGGGCGGCCGATAGGGCAGCACACTTGTCCGGCTCTCGCTCTGTGGCGGAATCTGCTGCTACCGTATCGCAGTGTAGTGATAGACAATTATCAAGAGCGGTATCCCTCTCCTAGTTACTACTACAACAGGTTCAAGTGCTATAGCGCGAAGTCCCATGCAAGATGAGGTTCGGTTCGAAGCCGACCCCATCTTCGGGTAGGGATTTCCATGTCGATCTCATGTATGAACCCCAAGCTTGAACATCAAGCACCAGAGAAGCGTTGCGATCGACAAATTTGCACATTGGGGCCGGGTATGATTGGGTTGTGTGATTGGTTCATTGTTCTCTTCAATTAGATTACATGGCAATAGCGAGTGTAAACTTTCCATCACGCGACGACCCTCTCTCAGGCTCTCCGTGACCAAAAAGACTGCTTTGCCGTTCCCGGGGTATATGCATCATATAGTTATTGTACAAGACCGTCAATCCCTTTCTCTATAGCAGTGCAGACGGTTGCTGCCGACAGAGCATCCAAACAAATGCACAAATCGGTCGTCGATCTTCACCAGCGCCGAGGCTGTTCATGTTTCCCTAATATCCCAATGTGATCCTGTAACGCCAGATGAGGGGTATCTCAGCACACAACTGTAGTTCCTCGGAATGTGAAATCCAGAACCGATGTCCAGTAGCGAGAGACGTGAAGTGTATGTCCCAGCAGACCGCCTCTCGCCCAATCTATAAGCGCCAACGCTGTCCTAGCGCTGCGAAAAACATCCCAAAGAATCAACTCCAGAGCAATGGCGTAGCATAGCCGCTGTAATCCCGTTTTCTTCCTCGAAATTGACAGCAGCCACCAATCGGTTCGATCTCCCTTGCCTCCCAAAATCGGAAAATCGTAAATGCTTGCCCCCACCCCCTCCCTTATTCTCTATGCATTCATTGCCAACTGCGCAAAACCATCCAAGTACTGATGCAAGAATTGTCGCTCAAAACCATGGTATTTCGCAGTAAAAGAAAGTAAAACGGGTATCAAGACTATTCCGAGTCATCGTGACGGTCTTCTGAGCCGGCCTCTGATTTGGCATCATTCTTGTGAACCTTCCGGTGTCTTCGAAGATTTGATACAACTGAGAAGTGTCTGCCACATCCCTCGACTTCACAGCAAAACGCTAGAGTGGGGGTTAGCGATGATCAAGACTGGCGTATGACTAGTATAACTTACGTTTTTCGCCAGTATGGCTGTACATGTGTGTTTGCAAAGAACTGGGTCTTGTGAACCTCTTGTCACAGACCTTGCACTTGTGCTTCTTTTGAGTGCTTGAAGACACCTTGGAGCTAAACTGTCCCATCATGGACTGAGGCGCCGGCGGGGGGTGGGTCATCAAGTTGGTCGGGCGAGGTAACGTTCTTGACGTTACCGACTCGATATCGGACCCGCCTGTCGAGTAGTCGCTTACGGACGAGTCAATTGATCCTCCGTAATAGCTGCCGCTGCCGTAATTACTGGCTGAAGAGATTGAAGAGGTAGTCGAGTGTGCTGGCGGGAACCCATACGAGTCGGTGGATCCTCGGGCGCGGGAATTCGAAGGTGGGTAGATGGCTCTAGGTGTCTCCTGGCTCATGGCGAGCATCCCGTGTCCAGCGTCCAGCGCATCTGCAAAGCTGCGACGGTCGTCCTGCGGGATTCCTCTATGATTGAAGTCAACTATCGAGTTCCTGGAGGAGTGAAGGCCTTCGTCGGTGCCGAAGTCGGACGATGAAACTGATGAAGGAATGGATGATTGAGAATACCTTCTATGGTCGGCCTCCGGTGCCAGGGCAAATGTTGAGCGAACCGGTGCGGTCGCATAACCAGGTAAGCCGTGGTCAAACGACGGCGGCGAGGCAGTGTAGCTCGAGTGTACCGAAGGTGCGCTTGTCGCAGTTGCATACGAGGGCTCGCCATATGCGGCAGACGTAGGTTGTAACCGGTTCAGGCTGAGGAGATCTTGTGGCATATTGAGTAAGTCTTGTTGTCCATAGACATTAGCCATGAGAGTGCTACCTGCTGAAGATGCAGTCACCGGAATGGTTCCAAAGGAAGCCATTGAGCTAGTAGGTGCGCTCGTCCGACTAGGGTGCTGCTTTGCTAGAATGTCGAGACCGGAGGTCAAGGGCTGCTGATACATGCCCTGACCGGCATTGGGCGGCGACGAGGCCGCAGCCCAGGGATTTGTAAAGTGAGGGGTGTGGTAGGAAGACATGTGGTCAAAGTTTATGGCACCGTATCGTTGTTGTTGGTGGTCGAGTGTCATAGTCATCTTCGACGGTATAGTAATGATATAGCGAAATCAGGAAGGTGAGAAGCTTCCGGACCTTTGGTGATGCGACGAGTGAGGGGATCCAATGTAGGTAGGCAGGTAGTTAGGTAGGTAGGTTGTTTTAATTGATCAACTGCGGAATCCCGACGAGTACAGCCGTGTTACAATAGAGAGGACGGTGACTGAACTTTGTGAGATCCGATGAGGGTGATCCTTAGCAAGCCGTGGAGGTGGGATCAGCGAGCCTTAAGTGTGTCTGGCAGGAGACGGAGAGGCTCATGTAACAGGGGTTCCTGCGGTCGAGTGGGAGGTACAAGTTGATGCCAGTCGGTACTTCCTTTTCCCCCCAAACCATCTGAAGCTTATTATCGCTTGCTAGTCAGCGGGACAAGTGGAGACTGCCTTCCAGCACGCAGTATCCAGTGACGACGTCGAACACAAAATGATCGACAGTTCAATATCCCGTACTGAGAAGCTTAGGCCTCTGGGTTGGACAGTATGGGAGGGTAGCGCGTTGAGCAGATCGAGCTGGGCAGTACTATGTACGCTGGGGTTATGCTGTCCAATCTGAACGACAACCGTTTTAGTTACTGGACAGATCAATATCTGTGGAGCTAGATGGCTCGTTTCAAGACCGAAGAGTAAAGGATCAGCAGTGCTCAAGATCCGGGGGTAAATGGGTTGCTGCTGCTGAACCGACACTAGAAGTATAGCAGTTCGGCAGTCACTGAGGTTTGTTGATATACGGGGAGGATCGTGCTGTGTCGATGATCTGACTTGCAGTGAATGCTGTTGTTGCGTGAGATATTTTGAAGAGGTTGTAGGAGAATGCCAATTGGGACGTTGGAGGAGGTGGCAGGCAGGCTTTACATAAATCCCATGAAGGCTATGATGCTGGAAGTGCCAAGTAGGTACGTAACCAAGTCGCACTGTTGTTGACCGTCACGAACAGGGGGCCCAGTTTTGACTATGTAATTAGAGTAGGGTATCAGGGTCCTCTGTCTAACCCCAATAGTAGTCCCGGCGACTTGAGCCATTCAATCTCTGCGTACTAGGGCTAAAGTACTGATCGAGAGGGAGTGCAATGTGGGATGGGATGCATAGGGACAATGCAGAATAGACAATTCACCAGAGCAGCCAACAAAAAGCGCGCCATGTCTGTGTGGTGGATCGCATTGGGTGGTAGGGGTATGAGAACCACCTAACGGATAACCCCCTGGTCGCTCTTTCCCTGCCAGCTTAGCGGATTTCTTCGGGGATGGGGGGAGCAGAAAAAAGTGTGTTCAGGGCTGCTCTTAGCGGACGCCACTGATGCGGGAGTTGAAGTGAAAGGGAATCTCATGCAGGGTCTGATTGAGAACGGCACACGGAGTAGATTCGAAATGGTTTGCAACGTACCGTTTCCGCCCTGGAAGTCCATTTCCAAGATCGGCTTGTTACCCAACCCACGCTCGATGACGATCACATCAATACCGGTAGATTAGCATTCAAGCGCGTATTGCTTCACATCAACCATTTGGGTCGTAATTGCGGTGGGCGCCAGAGAACATGATGAGATGGGTGGTCGCTCTCCACGCGCAAAGCCCGACTGGATCCTATTCCCTCGACCGCCTACGTCACGGGTGATACAGGACGGCTTGGAATTCTCTATGATCCTTGTCCGGTAAAACATGGTGGGTCCGCTCGGTGGATAGCGCCATGTAGAGGTACTTTTGACTATTGGCTCCAGCTGGAAAGACTATGAGCAATTGCAATTGCCAGACAGCCGTCCTAGTTCCGGCGAGCTGACAGCGCTGCTTTCAGGGTTTGGCTTCCTGGCTTCCTCAATGATGCTGCCGTGCAGAAGGAAGAAGCATACCGAGAATCGAAATAGAATTTGAAATAGAAATAGAAACCATGACACGAGACGTCTCCGTAATTAGTTGTTGTGGCAAATGTATGAAGCATTGGATTCGAAAACAAATCCCCATAATACGTGGCCTTCATGGGCATCAGACATCCTTCTATAAGTGTGCAGTATACTTAGTTGGCATATGTAGTTAGTTCTTGCTTGCGGGACACGCAGTAGGTCTCCGGAGGGCACTCGGGGCATTCGGGGCTTGCATATATGACGATATCGTATATCTTTATGGCCAGCCTAGCTCTTGAGCCGCGCGCCATCTTCTGTTTCGTGGTACCGCTCCCGATATCTTGTGATGTGTAAATGGCCAACTGACGTAACTGCCCAGCAGATATTGCTACTCTTCTGTGGCAACCGTCGGCCCTTACCCTGGTAATATGGCAAATTCAATCATGAGTACTTGTAGGGGGAAAAGGCTTGACACCTGGGCACCAACCATGCAATAGTGCGATAGAATCTGAAGTGTATAATATCGTTCGCAATCAGTCCATCGATCAGAATTTCAGCTGTCCAAAGTACGTGAACAGAACGTTCTGTCTCAGCATTGCGCTTCTTGGCAATGAAAAAAAAGCCATAACAGGCATTCGTTCGTCATTGCGTTCTGTTACTGGCACGCTTCCAACAGGACGTTGCAGAATAGTGGCGCCCGGCTTGGTTCAAAGCCGGGGGTTCCTCTCCTGGCCAAAGTGGGCGGGAATAAGACCCTCGACGCTGAAATGGCCGAATGGCATGCTAAATGACAACATCGACAACGGGCCTTACCTGCGATCCGTTTTTTCTCTTAGCCCGACCCAATCAATCATGTTTCTTTACACCCTTGCTTTTACTGTAGCCTCTACTGTAGCCAGACAGCCAAACAGGGGACGTGGGAGGGGGCATCAACTACTCAGGAGAGGGACCCTGAGCCATCAGAAGGACTTTAGTCTCTACCAAGTGCCATATGCAGCTTCCCAACCCCACAACCACTAGATACCAGTTGAGACTAAAACGTCAAGCTACTGTACCATTGTGTGTAGGGCCTGGTAAGCTTCAACTCTTACAATTAAAATTGCGCATTTCGATTCGTTCCTTGTTCGCCAGAATAAAGTGCGTAGGCAGGGGCCAGCTGTACAGACTAGAGCAGAGCGGGGGCCTTTTCTCCTCTTGTTGACGCGCTTAACGCTCAGCTCGCTGCTACTTGGTAACCTTTGAGCCCTCACTGGTGAAAGAAAGTGTTGTCCGTCGTGTCTCATCGCTGAGGGTTTCCTAGATGGAACCGTTGTCCCTCTACTCCTATACGCGTCTTTCAACCCTTAAACTTGTCCTGGGACGGAGTAAATGTCAAAAGCCTTACAAGACAAGTATCATTAGGCTTGATATGTAGCAGAGCCGTGGCGCGGCCCGCGCGAACGCTCGGTTGATAACAAAAATGGAACTAACATGCAGGCAAGCTGAAGCCCTTTACAGCCATTATTTTTCTGCTTGGCAGCACGATAAGCCCAACTATCCTTGTCGTATTCAAAAGATTTGTACATATTAACCCCCCCTCCCGAAATGATACGGAAGTACTTGAATATCATCTCGTCGTGAGTTCAAGATTGCGCCTGCTGCAATGTGGATTACCGTGAATCTTTTAGATTAAACGTCTTGGATACATAGCGCAGCCTCAAATACACGCCTTATCGCGCCAATGCCAAATTTGATTTGCCAGAGAAAGTGTCGGGCCGGGAGTTCGAGCCGATGATATATCGAAACCCACGTCGACTAGCCAGCAGCTTACTCCTTCAAGGGATTCGTCTAGTACCTGTGCTTCTACTAATATATTACCTTGACGAACTCCAATTGCTATTGCATAGAACGATTTGCCCTGGTCTTGCCGTTGTCTGGTGTAGGGGGTCATTAATCTCTTCACGGCCTCCAGTTATGCCCTGCAAACCGTTGAAGAATACAGCTCTTGGTATTAATTCTTGCAGGTGAAATGCATGGTGTCTCCGTCTATCACGAAGCAAACTTACCACCATCATGTGATATCATCATCAGGGGTTTGTAGGTTCAACTTTCAAAAGTACACATCCACAAACCTCAATACAATGGGGAGAGTGCGGGAAACCACGAGCTCATCCATAACCATGTTCGCACATGGCGATATATGGGTACAGTGGATACAGACTACCAGTATAACCTGGCAGCTTCCATACTTCAGCAATTCCAATTTCAGATATCCCTTGTACTACCAACCGGTTATGCCGACAACACCCCTCATACGACCAGGCAGCTGGTGTCATCGACACCATTGCGACCACAAGGTCGAAGTTTGAATAAAAGTTGCACAGTACACCCTGAGGTTGCATTCCACTACTGCAGCAAAAGATTATCCCAAATTTGCCTGGTGGGGTTATGTCCAGGACTTTCATCTCATGAGGATTGATCCATCATCACTAATCCATTTTGTCTCTAGCTCAGGAAAGATAAATCATCACACTCAGCGCCTGACATTCAGTACCTTTGTGATTTTGTTGCAGCATAATTCAATATCACGACTTTATAACATATTCGAGTTGTCCGTGTGACAAGCCGCCGCAGATATCGAGATGGCCTGTCAAGCGCATTGACTTGCATGCACGTAGGATTTATCGAATATGCATTATGCCTTCGCTGGACTCAAGACACTGTACTACATGCCTGATAAAGCCTCTTGGACAGTCGGATCTAGTAAGCCTAGTGAGATTTCACACATGTTTCCCGGGAGTTGACAGTGGCGATCATCGAAGTGTCAACCGGCACGTAGCGAAAGCCACAGTTCCCACCCACCTGCAGGCGACAGGGTCATCCGAAAACATCTACCTAGTCGGCTGACAAAATTTCGTCCTCTGCCACTAACAAAGGAAGACCCAAAGTCCAATGGCATGGTACGTAGCTCGATCTCGAGATCTCGTGAACTTTGATGAAAGCATCCACTCCCTTTTCTAGAAGGCCAAAAGCGTCCCTCAATCTCGACGTTTTTGGACCTTCCTTACTCTGAACCAAATGAAGCAGGACTACAGCCATATCCGCTTTTGGATACCCTGATTGTCAGCACCCACTCAGAAGAACTGCTTGAATCGTTTAGGGCAAATCAGGC